TGTTGATGTTGATGTTGATGTTGATGTTGTTTTTGTTTTTGATGTTGATGTTGATGTTGATGTTGATGTTGATGTTGCTGTTGCTGTTGCTGTTGCTGTTGCTGTTCATATTCAACTTGTTGATGTTGCTGTTGTTGATATGCACCATAATTTCCTAAATTATAATCAATAAATGTTTAGTAACATTCTATTAATTAATAAATTAATGTTTCTCTTACTGTTAATCTATCTGTGCAATTTAAAGATTGTTGATGTCGATAATTGTAATCCAAATGTAGAAGATTTGAAACATTCGATCACTCTTGCTCGATAGTGACCATATCTTCTTGTCAGATGGTAGTGGCTGCATTGACTTAGAACAACAAGTTGTACTTGATCAAAATCATTTTCCAATGCCTGTTGAAATAAAATCTAATTATAAACTAACTTGACTCTCTATATGATTGTGGTATATTAGATAATTGCAGTAGATTTACAAATGTTTAAAATTATAAATTTACATACCTCAATAGCAATAAGAACACACCTTGGCTTTGTGTAGCAGGCCCGGTCTCCAACTGTACTTTCATTGGCATCGCTGAACCCTCTGTCTTGATAATGTTGATGAGCATAATATTAATTGGTTGTACTTGAAATGTATTACTATTGCTACAGTGCTTTCACTTTGATAGTATCTTTAATCTCGTTGATCATTTTCATGATTTAGCCAAAGAGTCGATAACCGCTATTGTCCTATTTCACAACATCTTCCAAAATAAGTATCTATCTTTGAGAGTATAGTCAATCTAATATCTAATCTTCATTCATCAGAGCCAACCACTCAACTAATATATTGACATTGCTGTCAACAAACGATATCTATAAAATGAAAGTAAAAAAAAAAAAAAAAAAAAAATTTTTGTTGATCATAAACACTGAACATCAAAAGTATTATTTTATTATTTTAATTGTTGTTTAGTTTCATTGTTGTTAATAACAACTTACAATCATTTATCATTTTAACTAAACTATAGCTTTATTAAACAAAAATTAGCATATTTTATATTGACCTCTATTATCATGCAAACTCTTGTAAAGATAATTTAAAAGGTTAGTTAACTTTTATTCTTATTTAATCTACACTCTATCTTTACTGTTTTTTATTCGATATAATATCGATTTAACTTGTTCATAGACAAAATACAATATTAATCATGATTCATACAACTTGGATTACCAAATATCTAAACTTTAACATATTTACACACCAACAAGATAATCTTATATCAACTATCTTGATTTACTAATGTTTTTAATATTTAATGATATTAGATCAATAATATGGTGATCATATTCTAGACATTTTTATTCTTTGGAGGTAAAAGATCTTTGAATAAGACACCGCACTTACTGGTTCTTGAAGAACATATTAGATCTGTTGTTAGCACAAATAGCATCTTTTTCTGGTCCATAGATTACAGTTTGGCGATAAATCGATTAAATCATTGTAGAACTCGGAAAATAATGCAATTCATCTACTATCTACTTCCAAAGCTCAAACAAGAAGCATTGAACACCTCTCCAATTGTTTGGTATGTTTTGTAATTATTAATTATAAGCATAACTAACTATAGTTAAAGACAAAAGAGAATCGATGAACCCATGGTGAAAGAGAGAAAACATTAATGAAGAAGCTATATTGGTGTATACATTTATTTTCTTGAACTAATTAATCATAGTTTCAACCTTTCAAATAATAACCAAGACAACAACAATAATAGCAATCTATTCATGAAATAGCAATATGATCATAATAATAATAATATAGGACTGATAATGTACAGCTGATTTGGATTTTCAAGATAGTTTTGGTGCTGCACTATTTGAAGTAGATGACCATATTCATTTTATATTCTAAATTTTTTTAATCATTAAAACCATCACAACACACCTATTCACTCATTCAACCAATCAACCAACATCTAATCTTTATGATTAATTCATTAATTTTTAGAGCAACTCAATTGGAGTTGTCATATTAATTTGACTATAAAAATGGTGATCATACCTATCGAAGCAACAGAGTGATAAGAAATCGGTTAAGGAGACTTACAGATCATTAGAAAGATGAATCCGATCAAAATATTAAGAATATACAATCCACAATCAATTCAAACTTCATCCGATATTTTGAAGAACACCCTTTGACACCAACCAATTTCACCTATTAAACTATTCAATAGCGTAATAATAAAAATGTAAACAACGAGGATTACAATTAATTAATAATTATAAATAAACTATCTAAATAATTTTTGTTTATTTTTATTTGAGAAAGTATTCATATTCAATAATGCTTGTCTAAAAAAAATAATTTATAACTCCAATTTTACTATTAGTTTAATATTAAGATACATCTAAGGCATATATAATTATATAATTTAATTCTATATTAAAAACAAGTAGAAACAAACATCTTTTTTCAATTATAAAATAAATAAATATTGATATTATTATTACTATTGATAAAATGTTAACAATTTTGTTGGTTCGAAAGTAACATCCAAAACAAAGTCAATTTTTACAGAGATATAAATTTTCTTTAAAACTAACAAAAATACTTCTTTTTTTTACACTTTTGGTAGAAACTCAGAGATGTAATTTTAGATTTTCTTTTTCTAAAAAAGATAACAAATTTAATGAATAAAAAAAAAAAACGAAAATTTAAATATCTGTTTTTGGATTTATCAATCTTCTTTTTTATTTTTTTGTTATTTTTTAATTAAATAATTAAGAATGTTAGATAAAAAGATATATGATGTAATTGTTGTTGGTGCAGGATCATCTGGACTCTACGCATCGTACTTGATGCGTAAGATGGGATTAACCGTTGTAACTTTGGAGGCACATCATTTTGTGGGTGGTCGTACTCGTGTCAACACTAGCTTTACACAATGGCCAGTCGAGTTGGGTGGTGAGATGATTCACGGTGGTGATACTCTCTACTACGATCTATGCAAGCACTATGGCTGGGAGGTATTTGAAGTGTTTTCAGAGACATTGTTTGCAGAGAACGATAGAAACACCACACATTTCTATTTAGGAAGAGAAAGAAAGATGTTTACACAAGACCAAGTCGATGATGATATGATGAAACTCTTTAGTGAGTTGAATGATCTTCCTGAAATCAAACCAATGCCACCAAAGGATCTTAATCTCTTACAACATCTTACAAACAAAAAAGTACCATTCAGAGTGATCGGTTTGGCAGATGCAGTATACTCAAAGACATGGGGAACTGATTTAGATAGAATTGGTGTTAGAGTAAATATTTAATTTATTAAAAAAGAAAAGATTAAATCTTACTAATATATAATTAAATTTTATGGTGATAGCAATCGATTATCGAGGATAACAAAGCACATCAAATTCCAAAGAATTTCAAATTAGTTAAATCATCAAAGGTAATGATTGATTACTTTGCCAAAGATTTGGAAATAAAGACAAATTGGAGAGTCAGAAACATCGATTACTCTCTAAAGGATATGTGCAACGTCACCTCTTATGAAGGTGAACAACTTATCGGTAAAAAGGTTCTAATTACAGTACCACTCTCTATCTTGAAGGATGGTGACATTCAATTCAACCCAGAGCTACCAGATGAGAAACGTGAAGCCATCAAAGTAATGCAAATGGATGGTGGAATGAAGATTCTATTAAAGTTCAACAAAAAGTTTTGGTCGTCAAAGGTAGAGTTGGTTCTCTGTGCAGACAGTCCAGTACCTCAGATTTGGATGGATGGTGCACCTTGCCGTACCGTACCAAAGGAAACCAATCCAGAGTTTGTAACAGTCGGTTTCATCACTGGTGACCAAGCAAAGTCTATTTCATCTTTACCGGAAAAGAAAGCAGTGAGAACATTCTTGGATCAGTTGGATGCAATGTTTGGAACAACTGAATGTTGGACACCAGCATCCAATGCTTATATCGGTCATTTCATCCATGATTGGCAAAAAGATCCATTTGTACGTGGTGCATATTCATTCCCATGCGTTATTCCAGCTGATTCTCCAATCGAGCAAAGTCCAAATGCTATATTATCAAAAGTAAGCTAAAATATTTAAACATGAACTATTTAAATTTAAATTAATACAAAAATCTTTTTTTTTTTTTTCTAGAAAATTAATAATAAGCTATTCTTTGCTGGTGAAGCAACAGCAACTCAATATGAATTGGCAACTATAAACGGTGCATTACAAAGTGGTAAGAGAGCATCCGAAGAGATTCAAGAATCATTTAGATCGATGAATAACTCAAAATTATAAATTTTTTTAAAAACAAAAAACACATTTAATTTTTTTTTTGATTTAATAATAAATAAAAATAATGTTTATTTAATGATCACACATAAAAATACTATTAACATTTCAATATTATAATATTAACTAGTTGATTTATATCATAAATATAAAATAAAATAAAAGGATTGTAGGTATTCTTTACTTTTTTTGGTTATCCAAATTAAAAACACACCAACACAATAATAATATAAACACCATTATCCAATCAATTCCAAGTAATTCGTATTACCAACAGGATAATCTCATATAATCAGCAACCTAAACTTTCCAACAACAAGATAGATCTAAACTCACACTACTGATAGAAATATACAATAACACACAGCATAGCACAACACACACACACACACTTTGCAAAACAATCAATCAACAACATCAACCAACAATAAACATACAAACAATCAAATTAACAATATTATTAACGATATATATTATTTTTTTTGTTTTGTTTTTGTTTATTTTTTTTAAAAAAAAAAAAAAAGAAATTGTTATTCATATTCAATATATTGCTAAATTACAAAGGTTAGCTCAGCTAGCAGTTCACAAAAATATTGTTGCATTCATTGGACCATTTTATAACAATCACGTCACCAACATCAATAACATCTTACATATTGAGCAGTTTATTTATTAGTGTATTTATTAAATTCATAACAGTAGATCAAACCTCATTTCTCTCGTACCACACCTTTAGATTTCTTTATTATCTCTTTTGAATAGATTGTTTAATTTAGAAGAACAATATAGTTTAACAAAAACTAAATAGTTTTATCAATTCTACAATAATAATATTAATATAATAGTAGTATGAGCTATTATTATTTTAATTATCTAGTTGTGCCTATCAATGTCAATATTCACCAATAGATAAATATACATCATATAATCTATTGTTTTTTATAACACAACAACAAAGAAAGCGAGAGAGAATGGACAAGTACACAAGAATAAAACAGATTGGTATGGGTTCCTATGGTGAGGTGTTTCTAGTTCGCAACAACAACGACAAGAAACAGTATGTCATGAAAAAGATATTTGTTAAGGATGACATTCGCACTGCCGACACTCTCATGGAAATCAAGTTGCTCAGTGAACTACGCCATCCAAACATTGTAGAATTCTACGAATCTTTTGAATACGAAAATCAATATATCTGTATCATCATGGCATACTGCGAAGGTGGTGATCTCTTCACTCTACTCAAAGAAAAGCGTAATCTAGATGAAAAAGTATGTTTATTATCAATATTGATCGACGACCGATATGTATTTAATGCTCATATCTATATTTTTATTATAATCATTATTTGTAGCAAATTATGGATTGGTTTGTACAGCTATCATTGGCATTACTCTATATGCATAAACGAAAGGTCATACACAGAGATCTAAAAACACAAAATATCTTTCTTACAAAGCGAAACATTATCAAAGTCGGTGACTTTGGTATCTCTAAAGTTTTAAACCATCAAGAAATGGCAAAGACTATTGTTGGTACACCTTTTTACATGAGTCCTGAATTATTTGAAAACAGACCGTAAGTACTTACTTTTTTTATAAGACCATCATCATCTTTATAGCAATTTAATTGTATTAATAATTTATTATAATTACGTATTTTTATTATAGTTACGATTTTAAAACAGATATATGGGCACTAGGTTGTTGTTTATATGAAATGATCATGTTGAAGCATGCTTTCGATGCAAAGGAAATGCCATCACTCATTATGAAGGTATTGAGTGGTGAACCTATTCCAATATCACCAATCTATTCAGAGAACATACGTAATCTCGTATCAATACTTTTAGAAAAGAATCCAGAGAAACGTCCGACCGTTGCCGAGGTTTTAAATATACCGTTTGTCAGACAGCATATGCTTAGTTCAAAATTCTTAAAGTAATTATAAAAGTTTAAAAATCGAAAACTTATATAACTTTATACTAACAACTTAACATATCATTCATTCATTTTCTAGGGAAAAACCTGTTCAGGTTTCGACATCAACTTCCTCAACTACCTCTACACCAACAACATCACCTACTATTTCACCGTCACTATCACCATCACTAGTTCCACGACACTCAAGCCTTTCAAATTTAAAGAACCCAATACAACTACTGAAGCATCACCAATCAAAACCAAGTAGTCAAAGTACGAATATACTGGAAATACCTCAGAATCAACCAACAACAAAATCAACTAAAATCGATAGAAATAGATTGGCAAACCAATTGGCCATCGAGGAGAGTAAAAACAAACAATTGTCAAGTCAATTATCTAGATATAATAATAATAATAATAATAATAATAATAATAATAATAATAATAATAATAATAATAATAATATTAATAATAATAATCTTATCAATTATAGTAGCAATAATAATCGGTTAAAAAATAATAATAACAACAACAATAATAGTAATAATTCAGTCAATTTTGATTATAAAAACAATATATCAAAAGATGAAGAATCAGATTGTTCCGATGAATCATTCACTGGTTTAGGTGACTATATTTCAGATACAGACTCGAGTGATAGCTGTGATCGTGATGAATTTGATACAGATTCCGATGACTCTGATCTAGATCAACAAGAAATCCCAACGAATGGCGAATCTGATGATAATGTGTATAATGGCTCCAAACTCACTAAAAATAGACCTCCATTCCATAGCAACATTGATCTCACCAGGCACTGTCTAAAGGGTAGCCATCCGAATTCAGGTAAAATTCAGCTAAACATGTCGAACAGCAACATTAGAATTTTAAAGGTTGACAGTGGCTCTACAACCAGACCTAGCACTGCAAGTTCAATTGATTACTCTCCCACCAAATCAAATATTATAAATAATAACAATATAAATAAGAGCAGTAACAATATAAAAGATATTAAAAACAATGATTATAATAACAATAACAATAACAACAATAACAACAATAACAGTAAACACAACGATATCAATCACAATTTAAAAAATGATATTACAGACATTCCACTTCCAACTCGTGAGAGAAGAGCATCATTAGGAAACAATGACCCTGGTCATGAGCCAAGAAAAACACCAACAGAATTCAGATCTTGGGATAGAAGGTTTATAAGATCTCCACTATTAGACCAAGATCCAACTACATCATCTTCTCGAACCTCATATAGTAGTTTAGATTTACATGGCAGTGCTAGTGGCTCTACTCATACCAGTACTTTTCTTAATACTAGTGGTGGCCACTTTGAACCAAAACACTCCAATCACATAGATCTACGCCCAAAAACATCAATACCAACGAGATCATCCACATCATCGATTCCAACAAGACCAACATCATCATCAACACCCACCTCTACAGTATCATCACCAGTTTTAACAACAGGCAACAGCAGCTCCAAACTAGAAAAATTCAGACATTTTTCATTTGATTCAGATAGATCTGATGCCATCAAAATATTACTTAATAACTCAAATAGTAATATCATTAGTAATAATAATAATAACAATAGTAATAGCAATAACAATCATAATAGTAATAGTAATAATAATAATAATAATAATAATAATAATAATAATAATAATAATAATAATAATAATAATAATAATAATAATAATAATAATAATCACATTTCACCTACTCTTAGAGCAATTAGTACAAGACTTGAAAATTCAAACTATACAAGTCAAAGTAGTCTGAATAACAGTCGAGAGACAGTCATTGGAAGTTTGAGTAGTAGTCGAGACAATGGTCATAGTAGTAGTTGCAGTAGTTTAAACAATAGTAGAGACAATAATCTATACAATTTGAAGCTATCAGTTAGTAGTCCGCAGTTACCTAGCTTTGAGAGGGATCAAGACGAAATTCTATCGAAAAGCAAGCAAGTTGCCAAGGAGTTTAGAGAGAGTTCAAAGAGAATGGAGTTGATTGCAGCCTCACTCGATGCATTGGATATCGATGAACGAGCAGAGAATGACTACTATGCTGTTTCTGGTTTGATCAATTCCTGTATCAACAGTACCAATAGTCCAGATTTCAAGTCAGTGCTCAATAACAGCGGTGGATGCGCCATCGGAAACAACACACTCAGTTTAAATACATCTGAAGAATTAAGCTCACGACCTAGATCAAGATCTGGCTCTGGCAGTAGTATTGGAAATAATTCAAGACCAAGCAGTGGACTGTCCACAGTTAACCAATCAAAATCTGTGACTGGAATCAACCCAAGTATGATGAGCAACGTCAATCTCGAACAACTGAAAGACTATTGTATTGCTGGTATTGGTATCACTGTCTTTCAGAAACTACTAGACAATCTAAAGAATGGTGGTACTAATGATGAATATATACTCGGTCCATCAAATAAGCATTATGTATCAATTGTAAATAAGATATTTGAATCATCTCATAATTGATGTATTGTAAAATTTACATAGTTTTGTCAACCCATTATATAATTTTTTTAACATACTATAAATAAACATTACATTAATTACAATGACAATCAATATTTTTTTATTCAATCATCACAACAGTTATTAATTTGTTAAATTTTTTTGTTCTAAAATCAGTTTGAAAAGTATGAAATTCTTTTTTGAAATGTTTTATTAATTTTTTATTTGTTTATAATTATTTTTACCATAGATATCTCATATTCATATAATTGATAATGAAATAAATAGTATTTGTAACACTGTAGCGCTATAATAATAGTAATAATAACCTAATGAACAATCAACATAGCTCAAAATTAAAATAAGAAGAAATGGAGCTACAAGATATATTAAGTTCACAAAAGACCATTGAAAGAGATGTAATGTTGGCTTCTGGAAAGCATATTGTAGTTACATCGAGTAAGTCGAGTAAACAATATAGTTTCAATGAGATACTCAGTTTCTTGAAGGAGAGAGCAAACGATGTCGACAAAGAAAACTATTGGATTGACTTTCAAGCATTGGATGAAATCGAGATATCTACCATCTGTACATTGCTAGGCATTCATCCTCTTACCAAAAGAGATATCATTCAACAAGGTAAGTTATCTTGTGTTTATTTATTTGTCGTACATTCATTTTTATTGATCTCTCTCGCTATTCAAACTACTCTAGAGACAAGAGAGAAGTGTGAATTCTTTTCAAAACATATATTTATTGTGGTGAATGAGATTCACTATGCAGAGGGTTCAAACAATCTAATCAGTGGAACTCTAAATATCATTCTTTTTCAAAACCTCTGTCTGACATTCCACTCGCAGACATTGCTATGCACTTCTCAAGTGGTTAGAATGATCAAGTATTCAGAGACCGGTGCACTTTCTTCGTCAGCTTGGGTCATCTATGCATTCTTAGAGTCGATCGTTGACCTCTATGTAGATCTAGTCGATAATATCATGTTGGAGACAGAGTCACTCGATGAACTAGTCTTGATTCTCAGCGGTATGAAACAAAATGAGTTATTCGCACGTATTGGTCTGGCTGGTAGAAGAGTAACCAATTTACACAGTGGTATATTTGAAAAGAGGTAATAATTACTTACATCGTTTCATTTCTAAAACTTGTATTAACTGTAATTCTTACATTTATTAATTTATTTTTAGTGAAATTATATCTGTATTATTAAGAGATGAAAAACTTATACCATCGACACTACGAGGTTATCTTAGAAATGTACAAGATAGTGTTGTTAGAATGACGCAAAAGCTAAATCTTTGTAGAAGATTACTTGGTGATCTTAATAATATGTATATGGCAAGAGTATCATTGGTATGATCATATAGAAAAAAAACACATATATTTATGAATATTAACAAATTTTGGTAATATATATAGGAGGTCAGTGATTCATCGAATATGATAAATATCAATATGAGAAAGTTCACTGCTATCAGTACTATTTTCATTCCATTGATTCTGGTTACCGGTATTTTTGGAATGAATGTAAAGTATCCAGGTATGATATCAGACACACCAGAGGACGATACATACAATCTCTTTATCGTCATAATGTCATTGATGGGTGGTTTTGCCATCATAGTTGCCGCTCTTTTTAGAAGAGCCGGTTGGCTTTAATTAACAAAACCAAAAAGTTGGTCAACTTGTTTAACAACAGATATCAAATAATTAAATAATAATAAAATCATAGAAATGAATCAAGCACTAGAACACATACTAGTGCTTGATTCATTTTACACCCAGTCACGATCGTTGGAAATTTGCCTTCTAATTTCTTGCAAAAAAAAATTCATTTTTGAACAGAATTTTATATGAAATTTTAAATATTTAAATTAATATAAAATTATTTGTTTGTAGATTTTATTTAAATAAATTAAAGAAAGATTTAACCAAAGTTTTATCATTCGATTGTGCTACATTGGTATTAGTTGTAGTTGAGGTATTTTGGGAAACAATTTGAGGTTGTGATGTAGAAGATTGTACATTATTCAAAATGTTGTTGGTGGTATTATTGATTTGAAGGTTTGCTTGATACAAAGAAATTGTTGGTTCTTCGTCTAGTGTCTTTCTTTTCTTTTTAGATACATCATAGGTTATTTTGATAATATCCCTGTCAAAATTTGATTCAATTAATAGGGTTAATGAGGTGATTTAAAAAAAAGTTGAACATACTGTGTATCTTGGGAAGTTATTATGGCACCCTTGCGCTTTTTATCTCTCATTACTATAGCCCGTTCTTTTTGGGTCATGGCTTGAGCATTTGCCGGAACAATCTCTTTGTTCCCGGCTATAGCGATTTCCTTTGAGATAGAGTTTTTCGGCTTTTTAAGAAATATTGGGTCGCAGTATTCATGTGCCATCCAATTGAACAAACCAGACTTAATCCAAGACATTCTTATATTGGATGAGTTGAATGATGATGACCAAGCATGATAAGCCAACATTTGGTAGTGTTTATCGTTCACTTTAAACTTTGGATTGTCCTTTAACCCATCTCTGAGCAAATTCGATAGGTGTTGAGAGAATGACGAAAATAGGACTAAATCCAAAGGCTGGAGAATGTGAGTCAGGTTTGATGGGAACGTCATTATGATAAGATTATTCTCATCACAAAGTTTTTGTTCGTCAAAGAAATAATTGGATATGTGATTGTCTACTAAAAGCAGCTTTTTATCTGTTTTCTTAAATTGTCCTAGAAGCCATTCGACATATTCTTTCTTTATCTCTTGCGTTACCTATAATATATAATAATACAATGCATCAATATTGATATATTAATAATAGCAATAGACAACTTTGGGTCAAGTTATAAAAAGTTACCAACTTACATATCCTGACTCATTAGCAATAATGACACCATAATTTGAATTTTGCATATGTTCCCATTTTACTCGTTTAGGAATCTGGAGAACGTTATAGGGTGGTAGAGCATGACCAGATGCTGTTATTGTTCCAATCATTGTAAAGTGTTGACTTTGGGATTGCTTGGGAAACCTAGGTTTGACTGTCTCAAATTTGTTTCCACCGTCAATAATGGCAACCTATATTTTTATAACAATTAGCTAAATCTTTCGAAAAAAAACTAATAAATAGAATATTAAATACCTTTTGATTCATTTTCGTGAATAAAACACCTTTCTCATCAGAGTTTATCACATTCTTTGGTTGAATTTGGTTTTCTACTATCACCTTATGAACACTCTGGATGAAACATTGAATATCGGCCTCTTTCTCCGCTTTTAATCTGGCTTCATCTTGAAACTTAACCTTTCTTAACTTTAAGATCGGATATTTTTGTTTCAGCTTTGTCCACCAGTCACCACCAGGGTGACGACTCATTGTATAGCCATACTTGTCATATACCTTTCCGACAACCCAATTTAGAATATTCTCTTTCGTTATCGGAATATTCTTGGTATTTGATTCTTCTACCATCTTTATCATCTCTAATTCTTCTGCTTCGGTGAGATATCTGCCTCTTGGCTTAAAGGAGAGGTTATTTTTTTTCTTGGATAGCTCACTTTCAGAAACTCCATACTTTTGAGAGAGCTCCTTTTGAGTAAAACCTGTATCGTTTTGAATTTCATTTATTGCTTCCATCAACCTCTCTTCTCTGCTCATTTGACTAATCCTCTGAGGTGTTACACGTATGATATTGCTTAATTCTTGTGTATCCTCCTATTAAAAGTGCTATATTAGCACCATCTTTTCTAAATAATAACATAATTTTTAAATAATGTTAAACTCGACATACCATTGCATTGATACATTCTATTTTAATATAACTTTGTTTATTTTTATCTTAAAATCTACAGATATTAATAACTTAGCTTCAAAAAAAAACCATATTAATTTTTTTAAAAATTTTCACAAATTTGTTCAGAAATGAGAAGGCAAATTTCCAACGATCGTGACTGGGTGTTAGAGAAGCCTATCTTTGCTAACACAAAAAGTCCAAAAAAAAAAAATCCATCTTACAAAATAATGTTTTTTGAAAAAATTTTAAATAAAAATAAAATTTGGCCGACCCGATGATTAGCAAAAAAGGGAATGATATGATGGGATATGGTATTGGGTATTACCTAATTTTTTTTTTAAATATAAATATTAATAGAGTGGTGATTTGTCAGTGGTAGTGATTCCCACACACATATATTAAACTAGAGTAAACCACTATGAACTCACATTGAAAAACATACATACAAATAATTTGACTTTCAAAAGAAAAAGTCAAACAATAAAAATAAGTAATTTGATTCTATATCAAATTTATATCATCATTTACTCCAGTATAATCAAATCATTATTTCTTCTTAAAAATAAAATAATAATAAAATAATGGACACTACTGAAAATTATTTGCAATGTAAATGGCATGTACATAAAGTAATGTATTAGAATCAATCTGGTGAACTCTTTTTTTTTTATTTTTCTAATAATAAACTTTTTATAAAGATTGGAGGTAGTATTCTAGGTACCTCAGAGAACTATTCAAAAGTTTTGGATGTCATTGAACACTCTAAAAATGATCATATTGCATTCGATAAGAGTATTGATTCTAGCAGTGCTTCTAGTGTGAGATCGGTTCAAGCTGTTGTTGTCTCTGCAATGGAAGGTGTAACCAATACACTGTTGAAATTAACACAATTAGCAAAGTCACGTGATAATTCCTACGAACAAGTTGCCGATCAACTTTATGACAAGTTGGTCAAGTGTTCGCGTGGTCTCATCAATGCTGAGCTATCAGCTGAATTCGAATCGGAACTCAAGGCAGATATCACAAAGATCAAAGAGGTGCTTCGTGCCATCGCAATCACACAGTCAATGTCCGAGGAAATGGAGGATCTCATCGTTGGACACGGTGAGGTTTGGTCGGCTCTCTTGCTGACACTCTACCTAAGAAGTAGAGGTATATCTACAAGCTGGTTGGATACTCGAAAAACTCTCTATGTTTCCAAAGGTGAATGTGGACCAGTCATTGATTGGAATCGTTCCGAAAGTGAATTGACTCAATGGATGAAGCTAAACTTTACTGTAGACTTGAAGATTCTAATCGTCACTGGATTCATTGCGTGTTCGCCCACCGGAATGCCAACAACACTTCAACGTAATGGATCGGACTACTCTGCTTCTATTTTCGGTGCATTATTAAAGTCCAAGCTCATTACCATTTGGAAGGATGTCGATGGTCTGTTTAGTGCTGACCCCAAGATAGTACCGAAAGCAACCATTCTCAAAGAAATCTCCTATCATGAGGTAAGCGAGTTGTCTTACTATGGTGCCAATATTCTTCATCCACATACAATGCCACCTGCCATTAAAAATAATATACCAATTAGAATTCGTAATTTCTTTAATCTATCAAATAATGGTTCTTTAATGTAAGTAACCATTTAATTAATAATTAATTTAACAATTATAGTATATTAATATATTTGTTTATAATATTTTAGTCATTCAGATTCATTCTTGGAATCAGAATCAATTTATAATGTTAAAGGATTCTCTGCTATTCGTAAAGTATCATTGATCAATGTTGAAGGAGCAGGTTTAGGTGTCAGTAATTTAGCACAACGTGTATTCCTAGCATTGAGAGATGTAAAGGTATCAGTACTTTTAATATCACAAGGATCTTCACAAAGCTCTATTTGTATAGCAATTCCTGAAAAAGATGGTGACATTGCATTAGAGGCAATCAAAAAAGAATTCTTTAATGAAATTAAATTCACTGGTCATATTCAAACTGTAATTATTGAATTGTTAAAAGAACTTAATAGAATTGTTGTAAAATATTAATTATTCTATTTTTCTAATTAAAATTAAGATTGAATTGGTAAAAGAATGTAGTATCATTGCTGCGGTAGGTGATAAGATGGTTAGTTCAATTGGTGTTGCTTCAAAGTTCTTCTCTGCTCTCACAAAGAGTGGTGTAAATATTAAAGCGATTGCACAAGGTTCATCGGAGAGAAATATTTCAGCCGTTTTGGTAGATAAAGATACACCTTTGGCATTGAGAGCGGTGCATTCCACTTTCTATAGACCTTTCGATCCTGATGTCATATCGATCGGTATCGTTGGACCAGGTTTGATAGGATCAGAACTAATAGAACAAATCAAGAGATCACTCAGCAACCCTACCTCTCAAAAGAAATTGAAACATCAATTCGTGATTCGTGCAATAACAAACTCTAAACGATCACTATTCTCTACAACAGGCATCGATTTAGGCAATTGGAAAGATCAACTTGATAATTCAAAAGAATGTAAGTTATTATTATTATTATTTAATTTTATGAGGTAATCTATAGATTCTTACTGTTTTTTTTTTTATTGTTTATAATAGTTTATGATTTAGATAAGATGGCAGAATTCCTATCAAATATTAATCCTAGACATTCTGTTATTATCGATTGCTCTGCAAACAAAGAAATACCAAAACTCTATAGTAAGTGGTTATCGAGAGGTGTTCATGTGATCACACCAAACAAAGTCGGCTTCTCAGGTACACAAGAGCTATACGATCAAATCCAATCGGCATCCAATAAGAATGCCTCACATCTATACTATGAGACAACAGTTGGTGGAGGTTTGCCAATCATTCATATGCTCCAACAGATGGTAGCCACTGGAGATCGTATCACAAAGATCGAGGGTATCTTCTCGGGTACTCTATCGTTCATCTTTAATAACTATGGTCGTGATAACTCGAAACGATTCTCTGATATTGTGCTCACCGCAAAACAGAATGGATATACCGAGCCTGACCCCAGAGACGACCTCAACGGACAAGACTTTGCACGCAAGATTATCATTCTTACTCGAGAGGTTCTCGGTAAGTTCAATGAATCCTCTGTCGATGTCGTCAGTCTCATTCCAAAAGACGATAACGATGCACTGAACGCCAACACTGAAGAATTCCTCTCGAAGCATCTCATCAAGCTAGACAGTCTCTACGACTCAAAGAGACAGAATGCCATCAAGAATAACTCTGTTTTGAGATACAGTGGTGTCATTGAATTCAACAAAGAGTGTAACGATGCCAAAGCATCAGTGTCACTCAGAGAATATCCAACAAGCCATCCCTTTGCAAACTTGACTGAATGTGATAACATCATTGCAATTTACAGTGATAGATACAACAAAACACCACTCGTAATTCAAGGTCCTGGTGCTGGTGCAACTGTTACTGCTGCTGGTATTTTTGGTGACTTGAATCGTCTATCATTAAGACTTGAACATGTTTAAATAAATTAAATATATAAAAATAAATGGTAATCTAAATTACAAAAAAAAAAAAAAAAAAAAACAAAAATAAAAATAAAAATAAATTATTTTTTAAAGATAAATTGAATAGTTATAAATAATGAGTGAAGATATCAATAATAATAATAACAATACAAATAAAGATGAAGAAATAGTAAATGATAATAAAAGTGATAATGATATAAACAAAAATAGTAGTTTATTTAAATCTAGAAATAAAAAAAGAGCAATAAGAAAGAAAGAACAGGATAATGGTGGTGTAGAGCACAATGATTCTGCACCTACTGAAAAGATAGATAATGAGAATGGTGATAGAGATGATGTAGATAATGAATTGTCACTATCCGATGTTATAGAAGCAACCAAAGAGAAACAAAAAATGAGATCAAAAGGAAAAGGTGTAAATGTTGGTGTTTTAGCGGAAGGTCCTCATTTAAAGACTCATCTAAGAGAGTTAGAGAATAAACTTGATGATTCATTTGTTACTCACTCTGAAAATAATAAAGTTAACATACATATGTAAGCTATAACAACAATATATATATTTATAATTTGTAATTGAATACTTAAAAATTTATTATTTATTCATTTTTTAGGGAAAAATATATTAATGAAGAAATGCAGAGAAGGAAACAAGAACAACTTTATAATAAGCAGGTTAATACAACAGTTCAACAATCATCAAAAGAAACAAATCAAGACATTGACAACAACAACAACAAAGATGTACTACAAGAAAAGATTGAAGAGCACAAGGCACTCCAACAATCACTCTACGAAACACCATCACATCTACTTGTAAATAAAGGTCGAAAGAAAGAAGAAGACAAAACCAATTGGGTAGCCGGTATATCGGAAGTCGTCTTACCAACTAAATATAAAATAAAGAATATTTTAGAAACAGAAGAGGCAAGAGAGAAGATAGACCAGTCTGGCAACACCAACACCACCACCACCAATAAGAATCAATCTAAACTACACAATAGATGTAAGTAATTACTTTTAATCATGATAGCTATAACAACGTTCATGCATCTTATACTAATGAATCATCATCAGATACAAATCAATATGAGAAATCAAGTGACAAAGCAACAGATGAAGAAGTCTATGAAAGATTCAAAAAGAAATTCAGATATTAATAAGAGTTAACTATTTTTTTTTTATTTTTTTTATTTTTTTTATAAATTGGTGATACAATGATCATATTCTTTAATAATAAAAAATTAATTGAGTCATCACAATAAAAATAAAGTTGACTCACCGATGTGGTTGTAATTACCCCCAATTTTTGGAATAATGACTCGTTTTTATCATAAAAAAGATCTTTAACAGCTTTGCACCCCCTCCTAAATATATATTGAACTGAAGTTGTAAAAATAATAATATTTTTGTTAATAAAAATAATTTTGATGGTAAAAAAGTGTTAAATATAAATGGACAATGCAAGTTGTCATTATAGTTGAGTTAACACACACACATTAATTACTTTTTTACATATATATAATTATAATCAATCAAAAATAATTAATTGATTAAACTTACAACAAAAAAAAAAACAAAAACACTGTTTTTTATTTTTATTTTTCAATTATTCATCAATCAATTTTATAATATATATAATACAATTATAATTGATCCATCATTGCATTTACCTCAAAATATTACATATTTTGTTGTTGTAGACTACTCTTGATTTGATTTATTTCAGTTGGTGAAATTTTTTAATATCAAAATCAATCAAATAATAAAAATAATTATTTTCACATTTATACTCATATTAATATATTTATTTAGCTACACAGTAGTATTTTTGTTTGTAGTAAAAACTTTGTAGAAATAGATTTTATAAATATAAATATATATACATAGAATATAAAATGGATTTGCAAGCTTTAAGAAGATTACAAGTTACACATAATCATATAATAGAGTCATCAGATACATCATCGTCGTCCGATGCGTTAGAATCAAACGATGTCTGTGGTATCATTGGATTCATTGGAAAGGAGGAAGCCATCAATTATTTGATTGAAGGTCTCTCTATTCTTGAAAACAGAGGATATGACTCTGCTGGTGTCACCACTATTTCACCATCAAACGAGTTGGTCACCTCTAAATACGCAAGTTTAAATACAACCAGTGATGCAATTTCAAGATTGAAATCAGTTACGCATGTAAATAATAATCAAATTTTTTAAATAGACAACACCATCAAAAATTAAATTTTTATTAATTTTATTTATTAATAGTTACATAAAGGACATGTCATTGGTATTGCACATACAAGATGGGCTACACATGGTGGAAAAACCGATAAGAACGCACATCCACACCACGACGATAAGAATAGAGTTGCTGTTGTACATAATGGTGTCATTGAAAATAGCTCAAACTTGCGTGAAATGCTTGAAAAGAAAGGTGTTGTATTCAGATCAGAGACTGATACTGAAGTTATTGCTCAACTTGTATGTATCTTTAAAGATTTAGTTCTTTATTACCATTTACTAACTTCTATATCTTTAAAAAAAACAATTAGATTGGTATGTTTTTAGATCAAGGATTCTCTACTATCGATGCTGTTAAAGAGACACAGAAACAATTACAAGGTACATGGGGTGTTGCTGTCGTTAGCAAAGAGGCACCAGATCAAATCATTGCACTAAAGAATGGTAGTCCTTTGTTGATTGGTATCGGAAAAGATAGAATGTTTATTGCGTCAGAGGCAGGTGCCTTTGCCCGTCACACTAAAGAGTTCATCTCAATGGAGAATGGTGAGATTGCTGTTTTGAGAGCTGACGGTCACTCACTTGATCTCTCTCGTATAGAGTTGGCTGCCCACGAGCAGATCCAGTTGTCACCAGAGCCATACCCTCATTGGACTATCAAGGAGATCATGGAGCAACCAATGTCCATCTCGAGAGCACTCAATTACGGTGGTCGTATCTTTGATGATTCACGTGTCAAACTTGGTGGTCTTGAAGAGGCTAAAGAGCTATTGCTACCAATCAAAAACTTGATTATCACTGGCTGCGGAACCAGTTACTTTGCTGGCCAACTCGGTGCAAAGATTATGAGATACCTAGGTGCATTCGACACTATCCAGGTTATCGATGCTGCAGAGGTTAGTCGTGACAGTCTGCCACACACCAATGCCGGTATCCTCATGATCTCGCAAAGCGGTGAAACAAAGGACGTTCATCGTGTCATGTCATTGGCAGGTGAGTGTAATACTCCATGCTTCTCAGTTGTCAATGCAGTAGGATCTCTGATTGCTCGTGGTGCAATCTGTGGTGTCTATTTGAATGCCGGTCGTGAACATGCAGTCGCCTCTACCAAGGCATTCACCTCTCAGGTCACAGTATTGTCATTGATTGCCAATTGGTTCGCACAACACCGTGGACTCGAAGAAGGAAAGCGTCGTCATCTCATTGAGTCATTGCATCGTCTACCAACCAATCTTGGAATGGCGCTGAGAGTGCGCGACCAATGCCACCGTATTGCACAGAAGCTCTACAAGAAGCAATCAATGTTTGTCTTGGGTAAGGGTCTCTCTGAGCCAATTGCATACGAAGGTGCACTCAAGATCAAGGAGATCACCTATATCCACGCTGAGGGATACAGTGGAGGTGCACTCAAACACGGTCCATTTGCATTGATCGAACAGGGTACACCAATCATTTTAATAGTTTTGGATGATGCACACGCCCAACTCATGAGAATTGCTGCAGAGGAAGTCAAAGCACGTGGTGCATACACAATCATCATCACCAACAATCAAACATTGGCAAAACACATTGCCGATGACACCATTCTCATCCCAAGCAACGGTGTACTAACCTCACTCTTGGCTGCCATCCCATTGCAATTGATTGCCTATGAAGTTGCATGTCTCAAAGGTATTGATCCAGATCGTCCAAAGAATTTGGCTAAAGCTGTAACAACTGATTGATTTAAAAAATTAAATTTAAATAAATTAAAATTAAAAAAAATAATTAAAAAAAAAAAAAAAAAAAAAAAATACTTGCTAAATTAAATTTTTAATCAATCAGATAGAATAGTGAACAACAATGAAATTATTATTTTCTATAACAATTTTATTTATAAGTTTGGTTTTTGTTGTTTTAGCAGTGGAGCAACATCCAACAGCAGTAAAAGATATAAATGTGGAGGAACTAAAAGTTAAACCATTGCAACCTGCACATGATGACCATGAAGCCAGAGTGAAACGTTTCTTGAACAACAAAGGAGGTGACCATTTCTCAAAACGAGTTGCCATCATAGGTGGTGGTATTGGTGGTTCCAGTTGTGCCTATTATCTTCATAATCAACTTGGTAGTAGATTGGAGATCACCGTTTTCGAAAGGGAAATGGTAGGTGGTAGAGCCAGAATCGTAGATATCGATGGTTCTCCTGCCGAATTGGGTGGAAGTATTATACATCCACTCAACGAAAACATCAACCAACTAGTAAAAGATTTGAAATTGGAAGTTTACTATCCAGAGAAAAATGGTACTATCTTTTCAATTTGGAATGGTGAAAAGATGATATTTCAACAAAGTACTCTTCATCATTTAGTAGATAAGTTTAAAATGATTTACAATTATTTATTAGATCCAATTAGATTCAAAAGTAATTAATTATCATACATATATATTTTTTAAAAAGAACTTGTTATTAATTATTCATTCATTTCTTATTAGATAGCAGAGATGTTGTTGTTAATAACTTTTTAAAAAGTTATAAATATGAAGAGCCATTCAATACGGTACAGGAATTCTTTGATAGAATAGATCTACCAGATATTACAAAGGTAACAGCTGAACAATTCTTTGTAACCAATGCAAGTATTTCGAAACCATTCATTGAGGAAATCCTTAGTGCTGCTATTCGTGTCAACTACAATCAAGATTATGATAAGATTGCTGCTTTCGCTGCAATGATTGCTCTTGTTGGTGCAGAGGATGATCTCTATGCAATCAAAGGTGGTAATTATTTACTTGCAAAGAAAATGTTAGAAGTAAGTAAATGTAGCAATAGTATTCAAAGCAACATTACTCTAAATATATCTATCTTTTTTTTTTACAAAGAAATCACAAAGTGCAACTATCAAACAAAGTGTAAAAACCATCAAAAAGGAGAAGGAATCATATAAAATCACTGCTGTCAATCAAGAAGGTACAGAGAAAGACTATGAATTTGATATTGTCATCTTGGCAACACCATTGGAATTAGCCAATATCAAGCTACAGGATATCGATAATGCTAATAATATTGTGCACAAAGAATACAAAACAGTGAATACTTATTTAATTGCTGCCACCTCATTAAATCCAACTTATTTTGGATTGCCACCAAACGAAAAGATACCAGAGCATGTCTTGACATCTCACAACAAATCAATTCCATTCTTTGTTGCATCAAGAAATCCAAGAGTAACTATCAATCAATCTTTTAATCATAATATATTTAATGATCATTCTAAAGTTATTTTATTTTTTAGGGTATTATTAAGGATGGTCGTACATTATTCAAGATGTTCTCAGAGAATAAACTTGATGAAGAACTATTCTCTAAATTGTTTAATAATCATACTACTCTTAAATTGTAGGTCTAACAACCAACTCATTATCTCAACACTTAATTAAAACTAACATCAAATTATTCAAAATAGACATGCATGGAAAGCTTATCCTGTTTTAACACCAACATCTAAATTCCCACCTATTAAGATCGACAATAACCTGTATTATATTAATGCATTCGAACATGCTGTATCTACAATGGAAACAGAAACTATTGCAAGCAAGAATGTAGCTAGATTAATCATTAAATCTCTATCTAAATGATAAACTAAATAAAACATCGTTTTTTTTTTTTGTAGTTATAAAATAATATTATTTTGTTGTTTGTTTGTTTGTTTGTTTGTTTGTTCTGTAGTTTATTAAGTATGTACACCTCTGCCTCTACCAACACTTCCATCGCCTCTACCACGACCTCTATATTCACCTCTACCTCTACCAACACTTCCATCGCCTCTACCACGGCTAGAGCTACCGTCACCTCTACCTCTTCCACCACTGCCATCACCTCTTCCTCTTCCACGACCTCTGGATGATGAATCACCTCTACCTGCTGATGATGCTGGTTGATGTTGTTTTACTACTTGTTCTTCTTCAACAACCATATCGATAATCTATAATAAGTATTATTTAAAATGTTAGCAACATTGCGGTTCACTAAATATTAAGATCGATTCAACACATACTTCATCTGGTACGGATATATATTTAATAGTATTTCCTCTTATATAACAACTCTGAAGTTTCCAAAACTTATCACTATCCTGTTATTTTTATTTTTAAAGAGATTGTTTGATTAGTTATACTATCACTAAAGTGTAGGTACTTGTTCATCTTACTTTTGAAGTTCTAATAACATTCTTTAAATTTATATTCATCCAATTATCACAATTCACCAGGTAGCCATTAAATGTTTCACCATTCTTTAATTCGACCATCTAAAAAAAAATAAATCGATTAATGATGAGGTTAGTATGTTTGGTTGATAGTAATGAATAATTATATATTTACAATCTGATGGCCTTGTCCAGTACGTAGTAAGGATAGAGGTAGCTATATATTAATTGATAAAGTTAGTATTATAATACGATATCATTAAACAATCTATAATTACCATTTTTTTAATAAAGTTATTTATAAATTAATTTTTTAATGATCTTAATGATCCTACACCTTTTTTCGATCATTGCAAAAATTCTTTAAAAATTTTCAGTTTTTTTTTATTTTTATTTTTTTCATTTTAATGCAATCATCATAGAAATTCAAAAAAAAAGGAATATGAATATGTTTGATTGATAAATTTAGTTAATGTTTATTTAATAATTGTAGAGATCTAATAGAGTTTGGATATCTTTCGATTAATGCATTCTTATAATTGATTATTTGTTCAGTTGGTATAGAAATATTATTAAGTATCCATTCCAATGTTTCATGATAATCATTTACGAGAATATTATCGATAAAGCCTTCTATGTCTCCAAACTCTAACGTTTGTTTACATTCGGTTCTATTTTTCATTAACCAAAGAGCAATTTTGATTTCACCATTTTTAATTGCTAATGGCAGTACGCCACTTGTGCAACCTTCGGTTCGATTTAAATGGAGGTACTCTAAAACATCCATGTGTCCTTCCGTTATAGCATTATCCATCGCTTGCGTTGAACATCCTTCACTTCTATTCTCGGTTAGGAATTTGATAACATTTAGATCACCATTGTATGCTGCTTGATCCATATCATTAGGTGTACAACCAAATGTAGTATTTTCGTGAAGGTATTTTAGGCATTCCAAGTGACCACGTACCACTGCTGTACTCATAGCATCATCCTGTTGGCCAAAGGAATGATTATTCTCAATCATCCATCTAACAACGTTGATATGGTTATCAGATACAGCGTTTGTCAATGCCATAGATGAAGCTCTTGATGTGCAATTTTCGTAAAGCAATTGAACAGTTTCCAAATGACCTTGGCCGATTGCTCCATCCACCATTTCTTCATTGCAAGTCAGTGTCGTATTCTTAAATAACCACTTAACCATCTCGGTATGTCCATTAAATGTGGCCCACTCCATTACTTGACTTGTTAGTTCACAGTTTGTTTGTTGTTGGACCCATACAAGCATTTCCAGATTACCCTTGGCAGCTATATATTCAATGACTTGGTCAGAGTAAACACAGTTATGTTGAAATAATAATTTGAATATTTCAAATTGATTGTAGTTTGCTGCACTTTCCAAGAGATTGGTGTCATTTCGATTGAGAAGTCCGATGTGTTCTTCGAGAAGATAATGGAGTACCTTAATATTTCCGTTGTAGATTGCATATAGGAACATATTGCTTTTGCTAAAATCTTTTTCTCTATTGTCTTTTAACAATTTAATCAATTCCACAGTACCGTACTGGGCTGCTGTATTGAATACATTAGATTGTTGGCTTCTATCAATTCCATGAGTGTCTACCAAATCAATAAAGAACTTCAAGGTCTCCATGTCACCGGATTTTGGAGCAATCACCATAGCGCTATAATAATCCCAATAGTGTTCGGGGAAAGTGGCCAAAAGATATTGAGCAACATCGATTCTTCCATTTTCAGAGCACTGTATCAACATACTATCGAGTGTTGCTTCTCGAAGCTTGCCAATTCTATCCTGACCAACCTTTGACCCGACTAGTCTAAAGTGATTCATTAGATATTCTACCATCTCTAAGCTTCCACCGATTATGGCATGCTCCAAAACCAATGATTCATCAAGTCTACCTTTACTATTGATATTGAATTCAGTGGAGTATTCATCTCTAGTTACACCATTGTACTTAACACTGTCACTCTCCAAATACGACTTTAAATGATCCAATAGATTATGTGCGCACATCACATATGGATTCTTTATAACTTCGTTCCACTCGAATGATTTACCACCTTTATTTGTTGATAAAATCGAAACATTCTCAAATATCTTTTGATTTACTACTCTATTTAATAGTACCTCTGAAAATAATTTATCCATAGTTTTATAATTATGATTAGAATGACCATGGTTTGGTTTATTTAAATACTTTAGTATTTTCAAAAAATCTTTAGTTTTAGTTGGAATTTCTATGATTCATTTTAAAAAGATCAAAGAAAAACTCAATACCATGGACAATTATTTTAGTTTTTAAAGATTCCGAGGTTACCAGTTCATTATTTTAATAGATTTTTAACAAAATTTAAAAATGAAGAAAAAAGTAACAATTATAAACAGACTCTTTTTATTTAAATATCAAAATATAATTATTGTTTTTTTTTTTTGCCGAGTTCAAATAAATCATTTATATATTTTTTGTTATTAAAATATAAATAATAATTATGGTGGAAAAAAGATCACAATTACTTCATTTTACCTTTTTTTGATTTGATTTTAAAAATTCAAAAACGTTTTTGAAAATTTTTTAAAGAAAATAAGAATTTTTTTTATTGCATTTTTATATATTTATTAATTTATAAGGTCATTGTGTGTGTGTAATGTCTAGACAACCTGCTCCAACACAAGAAGAGCTCAGAGAGTTATTATCAGCAGGTAGAGGTCTCTATGAATTGTTGAACGTCTCTGAAAATGCCGATACCAAAGAAATAACAAACAGCTACAGAAAGTTGGCACTTAAATATCATCCCGACAAGAACAATGGTAAAACTCTACCACAGATGTTGGATATCAACAAAGCTCATACCATTCTTTCGAATCCTAGAATGCGTTATCTATACGACAATTATTCAGTGACAGAGGAAGGTGTTCATAGAAACGACGATTTCAACTCACCCTTTGGTTTCCACACCTACGACTACAGCAGAGGTGGCGGTGGTCAATCCGGTATTCTCTCACAGGAGGATTTCGTTGAGCTCATCAATGCCAGTATTGCACTAGGTATTCAGCTCGTGGCGACACCTCTAAGAAATATAGCAATCTTCACACAAACCAATGTCGTTGGTGTACTCAGTGGTTACCAGGCATTCAAACGGCTATACAACACCCAGGGAATACGTGGATTGTGGCGTGGATCAATCACACAGCACGCACTCAGTTTCATTGGTAACAAAGTCAGTCGGTTCATGACAGGCTTTGTGATGCTACCCATCAAAGAATCCTACCAGCATCCGCTACTCAAGAGTGTAGTCAGTTCATTCTTTGAGTATCCGTTCGAGCTTATCTTGACTATATACATCGTACGACAAGAGTTTGATTCTATCTTTGAAATATTCAATCATCTGATAGAAGCTCGTGGCACCAACTCACTTTGGGTCGGATTCAGCTTGCACATGACACTCAATATATTGGGATCACAGCTCGATCTCCAACTAGCACGTCTCAAAGAATACTCATTCGAACAATACACACGTAATCCACAATCAAAGACCTGGCGATACATCAACTTTATACTATCGAGTACCTTCTGTAACACACTGATCTACTCATCGATCATGACACCATTAACAGGACTCTGTTACCAACGACAACTACAATCACTACTACGAGTCAAAGAACGACAAACCACTTTACAACTACTCAAACGAAACTGGACCAACGGAGGACTAAGCAGGGTCTACGCTGGATTAATACCACTCACTTGTTATTTAATTATGATGGATAATAATTATGTATAAATTCGAAAATAAAAATCAAGATCACAGTATATCTCTGTTTAGTTATTCAATTTCAAATAATAGATTGTAGCTTTTGTCATTATAAGTTGATCTGTCTGTTCTTAGTAGATCGTATTATATATTCTATTTTATTAATTTTTTTTTTTTTTGCTAATCAATGTTGACGATAAAAAAGAATCATTAATCTTTCACTGTTACCGAAATTTACATTAAAGATTTTCATGTGTTTTTTTTTTTTTTTTTTTTGCATAATTGCTAATCATTAGATCATCTTTTATCTATTTACTTTTATTTTTTTTCACAAATATATAGATTGAATGTTTATTAGAGTAATATATCGTAATAATCACTATTTGTATAAATAATAGAAAAAAAATGAATGGAGCTTCTAAACAAACTCCAAAACTTTTTGATGCTCTTAAAAAGACTAAACTATGGAAATATGTAGTTTATAGATCCACTTTAAAAAAGTAGGTATCATTTTAACTTTTCTTTTTAATAATAATTATGAGTTATGATATTTGAATGTTTGGTTTGATTGACTAATTCGTAAAACTATCAAAATAATAGAATGTATAGATTAGAGAATTGGAGTGATAATAATAATGTTACTCTATTCTTCAATGGTGATGAGACATTTCAATCGATGTGGGAGAGTATAGAAAATGTATGTTCATTGATAATAATAATAATAATAATACAACAACTATACTTATTTTTGTTTTTTTTTGTTTAAATGCATAGGCAAAAGAATCTATAAATATAGAAACTTATACGATAGAACCAGATAGGGTAGGTCTAAAGACAATAGAATTGTTGACAGCAGCACAAAGAAGAGGTTGTAAAGTAAAGTTTGTTTATGATGCTATTGGTAGTTCTTCAATCTCTGATTCAATGCTGGACGAATTACGAGCAAGTGGTGCAAGTATGTTATTGAGCCAACACCATTCGATATCTAATAGATTACTTACTAACAATATTCTTTGTTACTACAAATGCTAGCATTAATTTGTTTCAATCCATTCTTCTCCAAGAATTTTCCTATCAATTTCAGAAATCATAGAAAGATGATGGTCGTAGATGATAAGGTTGGCTATTGCGGTGGAATGAACATCAGTGAGAAATATGCTGGTGAACTATTGGGGAATAGCTACTTTAGAGATACGCACGTCAAGATTGAAGGTCCTGCTGTTAAAGATCTACTCGACGCATTCTACAGCAAAAAGAAAGATAAAAAGTCACTCTTTTCATATATACCTTCAACATCCAACTTTTCAAGTAGCATCACACCTAACGAGGCTGAAACACCATTGCCAAACACCAAACCCAACACTACCAGCGCATCATCTACAAAAGACAATTCAAACAGTTTAGATAAAACTGTAATTGGAAGTAGTATTACAACTAATAATAGTATCGACAACAGTATTACAGCATACGAAAAGTCTATATATCATTATTATTTAAATAATAGTTATAGTTTTGGAATTAATAGAATTAATAGTAATAATAATAATAGTAGTAGTAATAGTTTGGGATCTGCATGTTTAGCTGCTGGTGAAGAGATTGTTTCTGATTTATCATCATCATCATCATCATCATCACCATCACCATCACCTGGTAGAAATGACTCTTCACTACCTAATAATGTAAAAGCCAATTCTAGAGCAATCATGTTGGTCGATGAATCGATAAAGGACAGGATACTATATGATAGATATTCAGAGTATTTCAACGACTTTAATAACGAAGAGGACGAATGGGAGGATGATAACGAAGATGACGATGAAGATGATCTTGAACACGACGAAGATGACGATCTGGAACGAGAGCTTGCTTTACTCAACCATAACTCTGAAAAGAAACGTGTCGATAAAGTATCGATTCAAGTGTTGGAGTCAAATTTGATGCGAGGTAAACGTAATCTTCAGAGAGGTCTCAGTATTTTGCTAAAGAACAGTAAAAGTCAATGTTTTATTACCACTCCATACTTTTTACCACCAAGACTACTGCGTAAGGCCATCATTGACACTGCTGCACGAGGAATCGAAGTAAAGATAATCACTGCTGGTAAATCTGATGTTCCATGGGTTAGAATGGCTGGACAACATATATATAGACCATTTTTACAGTAAGTTAAAAATATATATAGATATTTTATATTGCTATAACAATATTAATTTTTTTTTTGCAAATAGAAATGGAGTTAGAATTTTCGAAATGACAAAAACAACATTACATTCAAAGACAATTACTATTGATGGTAAATATAATACGATCGGATCATATAATTTCGATCATTGGAGCCAAAGAAACCTTGAGGTCTGTGTATCCATCGCCGATGAAAGAGTGGCCAAATATATTGAAAATCAGTTCCACGAAGATCTAAAATTGTCTGAGGAAATCACAATCGACTATCTCAATAATAGAAGTTTATTCAACAAGATCTACAGTTTTTTGGCTTATCAATTTGGAAGAATCGTTCGACCAACTGCAATTAAATAATTAAAATAAATATATATAAAAGTTTTATTTTTTTTATCTCTTTACATAGCAAAGTTCAATTTTTTTTATTTATTTATAATTGATAGTTAGCATTGGAATTAACAATTTAACTTTCATCTTTTAATTAAAAGCAGAAAGCAATGCTTGGTCTGCACTTGCTTTCGATACCCACTCAGTCTTTGAGATTCCATTCTCTGGACCAGATCTTTCCATGGAAGCGATAAGGGAATCTATACGGTCATTAATGTCTTGACCACCAATGATTCTAATGGTAGTATTCATTACTTCAATCACATTCTTTAACTCCTCGGTGCTTAAATAACCACTATTATCATCGTCGAATGTCTCAAACAAGAATTCCAATTTTCTATTGGTATCGGTTTTGGTCAACAAGAAAATACAACTTGAAAACTCTTTAAATGAAAAAAGATTATTCTAAGAATAATATATATTAATATTTAAAATATCTATAATATATAAACTTTTTACTTACTTTGTCACTATCAAATGAATCAAAAATACTTTGTAAAGTTGCATCATCACATTCTTGAATTGAGGCACGGAAGAAGGTCTTAAATTGGTCTAAAGTCAATCCAGTCTTGTTGGTGTCAGCATTTCTGAATTCTTGAATGATTTTTGGAGTATTTTCTGTAGTCAATGAAATTGATTTTAATTGTTCATTGTTTAAAGTAGAGAGAGAGGAACCCATTGTTAAAATTTTGTTTTTAAATATAATATTTGTTTATGAATTTATTATTGAAATATTTTTCTATTTATAGTTTTAAATAATATATTTTTATTTTGATAACTAAATATCCAAATGAAATTGAATCACATTTTTTTGTGTAATTGCAGATGAACAGTTTTGTGATGTCCTGTTGGTTTGACACATGTCAAACTTTTTTATTTTAAAAAACATTTTTTTCATGCCTGGTTGAATTTTCAATTTATAAATAATCTTGTTGTCTTCAGAACTCTATTAGATTTGTAGCATTGTGATGATCTACACAATAATAAACATGTTCATTTATATCGAGGCGAAAATAACCGAGATTTAAAAATAATATCTTTATTTCTTTAATTTAACACCAATGCCACTTTCACTTGATATTTTGACATCTCCATTGTTTACAATTGAGAAACCACCATTAAATAACTGGGATTCATCAGTAATAAGCAAACCACCATCCAAATCACCACCATAATCAGAGACTGACGCTAAAATGTGTGCAGCTGCATTGCAATTCAAAGAGGATCCAACCATTGAACCGATCCAAACCAGTAATCCATTTTCTTTAGCTTTTTCAATTGCTAGTAGAGCTTCTCTTATTCCTCCTGTTTTTTCTAATTTAATATTAACACCATGACAATAATTCTTTATTTTTGATTCGTTTATTGTGTAAATTAGTAAATTATTTATTTTTTTGTTATATTTATTTATACTTACAGTTAATTGATCAATATCTTTTACAGTACAAACAGATTCATCTGCAAAAATAAGTAATCCTTCTTTATGATATTGATCTTTAATTGATTTCCATTTCAATTGCTCTGTTTCTGGAAGAGTTTTAATGGTTTCAACAGGAAACGGTTGCTCAACCATAGATATTAACTGGGATAATGTGGAAAGATGTGGAAGAAATTCAATTGCAATTTCTGGGGACCAAGAGGAATTGGCATCAATGGAAATCTTTGAGAGAGTCTTTCCGATTTGTTTGGTGTGTTCCATTACCATTTCGATCATTTCTAGACCTCTCTTTATATCTGAATCCAACTTTATTTTGATGAATGATGTATATTTCAATCCGAATTCCAAACTATCGATAACCTGTTCTTTGGTGGGACACAGTGAAACTGTATAATAAAATGGTTTCAATTCTTTACATTCAAGCGATGCCATTTCATAAATCTATAGTATAATCAAAAGTTAGTTTCTTATGATATGTTAAAGTAAAATTTTAAATATGTATATATTTACAGGTTGGTTTAGATGTTTTCCCCAACAATCTAATATAGCCATTTCCAAACAACATCTTGAGGCATATGAATAGTCGAATTTATTCGACTCACAATTATCAAGCTTTTCCAATAGATAATAAAAAACTGAATTATTATTACCTATTATTGGATGATAAATAAGAATTTTTTTTAATATTTGATTGTTTGTTCTTTCTTTTCAACTTACTTTGATCTAGAGATGGTCTAAGTTTGGAAAACAAATTGCTTGAAAGTTTATTAAATGGGTTATATTTTGTAGAATAGTTATCAACGGTTTTATCTAAAGATGCAACATATGAATTAAAATAAGATTGAATATCATCGAAATCAGCAAAGTAACAGAGTGGTTTCTTTGGTGGTACACCACATTCTCCGTATCCTAGAACACCATCTATTTCCAAAGTAATCAAAACATTATTTCTAACGGTGGTAACTGAATGAGCAGTTCTAGAATTATAGAATTTGAGAATGTTAGATCATGATAGGTAAAAATATATATTTGATCATCATTACCCAAAAGGATTTCTAAGATTAAGTGGATATTTATCTAATTTCAAGTTTATCACTTTTGACATAAACTGTAATTGTTTAGTTGTCGACATTTTGGAGTTGCGCTATTGATTGTCCACCAACCATCAACCATTTGATTTATAAAAGCCAAAAACCCATCTTAAGAATCGCTGTCAATTTCTTTTTTAAAAAAAATCTGTTTTTTTTTGATCCTTTTGACAAAAAAAATAAATAAAAAAAATATAAATCATTTTAAAACAAATAAAACCAAAACACATTTATTTATTACTAGCTCATAATAAATAATTAACATTTTCATCTGTTTTTTTTTGTTTTTCTTTTTTTTTGCAATCGATCTTCCCTCACCAATTATAAACATTTGTAGAATAGAGATATATATATAGATATAAAGAAATAGAATAAATCATAAATAATAATAACAATAACAATCAGTTGTAAATAATCTAGATAGTAATAAATAAATAAATATATAGTGTATATGATAATAATAATAGTATAATTTTGAGTAGATTAAATAAATGGCAGTATTTTGTGAAATCGATGATGTATTACACCAAATCAGATATAAAACACAGATATTCTATGAATCTTTAAAGAGAGACAGCATTGCAGAGCAATTGTACAATTTTTCCAATGACGACGCAACCAACGATCAGAGTATTCCATACAGTAAGAGTTTAGAGAAAGATTATAGTAGTTTGATCTACGTTGTAAATAAGACTCCTACCAACACCAGTGGAACACATTCACCTGTATCAATAACACTTTCACCTCAACAAACAAATAATAATAATAATACAACAAACAATACCACAAATAATAATAATAACAACACACAAACAAACTCGACAACATCAACCAATACAACAACTTCAGATGTATCATCAAATGCTGTAAAATCAACAACCAACTCTAGCTCGTCCAATGCATCAACTGCAAACTCACAGCCACCACAAGATGCTAATAAACCACAATGTAAAATAGTTACTTTCTCTGCTTCACAATCAAGTAAACCAAAAGATATTAAAAATCTAAATAATAATAATAATAATAACAATACTAATAATAATAATAAAAATACAACAAATAGTAATAACAATAACAACAATAATAATAATAATAATAATAATAATAATAATAATAATAATAATAATAATAATAATAATAATACTAATAATCAAGTACAACAACAACCACAAGCAAATGAACCAGTATTCTTATTTGTTAAAGAATCATTAACTAAATCGCAAACCAATCAAAACTCATCAGATTCATTATTAACAAAGTTAGTACGACCAAATGATACTGAGAAAGATCTATTTTCAGAATATGGCGAAGTTGTAAGTTGCATTGACTTTACTATTAAAGTATAAATCTCAATTAACACATTTTTTATTTCTTTTATTTTTATTATTATTATTTATTTATTTATTAGATTCCACCACCAGGTATGGGTATGTTATTATCAGTACATACCGGTGTAAGCATTGGTATGTTAAAGGTCAGAGTTATAGATAAAGCAACAGTCATTCAAACGATAGCAGCTACATTGAAGACCTATTTCTCACAGCAACAATCGACAAACTCACTGAGCAGCAGCGGCGGCAGTAACAGTAGTAGCTCCAGTCTTGGTAGTGCTTCACTGTTGTATCCAGACCCAAAGGCGTATTTCCTGAGAATTGCAGACGACGACGGTAGAATTGACGAGGATTATCCAACACTCGATCCAAATCAGATGATCTACAAGTTCAAAGAGGAGATCTTTGTGCTCTGCCTCAATCAGAAATACGAAGCAGAGAGACGTGCATCGTGGGGAGTACATCCAGCCAAGACAACAACGCTCTCACCCAACGATCACAAAGGACATATCCGAAGAGTCAGTGTTGGTACTTCCGACTCAATCTCTGTTGTTAAGATTACTCTACCCGATTCCAGTATCACCAAAGTTGCATATCAACCAGACATGAAGCTGAAGGATTTGCTGATCAACACCTGTAAGAAGAGAAAATTAAATTTTGCAGAACATCAATTCCAACTGGAGAATGGTTCGATCGTCGACCTAAGAGTGACTCTTGAACAACTTGGCACACTCGATATCATTCTTGTATCGACTTTAAGAAGGTCAATGTCAGGTGATGGTGCCATTCTGATGGGAGATGACACCTCTTCAGTCGATGATGAAATATTTTGGTATGATGCTCTCGCTTGGCAGTATAAAACATATGAAGTGGTTAAATATAAGAAATATGGCTCCAAACAAGAGAGAATACTAGGTGTCGATAAGGAACGTATCACAAACATGTTACCAAATCTTAAAAAAGAACAAGAAACAAAAAGAGTACGTTATAAATTTTATATATATATATATTAACTTTTAATCATATTTATTAATACTTTGTTTTTTTTTTTTTTGATTTTATCTAGCCAACAAGACTAATAAAAGATGTTTCCAAAGTTTCATTGTTGGACAAACCCAAACAATTTACTCTGGAGTATGCTGATGGTAAAACATATATATACGAAGCAAAATCTCAACATCTAGCTGCTGAAATAGTTGGCAAAATTCAATATCTATTAAAATCAACACACATATAAATAAATTATAAATGTAATTATTTGTATTAATAAATTTATATAACCACACTTGTGATTTATAAATAGAAAAAATATATAAAAATAAATTTAGATTGAACGACATTTATAAACACCCTTATAAAATATCTTTCTTTGTGAATACTAATAAATCAGAAACTTAAAAACTAAATTCTCTTATAATATCTTTTTTTCACAATGCAAGAAAATATTTCTAAACCTTTAGTTATTATTACCGGTGCTTCTACTGGTTTTGGATTGGAAACTGCAAAGTTATTTAATTCAAAAGGTTATCCAATGTTATTAATTTCAAGAAATATTGAAACTATTTATTTAAAGAATAATATTTCATTCTCAAACAGTATTGTTAAAAATGTAGACATTTCCAATTTTACTGATGTCCAGAATGCAATTTCCCAAGCTGAATCTATCTATGGAAAAGCCGATTTATTAGTAAATAATGCAGGAGTTTGTATTTTAAAAAAATAATAATTTTTTGATCAATCATTTTAATCTATTTAAAATAAAAAAAAGGTTATAATGTTAGGAAATATTTATTCTCAACCAATTGAAGAATGGCAAACAATGATAAATACCAATATAACTGGTACTATGAATTGTACAAATGCAGTCTTAAAAAATATGACTGAAAGAAAACATGGAACCATTATTAATGTTTCATCTATTTGTGGAAGATCCGGAGCTCCACAACACTCAATCTATTCAGCATCAAAAACATTTATAGATATGGTGACAGAACAAGTTAGACAAGAAGTTGCTAAAAGTAATGTTAGAGTAATGTTACTAGCTCCTGGTATTTCAGAAACCAATCTTTTAGATAGTTCCCAGGATATGGAGGCTGTAAACAATTTAACAAATTGGCGTGAAAGTCTAGGAGACAAAGTATTACTACCAATTGATATAGCACAATCTATCATGTACATGTATCAACTTCCTCAAAGTTTAACTATTAGAGAATTTGTAATTGCATCAACAAGCCAAGATAAATAAACAAACATAAATATAATTAATAAAAATACACTATTCATTTTATTTGTTTTTGCTCTTTAATTGTTTAATAGTGAAAGAATCTTTTTCGATGCCAATTGGAGAGGTTTGTTATTGGAGGAACCAAGGGATAGTAAAAATGGAATGATTCCAGCTTGTACCAAAGCTGGTCTATTTACTTCGTTTTGTGAGAGAACAAGTATTGTCTTGATGGCAAGTGTTCTCAACACTTCCTCTGATCTTCCAAGACAATTAATAATGAAATCAATCACACGATGACTCTCTCTGATGGTCGGTTGATTTACAGTGTCCATACAAAAGAATGAAATTGACCATAAAACTCTTTCAACTAGCTCTGCATTCATACTCTTTGAAATGCTATTAATTAGTGTTGAAAGAACATTCTTTTGATTAAATTTATCTCTACATTCATCTAATAATAAAAAAAATTATATTAATATTATACATATTCTAAATCTAATTTGTTTTTTATAAATCTTACTTGATGCAGTTAACCATGAAATGGCAGAGATTACTTGTTCTTTAACCATTTGGTTAAGTTCGCTGGATAGCAAATCATTGAGAATTGGAATAATATCACTATTACAAATGATACTTAAATATGTACCTCCAGTCTTAGAGATTGCCGATACCAACTGTAATATCTTAACCTTTGTACTAATATTGTTGACTCTTAAAAGAGATGTGATGATCTCTATAATATTAGTCTTTTGAATAATCGGAATGGAGGAAGCATGTTGTGAGAATAAAATCAAAGATTGAATACATCCAATCAAGATGGTGATATCAGTCTCTGAAATCGATACCTGTTGTACCAAGAATGGAATTACTTTTCTTGCTTTTAATCTAGATGGTTCTATAATTATAAATTAATAAATTAATAAAAGGAATTAATTAGATCCTAATAATTATTGTTGTTTCATACCATGTTCAATAATATGATTTAGTAATGTAAGTGCATATTTCAATATTTCAGTAGATTGATTTCTAATGAACAAAGACAATAGTTGATCGACTGCGTTGCATGGGGAGAGGTTGAATTGTTCGATGGCATCTACGTCACCTGCCAACAGTACATTAAGACATTTCAATACCAAAAGATTTTCTTCCTCGGATGAAGTACCCAACTGAGATGCAATCTGTGAGATACCATTCTCGGCGACAATCAACTTTCTAAACTCTGGTTGATTACCAATATTTGTAATGATCTTTAATGTATGAATTCTAAGTAATGTTGATGGTGAAACTAAACAATTCATTAACAATCCAAGAACACCTGCTTCTAATAATAAATCTTGACATATTTCTAAAAAAATAATAAAAAAAAAAAGTAAAGTTAATTTAAACCAAACCATACCTTTCTTTTTAAAAACTCTTTATAATAACAAACCATTTGTAATTAAACAACAAATGGCAAGTAATGCTCTCATAGCTAAACCTTGATTATTTGAATTCATCATTTCCAATAACATTTGAATACCACCCCATTCAATGAAGCTATATTGATTGATCTTGTCTAATAGTACTCTTGATGCTGCCCATACAGCTTGCATTTGCATGAATTCATTCTTTGATTGTAAAAGAACAAACAATACTTTTAGACCTCCAACTTCTCTTATCTCTTTCAAATTTTGTTCTATATTTAATATTTAATTAATAATTTATGATATTTTGTAAAAAAAAAATTTTGTTTTACATACCATCAGCAAGTGCAGTTAATAATTTTGTTGCAGACATTGCTATTCCAAGATTAGTAGAATTCATTAATCTAACAATATGAACTAAACCAGAGAGTTGAACGAATTGATTTGAAAGATCTTCATATACACAGAGCTGGCATAATACATTTAATGAGAGTTCGTTGATATCCTCGTTGTTAAATGCAAACGTCTTGATAAGATGTGGCATAATACTGGCTCTTACGAGATGTTGGATGTTTGCTTGATTGGAAGCAAGATTCTCAAGTGCCTTCAATGCCTTTGGAGTGAGTGATTCTTCTGGGAGCATAGAAATGATCTTATCTAATACTAGATTCATCTTCTTCTTGAGTTCACCTGTCTCTGAGAATTGGTGTTTGGTTGATGATAACGATGGTGTTGGTGGTTGTGATGCTGTTGGTGGTGTTATTGAGTTTGTGCGAATTGGTGGTACAACTGGGGCCGGCTTGTTTGGTACATTCAGTCTTGGCGAACCAGACAATGGTGACGATGACAATGGTGTAGTCTTTGGTGATGAAGACAATGGTCCAAGTTTTGGTGAGGAAAGAGGTGTTAGATTTGATATATTCTTGTTTGGAATACTCATTGGTTTGACATTGGGTGATCCAGTCGGTGTTGTATTTGGTGTGATAATTTGTGTGGTCGGTGTCGATACCTTGGAGTGCAAACTGAATAAACGTGGAATTGGTTGTCCGAGAATCTTGGTAATCGTTAAAAAGTTTGGACGTGCAGTGATATCTTGATGCCAACAAGCACGAATCAAACGGTCGAATACCGATGGTACGTCGAGTGTTAGTTCTGGACGGTATCCTTGTTTCAACATTGATACGATATCACTCGATCCATTGAATGGTTGTTTTCCACGTTGGAATATCTGCCAAACTATAATACCGAATGAATATTGATCGATGGTTTCATCGTGAGTTTCCTCCGATTCTTGCACTACCAATTCCGGTGCTGTGTAAGGTGTTACCTTCGATGGTTCAATCTTTTGGTCGTTAAACATTCCATAGTCACGGATGTGAATTACACCGGATTGGTCGATGAGGATATTCGATGGACTGAGAGTACCATGTTTGAATCCATGCTGATGAAGGAAACACATTGCCTTGGCAATGCCTAGCAATACATTACAGATAAACTCTTGGCTAAAATTGAATCTTGGTGTTGACAAAAGGGTTTCCAATGTGCAAGAATCAACGAATGGTGAGATCAAGTAACAGTCATTCTTATCGATATAACAACCTTTGATTGGAACTACATTCTCATGATTGAGATCCAACATCTTTGATACACGATCTTTGAATTGATTGATGTTGGTTGGCATTGTGTAGAGTTTCTTCAAAACAACTGGATCGTTCCAAGCGACACCCACAAATGATTCACCAAAGCTACCAGATCCCAATTTGGAACCTATTTGAATATCCGACTTTAATGCTTGCCATGGAATTTGAGATGGTTGACTGGTAGATGACTTTGGAGGGGCATCACCAATTGAAGAACGTAACTGCTCAAACTTCTGTACCAAATCTAGCAGTGTCAATTCTCTGGTGTTCTCTATTATCTTTTGTTGTTCATCCTCTGACTTATTGTACTCGTCAATCATCTCATTCAACTTCTTGGCTGCAGTGTTTATGTCATCGGATGGTTTGATCACTGGCATTGAAGTGATTTGAGATACCTCTGCTTCATCCTCAGACTCGGCCATTTGTACTGGAATAATGTTGGTTGTTGGAATATGATTAGAAACCTCTACCAAATTCTCCTCTGACAACGATGGAAGGATGGTCTGTGGATGAGATGGGGTTGCAGCAGTTGTTTGTTGTTCCTGTTGCTTTTGATTCTGTTGGGTCATCTCATTGGAAACATCGTGAATATCTTGAAGTGCCTTTTCAATCTCCATTGTAAACTTATTGATATCGAGTTCACCATCTGACTTTGGTGTACCTGGTTGTGGGGTATGTGGTTTCGATGAGTGATTGGAAGTTGGGGTGGAAGATACTCCTTGGATACCCTTTGACAATTGTTCTAGTTTCTTGGCTACGAAACCAGTTGGAGGTGGTGGTGATGGTGTGGCAGTTGCACGGTTGGTCAATGGTGAACTCGAACGACTGACTGATCCAGCAGGCTTGGTAAGTGGAGAAGCTGGACGTTTCGCTCCAAAATTAATTGGTCTGAATGAAGGTGATGACGATAGTGGTGTAGTAGTATTTGGTGAGACCGATCCAGAGTGATTCAGAGAACGTGAATCACTTGATAAAACAGGTGAAATAACCTTGATTTGATCACTTGTGCTTGCCATGATATCTTCTTCTGACATTCTAATGATGGGTGCAGTACTAATTGGTTGTGGTATCGGTGTTGGTGATGGTGATGTCGATGTCGATGTTGATGTTGAAACAGCTGTTTGAATGATCTCTGGAGAATCCAAAGTTTCATCTTCAATTAAAACTGGTGTGGCAACAGACACAACAGTCTCTGGAACTGGTTGTAATAGCTCTTCCTCCTCTTCGATTACATCATCAAGAGGAACGATAACAGCTGATGCTTTACTTGACTCCAAGATAGCATTGTCCTCAGGAATTAAATCGGCATTCAACGATCCATCGACAATCGCATTGTACAACGCATCAAGGTAGATCTTTCTGTCCAACATAAGACTGAAATCTAAATTCTCGGCTGGTGGTAACTCTTGTATCAATTGATTCAAGTAGTATTCCATCGATGGAAGTTGGACATCTAGATCTTCGTCGATCTTTCTTGAGGTGTCGGAACTAGCTGACGATTGGCGATCGGTGGAACGTGCCAGATGCGATCCAATCAAGAAACCAGTACCACCAGCACCACCGAGTGTATTTGGTCTTCTCTGAATAAATGTTGCTGTTGGTTTTGAAATCATTGGAATCGGTGGAATCGCTCCCGACGAGATATTTGGTTGTGATGCTTGCTGCACCAGTGGTGCAGGTGGTTGCTCTCTAACAAGTGGTTGATCTTTCTTCCAGAAACCTTCGGCTTCCAACTTGGATGCACGTAATTTCTCTTCCTTTGGAATGGCTACCCAATTAAAGTATTTCAACTTTGGGATTGCATTGACCATAAACAATCTGAACTCTGGAATCGATTTCTCAATTGGATTACCATCCAACGCCAAATACTCTAAAGTCTTTATCTTTCTCAAATGCTCTAAAAACTTAGTTGAAAATTGATCGATTGTTGTATAATCAATATTGTTATTTGCTAAATCCAATACTTCTAATGATTTTAATTTAGCCAATTCTTCAAATCCATCTTAAAAAAAAAAACAATTAGTAATCGTTTACAACAACAGTAGTTTGTATTTTAATTACCTTGCAATCTATTATTTGAAAAATCTATATTTATTAAATCTTTTTGGTCTGATAAATCTGGGACTGATGCCAATCTATTGTTTGCAACCGAAAAGTAAATCAACGAATTCAAACCCTTTAATGACACATCTACTATATTATTCTTATCTAAAATTAATCTTTTCAATTTACTTTGATGTCCAATCGATGAAACCTCTATCAAAGAATTTGATGTTAGATTTAATCTATAAAATTGTTTTAATGAGAGAATATCAATATTAAAGTTACATATGTAGATTCTAAAATATATATATTTACTCTTTTAAAACATTTGGACAACTTTTTAAAAATTCATCCGATTCTATATTATAACAACTATCGCTAAGATCTAAAAATATTGGGAATGATAATTTGGCAAAAAGATTTCTGGCGTCTTTTGTTGAAACCTCTGTGATTTTATCGGCACCTGTGATTGGTATTTTGGTTATAGCTCTTTCCTTTTGGGTGTTTGGTGATGCCGGTAGTTTATGAACATGCTTTGCGCTATTGATGTTTGTCATACTACCTGCCACTGAATTACTCCATATTTGTGACATTGTTTTGTCTTTGTTTTGTTTTTTTTTAAACTATAATACAACCTTTGAGATAATATAACAATAATTTTAATTAATATTCCTAGGAGTGTAGCTAATATATGTAAATGATTGGTGTATATAAAAATAATAATAATAATACAATAAAATAATAATAATTTTTTTTGTGCCAGTATGATATGAATAAATAGACAGACTTACTGATGATTTGATTGTTTTTTGATTTGTTTTTAATACAACTTACTGAATACTGTAAAATATATTTCGATTGTGGGTGTTGGGGAAGGTAAACACTAATAATTTGATATGAAAGATTTTCGAGTGGAGTGTTGAAAGTTGTAAAAATAAAAAAAATCTTTTTTATGTAACTACTGTTGAGATTTTTATCGATCTTGTGATTAATGAACTAATAACTTTGATAGTAGTTATTTAAAGATAAATAATATAATTTAGTACAAATAGTTTATTTGATTAATGAATAACCAAAGATGAGCTGGTTTGATATTTTATTTTGTGATATTTTATTTTATTTTTTTGAAGGTGAACAAACTATTAGTTTTGGTACAAACGTAAAAATCGATTTTTAGATATTTGATTTAAACTGATTCTTTTTAGTTTTTAAGATATTATTGGTTTAAGAGTGAGGGGGAAAAATCACAAAAATAACATAAAACTTTGGTGAAACAGTATTTTAAAAAACAAAGGGAAACATAGAATAGAAAAAAAAAAAAATAAATCGAGAGAAGAAATGAAAAAATAATTAAGCAAAATTTGTAAAAAGATCTTAGCAAATTGTTTGCAGCCTTTAGTCACCACCAAAATTTAAAAAAATTTAAAACCATTTGATGCCCATCAAACTCTGCAATACCAACCCAAAAACGTAATCAAATTTATAATAATTTAATAGATCTCATTTTTCAAAAAAAAAACTGATCAATTTTTTTGACTTTTTTTTAATTTTTAAAAAATAAAAAGAAATTTCATTATCTGTTCTAGATTTATTTTTGTCTAAATATTAAATTAATTTATAAATCTTCAAAGAAAAAAAATGTTTACCAAATTTGAATTTATTTTTTCTTTTTTTAAAATACCTAAATTGCATATTAGGTTTTTTATAGTGTTGATTTAGTATTAAATAGATGATTAGATTGAGTACTCACCTTAGGTAAGCTTCGATGGGCATGTTTATATGTAGATGAGATTGATGTTTATAAAAAAAGAAGAAAGTAAGAGGGCAAAACGTCGTATACTTCTTTATTGTGGTTCTACTTCTACATTGGTTAGGTTGCTTATCAAATGTCGAGCATCACATAATTTCCTTGTGAGGCAATATTATTAGTATTCTAGAAGAAAAAAAAAAAGTGGGCATTACTGAAACAAGTCAGAGTGTACTTCTAAATTAGTATACTGGTTGGTGTGGAGTTTTCTTTTTCAAAACATTTTTGTTTGTAAAGAAGTTCACTCGATATTAGTATGCAATGGTAATTATACATTGAAATGTTTTATTTTGTTTAAATTGATGGAATTGTTATTGAACAACAATAAAATTCGATATCAAAACCGAACCATTTCGGGACTTTAAAAGAAAAACTTTAGTTATATAGTATTAACAATGATGATGATCTTTTATTTTTCTATTGTTTTTTTATTTTGAAAGGTTAATTTAAAATCAGTGTATCACCATCACTTGAAATGGGTGTATCTGGTCATACATACCAGTACTAAACAAACCAACACATGAACAGTCTCCAAGTGGTAAATAAAATAATTTTTTAATTGCAAATTTTAATGCATTTTTTGTTTTTTTTTTTTAAAATGGTCACCTTTTAAAGGGTGTCTAATGTTTACTTGCAAATAAAATTGAAATTTTTTGAAATGATGTGCAAAAGTGGCAGAATGTTCTTTTAGGCAATTGCCTAGTTTGGATTATTTGGTAATGAGAATTAAATTAAATTCTATGTCTTTATAGGAATTATTTCATTCTAAATTTATAATATTAAATAAAAATAAAAATTATATATAATAATTTAATTATCCAAAATAAAAGAAGGGTGTCACTTCACTAACAATTTAAATTGGTTCAATTTATTTGAGCTAAACAATGAAGTTATTGCTCCAAGATATTCGACCCCAACCAAAAAGATAATCAGACACATACACTCACTCACACAAACACACACTCACCACTTCACATTATATTTTCACCCAGATAAACCAACAACACTTATACACAAACCCTCAGATTCACTATTTTAACCAAAACTATTTAAATCTTTTTAAACAAATCTATGATAATTTTGTTTAATTTTTGAATTATATTTATATAAATCTTTAAGGATTTTATTATTTATTTTTATCTGTTTTTTTCTATTTTATTTATAATAACAAATTTCTAAAATAATAAATTCTATAGAGATAAAAACAAATTATCAATATGATAATTGAAATTCATTAGAACAACAATTTCGCATTCCACTCTTAAATAACCACAATTGTAAATTTATTAATATAAACTCACAACATCATACATCCCAACCAAAATTTTTTCAATTCTACCCCCTAGTTTCAATAGATTCTGTTTACAATTAGAAGGTATGTATTAAATATTCCAAGAGATGAAGATAAGAGATATCCAACCAACAAATAAAAAAATTTGTCATTTTTTATGAGTTATCCAACCACCATCATCAATACACTTCAACATTGATGATTTTCGAAAATAATAAATAAATATTTTTTAAACATAAAGAATAGAATTAAAAACAAATACTATCATTGTTTTTTTTCTAGACCAACAAATTTCTTTTTTGTTTTTGCCAACTGCACTCACACCCATTAATAAAGTTCTAAATTGTGATTTTTTTTTTATTTATTTCAAAATAGAAAAAAACATTTAATTATTATAACTTTAATATCCTTCCCAAAATTGGAATTGAAAACTGTTTTTTTTAACCCTTTTCAAAAATCATCAAATTAATTTCATCAACTTCTTTTGATATTATAATAATAATCATACTTTTTACTATTTTTATTGAATTCTTCACAATCTTTATATTAAATACCATCAGTTTATTTAAATAGTGGTTTTTACTACAAAATTTTTTTTTTTAAATTAAAAACAAACAAATATCCAAACTAACTGGTTTGAATATATAATTTTTTTTTGTTGATATTCCAACTAGTTTTTTTTTTTTTGGATCTAGAAATCCAATATATTGAAAAGTATTCCCCATTCTTTGATTTTATCAATTCCTTTTAAAGTTAATCAAATCTTATCTATTTGTAAATAATTATTTCTTTGTTTAAAATATATATATATTTTTTTTCATTTATTTGTTGGCTGGATATATAAGACTAAATAATCTATTCCCAAATGATATCATTTAATATTAATTATTATATTCATAATCTTATTAGTTTAATTATAAACAATAAATATTAAAAGAATTCTATCCAATTTTAATACTTAAGTTAATGAATCAAGTTACAACAAGTAGTGGATATAAACTATTTGAACAGACCAGTAACCAAAACTATCCAAACCTCGCGTCTCCCTTCTCATCGTCAAACCGACTCGACTCTTCCTCAGCATCACCAAATCCGCCACCAACATTCACCGTCTATAACCAACATCTTAACAAACACGACTACAAAGACACTAACAGTGATCTGAATCAACTTCAAAGTTTATCTACTTGCTCGCTAAATAATGATCAGAGAAATATTAGTTCCATGCAAAACAACAGTCTCAATGTTCTTGTATCTGGGAGTGTAGCCGGTGCGATCAGTAGAACTGCAACCGCTGGCTTTGAAAGATTGACCATCATCCAACAAGTTCAAGGACTAGCCAAAGATGGTCCGAAATATACTGGTTGTATTCGAGGTCTGCGTGAGATGATCTACAAAGAGGGTATTTGGTCGTTATTCAGAGGCAACGGTGCCAACATTGTCAAGGTATCGCCAAACTCTGCTATTCGATTCTTTACCTACGAGTATTGTAAGAATCAATTCACTGGATTCGACACTACCAAGAAGTTGTCCGGTGTCCAATCTATGACCGCCGGTGCTATGGCTGGTCTTACTTCAACATTTGCTACATATCCACTCGATGTAATTCGTACGAGACTCTCACTTCAAGGCTGTACCACATCATCTGATTTCGGTGCAGTGCGTTACAAAGGAATCTATCATGGTTTCTCAAAGATCCACGCTGAAGAAGGTGTCAGAGGTTTATATAAAGGTTTAGGTACTGCTATTATGGTAGGTGATAGATATTTTCTTCATTTCTTTTTCGATCTATCTTGCTGATCTCTTTTAATTAAATTAAAACAAAACAACAACCACAAAGATATTAACATAATAAACAAATTGAAATATCTAAAAATATTTCATTATTTTTAGAGTGTTGCTCCTTGGGTATCACTTAGTTTTGCTTCATATGAAGGATTTAAATCAATTGTACATAAATTAATTCAACAACAACAACAACAACAATTATTGGAGCAACAAGAACAAGAACAACAACAAATCTCTTTTGGCCAATCATCTTTATTATCATCACCATCAACAATATCAAATGCACCCAATGTAAAGGGTCGTGATATGCTCATCGATCTTGGCTGTGGTGCAGCCAGCGGTTGTATTACGATGACCGTTTGCTATCCTCTCGATGTTCTGAGAAGAAGAATGATGATACAAGGAATCGGTGGTGAAACCAATGCCACCATCTATAAAAATGGACTTCACGCTTTGAGATCCATTGTCAAATCAGAGGGTGTTTCATCGCTATACATGGGAATTGTGCCTGCCTACTTTAAGGTTGTTCCAACTGTTGCCATCTCGTTTGCAGTGTACGAACTATGCAAAGGAATGTTGGGCAACGAACAAAAGAACCTCTCTGATACTACTAAACAATCAAACAAATTAAATTAGAATGTTGTTGAACCAATATGTATATTCAGATAATCATTAATGTATATAAATAAAAATCATAGATTCGACAATGATCTACAACCGTGACTTGTATTTATTATAGTTTATCTTGCATAAATGGTCGGTCAGAGTCTTTATAGGGTGCTGCAGGTATTTCAAATGGAATATTCTGATGCCATTTCGGTGGAGTCAGATCATCATATGGTTTTTCATTTAAAAGCAATACTCCTATTTCGAAATTTGAAATATAGAGTTGTGAATTATCTTTTTGTAATCTACCCCATGCAGCCTATCATTATATTATTATAATAATTAATATTAATAACTTTTAGTAAGTGTTTGTTTAATAATCGTTTACATACAGGTGAGAGATTATGACTTCCAACATAAACCCAATCGAATCTAAGCTTATCATTGTGTTCGAATTTCGTTGTTCCTGTGATGATCTTGCTATGTAAGATTAGATTCTCTCTGTGAAGATGTATTGGCTTGATGTGCGACATTGATTTTTTAGGGAATGTTTGATTCTCATAGTTTGCAGACGTCAAGAATAGAATAGAACTACACTTCAATCTAGATGATTTGCCCATAATAAATGAATAACTTGGAAACAGTATATGCAATAAACCAGTAGGATCTACCAATTTTGATTTTGTCAGGGTTTGTGTACTCTCTAAAAATTGTGGACTCCATTTATCATTAACCAATCCGAGTGATGATGTCTTTAATAATTAAATAGTTTGTAGAATGAATGGAATGGATAAGTTTGATTATATCTATGGTATGTCAATGTATTTTACTTACTTGAGAGTGAACTTCTCTTTTCTTTATGATTATTGGAAAGTCAGAGTGTTTTAAATCGTTTTCTTTATCGGTATAGTATTTCTTTAGAATCGAGCGAAGTTGCATATGTCCACATTGATTCATACTGGCACCTCTATGATATCCAGGTATCGAAACGATAAGATGTACTTTGGCGATAGAGAAATCATATTTGTCTAGAAAGGTGTTGGGAAGTGCACAGCTTTTGATAAACAGCTTAAGTGTATCTTGAAATTGAGATGGAGGAGGTTGGCTGTTCACCTTTGGGAAATCTTGAAACCAAATAGTTTGTCCGATATCATCGTAATCAAATCTCGTTGGATTGGCAGATGGAATCACAACTCTAATCGAATCATCGTAAACCAACTTGAAAAAAAGTGATGAACAATTAGTTAGTTTAGTCATATTAAAACTTTTGGTCTTAGTAAATACCACTTACCAACATTAATTTAGAATGTTGACATCCAAAACCACCATTATTCATTGGTGGATTTATAAATAAGATATCTTCATGCTCTGGTGATTGAAATCTTCCAGGCTATTTTTAAATATATATTAATATATGAATTAGAATTATAATACTTATCGAAATCATAATAATTTACCTTTTCATCTTTTAAATTATAATCTTTAATAAAAGTTATTGGTACTTCATTGTTTTGACAAATCTTAATTTGTGATCTTATCCATTTCCAATCTAAAGCAAATCCACTGACCAGCGCTGATTTCATTCCAGGTTTACCAAAGATGTTGAATATATTGATAAAGTTACTCGAATGATTCGTTGGTAGTTGATTAAGATAAAATATTTCACCACTATTATTGACAGATGAACTTCCACTAATAGAGGTATTACTTTTAGGTGAGTTGGATGATGATGATGATGATGTAGTTGTAGTTGTAGTAGTATTATTATTATTCCTATATCCATTTTGTTGTTTGGGACTGTCACTATTACTACCACCTTTATTATTCATTTTTGTCTCTACTAACGATCTTTTTAATACTTCTTGTAAGATTTGATCTTCTTCATCTTCTGTTACGCCAAGATTATTGCTTGATTGTTTTGATTTATTTTTACTATCGTTATTGGTGTTGATTGTGTTTCTTGATTGATATTGATTTGGATGTGAATCTGTTTCTTTATCAGTGTCATCATCGAAATCAAATTCAAAAGAACTATTTAAAGTAATGTGTTTACTACTATTGCTATTACTATTTATATTACTACTGCTGCTACTGTTGTTATTATAATTATTATTATTTTGTTGTTTTATATTAAATTTAGGTTCGGATTCAGGTTCGGTATCATCATCATCGAGATCGATTACAACAACAGAATCTGATTTCTTAACATATAAATTGGTTGATGAAGATCTAACTATATTGCTTGGTTTCGTAGGTGATACTGTTACATTCGGAGCACTGACACTTTTATAAACTTTACTATGACTGCTGTTGTTACTATTATTACTATTATTACTGTTACTATTATTACTATTGCTACTGTTGCTATTACTACTACTACTACTACTACTACTATTAGACTGACTCTTACTATCGAAATTAGCGAAATATTTCAAACGTTTTGCATTTACCGATTCACTTTCATCTTCAGTCTGTTCGTCTTCAGTCTTTTCGATCTCCTCTTGACTATTATCCAAGTCAAATATCAGATCGCTATCAAATACTCTCTTTGACATGTCAATTAGCTAAATATAAAATAAACTAAATAATAATAAAAGTAAATTACAAAATGCATTTGCAAATCTAATTTTTTTTTTTTACTAGAAAGATGCGAAATGACATCAAGATTTCTTGGAAATAATAACTATTCTTTTTTGGATTTGAATTTACAAAATGGTAAATTCTTTAACGTCAATAAAGATAGATTTATTTTATATAAATTAAAGAGATGTACCACGCTCCAAATTCTGACGAATCTCCAATGTGTATTTGTCGTAGGCTCTTGAAACCTTTTTGTTAAACACTCTATTTTGTTCGTTGATCCAACTGACATCCTCATCAGGATTGGTTCCTCTCTTCTTAAAGTTATTTCTTCTTTCCATTTGACTATATTATATTTAATTAATAGTTTGTTTATTAATAAGAATGATCGTTGTATTGTATCTCGGTTTAATTAATTAACACTTACTGTTTCAATAATTCTTGTTTCATTGCATTAACATTTGCTTCTGGTACAAATCCATGTTTTCCATACTCTGTTTCATTGTTGATCTGATCTTTATCTACAAACTCCTTATAATGTTCGGAATTCCTAAATGACTCCATCTCTTTGACTCTCTTCTTATATGAATTATAAATATGTGAATCGGATTCTAAGCAATATAAAAATACAAATAATGTTAACTTTCCATATATTATCATTAATAACAATTAATAATATACTTACGTTTATTATGTACACCTTCAAACTTTTTATTTCCTTTCTTCTTTGCTTTATTCTCTAAATCCGAGGCTAAAGCATTCTTTAGCTTCTCTCTCTCTGGATCACCCCCTTCCTTTTTAATTTCCTCTTCTTCCTGTCGCTTCTTCTCTTCAAACAATTTCTTTTTCTCTTCGGATTCATTCATAGGTCCGTTGTGTATTCTACTATGTTCATCTACAACCGATTTGTATATATTCTTTTTTGCTTCATTTCTTTTTTTTTTTTTTTTTTTTAAAAAAAAACGATTAGTAACAAAGTAGATATAGATATAGAACACATATTGTAAGTATGTATGTAAATACGCTGTACTTACTAATTTCTTTTTTAAATCTATTAGTTTTTGTTGTTGTGGAGTCAATTCTTTTGTGTTGGCATCGTTAATCTTTGATAGCTTAGGTTGTCGACCAAGAGAAAATGTTGCTCTTTCATTCTCTTCTGTATAGTCGAACGCTACAGCATTGAAACTCTTTGGTTCTCTATATTCATCTTTGTGTCTATCTATAATTTCAATCTCCTCTTTCAACGATTCTATTGTTTCATAATCATGCTCAGTGTTGTTGCTCATTATTATTATTACTATTATTATATATCTTTATAAAACTTTAAATTAATCTTATTAATAGCTAATATTAGTAACAATATAAATTCGATAAACAACAATATAAATAAATGAATCTTTATTGATTAATTTTTTTCAATGCTATTTAAATTTTTCAAATTTTCAAAATTTTTTAAAAAATAAGAAACCTAAGTTATTTATATATAACATGTTATTAAACAATTATTAACAGGGTGTAATCACAATTTTATTACTATGAATAAGTTCTTTAATGTCTTTTTTCTTTATTTTATTTTAAGATAAAAAAAAATACAATTGGTGGAGAGGGATTTCTTTATAATAAATTTATTAAAAAAATATTAATTATTTATTATAAAAAAAAAGGGTAAAATCATAATTGTTTTAATTTTAAATTTAAAAGTTGAAAAAAAAAAAAAAACAACAGATAAAACCAAAACAAGATTATATTTGCTTATTGCCTTTGATGACAAAACAAATAGGAACTTGGCTGTGGGTTTGGTTCAAAATTTTTTAAAATAATGCAAAAATTGCCAATTTTTAAAAGATATTTAGTTTTGCAAACCTTTCTTTTGGGTTTTTAAAGCCCAATTTTTGTTTAATTTTAATAAAATTACTTCAAAAAAGATTTTTAGATCGATAATTATGATTATTCATCTGTATCGAATCGATCAATTTAACAATAACATATCATTGCACTCTTGATTTTATTTATTTTAGTTTGTCTTTTACATTTTTTTTTTTTTAATATTTTTTTATTTGTATAGATAGTTAGTAGCTTAGTGATAAAAAGTTATAAGTTATTTATATAATGTTTAATAACAGTGATACAAATAATAATAATAATATTAAGAATGAAAATAATGATAAAAATGAGGAGTTGAATGCGGTAGCGCCATCTGAAGAAACATTCTCCAAGAGAGCCAATAGAATAGTATCACTGGTCATCGATAACAAAGAACACCTCGAGGAGGAAGAAGATGACAGTTCATTCTCTGAAACTTCATCAAGTGGTGATGACGAAGAGGAGGATGAAGAACGAAACGATGGATTTACAGAGACTGGTTTCTTTAAGATTTCAACTGCTTCTATACCAACCAATACTGTTACCAACACTACCACTGCTATTCCACTCTCTGAAAAAACCAACAACAATATCAATAACAATAGCAACAACATTAATATAAATATTACAACAAAACCAAGAAGCAGTAGTGTAGAGTATTCTGCATCACCATCCAAACTCAATAATCCTTACAATGTAACAAGCGCACATACCACTAGTGATGATTCCAATTTGGGCGAGAGTGACTTTAAATCGAGAAGAGAAGTGCGTTCCTCTTCTAGTGTAGCGGCTCCACCAAGTGGTGGTTGGACTCGTGGAAAGATTACTCCATCCAATTCATCATTGCAACTTAGCGGCGGGAATGACAGTGAAGCCGATGGAAATAAGACATCACTAAATAGGGGTTCGAGCAGACTATTCACTGGAACAGCATCTAGAGGTGGTTTGGCAAGTTCCAAAAAGTTTGTTAATCCCTCACACTACTCAAGCTCAGTAATGGTTCCAGTCGACAAATCATCTCAATTCTCACTTGTTATTTCATCAACAGAGACTGTTGAAACTTCGAAAAAGTCATATACTGTAATTATTATATTGATTCTTTTATTTTTATATTATTTTATCTAATTTTAAAAAATATTTATATATTATATTAGGTTTATGTTATTAATGTAAAAAGTAATGATATTGTTTGGACAATCGGTAAGTATAATTCTTTTAAACTTTGGGAACAAAACAAAATTAGTTTCTAATTTTCTTTTATTATTATTAAAAAGTTCGTAGATATAAACATGTTAGAGCATTCTCATTAAAAGTAAATATTAATTTTTATTAAAGTAACTGTAATTACCTTTGAAAATTAATTTTTATTTTAAATATAACAATTTAGATTCAAAATGAAGTACCATCATTAACAGCATTTGACTTTCCATCGAAAAAGATCATTGGAAATATGAATCCTCAATTTATTAAACAAAGATGCAATCAATTGCAACTGTTTTTCAATGCAATATGTGAATCTAATTTAGCGAAACAGTCAAGAAATCTCAAAGTGTTTTTAGATCCAAACTTTTCAGTATGTTGACAATGATTAGAGTTCCACATTAATATTACAAACTAATTTTTTAATTATTTATTCATTTAGCCATCGCTTAAGTCAATAACTAATCCATCAAAAGAAGGATATTTATATTTACTGATACAGAGGAGTAGTTTGTCGAGAAAGAAAAGAAAGTGGAAAAAAGTATATTGTGTGGTGGTCAATGCCAACCTTTTCTTTTGGAAAACTAGGAATCAATATGCAGAAGCAAAGGGTGTCATCAATCTAAGACATGCCACAGCAAAGATAACGCATACTCTCGATAAGCTATGCGTTGAGGTAAAGATACAGGAGGCTGACAGTGGAGCTATCAGACACAAGCAATTCAAATCTTCTGTATCGTCCAACTCTCTTGCACTAAGTTGCACCGGGTCAAGAGAGGAGGATCAAGACGAAGAGAAATACTTTTTATGCTCAGAGTCTGAGCAGAAATTGGTACAGTGGTTAGAGACAATCAACAAAGAGATCAACACTGCACAAAACAATCTGACAGCATCAATATTATTCATGCAACAACAACAACAACAACAGCATCAAGCAATCACACCTATTCCAAACTCAACCTCCACAACAACAACAACAGCAACAACAATAACGACTGTAAATATCCCAGCGCCACCACCCATACCATTGTCACTTAGTAGAAGTGTACTATCTAAATCAATGAAACTCGACAGTAGTTTATCGAATTCACAACAACGTCAACTTAAAACTAATCCAGTACCTGTTAAAAACAATCAACAACAAGATGGTGACAGTAATAACAATAACATTATGACAGAACTACAGGATGAGTCATCATATCGTGTGTTTATTCAGAATCAAGAATGGTCAATTGACAATGTAAGTTATAACGATACTCATTATCATCACCAACAATATTATTATTTTATTTCTATTTGATATCAAATAGGTCATAGTAAAAATCTATTGATCATAGTTAGTCGTAAAGTAGATATGGTCATAACCATCATCGTTAATAGCATATCGTTGATTCAACAACTCGATTTAAATTCGTGTATATATATATCAAAACATCATTCATCATCATCAGAATATCTAAAAATAATAACAAAAACAGCAACTATATTATTAGTTTATTTGTATGTTTGTTTTAAAATCGAAAGTGTACATTGGATTGAACAAATAATCAATCTATTACGATTGTAATCATCATGATTGAAAAAAAACAAACTAAATTTAAACACAACATAGACAATAACAATATCACAGTGATACTGAAATTGGAAATAACATACAATCATTGATCAAAATAATATTACTCAGAAGTAAAGATAGAATACTGTATTTTATTTTTTTATTAGTATTTAAAGTAGTGACATCCATATTTAAGTATAAAAAAAAATAGTAAATCTGATGGTATAAAATAGAAATTAATTATATATGACCAATCAGGTATATGACCACATACATACCATTTCTATTTCTGTGTTAAACAAAACTCTCCATAAACCACAAACACAACATAAAAAAAAAACATAAAAATACCACACCAATCATCTTCACAACCACACAAACACCTGTTCATTGTGTTACTACATTATCATTACATGTTGGTTTGTTTTTGTATTTTAATTGTTATTGTTACTGTTATTGTTAATTTTTATTTTTTGTAATAGATTTGCTGAATTAATTATATCAGTAGTGTGTGTGTTAAATTAATTGAATCGATTATGATTCAGTTCAAAAAATAGAGATGATAATGATCCTTTCATGATGTCTATGAATGTGATTGTAGGTGATGATGGATGGGTTAGAGAGAATGTGTTGTTTGACTGTAGTTGGTTATAATTTTTTTTTTTGTTTTAAAAAAGTTATATATTTATATTTTTTTAATCTTTAACATTGGAATATATATATTATCAAACTGTGTGTGTGTGTTTGTATATGGTATGTGTTTGTTGTGTTTACTTATTTATGTGTAGGTGGTAGGTTGTTGTTCATCATCAATTTATTAAAAGTAAAATGGTGTTGATTTTCAGCTGTTGTTGTTGTTGTCCTTTTTTTTTTTAGTTATACAATGTGTTTGTTTTAAAAAACATATGCTTAATTTGGTGGTGTACTTGGTGTTAATGGCCAACAAGTAACAGCAGCTCTTTCTCTTTTTTTATTTTATTTAAATGAAAAGAGTTCATTAACAACAAAACATTAATCGATTACATATTTAAATTCATTAACCTAACTAAACTATTTTGCAACCTAAATCTCCAACAACAAACATTTCCAACATTATTAATACCACTTCACCAATAATTATTAATATTTTAATTTCACAACTTAAAACTTAATAACTATTATTATATTTATTATTACTTTACTTACTAATTTAAATTTATATTTAAATCATCGAAATCATCACCAACCACAGGATAAAGGAAAAGGATATAAACCAACTAAAGATACAATCAATTTATTAGAAGCAACTCTATCTTATAAATCTGTATATAATCAAGAATCAACTATTCAACAAAAAAATAATAACAACAATAATAATTTAGATTTAAATATTAGTAATAATAATAGTAATAGTAATAGTAATAGTAATAACTCTACTTCAACATTTGTAATGGCAACACCAAGTACATCATCTATTCATCCATCATTTTCACCGATTGCATTGGGTGTTTCAAAGATTCCAAATACACCATCGTCAAGCAATATTCCAAAGCATTTGATTGACAAACTCAAATCAAAGAGCAATGAAATCATTCTATTGCCATCCGAGAATATTGTTTTCTACAGTGAGAGTATCATTCATGTGCATGGCAACAGTGGTACCATTGGACGTATCACTCTCACCAACTTTAGATTATATTTTGCACCATACTATGGCAGCAAGATGAGCAAGAAGTGCGAGACCGAAGGAATATCAGTTCCTCTAGGAATGATCGAAGACATTGTCAAGTGCACAGGATTCACTCCCGACAAATTGAAATACTATGCATTTGAAATCAAATGTAAAGATTTCCATAGAATTAGATTTATGCATTTGTAAGTTTACAAAAAAAAAAAAGTCAAACTTTAAATTGAACAAATCAATCATATATATTATTTGAATACTAATTATTTTCTAAAATAGACCTGGATCATCACAACAAAAAGCAAACTCTAGACTCTATGAAATATTTGAACCATTAATTTTCAGTTCAGAATATTCAAAACTATTTTGTTTTGCTTCAAATAATATATCAAATTTAGGTAAGCATATAATCATTTAATAATTTTATTTGATTGATTGTTAACAATTATATTTTCCTTTCTATAATTATTATTATTATTTGTAGATCAAAGTAAAGGATGGAATATATATAATCCTTCAGAAGAATATCAGAGAATGGGTATACCAAATGAATCGTGGAGAGTTACAAATTTCAATAATGATTATTACTATTCACCAACCTATCCATCAACGATGGTCGTGCCAAAGAGAATAACAGATTTGGAGTTGATCAATATTACATCGTTTAGAAGTAAAGGTAGATTGCCCGTGTTGGTTTGGAAACATCCAAAGGAATATGCTGTTATCGTTCGATCTTCTCAACCTGTGATCGGTGTCACTGGTAAACGATGTCTCGAGGATGAGAAACTAATTGAAAACATTCGTCTTGCAAACTTGGATTCCGAACGTGTATATATTATGGATGCCAGACCACAGATCAATGCAGTTGCCAACCAAGTCATGGGTATGGGTTACGAAGGTACCAAATCAACGTACAGCAACTGCGTCTTGAAATTCCTAAACATTGAAAACATCCACAAGATGCGTGAAGCCCAAAAGAAACTATTCAAAACCTCGATGTACGAGAAGGAATACGATCGCTATCAGCTCAAACTGGAAAAGGCAACCAACATATGGCTCGAACATATTCGCTCGATTCTCTGTGGTGTCACCGAGATTGTCGATGTCATCCGCTATCTCAAATCCTCTGTAATCATTCATTGCTCCGACGGCTGGGATCGTACCAGTCAGTTGTGCGCACTCGCCGAACTCCTACTCGACCCTGCCTATCGCACGATCGTCGGCTTCCAAAAGCTGATAGAGAAAGAGTGGCTTTCGTTCGGCCACAAATTCGAGTCGCGTATTGGCCAGGGGTCCAGAGTGGAGAAGCACACCGCCATCGAACACTCACCGGTGTTCCTTCAGTTTATCGATTGTGTCTATCAGATATTGATACAGAATCCACAGCGTTTCGAATTCAATCAACAGTATCTCATGGAGATCATTCATCATCTTTACAGCTGCCGATTTGGAACGTTCCTCTACGACAGTGAAGCGGAGCGTGTCACCAACGAACTCTCTAAAAAGACACAAAGTCTCTGGAGCTACTTAAATGCACATACATCACAGTGGCGTAACTCTAGCTATCAATCAAACCCCGAAATACTCTCAGTCGACACAATGAATTTACAATTATGGAATCAATATTACCTTTATTGGCGTAATTTCCATGGATTCCTATAATATTTATTTTATTTAATAAAACACATATAAATATATTTATTTTATACTTTTTTCTCTTTTTTTTTAATCCAAAACCATTAAAAATTCTAAACTTCTAGATAGTTTTAACAAAATCTGAGGGTCTAAAAGTATCTTTTGATGAACAAAGAATGAGTAATTATTTTGAATTTCTTAATTTCTTGAATCTTTTGTTTAAGCAATTTAAATTGATAAATTGTACAACGACGCTATTATAATTATTCTGACATCAACCATAGATTGCCCAATCCACAAAACAAAACATTCGCAATTGAATTTCTTTTTTAAGAAAATATTTGAAATTTCGCTCATTACAAATTTTCAACCTTTATAAAAAGGGAATTAATGATGACATTAAGATATTTCTTCCTCTACAATTTTCCAGTTTTTTTGCATTTTCGATTATTTTTTTATTTTTTTATGTTTTTTTAAGATCAAAAAAAGGAAAAAAATGTTGTAATTCTTTTGATAATCGCTTTTCAAAAAAAAAAAAAAACAACAACAACATCACAGTTCAATAAATTTCGAAAATAAATATTATTATACTTTTGAATCTAAACAAATAACTCTTTTAATTATCATTTTCTTAAAGTAAGTATATAGATAAGCGATTAATATAATTGTTTATCATTGTTGTGTATATATTAAATCCAATGCACACTTGTTGCCCACATCCACATTTTTCAAAATTGTTGAGAACACTTCACAACATCAATATCACATAATTTTTGTACGAACCACCTAGATGATAATTATTCAAAAGTTTCGATTGTGTGCTTATTTTGCAAAGTTAATTAATGGAGGGAAAATAAACAAAAATATATAACACAAGTGTTGTTGTTATTATTATTTTCAAATTCAACAAAGTAGTACTTAACTATAGTTTATATTTTATTTTGTCATAATAGAAAAACTATTATTTTTATATTATTATTATTATTCAAAGAATTTAAAATTAATTTTATTTATTTATTTAGATAGGTTTAGATAGTTAGTTTAGGTTTAGTTTAATAGATAGAAAATTTGTTGTTATATTAGTATTAGTATTAGTATTAGATTAGATATTGTAAAGTAGATAGAACGAAATATCAAAAACAAAAAAATGGAACAAAATTATGATAGAATTAAATCAATCATTGCACATCTGTTGCCATTGGAGATCTCAAATACCAATGCATCAGTCGATGCAGCACCAGCAATCACAGCTGAGAAACCACGTGCACAAATCCCAAAGTGGAACAAAGACGAACTCCGTGATTACTTGGAATCCAACCCATCATACAAACAAGTGAAGCAAAATCTTCAAAACTTCCTCAAAGATCCAATCTTTGCTCCAAAATACAACATGAACTGTGAGCAATGGAGAGAGGTAACTCTTCAAAGATCAATCAAAGTTATCAACTCTGGTTTAATTTCATTAGCTGAATTCAATAGGTAAGTTATTACAATCACATGTGATCATTCATTCATTATGATCAGTCTATCTATCTACCTAATTGATTTCTAACATTCAAATATAATAATTATTATTATAATCTTATAATAGAGATCCAATGAAATATTTATTATCAATGGAATTGTTAAATCTTTCGGATCCATCGTTATCAGTAAAGCTTGGTGTACACTTTTCATTGTTTGGTAACGCAGTTCTCAATCTTGGTACAGAGAAGCATCATTTGAAGTATATTAAGGATATCGATACCTGGAAGTTACCTGGTTGTTTCGGTATGACAGAGTTGGGTCACGGTTCGAATGTGCAGGGTGTCGAAACCACCGCCACCTACGACAAGGACACACAGGAATTCATCATCAACACACCATCGGACTCTGCACAGAAGTTCTGGATAGGAAATGCTGCCCTCCACGGTCAGGCATGTGCCGTTTTCGCACAACTCTATATCGGTGGTGTTCACTACGGTGTACATGTATTCGTCGTACCCATCAGAAACGCCGACGGATCGACCGCAACCAACGTCAGAATCATGGACAACGGTTACAAGCTCGGTTTGCAAGGTGTCGACAACGGACGTCTCTGGTTCGACAACAAGCGAATCCCACGTGATAACCTCCTCAATAAGTTTGGTGATGTCATGCCAGACGGATCGTACGTAACATCGATTCCAAGCAAGAACAAGAGATTCGGATCGATGGTTGCACCGTTGGTCGGTGGAAGAGTCTTGATCGCATCGTCTGCATTGAACGCTGCCAAGCTCTCATTGATCATCGCCATTCGTTATGCGTATGCACGTCGTCAATTCGGATCGAAGGGTAACGAGATTCCAATCATCCAGTATCTCACTCATCAACGTCGTCTCTTCCCATTGATTGCAGCGACCGTCGCATTGAACTTCCCAGTTCTCCAGCTGAAGCAAATCTACTGTGAGCCAAACAAGACACCACAGAACGTCAAGGATGTACATATCTGGGCATCCGGTCTCAAGGCTGTCGTCAGTTGGCACAAGACTCACACTCTCCAACAGGTCAGAGAGTGCTGTGGTGGTCAAGGTTTCAGTGCATTCAATCAAATCGCAACATTGAAATCCGATCTCGAAATCGATATGACCTACGAAGGTGATAACCATGTACTCCTTCAACAAGTTGCCAAGAATCTCTTGGTAGAGTTACAAAAGGGAAGATACACTGTTACACTTCCAAATCATGGTGTAAAGGTAAGTTTTTATTTCATCTTAGTTATTCAATTCAAGCTTACTGACACTGTTTGTCTCTCTAGATTCAAAATTCAGACTTCCAAATTCAATGTTTCAAATGGAGAGAAAGTCATTTGGTTCAAACTCTTTCATCAAAGATTATGAGTGCTTTGGATGTAGGTGTTGGATTGGAACACTCTTGGAACGACAACTTGGATGTTATTACAGCTCTTGGTAAGGCATACATCGAGAGAATCACTTTGGAATACTTCCAAGCTGCAATCAAGAAGGCATCAGCCAATCTTCAACCAGTATTGGAACTTTGCAGAAACTTATACTTCTCATCAAGAGTTGAAAATGATTTAGGGTAAGATTTCAAAATTAATAACAATAATAATAATAATAATAACAATTAGTAATCAAAATAATTTTAAACTAACAAATCACTTAATCTTAATATTTATTATAGTTTCTTCTTATGTAATGATGGTCTCACACACGAAACAGGATTAAAGATTCAAGAGAGTGTAAACAAACTTTGTGGAGATATGTTACCAGTTGCATTGGATATTGTCAACTCATTCGATATCCCAGAGCAATTCGTTCATGCACCAATTGCTAAACCAGACTATATTCAAGAGTTTAGATATGGACTTGAGAGAAATTATTAACTTTTGAAGTGATAATAACTCAAAAATGTTTTATAATATAAATAAATAATAATAGCTATTTAATTAAAAAAAAAAAAAACATCTTCGAACAAATGTGTACCATTTGTGGGCTTTTTTTTTTTGAAAATGATCAAAAAGGAAAATTTTTATATTTATTTTTTAATATCTAATTTATTACACTTTTTTGATCAATGTGTAACGGTTTTTAAATAACTAAATATCTTATTATCTTTGATCAATCACACGGTGATGAGGTGGGTGGGTGTAAGACCTACACCACCACACTGTTATTAATCAATTTGTGATTTAGAAGTGGTTTTGTACGATATTGATTGGGATAATTGGTTTTTGACCAAAAAGGCATGTGTTTGATTTGAAAAGGTTTTTCAAAGATAAGTGTGATGATCGAACACACATTTAATTAATTTTTCAAAGAGGTGGATGATAAAAAAAACAACAACCTAAAAAAGTTCCGATTCACAATGAAAGAATGAGGTTTGGCTAACCCCAATCCACACTGTTTGGTATCATATTTTTCAATTCCGAATGCAATCAGGGTTTTTTTTGAGGTTTGGATTATCAGACCATAACAATCACTCTTTTCGAAACTGAGAAGAGTTTTTTTTTTTATTTTTATTTTTTTGTTTTGCATATTTTTTTTCATTTCTTATTATTGTTGTGTTTTTTCAATAAAAATCAAAAGCCTTCCCACCCACATCCCAAAACAAAAAAAAAAACAACAAAATAGTTTTTAACAATAAAAACCAAAATGATAAAAATCAAAAACACACATACCTCACTGCATGATATTATTGCCAATCATATTGTGTGTTATGAATGAGTGCAAAAAGATATTTCACAAACTGTTTTCTTAATGATTTAATTAATGTTTTTTTTTTTTTTTTTTTTTCTTGTTGACAATCATGGGGACCTGTCCCCTTAATGACTCCTACTTTTTCTCCAATTAATTAAAAACATACGGAATTGAAGTGGTTGTGTGTATTAGAATAGAAGTGTATGTCCATCAATCAAACAATTGATTAAAGTTATCAATAAGTGTTTTATTTTATATTATTTATTATTTATTATTATACAAGTGTAGAGAAGAGAGTATATCGTAGTTATATTTAATTGTAAGACTATTTTAAAAACAGATTTCAAAGTAGTTAGTTAGTTAAAGAAGAGTAAAAGTAGAAATAATAGTAATAATAAATAAAAAAGAAAAAAAAAAAAAAAAGAAAAAAAGAAAGAGAGACTCATTATATATATTATTTATTTATTTATATCTTTTTATAAACCAAACTTCTTCCTCTTTCTTGTTGTGACACCCACATCAACAATCATTTTTAATTAAAAAAAAAAAGTTCTAAAAAAAACATCATTTTTAATTTAAATCAGAAAAACTCCATTTTTGAAAAGTGTAGATAAGATATTTTTTTATTATTTATTTATTTATTTATTTCAACAAAACTGTACATATCTACATTTATTTCCTACTTCACTCATTCCTGTAATAGTAGATTAAATTTAATCATTCTTTAAATATATAATAATCATATATATAAATTATTTTGTCACACCAGAGTTTCTTATAGTCAACTAGCTCAAAAGTAACTCTGGATACTAGTATCAACTTTAGGTAATGTATCAAATTATTTATATGAGTTATCCATTTCATTGCAGTTACACATTTGTTATTCCATCCACACCCCTGATCATTCTCCAAAAAAATGATAAAATTCATCTGGTGAACTATTTTGTAACCTGATATTGTGTTTCATTTGTTGGACATATCTAATTAATTCACCTTCACAGTCCTGGACTTCCAACTATAATAAAAAAAATTTCCAACCGACTTCTCCATACCAATCCAAATTGGTTATTGTTTTTAGAATAGATGTGGTCCTTATAATAAATATATCTAATATGATCGCCTTCATCTAAACCAATCTGCCACCAATAATTTTATTTTCACCAACTGACCAACTAACTACAACACCCACCTTTATCAATCTTGACTGGCAAATTATATTATAGTCTTACATTAGTTGTTTTAATCCTGACCTAAGATCACAAACCAAACAGTCACAATAAATAATAGTTTGATAATATCTTTGAGATTTAAAATAGATTATATTTTTATCCACTTTTAAAAAAACATTACCATTTCCTATCCGAGAATATATTTATATTTATATATATTCGACTCAATTTATATATTCTGAATTATAATATAATCAATATGGTGCTATTATTAATTATAAGATATCTTGTGCAATCGTTTTCATCATAAATTTAAAATATCATGATAAAACAACAATAATATTTAAAGCTTACATTGTTTTCATATTCACCTTTTAAAATTTAATTGAATCGAAATTCTTTTTGTCATTACCAAAAGAATATCTATTGTTGTGATCTTTTGTACACTATTTTCACTGTATCAGATATCTCCAATGGAATGTTGTTTTTTTCAGTTATTTTGATCACCCAAGATGTACATCATGGGAGGGATAGTTATTTGACTTGCAATAGGAAAATATTTTTATTTGAGGATTGCATGATGATAAATCACTTTCCATATTTATTCTCCAATAATGTCTATACACTTCAATGGAAATGGTATCGTTCCTTTTGTCTTTTAAACGAAGAAACCACAACACTATTATTATTATGCATATATATCAATAGATTGTAACACAAAAATGATAAACACTACAACAAACAAATTTGATATCTATTCTTTTTTTGTTTTTTTTTTAAAAAAAAAGGGTTTTGGTCTCATTCTTCACCATTATAAAATGTTTGTTGTTGTTGTATACTTCATCTCTTTTTATTATGGTCATCATAATGACATGAAACCATTCTGCAGTGTGTTTATGCCCCACCACAATATAATAATCACAATTACCACAAATTTATAAAAATTCTATTTAAAAACACATAATTTGGAAAGATTTTTGAATGTGTTACCATTATTCACACCACAATAAAATAATTGTACAATTAAAGAAGGAGGAGTAGTAGTATAAGAGTGGTGTAAAATTGCAATTTTACTATTTTAAAAAAAAATTTAAGAATTATAGGTTAAGTAAGAACTCATACCTCCAAACTTAAACTACAAAGCCAATGTTTTAAATAACCTTTTCAAAATCCAAAAGTTATCATTTCATTTAAAATATTATACTACTAATTAATTGACACAAGTTACTACAGAGTAAATAATCATAAAAAAAGTTTTTTTTTTTTCAAAAAAACATTTGTTAATCTTTTCAACAACCAATCATAATTAAATACCATCCTCAAATTTAACACCACAACAATCTAATCACCAGACACACGATTTTCTTTTTATAAATTTTTTAATTGAAAAAAAAAAAGTCCGCACCTTTCATTTTTTTTCATTTTGTTTTTATTTTTGTTTTGTCAAAAAAATATCTATTTTATTCAAAAGATGGTTGCTTGAAGATCACACAATCAATCAGTTGTTGTTTTTGTTGTTTATTTCAATTGAAATTTAAAATTGATATTTCTGTTCATCAAAAACAATCATTATTTTAAATTTAATTTAATATTAAGATTTATAAATTATTTTTTTTTGAAATCAAACTAACCCCTATCGTTTCTCTCTTTTTCTACATTTTATAAACAATTTCCAATGTAGTGTGAATTATCACATTGATAGGTTCATTCTAAAATAGTGAAATTATTTCAATTTCCCAAGCAAAGTTAAAACCTACCTATTATTATTTATTGATCTCCATCTTTCTATAATATATATATTAAATCAAGCTTAATCCTTCCAGCCACCAATCATATTATTATAATAACAACAACAACAGCCATATATTATTTATCCAAAAACCATTATTTATAAAGAAGCAATAGTAGCAAGCAAAACAAAACAAACAATAAGGTAACTATAGTCAACTCTCAATTTAAAACACACAACCCCCAATTTCATTTTCGTAGAATTTAAACATTGCGTTTGGAACAATTAGTAAAAAGCAGATTTAGTAGATTGGATTTAATAGTAGTAGTAGCAGTTACAGCATTGACCAATAGCAAATATCATTTATTGTGTGGTTTGATTTTATTTATTTATATTTTCACAATGTACAAATTATATAATATTTCATGTAATTTGGTAGTTAAAAATTACACATCATTACATTGCTTCTCTTCAACACTAGAACAATGATCTCCTATGATCCCTATAGTGAGTTCTTACTAGTGAAGCAATCTTTCCACCCATATTAAAGTCCGTGTTATTTAAATATTGGTTGTGGAATTCATGGAATTGAAATACATTTTTGGAAAGAGATATTTCAACTGAATATCACTCTTCTTCTTCTTCTTCTGTAATTTATATATATAGGTTCAGATTTTTCCAAATATCTATTTTTGGTAGTCCTATATACTACATCATCATTGGATTTTATAACATCAATTCACCAGACACTTCAGCATCAATTGAATTATTTCTGTTATTGATGATGGTATTCAACAATCATAATTGTTGAATTCACCACTGTTTAAACATTCCCAACTTTTATTGTTGTTATTCCACACCACTCTTAATTATAGATGGATGACGAACAACATGGTTTTTGTTGTCTTTTTTATAATAATATATTTGTTTTATACATTCAGTATCTTCCAGAGACACCACTACCACCCACACTGTCCACTGTTATTTTTATCATCATTATATTTGAAATCCCAATGGCAAACACTATTATCCACTTGTATAAAATCACTATCGTAATTTTTAACAATACATCTACTATATTGATATGATGTGTGTTGAATTGTGATTCTATATGATTTTACTACCACTCTTCATAACCACATGCACCAAACACCATAATATAATAAATCATAATGATTATAGCAAAATCAAGTTAAAGGTATACAAAAGATATCACAATAGTATGTCACTAGTTCTAAAGAATGGTCGAATAGATAAAAACAAAAAGAAGGCTTTCATAAGCTGTTTTATATATCTAATATCACTCACCCAACAAACACACAAGAGTGTGTAATTCACCTTTTGGTGAGTGAAACTACATTAATCTTCACCCAAATTCACTGTGTGATTTCGAAATTTAATACAACTGAAAATTTAGGTCACCTTGCAAATGTATATTGTTATTTTATATATTTATAATAACAGAAAAAAAAAATAATTAATTTCATCATCATGTGGTTAGTGAATAAAAAGTTACTATTTCAGTTTCTATCATCACACACATACACACAACATTAATTAACACACACACACACACACACACACACACACACACACACACACACACACACACACACACACACACACACACACACACCTTGAAGCAAAATGATCACCATCATCAACCTTTCACTCTTATAATATATCATCTTTATTTCCATACAATCATTAAAAGTAGTATTGAATGATAGGTGAGTGAATGATTGATTTATTGTATGCTATTATTCACTCTGGCCAAGCTAACAGAATATATGATTCATTTCTTATTTATTACACATACAAATCAAATTATTCAACTCACCATCTTCCTTAAATACTTGCACACTTTTACTTATCCAATGTCGACTTAACTCCAAAACAAAATCAAGAATACATACATATTGTGATATAAAAGTGATTTGGAGTCTGTTTTCCAAAAAAGAAAATGAATATAAAAAAAAAGAAAAAAGAAAAACAAACCTCTTCAATTACCAACACTATCAACAAATAAACACACACACTCACTCTCCATATTTTAAATTATATGATAATCCCACTCGCTCAACCCCCACAGTGATATCATCAACCACTCATCTCAATTTCACTATGGTGGGAAAACATATATATCAATTACATTGTTTTGGCAGGAGTACTGACTACCAGGAGTGAACGTTAATTTATTAATTGTGTTACTAGTTATTCAAATGAAATGATAGAGTAAAAGCATGTTTATTCTGTAGTCTTTGTTTAATTAGTTGTTTTTGTCGAGTGATACATCACATTGTCACACAAGTGAAATGAGAGTAATAGTGTTGGCAGCAGTGTTGATGGTATAAGAGGTAAAAGTGTCTGTCTGTAGTTATACGTTTCCAACTAGATATGTGTGTGTGTGTGTGTGTATATTGTGCTTTTATATTATACACTTTAGTTGGTGTGAATGGTCTGTGTTGTAGGTACATCCATAATTAATTTAAAAAACAAATATATATAAATTATATTTGTATTGTGTTTGTCTATATATAAATGTTGTTTTTTAATAGTAATACAATCATTTCAAGCAAAGAGAACACTCCCGCTAGACAGCCAACACCAAGGATTATCATCAACGGGAGGAGGAGTGGTGTGGACTAAGAATTTAGTGGACAGGATTGTGATAAAAGGAGAGGATAGGATTTTTTGTTTATATTTTATTTTATACCTTGCTTTTAGCTCACTTGTTTTGCTGTGTTTGCTTTTTTTTTTTATTATTTTGTTTATTTTTATAATATATCATCAAAAAGAGACAGATAAGAGGAGTGTTAAATTTGAGACAAGAAACCAATATTGGTTTATTAATTTGATTAGTGTACACATTTATATTCCAGTTATTTATCTATCTCAATTAGCAACCAAACAACAAACAAAACAAAACAAACAAATCTTTTTATTCAAATCAACCACAAAGAGACAACTACTATTATTTATTATTTTCAACAAATTTATATTTTTATATTATTACTAATATTAATAATAATATTATTATTAATTATATAAATATAATAATTATATTTTTTTTATAATTAAATTAATTATTTAAATCTTAAATATTTATTTCATTTAAATATATATTTCAAATTTGTTGATTGGTTTGTTTGGATTGTTAATTTGATTTGTATTTGTTCCAACCAAGCAGACTCCACCACTCGGTTTTCCAATATTTATTTTTTTATATCACACTGGATTTTCACATTTTTTTTTCAAAAATACCTATTCCAAATTTAATCCAACATAATCAAACAAACAACCAACCAATCTCTTGATCTATTAAACATCATCATTCATCTGGAAACCATTCAACAACACCAATAATTTATTAATAATCCATTGTGTTCCAATCTGAATTAGCAACCAACCAATAAAAACAAATCATCATCAAACTACTTTTCTTCCCTTTAAGAATTAGAAAAAATGTTTAAACCATCCTTATCAGATACTGTACCAAATTAATATTGTCAAATTTAAACACTCCTCCCTCTCTTTCTTAAAAATCCAAAGAAATCCACCCTCCAGTATTTATTTATTTATTTCCAAATCAATCCATTATTTATTTATTTATTTAATTTATTTATTTATTTTAAAAGCAAAACATAAAAAAAAACCACACAATACCTTCATCCCACAAATCAATCGGTCTTTCTCCCAATGCTATTTATGTGATAGAGCTCACCCATCTTGCTTCTATCATTACTGTACTTTTAATATTAATTTGTGTTTGGTCGTCCTTCCGTCCAGCCATCCACAATTATTTATTTTGTGTAAAATTATTTTATTTATTTTGAGCTCCTCTTTCCAACCATCAACACTATTTATTTTCCAAACGCACCCATCAACAAAATCCTAATAAATAAAAACTACTACTATATTTCCAACCTACTTAATTAAACACAACTCACAAAGTTAAAAAAATTGAAATTTTATTCGATTTTCCAATCTTCCTCATTAACAAAAACAATATAATCATTTCTGGAACTTTTGCACAACTGTTTTTTTTTTATTTATTTATTTATTTATTTTATTTAATCTTCACAACAAAAATCAAAAATGAATATAAGAAATTTTCCATATAATCACCAACTTCACAGTGTTCAAAATAACACATTATCTCCCCCTCCACAACAAACACATCAACAGATTCAAATTCATCATCATCCTCAACAACAACAACATCAACAACAACCTTCAAATAGTAACACTAACACTAATGTGATATTTAATTTTTCAAGTCCTTCTAGGGGAGTATCGAACTCACAACATCTACCACAACAACAACAACAACAACAACTTCCACATCATCAACACCAACATCAAAACTATAAGGAACAACCAACTATTTCAACACAACTACCAACAATTCTTGTAAAGTCAGAACCAACACACACATTCCAACAACCACAATCACCTCATCATATTAATCAACAACAACAACAACAACAACAAACTCAACATTATTTAATTCCTTCGTCTACAAACTCACTCCATGATCAATTTATGAACAACAAATATCAAGAAGTCTATCAACAAATCCATCACCAAAACCACCATCACCAAAACCAACAACAACAACAACAAATAAATACCCCACAACAACCACAACAACAACCATCAAACGACCCATATTATTCAAGACTAACAAATTCTGAAAGTTTGTCAAGTGAAGAATTACACCGACACCACAATAATCAACAGCAACAACAACAACAACAGCAAATATCAACACAACAACAACAACAACAACATTCACACCTTCAAGATCACCCTTCTTCCTCTTTACAACAACCAAATCAGCCTCAACATCAACCAAATATGGCTGGAGTATATTTTAATCCAAGAACCCCAGGATTCCAAATGGGAATGAATTCATTTCCACCACTCGATGGAACCACTCAATTGAACCCTCGATTGACAAGTTCACCGCAATGGTCACCCAACAGATTCGGTCAATATGGTATTCCAACACACTCTGCACCCATGTATTATTTGCCACCAACACAACCAACTGGTCCAGAGTTAGGTCTATTCGCCCACCCCAGTTCCGATGGAAACACACCACACGAACTTCTACCTGGTGACCGTCTGGCACACCTTCCAGTCTATGGATCTATCTCGCCATCTTCACTGGTGGGAATTCCATCGTCATTCCAACATAGCTTCGAGGGTCAAATCAAAATCGATCTCTATCACAAACCGCGTGGTTCCAAAGGCACATGGATGGTCATCAACAGTGGAGATCAAATTCGTGTCACCGAAGGCAAAGGAAAACGTCTAAAAATGATTGTACATAGCGAGCAAGAGCTCACCAAAGTCGGACTTCAAGTTGCACTTCTCGATCTCCAAAATGCCAACGGCAGTCGAAGAGGATCGTCATCCAGTTCCTCCGCCACCTCCTCACCATCCATCGGTTCCACCACACCTGGTTCACCCACGTCCACCACCACAACAACCACCCACAACAACAATAACAATAACAATAACAACAACTCAAATCAAATCCAACCTTCACCGTCATCCAACATGGGACAATCAACTACTTCTTCAGCATCATCACCATCACCAACCACCACCTCAAGCAACTCTTTCCACAATCTCAACGGTCTCAACAGTTCGACTACTGCATCACCATCGCCATCGTCCTTCTCATTGTCATCTCCAACTCAATCACCGACTCAATCACCATCACAGAGTAATATTTCACCATTGATTATCAACAATCCATCGTCCACAGTATCACCGTTCTCTGTATCAATCTCGGTAACTCCACCCTCACAGAATCCAGCACCTGTCTTGCCAATCAACCACAGTAGCCAACTTCCTCAGCCCGATCCACAAGGTCTCTCGGTGGAATCGGTGCGTGTCTACCGATATCCATCGATGGCACAAATCCCACTGTCCGCAATCGAGTTGGAATTAAAGTTGGCCAAACTCTCCAAGCGTCTCTGCATAGTGATGGCAGCACAGTCCAAAGATGGAAACAACTACGAAGGAAGATCAGTTGACTTTTTCGCTCATAACAATGGTAAACACAATGCCAATGCATTGAACAGACAAAACAGTACAAGAAGAGGTCCCTATTCTTCACCGACGATCTCTGGTGAGGTTGGATCGCTCAGTCCAACTCAACAACACTCACTGAACAACTCCACCGGGTCGTCGCCAATCAGCTCATCCGAACGTGCCAAGAAAACCAAGACACCCCCAAGATCCAATAGCACAAACTCACTCAACACTATAGCTGGACACTCTAACAACAACAGCAGCAGTAGAGGACAACTACGAACTGCATCACCACCAGCCCACCACAACAACAACAACAACAATAACAACCACACCAGCGGCATCCATCAAGAAAATCATCCACCATTGCCAGAGATCCCAATACCTCCAACAGCAATAGACTTTAGTCACAACCCACAATGGCAAACTTTTCAAACACACCTCTCTGGCCAAATTGACCAATCGTGGCACGATAACTTGCCACTCTACCAACTACAGCCACCTCCTCCCCCACATCCATCTTTTGCGAATGACAAACATTCATAGATTAAATTTATTTTTGGAATTCGAATCATGTTGAACAGAGTTCTTCAAATCAATAAATTCAATACAACATCAACCAACCAACCAACCAAACATTTCAATAATTTATAAAAAGAATCAAAAAAAAAAAAAATAAGAAAAAAAAAAACAACAAAAAAAAAAAAAAAAAAGAATATTTATATATATAAAATAATAATAATTTATACTATTTATTAAAAAACCTATCAACCTTCAAAATTATTTATTTAAAAACCAAAAAAATAACCTCCAACAACTTGTATGTTAAAAATGGCAGTGTAAAAAAAAAAACAACTATTTATTCAGAATCATTCTTCCTTCCCCAACTCCCTAAACAATGACTTCTTTGTTATATAAAATCTTTTTGACCAATTAATAAATTGATTGGACTTTATTATATTTATAAAAAAACTTATTATTATTATTTTCTTATTTGAGTATTGAGATGAATCATTATTCATAATATTTACCTGATTGACGATAAATAAATAAAAAACTCAAGAAAACAATAAAAGTAATTGATATGTACATTTTCATGCATGTTGAAAATATAATAATACTGGATTTCTTTTTCTTTTATATTCTTAAATTTCTTTATTTAACCTTTAATATTACCCCAACCTCTTGGATTATCATCTTTCCAATCATCCCAATCTCTCTTTTCTCTTAGTTTATCGTGATTTTCTTCTTTTCCATCGTCTTCGGCCTCATCATCGCTTCCTTTCTTTTCACTTTCTTTGCCACCCTTGCCTTTGACCATACCACCGTTGTGCATTTCCCAAGCGGCAGCTTCCTCTGGAGAGATCGTTGGCAGTATATGACTGGGTCTGAATACCTTGTCCAACATGATTTGTCTGCCATCCGGTAGAATCTTAAAGTTACCGATACCCGATGGCTTGGGTGGTGGTGGTTTCGGTACGACACCGTTGTTCGCAGCCTTCATCTTATCGATTTCCTCCAACATTGTCATCTCTGTATCCAACATCTCGAGATTGGCCACCGATTTAATGATCGCTTCATTCAACAAGAGCATAGCAAATTCTCTTTCCACCTCTTCATCTCCACAATCCAACACCTCTTCATCTAAACTATCTTTATTACCATGTTGTTTAATTAAATCTAATCGTTTTTTAATTACATACTTAAATAAAAAAACAAACAATAACATTTGTTAATATCATTTCGTTTCTATAATTCAATGATGATCAAACCAAACTTACAGCTAACTTTTGTTTAATTTCTTTTTCACGTTTACCACGACTGACCAACTCATTTCTTCTATTTGCTTGTGAGTTTGATTGTTTTGTGTTATCTGTTAATCTTGTAACGATTTGTTGATCATCTTGACTAATGATACCCAATGTTTCTATTCTTTGTAAGAATTGTATTGCTTTATTCTATTTTATGAGATATTTATTTATATAAAAATATGTTAGAATGTTTATTGACTTTAATATTAAAGTTCTTATAAGAGCTTACCTTTGCATTCTTTAAATTCTTTAAACGACTTGTATCAACTAATAATAAAAATAACTCTGATAAATAATATGGTACTAATAAATATCTAAGATTAAACGTTTGTTAGTATCGATTGCTATTATTATTATTAATTAGTTTAAGAATCTATTATAATATTATATATACTTTAATAAATCAGTTCTAATATCATCTAATTCTTCATTCTTTGAGAACAACGATTGTTTATCTATTGAGAGAGATGATTTCATTAGGTAGAGTATAGCAGAACGTACACTACTCTGATAGTCGGCATCACTAGTTGAAGGTGCATCAGAACTCTGTAAATCGTTATATATCTTTTGTCCGTATGTAAATAATTGAAAGAGTGTCATATCACCACCACCACTACTACTACTATTATTATTATTACTATTATTACTACTACTTTCATTTGTAGTAGATGTTGTTATTTCACTCATTTTTGTTGTTTTCTAATATATATATATATATATAATTTGTTCTATTTAATATTAAATCTTATAAATCTAAAAAAAAAAAAAAAAAAAAAAGATAATTATATATTATATTTCAAGAATAATAATATTTCGTTGAAATGTTTGTTAATACTTGTGAATTCAAAGCTATTAATGTTCAAAAAAAAAAAAAAAATAGTAAAAAGAAATCTTCTAAAAATTGATTTTTTAATTAATTAATTGACATTCATCACAGATCATCATTATTATTTTGATATTTCATTACTCTTTTTCATATAGAACTATATATAATTTATATTCATTTTAATTAAATGGCAAAGAGAAAATCTGAAGTTGAAAAGTTACAAGAAGATGCAAATAGTATACTTCAACCTAGAAGAAGATCGAGTTTAAACAACAAGGTGGAGACAGTGACAGTGACAGTGGAAGTGATAGACACTCAGACACAGACTTCAGGCTCTCAAAGAAGGAAATCTGCTGTTGCACGTCTACAAGCGGAAGCTGATAGTTTGACAAAGCCAAGACCATCCAGAAGATCGTCACTCAATGAAAAAGAGGATAATCATGAAGAAGAAGAAGAAGAGGAGGAAGAGGTTAGTGAAGAAGAGGAAGAGGAATTATTAGCTAAAAAGAAAAAAACAACAACAACAACAGCTAAAAGTAAAAGTATAGCAAAACCAGCTGCAAAAGTAAAGAAACCAGCTGCTACAACTAGAGCAACACAATCTAAATCAAGTCAATCTGTTGTCAGTACAAGAGGTAGAGCTATTATAAAGAAAAAGATAGATATAGACAGCAGTAGTAGTGGTGGTGGTGAGAGTGACAATGAATTGTTAGAAAAGAGTGATGATGACGACGACGATTACAATCCTGAAAGTAGCAGTGAATCAGAAGAAGATTATAATCCAGCGGATGATGATGATGAAGATTATGAACCAACGTCACAGAGAAAGAAGAGAGTTACAAGATCACCATCATCGTCCACACCATCGAAATCAAAGAAATCATCTACTCAATCGACACCACGATCCTCACAGAAACGATCGGCTTCATCGTCAACACCAAAATCACAATCAACTAGATCGTCAACACCCAAGAAAAAGACAACACCAAAGAAATCGCAATCAACACCGTCCTCTTCGAAAAAGAAGAGTAAGAAGAGTGGAAATCATTCAGATTCCGAGTCCGACTCTGATGACGAGATCATAGGTGATCTTCCAGAGACTAAATTCGATAAGCTCGATGTCGATTCAATCCTTACACTCAACTTTATGTCTTCAAAGAAGAAGAAATATCAGATTGCACCGCGTGAGACCAAACAGGAGAAAATCAAGAGAAAACAACTGGAGATTGAAAAGAGTAAAAAGGAGGGTGAGGAGTGGATGAGGGAACTCAGACAGACATACGATCCAAAGGATATGGAGGAAATTACACGACAACAACAAAAAGGATTGAAAGCAAAGGAGAAACAAGAACAAGAAGAACAAGAAGAAGAAGAGCATCCTAATGGAATGGAAGGAATAGAAGTAACACCAATAACAATCAAAGATATCAATAGTAATAACAATGATGATAATGATGATGTTGATTATGGTGAATTGGATGAAAGTTTACAATCAGATATGAGTTATATTTCACCAAAGATAAAGAATATCATTAATAATAAATCAGTAAATAATAGTAGTAATAATAATAATAATAATCAAGTAAATGGTAATCAAAATAGATTAAGTGTAAATAATAGTGTGGATTATGATGAGTTTGAAAGTAGTCTAGATAATATTCAACAGAGTATAGAAGAACAATCACAGAGTGAAAATAATGATATCGAGAAAGAGAGTGAAAAAACAATAGAAAAGAATAGACCTCTTCAACAATCAAATGAATCTCAACCAATAACAGCAGAACAAGTACAACCGGAATTATCAAGAGAAGAGGAACAGAAACAACAACAACAACCAGAAATAACAACAACAACAGCAGAAACAACAAAAGCAACAACAGAGTGTGAAAAAGAAGAATCTAAAGAGAGAGAAGACGAAACAGTAAATGAAGATAAGCAAAGTGATAAACAACAACAACAACCAGTAGAACCAATACAAGACAATAATGAGTCGATTAAAGAAACAACGGCAGCAGCGACAACAACATCAAAAGAAGAGTTTTACATCAAGGAGATGGTATATGTTCAGAATGAATACGACGTAGGAGAAACATCGTTACTCAACAAATTTCCAAAGAAATCAACGGCCAAACCACAAGATGATGGAAATGTTGAATTTGAAAGTTCTCAGCAATCAACACAAGACGAAAACAAAATACCGAGTACTCAATTCTGTGAGAATGAGTATAAGGAATATGTAGATGGTATGAAAATATTATATAGTTGTGATGTTTAAAGTAACTAATAACTAACAAATTATAAATATTTATTTTGTGAATTTCTCTTTTTTTTTACGATCGTCACATTATTCTTCAATAGCCATCGGAGGAATGTACGAACCAATGACCTTTGAAGAATACAAAGCAGACATGAGAAGAAAGTCCGATCTTAATAGTCAAACTACAACATAAGTCGTTATCATCCTCGCTTTTTCAAAACAATACCAATATTTACCTAATATCGATATGCTTGTTTGAGGATATAACCTTTTATTTTGGGTTAAACATTATATATACAAATAATAAATTATAAATGTATATTTCTAAATAGTTAAAACTATTAATTAATAATAATATAATAAGATAACTAATAAATATGGTGTATGATTGGTGTATACTGAAATATTACAAGATTTTGGGTGTATTTTGATTGATACTAGATCTATCTGTGTTGGTGATGGTGGATGGTGGTGATGGATTATGTTATCTAAAACTGAATTCTCTGTGCCTAGACGTTAGTAGAGGAGTACCTTCGTTGATGATTCTCTGTTTCTTTAACATTTGATATGCCACCACGGTGGTGATCACCGATGCCAGTGCAAGTACACACACCATTGAAAACATGAATATTGCGTAGGGTGATGTCGGTGGATTTGTCCAGAGTACATTCTCAATGTTCGTCTTATCGACAAAGCATGAGACCTGCTCACGAATCGGAATTGCCTGGAGGTACCGAACGATCCAGGTACTCGAGCGACTCCAAGGACCTTCGATCGAACTGTTGACATGCTTGCTCTTGATAGTGATATTATAGATACCCTGGTAGCACATCTTTTCAAACGGTGACTTTGGATCATCAGTCACAGCATAATCTGGTACACCCGTATAGAATTGATCGTCAAACTCCACCGATATCAAACCATCATTCAAATCATTGCAATCTGTAACATTGTTTTTCCAAACTCTAGTTGTTGCATAAACCATACATGATTCCTCTTTATAATTCAATGATTTCAAAGTCTAGATTAAATAACAAATAAAGTTAGTTGATAATGACTTTACTTTTTCTTTTTTTTTTTGTTGTAATTATATTTTGTTTTTCATATGATATTTACAGATTGAGTAGATGCTAATGATAGTAATATTATTATGACTACTAAAAAGAATACTGTTAAAATAGAAGTTGTAATATAGAGAGTATGATAAAGTTTTTGTTTTACAAAAGAATCAAACTCTTCCTCTAACTTTTGTTTAATTGATTTTTTCTTTTCTTCTTCGTCATTGCTCGCTATACTTGGGAAACTACCATAGTCTGGTGTACTATAATGATGATACTGTGTTAAATCATCTGAAAACCGAACTTTATTAGCACTTTTATCTTCATCCGGTTGTACATTATTATTATTATTATCTATTTTATTGTATTTTGTACTCATTGCTAATAATATTCTATTGTAAAATTATATTTTCATTAATAAAACTAATAATGCAAAAAAAGAAATAAAATAAACTAACTACACTGATGTAAAAACTGTTTCAGTGATTCCTATCCTAACCACACACAACCCAATCCTAATCCCTCACAAAAAAAAAAATAGCAAATATTATTAAATTTCATTTTTTTTTTTATCAGGATTTTTTGTTGACTCTTTAAAATTAAAGATCGGGACAATAAGACGTTTTTTTACAAACAGTAGTACACTCAAGTCAATAGAGGAAAGTTGGTTTGATCAGCAACTTCTTAATTTCATTAACAATCAAAAGGAAACTTTCAAATGTCTCATATTTCTGGAACAAAATACCTAGTTATTTATGAAGCTACATTGCAACTCAACTCACCCAAAGTCTACTTTTGATCAAATAACTCTTCAGACTGTCGACACTCCAAACACCACCAAAATTTAAATTTAGCAACACTGGAGGGAATAACAAAGTGAGTAGGATATAGGGAATGGTTATACTCTTTAAAGAGATTGTGTAAAAAAACATAAAGAGATCATTTTTTATTCTCTGGGTAGGGTGACCGGTGAGACCTGTCTGATATTTAATAACGCATCAATTTGTTGATGCAACTATAACTATTACATCGCATTGTTGTTGTTGTTGTTGTTGTTGTTTTTGTTGCTGTTGTTTTTGTTGTCTTGGTTGTTCAACTTCTTATTTTTTTGGATTAAACTTTAAACTTATTGAGTTTACGCAATGTCTTTCATCAGTTGGTGTGCTATATCCTTCGCCCTATTATTTTTTTTATTATAATCAATGTTTAGAATGGGGTTTAAACATGATAATGTAAGGTTGATCAACCTTTATTTCTCTCTCATCACGTGATTAACTTACCTTAAATACATGACCTAAATGACCACCGCAGTTCTTACAACAGATCTCTGTTCTAACCATACCGTGTGAACGATCTTCAAAGATGGTCAAAGCACCGGGTATCGCTTCGAAGAAAGCCGGCCATCCACAGCCAGAGTTGAACTTGCTCTTCGATGTGTAGAGTGGAGTCTCGCAACCAGCGCAATTATATACACCCTCCTCAGAGTGCTTATTATACTGACCGGTACCAGCTCTCTCTGTTCCCTTTTGACGCAACACATGAAATTGCTCTGGTGAGAGCTTCACCTTCCATTCGTCCTCTGATAGATTCATTTTCAAATTATTTACAACTTTACTATTAAAAATAATACGACTAAAACGTAACATATAAAAACAAAAATGTTTAATTAAAAGGTAATTTTTTTGATTTTTCACAATAATTTTTAAAAATAGATGTTTTTAATTGAATTGTTTTAATTAATTCAAAATAAAGTTTCATACGTTAATTAAGAAATCTTAAGTTATAAATAAAAAGATCTTTATGTTCTTTTTATCAAAAAAAATAACAAAAAACAAGAAACTATTTTATTTTTGTTCAAAAATTTAAAAAGATGGTGATGGAATTATAACTAAATCGGAAGTCAATATAAATAATATTACTTTTTTTTTTTAATATTTCTTAAAAAAATAAAAAAACCAACTATTTTTAAATTGAGATTATTCTTATTATTCTTATTATGTATAAATGGTAAAAAAAAATTGGATTTGTTTGTTTAAATGTAAAAAAGTAAAGGTTGAATTTGGTTATTATTATTTTCTTAGAGAGAAGTATAAAATAACAGCCAATACACCAGCAACGATAAATAGGATGAGAGCTAACCAACACATTTTAGTTCTGGCGGATCTCTGGTGTTCGCTTGCCTTTTTGATCTGCTCGACACCCTCCTGGGTGTTCATGACGGTCGATTCGAGACTGTATTCGATGGTGTTGAGCATGACACCCTGCTCCGACACCATATTGGAGAGATCCATAAAGATTTCATTGATTTCGACGATCGATTGTTCGATTTGACGGATGCCCTCCTCACGCTCCTGAATGATCGAGTTTTGATACTCACGCTCCGATTCGATTTGAGCGAGCTGCTGTCTTCTCGATGCTTCCATCAGACTCTGTGATTCGTCTTCCTTGTCTTCGTCGTAGTACTGTTGTTGATTGTTATAGTATCCATTGCCATTGTTATTGTTTCTGTATTGTGATGAGTTCGATGATGTTTGATGTTGTTGTTGTTGTTGCTGTTGTTGTGATGATTGTGGAAGTGGAGTGGATCTCTCCTTCTTTGTTGCAACCTGAGCAATATCCTTAAATTGTTGTAAACAATTATTATATTCTTTTGCCAACTTTTGATATAATAATTTCTATCAAAAAAAAAAACAAAAACAAAACAATACTAATATTAGTAAATCTACATATCAATATATTTATATATTTCTTAAAACATACAGTCTTTGGATCACGTGCTTTGTTAGCAAGTGATGTAAGAGTTTTAACTTTTGATGATTCCGCTGAAATTAAATGAGTTGTTGACTCTACACATGAACGACTAAAAAATAAAACATAGTTAGTATCTATGTACATTATCATTATCATTATTATCATTTTTAAAAGAAACATACATTTTCTCTCTAATCTCTAAACTATCTTTGGAAGTGCCTAGTTGTTGTACTAGTTTAGTGAGTGTGGTGACAGCCACTGTGATTTGTTGGATGTTTCTGGTGGTTGCTTGGTACTCTGGGGTGTTGGTAACATCACCGTCGTTTCCACCAAAGTTGTCGGCTGGCATATCGATCGAATAGTTTTGTTGTTGGTAGTTATTATTATTGTTGTTGCTACCACCACCGAATCCATTGTTATTATTACTTCCATATCCACCACCATTGTTATTACCATATCCACCTGTATTGTTTCCAAAACCATTATTATTATTGTTACCATATCCACCAGCATTATTGTTGCCACCACCGAATCCATTATTATTATTTCTTCCATATCCACCGGCATTATTGTTACCTCCACCGAATCCATTATTATTACTATTACCATAACCACCGCCACCATATCCACCACCATTACCATATCCACTATTATTATTACTATTATACATCTTTTTCTATATTACTTTTTGTTTTTCAACTAAAACTAAACTAAAATCTAAATCTTAAATCTACTATATATGATGTAACTTTACTAAACTAAACTAAACTTAAACAAACTGATAATAATAAAAAATTAAAAAAAAAAAAACAAACTAAAAAAATATAAAATAAATAAAGATTGTATTAAAATTAGAAAATTTGATTATTTCTAATATATATTTGTAAAAATGATTGTGATATTTATAAAAATAATGATATTAATGATAAATTATTATTACTAACAAAAAAAAATAAAATAAAAAAATAATAGATAATTAATGTCAATAATTTTCTTTTTATTTTTCAATAAAAAAAAACAAATCAAAAAAAAAAATTTGTATGGCGGAATTTTGTGCAAAAATTAAAAAAAAACATTATTATCCAATTAAATGGGGTGTTTTTTCCACTGTCCTCAATAATTGAGCGTTTACAATGTTTGCAACTGTGTTAAAAACAAAAATATGACGTTTGGATTTTATTCATTTTGTTTGTAATTTTATATCGTCTGAAAAACAATTAATTCAGATCTACATAATTAAACTTCTTTATTTTATTGCAAATATAATATAATTAAAGCTTTAATTGTACATCTATAAAGAAATATTTAAATTTAGTAAAAAAATTTGATTAAAATAATAAAGCTTTAAAAAAATATATATTTTTTTATTTGGTATACGACAAACATTGATGTAATTCACATATCTATATCATTCTTTCTAGTCATTTTTCTATTTTTTTGAATTTTTTCCTTATTGAAACAATTGTTCACCCCTTCATTATATTATTTTTCATTATTCTGTTTTCTGTTCACATTTTAATTTGCAATATCATTAACTACTAGTTGTTATATTCGATTCATCTATCTATATCTATAAAGTTTCATATTCATTTATTTAATTTTTTATTTATACATAAATAATTGTTTTCTTTCATTCATTTTTTTTTTCTTTTCTTTCTTTATATATTAAGTGTAGTTAGTACAAGTTGAATAGAATACAAAAAAAACAGTTAGTACTTGATGAAATAAACTTTAAATATATAAAGATAGAGCATATCTAATGTCACTATGAATAATTGGGATTTTAGTTTATTCGACTGTTGTTCAGCACCTTTGGTAAGTGGTCCACTTTTTTGATCCCTCATCTCATCAATCATCAAAAATTTTAAGGCTATTTCCTTCAACCCAACACAAAGCTAACTTCTAAATTAAAATGAAAAATAAAATACTTATTAACTTGGTATTAATCTACTATCATTAAAATATATAAAAAGATATCTTGTATTTCTTGCCCATTATGTCCTTGTCAGATAGCTAGACAAAGAGCAACCATTAAAGGTAGATTTGGTTTTGGAGGTATGTTTGGTTTTCTTAACAGAATTCTCCGATAAACTATTATTAAACTTAATCTTTGTTTTTGTCTTTTTTTTAGAATGTCTGTTTTCATTCTGTTGCTTACCATGTGCAGCATGCGGACTTAGAAATAGAATTAGAAATCGATATGATATTAGAGGAAATTCAATAGGTGATTGTATTTGTATTTGTTGTTGTGGATGTTGTACTACTGTTCAGCAAGCAAGAGAAATGGATTTCAAAGGTGATAAGCCAGGTGGTTTATTTATGCCACGACCAAACCGAAGACCAACACAAGACGAAGAAGCACCTCCAACACAAACTCCCCATTCACCTTCTGAAACCTATCAATAATCACACACATATTATAATAAGTTATTATTAATATAATAAAAATAATAACAACAACAACAACAGTGAATATTAAATATTTATTACTTCTTCACATACAATTTAATTAAACATCTTCAAATTGGTACTTAAGAGATGAAGTTTCATCTAAAAACAAACAAATAAAACATTATTATTATTATTATTTATTGACAATTATTATATAATTAATAACAAACATATCATATTCTTGTTTAATAATAAAACAAAGTAGAGATAGATTCTTTCTCTCTATTCTTATTAGTTTATTAGTTTGTATAGGTTATATACCACTTCTTATATTCGTAGAGGAATTCATAGATATTATTGAATACACCTCTGTTGAATACGTTCCACTTGCCATCCTTACGAAGGTATGTATATTTGGTCATGTTTACAACCTCGTTGATGGTGTAGTTGAGTGAAATTCCCAGAAGTTGTGCAGAGAGTAGCTTCCAAATCCAAGCGGCTGCACACAGACCATAGATAATGAAAATAGATATCATTCTATTGGTATCGTAATAGTACAACATTGAATTGATATAATTTCCAGAGGTGAATGCTGGTGCATTTGGATCGGTAGCAAACACTTTATTATATAATAATAAAAAAAAGAGAGATAGATTATCTATTAGTACTTGTAGTAAACATAAATGTTTGTTTAATAAACACAAATACATACTTTTGAATGTTACATAATATATTGGTACAGCAATGATATTGTAGCTCAATAGCAGTAGAATAAACAATCTGTGATTCTTGGCACCTACACAGTTATTAATCCAAATACAATGATGATCGAATCTTGCAACACATGTTTTACAAACTTTACAATGTTTAGATCTAATAGGTCTATTTGTCTAAATAAATAAATAAATAAATAATAACAAAACGATGATCATTAGTCATTTATATCTATATATTAATGTGATTGCTAATTAAGTTCATTCTTTTAGACTTACAAAACAAGTTACACAGATTTCAGGAATCTTTTCATTTAGCTCTAGACAATCCAAGAATGCTCTTTCATCGTTCTTTGGCGATGATTTAATAACACCTGGATCTGTGAATGGTAGTTTACATAGACAATAGAAAAACACTGCACTAAATAGATTGATAAAAATATGTGATATAGTGTAGTATGGTGTATCTATACAGAGTAATATTATTGTTGTTGTTATTATTAGTATTGTTAGAATGAATAGATAATAAGATAGTAAACAACATACTCCAAAGAATCAAAAAGAAATAGGTCCAATAACATATAACACAACCAATGATCCACCAAGTGACCGGTAATACATTTGGTAAGTCATCTTCCCAGAAATGTTGGAATATCATTCTAGCAAAGTTGGCCACTACAATAAGGATAGGCAATGAAATATATATTTTAAAAGTAAACAGTGTAGTAAAGAATATCAGATTTCCAATTAGCGCCATCATAAACCAAAACTTATTACTACTTGAATATTTCTAGAAGAGGAAGAAGAAGAAGAAGAAAAGAAGTAAGTATATTAATATTAAATTGAAAGAGGTTTGCTTATCATAATAATAATAATAATAATAGTTACCGATCTTTTAGCTGAATGTTTGCTTTGAGTTGCTATTTGGTGTTTTAAGAATTTCAATACTGGTTCTGTAGATCTGGTGAGTGCCAGCTCGTAGGGTGTCCTGTTATCATTGTCCCTGATAGTCATGCTCGATCCCTCTTCAAACAACACCTTGGTTGCCTCTATATATCCTTTATATGCTGCCCAATGGAATGGTGTTCTACCCAGATTATCAACACAATCCAATTCCGCTCCTTTTCTAATAAAGTATCTAATTAATTTAACATTACCCTTTTGTTTGTTTGTTTGTTTGTTTTTAATAATTAGTACACTTTAATATAACTAATTGAAATATAACTACTACTAATACTCACTGAAAAAGCAGCCCAATGAAGTGCAGTATGATTTTCATCGTCTTTACTGGAAACAGACATTCCTTTGTGTATAAGATATCGCACGATATGTACGTCGGGATGGTTCGACGACGATAGGAGTAGTGAGTTCAATCCACGTTTGTCACGCTTGTCAAAGTCGGCACCGTGACCCACCAGGTAGTAGACTAGGTGTGGATCGCCCGACAGACACGCCCAGTGCAATGGTGTCTGATTCTGGTCGATGTTCGGTATGTCTGCATCGGCACCCTTTGAAATGAGGTACTTTACCACATTGAAATGCTTGCGGTAGCATGCCCAGTGCAGTGCGGTGTTTCCGTCGTCGTCGACCTCGTTGATAAAGGTACGACTGGAGATCGATGGATACTTTGTACGAATCCTGTCGAACACACTGACCACCTGGTCAAGATCACCCAACGCTGCAAAATGTATCAATTCACTCACTAAAAATGATTTAGTTGTTTGGCCATCAGCAACAGCATTACCATTGCCATTTCCATTTGTATTACCACCAACCATTTTTTTATCGAAATCACCGAAATCGTCGTCGTCATCAAAATCATCTTCATCATCGTCTCTATAATTTTCATTTTGACGACTACGATGAGTTTGATTTTTTTCGGTAGTGGGTGAATGTGAATGACCATTACAAATACCATTTACATGTGAATGACCATGACCTTGACTTTGTTGATTATTATTACCATTCATTTCTCTTTTTCTATCACTATTATTATTATTACTACTTTTACTTTTTATATTATTACTATTGTTGTTGTTGTTGTTTTGGTGAAGATCATCATCATCATCTATATCATCATCATTAATAATATGATCATCAACAGTTGATTTAGATAGTAATGATTGATTCTCCAATTCTCTACTGTTAGAAAGTACAGATTTCTTCATTGCTTGTCTTTTTTTTTTGTTTTTTTTTGTTTTTATTAAAAATATAAATTTTATTCTTAATTTTAAAATTGAAATAAAAATTAATTAATTAATTTAAAAAAAATCTTTTAAATCTGGGAGTCGGTTGAAAAATAAAACCAATACATACAAATAATAAATAATGTCAAACTAACCAATCGTTCGTTTTTTTTTCAGCTACTACTTTCTTAAATATAAATATATGATTTTTGATATCTAGATTTTCATAACTAAATTCTTTACTTTTGTTTTTTGTTTTTGTTTTAGTTTTTTTTTTTGAATATTCTTACTCCTCTTCTTTTTCTTTTTCTTTGTCCAAGTTGTAATAGTCAGTTTTGTTTGGATTTTAAACTAATAATAAATATGGAAAGGAATAAAAATAATATAGATTTTATTTTTTGTTTATTGGGATCATCATGAACATGTTCATCCCCAAAAAATTATAAAATAAAAAAATAAAATTAAAAAGTCTAATCTAAAATAAATCTAGATTTTATTTTATTTTTTGCACTACAAAAAAAAATTAAAAATAAAAATAAATTAAAATTAAGCACATCAAGATTAGTTTACCAACTTCATCATTATTATTGATTAGTTATCCAAAGGTCTTGATTGTTTGACTCAATAAATAAAGATTATTTATCTTTTTTTTTTTTGATTTTAAGAAAATAGTTGGTGATTAAAAATAAAAAAATAATTATTGCCAATTCAACCAGACTGAACTGATAGAACAATCATTTTTTTTTCAATGCCAGTGATTGATCAAGCAATTCAAAAATAAGTTGGCAAAAATTATTAATATTTAAAAAAAAAAAAAAAAAAAGAAAAAATCAATTTTTGGTGGTGCTGTTCAAATAAAAATAAAAATAAATTAAATTGTGTGAATTTCAGCAGCACACAATTGTAAATAATAAAATAAATTAAAAACAATGGTCTAAACCACCAAACATTCTCAAGTATTGATCCTTTGTTTTCATTTTTCAATCATCATAGTCATAGTATCTTATCCACTTAAATATTTACATATAATTATTTATTTGTTATAATTAATTAAAATATAATTATTAAATATTATTATTATTAATATTATGTCTACTGATCAAAAACAACAAAATACTGCTGCTGCCACCACTACTGCTGCTAGCAACACTGCCGGAGATTCCACACCAAAAACACCATCGATCGATAGCTCATTGTTCCAAAAATACATTGGTCAGACATCGGGTCAATACAAAGATGGTATCTTGGGACAATGCTCTTTGTTTGCCAAGATGTTCATTCAGTTCTCATCGGTAAGATCGTTCGAGCCAACTGAGTTGTCATCAAAGCAAGTCAAGAAGGAATTGGCATGGTTCGGTCTTGATCAAGAGAAAGAGAAGCAAGAGAAGAAAGAAAAGAAGAACAAGGATAAGGAAGACAAAAAGAAGTCAAAGAAGGATAAAAAGAACAAGGACAAGGAAGAGAAAGGTAAGGATAAGGAAGAGAAGGGTGGTGACAAGAAGGATAAGAAAGACAAGAAAGATAAGAAGGATAAGAGCAAGGATAAAGACGAAAAGAAAGATAAGAAAGATAAGAAAGATAAGAAAGATAAAAAAGAAAAGGGTGACAAGAAAGAAAAGAAGGATAAGAATCTTTCCAAGGAGGAAAAGAAGAAGAGCAAGGAAGAGAAGAAGAAGAGCAAGGAGGAGTTGAAGTCCAAGAGCAAAGAAGACAAGAAGAAGAGCAAGGAAGAGAAGAAGAAGGTCAAACAAGAGAAGAAGGATGCAAAGAGAGAACTTGGAATAACTGAAAAAGTTATTAAACAAACACAAAGTATGTAATGTAATAACAATTAATTTTATGATTATCAAGAAGGATAGATATTAACATTTGTTCTTTGCTCTTCATTTCATTTTAAATTTAGCTATGTTGGAAAACAATGAAAAATCGATTTCAATGTTTGCTCCATGTATGCAATTGGTCAAGTGTGCAGCAGAAGACACCGAATGCAAACGTCTCAAGGAGGTATCGATGTTGAAGCTCCAAAGTGAAGCATGTTTCTCACAGTATCTCAGTAAATTGATCAACTGTCAACAACTTGGACTTGGTAAATGTATCACTCGTAACCTTGGTCTTGCCGTTACCTGTAAGAACTTGGCCGCCAAGTCATCACCATTGTCCAACTCTATCTTTTCAACCAACTATTAATTTTATCCTAACATCATCATCACAATCTCAACCATTTTATTAATCAATCAATCAATCACTTCCCATCATACCCAAACAATATAAAAAAAAAAAAAGAATTAAAAAGGAATTTACATATATGTACACAATATATAAATAAATAAATAAAACAATATTGTATATTAAATTAATAAATATAAAAATCAATTAACTTTTAATTTCTTAATTTTCATTGAAAAACCAACCATTTCCTTTTTAAAAAAAAAAAAAAAAGTTCATTGTTATCAGATTACCACCATATATATATATTCATTTACTTATTTTATTTATTTGAGATAACAAAAAAAAAAAGACAAAAATAGGTGATGTTTAGTCTTAATATGGATGTGGTTACTCAGAGTAACGATGGTGGAGACAACAATGAATCGAATACTCTATCATTTATATTCTCTGACAATGACAACTTTCAGCAAGAGATCAATGAATTGTATTCCTACGCAGAGTTATCTCTACTAAGAAAGTTAGATTTATCAACATTGTTTATAAATGATTTAGAGAAATGTAAAGTTTTATTATTATTATTAATAATGATTATTATAATCTAATGATTAATTATTATTTTAAACTATATAGATAGAGGTGATAATAAACAATGGATAGATTTGAATGAACAAGATAGATTGGATTATATTGATCATACCTTACAGTACTTGGAGTGTTCACCGAGTAGCAGTAGTGAACACTATCAGAGATACCTATCTAAAGCACATATACTACTGTACATTGCACAAGGTTGTACTTCAACGATTGCTCATCAACCAGATCAACAAAAACAACACAATCAAACTGTCTCATCACTATCCATCGCCAACTCAAAGTTACTGAGATCGATCAACGCCATTTCAATATTATTAAAATCATTATTATTTTCATCAAAGTAAGTCAATCAATCAATCAAATAATAATATCTTTATTAACCTTATTTTAAAATAGTTTATCAAATAGTAGTCGCCATGTTAGTGATGAACATCAGCAACAGCAGCAACAACAACAACAGCAGCATCATCATGTTAGAGGAAATAAGACACCACCAAAGATCAATACAAAGAGAGCTGATCATCTTATGTCAGTGCTACTAAATATTATCTATCATATTTTGGTTGCGAATCAAGATGACCCTACATTCAGAGAAGAGATGCAACATTTTGAAGATGACAATGAAATCATTGCAACAATGCTCGAACTTACATCACAATTCAATGAGATCGAAGGAAATAGATACCCAATCAAAAAGATATTGCTAGTTCTATGGAAATCAATGATTGTTCTATTCGGTGGATTCAATCAACTCATCGAAATGAAAGATAAAAGATTACAATCTATAAATTATAGTAAAGGTAATATATATATATATAATTATACAACAACAACAACAACAACAATTCAATAATCAATATTATAATTACAAATAATTTACTTATTATTATTATTATTATTATTTTAGAAACACCAAAGACATCACCTTATGATGTATATAGTTTTATTAAAGGTACCAGTAGATTTCATTATCATCTGAGGAATGCACAGACCTATAGAGTTACTTCGCATCTTGTACATACGAATGGAGCATCTTCTACTTCACCCAATCCAATGGTCAACAACACCAACAAGAAGTATGATATGTTCAAACTACCTAATGCTCTCGGTGAATCATTGAGAGTATTGGAAAAGAATCTATATCCACCACCACCACTCTACAAAGAGATAGGTGTTATAATACCAGATAATAATAGTAATAATAATAATAATAATAATGAACAACAACAACAACAACAGGAGCAACAAGAATTTTTACCAAGATTATTAAAATATAACTCTAACAGTAAAGAGACTATGTCAATGTTTGAAAGATTCTATTCTTCGAATATCAATGGTATGTCAAAGATTATCATTGTATTCCTAAAGATATTGTTGGCTGCAGTACCAGGTGTAAAGAGTTATACAGGTCCAATCAACTTGATGTCTGAAATTATCATTGGTATGTATACTATATATATATATATATATTATTTAATGACTAGTCATTAAATGTTTATTAATTTACAATCTTTATATGTAGATTCATCTTCACCTGGACATTCAGCAAGTTTAGTAGAGACAATGCAATCTGCAGTTGATTTCCTAAGACACAAAGAAATCATTTCTAAATCATTACTGGCAATATTATTATTGATTTTGAAACATGCAAAATATAATCGTATGTATTTAATAATTGTTTGAACTACTATTGTTAATCAATATTAATCAATTGTTAACTATCCACACAATAGAAATATTACAATTTGAATATATAACACAGATCATATATGAATCGAATGGATTAGTATTATTATATAAACATCTCTCACATGAATCAATAGATAAATATATCATGTCACAAAACAATGTATTATCAGAAGAGTTCTATCCAATTATACAAGACACTCAAAATAATAATATCAGCAATAATAATAATAATAATAACAATGGTAAGGTTAAATAATGTTTAAAATTGGATTGTTATTAATATTAACTGATTGTTACTTTTATAATGATTTTAGAATGTTGGAGAAATATATTTAGTACAATATGTGTATTGAGAATAATCCAAAAGATATCAAAGTACAACCCATCAAGATTCACTGTGATTACTCCTACTAAAGCAGTTGTAAGTAGAATTCAACTTTAATGCTTTTTATTTAATACCAATTATTAATTATCAATTGATTATTATAGAATATACTTAAAAAGTATAGTGTAATAGAACAGAAATCAATTAAAATGTATAGTTTAAAGATAATTAAGAATTTAATACCTTATCTAGCAAGGAAATGGAGACAAAGTATGTTAGTTTATAATCAATTTAATTAAAATCACACTTTTATTAATGTATTCTTTGCAAACAGATAATATGAAAGTTATCACCGATATATTCTTAGAAGTACCAATACATATCAATGATATTTGGTTATCGAGTCAAAGTGAATTAACACTACAACAATCGACTGTATGTTTTATTATTATTATTATTATTATTATTATTATTATTTTTAAAGTTTATTAATTAATTTATTAATATATTTATTTTTACTAATTATTTTTATTTATAATTTCGTTTAGGAAATGGAGGTTTCAATATCAGATAGAATAGAAGAATATCATCAAAAGAACTATGAACAATGGTATGACTTTAGGAATGGTGGAACTTTGAAATACTCTGTTGATAATCAACTCGGTATGAATGAAATTGACTTTTTGTATAATAGTATCGAACTCAACACCGACGAGAAGGAGCATGCCGCTGGCTTGGCAGAGATCTACTCTGACCAATCATCTGTAATCTCAGTGACAGACAAACTTGAAGATATGCTCCTCTCTGAGAAATGGAATTTACAACAACCATCCTTCTCATTAAGAGATCCATTTAAAGATGACTAATAATTAAAATAAAAAAAATATAATACAAGTAAGACAATAGATATCGATCAATTGATTGAATTCTCAAAGCAAACAACTATCAGGTTTCAACTAACTAATATCTTAAATCAATTTAAATAAAATGTTGAATTATTATATTAAAAAAAAAAAAACAATCTGGCTTGGATCTGGTTCAAGTTTGTTTCTCACATTATTCAAATTTCGTTCATTCAATAATTATTCTATATTTTATAATTATAATTTAAACAATGGAAAAGGTTTCTTTGGTAATTGATATTGTATGTCTTTCTTTTAAATTCTATTTACTTTTATAAAATATTATATCTTAAAGAATGATTAAAATAAATAGGGTTCTGGTATGTGTAAGGCTGGTTTCGCAGGAGATGATACCCCACGCTCTATATTTCCAACAATCGTTGGTGGTCCAAGACACATTGATGAGTCACTTGGTTTACAAGATAAGGAATTCTACGTTGGAAGTGATGCTCAATCAAAGAGAAGTATTTTGACAGTCTCATGCCCAACGAAACATGGTATTGTCACCAACTGGGATGATATGTTGAAGATTTGGGAACACATTTTCAAAAATGAACTCCGTGTTGTGCCAGAGGAACACCCAGTTCATTTGACTGAGGTACCACTCAATCCAAAGGTGAACCGTGAGAAGATGATTCAAATCATGTTTGAGACCTTCAAAATCCCAGCTATATACGTCTCAATTCAAGCGGTACTATCTCTCTATGCATCTGGTCGTACCAGCGGTATCGCTTTGGACTGTGGTGATGGTGTAACTCATACCGTTCCAGTCTGCGAAGGCTTTGCAATCCAAAAAGCTGTCTCCAGTCTCGATCTTGCAGGTAGTGATATCACTGACTACCTGATGAAGAGTTTGACTTATTGTGGTTACTCATTCACCACTAACGACAGATTTGAAATCGTTCGTGACATCAAGGAGAAAATCGGTTACATTGCTTTTGACTTTGATAAAGAAATGCGCACTGCTGCCTCATCGTCAACCCTCGAGAAATCATATGAATTGCCAGACGGTCAAGTCATTACCATTGGTAACGAAAGTTTCCGTTGCCCAGAGGCACTCTTCCAACCATCGTTCTTGGGTATGGAATCTGATGGTATCCACATAGCCACTAACAACTCGATCTTGAGCTGTGACGAAGATATCCATAATGACTTTTACAGAAACATCGTACTCTCTGGTGGTAGCACTATGTTCCCAGGTATTGCAGAGCGTTTGCAAAAGGAATTGGCCTATCTTGCTCCTAAAAGCACAATCAAGATCATCGCTCCACCAGAACGTAAATACTCTGCCTGGATTGGTGGTTCAATCATGGCTTCCCTCTCAACTTTCAAACAATTATGGATCACCAAGGAAGAATACGAAGAATGTGGTTCATCCATTGTCAACAAAAAGTGTAGTATATAGAACTATTTTTAAACCTAATCCATTCATTATCGTTTATTGGTGATTGTCTAAATAAGCTGCATAATAAATATTTATCTAGAATATTACCGTGTCTAATGTAAAAGTGTATTATATTCATACACTTTATCTAATATAAAAAAAACTTTACTACCACACACACACATCATGCATCGTTGGAAATCATTATTATTTGTGATTCTAAACCTTTACATATGATTCAATATGATATTAAGAATAAAACAGGCAGAACGAAAAATAAAAGATATAAATTAGATATGTCTCAACACGTTTGAATATTTAAAATAAATTGTTCTTGAAAGCTGCTTCTCAATCAAAAAAAAGGTGGTAAATTTATTTTTGATAAATAGAAACATCGGTAAAACACAGAAATAATTATTTCAAAAAGATCTAATAAATCCACTGATTTTATATTCTCCATAAAAGATTTTTTAATAATAATGTACAGTACTGTATTAATACTTAAAATCATATTTTATCAATTAAAATGGGACCATTTTACTAATTGAAACCTTACTTTTACATTGACACCACTTTGTGTTTTTTTCTGAGAAAAATCTGATTAAGTTTTATCAAACGTAAAATAAAAATTTTAGTATTAAATTAATATTTGTTTAGATTTGATTTTTATTTATAATAATAAAAACAAATTTACAAATATGAATAAAGCTTTATTTATAAAAGTTTTTAATAATATCATTTTAAGAAAAATAATATTTAATCATATTAGTTTCATTCATGTTAATATTTTAAAACAAAAAGATAGATATAAATGGATAGATTTGATTAAAACACCATCTGTGATGGTTGGTAATAACTACATTCAGATGTTTCATGACTATAGAAGCAGGCATTGGAGATGGAAATGGAACGTATTGAAAAGTGACAATGATGAAGAAGAGACAAATCTCTTTTCACGTGCGATGGAAGTAGCAATCATAGTAAACAACCGTGAAATCTATAACATTTTCGTGAATAACAAGAAATTCAATACCTATCAATTTGATAGATTCATGGAGGCCGCAGTAAAGAAAGGTCGAGTTGAAATGTTCAAACAACTTGATATTCGTTTATTAAATACACATTCCCAGGAGGAATGTAGACAACGCTATAAAAATCTTTTTTTTATATCACCAGAGAGCCGCAACATTGAGATGATTCATCTTCTTCTCAGAAAGGTTGAGGAGCACGTTACCGAATTGCCTAAACTACGAATCATTATGAGAGATGCATCTTGTTTGGCTGCTAGATATGGTGATATCGAAATAATCAAATTGCTGGTGAGCAAAGGCAATTTCGAGCAAGATAAAACCATTTTGTATTATATATTTCTTAATACTCTTATATATGGTAATTTACATTGTGCTAAATGGATGTATCCGAATATTTACAGTGACTCTAGAAACACAGTGAAAAGTTTACTCATCGACCCTGTTGCAGAGAATGGTCACTATGAATGTATTAAGTTTCTACATTTTCATGAAATAAGCGATTGTTCTGTTCGTGCCATGAACAAGGCAGCCGCTAATGGTCATTTACAAGTGGTACAATTTTTGCATGAGAATAGAAGTGAAGGTTGTACCACAGAGGCAATGGACAAGGCTGCATATTATAATCATTTCGACCTTGTCAAGTTTTTGCATTACAATCGCACTGAAGGATGTACATCTGCTGCGATGACGCATGCTGCACGTCATAGTTTGGAGATGGTGAAATGGTTCCATGAAAATCGAACTGAAGGTTGCACCTCTGAAGCTCTTCACAATGCTGCAACCAACAATCAACTCGAAATCGTAGAATGGTTACACTTGAATAGAACAGAGCGCTCACCTGATACACTTCGACAACTCATTTTCGATAGGTTCAACATTAAACCAGAAATACATATCAGAATAATCAGGTATCTCTTTGAAAACAAACTATTCGAACGATTAACCGGTACATATAGCCATGTTTTAAATATATTCAAAGGTGCTATCAGTAGAAACAGTGACAGTGGTCTTCTTCAATTCCTCTTGGAGCATCAATCAGAACTGTTCTATACCAAATCAATGGATATCGATGAATTGATTGAATACTCAAAAGAAAAAAACTATCGAGTTTCAACAAAAATCTTAAAGCAATTTAAAAAATAACTATCTCCAAAACATACATTATTCAAACATTATTCAATAAACTTTCTATTTGTATTTGTATTTTTAAATATAAAGTTAGTTTTTTTGCTTTTTTTTTTTTTTTTTTTGCAAACAAAAATTTTTTTTTTTTTGTTTAAAAATTAAAAACAAAACAAAAAATTAGTTTTGTTTTTAATTTTTTTCAATTTCCTCGAGTTTTCATCGAAATTTCGTCTTTTTGAGGGTTTTAAAAATGATTATATGGACTAGAAGGGTATCGATCCCTTTACCTCTCGCATGCTAAGCGAGCGCTCTACCATCTGAGCTACAAGCCCTTTGATGTCTTGCCAGAGTCAAAATTATGAAAATCTAGATTTTAATGCCAATTTTCTTTATTGAATCGTCAAAACAATATTCAACACTCTACAAAGTAATGTAGCTAAAGTGTAAGAATAATTTAATAAGACCGAAAAAAATTAATCATTATCAAACAATCCTTCTTTACTAAAAAATTTATTTATAAAGAATCTTTAAAATAATTTAAAAAATGTTTATTATTCTGCTTTTGGACCAGAGAAATAAAATACGTCGCCCAAAACAATATTTGACATTTCTGACAATGTGAATATTTTGAAATTCTTTATCTCTGGATCACCAACAAGGAAATATTTTTGGTTATCTTTCATTTTAATTGAGCTAATATAAATAGTAATTAGTTTTTGCTTTGTTTTTTGATATGTTTTTGTTTTTATAATGTACATACAATAAATAATTTAGATGACCAACAGACACTGCAAGAATCTTTTCCGAAGTACAAAATAAGACACCCCCAATGACAAAGCAGTCATCCCATAGCCTCAAGAGAGAATCTGACTTGTCATCATCGGACATCTTTCGGAATTTCTCTGCATAGTCATCGTAGATAGAACGATAGTACCTCGAAAGCTTTGGGAAGCAGAATTCATAGTTGATAAACATTATCGATTCAAAGAAATATGGTGGAGTACCTGATACTCTATCCAATAGCTTTGGTTGATTCGGTATGAAAAATGTTAGTCCACAATAGAATGACATTAGATATGCACTTAGATGCCAATCACTCCTATATATTTAAAAATATTAATAAAACCATATGGATTATAAGATAAAATGGTAATAACATACGCAATAGGCTTTTTGGTAAGTATTTTAGGTGCGGTAGGACTAAATATTGCAGAAAAAGACTGCATTGCTAAATTCCAATTTGATACCAATTTGATTATTTGATTAAATCTGATATCACTGTGCTGTGAAGCTTCGATAGCTAGATAAAATAATAATAATAAAAAAGTGAAGGTTAATAACAAATTAATTAATATTTACAATCTGACTAATAGTAATTACCTTCTTGATAAATAGAATTATATAATTTTGTAACTTTTTTTATTTTTTGCTCCATATAATCGTAGATTGACGGTACACTTTTATCTATCAGTGCATAGTATGCTTTGATGTGTTTCTTATTTCCAATTCCTTTGTACACTTCAATCTTTCGTAAAATCTCTTTTAAAACAACCAAAAGTGATGGTAGGAATGGTGATTTCGAAATGAATGATAAATTGAATGCCGATGGATTACATGTATTCAAATAATATTGTTGACTATTATTTGAACAAAATATCATCTAAAAAATAAAAATAATTAATAACTATATAAATCTATATTATTATTCTATTTATATTTATATTGATCATACCCAAATAAATAATATTTCTCTTCTTTCTAAATTAAATAAATTCTGGAATAATTGATCTTCAATCATCTTTAATCTGATCCTACTGGTGAAATTTGAAAGTGCATTATATATAAATCGTTGAAGTATGGAGAGGTTTAAATATTCTGTTGGATTGTAGTGATTGAGGAACAATGTGTTCGATAATAATTGAAGGAATCTGTCTATTAATCTAATATTACAAATACTATTATTTCTACTGGCTGATGACGGTGATGATAATGATGGTGTTTGTTGTTGTTGTTGTTGCTGATGATTATATTGATTCTCTAGATGTTCGAATTGTAACTTTAACTCGGTGATTGTTTTGATGGTGTTGGAGATCGAGAGTTTGCTGAATTGGAAAAGTGAAATCTGGTTGAATGGTCGACGTGAGGTTGCTGGTTTGATGGTTGCGTTAGTCTCTGGAACAAAACAAAGTTGAAAAATAAAGTCGTTGACCAACACCTTGTAGAATCTGTGTATCAGATGGAGGTCATCTCTGAAATGATTGATATTATCGTGGTATTCGTTAGATTGGAACAACGGTGAACTAGACATGAAACTACCCAAGTTCTTTATATTCCAAAGGAAGTGATTATTGCTCAACACAATCAAACTGTAGTCTTGAATTATAAAATAATTATTATTTTTAATTTTATGACAATTTGGGGGTGTTTTACATTTCTTTGTCGATGTTGTTGTTGCTGTTGCTGAATTAGATGTGGAAGTAGATGTGGAATTAGATGTTCTTGTTGTTTTTGTAAATTGTTGATTAAATATATTTTGATTGGTTAATTCAATGATTTCGTAGAGTTCATTGTGCAGTGCTGTCTGTGTGAATGGGTCGAATAGTGTGTTATCAAGTTTGTGTTGGAGTGTAAGTTGTAGGAAATCTATGCCTGCATAGGAGTGAAGTGAATTTGAATTGCCAAAACTACTGCTTGTTGCATCGCTGTCTCTATGTTGTTTACTATTACTATTACTGTATTGTTGATGTTGTCGTCTTGAACTACCTCTATACACCAGATTGTCTGACGATAAATTGAATGAAACCGATGACAACGGTGATGACTCTACGTGACTACCATCAGGTGTACAACCACTACTACATTGATCAATACTACCAGTGAGTATCGATGATGTTAAATTAGATGACATAGGATAATAATAATAATATTTTAATATTCCTATACATCTATATATCTATCTTTTTATCTATAAATATATTTAATATTAAAATAAATTAGAAAATAAATAAATAAATCAAAAATGAAAAATAGATTTATTGTTTATCATTTCGGTATGATGATGTTTTGTGTGTTTTGTGGGTAAAAAACAGAGTCAGATTTTTACCACACAATTTTTTTCATCAAAAAAAAAACAAAAAAAAATGATAATTTAATCATATTTTGATTTATCAAAAATTGAATCTGTTGTGAATCGAAGATCAATTAATTGGGCGGGTATGATTGATTTAGTAATGAGAATAAGTTAAAAATAATTTAGATTTTTAAATTTTTAAATTATGTATTTTTTTATTACTAACAAAACTTAAATTGTTAAATTATTTGATACAAGGTTGATTGTTGTTTTCTTTTAAGCATTAAAAAAGTATAACAATATATATGATTGGTATATATTTTAGGGTGTTGTGGTTCTGTGGAGTTTGTTGTTGTTGTTGTTTGACTTTGCGTAAAGTAAAAAGATAAAAAGAAATTGAAAATAAAAGAAAAAGACTACGACGATGGTTTTTTACTCTAACTTTGGAGCCAAGAAGAAACTCAAGTAACCCAAATCTTCAATGTTGTACTCGACGACTACTGGAGCGCTGTCGGTCATCTTGATCTTGACGGTTGGTGACAATGGGGTGGCCTTGGTAAAGTGGGTGAGGAACTTGAGTGAAAAGTTGAGGGTGATTGGCTCTTTGGATTCGATGGTGATAGAGTCTTCCGATTTGGCAGAGGAATCGGTGGTTGGTCTAACAGTGATATTGAAACTACCGACGTCACCGCTAGTCGAGAACTTGACACCCTCCTTGTTGGCACAGATAGTAACGACTTCACCAAGAGTGGAGAGATCTCTGCAGATTCTCTGTAACTCTGATGATGGCATCTTAATGACGGCAGCATACTCTGTGTCACGGATAGTGTATTGATCATTACCCAAATCCAACAATTTAATTTCGAAATCACAAACTCTGTCATTCTCTGAAAAAAAAAAAAAAAAAAAAGATAACGAAAAAAAAAAGAAAAAAATAAATAAGAATAATTATTAATATCAATTTTAAAATAGTTAAACTATAGTTTGTTTGTCAATTTACTTACTTGGTGATTCGAAATATAAGGAAAGGGTATCTGGTTCGTCACGTGCCTTCATGGTGAGGGTGTCGTCGTTACCGGCGCACTTCAATGCCTTGGAGAGAGCGTTGATCGAGAGACCCAAAGAGAGTGAACGTTCACAGTTGTATGTTTCAAAACCGTCGGTACGCAACAACAAGTTGATGAGGGTGACGTGTGCAGAGTCCATTGCTTGTAAGGAGATACCCGATGGACTACAATCAAAGTTGGCAGACTCTACGAGATCCTTGATTGGTTCAAGAATCTTTTTTAACAAACTGGCTTGAATTAACTTTGCTTCGAACATTTTTATTTATTTTATAAAAAATCTTTTATATATATAGAGAGAGATATATACAAATTTAAATTATTATCTGATTAAAAAATAATAGATAAAGATAATATATTGTGCAGAAATCGATGAATTAGGTTAGTTTTGTTTTGAAAAAAAAATGAGTTCAAATTTGTTAAAAATTTTGGAGGGATTTTTATTTTTTTCAAATTTGAAAAATACCAAGAATAAAGGCGCCAACTGACAAAATATATTAAAAAGGTAAACGACCGTATTTAATAAGATTATTATAATATTTTTAATTATTTAAATAATTTAATTTAATTTAAAAAATATCTGATATCGTATAATTCAATAATATTAATTTGTGACAGACATTCTCACAGCCAAGATGTATGTCCTCTAGGTAAATACTGTAGCATACATTTGATGTACCGCAATACTCTTTGAATTCGGAACTACCTTGAAAACAAGTTGGCAAGCATTCAGTGTCTTGTATCTTTGCGTTTGTTGTAGTAATGATAATCAACAATAACGATAGAATGAATAATATTAATCTTAATAATGAGATAATCATTATATTTGCTTTGCACTTCGAAGTGTACAACGAATTTTTTTTTTTTATAATTGTTAAAGTTTTTAGTAGTTAAAAGTTTTAAACTAAATATGAAAGTTGTAAACTAAAACTATTCATATTCATTCATTATTATTATTTTTTTATATACTTTCTTTAAAGTTTTCATTTGTTTGTAACCTTACTTACAGATTTAAAACTGTGAATCTTGAATAAATCTTAAAGTTGGTCACACCAGTAAGAAAAATAATAATAAAAAAATAATAGAATGAATCTTAACTTAATGTTTTTTAAGTAAATTAAATATTATTAATTAATTGTTTAATAGAAACGAATAGTTTATGAATCTTGAAGTAATTTTGAGATTTTTTAATTCTAAAGCAACACCATACTAAAGATTTGAAGACTTCTGACGTGTAGTGTTAAAGAATTTATATATTTTAAGAAAAAAAAAAAGTAGTTTACAAATTTTTACACACAAAGATTTAGAAAAGCTAAACAATATTAGGATTGGTTGTATTTTGGTAATGATATTGAAATTCATTGAATAATTATTGATAAATCTCCCATTTATTAATTAATTAATTATATTATAATATTAATCTTTGATGGTATGTGCTTGATTCTCTTAAATAATCACATGATCCACAATTCACATTCTTTCAAATAAACCAAAATACGTTGTATATTAAAAAAGAGAGAAAGATAAAGAGAATTGATCAAGTAGAATTTAGTTGTGTGTAAAAAGAGGCTCCTCTCCACATCAAATAAAAATAAATTTGTGCTGTGTTTTTTTGATTGATCATTGTGTTGTGGTTTTTGTTCCCTCATTTTTCGTGTTAAAAAAATTTAAACAAATGTTAATAACAATAATAATAAGAATGATCAATAGACAGACGCCAATCAATCTAACCAACTTCTTTTCTTTACATTGCATCACATCAGATTCAAAATAAACAAATGATAATTTATTTTTAAATCAAACAACAAACTCTAAGATCTTACAATCAATAAAAAATACACATACACACAACACACTCTTTTAAAGAGTGCTGTTCAGGTTTTTTAAATCTTTAAGTCTTTTAATATATCTATTTTAAGTAAAGTGTAATTTGATGGTGATGGCGATACATTTAAACACACTCACAAACACACACACACAGAAAGACAGACAGAAACACAAACAATGCAGTTCAAAAGCACACACCACACCGACGACGCACACACCAATCAATTAAAGAAAGAACAACACACTTCTTTTGGTATTATTTTATTTGATTGTTTGGATTTTACTGAGAGAAGTTGCGATTTATTGGATTGATTCATGATTGAGGTGTATCGATTAAAATTCAATAGATCAAAAAAAAAAAAAAAGAAAGAACCTAGCTAACTGACTAACAGGTTGAAGTGAGCGAAATGAAATGATAGAACTAACAGTACTAATTTTCCAACTAAGCTCATTTCTTTTTATTTTCTTTTGCAGCGGCGTGGTGATGATGATGATGATGTTAATGATATTGATCAATAAAAGATGGGAGGTGGTGTATTTATGTTACTACAAATAGGTATATTAAAGAGACATCAATCAATAGTGATTTATAAACATATGGTTAGTTTAGGTGAATTTATTAACTACCAACCAACCCTAACCAACCCCAACATTACCGTGTAAGGTAAAGTAGAAAAACTACATAGTAGTTTAGTAGTAGCATCGTAAAGTCAATTAATTAATTATATTTAGGATTATTACCGAGATTGTTTGAATTGAATTGATTTGATTGGCTCTCTCTTTTGGTTAGAGTCAAGTTTATTTATATAAAATTAACATAAACAACTATCATCATTACCATTCAAAACATTAAATATAGATTTAAAAATCAAATAAATCACCTACTACTTCTACTAATACTACTACTCTACATCCACTTTACAGTCTATTTATTTTTGTTTCATCTTTAATAAACAAACAAACTAACAAACATCAACCATATCATTACCATATTTATTTATTTATTTATTTATTATTTATTATTTATCTATTAATACATTCCATACATATCTGCTAAACAAAAAAATGACCGATATAAATTATTACCAAAATAGTAATACTATGGTCGTTCCATCAACACCTATTTATTCACCTCCTAATCCTTTTACACCCAATACTATGATATCTTCATCTAGTAATGATGTAAATACTAATGTCCAATATTTTAATTCCACTATTTTACCATCTATAACCACAAATTCACTCTTAACTACAACTTCATCTTCAAACATATACATACTTGACAACTACAACAATAGTTTTGAAAATAACAATAGTAATAGTAATAATATCAATCTTAATAATACCAATAATTATTACTTTAATAGCAATAGCAATAGCAATAGCAATAGCAATAGCAATAGCAATAGCAATAGCAATGTTGATGGTAATATCAATACAAATCACAATATTAAAATAATTATTAATAACGATGACCAACAACAACAACAACAACAACAACAACAACAACAACAACAACAACAACAACAACAACAACAACAACCATTGTATTTAAATAATAATTCATTAATTCCACATTTGGATTTGACGTCATGCTCGACTTTTGTTAATGATCATAGTTGTAGTGGCGAGAACACACCTAATGCAAGTTGTTTACCATTTGGTCAAAATTTCACATCAAATGACTTAATGTCATCGACTTTTAGTCTATCGACATCGACGTCATCGCTGGACTCTTCTATACCAGACCTGTCGTCATCGATCAACGGTAGTGACAGTTCATATCGAACCTACCAGTTTATTGATCTATCTCCACGATCTCCGCCCGTAGCCGTCAACAGCAACGATTCCTACAGTCCAGACTGTATCGTTCCCAACGTTCAATACCAACAACTCTTACAACACCACAAACAACTACAACAACAATTGAAGCAACAAAAACTAATAGGTACTCAAGTTAATTTCGATTTTAACAAATTTAAAAGTAAGTTTAATAATAATAATAATATATATTTGTTCAATTGATTTTAACATTCTTTTTGTTATTATTATATAATAGATATTTTAATTAAAGTTGTCAAAAGAAATCTATTTGAAGTAAAGTTTAGTTATCCTTATTCAAAGGTTGAAGAGAAAGCAACTATTTTAATAGGTGACATCACTTTGCCAGAGAACTACCACGCTTTTACAAGATTAATATTGGATGTAAAGATTGAATATGATAATTTCATAAAAAGATTTAATGATTCTATTTTATATATATTCGATTCACTATCAAAAGATGTAAGTATATTATAGTATAGTTTTGTAATTAACTAAATTCATTATAATAAATATTAATATATTTTAAATAAAACAAATAAATTTAGGCGCAAAGACAAATATTGTATAATGCACAAACATTCCTTCAAGATCCGACCTCTATAAAGAGTGTTCGGTTGAGCAATGAATTCGAGACATTCTTGATGAATGTAGTCGGTAATAGCAGACCACTGAATAGAATCAACCAAGATGTACGTGAATATATATTGAATAAAGTAGTGAGAGATGGTGTATCGTTTTCAAGAAAGAGAATCTACAATAACAATGGAAAGAGAAAATCATGTGATTTCTATTACTATTGAAATAAGATTAAAAACAAAAAAAACTATAAATTAATAAAAATATTTATAACTATTTTAATTTTATAATTTTGAATTTAATGAGTTCCAATCGAAAAAGAGTAAACATTCATTAGCTTAACTAACAAGATAACATCGTAAGATATTTTATTGTTAATGGGAAATGTTAAAAAAATGTAATATCAAAAATATAACGAAAATTTTCCAAGAATTCATTTGTTGACTCTTTATCAAAAAGATGTTGTTCTTCCATTATTTTTTTGAGATTTGGGGTTGGTGTATTCTCGAAATAACATTCGCACACATCAAAGTGTCCGTTGCCGTGTGCAAAACAAAACTTTGAAGAATTCCATTTAACCTTTCTTATTTCTACAAAATATTTTACGATATCCAAGTGGTTGTATAACGATGCATAAAATAATGGGGTATCGTTGCTATGATGTAGATCACTAAAGTTACCCAACTCATAGTAATCACGAATCAAATCCAAACAGCCATTCATAGCGCCAAGATCTTTTATATAGGAAATGATATATTCTCCTAAGAAATCTGTATTAGTTTGATGTTTCTTTAGTAGTTTAAAGAAACATTCGGACATTGCTTGACGTGTTGTGATCTTTTGGCTGTCAAAGATAAACGGTTCATCTCGATCGGCATTAATGGTTTTGTTGAAAACATTCTCCAATAGATATTGAAACATTTCTACATTGTTATTGATGATGGAGTACATGATCGATATGAATGTACCACCTTCAGTTCTATTTTCATTCAACCATTTGACCATTTCGAGATTGTTGTTTTCACAGGCATTGTCGATCGCTTCATAGGTGCATCCTTCAGTCCGATTCTCATGGAACCATTTCACCAATTCCATCTTGTTCGATCCAGCTGCATTACTCATTGCTTTTTTAGTGAATAAATTTGGTGAGATTTGATGCAAATATTTAATTGATTTAAACTTGCCAGAGTATGCTGCATTTTCAACAGTATCTTCAGTGAACTCCATTGTCGAATTCTCGTGTAGCCACTTTAGCTTTTTGGAAGAATCAAAACCAGCATTGGACATCGTTTCAGTTGAAAACATTTCAATTCCTTTCATTTGTATCCAGGTTAATGTTTCCAACGAATATTCATAAAAATTGGTCATACCAGAACGTGAGAAACGTTCATTTCTATTCTCATGCAACCACTGAATCAACTCCAGACTATCGATTTGTAATGCAGCATCCATCAGATCCGTTGAACATTTGAAATGACTAAAGTGTTGATGAACCCATTTGATAATCTCGAGTGGATCGCTTATTTCATTCAAATTCTTGGCAATTTCATCGAGGTTGATTGTTATCTTATGAAAATTGATTTGATTCGAATGATTATCTATTAAATAGTTGAGAAAAGTAATATTTCCAGTTGTACAAGCATTTTGAATTACAAGTTCAAAGTTGTCAGTCTTTAAATCATCTTGTTCCATCAACCATTTGAAAATATCAATCTTTCCTTTCTTTGCTGTCCATTTATAAATATTATATAGAGAGGTGAAGTGACTTCTTTTCGTACTTTCATTGATTGCAGGTCTAATCTTTCCATAGAGCCACTTGACAATTTCGAGATCTGAATTGATCGGTGATTTGATGAATGCCTCGATATAATCACTGACTTGCCAAGCAATCGATGTTTGTTGATCCAAGAACAATAACATCTCCAATGATCCAGATAATGATGCTTGTCTCATTAAGATTCTTGGCTTTACATAATCGTTTAACTTTAAATTAAATTCATCTGTGATCACTTTAATTATATCGATTTTCGCAAATCTAACTGCTGTCCTGATTGACTGATAGTATATGAAAGAGAAACTATTCACCTCTTTGATTCTTCTCTGTTGATAGCTTTTAAGATAGATTCTAAACTTATCGACATAGTTAAACTTGATCAACAAAGTGAATCTCTTTTGAAGTTCTTCCCAACCACAAGAATAATATGATTCAGATCGATTTAATTGATTAACTTGTTTAAAGATATCGATTTTTAATAATTTATTTTTAAATATCTTTAGAAATAATTCTGTATTCATTTTATTATATAAATGTATTTAAAAGAATAAATAAATAAAAAAAACAAAAAAAAGATTTGAAATAAAATTGTAAAAAATAATTTTTCAGAAAAAATTCTTAATTTTGCATACAATAGATAATAATTCCTTTTTAATACATCTACTTTAAATTATTAAATTATTAATAGATAAAGCAGAGCAAAATGTATTAAAAAGGAAATGTTTAAGTCAAATTTTTGTTTAAATTTAAAAAAAAAAAAAATAAAAAAAAAATAAAAAAAAAAATTCAAAAAATTTATGACCACCTGTAATTTAATTCTTTGATCGAAATCTAAACAAATATATATAAAAAGTGTATTTAAAACAACAATGATTCAATAGTAGTTATAAGAAGTGCAATCATAAATAACAATAATAAAAAAATAAAATAGTTCAAAGTCAGTGAACTGATGATCTTATGATGATGATGATGATGAACACAATCAATTTACATCTAAATAATCCATCTTTATCTTGAAATCATATGATAAATGTTACTCTGATCGATCTTGAACACTCTATTTACTTTGTATTGTGATAAACCTGAAGGTCTAACCTCAAAAATAGTTCTGATCAGTTAGTTCAAAACATAAAATATATTCTTTCAATTTTAGCTGTGTATAGTATAACCTTACCTATAAAATCAATTCGAACTGTGAACAGCCAATTATTTTTCAGGAATGTTAAAAATTAAATTTGTGGTTTGTGGGTTGACAATGAAACCCTTTTGATTCAGAGTTTTGATTGGTTCTTCAGGTTTGATTTCGCCCAAAAATGACCTCTTTTTTGTCGATTCTGAGTGAGATTCATGTTTTTTGAATATTTTTCAAACAATCATCTGCTACCTCGATCACAGTTATTTTGAAATGTGGGTGTGGTTGTTTTTCAAACAAATCATTCAAAGTCACCACCGTTTTTTTTCTCCAATAAAAAAAAAGGCATATCTCTGAATTCATAATGCATTTCTAAAGTTTTTTTTCACCACTTTCGGTGGATAAGAATGATTGCAAAATACTCATTTTTTTGAATTCACAATTTATAATATTTTGCAAAGAGCAAGCATACCAATTTCACACCTTTTTGATTTTTGAATTAATTTAAAACAATCAACCATCCACTATCCAATCAACAAAGTCGTACATGTTCCCGGCATAGCTAAGCCCGCCAAACCAAATAGCAAAATAACTAAATTTATATAAAATTGTGTTATACCAAAAATAATCATTTTTCAATAATCAATTATTCCTATATCTATATCTATATCTATCTATTTATTTATCTCTTTTTTTTTTTTTTCTTTTTATTTATATTAATTTTAAATTCACTTTTAAAAACAAAAACAAAAAAAAGTTTAAAAATATTATTTAAAAAAATAATATTTATTTTAAATTAAATAATGAAATATTTAATATTGGTATTATTATTATTAACCATTTCGATTCACTTTGTTAACTCAAAGGATTGTCCACGTTGTCTTGATATCGACGATGAATGTAACATTAACGATACAACCGTTACTTGTCCGAAAGGATCATTTTGTTCACCAATTTCCCAAACCTGTAAAATTTCGGTTCCTGAAAATGGAAATTGTACTGTAGATTTGGAATGTGAAAATACATTGGGATGTATAAATTCAACATGCATACAAACACATTATTTAGGGTAAGATTTTAATACATTTTTCTTAATTTTAATAAATATTTTATTAATTCTCTTTTTTCTTGTACTTTAAAGTATGATTGAATTGTGTACACATGATTCAGAGTGTACAACACCAACTCTTTGTAAACCATATTCATGTGGTCAAACATGTAACAAAGCATGTAATTACTTTGAACTTACATGTACAACAAATGGACAATGTCAATTCCCAATGGTTTGTACCAGTGGAAAATGCAATACCGCAAAGAACGACGGTGAATCTTGTAAGATCTCTTCAGAATGTCAACCTTATAGTACATGCTCAGAGAATATTTGCCAATCACCATACTCAATGGATTTAGGTGAAAATTGTACTTCTGACTACAGTTGTGATATTTCTAAAAATTTAATTGTAAGTATTGATTATCATTATTATTATTAAAATTTAAATAAATTACTAATAAAACATTATTGATTCATTTTTATATGCTATAGTGTTCATCTAATGGAACATGTATAAAAGATTTAAATCAAACTTCACATTGTGGATCTCTTGATCCATCTGTAAAGAAATCGATATTTTGTCAACTCGAAAAATGTAGAATTCTCAATGAATGCCAGGTTGTCGATCACATGGCAAAGAAATCTTGTATCTACCAGAGTTGCGGTGAACTCGTTGATAAACTCAACGGTCTCAACGATACATGTAACGCGACTCCATCGAATTCCAATTCACAAAGTGTAACATATGTACACTCTTTATTAGTTTTATCATTGTTTTTATTTATTTCCTTAATTATCTAAAATTTCTTAAATTATTTTCAAAAATAAAAGTTATATCGTTATTTTTTTGTTTCTAGTACTATCATATCAGTCAGTTTTATTGATTTTGAGATGAACAAAGAATGGCATTCTTCTCTTCGACAATCGATTTTCTGAGATTGGTATGAGAAAGAACGAGTGGGAAATTGAAATTCTGGTTGATGGTTTGTGTTTTTGTGGAGAGTGAGGATGTTGAGGAGTTGTGCGAAGGGATAAAGTCACCATCGATTTGTGGACGCAGAATAAAACACTCGGTAAGCAGATGTTTGTGTAGTTTGGCATATCCGTTCAGTGTCGACTTATAGCCGTGTGGAACCTCCAGTTGGATCTTGTATCTTCCGGTTCTCAGGTTGTCAAAGAGGTAGTCACCATCGGCATTGGTCAGTTCCTCTCCGATGATATTGCCAGTGTCGGAATCGTAGAGACTGACTTTGACGTCGACAAGCGGCACGTCTATCTTCTCGGTGAACAAGCCGTCGTCATCGATATCGTGGAACACCTTACGACCGATGGCAAAACGTGAGTAGTCGTCACTCAGTATCATTCCAGCAGACACCGTTCCCATATTGACATTTACCAGCTGCTGTTTCGCATGGTACTTCCAGAAGAGACTGTTCTGAGTCGGTCGTTTCAAATGAATGATCTCGGTGGTACCGCTATGGTCAGGCCAGCTGTCGACCATGTATTTCTTGTGATTGTTCGATTTCACGGTCCATCTATTGAGATATGGTTTATTTTCGAAACTAAGGTAGTATTCGCCTTCCTTGATGTTCTCGATGATGGCACGTCCAAGTTCGTTGGTTTTGACAGCGGGCAGTGGCTTACCATTGAATCCGAGTGCACGCTGTCTGGTTTTGGCATCGTATAGCGATACTTGTATGCTATTGCCAGAGTATGGTTCGTCACCATCTAGAAACTCGAAATGTCCATCTTCATTCTTATCGGTCCAAACAAACAGATCGATGGCAAACGATATATTTGAAGTTTTTTGAATTTGGTAATCTTCAATCAAATCCACTCCATTTATACATATAATAAAATAACAACTAATAAATAATACTATTAAACTATTATTATTCATCATTATTTATCTATCTATCTATGTTGCTATACTGGTAAAAAATAAATATATAAACAAATAAACAATCTATAAATATGTTATAGATTTAGATCGATCTATTTTATTCATTGTTTTTCTTTTCTAATATGATCACACACACACATCACATCAATATTACTAAAAGATATATTATCTATTAATCAAATAATTATACAAAAAAAGAATATTTGATGAATATTATTTCTTTTTTTGTTTTTTCACACACACCACATTTTTTGAGCACAATGAAGTTCAACTTGGTTATCAACATTTTTGTATGAATAAATATTAAACATTTAAATATATTTCTATTCTATAGAGCAGCGATCTACGTGTAAGAAAGTGTATTATCAAGAATTGATCATGATCAGAAAGTAAAGGAGAAAACTATTAAATTTTTTTTTAATTTTAATAAAAATAAATAAAATTCTAATTTTGATTTCATAATGTTATCTTTTTTTTTTTATATATAATTAGAATAAAAAAAAAAAAAGTATTAAAGTTGAAGTTTTAATGTTTATAAACAACTTTTGCACAATTTGCAAAGCCGCTCACTTAAATTATGTTTCATAATATTAAGTTCAATCATATCTTTGAATTCAGAGTCACACTTTTTTTTAGAAATGTAGACATATGGAAGACATTATATTACTGATAACATGTCACCAATCAATATTTTAATAATAATATTTCATACTATTGCTTTAGTTTGTAAATCTATAAATAGTTAAAGATGCCTTTTAAATATCATCATATATTATTATTTATATATATATTTAATCATTTTATTATTATCTCTTATATATTGCTTTTATTTAATAAGTTCATTTTAAAAAATGAAGAAACAAACAAATATTATATTATTAGCTTTGGTGGCTGCATGTTTGATTCCAGGTGGTGTTGTTCAAGGTCAGTGTATCTCCACACCGAAATGTGTTGGAATCGGTGATAGTTGTGCGTCTGAACTCCACAGTACTTGTCCTTCTAATGCGTTTTGTGATAGTCTGACCTTTGTTTGCAAAGCCAAAGGTGCCGCTGGTGACAGCTGCACCACTGCCTCGTCCGGTGTCTGCATCGATGGCTACACCTGTGTCAACTCAAAGTGCACCGCAGTCAAGTACCTCGGAATGGGCGAGACATGTGCGTCGACAATCCAATGTTCTGGCACCATGCTCTGCACCAACTCGGTTTGCACCAATCCATCGTTTCCAAATTGTACTAGCTCATTCGATTGCCACTGGAATGAAACTTGTAAGCCAGCTACCACCACGCCTGGCGGAGTATCGTCCAACACCACCACAACTTGTTCTCCAATCTCTCAGGATGGTGATTTCTGCTCTGCCAACGCCGATTGTGAGATCTACTCGAGTTGCTCGAAATCCAAGTTGGGTGTGCTATCCAAGTGTATGTCGCCATTCAGTGTCGACCAAGACGGTAGTTGCCAGCTGGATACCTATACAACATGTGATCTCACCAAGAATCTCAGTTGTTCATCCAACTCGTCGACTTGCGCTCCGATGTCAGGCGACCATTGTCTGCCATTCAACGCCACCCAAATGAAATCGACATTGACCTCGTTGCAATCGTGTAGAATCAACAATCGTTGTCCACTTACCAACAATGAAACACCAAAGTCGTGCAGTCCAAAGAATTGTGGAACCGATTTCAAAGCACTCCAATCGCTACTCTATCAATGTCCACCTGCAGTCATCCCAAGCACAGCCAACGTCACCTCTTCAACAACCAGCAGCACCACCACCACCACTGGAAAACCAACAACCACCTCATCTACAACTGGATCCGACTCCAACAGTGACAGTAATAGCAACAGTAACTCAAATGATTCCAGTAGATTAATCAATAGAATGTTCAAATTCTTATACTTTGTTGTTTTCATATTAATAATTAGCTCATAAACAAACACAACAATTAAATAATTAATTAATAAATAAATAATATTTATATAATATTCTATGAATATTATATCACTTTTCTTGAACTAATAATACAAATAAAATTAATAATAAATATTTTATTCACCCATAATGATAGCTAATGCTTCGTCAATCGATTTATCTATTGTATCGAATCTTGATTTCTCGTTATTAATCTGAGTATTATTATCAATCTTTTCATTCTCTAATTGAATTGGATTGGTATTGTTATCTTCGATTATATCGATTTGTTGTTCTTGTTTCACTTCTACTACTGGTTGAGATGGTTTTAATATTGATTCTAATTCACAAACTATATTTTTGAATACATTTGTAGTTGCATTAACAAATGACTTTTTAGGTTGATTGGTATTTTGCTCTGCACCATCATTATTTATCGTATTTTCTTCTATTTCTTCTTTTTCATTATTAATTGTAATCTCTGTAGGATCAGGAATTAAAGTGTTTCTATTTTCATTGCCAATTAGAGTGTTGTTGATTTCTTGAATGAAGGTCGAGCTGTTGTTATTATTATTATTATTATTACTCTCTGGATTGGGTATTAATGAACTACTACTAGCTATATCTATTTCAATTGTATGAACTAAATGATTGATATTATTGATTGGTGGTTTAATAGCTTCGAAATCGGTTTTAGTTGATACATCTGATACTCTGATAGGTTCAACTGGCTGAGGAGATGGAAGTGGTGTGGAATCTAGAGATATAGGAATCGATTCAATCAAGTCGACAATTGAACTGCAATTCTTGAGATTCTGTTGGAATTCTTCTTTGGCATTATGAGGTTTACATTCTTCTTCAGTTTTGTATTCGAATTTCGATGATTCGTCACTATATTCCTTAACTATAACTACTTCTCTTACGGCTTGATTTTTCTTTAAAAGTGCATAATAACCAAGTGCTGCACCCGCCAAAATGATCAAAAAAATTATTGGAAATAATAACCAATAAAAACTATCTTTAAAAGAAGAAATCAATTCTAATATTAAATTTATTTAAAAAAGAAAATAATAATTAATATCCAAATTTTAATAAACATATCTCCAATATATATTCTTTCATACCATTTGCCAAAACATTAATAAAATAGTATGAAGCAAAAAGAAAACGAAAAAATCCCATTTTATTTATTTATTTTTATAACTTTTATTTATTATACAAAAAAATGATATATAATATTTAATAATAATATCATTTTAATATTAAGGATAAATGTATTTATATTATATTAATTTAGATATCTTTGGGAAAGTAAATCTTGGAAACTCTAAATTTTCATTAAATAATCAAAAAATCTATGTACCACACACATATTTGAAATATTAATGATAGTTTTGTGTGGAAGAATGAATGTATTTTTTTTTTTTAATTGAGTATGTTATTTTTTTATTATAATAATATATCTCTACCTCTTGGTGGTAAAGATATTGTGGTATTATTATTTGGATTCTCTTTTAAAAACTCGATTCTACCATCATGAGTGAAATTGACAAATACCTGAACAACTTCGTTGGTCGGACAGTCATTGAACGATTCATCAAACGAAACTACATTCAAACCTAAATCTAACAACATAAACTTTTTACCCAATATAGCTGTTGAATTTGGTAATAAAACTGCATTATAATATTTAGGTCCCTCTTGATTCAAATATTTATAAATCCATCCTATTAAACTATGATATAGTAAATGTTAGTTTAATATAATAATCATCTATGTACATAGATATATAATAGTAGTAGTAGTTACCTGTCTTTTTGAATCTTCTTAATGGTCTTAATATTTCTGTTGAGTGGATCAACTATTTGATCGAGATAGTGTTGTTGATAGAATGGTGATTTGTTGGTGAGCATGTGTTTGATTTGTCGGTGTACGAGAATGTCAGAGTAACGTCTGATTGGAGATGTTGCCCATGTATAGTAGTCAATACCAAGTCCATAGTGTGCTGATTCGCTTGTTGAAATAACGGCACTGCTCATCAGTGTTGTCGATTCAAACGCCAATGCCAATGGATGATACTTGTCGAGGTATTCCGATCGGAATCTCGAGAAATCCGACTTCTTTTGTGATCTAAATGGAATTGGTAGAGCATTCTGAGCGGCAAACTGAGCGGCCACAAAGTTTGCACTGACCATCAGCTCCGAGACAATGACATTCGATTTCGAATTGAAATCGGGATGAGTCAGCCGGATGATTCCATTCTCAACGATTAGCTCTGGACGTGGAAGATCTACTGTGATAGCATTGGCACTTCGTTTCTTTTGTCTGAGAATGGCACGCTCGTATAGAATGTCCAACATTTTCTGTTGACTCTCTGTGAATGAATGGCTATTGTTGTTGTTGACACCACCATTGCTATCTCTGTTGTTCAAATAGGAATCTACTTCCTGGTAGTTTGTCTTTCTGATATTCACAACGACAGATGTGAATATCTCGCTACCAACGATGTCACCATTGTCGTCAATCTTAAATTTGAACGACAAGCATCTGTTTTGTTGATTGGGTTCCAACGAGAGTTGGAGAGTCAAGTTCGATGGCAGCATAAAGTGTGTTTTCTCCGGTAGGTAGATCGATGACGATTTCAGCTGACCCCAGCCATCCAATGAGCTGAATGGACTGATAACCGAGCTGACATCGGCAATATGTACAACGCAATAGATGTCATCGCCTTCCCTCAGAATACCAACAGCATCATCGACATCCTTTGTCTTTTTAGAATCGATAGTAAACGATTCCTCTACAATACGCTTTGCCGATCCAATCTTTGTTTGCACTGTTCCACTTTTTGCTGGTTGTTGTTGTTGTTGTTGTTGATACTTTAGTAAACTGGAATGTTCAATTCCGAAATTGGTATGAGTAAACAATTTCGATTCGATTGGAATATGATTTTTTCCAACAAATCTATTTATAATATCTTTTTGATGTGATACTCTAAAGTATGAATAAATAAATAAATTAGTACCAATTTGTTATTGATAAGTTATCTATCAAACACACTAAATAAATAGTAAGCTACATACTTTAATCCAAAGGGAGTAAGAAGATACTTCTTTACTATGACACCAAACTCCTGAGTGAATGTATAGTGTTGTGAATCCTTTAGGATTGTAATGATGTCGTTGAATGTCGATTTGAGTTTATCGGTTCTAATTGTTTGTGTTGTGAGATTGGATGGTGATGATGATGATATGTTGAAGTTGACGTGATCCGACATGGTTGGAATTTGTTGATCGTTGATAAGGAACAATGCTGATCGCGGAATTTGCACTCCATTGGAACTCAATGTCTGGAAGATGTATTTCATAACGATTTTCAGCTCCAATGAATCTCGTTTCAGTAAGTTCATCAAGCCAATCATCTTTTGAGAGCGTGGCTCCGTCAGACATGTAAAATGAGCGGGATCGATCAGAGAGAACAGCGTCGATTTGTAAGCGATGAAATTGTAAGAGTTCAACAGACAGAATATCTCATGCCATATGGCGTGTTGTTTTTCTCTGCGTGGTTGACTCTGTGACATTGGTTCGTAGATCGACTTGGCCACCTCGATCATTGGAACGACATCGTAATGTGACTGGCTGGCAGACCAAGGTTTCATTTCGAAATAACCATTTCCACCACGAGGTTTCTTGTATTGATCGTATAAATCATCAATCGGTATGATTTTCTCTCGCTTTGTAAAGTTTGACATTTGGAACATGAAGAAATTGACTTTCTCAAAGGTATGACAAATCGGATGTTGTGAAATACATACAATTTCATTGGGTGGTATTATTTCTTGTTGTTTATCGACTACTTCTTCTTGTTGTTGCTGTTGTTGTTGTCTATCTTGTTGTTTTAACCTCTTGTTTGATTGTTGAGCGATTGGATCGTATGGTTGAAGTTGGAGTTGTTGATCGATTAGATCGATGTATTGATGAAGACTCTTGATAAGTTGGTCGTTGGATGTCGGGATGGTCATGATATGAACATTCTTGGATAAGTTGAATTTGTTTTTCTGATTGATCACAGTGTATCCATTGCCTGTGAGACCAACCACCACTACCAATTCGATCGAGTTGAACTTGTCGTTGTAGGTAACAATGATATCGCCAGGCTGCGCAGGTACCGAAATATCTAGTAACTTTCTATTGTCACCCTTTGCCAATGCCATTATCTTTTCCAATTGAATATAGCCATCCAAATTTGGATCTACTGTCGATTCATTCTTTGCACTTTCAGCTGTTGTCAAACTCTGTTGTTGCTGTTGCTGTTGTTGTACCCGAGACAAGAAATTTAACAAATTTTTGTTTGCATAAAAATTTAGAAATTCATTGTTTGTTGTTGTTGTTGTTGTTAGTGGTGTTGTTATTTGTGTCTGTGGTGTTTGTTGTTGTTTTAAATGATGTTGTATATTTAAATTTGGTAATATATTATTATTAATATCAATACTATCATTCTTGGATATATTTAAATTGATATTTATATTGGTGTTACAATAATGATTCTTAATAAATGAGGTGTTACATTGAAAATAACTACTAACTACTCTACTTCTATTTAAAGTATATTTATTTAAAACATTTAAAAACATATCTATTTAGATCAATTGTATTATTTAGAAATTAACTATCTAAATAATTCAATATAATTTAAATAAATAAAACAAATATATATTTCAATAAAACAAATAAAATAATAAATAAATAAAAATAAGTCTTAATTTTATGACCTTTTTTGGATTATGCTCAGAGAAATGTCAGTAAACGTTACAATTTTAATTAAAATCGTGTTTTTGTAATTTTTTGAATTTTTTATTCGTTTTTTGCAAAAAATTATTACTGTGAAATTATGATGATTAAATGATCATGAATTGATCTAGTTTTTTTTTTTATACTTGTTTATTTATTTTTATTTTTTTATTTTATTTTAATTTAACTAGCAATTAATCGATCAGATTTTGATCTAAAATCAAAAATAAAAATATAATCAAAAAAGTTATTTTTGTAGTTTAGTTAAAAGAAAAAGAAATAGATATAGAGAAATGAGTGTAGCAACAGGAACATTATTAAAGATCAATGCAGAGGCATTGTTAAAGTATTCAACACCACAACGTACAGCTACCGGTTGGAATAGACCAAAGTTATCAGGTAGACAATTCAATGTATTAAAGAAGAACGTCGAACGTAATATGAATATTGAATGGCCATTGCCTGAACCAGAGAAGAAATTACTACCAGAGAGACCATCTAAATTAACTATTTTACAGAGAACACAACCATTAAGGTATGAATAAAGTGGAGTCTTCAGCAGCAGCAGCAGCAACAACAATTACAATAATACAATCAATAACAAAAAACAACTTTAATCCAACCAATAATGTAAATAGAAATCAGCATAATATAAACATACAACATACAACAACAAAAACAAAGACAATAATAATAACAACAGCAATAGCGAATCTTTTAATCTTTAACTGAATTAACTTAGTGAAAGAATTATAAAACAACAAACTAATCATGATTACTTTATTTATTTATTTTAGAGAAAAGAAGATTAATGAAGCATTAAAGAATATGCCAAAATTGTTGGCAGACAAGATGAAAGCATCAAGAGATAAGAAGAAGAAGGAAACAGAGAATTCAATCTCTGCTTTGATGCCAGGATTTGTAAAGGGTGGACCATATCCAAGTCATATTACAGGTGAAGTGGCAGCTCTCAAGAAACAAGCTGCTATAGAGAAAGAAAAGAAAATTGCTGATTTCATTGCTCAATCTTCAAAGAAAGGAAAAGCAAAGAAATAAACGAAAAAATATATATATAAATTATTAACAAATAGAAAGAAACTTACACAAATTAAATTAATAACTTGTGTTAGTATAACATTTATTTAATTATTATTATTATTATCTTATTATATCTTTTTCTATCATTTCTCTCTCTATTATTTTATAGGAATTTCTATATTGTTTGGTTTTAGAGAATGATAATAGTGATTGGTAATCGATTGGCAATTCAAAGAGAGCGGGATGTGTCAGGAGGAATATCAATATTTTGTTATTTTTAATATTCTTTCTGATTGCCCATTGAAAATAATCTATGTATCTGGCACCTTGCATTGCACCATATAGCTGATTGTCATAGAGATACTGAAACAAATCCAAATGAGAATTGGTAATCCTGATATCGTTGATCAATAGCGAATAGATTGAATTTAACAGAGCCATTGGAAAGCATGTTTCCTTCTTGTTGGTGTGTAGCCATTTCACAATGTCGAGGTGGTTGTTTTTGATGGCGAATTCCATCGCTTGGTAGGAGCAACCCTCTGTACGATTCTGTTGGAACCAAACCACCTGCTCCAAACTATGTAGTGCAGCATAATCCATTGCCAAAATGGAGCATACATTGATCGAAGTACTCCCGTTGAGGTGCAACCATTTGATCAAGTGAAAGTTTCCAGAGTATGAAGCGGAATCTAACAGAGTCTCTGAGCATACACCTATCTTCTTGGAGATCATATATTTCACCAACTCGAAATGTCCTTTGGATGCAGCAAAACTAACATAGTCTTGATTCTCTTGAAATTGCAGACCTTTCGATAGAAGATATTCAACCACTGGAATACTACCACTTTTCGATGCTTTAATTAAATGTCTGTTGTGGTCAGCAGGATTCAAATTGAATCGGCCAATTAGATATTGTAGTTTCTCCAATTGACCTGCACGTGCAGCATAATTAATTGCATCTCTAACAACAATTTCAATTTCCTTAGTTTTATTCTTTTCCAACTTTTCTTCCACCAACCATTTGAGAATTTCAAGATTCTGCTTGGATTTAGATGCCCAACAAGTCAAATAGTAATAGGATAATCCATAGTCATTACTATACCAAACATTGGAGATCTTATCTAAATACTTTAGAATATCCAATCTTCCATATTTTATTGCGGATCTTGCCAAAACTGGAATTCGTGAATACAATGGATATTCTTTCGTAAGTTGAAAGACTAATTCTGTTTTGTTTAAACGAATTGAGGACCTTAGAGATTGAACCAGAGATTCAATGTCATTTTGTTCCAGTGGATTGCCATAGAGGAAATGATACCATTGGCGACTGGCATCTCTCTTATCTTTGAAATATCTTATTAACATTTCATCATATCCGTAAACAGCCAATATATTTGGATTACTTTTGGCTTGTTTCCACTTGAAGCTAAATTCTCGAAGGATATCCTCATGAATCCATTCAACTTTTTTAAATATTAAATTTCTCAAAACTAAATTATTAAATATAGATATAAATATTTGTTTTTTCATTTTATTAAACGTGTGATAAAAAAATTAAAAATAGTAATAATAAATAATAAAAATATGATGATATGATATTTTTATCATTTACACTAAATAAATAGTGTTACTAACACTCTCTCAGATAATATATATTTTGATTTGAACATCTTAATTTTGTTTTTGTTTATTATTAGGGGTCATAAATAGATGATATGTTTAGTGAGAAGGTGGGTGGGTGATCATTTTTATCTATTTGCACTACGGGGATTTTATTTTTTATTTTATTGTTTTGTTTTAATGTATTTTATACTTTCTATTGATTTCCAAGAGAGATTCTATTATGTCAGACATGCTTTGTTGGGTTAGAATGCCAATGGTTCTACTGAATTCATAACCATCCACAAAAGTGATGGTGGTAGGAAAACTACTAACATTGTACTCTGTGATCAATGATTGACACTTATTACTAGTGGCTCTAGCAAACTTTATGTCGAAATAGTGTATTGCATTGAGGTCATTTATTTGCTGACTCATAGATATAGCTTCGCCATTTGTGTTGTCGCCTTCGATAGAGGTTGATTCTAGAAATAACACTACCACAGGAGTATGATTCTGCAACACCTGAAAATCGAATGAATTATCTTCCAATTCAATCACTGGATACATTTATAATTAATTAAAATATAAATAAATCATTTATCAATTAATTAATAAAAATTGAAACGTATGATTAATTCAATTCAATTTTCAAAAAAAACAAGTATCTTTTGTTCTTGCAAATAGAAATTTTGAAGAAATTAATAAAATCTTAATTTTTTTTTTTTAAATAAGATATTGTGATGTCTGAAAATGAATTAAAAAACATATTAAAACTTTAAAGTGTGGATGAATGTTAATTTATTATCTTCTTTGCTCTGAACATTTGAGAAAAATAATACCATTTTATATGATCATATAACCACCCCTATCTGATGACCATTTTTTTTTTTAAATTAATCATGATTTCAACCATTTTTTCGAATTGAACATCAAAATTAGTAATAAATTAAACAATGTATAAATTAATAACAAATAAAACATTCCTAAATAATATTAACAGATTAGGAAAGAATAATAAATTTAATAACAATATATATTCGTCGATCTATCATATAAATAATAATAACAAATGTAGAAACTATTTTACAAATAACAAATTAAGATTAAACGATAATAATGAGAATAATAACAATGACAAAACAAATAATAATGAGAATTTAAATATATTAAAAGATAGTAAAAGTAAGATAATAGTTTCATTTAGAAATATAGAAGAGAGATTTCAAAGCAATAAAGATGGTGGCAAATCATTCAGCACAGTCGCTATTCCCACTGTCTCAAGATATGATCTAGTTGTACAAATGAATATTGCACTTGCAATACTTTTATTCTCTTTATATTATGCATACAGTAAGTAATCAAATCAAAAAGATCTATTAATATCAACAACAACAAATTAACTAATTAATTAAATTATTATAAATATAGGTCAAGAAAATGATCCAGGAGTATATAATAGCGATGGTGAATTCCAATCAAATTTTAGTTCACTTATCGATTGGTTGAATGAATTGATTGCCAAAGGCGACTATGCTATGATTGCCAAAGAGATTTCGAGGGTGCATCACGGTAAGAATGCAGAGCGTCTCCACAAGCTGTTGACTACCCTACAACGTACTCACTACGGACATTCACAGCTAAACACTTTTGAAAACATTGAAAAAGTATTGAAACTCTACATTGCAATGTCACAACATCAGGAATTCAGAAACATGGATTCAATAGCACCTTTCGAAAAGATTTTAAGTGAATTAATTTCTGATTCAAAATTAGGTAAAGTACAATTGTAATTTAGATTTAAATAATTACAACATAGTATTAATTAGATTGTTGTTATTAAATGTTAACATCATACATAAATAGATGATCAGGTTATACCTTTATTGGCAAAAGCAGCTTCCGATGAGAAATTGTGGAAACATGCCAAGTTAGAATTGGCAAATATTCTGGTGTTGATGTTGGAAAAAGATAAGTCCAACAGGGTTACACTCGCTGAGAACAATGTGGTTTCGCTGTTCAAGTGGATATTGGATCAAAAGTCGCCTACAGGCTCGATCAGACACTTTGTATATGCCATTCGTGATATCTCGCACAACGTCAGTCCTTCGCTGCTGAGCAATATCGACGAGAACGAACGCAACTTGATTGCACGTTGTGCCAAAGACGGTTATTTATGTACACAGAGCTGGTATGGTCGTGCAATGGTGATTACCACCACCTTTTTGTTTGGTACCACCAACACATTCTCGTTGGTACGACTCCTGGGGGTAGGTGCAGTGCTTACCGGTCTGACAGTCTCATCGTCACTGGAACACAGTCTACAATATCCATTCAAATCCAACGATAAAACAATCAGATTTGCACAGAGCGGTCTTTCCATTTTAATTCCAGGCTTGGCATTGTTAGCAACCGCTCAACTTCCACTCATCAGACCGGTAATCGGTTATTTCGCTGGAACTCTACTTTTAGAATCGGAATTGGGTTGGATCGGTCCATATTCATTCAAATTACCAAAGAATCAAAACAACAGTAATAATAGCAACAATCATAGAAATGGAGAAGAAGAAACAATTATGAATTAAAAGTATATACATTTTATATATATAAAATGTTACTATTATTATTATATTTTATTATTTATTTACTAGTAAAGGTGTTTAATAAAACTGTTAATGTTTTATACAATTAATAATATTAGAATTGTTAATATTAAAACCATTATTGGATGGAAGTTTTCTGAAAGGAATCGGCTGGCGTTGGAATGTCTGTTGTTGTTTGTGCAAGTCGATGATTTTCCTAGAATACAGTTGTTACACTGTAGAGTTGCAACAGTCGATGAGTTTACACCGTCGGTGCAATCGTTGTACGATCGAAAGACAATGATATCATAGGTGGAATGGTTGAGCATTTTGTAATAGGTCCACTGGCCGGTTAGATCTCCAGAGCATGGTGAGTACTCACGAATACAGGTATTAGAGAGGATATCCGCGCATACCAATGTTCCATTCTCTCCATTGCAAATAGGAATGATCTTGTTGTCTTGACAACGCACACAGTTTCTAATGATTATTGTTTGTCCATCACTGAAACCAACCGAAAAAAACAAAAATACTATACTAAAAATTAATATTGGAATCTTATATTTATTCATGATTCTAATTATCTATTTAGCTTTTCTTTCAAAAGTATATATAATACAATGAATTCATTGTTAACAACAGGAAACTACAACATTATTTTAATGAATTAATAGTTAAAAATCTAATGATCATTCATTTAATAATATAATACACAACCACAAATACCTAATTTGGAAAAAAATGTTCTGCTTGGCATTAAATTCAATCAATAAAAGTCTTAGCTAACTCACCCATTTTTTTATTATTTTTTATACACTTTATTTAAATAAATTTATAGTGAGAAAAAAGCTGCGATTAAAGAAAGTGCAACTAATGATGGTGTGATTTTAGTACCGGGTGAAGTAGTAGAGGAATGAGTAGTAGTAGTTGGGATACTTTCAGTTGTGGAAGTTGTTGAAGCGGTTGTTTGACTTCCGGTGACTGGTCCTGCACTTGAAGAAACTGGGCTAGATGATTGACCTTCTGAACTTCCTGCGGAGGTTGAACTAGAGGCTGCTCCTGTTGTAGCTGAAGTTTGTTCACCAGTTACTGATCCAGATGGTGATCCACTTTGAGCATCAGTTACTGAACCTGTGGTAGCTGAAGCAGTTTGAGCACCAGATACTAATCCCGATTGAGTTCCAGTTTGAGCACCAGATACTGAACCTGCGGTAGCTGAAGTAGTTTGAGCACCAGTTACTGATCCCGATTGAGTTCCAGTTACTGTTCCTGATTGAGTACCATTTTGAGAACCAGTTACTGATCCGGATTGTATTCCTGTTTGAGTTCCAGAGGTAAAAGATCCTCCTGATGTTTGAGCTCCAGAGTTTGCTCCAGTAGTTTTAACTCCAGTGTTAACTCCAACAGTTTGTACTCCAGTGTTTACTCCGCTTGGTACAACTCCAGTGTTAATTCCAACGGTTTGGACACCTGTTTGAGATGATCCTGTTGCAATACCTCCAGAAGTCTGGGCACCGGAACTAGTATGAGAATTTGTTACAACACCAGAATTTACACCTACGGTTTGGACACCAGTATTAATTCCACTTGGTTGAACACCAGTGTTGATACCTGACGCATGAGCACCAGTGGTTTGGGGTGTAGCTGTATGGTGATTATAGGTTGTTTGACATTCAAGATTAGCTGAAATCATTCCAACCAAAAATACCAAAACAGATAATAAATAGAAAATTCTCATTGTTTTTTTTGTTTAATTATAAAACAACAATATAATAATAATAAAATGTTTTATCCTAAATGATTTAATGTCATTCTTTTTAAAGCTTATTATTTCTTTGTTTTTGTTTTCCAAATAAATATTCAATTAAAACAAAAAACGTGTTGTATCTCTATGGTTTTTTCATTACCAAGGAATATTCGATCTGGTACCAATTAATTTGATAAAAACTTGAGTTTTCTATGGAAGATTGTTTTTCAGTTGTGGGTTATTATCAAACGTGGTTGTAAATGTAATATCTTTTTTGAATGTTCATATTCTATATAGTAATTAGAAAGACTAATGAAAATATAATTTAACCAACGACTGTTCAAACAAATCTAAAGATATGAAATACAATCAGTTAAAACATGAGTATTCAAGTTTTTCTATTTTAAATATATTATAATTTAAAATAGATTATTATAATAACAAAGAGTAAATTACTTAATTTTTGTGCATGTTCATTTTGTTCAACTATATTTATATATATATAATATGTAGTTCTTTTTATAATTATTTTCTATTTCTTTTATATAATATACCACATACATATGTTTTTTTTTTAATAGATTTGAAAACTGAAGAGTCATTAATTTGTTAAATATATAAAAAGAATAATATTAAATTTACCACTTTTTGACTTTATTACCAATTCTTGTAGAATTGCTAATCAATTCATCTGAGTAGCGTTCTTTAAACCCACTGTTCGTTTCTCTGTTTCTAAGGATTTCATTAAAGTATTTAGTTGATAATGGATTCATTGAGCTAATGACACCAATGATATCTCCTATGGTTTCCATAGAGTTATTCCAATCGACAGTTCTCTGTCTCTGTGCTTTAACAGTTATACCTTTAAAATCCGGTCCAAATGCTGAGTTTTGCATTGTATATATCAGCTCTGGTTTGATAGTAGGCAGTCCAAAGTTCTCAATTTGTACGTTTGGTTCTAAACAATTGGTGTATACAACTATTACATTGTTTGCAAATACTTGAGACGGCAGACTGTCTTTTATAGTTTGAAAAACGTATTTCATATGCTCGGTCATTCTCGAATCACTGCCATTGATAACTATAATTACACAAGTAATATCTTGTTGTTCTACTACCGTATTCAACATCTGGGTGGAATTGAATCGATCATACTCTACGCCTCTGGTATCACCGAAACCCGGTGTATCTATAAACACAAATCGACTCTCTCCGACATCCAATTTAAAAGGATATGACGTACAATTGATTGTTTGTGTTTCACCTGTATTATTACTCTGATTTTCATTCGATTGTATAGCTCTCATTGCATTCTGTTGATGATATTGATTGGGTATAACAACTGCAAAGTCATTCAATTCACAGCGAAACACATAATTCGCAATCGTATTTATAAATATAGATTTACCTAATTTTAAACAATATCTTAGTGTAAGTATGTTTATAAAGAAATTTATATTAAACATACCAGAACCTGTCTTTCCAATAAGTAAAATATTATGATTTTTCATAGTTATATCTATCTATTAATAACTATAAAATAAATAAAAAAAATTATAAAAAAATCAATTCTTAAAAATTAAAATAAAACGTTACTATGATAAAAAAAGGAACCATCTAAATTTAATTCAATTTATAAATATTTTGTTATCTATTATTATTAGTATTTTCGTGAGATAAAAAAAATCTTATTTGTGGTAATCGTTTGTTTTTTAGTTATATTTAAAATTTACAAATATTTATTTATTTTTTACAATTATTTATTCCTTTTTTTCGCCAATAGGTTTTTTGTAAAGTTCTTTGATTTCAACGATCTTGTCTTTCAATTGCTTGACTTTCTTTTCGAAATCCTCACGGATGTTTTCGTTGGTAATGGTTTCCTTGGACTTCTCTTCGATTTGTTTGAGACGCTTGTCGATTTCATTCAAGTTGTAACCAGAGCAGACACCTTTTACTTTGATGACGGCAACTCTGAGACTATCGACTTTTTGTTCAATGTTGTTCGAGATCTTTTCTACTTGGTCAGCAGTGGTTGCCAATTCGTCTTTGGAATTCTGGTATGCTGACAGCCCGTCGATCTCACCATTGAGTGTGATAACCTTCTTCTTTGTCGATGCCACCACGACAGAGGTATCTTTCTGTTTCATCTCTTCAAGCAAATAGGCGAGTGTTCTCTCCTTTTCCACCAACTTCTTTCTCAAATGGTAATGGTTCTTTGCTTTACATCCACACTTCTTACACTTGCCCAGCAAGGTGATCGAAGAGCATAAACGATTATAAGTGGTATTCAACTTACAACCATAGTTGCACACCTTATTACAGAGCATACAAATTAGATTTGGATCTTCGGTTGGCTCGAACTCCATTCTTTTGATGAGTTGACTACCTTGGTTCTCGACTGATCCTCTGTTTCTATCCAGAACTTTCTTTACTTTCAGACTATCGATGATATAGTTGATGATTTCATGTAGGACTTGGGCAATGGTTTCACGAGCACTGGCAATCTCCGAGAACGATTTGGTTGATTTCGGATGGAAATGGGAGATCACTTCAATGATTTCATCGACAGTCTCCATTGAATTGTTCCAATCTGTTACTCTCTGCTTTTGAGCTCTGGCTGCAATTTTGTTATATTCTTGTCCAAAAGCAGAGTTTTGCATGGTAAAGTTTCTTCCTTCTTTCTCAACACCTGGGATCTCCAGTGACTCTATGGAGAAGTTTGGCTCTACACAGTTGGTAAATACGACCAATGTATTCTCAAAGAGGTCATCCGGCAGGTTACTTCGGAGACAACTGATGACATATTTCAAATCTTCGGTCAAACGAGCATCGGAACCATTGATTACCAAGACAACACTGGAAAGATTAGCCTGTGGAATGACGGTCTCAAGGATGTTGGTAATGTTGTCATCATCCTGCATGACACCTCTTGTATCACCAAAACCTGGTGTATCAATAAATTTGTAGCTCTCTCGATTGTTTGTGAATGGGTAGACGGAACACTTGTTGGTTTGACTTTGACCGGGATTCTGGGAGTTGTTTTCTGTTGGTTTGATATGGGTCATTTCATTTTGTTTATGGTAAGCAGTTGGAATTACAATCTTTAAGTTCTGGACACCACCTTTCAAGAATTTATTGGCAACAGTATTTATAAATGTTGATTTTCCTTTATTTTAGGACATGAGCATTATTAATAATTTGACTTTATTTTTTCTTTATATATTTACATACCGGAACCAGTTTTTCCTACCAATAAAATATTATGGTCATTACTTTTTGGCTTTAGAAAATTCATTTTTTATTTAAAGAAGTGTATATTTATAAATACAAATAAAAAATTGATAGACAAATTATATTTATTTTGATGTTTTAAAATGATTATAAATAAGTAAAGAAAGAGCTAGTCAGTTGAAGAAAGAATTTTAAATTTTAAGAGTGACAGTTTCAACGATTGAGAAAAGAATCTTAAAGGTACAACTATTTTTATTTTTAATCAAATTTAGTGAATTTTGATCAATTATTGCGGGCACACTGATATAAAAAAAGTTGAAAAAATTACTTGAACCTAATCATAGACTCAAGATATTATTCTTGTCATCTCCGTGTGATAAAAATAAATTTTTGTGGTGGTTTTTCGATTTTCGGTGAGGATGAAAAATCATTTCATCAAAACAAAAAGGTAAAACAAGGTTCAACCCTACACTAGTTTGAGACAAAATTATTGTTGAAAAATAAAGAAACATTGATTTTTGAAAATTTAAAATTTCATAAACAAAATTAAATAAATAAACTTAGATTTTTCATTTGTTTTTTATTTAATTTTTTAGATTATATATATTATATTTTTAAAAAAAATTGTACAAATTTATTTAATAATAATTATTATTATATATTTATTTTATAAAAATGATAGAGAATACTAATAAAGTATTTTTAGTTATAGGTGAAACTGGTTCAGGTAAATTATGATAGAAATTAATTATTTCTTAAACAATTATTAACACCAAAATATTTTTTAAAGGAAAGTCAACTTTTATTAATACAATCGGAAATTACTTTAATGGAGGTAGTTTAGAAAACTTAAAAGTTTTCATCCCCAATGAATTGTATGCTCAGAATTGTAGTACAGAATTAGTTCCTTCTGAGGTGCCAATTAGTCAAGGTAGATCAACTAAACATTTTCAGATTTACACGTTCTTTGATAAGGATGGCAGTCAAAATCTTAGCTTTATTGACACTCCCGGATTTGGAAGTTTACTGATGCCCAACAATGCTCTCCAACAAGTGATTTTGGATGCTGTTCGTACTCATGAACGTGACTTGTGTGGAATCATCTACATCTTTAGTAGTACATTGGATAGAGGTAACAAGATCATTCCAAATATGGTATCTTTCCTAAAGAACTCCTTGCCAGAGTATCTCCATATCAACTCTCTTCATATCTATACCAAATCCTATGAGACTGTTAATGATTTCCGTCAACTCGGTATTCAAAGCAAGACTCCATCCAATATCAATATGCAAAACTCTGCATTCCACGGAAAAGGTTCTAAATCAGACTGGAAGAATTCAATGGAGATCATTTCCGAAGAGATCTTGCCTGTTCTCAGAGATATTAAAAAACCCAACAAAATCATAAAAGAGACATCAATGCTCTCTGTAAGCTCCAAATACAATTCAATTTCATCCAATCAGTTTAGAACACTAATTCAAACATGCCTTTCTGAATCCTATGACCCAAACACCAAGATACTCCTTCTTGCAGATATCACTCTTAGACTTTCAACAGTTAAATCGATCTTAGAACAGAAATATATGAATGGAGTCATCAGTTGTATCTATTTGTTTGCTTTTGAAAAGATGATTTTTGATGTCGATAAATTTTCTTTGCCATCAAAGAATGTAATTGTGCTCACACCTGATCATGACAATTCACTTGGATCAAGCTTTGGTATTGTGGTTACTCCTATCTTTTATTTGGTTGACAGTGAAACAAAGACCAAATCAGACTTTATATTTCAGAATCTCTATACTCCCAAGCCCGAAAGTTCACTCTATCCTTTTGTTTTGTTGAAGAATACTTTTACTCCAACTAATTCTGTTGGCTCTGTTTTGGATATGTATTCTTCTGAAGCATTTAAACTAAGAGATTATATTGGTGAACCTATTGTAACTCATCGTTTCATCAATTCATTCTACACTGGTCTCTTTAATTCATTGAAATTGGAAAACGGATATACTCTCGATTCAATGTTCAAAAGGTATAAAGAGATTGATACTAATCAGTTGGTTGATAATCCAAGCTCGATGGTAGAATCATACACTGTATTCTATGATTTTATTAACGTGTTCCAAATGTCTAAGAGTATTCCATCGAATGATCAAAAGATTTCTTTGCTCTATTCTTGCACTCAGAGTAAAATTACACAACTTCAATCTTTTATCAAACCACCTCCACCTATCAACAATATCAAACTTTTCATGGATGAAGTAGTTGCCAGTGGAATGAAAGATATTCAAGAAGCTGAACATCAAAGAATGGTTTCTCTTTGTAAGAATGAATATGAAGGATCTTTGAAGGAGAAGATTGCAGAGTGTAGAGATTATCTTGAAAGAATCAATTTATTGATCAACAATTCATCAAGTTCATTTACGGATACCATTTCTTCAGTTAAAGATGAAATCAATTCAATGATTAAATCTTCAAAGAAAGACATTGAAAAACTGGAACAATCCAAAAAGAAATGTAAATTCAATCTTTTCAAATCAAGTGTCTTGATTGGTTTAAATTTGGTGTTGTTTGCAGGTTGCAATGTCATTCCTTTTGGTAGATCAGGTATCACTCTCATTGAAAAGTCAATGAATTTCATTCAAGATCCAAACATGAAGGAAATGGGAAATGTCCTTAAAGTCTTGGAGAAGATCGATGTTGAAGCTGATCCAATCAGGAAGAAAATATTAAATATAGAAGATAAGAAAGAAGAGAAAAAGGAAGGTGCAAAAGACGGTAAAGATGATGGAAAAGGAAAAGATAAAGTAAAAGATGATAAAAATGGAAAGGAGGGTTCAAAGGATAAAGGAAAAGAAGGAGAGGAACCAAAAGAAAAATCATCAATTAAGAAGGTTCAAGGTCATCTCAAGAATATCATGCCTATTTTTGAACAAGTTGAACAAATGGTTAAGAATTGGAATGAAATGGAAAAGATTGTTGAAAAGATAGATAAACTTAAAGAAGCTATTGAAAAACTAACTGCTACAATCGAGCAAACTCTTCCAAAGTTCTCAGAGAACCTCATGAAAGTACTTAGTCAGTTGAGTCAGAGACAAAAGGAACTTTCCAATTCATCAGCAACCTCAAGAAAGTATCAAGTGATTGAATTATCTGAGCGATACAAACAGAATCTCAAGTACATTGGAGAAGTACTAAAATTCTTACCAAACAAAGAAGGTTATGAAAGTTTTGTTCAGATCTTTGAGGAGTTGAAATTGTATCTAAATGTCTCTATGGATATCAATGACAAGATCGAAGACTATAAAGATCACATCCAAATGATTGGATACATGGCAAACATTTCAACTAAATCACCTTCATTAGCAAATGATCAACTGAGTCTGGAGCTTATCACTCAGACCAAGTTGCATTTGGTCATGGAGAAATATCATCAAGGCACCAAAGGATTCCTACAATGTATGTTCCCATTCGGTTTGGAGGTGATCTCTGCTTTCCAATATTCCAATAATTACTCTTCTCAAGGACAAGGTATCATCCAGGCAATGAAAGATGATATCAAATCGATCCAGAAATACATTAATATTGGTCTAAGTCAAATCAACAGAAACATCACAGACAATGTATTGAAACGTCAATTCGATAGTAATACACCATTCTACAAATGGACCAAAGCAAATCATAAAGGATTTATCAATAGAATACAAGTGTTGTTTGCTGGCGAAGCCGTCACTTTCTATGCGGATATCGATAGAGTTCCACAAATGTATTCAGCAACTAAATTCCAAACTATCAAGCTACACATCGGTCATCCAGATCCAAAAGTAAACGAAACAATACAGAAATCGATATCTCAACTGTTCTTTGAGCTAACTCATTCTGGAAAATCGTACTACCAGTTCAATCAAACGAAATTCCTGATGGTCAATGATTACTGTACATTTAAATATCAATTGTCATCGAATGACAAGGTTTTGGTGATGAACAGTACCATGGAACTTCTTGCTCAGAGCGAACCTATTCTTAGTCCATACACATACTGGACATTCAAAATTAGAGGTATCAAAGAACACCTTGGCCGATTGCTCGGTCCCAACGATTTTATAAACTTGGAACTTTCATTGATTGGATTGGGTCAGTTTGTAGATAGTGAGAAATATGTTTATGATAAAACAAACTTTGATAAACTTTATTCAAATTATATTGTAATAGAATAAATAATTCATTTCAACAACATACTTATTTTATTTATTTTTTTTTAATTATGTCCTTATATTTAAATATTAAAAAGTTTTTTCATTAGATATGAATATGTGAAAAGATTTTTTTTTCTGATTAGATTTATAAATCAGATGAAATAAAAACACCTCCATCTCGATTTAAAAATATAATCATAACCCAAATTTTGTAGTTTGGACAACTTTGGTTGTTTTAAGAGCAAAAGAAAAAAATATTTTTGTAAAGATGTCTATATCAGAGAGAAATTAAATTTGATACTCTAAAAAATATTTTTATCTGATATTTAAAATATATACTTAACAATCAAATAAAATAATGTTAAAACCTTGGTAATCTTAGTTTATATAATTTATTTTTATAATTTTAATTAGTTTGTCATTAATAATAATTGTAGTAAAGATAGGAAATAAGAGAACTCTCCTATAATCTAGTATAGTAAGGTTATATTGCTAAGATTTAAAAAAAAAAGTCATTCTTTTTATCTATAGACATAATCTTTGTCATTTCTAAGAAAATTCAAAAAAATTAAAATAAAATTTAAAAAATTTGAAAACCTGTCCACATATTATTGTGAGATGGGAAAGTTGTGATACAAATTTGGGTTTTTTGGATTGACGCATTGTCATTCTATTCCAACTCCTTTATCAAAGCTACTTCTTTTTCTGACTATACTTCAAAAATTATCTGAATTTTATATAATTTTTTAAAGTTGGAAATATGAAAAAAATTTAAATAATGAAAGAAAATATAAATAATGTTCCTGAGATTAATTAAATTTCATTCATTCAATAATATTCTAATTAATCAAATATATAAAATAAATAAACAATGGAAGGAGAAGACGTTCAAGCTTTGGTAATTGATAATGTATGTCTCATAAATTCTACTCTTTAGTTGAAAAATAAAATAATTTTCAACAATTAATCAAAAAAATGTTATTTTAAATTATTAAATTGAATTAATAGGGTTCAGGTATGTGTAAGGCTGGTTTCGCAGGAGATGATGCTCCACGTGCTGTATTCCCTTCGATCGTTGGTCGTCCAAGACATACTGGTGTCATGGTTGGTATGGGTCAAAAGGACTCCTACGTTGGAGATGAAGCTCAATCAAAGAGAGGTATCTTAACCCTCAAATACCCAATTGAACATGGTATCGTCACCAATTGGGATGATATGGAGAAGATATGGCATCACACTTTCTACAATGAACTCCGTGTTGCGCCAGAGGAACACCCAGTTCTTTTGACTGAGGCTCCACTCAATCCAAAAGCCAATCGTGAGAAGATGACTCAAATCATGTTTGAGACTTTCAACACCCCAGCCATGTACGTCTCAATTCAAGCGGTACTTTCACTCTATGCATCTGGTCGTACCAAAGGTATCGTCATGGACTCTGGTGATGGTGTCTCCCACACTGTCCCAATCTACGAAGGTTATGCCCTCCCACATGCTATCCTCCGTCTCGATCTTGCTGGTCGTGATCTCACTGACTATATGATGAAGATCTTGACTGAACGTGGTTATTCATTCACCACCACCGCCGAACGTGAAATTGTCCGTGACATCAAGGAAAAGCTCGCCTACGTTGCCCTTGACTTCGAAAACGAAATGCAAACTGCTGCCTCCTCATCAGCCCTTGAGAAATCATACGAATTGCCAGACGGTCAAGTCATTACCATCGGTAATGAACGTTTCCGTTGCCCAGAGGCTCTCTTCCAACCATCCTTCTTGGGTATGGAATCTGCTGGTATCCACGAGACCACCTACAACTCCATCATGAAGTGTGATGTTGATATCCGTAAGGACTTGTACTGTAACGTCGTCCTTTCTGGTGGTACCACTATGTTCCCAGGTATTGCTGATCGTATGCAAAAGGAATTGACCGCTTTAGCTCCATCGACCATGAAGATCAGGATCATCGCACCACCCGAACGTAAATACTCTGTCTGGATTGGTGGTTCCATCTTGGTATCACTCGCCACTTTCCAACAAATGTGGATCTCCAAGGAGGAATATGATGAATCTGGTCCTGCGATTGTCCACAGAAAGTGTTTCTAAACATTTAAATAACCTATTTTCCACTATTAAATTTTTAATAAATATTTCAATAGTTGATTTTATCCAGCTGGTTTTTAATTGTAGAGAAAAAATATAAAATCTTTTTTTTTATCTTGTTAACAAATCATATTTTGTTTTTAATAATGAATAATATTATAAAAAGGATGATTATAATTATGAAATAGGGAGGAGTGTTATTAATCTACTAACTATTGTAAACTTCTATTTTTTAATTTTTGTTTTTTTGAAAGTACATATATTATTGTTAATATTTAATTGTTTTTATTTGGAAATTTTTTGTAAAAATCTGAAAAACTTCGGTTTACATGTAAAAACAACATGTATACTGAAGGGTTTAGAGTTAATAGCATAACCCCTTTTGATTTCTTTAACGAATTAAATAATAATGGAAGAAACAAATGAAGTTTTGATAATTGATAATGTATGTATTATAATTTTTATTTTTAAAAAATATATGATTATTTACATCTAAAAAATGTTAATTCTTATAAAAACAAATAGGGTTCAGGTGTGAGTAGGGCTGGTTTCGCAGGAGAAGATCTCCCACGTGTTGTGTTCCCATCAATCGTTGGTCTTCCAAGAGACATTGGTACTTGTAATAAGGATTTCTACTTTGGAGATGAAGCTCAATCAAAGAGAGGTATCTTGAACATCTCCTATCCAATTGAACATGGTATCGTCACCAATTGGGATGATATGGAGAAGATCTAGAATCACACTTTCTACAATGAACTCTATGTTGACCCAAAGGAACACCCAGTTCTCTTGACTGAGTCGCCACTCAATCCAAAGTCCAATCGTGAGAAGATGACTCAAATCATGTTTGAGACCTTCAACACTCCTGCCCTGTACCTCGCGATTCAAGCGGTACTTTCACTCTATTCATCTGATCTTACCACCGTTATCGTTGTAGACTCTGGTTATGATGCCACTCACATTGTTCCTGTCTATGATGGTTATTCTCTTCAACACGCTATCTTCCGTCTCGATCTTGCAGGTCGTGATCTCACTGACTATATGATGAAGCTCTTGATTGAACGTGATTACTCAATCACAACCACCACTACAGCCAATGGAGTGAAATAATTAGTGACATCAAAGAGAAACTTGGCTAAGTCGCCATGGATTTTGAAAACGAAATGCAAACTGCTTCATCAAAACTAGAGAAATGAAAGTTTCCGTTGCCCAGAAGTTCTCTTCCAACCATCTATACTGGGTATCGATGCTTCTGGTATCCATATAACCACTTACAACTCGATCATGAAGTGCGATGTTGATATCCGTAAGAATTTGTACCGTTCTATTGTACTATATGGTGGTTCTACTTTGTTTCCAGGTTTTGTTGAACGTATAAGAAAGGAAATGGTTTCTCTTGCTCCACCAAGCGCTGAACCCAGGATCATCGCTTCACCCGAACGTAAATACTCTGCGTGGATTGGTGGTTCCATCTTGGCATCACTCGCCACTTTCCAACAAATGTGGATCTCCAAGGAGGAATACGATGAATCTGGTCCTGCGATTGTCAACAGAAAGTGTTTCTAAATATTTTAATAACCTTTTTTTCACAAATTATCATATTAAATGTATCCAAAAAGTCAACTTTTGATTTTATCCAGTTGGTTTTTAATTGTATAAAAAAAATACTATATTATTGTTTCAATGCATATTATTATCACGTAGCAAACATCTTTTGTTTTAATAAACAAGATAATATGATAATCAATCGAGTAAAAAACAAGATTTCTTTTTTTCTTTTTTTTTGATCAAATATCTCATATTTTATTTATTTTCAAAACAATACATTAAATGTAGATAGATTGATAGATAGATAGATAGATTGATAAATGGAAAAAGAAGTAGATATAAGAAATACTATTCTTTTTAAAAAGATAATTAAATCAGTGTATATTAGTAAACTTATATTCAGATCGGTTAGAGAGATTCATGATGTTGCTTTAATGAGAAATTCATTAAGATGTGATTGGCAAGATCTCGCTTGCTTTCCAGAGGAGTTGATTCGATATAAGTGCTTCGATAGATATAAGAGCGTGTTAAACTATTTGATTGTCAATCAAACATCGATTGAACAGAGACTATTCGATGACTATATCGATGCCTATATTCAATCACTCTCAACAGCAGCAACCCAAGGCAATACAGATTTAATAGAGTTTGTGTATTCCAAGGATCTAAAACGATCGGATATCGATTATAAAGCACTCTACGATGCCGCTATTAAATATGGCCATTTGGCAACCATTGAATTTCTTCATGCCACAAAGAAGGATGTGTTCGGCATGGTATCTGTTTCGTCTATGGATGCTGCTGCAAACAATGGTCACTTCTCAATAGTAAAGTTTTTACACCACAACCGAACGGAAGCTTGTACAAAGATAACGATGGATTCCGCCTGTAAATGGGACGACTTTGAGATGTTGAAATGGATCCACGTCAATCGCACGGAAGGTTGTTCAGAAAAAGCAATGTTCTACGCATCGTTGAAAGGAAACTTAAAAATTATTCAATGGATGCACGAGAATCGTACGGAACGGTGTAGTCCTGCCGCAATGGACATTGCCAGAAATCTAGAAATCACCAAGTTTTTTCATCAGTTTCGAAGTGAAGGCTGCACCACCCAAGCAATTAGCAATGCCGCAGGTCGTGGCGATATAGAAGCGATGCGGTTTCTCTATGAGAATAGAACGGAAGGTGTAACTCGCTCAACGCTAGACATAGCTGTACAGAATGGAAATATGGAGATAGTAAAGTTTATTGTAGAAGCTGGTTTAGTTAAGACCGATAACTACACGCTGTCGATTGCATTGGGAACAGGCAACTTGGAAATGATAAAATACCTACATTACAGCGGAACTTGCGATGCCGCTCCGATGGATCATGAAATCGATTGTGTCGTTAGATCCAAGTCGAATCTCGAGGTAATCGAATTCCTACACCATGTACGGCGCTCTACTGCCACCACCATGTCGATGGATCTTGCAGCTTCCTATGGAAATCTACAAACGCTGAAATTCCTTCATGAAAACCGAACGGAAGGATGCACAAAAGCCGCATTTCTACATGCTGCAACTCGTGGAAACATAGATGTTTTGCAATTCCTCGTTGAGAATCGGAGCGCTCAATGTCCAGAGGATATAATGGACGAAACTGCAAGAGCCGGACAATTCGAAGCGTTTAAATACCTTCATTTCAACGCGAATGTAATTTGTACTTCCGATGCCATGGATTATTTCGCTCAATTTCCAAGCACTGAACCTCTTGAATGGATCATGAGGAATAGAGTGGAAGGCTGCTCTTCGAATACCTATTCAAATGCATTCCGATGTAACCAACTAGAGAATATAAAATGGCTTAAAGAGAATACCGGTGTTTCACTTCCCAATAATTCGATCGATATTGCAGTTGGATTCAATTCAAAATTGGAAATAATTAAATGGATACATGAAAACGGTGGAACTGGGACAACAGGATCAATAGATCAAGCGGCATTAAATGGAAATCTACCAATCATTGAATATCTACGTTCAAATAGATACAATTGCACTATAAAAGCAATAGAGAAAGCTTACGAGAAAAGACATCTCCAGGTGATCAAGTACATATCTGGTAAAACAATAGGGATGAAGATACCTATATACTATGCTCATAGAAATTCATTATTACGTTGTTATTTACCAAGATTAAATATCGTTAAACAATATAATTTATAAATAATCAAAATAAAATGGATTGTATTGTTTCTTATTTGTATTTTTTTTTAATTTCAATTTTATTATTATTATTATTAGTGTACACTTTACATATGTGTTCCACCAGATGCACTGTTTGAATATTTGACACCCCAATTCCAACGTTGGAAACAGAACGATAGGAAATTGACGGCAAAGAAAACGACATAAGCAAATACTGTGAAAATAATATCGGAATCCATTTTCATTCTTGCTGCTAATCTTTCTTGTGATTCATTATCATCGCTTGTCTATAAATTATTATTAATTAATTGATTGGTAAGTAAACAAACAGAAATAATAACTCTTTATAATATATAACATACTGGTTTGATTGAGAATAATAATAATTGATCGTCCTCTTCAGATTGGATATTAAGATCTGGATTTGACATTGAATTGTAACTTCTCTTTAATATCTTCCATCCGGCGAATGGAGTCTTTCCAATTCTAAAGAGATAGAGTAAAACTAAAAATTGGAATGAAACTCCCCAAATGAACCAAACAAACAAATTATCTAAAATTTAAAAAAGATCAAATGTCAATAATGATCCACCAATCTCTAATAATAATAATAATAAATTTTTTACATACTTGGATCGTTTGATGCATATACTAAATCTGGGTCAACCAAGATGGCGACAGCAGATAATACCCATTGGGCAAAGATATCGAATACCAAAACCCATTGTGGAACACGTGTAGAATAGAAATGTAAGAAGAATCCAATGGTTGTACCAGTCATAACCTGTCCAACAGAGTGATATCCGAGAATGGTTCTTTCAAAACAAACACAAATCATTAAAAGAATACCTGAAATTCTTGCACTAAAAAGATTATATTTAATTATTAGTAAATAATAATCTATAATAATATTGATTAAAATAACTTACAAAATTGGATAGAATGGTGCTTTATCAATGAGGAATGCAGCCAAGATACCACCGGCCATTGCATCACCACTTGGCATACCGTAGTAACTTCCGATGTGAGCACCGTTACAGAAACATGGACGACGTTGTCTGAAGATTGCGTACAGACCGACACCCAATACCAATGGGTAGGATGCACGATGCAACATGTGAACGGTTGCGATACGCAGTGAGAGGAACTTGTTCTTGAGAGTTGGGTAGATCGATGGTGTCGCTCCGACTAACAGCATCGCAGGCAAGATAAACAACAACGACGATGTAGTGATTGCTACAGTTCTTGGATTGACAAACTGCATGATGAAACTTGCCATCAGAGGCAACACACTCTCGTCATTCATGAAACAACGATTGAAAAACATATCACCGTTGACATTTGTACAATTGGCTGTATTGGTAGCACTGACAACTCCACCACCACTACCACTCATCGAAATCATAAACAATCCAAATAAAGCTATCAAAGATAACTTATAAAATATCATTTTTGTTTTTCTAGTTGTGTGCAAATGAAATTAAAAAAAAACTGACTAACCTAACTATATAATATATTTATCAATGATTTATTGTTTTTAGAAAACTAAATATAGAATAATAGTGATAATAATATATAAATAATACTATTTTGTAATGACTACAATAACAATTCTATATATATACTTATAATAATGATATATATTAATTATTATTTAATTTTTAAAGTTGTATTTTGAAAAAAAGATATTAAATCTTAAAAAACAATTTTATCTGTCTTTTTCTGGTGGTTGTTTTGTATTTAGTGGTCACCCTGTTTGTTAATAGATTAAATAAATAAATATAATATATTTAACTTTTTTTTTGTCTTACAAGACAATTGTTATCGTTATTCTCTGGTCAACACATTAAAAAAAAAAAATCAAAATTAAGATTAAAAAAAAAAGTTAATCAAAATTGTTTGCAAAAATCTTTCTAAAAATCAAAAAAATTTCCTTTTTTTTCGGCCAGCAAAAAAAAATAAAAATCAAATGATTTTTCATTCGGTATGAAAATATTATTTTTGCAAACAGTTAGTCTTGCACATTTTAAGACAAATAATATTATTTCTAAACAATTGAATTTATTTGAAAAACATAATGATTGAGGATATGATTGAAGAGTGTCAATTCATATATTACAAATCAGGTTGACAATGATTATCAGTTCCTCCAAGAAAGTTATCCCTCATAATATTATTCTTTGAACATTGAAAAAAACACACTTACACTTAAGAATTTATAAATAGAATTAATATGATTCCCCCATAAAATTTATTATTTTTATTTTATACTTATTTTTTTTTTTCATAAACCACTTGACAAAATATATCTATTTTTTTGCCTCCTTTTTCAAGAATTTCTTTTAAACATCTAAAAACCAATTCTATTTTTATTTTTCTTTCAAAAGACACAAAGAATATTCAGTAGCTCGATCGAGTTCCTTACCCATACAACCCCCTACAATCCACACCCTTTTCCTAATTTTTTTTATCATTCTATCTCCTCTCCTTTAAATGAAGATGTATAGAAAACTGAAACCAAACAACAATTATTGACTAAAAAGGACCGATCACAGAATTGTTTAATAAATTCAAAATAGATCAATTTTAATTTACTTTTAATATTTTTTTGAATTTAGGGAAGATAAAGATATAAATAAACATATTTATTTTTTGGTATTGCTATTTAAATTTAAAAATTACTACATTCAATAAGTATATAAAAATATTTTAATAATAAATAATAAAATTTAAGAAATGAAAAGCATATTACTACTTATTACTTTACTTTTGATATCATGGTCTTTTGTGACATCGAACGAAGTGGATCCTGATGCTTTTTTAAAACAACAACAAAATTTGGTCGAAAAACTGGATGCCCAACTGAAGGATGAACTCCAAAAACTTTATTCACTGAGTACACCTACTGGACTCAATTCAGGACTACCAACTGGAGGCAATACTAGGCCTTTATCCTATAATGAAATCATAGAGAGAATGAATAAACAAAGGGAAGAAATCCTAAAGAATATAAGATAATTTTTAAAAAAGTAATTTTCAAACACAACTTCTGTAAAACAAATAAAAAAATTTTAAACTGCTCTCAAGAATATAATAAATTACTTCCACTTGATCACTAAATTGTATTTAACTGATTTTCAAAACTAAAATTGATCGATATCCTGTCACTTTATATGGTTGTTGTATCTATTATTATGAATTTTGTAAAAAAACAAATATAAGTGTGAAGATGTTTTTTATAAGTTTAATATGATTCTAAACCTCTCTACCCTTACTAAACCACACTTCACCAATGATCACACCAATAGATTGAAAATAAAAATATAAAAACAAATTGTTCATCTCACATGTCACATTCATTTGAAAATCAATAAATTGTGTTACCAAATTTAAATTATAACTGATACAATAACACCTGATTTTAAATAGGATCAATCATTTATTTGTTTACTACTTTTTTGAAAATAATAAATTCTTTTTCAATTGTTCATTTTTAAACTCACTACAATTTTTTTATTTTTAATATTAGAGATAATCAAATAAATAGAAAATTAAAATTATTTATAAATATTTATATAAAAACAAAGAAAAGAAATAAACTATTTATTAATAGGAAATCAAAATATGGATACAGATGCTCTTCTAAAACAACAACAAGATTTGGCAGCAAAATTAGATGCTCAAATGAAAGCAGGACCCCAACCTTCTGCAAATAGCGTACCAACTGGACCTTGTGTCGGACCACTATCCTATAATGAAGCAATTTCCAGAATGAATAAGAATAAAGAAGATTACGAATACTTAAAGCATCCAAGATAAAATAAACCTATCCAAATTGTATGATTTTATAAAATAAAAAACTTTGTTTATGTTTAGATACAATTATAAATAGTTATCTAGATGGAATTTATTATTTAAATTGAATAACTGTTATTTTCTTGAATCAATTATATTTTCTAAATATTCCTAAACAAAATGTTTGATTATTTTTTAAAACTTTTTTTATTTTGATTTTAATTTGTTAATGTTATAAATATATATATAGTTAAAAATATTTGTTATTTTGAATTTCTTTTTTTTACTTTTTTGTTTTTCTTTATGAGGACTCTCTTGATAATTGAATTAATGGTTTAAATTGAGATCCGTCACAAGCTTTATCCATGAATGGATGTCTGAGGAGTGCGGATGCATCCGGTCTAGTTTGTACATTGATATCGAGACACTTGGCAAAGAAATCGAGGAAGTCTTTGCTCCACTTGGATTGCTCCTTGAGTGGTGGAATACCTTTGGTTGTGATTAAAAAGAGTGCTCTGAGTGGTGGGAAATCCATGTAGGGTGGCTCACCCTCGGCCATCTCCATCATCATGATACCAAGACTCCAGATGTCAACTTTGACACCGTAGTCGTGACCACGAATAAGTTCTGGTGCCATCCAGTAGGGTGTTCCAACGACGGTGTTTCGCTTCTGTTGTTTCTGGGTGAGCTGTGCGGCATATCCGAAATCAGCAATCTTTACCGATCCCTCCGAACCAAGCAGGATGTTGTCCGACTTGATGTCACGGTGTATACGATGCAGACTGTGAATGTATTGGAGTGATTTAAGAGTTTCACGAACGACGTAGGCAATCTGTGGCTCTGTCATCTTGACGTGATCGAACGCCTCGAGAATATCGGTGAGACAACCACCACCCATAAACTCCATGGCTACCCAGAGCTCACGGTCATTAAGAATATAACTGTCCATATAATTTACAATGTTGTCGTGTTGCGATGTCTTCATAATGGCAATCTCTGTAACTAACAACTTGGCATTCTCATTGTTGATCTCAATCTTTTTGATAGCGACACGCTTATTATTCTTTGATGATGTTGCAACAAATACTTCACCTGCTGCACCCTCTCCAATCTTTGTCATATTCTTATAAATCTTTGTTGGATCCTCTTTACTGACCAAATCACCTAATAATAATAATAAATTATTAAAAAAGATAAAATTAATTTTCCAGTCTATGTTTTTTGTTTTCGAAAAATAATAATAACTTACTTAAAGTTTGATTTGATTCATCTGGTAATGGTGAAACTGTACCGCTTGCAGTCTTTTCAGTTGTTCTACCTGCTTGGAATTCCAATACGCTCAACCATTCATTTGGTTTATCCAAAACTTCATCTTTTGATACATTATTTGATTTCAAAATGACTTCCCATTCTTTTGGTAATCCCTATAAATATATTATTATTATATTTTTGAATATTATTAATATGGTTGACAAATAATGTTGACGATGATGAAGATAATGATAATTACAGAGAAACCAGTTGCAGAATTAAAATCAACATGTACTATATGTTTCAAATTGAATGGTGTTCCAACTGTAGAGTATTCCGAACCCTTTTCGACTGCTTTGATCCATTGGTTCATTTCGTCCTGTGAGGTCGCTTGTATGTAAAAGGTTTTGTCGATTCTTGGTGAAACCAACTCGAAACAGTATTGCTTACCGATCGAAGAGTTGACCGATACACGACACATTCTCAATGGAACAACACCGATGGGACGTTGGTCCGATTGCTCCTTAAAGTAAAACAACATATCCTTTTGAATTCTAAACCATCTTTTCTTCCAATTCTTTACGATATGTCCTTGTTTCTTTAGCTCTCCTTCTTTATCTGGTTTATTCCATTGATCTGAATTTACCTATAAGTAAATTATTATTATTGTTTGTGTTAATTATAATCATTTTTACAAATTAAAAAAAATCCCTTTTTTTCTCCTTTTTCTTCTTTGAACAAGTACAAATAAATCAAAAATAGTTTTGCTTACATCTTCTACTGAAATCATTTTCTACAACTTCTAATTATTAACTTTTGATTATATAATATTGAATTTGACCTTGAATAGAATTTGATTTAGTTTGTTTGACTTTACTTTGATTGACTGATAAATCTTTAGATTGATTTAGATTTTTTGAATTTTTTTGTTTTTTCGTTTTATATAATAAAAAAAATATAGATTTTATAATATATAAAAATACAATTAAATAAATAAATATTATATTTTTAGATTAAAGCTTTGTTTTGATGCAATGATTGATTTTGTTGTTGTTTTTTTTTAATATTGTTAATGTGACTGTGTGTCTCTCACTCTAATCCTCAACTTAAATATCATAAAGTAGTAATAAAAGGAAAGGTTAGGAGGTGGTGGTAGTGGGTGTTTGTGATTGATTTAATGGTCTCAATAATAATGGAAGAAATCATTAAACAAAAAAAAATAATGTGATCAAAATAAAATTATTTTAAATTTTTGTTTTTTTTTTTTTTCAGGTATCTGTGTGTGTTTTTTGGGTCTTTTTAGAATCCATTCAACCATTTTCAGTTGATGTGATGTTTTTTTTGGTTTTTGCAAAAAACACAATTTGAGATATTTTTTTTAAAATTTTAAAATTTTTTGTAATAGCGTTTTGATTTGAATGATGGCACACAACTAAGTGTTACAGAAAAGCTGCAGACAACATAACAGTTGACAATTTATTTATCAAAGTAAAATTATGACAAGCCGAACCAACATTATGAATATATTATTTTCGGAGTTTATTTGTTTTCACTATCATTCTTTGTTAAACAATGATATTAAGATTTTGAAAAAGTTTGAATAGATCATATGACCTCCACTATTCGTCGCAACAGTGAAAGAATATTAAAAATAACCAAAATTTTTGATTCTTCTCACACTCCTAACAATACGACATCAAAGTTATCATTCAATTTTGTTTATTTCTTTGAGCAATGAAATGGAATCATTTCTTTGTTTTAACATGATTTATTTGTTTTTATGTAGGTAGTAAAGTCCATATGATCATTTGTGATATATCAACTTTGGAGGTGAAATCAATCATCTACACTCCGTATTCATGAACTGCAACTGATTTGAGTTGTATACTTGATCTATAACTTGTTGATTTCTAGTCTTTAATGTCCAACATAACATTTAAAACAATTCAATACACCAGTGTTCTAACTCATATTTTTGTTATAATTCCTATTATTTATTTTATTTTTACTTATTCATCTTTAAAAAATGAATATTTATTGTTGTTCGTCGTTGTGGTGACTGAAGTAATCGTTACCACCTCCACCTGAAACTGGGAGATTGTTGGCTGGGTCAAGAGTTGGGTTGTATTCAGCGTGACTGCTTTGTGGTCCAGAGGCGGCACCAGTACGACGGAAGTTGTCGTTACCACCACCGGATGGAGCTTGCTTACCGATATCGGTAGTTGGGGTATATTCAGCTTGGCTACTTTGTGGACCAGAAGCGGCACCAGTACGACGGAAGTTGTCGTTACCACCACCGGATGGAGCTTGCTTACCGATATCGGTGGTTGGGGTGTATGTGGAGGTTGAAGATTGTGGACCTGAAGCACTTCCAACACGACGGAAAGTGTCGTTGGTTGAACCGGATGGGGCGGACTTACCGATATCGGTAGTGGCGGTATAAGTGGAAGTTGAAGATTGTGGACCGGAAGCAGCTGTTCCTGGACGACGGTAACCCTCAGAGGTGACTGATGGTGAAGATGGAGCAGCCTTTCCTGGGTCTAACTTTGGCTTATATTCAGAGGTTGAAGATTGTGGACCTGCTAATGTACGTCTCATTTTAGATAAAGCGATTGTTTTGTCTTTTTCAAAGAAAAAATATATATATAAATTTTAAATATACAGAATGTTAATACAACAAATAAATAATTATTATTATTTGGTTTTGGGTTTTTAAAAAGAAATAAAAAGAAAATATTTTAAAATTGATTGAAGAGATATAAATATTTTTTTCAGCAAAAAAAACACCTGAATTTAATAAATCAAAAAACAAAAACAAAAAAAAAAAACTCAACTTCCCACCCATCCTCTTACCCAACTTCTTATTGATTTCATTGAATAAAAATGGGTTGATGAAAATAAAAAATCATTTTTCATATTTTGGTGTGTTTTTATTAATTTTGTCTTATGACAATAATAATAATTAAATTATTTTGTGTTTACAAAAAAAAATAACCAATCATCAATAGTTGGTTAAGAAAAATAATAAAGATATTCATGCCAAACCAATTCAATTAAATCATTTTAAATGAATATTATTTATTAATCGATATTTCTGGAGGCAAAAGTTTACCAAAGTCATCTTAGACATCACTTTTCATATAAAAAGACAAAAAACCTTGAAAGAAAAAAAAATAAATAAAAATAAATATTTTTTATAAATCGATTTAATTATTTAAATTTGTAGACCAAAGAAATAATTGACTTCAATAGTTTGACTCAAATTGAATTGTTTTTATTTTTTGTTAAATTTAAAACCAAAAAGAATTATTGTTCATATCAATAATATTATTTATCATTCAGCAGAATAGTTGGAAACCACCTGAATTTAATCTATGATGTCAAGATTCAATAAATGTGAATTCACTCATTTTTAATTCCACACTCACTATTTTATCCATTCATTCTCCAACTTTAAATAGATAAAAAACAAAACATTATCAAAATCTGTTCACACATCTAGATAGAATGATAATAAATAGCAAATATTTAAATTATCATTTTTTTTTATTTCATAACGTTTTTTGGGGTGTAATGGTTTTTTTGGCAGATTAAAAATAAAAAAAAAACAAGCAATTTTTTTTGGATTTTCGTAAAATATTTTATTTAATTTTGATTTTTATTATTTATTTTTTTTTGAAATTTTTTTTTAGTCACATTAAAAAAAACAAAAAAAAAAAAAAACTCAAAGTCGTTGCAACAACCAGTTATCTTATTAATCTTTATTAGCTAGAAACATTATAATTCTTTTCTTCCAAAAGGTCTAAGAAATATATTTTATTATAACAATTTTTTTATATCTATTCTATTTTAGTTAGTTTCGTTGACACAAAAAAAAAGAGAAAAGAAAAAAAGGAATATTTTAAGAATATAAAATTTATATTATTATTTATTACTTTTTTTTTTCACTTTTTTCTTTTCTTATTAAGGTTTAAATCTACATACATTCAATTCAAATATAATCAATTCAAATTCTTCTTCATAGATTCAAAATTCTACGTTTCTCTATCTTCCTTTAGTTTAGTTTAGTTTTTTGTATTTTTTCTTTTAGTTAAGTTTGATAATATAATATATAATATTTATATAAATGATACAAAACATAGCAAGTAATAGTCTCGTATTAAGTCCTGAGAATAATAACAACTGGCAATCGGTACCAGGTAACAACGATACTGAGTCTAGTAATCTTATCAACAATAACGATTTCGATAATTTGATCAATAGTATCAGTAAAAATAATAGTAATAATAACAACAACAATATCAATAACAATAGTAACCTCAATAACAACAATAATTTTATGAATATGAGAGGAGGAAATAATAATAATAATACCAATAACGGTATGAGTGGTGGTCCACCCAACATGATGAGTGGCAATATGCCAAACATGATGGGAAACATACCAAATATGATGGGTAATTCCAATAATTTTAAGAATAACAATAATAATAATAATGGTTTACCAAATAACAACAACAATAACAATAATATGATGAATGGAGGAGGAGGAGGATTCCCAATGGGTGGTGGTAATTCTAACTTCAACATGAATATGAATATGAATAATAATAATAATCAGATGCAAAATATGAATAACAATAGAAATAATAATTATAATAACAATAACTATAACAATAATAATTACAACAACAACAACGGTGGTAACAATAACAACAACAATAGAAGAAATAATAATAATCGAAATGATGATACTCCAATTTTGATTAAGGATACCAATGGTATGTGTAAAAGTGAGAAAAGCAAAACAAAAAAAAAAGCTAGCTTTAATTATAATTATATATCCTACTTTATCAATTGATTGATTGTTTATTTATATATATATTCCTTCCTTTACTACCCTATTTTAAAATAATAATTAAGATCTAAGAATATTTAATGCTAACATGATTGTATACAAACTTTGTAACAATTTTTCTTTTTTTTATTATTATCTATTATTATTTATATTTATATTAATATTAACAACAACTATATATCTTATCTATATCTATATAATTATGATTAACAAATCATATTTTTTTTTTTTTTTTTGATTCCACTTGATTCACCAATTTCATTTCATTTGATTTATATGATATAAATAATGATAAATTGATGTCTCAGGCAAAGTCATTGGAGAAAAAGAAAAACCAGGTAGAACTCTTTTCGTTCGTAACATTGCCTATGTAGTCAAGGAAGACGATGTCATTTCACTTTTCGCTAAATCTGGTGATATTCGTAAGAACTTTTCTGTAATTGAGAATCGTGGTATTGCTTTTATTACCTATGTAAGTTAATTTTGATTGATATTATTAATTTAAATAATAATAATAATAAATGAATATAATCTAATTACTTTTTTTTATTTATTTAAAAAAAAACAACAGTTTGATTTAAGAGATGCTGAGAAAGCAAAGAATGAGCTTCAAGGTTTTAATATGGGTGGAAGAACTGTAAGTAGTTTATATTTTGAATTGTTGTTTTTTTGTTTAATATATATTAACCCACACTATTACGATTATAAAACTATTAGATAAGTATTCATTTTTCGATTCCAAAAGAAGATGCCAACGGTGAGAGTGCAAATTCTGGTTTCATATTGGTGAGAAATAACAATATGCCTGCTGGTGAGCTTAGAACATTCTTCTCAACCTATGGTGATGTTAGAGATGTCACTAATTACAAGAATGATCAACAGTATGTATAAAATCATAATTATAATAGTAAAGTTAACAAAATTATTAATATATATAATTATCAATCAAAGTCTTGTTGAATTTTATGATACAAGAGCATGTGAAAAAGCTTTAAAGGGTGGTCAAGGATTACAATTGTCGGGACAACAATTGGACTTGGCTCACTGGGCACCAAAGGAACAACCAGCCATTATCGATGCCTCTGAGTTTAGAAGAGAGAAACAAATGCAAATGCAAAACAGAGGTGGTAACAACTATAACAACAATAGAGGTGGTGCAATGAGAAGTAACTATCAAAACGATCGTAATCCAGATTACAAGAGAAGAAATAACAACAATAACAATAATAACAATAGCAACAACAATAATAATAATAAACACATGCAACAACAACGACAACAAAATATGAGCAATATGAATTATAATAACAACAACATGAATAACTTTTCAAATAATGAATATGAATAGCTTTAATGATGGTATGTTGTTTAAAGCAAAATAATGATGATTATAATCTTTATATTAATCTTTACTAATGTTTTTGTTTATTTTATTGTTGTTTAACTATAGGTGGTTATAATATGAATAATATGAACATGAATATGAATAGTATGAATAATATGAATTCAATGGGTGGTGCCGGTGGTGTTGGTTTCGGTAATGATTTGGGTATGATGAACAATATGAATATGAACATGAACAACATGGGTGGTCCAATGATGAACATGAACAATATGAATTCGATGGGTGGTGGCGGCGGCGGTGTTCCATCGGGTCCATCAATGGGTAAGATGAACAACATGGTCGGTGGTCCAATGATGAACAACTCGAGTATGATGCCAAACAATATCGGTGGTGGCGGTGGTAACTTTGACCCAAACAACTTTAGCTTGCCACCAACCAACTTCCAAGTGCCAAGCATCAATAACCAAGATCTCCTCTCCAACATGAACCAAATCACCGGTATGAAGCCATTTAACAACCAGCCATGGAGTAACAGTCCTCCCAATGGTGCCAACAACAACAATGGAGGTGGTCAAATCTCGCCAAGTCAAAGATACCAACCCGCAGTCTAAAAAGAAAAACAAACAAACAAACAACACAACATCAACAACAACAACAATACACCAGTTTACTCTCAAGATTTCTCCGATAGTTTGACACAGACAGCAGTTATTCATATAATCTCTCTCTTCTCTCTTTTCCCCGCCTGCCATCCTCCCTAACCGACCACCGACTCAATAAGAACTACCACCGACTCAAACTTTTTTAAAATCAGTTCTTTTTTTTTAATTATCTTCTCCCAACATATGCATTATTTGTTGTCAATGAATTATCTTGTTTATTTAGTATCGATATTAACTAACTTATTGTAAATAAATTTAAATTAAATTTATACCTCAAAAAAAAAAAAAAAAAAAGATTTTAAAACTCTCTATTTGTATTTTACTAACATAATCAATACTTAAACAATAATGTCAAAGATTGTGATCATGTCTGTATCATATAAAAATAATTTTGTGATACAGATTTCCAATCCAATATATGTTTATCATTCTACTATTTCCAATCCAAAAATAGTGATTTTTTCAAATTAGGGAGGTTTTTTGATACTTTTCACCCCTTACTTCATGGTGTCTAATATTTATTAAATTATTCTATTTGTTATGATAGGGTCAGCTGTGGGTCAGGTGTTTTGCTACGGAATATACACATATTAAATTTTTATTTTTTTGTTGTTTTTTTTGACTTGTAAAAATTGAATTTCTATCTTCCCCCAAATACCACCCACGTTGTCAGAAAGCTTTTACAATAACACCAAAAAATGTATCCTCTTTCCATTAATAGAAATAATGAACTTTAAGAAAAAAGATTAAAAGAGATGTTTTTTAGGTCAACGTTGACAACCAGCATTGCAAAGCCGCAATACACTACCAAAAAAAAATATCTATTTGGAAAATAGTTAAATTTTAGGAATATATAAAAACTACATTGATTGTTAGCTTCTTTATTTTCAACTTTTGTATAATTAATTTCCAAATATATTTAAAAGCAATGTCTTCGAATGAGTGTGACAATGGTGAATCTGAAGTGCCAGAGATTATCAAGCCGTCAACTATCCTATCTTTGAGAAAGAAAGATGAAAATGAATGGAGAGAGTTACATGAATGGTGCCTTAAATTCAGAGTGGAGAATAACTTGACAGTGAGAGAGTTCTTTATTCTATGTGGTAAGCCAGAGAGACCATCATTCCCAAAACTTTTATCAAAAGGAGGAGCCGAGCAAAACCCATCATCAAAACCATCATCAGTCGGAGGAGAGCTTCGCGACATCTTGAAGCATGCAATTAAAACTTTACCACCAAAGATTGACTCGCCACCAAAGGAGTGTCTTTCCCTCCATGATAAGTTCGCCATTGTAGAGGAGAGGTGCCAGGTAGCCAATATTCCGGTGTCGATTGGCAAGAAAGTACAAACAAACCAACCTACTGTCTTCTCCCACTCCCCTCTAAAAGACGAGGATAAAGCAAAAGTATCTCAGAGTTTGAAGAATATGTGTATATATGAAGAGCCAGAGTTTTCAGTATTTGAACCAAGTTTTTCAAATTTGCCTGATATCCACTACACGCCTGCGATCAATGGAATTCAAATATCACCGTTGGTGCTCTCCACACTTCACCATGACATCCAAATTCCTACTAACGGAACTGGTAATATAGTAACTCTTGGCGGAGTTCTTGTCTGTATCTCAGCTCGTCATGTGATATTGGGGGCAGTTACCGATGACATAGAGAAAATGAAAACGATCTGTCAAACAAACAAACTTTCAATTGTAAATGAAAAGTTGAACGTTCGCCTAGATGTAACCCCTGAATATCTTTGTACTCAGCACGATGTCGCCATTTCTACACCTCCAGATGGGTATTCATTTGCCACAAACCACATCGATAAAATCGGTGCACTCTCAACATCGATTTTAGAGGCATCGAGCAAGAAATCCGATGTGGAAGGTATTGTCAGAATGAATGGGGTGGTCTCTGGTTTTAAAAGCGGCACTGTCATTGAACATTATGGAGATTCGTTTGTAGTTTCTAATTTTGCTCTAAGAGGTGATTCTGGAGCACTGGTAGTAGATGATAAAAATAATGCTGTTGGAATAGTATCTATGGTCTTAGGTGACAATTCAAAAACAAAAGTGGTTAGAATAACTAGTATTGCTCCTTGGCTAGAGGAAATCATGGAACATAAGAGTGATCAAATAGAACCGGCTGAGAAGGATGTAAAGGTGGAAGTTATGCACTCAAAATTATAAAATTTTATCAAAGTTTCTCTAAAGTTGTTGTTTTTATAGTTGTTTCTACATTCTCTAAAAATCAATAGAGTTCTTTATAATTTATTATATACATATTATTATAAGTTATTCACTTTTATTATTATTATAAAACTGATTAATTGTATTGTTAATTGTTGTAGATAGACTTATTATTATTATTATTATGATTATCTTTTATATTTTGATGTCTATTTCCAATCATCATCGTTTGAATCGTCGGTTATATCGTCATTCATTCTAACTTCACCACTTTCTATTCTACCCTTAAACATTTCTATTTGAACCAAATGTTAGTATTATCAGTTGAAATCTATCTATTGATAGTATGAACATAGGTACCTAATAAAGATTTGTTGATGTGATCAGTTGCAGATATTTCATAAACGGGTTGTACATATGGTTCTTTTTCTACTAAATCTTCATCTTGATTAACATCATTGTTCTCAATGACTTGCTCTGTGTGTGTTACTTCGTTTGCTTGATCTGACATCTCTATAAAAATCTACAAATAATAATAATAAAATACCTTATTAATTTTTTTGTCAAAAAGGTGAATTTTTTTCTTTTTTTTTTTTTTAAAAAGGGCTGATTTTTTTCAATGAATTCTTTTTGAAGAGCAGCCCAACTGATCAGATTCTATGATTCTATAAATAATCGGAATTATTTTTATAAGTTATTAATATTAATATTTGATTTTAGTCAAGACCATTAATTATAACAAAATATTGAATATTTTGTCATGTTCTCGAGCAATTTAAATTTATAAAAAACTAGTCAAATACGAAACTATATAGTGCAACAAATCAATAAACAATCGATCATTCATGTTTTATTATGTTTACATACATTATTATACGGAGCTATATTCTTTAGTCTTACGATTGCGGTTGTGTGATTGAATAACAATCACCATGCTTTGTTTACAGCCAAATAAAAGTTATTTTCTTATAAGGTATGGATGCATATCATCAAATTTAAATAATAAAATTAGTTACTAACTTAGCTATTATAATAGAGTAATCCACAAACTGAAGATGTTAATCTTAATGAGAATGAAGAGATCATGGCCAAATTTGAACAAATCGAACACATTAAGAAGATTGTCATCAAATTTAGATAGTTATTTTTATTTTAAAGTAATTTTAATTATTTGTAATATCTATGGATTCGATTTGATTAGATGTATTCAAATGCAAGATTTTGATTGTGATAGACCAATGAACATTCAGAGTGAAGAGGAGCATGGTGACATTGGCATGATTGACAAGTTGAATCATCTCCATTCTCAAGTTGTAAACATTTTGATGAAAGAATACATTTTGAAAGTGGAGATACTTCAAATCTTGCAACCTTCAACAAGTATTCAATTAATTGTGGTGAGTGTGGAGAGAATAGCCAAGGATTTCTTAGGGTATTTCCAGGAGCGTAGGTAGCTGGCGGACCTCTTGCATTTGTTGTTGCATTTGTCTAGTCATGATACCGAAGATAGAATTGATCGTCATATAGTAGTTTGAACTAATTACTCTATTAACATTGGTAAGAACACTACGAAGATTACCATTTCTAGTAGTACGGTCAGCTGAACATGCGACAATAATAACATGGGTGAAGTTAAGATTTGTTCTGGCAGCTAGTTTAGCCATTAAAGCACCAGCGTGACAGGTGGTAATTAAGAAGTATACCATGACATTTGTAACTGACAATGCATTTAATGCATCAATTATTTCTATTATCGATGAATAGAATGAAATAATATATTATAAAATATGGAATAAGTTTTCAATCGATCATATATCTCTTACCCATTTGTGGGCTTTTCTAGTACCTTGTTCTTCATATTGGAAAAAAGAACGATCCATGCAACAATGTAGAGAAGAATCGACATAGCCTTAAAGTTCTTTAATATTGGAGATTTCACCAACACCGGCAGCATCTTCTTTCTTTAAGATTATTCATTGGACCATTCCTAAATATATATATTTATTTATCATAAAATAATGGGTTAGATAAAATAAAAAGAATATTAAATATAATCTTCAAGATCATTCCATTCTCCATTACAATCTTATTTATTTCATTGTTTTTTGAGATCATGAGGAAAACAAAACACAATAACTGATAATCTTAATATCTAATAATCTTAAGTGCATGTGTCGTTTCGATAATGATTGATTTTAAAATAATCAAATCTAATCATTCATATTGTTTTTTTTTGAATACTAAAATTAGTTTGAAAATGATCTACGAATAACAAATCATCCACAAAATAAATATAGTGTCAAAATAATTTTAGTTTGTTTATCTGTTTTTCGACACACTTATTAATCATATGATTTTAAAAGAAAAAAACCGATGATTAACAAAAAAAAAAAAAAACAAAAATGACGTTAATTTTTTTTGCCCATTACATTGAAATGCAATTGATAAGCAAGTCAGTTTTGAAAAAAATTTTAAAACACACAATCCGTCATCAAATAAATAGTGCTCTAACCCATTGCTCCAAAAAAAACCATCATTCATCACCATCATCATTTTGCAAAAATAAAATTAAATAAAAATAATTTTTAAAACAATCAGATTGGTATCAATATTATCAACAACAAAACTGTTTTTGGAAGCATCTTTTTTGATTTTAGCACAAGTGTTATTCTACTTATTACTTAAAAAACACATTCATTTGCAATTACTTTTTTTACTATCTCATCTTTTTATATCTATATATTATAACAAGATATTTAATTAAATTTAATCATAAATAATAATAAAATATAATCAAGATTGATCGATTTTTATTTTATTCAAATTTTTTAATTTTTTAATTTTAAAGATCTTTCGCATAACTGGACTGTTTACAAAAATTTTAGATATTTTTTTTTAAAATTTTCGCCCAAGATTTAGTCCTTAATTCACTCTGATCTTTTTTTCTAATTTTTTTATTTATTTATTTATTTAATAGTATTAGATTTTCTTTTTTTATCTAATATTAATAGATTTATATATACATATATCAACAAACAAAAATTTCAAGACAATCAATCAAATCAATCAAATAAGTGACCACACCACACTACACACAAACACACACATATAAAAACACATCAAAAGCCAAACCTTTTTTTGTATATATATATTTTTTTATAAATAAAGAAAAATAGAGAAGTCTTTAAAAAGCTATCATATATCTTTCTTTTAGTCTAGTCATATCAAAATAAACAAATCAAACACAAGGAATTAAATTATGACTGATGAGGATCCAGTCAATGTAGAACCCATGAATGTGGGTTTACATGGTGGATTGGCAGGCTTGAAGCAACAGATAGAGGCATCCGACGATTCATCGCAGAGCGAGACCGATCAATCGGTCGATATGCTGACGACAGCGGTGGTTTCATTCGTTTTCGTCAGTAAGCAGGCATCGCTTTTCAATCTGCTCATTCAGATGTTGTCGACCAACAAGTTTGCACCGGTACAGAATCAATTCAATATACCGTTTCAACCGTCACCCGATCCTTCGGTGGTGATTCCCGCTCACCAAGAGTCACTCAACAGCAGCACCGGCAGCAGCAGTCCCAAGACATCGGCACTGATGTTCAACGTGCTGAACGACGCCATCAACTCGGTATCACAGCAATATCAAAAGAACTTTTACATCAATATCATCGAGAGAACCGACAACAACAATCCATCGTACAACCAACTGCTTGCCGGTTGTCTATCGTTCATCAATCACATGCTATCGGCAGCACCAACTCATTTCGATTTCGAGCGATACAGACAACAATTATCTGCACAAGGTGTTAATGATATAATTAAAGTAAGTCAAACAACTTGCGTTCTCAAAATTAAATTAATATCAATCAACTAATTGACAATAATATTATTATTTATATATTTCCAGAAACAAATTAAAAATGTTGATCCAAATGTCAGATCGGAATTGTTACATTATCAAAAACACAAGATTGCGAATATTAAAACAGGAAAACTTATTATTGATAAGTAAGTAGATGATATGGATTTAAAATAATTATAAATAATAGGGGATTAGATTATTAAAACATGTTAATTAATTGAATTGTTATTATTTATTATTATTATTAGACAAAGTATAGATCATTTAGTAACAAGATTATTAAAAGTATCATTTCCAAATAAAACATTTGATGAACCTACGAGTTCTTCGAATGGTAACACCTCGACAGAACAAAAGATGAAGATATTGGGATTCCAAAGTGGTGCTACTACAGGATCGATTTCAAACACAGAGTTACTGGGAACCGGTATTCTTGGACTTAGAAATCTAATTTATTTTGGTGCACGTTATTCACGTATCTATCTTGAGATTCTCAACGTCCAAATGAAAAGAGATCAAGAAGAAGCTATCTATTCTTTTATAAATGTTGCAATGTGTTTAACAAATTGTATCTATGAAATATATATTGATGGTAAGTTTTTAAACAACAAACAAAACAAACAATTAGTTATCTTTTCAAATTAATTAATTATTATTATTGTTATTATTATTAGATGAGAATTTATATGAAGTTATATTCGATCAAGATGACTGGTTTGAAGAGATGTTTTCGATTTCCTTTGAATTATTTGATGAAATCTGGGAGAAAGAAGCAAAAGTACCAGAGGATTTCGTAACTATTTTACATAAAACAAGGTATGTTCTGAAAATATATATATTGATTATAAAAAACGAATAAAATTTCTAATATTTAATTTGTTTTTTTTATTTATTTTTTTATAGAAATATATTATCTAGAATAAAATGGACAAATCAAGATTCTATTCAATCATTCCAAATTGCTTTGGGAACTGTTTTGGATGAGATTTGGAATAGAGAAGATGAGATTGTTGAGGATCAACATCGTAGATTGATGCCTCTCAGTGATAGTATCATTGGATTACCACATGGACATGGTGGTGGAAGTGGTAGTGGTAATGGAAAGAGCCACGAACACAGCAATCTTACTCATGCAACACAGAGATTCCAAAAGTTCTTCAAATCACGTAAGGACAGTAACGATGAAATCGGATTGAATTCATCGTCCGGTTCAATAGCATCGAATGTCGATTCAGCACCACCATCACCTTCACTACAGGGTTCAACCGAATCCAGCAACAACAACAATGCTACTACTGGCGGTCGTAAAGTAACACACATCAGACACCACATGAAATCAATGAGTTTCAAGAAACTATTTGAATTCAAAGATAAGAATCCAAATGGTGGAGCAACTCTGAATCAATCTCAAGAGATTCCGAGAGTGGATACCGATGATGAGGAGTCACGTGAGACTCAGATCAAGGAGAAGGATCTCAGCAATGAGGAGGAGAAGAAATCGTTCGAGAGAATCATCAAGGTGTTGAAGAATACCGCTGCCACTTTGAAACACAAACAATCAGGCGATAAATCAACGGCAACAAAGATTGATACCTCTGCACTTGCTCAGCAGCAACAAGCGGAAGTCAAGAGTGACAGTCTGGATGTTGTGATTGTCAGCAGTCAGAGTTCATCGTCATCGCTGAATCAAGAGTTGGATCAACAGACAACAGTGGCAATTAGCACCGATGAGAATGGACAACACTTTCAATTCGACGACGTTCAATCGATCAACTCCTCTCAGACATCGTCACCAAAGATGAATACATCGGACAAGTTGAAGGCGAGTGGATCCGTCATGTACAAGACCGTCAAGAAGGTGATGCACTCCATCGAGAAGAAAGGAAAAACCATAAAGAAGAAGGTGAAGAAGAGACGTGCGTTGTCCGACCAGCAAATGCAGGCAGAGATGACCGAAGAGGAGCGAGCTGCCAAACTCGAAAAGAAACTCAAGAAGAAACAACGAAGAAAGATGAAGAATGTACAGTACGAGAAGGAGAACGATACCATTGTATTACAGGTTTCAAACGAGAGTATCAATGGTCAAAAGAAGGTTGATAGAGGTAGTTTCCAAGAGTTGAATCTTGACTTGGATGATCAATCCGACAGTCTCGATAGCTCTGACGATTCCGAAGATTCCGACGACGAGTCTGGCACCACTGTTGACGATCTCACCGACAACCAATCGGAACGACATCACGGTCTCGCCATTCCTAAACTCAAGATTAGCAACAACATGACTAAATCCGACAGTAACAGCAGTATCAATACACAGACAAGCAACAGCACATGTGTATCACCAAAAGAATATCCAATTTCCTATAGTAATAGTTCAAGTAGTAATGATTTATTAAAACAACAACCAAAACAACAACAACAACATAGACAACAACAACAACAAGTTCAGGAACCACCTTCTCCACTTTTACTTACACCAAAATCAACAACTTCAGATTCACAACTACAACCACCACAACAAACATTATTATCACCAGATGCAACAACAACAGAGAATACAGGTAATAGAAGATCTGTTAAAGATATAAAGGATGTTTTCGATGCACTCGACGAGTTGAGTAAAGGATATGTTTCGGCATCGACTACACCAGTCAGTTCATCAACTGAACACTCGACCGTCAATACACCACGCTCCAGCTTGTCAACACCAAGAAGATCGACCAACATCAGCAGTAGTACCAATAGCTATACTCTGGATGCACCTGCGAAGCCAGGTTCAATGAAGACATCGACATCGTCGACCGACATCGAAGGCGAGCAGAAACGATCGAGCGTCGCACAGAACAACCGTATGAGCAGCTTCATGAAAGGACCGTTCGGAACGATCGAACGCCGCAGAGACACTCCCGCCATGACCAAATCGACAAGCATCAAACAACTAGTGAATTTCTTTGAACAAAAAACTGAACCTCCCGCACCACCAACTCTGATAAGACAGAAATCAATAAGAGACATTAATAGTAACAACAATTAAATTGTTTAAAAAAAAGAAACAAAACAAAAATCGAACATACACATTCGCACTCACACACAAATATATAAGGAAAATGTAATTATATCAATTTATAATCTTTTAAAAATTAAAATAAATATATACAATAATAATAAAATTATAAGTTAATAATTTTTATTGGAACAATTTTTCATTATTCTTAATTTTTATTTATTTATTTTTTTTTGGGTAATATAATTTGACAACAAATGAAACTCCTTAATAACTAGATTAAATCTCTTACAATATTATATATATATAATTAACAGATTTCCCAAATTTTTGATTTTTAATAACTAACATAATAAATTCTCTATTTTTTTTTATTATTGATTTTCCAACTCTTTTATTGATTGTTTTAAATAAACTTGTTAATCAAAGTAAAACAAAATTAAAAAATCCTATTTCAGAAAATTTTCAAAAAAAAAAAAAAAAAAAAGAGGGAGAAAAAAAACCTTGTTTTGGATTTTTTCTAAACATACTTTAGATTTAATTAACAGTTTTTTTTTGTTTATTTTATTTATTTTATTCTTTTTTTTTTTGACAAAAATGGTATTGTATTATATAATGATGATATTTGAAAATATTTAAATATAAAATAATAATACTAATGAGATCTTAATAATATATAATATGATTTCATTTTATTGTATTGAAAATATACATTTTATATTCAACAACAACAACAACAACAGAATCGTTTGACAAGTTCACAAAGAGAAAGAGTTGAGGAGTTCATCTCTATTACATCGGCTAAAGAGTCGAAAGCTATCAACATATTGCGTGATAACAATTGGAAATTGGATCAGTCGGTCGATGCCTGGTATAATGATCCATCCAACATTCCAGAAGATAAAGTAGATTCAAATTCCTTAGATTCTCTATTTAAATCTTATAAAGGTAAGAAACAGCAGCAGCTGCAGTTTTATCTCTACATATGTTTTGTTTATTAACATGTTCTTCTATTAAATAATGGTTATTATTATAGATAGTGGTGAAGATAAGATATCAGGAGAAAACTTACAGAAACTATTCAAACAAGCCGGTGTCGACACTGATTTGTTGGAGTTGGCATTGTCGTGGAAGTTGAAAGCAAAGGTTATGGGCGAGCTCAGTAAGCAGGAGTTTGTCGATGCCTGTAAGCTGCTGAAGATCGACTCAGTCGATAAGCTCAAAGCGGAGGTCACCAAGTTGAAGAAGGACATTCAGAGCGAACAGAACTTTAAGGATTTCTACAGCTACATCTTTGACTATGGCAAGCCGACCAATCAGAAGAATCAGTCACTCGACATGGCCATTGGATTGTGGGATCTGGTGCTGACCAACCGCTACAAGGATCTCAATGTGTGGTTCGACTTTTTGCGTGAGAAGAATCACGGTATCTCCAAGGACACCTGGATACTCTTGTTGGACTTTATCAAGATTGCAAACGACGACATTGCTAAATACGATTCCGACGGTGCCTGGCCTGTACTGATAGACGAATATGTAGAATATCTCAAAAGTAAATAAGCAACATACATAACTCTTTAAAAAATAACATTTAACATAAAAAAAAAAAGAAAGAAAAAACAAAGAAAAAAAAAAAAGATAACTAAAATAATAATAACTTATAATATAATATAATATATAAACAGTGGTGTTTATTAACTTTGAAAGCCACTTTCCTTTCTATCTAACAAATTAACTCTCATTTTTTGTTTATTTATTTGATCAATAATATATTCACTTTATTTATATGTATTGAGTCAATTGTCTGTCTTCAACTAACAACTCTAAATCACTTATCCAACTTTGTTTCGATTTACTACTGGCTGTGTTGAATGTTAAGATCAATGGTGATTTACCTTCTGGATCTGATATGAATCTAAAAGATGTATCATCTTTTATTTATTTAAAAACAAATCGAATTGATGTTAAAAAGTTTATACTATTAAGATTTCTAACTAATTAGTTAGTTAGCGAATATATTACATACGATTTGGAATTGGTTTAAATTCACTATTCTCCAAGTTGATCTCTAATAGATATTCATATCTCCTTGACTTCTTGTGGAATAAAGGTTGTTTGGCTAGAATGATAAGATCATTGAATAGATAGACTTTGAAGGTTCCACAATACTTTTTGTTACTACAAGTCGTATCCAAGATACCTTCTCTTATCCATCTTCTATTTGGACTAACAAGATTTTTCTTTAATTAAATAATATTAAAAATAAAAATGATTGTAAGTTTCATATTTTACAATTGTTAAATTTGTTATGTTATACTATACTTACAGGACAATTCTTTAAAGTTTCATATATTGTTGCAACTCTATCTTTGTTACCACATACACCCTTGTTCTCGTTGATATAACTATTGATATCTCTAATACTATCGAGTGCTCTTACCAAATTCTGATAGTCGTAATGATCGACACTTGTCTTCTCTACCAGATTCTTCAATAGTAATTCATATCTAGGAATACGTTGAACTGGCATAATTAATAAACTTTGGCTATATAGAATAATAAACAAACATAAAAAGTAATAGAAGTAAGTAAGTAAGTAAGTAAGTTAGATTGTTATTGTTTATATAATACATACATATCTAAAGAATATTTATTATTCTTTTGAGTTTCCTTAAAGAAACCAGGATATTTCTCTTCTACTTTATGTAGTTCTTGCATAGAGTGTTCAAAGTTATTGATGTATTCAACATAGAATCTCATCTCTTGTGCTTTCTGAATGTAGATTTCACCGATATTCTGTTGATTGGCAGGCAATGACACTCTACGTTTCAATTCCAACAGTAAATCTTTACTGACAACCAAGATTTGTTCTACATTTGAAAAGATACCTTTGATAATGTGTGGATCCAACTTTATCGAAGGATCTCTCTCCAAAGGATATTTATAGACCAATATAAGATTCTCCAGAGAATCACAATAACTCTCTTCGGTCGATACCAATTCTTGTAACACCTTTTGTCTGGTTCTATTTCTCTTTTCCATTTCCTCTTTCGACTCTGGCGGTCTATTCATTCTAGCAATTGGAACCGAAGATTTAGTATGTTCTTGTGATAGTTGTTGTTTTTGAATTGGTGGTTGTTGTTGAGACATTTGTCTAGGAGGTTGTTGTTGTTGTTGTAGAGGTGGAGGTTGTTGTTGTTTCATTTGTTGTGGAACTTGTGGTGAGACAAAGTTTCCTCTATTATTATATGGATTGTTATATTTATTATTATCATCTACCATTGCTGATATCGGAATGGCAGGAGTGGAGTAAACTGAATTCTTATTGGCCTGTGATATCGATTTGTTGGGTGGTGGATAGGAGCTTCTTTTGTTGTTGGAGAATGGTTCTCCAAATTGTTGGGGTGGCAACTGCATTGGTTGAGGTTGAGGTTGATATAGACTAGGAGGTGGTGGTTTCGCCATCGATTTGGTGTCTGGCACGAATTTCTGTTGATTGAAACGTTGCATTTGTGGTGGTAGATTAGCATTGTTGTAGGGAGCCTGTAGGAATCCGGGTGGCGCATCACCATAGGGTTGAGCAACCTGATCGATTCCTAGGAATTGCGGATAGCCTGCACTTCCAACGTGTTTTCCAATGGGAACTTCTGTGGTGGATGGCGTGCGAAAGAATGTCTTCTGAGTGTACGCTTTGTATTCTCCGGTCATTGGATTATAGGTCAATTGGACACCGTGTGGTGCAACGAAATCACTCGGTTGTTGAGGAGCAGCAGGTACAGCTACAGCAGCTTGCATCATCATTCCAACTGGAAATCCTGGAATACCTGCCATTGGCATTGGCATAGCCATTGGTTGCATCGGTTGCATCGGGACACCTGGTGGTGCAACAAAATTGGGTGGTGGAACACCATTATATTTATATGACATTTATTTATAATACATACAAATTGTTTACAACAAAACAACAAACAAATTTGAAAACAATTATAATAATAATATTGAAAATTGGAAACTTCTTTTGTTTAAAATAATATTTATTCAACACACAAAACATTAAAAATTTTATTTTTAGATATATTTATTATCTGTATCTATATAATTTTTCTTTTCTTTTTTTTTCTTAGATTTAGAAATTTTTAGAAAAAAAAAAATAAGTAATAAAAATATAGATAGAGATATTATTTTATTTATTTTATTTCGAAAAAGAGTGGGTGGTCAAAGAAATATTGGATTTGTTTATTAAATCGATTTATAAATAATAAAAAAATGACAAAATTCCAAATATGGAAAGTAGGAGATGTTTCGGAACAAACAATGTAAAAAAATAATTCGAGTTTTCATCTTAGAACTTTCCTTATAGAATATGATAGCACCTTACACACGCACACATACACCACACATACCTAGATATGACATCGTTGTTGTTGTTGTTACTGAGCTTCAATGCAACTGTCGATTAGATTAATTTAGTTGTTTTTTTTTGTTCTCTATTGTAACTACAAACTAAATTGGTAGTTTCAAAGAGTAACATGCATAATCTCTAGAGAGAGTGAGGACTATCTTTTCTTAATTACTATTATTACTATTATTAATATTATTGTTGTTGTTTTGTTTAGAGGTATCTACAATTAAAGTTTCACCATTGTCATGTACATAAATGGTACCTCTATCTATAGTTGATTGTACAACAGGTTTTCTTCTTGTTCTTTGATATTTATTCTTCATTTCTGATAATGTTTTACTCTTTTATATTATATTAAAATTAATAATCTAAAAAGAATTATAATTGTAGTGTATCATTATACTTACATATAAGAATAATAAACTATTTAAATCTATTCTATCAGGTATTTGAATATATCTTATATTTCTTGAATTAATTAAAATGAGATCATAACTATCTGTTGTATCTCTTCTCTTTAATGTTGCATTAGATAATTCAATACTATTTATTTAATAATAATAATTATTAATATTTTATTCTTATAAATAGATTATATATTTATTTTAGTTAATATTAATTAAAATAGACTTACTTCATATGTTCATCTATAGTATCGATAGTACCATAGATCTCATTTTCATTTCTAAGTTGTACGGTTATCTGTGAGCCTGTCAAAGCATTGAACACACAAAGCAATGAATTCAAATCTGATTTCTTATTTCCTTTAACCATCTTTCTCTGTTGCCTTCATTACATATTAGTTATATATTTATTAATATTGTCATGTGAATGATCGATGATGATTTCAAATTTTTTGAACTACGATTTTTTAAACTTTAGGAAAAAAGTTTGAAAACATTTCAAAAGAAAAACAACACAAACGCCTCACACTAATTTAATAATAATTTGAAATAGATATATAAATATAAGTAATAGTGATGTCATATAAAGATACTTATATTCAAAAAGAATCAAATATCACTAGAGCATTAGGTGAATTCCTAGACGAAAGAGAAGAAAAAGGTAAACCAATTAAAACTGTTGGTTTCGATATAAATAAGGTAAGCTTTTTACATATTATATTGTATTTATAGAGTTTAGATAAACTAATTAGAGATGAATGAATGAACAGCAAGGAGGTCAATCAACTTCACCAATTCCAATACCATCGACATCACCTAGTCAAGCTAATATACCATCAAAGAGTCCATCTACAAGAGGTTCAATGGACAAACAACATATTAAAAAATCAACGTATGTTAATGTTAACTTGTCTTTATTGAACGATTGATCACATCTTTTTGTTTTATTTATTAACTTGCCTCTCTGGTTTAAAAGTGGATCACCAGGATCAATGGAAGGCATTTCAACTCCACATATTCCAACTTCATCATCGATGGAGATACCAAAACCAACTACAGATATACCTGATGTTGGAAAGTTACAGATTTCAAACTCTGCCGATTCATCTTTACATCCACCTGCTGCTACTGCTAAACCACAGCAACAACAAAATAGACAGCAACAACAACAGCAACAACAAGGAGGACAACAACAACAAGGACAACCAAGACCCGCAGGTCAAACAAAGAAACAACAACAGAGATTATTACAACAGCAACAACAAGCTGCAGAAGGTGGTGTACAATCACCATCGACACACCCAAAACAACATCAACAACAAGGAGGACAACAAGCACAAGCACAACAAGGAAAACAACAGCAACAACAACAACAAGGAGGACAACAACAACAAAAGAAACAATCGAATCCCTCGACACCATCGATTCAGTCACCACCCAACGAAGACATCGAGGAGCAAAACGCCGCTAAAGCACTGGCTGCCAACGCCCCAAAGAAGGGTGGAGTGGTTGTAGTTCAATCGACACAGTTTGACGATCAGAAGAAACGTGACAAGGCAACGAAGAAGAAGATTATCAACGCTGTGCCAGCCACCAAGTTGATTCCACTGTTTGCTCATCTGCCGCAGTACGAAATCGAAAATTCGCTGGGCATTGTCAATGCCGATATTCACCCGGAGATCATCTCACTCGGTTTGAAGTACGCAAACTTTACCATCTCTGGTTCGAACGCACGTGCCGTCGCCATGATGACAACATTCAAACAGGTGATTCGCGATTTCCACTTGCCAGCAGAGAAGGATTTCGCACGTGAATTGAACGCACATCTCACTCCACTCATTCAATTCCTCGTCGATTGTCGTCCGATGTCCATCTCCATGAGTAATTCAATCATCTATTTCAAACAACAATGTCTATCTGAAATCAATAAGAAATTAACAAATGAAGAGGTAACAAATAACTTTTTTCAATAACCAACCAACTAGCTAATAATGTATCCAACTAACTAACTAACCAACTTTGTTATTATTATCATTAGGCAAAAGAATTTTTATGTGAAAAGATAGATTCTTTTATTGAGAGAATTGTTGTGGCTGATAGAGTTATCGCTCAATATGGTGTCTCAAAGATTAAGGATGGCGATGTCATTATGACTTATGCAAGTTCACACGTTGTTGAGATGATTCTTGTAAAGGCTCAGGAGGAGGGAAAGAACTTTAGAGTTATCATTGTCGATTCGCGTCCTAAACACGAAGGCAAGCGTTTGATGCATCGTTTGGTGCAACACGGTGTAAAATGTACCTATATCCTCTTGAATGCCACCTCCTACATTATGAAGGAGGTCACCAAGGTGTTTGTAGGTGCGTGCTCACTGCTCTCCAACGGTAATCTAATCTCGCGTTCTGGAACGGCGCTGGTTGCTTCGATGGCACAGTTCTACAACGTTCCCTTCATTGTTTGTTGTGAGACCTACAAGTTCTCTGACAAGTCACAGCTCGACTCGATCTGTTCGAACGACCTCGGCGATCCCAAAGATCTCGTTTCCAACCTCAGCGAAAAAGACGTGCACACTGACAACGTTCTCAAGGACTGGAAGAACATCAGCAGTCTCAAACTTTTAAATCTTATGTACGATCTCACCCCAATCGAATTGATTGCACTCGTTATCACTGAATTTGGTATGGTACCACCCACTTCTATTCCAGTTATCCTAAGAGAATACAGGAAGGAAGTTACCATTTTAAAAAATATTTTAATAATTTAAACAAACATTAAAAAAAAACAACATAATAAAAATAAATAATAATAATTAATTTAATTAATTTAATCAATCAATCAACAATCAATCAAGATATATAGATATATGTATTTGTGTGTTAAAAATATATTCAGAATCCAAAATTAGTATTATTTTTTTCATTTTGTTTTTTATCACATCACATAGTTTTGTTGAAGATCAATTCCTAAAAGATGGATAAAATTATTATTCTCTATATTTAATAATATAGTATTAAGAAAAGAGATATTTAAAAAAGTTAGATATCGATGTGTTGAAATGGAATAGTGTTAAATGGAATGATATCAAAAATAAACCAACCTATTTGGCAACATACAACTATTTCCATCTATTAAATCATACTTTAAAGAGATTCAGAGAAAAAGTGGTATGAGGGTTTTATTTGAAAATAAATCTGTTGTTAGAGCGATGAAGATAACAATAAAGTGTGGTTACTTTTCAACTTTCCAATACTTTTTTTTTTAAGATATACTAATATCTCAAGAAATTTATGAAAATTGCATTTGACAGTGGAAGATTAGAGTTTGTTCGATTTTTGGATTCACTTGGCTACGACCCAAAGACATTCGATTATCAGGATATTATTGGACTAGCACCACTTGGTTAAAACTTTGAGCTGTTGCTTTGGATTGTAGAGAATCATTTATCACACGTCATTACCAAGAGTTCAATGCGGCCAAATATTAAATATGGAATTTACAGTGCCACTGAAGTTGGTTGACTTCTCAGCGATGAAGTTACCAAATCCATAGGATTCATCGATGCCTATCCAACTGAAAAAGTGTTGTTGATTTGTTTGGTAACATCATCGCTGAGAAGTACAAACTTGGCTGATAGGTGAGAGGCGGGAAGCGCTTTCAATCATTTGAAAGTAAAATCCCTCCTCATAGTAAGTATAAAATATTAATTTTTTTAATTTTTAATGATAGCAGAGACTTTTTTATGAATTTCATTTTATTTATTTTTTTTATATAACTATTTATTGAGTCTACTAATAAAGATGAGAGTGATGTGTGTTGTATCGATAGTTTAACAAATTTTGTAAAATGTAGTAAGGAATCTATAGCTGTGATATCATATGAAAAGAATATACACAAATAAAATAAAAAAACAAATACAATATTATAATAAATTAATGATGTTAATAAATGAAGTTTAAAAAAATGTTTGTCGATCAAATTTTTCATTTTGATATCAATTTCTATATTGTATTCAAAAAAAATACTTTAACAAATGTCATTTGCTAACCACTACACCCATTTTTTTTATGTTTTTTGAAGCCTCAAAATAATTTATGGCGTTTGAAGAAGACTGTTTTCGCTATCTGTAACTGGGTGTGGGAATATTTAATAAATAGTGAGGAATTGATAGAAAATCTCTTCTTAATCCACTTTTGTTTTTAAGAACTTTAAAAATTTTGCAAACACAACGAAAATAGCCCACCATATCATTTTTTGTGATGTCTATTTATTCAATACCACACCCACTTTTTTTCAATTTTGCAAATATTTATGTATTTAGTGATCTGTATTACACTATAATCTAACTTACAAAATACTCTTCAAATGCATCATATCTATGGATATTAAAATTCATCATAGGATACTATTATGTGAAATCGATGTTGTGCAAGTAGGTTGTAGGGTGCTCGACAAATATCGGTAAACTGTTGAAATGGTGGAGTTCGAATGACAATCATCATGATTCCTTGAAAATTCGGTACCCTTCACTTTCTCCAGGACATTAGATCTGCTAAACAGAATCTCTCTCTCTACATTCTGTTATTCTACTTATAAACTCTACATATTATATATTTTAATAATATAAAAATGATTGTATTACTTAAAAAATAATAGAACTACTAACACAACAAACAATAAAAATAACAATTATAAGAATAAATAAAATGTATATATACATTTTTCAATTTTATTTAAAAACTTTTTAAACTTTTTTTTTTGATAATCAACTTCCAAAAAATGTAAAGATCTTTAAAATAAGATTTCAACATTAACAAAAACACGTTTAAAAACATCAGATGTGTGACATTAAATCATATATTACAAAACTATTCAATAATTTATTTTTCTTGCTCAACAATCTACAAATAATTTAAAAAGATGGATAAAACACTATTTATATTTATATTTAATAACTCTATACTAAGAAAAGAGATATTCAAAAAAGTTAGATATATCAATAGAGATATATTGAAATATAATAGTTATAAATGGAATGTTATTAAAAATAAACCAAGCTATTTAGCTGCATATGATTATTTTGATCTATTAAAAGAAAGATACAAAAAGATGACTTCAAAGATGACATGGTATGAACGTATCGTTGGTAGTGCAGATTTAGATTCTTTTATTTCCAGCGTTTTGTTGGTATTAATAAAGTACGGTCATTTACATACAGTGAAATACTTTATAAAGAAACAGAAATCATTTAACGATTTTATGGTTCATTACTTGGTAAAGGCTGTTTGTCATGGTAGATTTGAAATTGTCAAGTATTTGGTTTCTCTCACGAAGCCGACTTTTACACATACCTTTATGCTTGGATATGCACCACTAGGTTTAAACTTTGATCTATTGGTGTGGCTTGTAGAGAATAAGTTGGCTCGACTCATTGCTAACGGATCGATAAACAAATATATATACATATCAATGAGAAATGCAACGGTAGTCGGTAGACTTGACATGTTACAGTACTTGGTGAACAATACCAAGACTCGGTTGGATACAAAAGATCATTTGTTTCTTGAGAATGCAGTGTCTAGTGGAAATGTCAAAATGGTAAAATGGTTGTTAGAGCAAGGATTTTCATTTCGAGAATCAGAGTATTATATTGATACAGCTGCAGCCAAGAGTCATCTTGATCTCGTTAAATATCTTCATCAACATAAATATGGAAGATCAAGAGGTCATCTACTTGATATTGCAGCGAGATCAGACAATTTAGAGCTTCTTCAATGGATTCATGAAAATCGAACAAACGAAATAACAACCTGCGATGCTATAGACAAAGCAGCCGCCAATGCAGATCTACACGTTGTACAATGGTTGTATGAAAATAGGAGTGAAGGTTGCTCAACGCTTGCAATCGATAAAGCATCATCTGTTAGTTTAACGGTTGTCAAATGGTTATTTGAAAATCAATCAGCAAAATGCACACCAAGAGCAATGGAAAATGCTTTAGCAGCACGTCATGCAGATATAATGGAGTGGTTGTTCATCAATATACCAGAAAAGTGTAATAGGCAACTATTTACAACGGGTACACTTAGCAAGTTGATTGAAGAAAACATTGAAAACAATGAAACATTGATTTTTCTACTTGAACATCGTCATCAACTTATCACAACAGAAGTCAACTTGAAACAATTACTTGAATATTCTAAATTTTATAATAATTCAATTGCTATAATTAAATCATTCAAATAGATTAAAATCTATTTTTCTTGTATACTATAGAACAATCAAAGAAAACATTATGCTTTTCCTATTCTCAGCCTTATTTTCTTTAAATCTTTCACTATTTCTATATTTCATTTATTACTTTTAAATCTAATGGTCGTCAAAAAAGAGTCAATATTTTTCTATGAATTTTGTTTTTGTAAAATTGATCAAAAAAAACCAATTTTGGTGATCAGATAAATACCTGGTGTGTGATAATTTGAACTTTTTGTAAAGATAAAATTAAAAATGATTGTTTTATATTTTAAAATTGATCAATTTCATCTTCACAAATAATAATTAAAAGATGAATAAAACTCTGTTTATTTGTATATTTAATAATTTAGTATTAAGAAAAGAGATATTTAAAAAAGTTAAATATATCAATAGAGATATATTGAAATATAATAGCTATAAATGGAATGTTATTAAAAATAAACCAAGCTATTTAGCTGCATATAATTATTTTCATTTACTCAAAAAATACTTTAAAGAGATAGCTTCAAAGAAGAACAAGTGGTATGAACATCTGTTTGGAAGTGGCACATTAAATGGTCATGTCTGTAGAGTTATGTTGGTATCAATAAAGTATGGTCATTTAGAAACATTGAAATACTTTATAAAGAAATACTCTATCAAAGTTGAAGAATACATGAGACAATTCATGGTGATGGCAGTTCGCAATGGAAGGTTGGAAATCGTTAAATACTTAGATTCACTGGGTCTTGGTATCAATAAATATACATACCGTTCAATGATTGGGCTGGCACCACTTGGTTTAAACTTTGAGCTATTGGTATGGATTGCAGAGAACAAGCTAGCGGATATCATTCATTTGATAGTCGAGTGTATCAAGATAGCAATGAGAAGTGCAGCTGAAGTTGGTAGACTCGACATGTTACAATATCTGATGAATAAAACACTGATTCCTCTCGCCAATGAAGCTGACCATTGTATTCTACAGAGTGCAGTACAAGGTGGAAATGTCGAAATGGTAGAATGGTTATTACAAGGATCATTGTCATTCAATCCAATGGTGAACTATATTGATACTGCTGCACTGAGCGGTCATCTGGCGATGGTCAAATATCTACACCATCATAACTACGGAGTATCCAGTAGATATTTACTTTATAAATCGGTACAGTCAGGAAATCTAGAGCTTGTTCAATGGGTCTATGAAAATCTATCGACCAATGTCACCTCAAAGTTCGCGCTGAACGTTGCAGCCGAACAAGGATTCTTACATGTTTTGCAGTGGATAAACGAACATAGGAATGAAGGAAGCTCAACTACTGCCATCGATAAAGCATCGTGGGTTAGCTTATCGGTTGTACAATGGCTTCACGAGAATCGAACAGAAGGTTGTACATCGAATGCAATAGAGTATGCGTTGAAAGCAGGTCATCTAGATATTGCAGAGTATTTGTTCACCAATATACCAGATAAAAGTAATCAAAAGCTATTTACAATTAGTACACTTATCACGTCGATTGAAGAAAACATCGAAAACAATGAAATCTTGATATTTCTACTCGAACACCGTCATCAACTCTTTAAAACTGAAATCAGCTATGATGACCTTATTAAATGTTCAAAATCATTTAAAAATTCGAAAATTACAATCAAATCATTCAAGGATAAGATAAAATAATCAAATTTAATCTCATATTATTAATGATGATCAATAAAAATGTAAAAATGTAAACCAATCAACATGAGTCATAGATTTAGTTCTGTTGTTTTTATTTTGATTGAATAGTGGAGGAAGATTATTATTATGTTGAATAGGTGTTCTTATTTATACTTATTAAAAAAATATGTTTGAAACCATTGACAAAAATCACAATATCATTATAGTTGGTGGATGTTGAAGGTGATTCTATTATTGAATGGTATGAAGTTGAATGATGATTTATCTAAATGTTTATGAAAAACACAAAGATTAGCTATAACAACGAGAAGGTCTTTTTGAAAGTTCTTCATTTTGACCAACAAAAAGTGAGTGATATCATGTTCCTCAAGTGGTTGGTGGTGGTGGTGTTGTTTTTGGTGGTGGTTTAGATTCTGAATTGGTGTCCGAATCATTTTCTAAAAGTCGATATTTGAGATTAAATAAAAAAGAATAAGCATAAATAAATTAAAAAAAAAAAATTATATTATAATAAATCAAAGATGTTTAAAAAATGAAGTGTAAAAAAATATTTGTAGATAATGTAAATATTATTTAATTTCTTTAAATTAATATGATTCAAAGATTAAATACACCAGAACAAAAAAATTAATAGATTTTTAGATAACTCAAAAGTATATTTTGATAAATATTTTACTTTTTATTGTTAACAATTCTTTGATGTCATGTTTTTAGATAATGTTTTTTAAACAATATTGTAAATAAAACATTTCATTGACAATATTTTTATCAGCACCTGGATTAATGATCTTTTTTTAATTCAATAAAATATTTATAAAAAAATACTTAACAAATATCATTTGCTAACCACTACACCCAATTTTATGTTTTTTAAAGGCTTCAAAATAATTTATGGCGTTTGAAGAAGACTATTTTCGCTATCTCTAACCGGGTGTAAGAATATTAAATAAATAATGAGGAAAACAATTGATAGAAATCTCTTCTTAATCCACCTTTGTTTTTAAGAACTTTAAAACATTTGCAAACACAATGAAAATAGCCCACCTTATCTTTTTTTGTGATGTCTATTTATTCAATATCACACCCACTTTTTTCAAATTTGCAAATATTTTGTGGTGGTTCTTTAAAGAACAAATCACAAATCATTTTATTTCTATTATAATTTAAAAAACATTATCTTTTTAAATATGTTCAACTTTATTAAATATTGATACTACAGATAAACAACTATTATCTACACTCAGAGATTTCCAAAACCTTTGAGTTTTATATTTTCACAACATTATGATTCTATATTTAATAAATTTTAATATAACAACCAACCAACTAATCAAATTTAATAGTACACCAGAGATAATAGACGATTTCTTAAATAAAAATAACTTAAAAAATATAGAAAACAAAAATGAAATTTTCATTGAATATATAAAGTTTAATACAATCGATTATGACTTTACAAAATTTGAGATCATCTCATAATCGATTGTATTATACTATATATATTCAAAGAAAATTTCATTTTTTTTTTCAAGGATCCATAATTATTTGTTTTTTAATAATTGATTTTGTTATATCGGTGGACATAGGTTTCGATTCGAAATCACCAGAAAAAGAAATAAGTAAGTTTAAAATTCTTTTTAAATTCTATTTTATTAATTTTTATTTTTAATTATAACAATAGGTTATTTATTATACCATACATTGAAAATGATGTAGATTTGGTTAAACTTAGACAATTTTTTAATCATCCTTGCCAAATTTTTAGAAACAATGATGTTTTAAAATCTTAAAATAAATTATATTTTACTTAATTCTATAAAATCTTTTATTTCTCATATTTTTCTTTTTACTAACTCTTATAAGAATTAATTAATTATTCAATTTCTCTCATAATTATATTAGCAACAACAACACCAAGAACAACGACAATAATAATAATAGTAATAATAAAAGAAAGAGTAATAAAAGAAATAAAAAAAAAAAATAGAATCATTAATCCCAACAGAAATAGTAATAGTGAGGATGAGTATTCAGAAATGGAATAAGAAGAATTATTAAATATTATTATCAACAACAACAATAATATCGATAAAGAAGAATATATAGATACCGTTTATTCAGATATGGAATTTGGAGCATGATCTAAGAAAACAACCACCACCACCACTACCAGACAGAACAATAACAACAACAACTACTATATTAATAGAAGCAATATCAACAACATTAATAATAGTGCTGATGAGAAGAACAACAACAAAAGACAAAATAAATTAATATAGTAAAAAAACATTTAAAAAAAATTGTAGAGAGTTATTATTATTATAAAATTAATTAGAAAACTAAACTGTAGAAAAAATTTGAATCAATTAATAAATTCACCGTTTCTGTTGATAAAATATAATTCTTTCAATTTGTTTATACAAATTCCTCTTTCTGCTACGACATCAACTCGAGTTTAGAATTTGTCTATGGAATAATGATTTCCCATGTGATACAGCATAATCATTTGCGGTCCTCTGTGATTCTCTGAGATTGCGTTGGTAGTGATTTCCAATTGATTGCAATAGATTGAATAGTCAAACAAAGTACCATAATTCGTTTGTGGAGTTGTAGGTATCGTTTCATCGTTATCAATCAGATATTGAATAGCACCGTAATACATATTACATCTGATATGCTATCCGTTAGCAATTCAATCAAGTAGTTCCGCCCCATCTTGGCTGCACTATCGAAAAATACACCTGTTTCGTAATCATAGTCTCTACATATCTTTGATTGATCACAAGCATCCAGCTGTTCATTCAAGTACTTTACGATCTCGATATCCCCAGAGAATGGTGCTTTGATTAATGCTTGATAGTAGTTCAACCGCTTCTTTTCAAAATCTCTACATATATATTTAACGATTTCCAAACTACCATACTATGCAGCACTACACATAAGATACCATCGAAATTAGCAGTGATATATTTCGTTCTTGATAACGGCTTGACCAACGCGACCAAATATTTCAATGCCTCAAATATCGCTAATGAATTTTTCATCCAAATGAGGATATTTTGAATGATCGGCATAATACTGTTTAAGTTCATTTAAATAGAGGTTACCAGCCATTGCACAAGGAAGCTTTATTAAATTAGTTCATCTAAATCTAACACCACTCTTACAAATCACATTATTTATACTCTTGACATGTTTGAATATAAATTTAGAACACAATTAAATATATATAAATATTTATCTTTTTACATTATTTACTAAATAATCTCATTAATTGTAAACCAAGTTTATGAAACTTTGTCCAATTTCATACAAATTTTTTTTATCAAATTGTTTTAAAAAAATACAATTATGAGTCATTGCATTTTCACACATCCTTTAACCATATCGATATAGAATTTTCATCATTTCCAAATTGTCGAGAATAGATGCATAATCCATTAGTTCACAATTGTCCATTCTTCCAAAGTTACAAATCATTCTTTTCCAGAGCGATTTTCCATACATTAAATTAACCCCCCAAATTCGCAATTTTTGAAAATTTTTTTTAAAAATTAATGCGCAGGCTAAAGTGGTTGGCACTAATAAAATAGATTTTTTTTTATTAACTAGCTTTAAACAAAAAACAAAAAGAATACTTTTTATAAATATATTCTGAATCATAATTATATTACTTCTTTAAAGTTTATGGGTGTTTTATATACAAGTGTTATAGATCATTTTTATCCTAATTACGGTTATCATGTTTTAGTTTGTGGCTTGTGAGAATCAGGTAAATCTGTAATTAGAAGATGTATAGAATCTAAAAAGCTAGAAGGTTCATTACCAAACATAGTGTATGCATTTGAAATAGATTTGTATGGTCCATTCTTGAAACCTTTTTTGAAACGATATTGAGCAAAAGGATCACCAACCGATCATTACAACCTACCAACGATTAAAGAGCAACTCTGTATATTAACAAACACAAAAGACTTGACTAGAAACCCAATATTGTTTTTTCTAAATAAACTAGACTTACCCAATGCTATGACCGAATCATATATAGTAGAACAACTGAACCTCAAACGATTTACACATTTCGAATGGTTCGTCCAACCTTCTATCGCTATAGAAAACACAGGTATTGACCAAGGTCTAGATTGGTTGAATCATACCATCATTGAGATTTAAAAAGATATTGATTTCAAATTTTAAATTAGATGTAAATAAAATAAGAAAGAAAATAGAATTTTGCTTTTTACCAAAAAATATCTGATTTTTTGATGATTAACCAAAGAAACTTTTTATATATTTATAATATTGTTATTTTTTGATTATGATTATAAGTAAATGGAAAAGATATTATTTTTAAATATATTTAATAATATAATATTAAGAAATAAGATATTCAAGTTAATCAGGTGGATTCATAAGGATGTTAAGGGTTATGTACATTTTCATAAATGGAGTGATGTTTTAGGTAGACCTTCATTGATGATCGGTAATAATTATTTTCAGTTATTTAAAGATCACTTTGAAATGGATGAAATGAAGAAGAAAAACAATTCTAAATGGTATCAGAGTATATTTATACCTAAACATAAAGTAAAAGCATCGTTGGCATCGGATAAATATTTTTTTGCATCATATATTGAATTATCATTAAAAGTTGGTAACTTTGAAATGTTTAAGTATTTGTTTGAAAAGACAAGTATGGATGTGAAGCATAACAATACTATTATGCAGACGGCCGTAGAGTATGGTAGAATAGACGAGGTCAAATATCTTAGTAACATTGTTGATGACTATACTATCGATTATAACAATGTTATGTGCTACTCAGCCGATGCTTCGAATATGGAGTTATTTGCATGGGTACTGGAAAAGTATGAAGCTCAAGACAAGAGAGATGAAGTAAAAAATGAAGTGCTAGCTTTTCATAACACACTGTGGAGGTCACTGGTTAGAGTTTCTCAATTGGGTAGAATCGATATGTTGCAACTATTGATGGAAAGAGGTCACTTTTTCTTGACTGACAAATGGATCATCAAGTTTATTGTTACCGGTGCATTAAAAGGTGGTCAGATAGATTTACTAAAATGGTTAATCAGTGAAAAGATTGATTTACATCCTATTGATATCCCGAATGAAGAATCACAGTATATTAATCTTGCATGCGCCCATGGTGATTTGGAAATATTGAAACTACTGGAAAGTCAGAACATTAGATTGGGTAACACCGACGCAATGGATGCTGCTGCAGCAGGAGGTCACCTGGATATTTTGCGTTATCTTCACGACAATAGAAGTGAAATGAGCTGTACTGTCAAAGCTATGGATCAAGCTGCGGGAAACGGTCACTTAGATGTTGTGATTTGGCTCCATGAAAATCGTAGTGAAGGTTGCTCGACAAACGCTATGGATAGTTGTAAATCTCTTAATGTTTTAAAATGGTTGCATGAAAATAGAAGTGAAGGTTGTACAACTCGGTGTATGGACAATGCTTCTCGTTCAAAAATAGAGATTGTTAAATGGCTTCATGAAAATAGAACTGAAGGTTGTTCAAAGATGGCAATCTACAATGCAATTCTCAATAATAATTTCGAAATTGTACAATTTTTGCACGAAAATAAATCAGCGAAATGCACATCAACAGACTTTCAACTATTCATTTCTTGGGACCGTATTAAGGAATCATTGGAACTCATCAGATATATTTATCACAATAAAATTACAGAATGTGATCCAAAGTTCATCTTCCAACACGTAATATCAAAGGAAAAGGATGATGGATTCCTAATATATTTACTCGACAACAGAACCGATCTATTCCCTAATCATGATATAAGAATAAGTAAATTTATTAAATTCAGTCAAGGTTATTTTAATACTTCATGTAAAATTTTAAAACAATATCAAAAAAAAAAAAGAAACAATAAAAAAAATGTTTGATTTATTTTAATATTATATTGTTCAAAATTAATTTTTTAACAGATTGTCTATTTTAAAAATAAAACAATGTTATATTATAATCTTTGTATGGTAAGTCAGAAGAAAATGATAAATTAAGATTTGAGTAGGTTTGATATAGGTATTCTAGGGAAAGACAAGTTAGTTTGTTGTTGTGCTCGTATTGTTGCCTCCAATATCTATTTTGAATTCAAAGAGATGATTACATTGATAGAAGAGATCTACAGTATCATTACGAACTGATGGAAGTTTGATTCTCTTGATATTGGTGTTGTGTCAATCCTTCATCTTCATTGTACTCTCTACTATTATTTATTATTCTAACGTATTGCAAATTCCAATGATTTTCAAGTAGATGTAGATGTTTGGATGGTTCAATAGTATTTCAGTTATATTCAGCCAGAATTCATTTTTAGAAATACTCCCCAGAGACAATAAATCTATTCTAACAGGATATCTAGAACATTTGGGAACTCCTTTTGTCCAATGAGATATGTTAGTGCAATCAAAATTAGTAAAAACAGTTCTAATCAAGTTGAACCATGCATGAGAAACTAAACCCAATGAAAGTCTGTATTTCAACTTCAAAGTCTTTTCATTCCAAAGATAAACCATAATTGTTTCTGAATCAAAACATTTAATCTACAATAAACAATTTCCATATATTATCTATTATTTCAACTAATAAATTTAATAATCTTTAAAAAAAAAATTTTTAAGGTTTTGTGAAATATTAATTTCAAGAAATAATTGAAAAATTAAACTTAACAATAATATAAAAAGATATGTACAAAGAATCTAATTTTATTTAAGATATAATATTATTTAGTTCTTTAAATTATTAGATAACCATTCTAAACCTTCAAAAATACCAGCGCCTGTTATAGCGGTGGTTGGTTGAACATACCACTTTCTATCTTTTATATCGTTTAGGTTCAATGTTTCTATTAGTTGTTCAGGGTTCATAGCATTTGGTTTATCTTGTTTGTTAAGTAGAATCAATAGACTGACTCCCATCAATGATTCTTCACTGATTAAACTTGAAATAGCTTCTTGTACATCATTGATTCGCTCATGATCGGTTGCATCCAGAACGAAAACAACAGCACTGGTATTATAGAAATAGTGTCTCCATAAGTCACAAACCTTTTTTTGTCCACCAATATCCCAAGATGTAAAACTTAGATTCTTATACTCAACTGTTTCAACACAAGTCGTAAAAAGTATATTAACTTCTCCAAGGATTTCTATATTAAATACTATAGTAGTCTTTGTTTTGAAATAAAATAATATTAATAAATACTTTTAATTATAAAATTACTAGATAGATATATACCTTTCCTGCACCGTCTAAACCTAACATGAGGATATTATGCTTTGGCTGGTATAGTTCAACAATTTTAGTATATAATAATCCCATTTATGTATTTGTTTAAAAGACATAAAAATACGAAAATGAATATAAATAGTAAATATACAACATATTTAATTTATTGTATCTCTGATGATCATATTTGTTTGGCTTTCTCCAAACAAAAACACGTTGAAAAAAAGGTGGTTTTTTTCTCATTTTTTTATTTTTTCAAACATCAGTGCAGACAAAATATCTTCTTTTGTTAGAGTTTTTAATTCCTAAAAATTGATTATTAAAGTTTTTTTTTATAATTTCTCTGTCATTCAAAATAAAGCTTCATATACTGATTTATATAAATATCTTCTTTTGTCAGAGTTTTTAGTTCCCTAAAAATTGATTATTTAAGTTTAAAAAATTGTTTCACAAAGTTCTGTTGCATGCCTTTTGATTCAATCCAACTTAAATTTATAAGATAGAAAAAAGGTAGAAAGACTTAATATAAATATGGATTTGTGTGAAAACAAAAGATATAGTTTAGTAGAAATAAATGGATAAGAATTTATTTTTAAAATTGTTTAATAATATTTTCAAAAGTAAAGAATCTAGATATGTTTAAGTGGGTGCTTGTCAGGTCTAACAAAAAAGATTTAGGATTTGAAGATACTAAGAAAGTAGTAAAGAATATTGCTAAAACAGGTCAATTAGATGCAATCCAATTACTGATTGAAAGCGGCTTTATGAAACTTGACAATGGAGATATGGTTCACAATATTATTTTGAAAGCAACTAAACATGGTCATATTGATATTCTACACTTTTTGATATCTAAAAATGTAAAAATCTCAAGATTTCATGTAGAATATATAGATTTTGCTTCATCAGGAGGATTCTTGGATATTGTTCAGCTATTACACGAGAATGGAAATCGATGTTCAAAGAATGCAATGGATGGCGCAGCTGCAGGAGGTCACCTGATGCTTTTACGTTGGCTTCATGAAAATCGCACCGAAGGATGTTCTGATCAGGCAATGGATTTAGCCGCAAATAGTAACCATTTCGATTTTATTAAGTGGATTCATGAGAATAGAAGCGAAGGATGTGGAAAAACAGTAATGGATATGGCAGCATTCCACGGGAATATCGATAATGTGAATTGGCTCTATCAAAATCGTACAGAAGGCTTTAGTCATATGGCCTTGATATATGCTTCTGCCAACGTTCATTTCGATATCTTTTTATGGTTGCAAGATAAACTACCAGAAGGAACATCAGACCACCAAGCAATCAAGGATGCCTATGAGTGGTATGAAAATATTTACTTATATTAGGTTAACAATCCGATTCGAGTAGATCTTTTATCATGCAGGTATTCAGTCAAAGGGGATATCTTGATTCCCTTTAAACTTATTTTATTTCAAGAAAGTTCAAATCATAACATATTATTATAATTTGTCTAAAAAATATAAATAAAATGAATAAATAAATAAAATTTTTATTTATGTTAGTTTGGCACAAAGAATCTTCAACCACTTCTTTTTTTTTTTGAAAGAGACTACTTTTTTAATTATTACATAAAGAAATGAATAAATTATTATATTTAAAATTGTTTAATAATGTATTTTTAAGAAAAGAAATATTTAATAATGTTAAATCTATACATGTATATTTAAAACTAGAAGGTTTCAATTGGAGTAAGGTTTTGATCTACCTTTTCTTATGGTTGGTAACAACTATATCGATTTATTAAGAAATCATTATGAAAATCGAAAAGAGATCAACAAAGATAAAGATAAAATAGAATGGGCTGGTAATATTACTGGTGGTGGTTGGAAGACATTAGAATCAAAGAAACAAAAAACAGAGTTAGTCGAACTATTAGGTATTGCTCTGTCATGTGACTATTTCGATATCTTTAAATATCTATTTGATATCAGTTGTTTAGTCGGCTCTGAATGTACAGATCTATGTATTCAATCAATAGTACCATTGAATAGATTCGAATGTTTAAAGTATATAGAGCAGTCAAAGATATCAGTTGCATCTAAAATCGAGTATAATAAACTGTTGGTTGTAGCAGCAAAAGTTAAGAATCTAGAGATGTTTACGTGGTTGCTCGACAGGTCGAATATCAACAACAATATTTTTACAAATGAAAGAAACTATGAAAGTAATCAAGAGTACCGCTAAAACAGGTCAATTAGATGCAATCAAACTACTCGTAGAAAGAGACTTTATTAAACTTGACAATGAAGAGATGGTTCACAATATTATTTTGAAAGCAACTAAACATGGTTATATTGATATGCTTCACTACTTGGTCTCTGAAAATGTTGAAATACCAAGAGATGTAATAAAATATATAGATTTTGCTTCATCAGGAGGATTCTTGGATATTGTTCAGTTATTACACGAGAATGGAAATCGCTGTTCAACGAAAGCTATGGATGGTGCAGCTGCAGGAGGTCACCTGCCGACTTTACGTTGGCTTCATGAAAATCGTACAGAAGGTTGTTCGAGTCAAGCAATGAATTTGGCGTCATTGGGTAACTATTTCGATGTAATCAAGTGGATCCATAAGAATAGAAGTGAAAGATGCGGAAAAATTGCAATGGATATGTCGGCATACAATGGTCATATGGAGACTCTCTTGTGGTTCCATCAAAATCGTACAGAAGGCTGCTCTAAGATGGCTATGGACCTAGCGGTTTACAACAATCACTTTGATATCGTAAAATGGCTACATAATAATCGAACTGAAGGATGTACAACCGATGCACTTGATAATGCTGCAATGATTAGCTTGGAAATGGTTATTTGGCTGTACCAAAACAGGACTGAAGGGTTCAGTGAAAAATTCATTGAAAATGCCACAGCCAATAATAAAGATGATATCATAGAGTGGTATGAAAATCTTCAAAATAAACAACCGACTAATTCTTAACTTAATAGCATATGCAATAGTTAGAGTTATCTCCACCAATTCCAAAACCAACATACGATATTTTCAAATCGAAAAGAAAAAACATAATATAGTTTAGTTTAATAACAACTTAATTAATATAAATAAAACCAATTGTTTAAATTATATATCTCGATTAACTATTTCAATTGATAAACTATGAATTTGTGTTCACTTTCTTTATTAGTTGCTATTTTGACTAAAAACAATTTGTTTCACATAATTGTGTTGATAATTCCGAAAAAAAGAAATTTTTTAGAATAAGCAACTGACTTGTTTTAAATTTGATCAAATATTAATTTGAAAATACATATACAAATAAATATGAAATAAAAAGATATTTAATAGTATTTTTAATAATAAAATTTTAAGAGATTTGATATTTAAACAAGTTAAATATATTCATTCAGATGTTTTCAAAAAGAATGTTACCTATAATTGGAATGATATTCAGACTCAACCACATTTGATGGTAGGAAACCACTATATACCAATGGTAAAGGCTTATCTGAAGAAACAGAGTAAGAAGAAATGGTATAACCATTTCATTGGTAGGAATGTAAGAGAACAAAATGTTAGAAACAATCCTTTGACATCGTTGGCAGCAGAAGCATCAATTAAAATCGATAATCTCGAACTCTTTAAGTTTTTCATTGAAGAGATCCAAGTACACATACATCATCGTTACACTTATATGTGTCTTGCTATATCGTTGGGTAGATTTGCATTTGTAAAGTATATCGATGAACAAACCGAAAACAAATCGATATTGGAATATCCGAATGTACTTTATAGTAACCCTATTGGTTTGAACCTTGAAATGATAGAGTGGCTAGCAAACTTTAATTACTTGGCAGAGCATGGTGCAGACTATATCTATGTGAAAACAGTCAAGTGCGCTGCGCTAGAAGGCAGATTGGATTTCATTGAATCGGTTGTGAGGAAAGGTCATCTTCAACTCGTACCTGAAACATTAGAAGCGATTACAAGCAATGCAGCGAAAGGTGGTCATATTCAAATAGTACAATGGTTATTGGCGATGGGAAACGTTCAAATTCCTGTAAATATACCTTATATCGACTCAGCTGCAATCTCCGGCCACCTTGAAACGGTCAAATTCTTACACTCGAATGGCATAGGAACCTGCACCACCGCTGCCATGGATGAATGTACACGAAATGGTCATTTCCAAGTTTTGAAATGGCTCCATGGGAATAGAAGTGAAGGTTGTACTACTCGTTGTATGGACAATGCAGCATATTCCAACAACTTAGACATCGTTAAATGGCTACATTTCAATAGGAGTGAAGGATGCACAACCTCTGCTATTGACTGTGGAGCCGCCAAAGATTTGGAGCTTATTAAATGGTTACTTGAGAATAGAAGTGAAGGTTTCACAGAAAGCGCAATTTACAATGCAGCCCATTCCAACAAGCTGGAAAACGTTAAATACCTACATTCGAAAGGTGGAAATTGCTATCCAAAGACAATTTTTACCCTGTTCAAAAATGCACATTCACATTTAGATGTCATCCAGTATCTCTTTGATCACCGAATGTTCGAACCATACACCACATTGGAAAGCGAATTTGACTTTCAATTCAAAATAGAGATCATCAGAAACGTAAAAGACAATCCATTTCTCAGATTCCTTGCTGAGAATGAAACCATTTTGTTCAGCACTTCAAACATTGACAATCATATAGAGTATGCAGACCAGATAAACTGCTTTAACTCAGAAAGTCTTTTGAAAGAAGTAAAATTAAAAAGTTAGATAATAAACAAATAAACTGCATTGTTGTATAAATAAGATATTTAAATCCATCAAAATAAAATTGTTTAATTAAATTTTTATCTATCTACTATCTATCGAATAAATAAATGATACCTTGGGTACCAAGAAATATAACTGGATTCCAAGAAATTAGATATCTGGTAGAATCCAATAGAACACCCCATATTAAAGAATTCTTTTCCCATGGATTATCACAAAATGATTTAATATCAACTAAATTATTATCAATGATTTTGATTTGTTAATAAATTGTTATAAATAGATATATAGGTTATAATAATAATTACCTTTTTCATTACAATTTGGACAAACGTTATTCTTTCCAACTAAAGCCCATCCTCTTATACAATATAAATGGAAACTATGTTCACATGCCAATTTACAACTCTTTTTGCTAAACAGTAAATTCATAACACCATCTAGAATGTGTGGTTTATTGTTTTCTTTGTTTTCGATAGCTATACTCTCTCCATAGGATGCTGTAGACTCCATTGAGAAATTATGTTTACTATTATCTAAACTTCCTGTACAAATTGCACAATAATTATTTGATAACTTTGTTGTTGGTAATCTAGATCCACCAATCTAAATGAATTGAATAATACGAAATTGAATAAATATAAATAAGAAAAACAAGTTCAACTTGATCTTTTACAATTAATAAAATACTTACACCTAATAAATTTGCAATACGAATAGAACAAATCTCTGCGAAATCTCTACCGAGTACACCATAATATAATCCACAGACAATGAATGAATCAAAGTTTGACGTCAGTATAGGGATTTCGATGGCGTATGCCTTTAGGAAGAATCCGATGATTCCCAGCCACGCGACGTAGTACGATACTATATAGATTACAAAGAACCACATGTACACTAGTTTCGGTGTGTCTCTATCGAGTGGTTGTGTCGTTGACATTCTATAGAGTTTGTAGACCAACAGAGTAAACAGACACCACAGCACAATATTGATATAGTATTGCCTGTAGATACACCAGATGATACGGAACAACCAGACCATCGCCAACGAGTACGACAAGAACGATTGTGGAGATCGACTCTTCCAAATGATAATACCAATCTGTGAACCTATAGTTGTCAACATAATGGCGAAAAACAACACCATATGCAGCTGGTCGTGTCCCTCATGACCCGCTGCTAGACCCTCAAGCACATTTGAAGAATCTACATCATGATGTGTTTGATGATCATCCATAACTATCTAACTTTATATATTCTATCTATCTATCTATCTATATATTATACAGATAAATCTTAATATTAGATATATTGCAATTTGTGGTTGGGTGGTGTGTGAATCAAAATAATCTAAAAAAAAAAATCGTTGCATCGATTGGAAATCATCGATGACTCATTAAATATTATATAAATTTTTTTTTATTTAATTTAATTAATTAATGTAATTGATTAGCAAATTTAGTTGGTTTATGTTTAAAACCTAGAATATTGATTTCTTTTTCCAGCTTTCCGTATGGTGGATCCAGTGTTGTTGTATAGTTAAAATTTGATAGTCTAAAGCTTTGTCCGTTGACCAGAGAGTTAACTTTACTTAGCATGTCAATGAAAACGGTGGCCATTGAATCACGTGCAATCGTTTGAGTATACTCTTTACCGGAGAGAACCATTCTGCCACCAATGACATAGGGACCAACGATCGATTTAATCTCTTTCTCTTTGCTCTCTAGGTACAACTCTAACATATGATTGTATAGTTCATATTTTTGTGCTCGTTTGCCCTGATCATCTTCTGCCCATATCTTTATAGCATCTGCTTCTTTTAGGTGACCTACAATCCTATCTACCAAAGGTACCAATGTTGCATCACAACATCTAAATACTAAAAATAAAACTATGAAATTAATAAAAATTTGTTGATAACAATTCATTATTGGTTGTTTATTAAAACAATAAAATATATCTAATATACATTTATTTATAACAATAAGATGTAGATGAAATAACAATCTACATAAGAATATTTAGTAAAAGATAGATTTTGTGTATTTTTGTTTCAAGTTCACAAGTGATAAAAACAAACACACGAAATATTCAATTTTGTTCACACTATTTTTCATTGTGTAAAATAAATAGAAGAGAATAAAAAAAGATATTAATTTATTTATGTAAATTGGAAAATAAACTTGTTGATTTCTTTTATATTAAAATAAAAAAAGAAGTAGATTTTTGATCAATTATTATTTTAAATTTTGAAACAAATAGATTTTTCATTTTTGGTTTATTTATATTCAAGATATTTATTTATTTAATTTAATTTATAAATTATATAGAAAAATCATTTTAAGAATTGAATCAATTCTATTGACTTAGATGAAGAACCTAAGTTGCAACCATTCCTACGAAATGTTTCCGATCAAATTAAAAAAAAAACAACTAAAGTCATGAATCTTAATAAAGTTTTGAAAACTAAAGTTTGACAAATCTAAAAGACTGCATCTATCTATTCTTTGAAATAATTAATTGTTATTTTTTGAGAAATAATATACATTCGAATACATTTAAATTCAATTAATTTCTAATAAAAAATATTTGATATTTTTAATTTATTGGACAACGGATTTTCCAAGATGACCCATTTTGAAAACTTTGAAATCTGAATTAGAATCCATTTTAACGATACCCGATATAGTGCTACCCGGTGAAATTACAAAGAGTGTACCAGTGCTACCAATGTATTGACCTTTGATGACGACGACACGTTCTTTCTTGGCTGGCTGAACAAGCTCCAATATCTCTTGAGATACGTTCTTGACGAATTTGCCGTCGGCCAGCTCGACAGTGACAATACCGTCTTTGCACTCCTTGACGACTGCAGTCTGTCCGCTGTGCTCGGTGCCCGGCTTGAATGTGACTTCAATCTCGGTTCCCTTCCATGGGGTGCCTTCGAGGTCGTCGTCTTGCTCGTCGATCGACGGTGTCGATGGTGTGGCCGGAGTCTGTGGTGCATACGGTGTGAATGGCGAGGGTGGCACGTTGTCGTTGCCCGTCGGGGTCGGCTGTTCGTACGAACTGATATATGATGGTGTTGGTGTGTCGAAAGATGGTGTCGGTAGGTTGATGGGTGTGTAGTTTTCATTGCGGTGTGAGTAGTCGTTCGAGGGTGTAAAGGGTGAGGAATAACTAAAGTTGGTGCCCGGTGTCGTTCCGTAGTAGTCGGCTGGAGTCGAATTCTGGTTGTCGTCGTCGTACATCGATGAACCACGATGTGGAGTTTGCGATCCCCAAGGATCGGACGATTGGTTTCGGGCGGGTGTGTTTATTCTCATCGGTGTCATTGCCGGATTCTCCTCGCGCATTGGCGTGCGACTCGCCAAGTAGATCTGCGAGGAGCTGTCCCAGTCGTTCGATTGAGTCTGTTGGTGTAGACGCTCGCCTGGCAGCAATATATTGTTTCTTTGTACATTGATACGTCTGGAGTTGGTTTGGAGTTCGACTTGTACCATGGTGTCGGTGCACTCACGCACGATACCAACATAACCCTTCCAGGAACCAGTCTTTATAGTTACAGTCTTGTGGAGTGGACTGTCGTCACGACCCCGACCTCTGCCACCTCCACGTCCTCCACCACCGCCGCCACCTCCGCTATTATTATTGTTATATCCACCACGACCGCCACCACGATCTCCATAGCTTCCACGTTGTCCACCACCACCACTGTTAGACGGTGACTGGAACGATGGCATTGTCTTATTCTTGGAGCCACCGAGTAACGAACAATAGTTGGCACGAACCACAAAGATACCACCATTCTCAAAAACATCCTTGCTCTTTAGGAACAAAAAGTTTCTGGAAATATGTAAAATGACACCCTGTTTGCCACGATACTGACCATCGATCACCTCGACCACATCATTGGCATTGAGAGTGTTGTGATGAGTATCCAAAGTGGTAATGGATTTCGTTCTTCTCTTATTTCCAACCTCTTGTAATTTAACTGTTGTTACATTTGAATTCTCATCTAAAATCTTGAATGAATCTCTTTCTACTTTAACAATAATTCCTACTTTTTGTGGACTTTTCAAAATTAAAAAAATAAAGATAATAATAAATGAATTAATATAACATATCTTTTGAAATCAATATAAACAATAAAGACATACGTAATTTGTACAAGATCATGTAATTCATAATTTCCAAGTTCTAACTTTCCAGTTGCAATCTCTGTACATTCTTGAAGATCCTGTGGTCTAACCTTGATTTCAGTGATTGTCAAATCTGACAACAACACAGCAGCAATATCTTCGACACGCAAAACCAAACCAGTTTCACCTTCATATCTACCTGAAATAACCTTTACATGATCACCAATCTTAAAGTATTTCTGTAACTCTGATGGATGGAAAATTAAAATTTCCTGAAAATAATAATAATGAAAATGTTAATTAATATATTGATTTAGTTTAACTAACTATAGTAAAACTACTTACTGAAAGAGAATCATGTAATGGTAATACAGCAACTGATTTATCATCGACGGAATCAACTATACCCATAAGATTCTTTAGATCACCTTCGATTACTTTGACGGTATCACCTTTACTGAAATTAATGGGACGAGCTGCCACTTTGGGAATGATTTGTGCGTCGAGAATGCTGTTCATGGTGGATGGCTGTTCGCTGTCATCGCCATATCCGTCGTTTTCAACTTCAGGACGGTTCTGGAATTTCTGTAGCTCCTCGAGCGATGGAACGACACCGTCCGTAATCAAACTACGCACTCTCATCACCTTGAGAAGGAATCCATTGTAATATTTCTCGCCACCCATCAAATAGGAGGAATCCTGCTTCTTTGCTATATCGTAGCCTTTCGCTGAGAGGTCGTTGTAATTGAAAAACACTTGTGGTGGACGAATCTTCTTACGCTTCTTCTCGTCGGGCGCTCCAGAGTTGCCGCTGGCGCCAGCGGAAGCAGTCGGACCGGCCATGTCGATACGCGGAATCAGCTTGACGGTGCAACGACCGGTGTCGCCCTTGTAGTCGGTGACCTGTCCAATGTCATCCTTGTACTTGCCAAGCTTGCAACGCACCCATGTTCCATTAGGCAAATTGGTGGACTTGCGATTGGTCGAGAGAATCTCAATCATGTCTTTGAGCGGGATGAGCATCATGCCGGAATGAATAATCGAGGGCATTCCTCGGATCGCCTGTTTGACGTGCATTTCACGTGCCGCCTCGATATAGACGTGTCCCGGCAGATGATTGGGTGCGAGCACCGACTTTATCAAGATTCGTTCGGCTACGGGACCGGACTCGTTGTTCAGGAACTTCTGGAGCATCGACGCCACAAACGACTTCTCCTCGCCGACCTTGCACTTGAGACGCCAGTAACTCTGGGGAGGCAATCCCTCCTCAGCGTAGCTGTCGTCGTCGTAGACGTCCTCGGTCTCACGACGCTCATAGTCCATGGCGATCTCCTCCAAGTCACGCTCGATCTGGTCGTCCGACTTGGCGATGGAACCACGATAGGTGCTCATCGACGACCGCTCTTTCATCTGTTTTCTCGCTTCCTCTGCCTCTTCATATTCATCGCCATACTCCTCGTCTTCGTATTCGTCTTCATCGCCTTCCTCCGCTTCACCTTCGAAAAGCGACTCCATTCCACTCTTTCGTTTGTCCTTCTTTTTGCTGCTTCTCGATCCTCTGCCTTTGCTGCTGCTGCTACTGGAAGAACTTGTCTTTCCTTTCTTCTTTGGACGTTCCTCTTCTTCCTCCTCCTCCTCGTCTTCGTCGTCATCTTCATAGTCATCGTCTCCCTCCTCATCTAATTGATCATCGTATTCATCATCTAAATGATCGTCATGTTCATCTCCACTCGACATCTCTAACTAAACTAATCTTCAAGGATTGAAAAATTTTCCTTTAAACTACCAAAAAAAGTTTATTAATCTCTACTTTTTCAAATATTTTTCTTTTCTTTGAATTCAAATCTAATTAGATCTCTATATTTCCAATCTAACTATATCTATATTACTAATGTTTAAATATATATTTATATAAATAATTTATTTTTGAATCAATAAAATCCAAATTTTAAACTTTTTTTTTCAAAAATGTGTAAAAATAAAAAATAAAAAAAAACTAAAACTAAAAAACAAGATAATAATGATAAAGACTCTTTTGAAAGTAATAACAAACAACCTATTATTTCTATAGCTATTCTAACTAACTAAATCTAACTTTCTAATTATCTATATCTATCTGTTTATGTTATGTTTTGAATGAAATGAAATGAAATATGAAAAAGCAAACCTTAACTTTTATTTCTTTTTCAATAATATGATCATCATAACAAAAATTTTTAAAAAAACAAAATTCAAAAATAAAATTTTTTAAATATTTAAATATTTTTTTTGCCAAAACGCAAAAAACTTTGGGTGAATCAAAGTAACGGTTACTATTCCATTTATTCTCCTAACTAACTTATGATATGATATTTATTTGTTTTTTTTATTTTATTTTTTTTCTTGATTTTTATTTATTTATTTTAATAATAATAATTTTATATATCTATAAATGATGTTTGTTTTGTATTGTATTGTTTATTTATATATTTATAATCTATGATTAGTTTTTTTATATTCTTTGTGTGCAGCATGCCCTTGTTGAACTTCAACTTTTATTTGTTATTTATGTGTTTTTCTTTTAGACATTATTTTTATGAATGTATTCTTATTTTTACAACTCTCTCTACTTGTATGTTATATTAAATGATTATTATTGATATTCTTTTTATATTTATATGTTTATAAGGTTGATAAGACAACATTAATTAAATGACTTTTGATATCCTTAATACTTTTAATACTAAACTAGTTTTGTATTTGATTTTTATATTATATATATATATATATATTTAACTTTTTATTTATATATTTGATCGAAATTATATTTATATTTCGTTTATATTTTATTTATATTATTTTACATTTATTTTACGTTAGTTTTTATATTTTTAATATTATTATTATTATTATTGTTGTAACTTTTTAATTGCATCTTGAAGTGATTGATATTCTTGGTTGGTTGATTTATCTTGGTTGGCATGTTTGTAGATGTTCTGACACTCTAATAGGGTGTTAAGTGCCGGTTGTTTCTGGTTGAGTTGTAGTTGTATTACAGAGATGTCGCCGAGCAATCCTATCAATTTGATCGATTGTGCCGAGTGCAACTTCTTCCAGAGCGACAGTGAGTGTTGATAGTGCTCGAGTGATCGCTCCAACTTCTCGCTCTCGAACGAGTAGCAATAGCCAAGACCGAGTGCTGTCACTGCCATCTCTTCGGTGTCGGCCGACTTGACCGCTTCGTCGTTGGCCTTGGTCAGTTTCTCCTCGGCGGTCTTTCCACCGTCCTTAGTGAACGATTGCATTCCACTGATGAACAGCAACATCGATTTCGATGGTCTCGGTGTATTTCCATGATCGTCTTGATTGATAGTCGATAGACTCTCCAACAATCTTATGGGTGGTGCCAAAATTGACTTTTTTCTAATTGGTGCTGCTGCTGTTGAACTTGATGGACTTGACATTATTGTTATTCTATTATTCTTTCTTTAACTTATATGTATATATTGATTGTTACTATTACTACTAAATGAAAATGGATATTACTAAATTTTTAAATTAAATCTAGATGGAAATTTTAGACAAGGGAAAAATGAAAAAAATTAATTTTTTGTTTTTTTAAAAAAAAGTGATTATTCGATCGATCTGATGGTATGGTGTTTGCTGATTTCTGAAGGAATAATGATAATATTTAACTGTTATAGGTTTATCAATTATTCTTACAATGATGTTAATTTTTATGAAAATTAAAGAATTTAAATCATTAAACTTATTATGAAGCTCACACTTTAAAAAAAAAAAAAAACACACTACAAACATTGACCTCATTTAATTTAAATTTAATTTATTTTAATTTATTTCTATTTTTTATTGTTTTTTTGAAAATTCACCCTATTTTTTTCAACGATCTCAAGAAAAAACAAATTGGTCTAATATTGGATGCAGCCGTGATTTGTGATTGAACAAAAAAAGTTTGTAAAAAAAAAAAAAAAGTGGAGGACCTAATAAAAGTGACATTCGTTTTACTTTTTAGGAATCGCGATTTCAAATCAAGAAAGGTTTATCTTTGTATGTCTTATTAATAATTTTTAGATAGATCAAACCAAACTGTGTTGTCTGATCTGGTATGTTTGATTGACGAACAGAACAGCGAGATGATTGGTTGCATTTATGCACCTTTTTGTTTTTTTTTTTTTTTAAAAAAAGTTTTTTTTTTTTTTATAAAACAAAATTGATCAACTGATTTTTAAGAAGAAATTTTATTAAAAACTTAAATAGCTTGATAGTGTACAAATAAATAATAAATTAATCTGCATATAATAACTATGAAAAACAAAGATTAAATAACAACGATAAATTAATTTAGTTTTGTAATATTACAATAATTGTATCAATAATAAAATAAACATAAACTACTATTAATTAAAGTGAATATAGTTTTCATAAAAAAGACAAGACAGATAGATTTTAGTTTAGTTTTTAGAGAAAAAGTAAGCATAGAGTTATTTGTAATTATAGATAATAATAGTTGACCTTGCAGACGAAAATTCAATTTGTGTGTTTTTTTGTTTTTTGTTGCATTTGACCAATTTTAATGGGCGACGACAAGCAATGCAAGTTTTAGTGCATCAGATGTAACCAACAACATCAACACCATGCATGCATGATTCATGGCATCAACAAATACATTATATTTCTTAGAACATGTGAGACACAACAACAATACTATATAGATATTAACGATAATGATTTATTTCAATATCATATGAAAAACAATGAGTCTCATTGTAGCATAATAATTATTCAATGTTATTAGTTATATTCTATTCCACATTAATTCAATGTCATTTCATTTTGTGAAATAAACGAATTCAAAACAGATCAAATCAAACCAAATCTCAATTATATCATTAATTGTATAGTATAGTTTTGCTATGATGCATCAGATATCTTCATTTGACACACATATTCACACACAATCACGAAAATTAAGAATATATAAAAAATTATTTATAAATCTTTCATTTATTTGATTGTTTTATATTATTTCCATTTTTTTTTTTATGTTATAAATTTCATTTAAATAGACAGATTAGAACAGAGATAATCAATCCAGAACAATCCATCCAAACTAAAATGAATAACGACAACCAACAAACCACAAAAACATTCCAAAAGACAAACCAAACCAAATCAAAACATTTGCACACTCTCTTTATGTTTAAACACACAATTTGATTTAACATTAAAAAGTTTTTATTATATTTTAAATTTTTGGTTGTTAAAGGTTATTATTATTGTTGCAATGCTATTTAATGGAATTGAAATAACCATATTACATTTTCTTAAGTTTTGTCAGTACTAATTAAAACAAAAGTAGATCCAATTTAGTCGATTATCACTAATCATACCCAATAATACATATACTTAACTCTACCACCATCACCAACTAAAAGAATAAGCACCATCATCACATGAGTACTTATTACTACTAATAGTAAATAGAAAGTAGAGAGAGAGGATGGGGTAATCGTATCACTCTCATACATCACCACCAACACACACACACACCTTCTCTTTTTTTCAGTATCATCAAAAATTGTTATCAACAACAACACCTCCTCTGTTCACCCAACAACACAAATACACATCATAACAATATATTGTTCATCTATATCCATCATACACTGTTGTTTTGTAGTTATAAATATATTGTTTGATTGCCTGATGTTTGTGGGTGTATACATAATTGAATGATTGTTGTTTGTTAGTTTGTTGATCAACAACAAGATTTTCAGTGTTTTGAATTTAAAAATAAAAAAAAAAAGAATTTAACTACTACCATACTATAGTTGAAAATGTTTGATGGTAATAATATTGTTGTGGTGGCCGCGTAGTATTATTAACAGCAAGTACTTGTTCTTGTTTTTATATATACATTGTTTATATCAACAAACTTATTTAAATGGTTATTCGATTTCAAAATTGAAAGTGACACCACCCATGAAAAGGTGAGATAGATGAGCACACCAACACAAATTCAAATATTGACCAAAAACTTTAATATAATATTAATTCACAAATTACCATATTTGTATTAAATTTATAATATATCATAATTTGATTGTTTGTTTGTTGGGAGTAGATGTGTGTGCGCTTGATCAATGTGTTTCTATATGGTGTTCTTTTTTATTTTGTTTTTGGTTTTTAATTACTTTATAAAAGATTTACAAACAAACTCATCAATTATTAATTATTGTTGTTTGTCTTATTAACATCATCATCATCAAGTATTATCATCATCAAGTCAAGTTTTATCATTATCACCATTATCATACAAATAGTTATAATCAGAAGAGAGATAAAAACAAACAAAAGAAATAAAAGGACAATAGATAATATAAGAGAATAGTGTATGTTGTTTCTTTTCTGATTATATTTTATAGATTGTTTTTATATTCATGAGCATTCAAAAGTTGATGATATTTATAATCTACCTGTGTTATTTACTATATTTACCATTATAATATATTAAATGGTGTGAATGGATGGTGGGCATTTAAAACCATTAAAGTCCATTTCTTTTCTTTCAATAACATAATATAACATAACACTCGCTCTTTCTTTCAGAAAACATTCCGTTCCAACCTTTTGTTTGACCTATACCTACATATTCATGCATACCTGCATATAAATAATCATCAGATTTTATGATATACAAACAGACAACAGACAAACAAATAAAATGTGATAAAAAACATAGAAAGTAACACACCTCACTATTCTCATCTCACTCACTCACACTATTGATCAAATCAAAAATATTTATATTACATTAAAATCAAATAAAATATATTTTTTATAAAATAAATAAATAAACACATGTATAAATTATTATATAAATCAAAAACAACAAAACAAAACTGATATTATCACTCATTATCATCATCATCATCATCCATCTCAATTGGAATCAATCAAATCAACCAAATCAAATAATCATCCAATAACATTCAAATCATTACTAATAATATTGAATAGTTATAAAATTAATTATATTATTTGTAGTATAAGTACTTACAAATAATAAACTGATTTGATTCCAACTACTCTACACTACTACTTTAATATTATTTTTTTAAATAGCCTATTTTATTAATCCATCCACTCAATTAAATTAATCAGTCCAAACATAGCATTACAAATAATATAATAATAACAAACAATTAACATTTTTTACTTACTTATTTATTTATTTTCAATTGAATAGAATAACAAAAATATAGAAAATAGTTTTTTTTAAAACTTTTATAACATTACAACGCAACAAATAATATTAATATCTAATATTTAATATTATTGAATGTATTAAGTAGTCAAAACCAGGAACAGTATTATAGTTATATTTCCAGTTTTTTTTTTCTTTTTTTTTACCAGTAAAATTATTTTTATTATAATATTTTTTTTAATTTTATTCAAAATCAATCCAATCAATCAATTAACTGTTTATTAGTTATATAAATTTGTAAAATAATAAATAGAAATTATAAAATATACAAATTTAAAATTAATAATAAAAATAATATAATAAATGATGATGGATAAAAATAGTAATTCAGAATTTGAAAAGAATTCAACAACAACACTACCGCAACAACAACAACCACCTGGATTACCACTATCACCTTGTTTGGCAACTATGACCACAAAGACAACCACTACAACCACAACAACAACCATCACAGAGCACAATTTTCTAGTTCCAGAACTGCTTGTTATTTCACCGAGATTGGAAACTCCACTCAACACCACCACAACCATGTCTTCCTCTTTCACACAACCAATTATTCTGGTGCCAGAACAAGATTCAAACAGCAATAATAATACTTCATCATCACCACCTAACAACAATACAATTGATCAAATTTCAAATAATATTTGTAGTACCAACAACACTTCTTCTTCCGATTATATTATGGATGATTTAAATAAATCACAACCACAACAAGTTCAACAACCATCCAATTCAACACCAACACCACAACCACAACAATCACAAACACAGCCACAACAATCATCATCTGCAGCTATGGACAGTCCAGTTATTTTCAAGACAACTAGTAGTACGTCTACTACAACAACATCACACACTGTAACAACACCGGCACTTGAGAATAGAGCAGTCTCTACTTCACCACCATCCACACCAATGTTGGACGACTGCCAAATCGAGCTTGGTGCAAGAAATAATACCGGACTATCAAAGTCACCACCACTTCAATCTAGTTCCAATAGTACAAATATGGAAAATGACAAACTATCACCTGAATTCATTAATGCAGCCTCAATATCAAAACAAGATCAAACTTTACTCAATAATATCAACAATAACAATAACAACAACAATGGTAATAACGTTGGAAATTCAACGGTTCCCAACTCACCAACAACTCCACAGATTCAAATACAATTGGCACCATCATCACCATTGTCTACTTCATCATCATCAAATTCAAATGGTAATGGCAGTGGTAGTGGACGTAAATCACATCGTAGTACATCTGTCCCTCTGATACGTAATCGAATTCAACGACCAATTCGTCAGAAATCACCTTCTTCAATGGGAGAACGTCCTCTTCTTCACGCTGTACTCGTCCAAGAGGAAATTAAAACATTGATCAATCAGGAGGATATCAACATGCGCGATTCCAATGGAAACAGTATTCTTCATCGTGTTTCAATCATTGGATCGATGCTGGCCATCAGACATATGGTGTTGCGTGGCGCGCGTGTCAACTCGACCAACAACTCTGGCATGACACCGCTTCACTATGCTGCGTGTGCCAATCCACAAAGTGTTGAAGTCTTGCTGTACTACGGTTCACTGCCCAACTCTAAGGACAACAATCGCGAGACCCCACTGTTCTACGCGGTCGACAGAGGTCAATTCTCAATTGTATCACTACTGCTTTCGCGTGGCGCAAAAGTCACCACCGTAAACAAAGCAATGTCGAGAAACTCAATTCATGTCGCTGCACTCAAAGGTTATTCAAACATCCTGAGACTGCTACTGGACTACAAGAGCAATATAAATGCACCTGATGTAAATGGATCCACTCCTTTCCATCTCTGTGTCTATCACAGTCCACCAGCGCAGAATCTTATGAATCCAATCAACTATCAATCGGTTAATAACATCGATGCTTACATGTCTTGTTGTGAACTACTTCTTCAAAGAGGAGCAACTCTCACTCTTCAAGACACTCAAGGATACACCCCAATTCACATTGCAAGCAGACAGGGTAAAAAGAACATCATAGACGTCATCCTATTCTATTGTAAACAACAAAAGAACAAACTACCACAATCCATCCTCTCAAGCATACCAAATGCATCCAAATTCAAAAAAGAATTGAAATCTGAAATAGTATTATATATTGTAAGTTGATCCGACCTACCATCCAACCAACCAATAGTTGAATGAATAACTATTAACATACCAAATTTGTTTTGTAACTTTTTAGCCTGATAATAAAGGTCGTTTACCTTTACATTTGGCTGCATTGGGTGGACATTCCAGAGTGTTGGAATCACTGGTTGGGAACAGGAAAGAAATGTACTAGTGTGAAGGATGATATGGGTATGACACCGTTGTGTTTGGCTTCGATGTTTGGACATTTCGACTGTGTTGAGTATCTCTATAATTTGGATCCCAAGTTAAATCAACAATGTAGATTCTACACGTCGTCTTCGATCGATTGTTCAAAGACACCGATCGATCCACTCGGTAACGATTTCAGATTCGCTCTGGATGGCGACTACTGTGACTTGGTGTTTATTATCGATGGACGTGATATATTTGCACACTCCATAATGCTTCGTCAGTACAAATTCTTCAGGGACATGATTTCCAGTTGCAAGTCGTTGGCGTCGTTGCATCCACACTCACTGAACAACGCTACCGGCCACGGAAGTCATCAACAGCTGCACTCGCATCAATATGGCGGAATCTATGGTAGTCAATACAGCTATAACAATAGCTATATCTCGAGATCACACGATGATTCTTCGATCCACTATCACAGCTCATCGATAATGGACGGTGGATACTACGATGTCGGCGATGACAGCAACTACTACAATCATTCATCGTCCAACTCGATGGATTACATCAGTGCAAACATCTCTGTTGGCAATGGCGTTGCAACGAGCCGTGCTAGAACTCGTTCCAGAATGAACAGTGTCGTCAATCCAGGCACACTGACACGCATTCCAGTGGAGAAAGGCATTAGCTACGAGATTTTCAGAGCGATTCTCCAGTTTGCCTATACCTCTGAAATTCCAAGAGAGATTATCAACACCACCGGTAAGCTCTCGGAGCTGTTGGATTTCGCTAATCAATTCGATATCGAGTCACTCAGTAATCTCTGTGTCGACACACTCTCACAACACTCCACCGGCAGAATGGGTACACTGGAAATGTCCAAGTATCTACTGAAACAAATCAATTCGAAACATAGTGCAGATGTCACAATTATCTATGACGGTGGACAGGTTGTGCTGGCACACAGTGTCATTCTCGCCAATCGTTCGACATTCTTCAAACTTCACTTTGAATCGTATCCGGTGTTGTCGAGATCGGCAATTCAACTGTTCCCCAACAATGTTAACAATATCTCTAGTTCCATGAGTTCATCCTATGGAAACTCGTCACTTTCCAACATTGCCGGCACCTCCACACCTCATCGTAAGCTGTCGTGTCCGTCGTCACCGGCATTGAGCGATATTCCAACGATGGGTTGGGTCATTGACATTGGCGAAGCTTCACAGAAAGCAGTGTTTGTCATGCTCGAATATCTGTATGCCGGCTGCATTCCCTCTGGAAATTCATTGATGCAACCATCGCTCTATCCGCTACTCAATCAGAAGCTGCCGTCGACTGCCTCCGAGATGGATGTAATCGACATGCTCTTACTCTCAAAGCTGGCATATGCCCTGAATCTCCCGGTGCTCCAACAGTACAGCACTGTCTTACTGTACAGTGCGCTGGATCCATTGAAGCTGGTAACCATTATCAAGACGATATTCTCATTCGATGGCAATGTTGGTTGGGGTAGAACATCTTCGTTGGAATTGATGTGGGGAGTATGTTTGGAGTGGCTCACCAAGAAATGCAATTGGGAGGAAGTCAATCGTTGTGAAGCATTCATTTCACTCGGTCTCAAATTCATCAAGGACGTAAAGAAGGAGAGAAAAGATAAAAAGAGAAAACAAAAGATGAATGAAAGACAAACCTCAAAGTCTTCACAACATAACAATCACACAAGTAACAACAACAGTAACAAACAATCGTTATCATCTTCTACCACCACTACAACAACCAACAACAACAACAATAATGGACAAGATGGTAATAATAACACAAAGAAAGAAGAGAAATTCTCAACTTGGTCAAAGATGCATCCAAAGGAGATTCTCAGATCTGTATCATCTGGTTTCTTGATCAACAGTAACAATAACAATAATAGCAATAATAATCAATCAAGTTTCTCAGTTCAAACACCAAATTCACCACCAACCAATCAACAACAAGAAACACCAGCATATACATCAAAGAACAATAATCTCAATAATGGTGCGGATGGTCAACAACAAAACAAAACTGATTCACCAAAGCTTACCAAACAGAATAGTATTTCCAACTTTTTAAGCAAAAAGAAAGTCTTTTCAACTTTTGCACGTAAACCAATGTCCAATAGGTCTAAATCTTTTGTTATTTAAACTTATATAAAACAAAACAGATAGAAATACATAGATTTTTTTAAACAAAGATAATCTTTATTTTTTTATTTTAATTTGATACAAATTTAAAAAAAGGTTTAACTTTTATTGTTTTTTGTTTTAGAAATATTCTGGTTTAACAAATGCAAACCATGTACCAGTAGCAGCAAACAATTGGGTGTCAAACCATGTCTTGAAGACAATGGTGAAACCGGTGTTAGTGACATCCTTCTGTCCGATATTAATACGGAGATTCTTTAGGTTGCTTGAATCGATGAGTTGTACGGCAGTAGTTACATTTGGAATAACACCGACTGGGAATGCCTTTGGGAAGACAACTTTGTAGTCGACAGTACGCTCTCCCATGCCCGAGGCGAGTGGACCACCTTCGTGCTTTACGGTACCGGTTTGCATACGTGGGAATGTCTTGAAGATGGCATCGAATCTCATTGAGATGTGACCAAAGAAAGTGAGTGGGTGGATAGCAATGGAACGAGCAATGATTGGTGTATCGAAACGATTGGTGATAATGGTGTTACGGTCAGTGTTGGCATTGAAAGATGGACCGGTGTTCCAGTTGGAACCGTCGAGGGTGTATTTCACTTGGTAGGAGGTTACCCATTGGTCGAAATCACCACGTCCTTGGGTTCTTATACCAACAAACTCAACCGGCTCAGTGCTAGACAAAGTTACCCATTGATTTGGAGCATCGTTGGTTAAGGCGCACCAACTTGAGGAAGCAGTCTTGGGAGTATCATTTCCTTTATTATAATTGATAAGACCATATTCAACCTTTTTTAGTTTTTAGAAATAAACAATAAAATTAGTTTATTTATTATATCTTGATATATAAATTTTTATTTTTAATACTTACAGAATGTTCAGCATTAAAGTTTGATGATGATCTAACATTCAAACAACCATAGGTATTTCCAAAAATTTCTCCACTCATTTTATTTTTAATTTAAATAAAAGTGATAATAATAACAATAATTTTAAAATGATTAACTAAAGAAAATGATAATGTTGAACTAGTTCTAACATTTTATACCTAAAAATTAAATTGCGATTTATCATAATTTTAAAAAGGAAATAAGAAAAAGATACTAATCATATTACAAAATGCAAATTAAATTATTTCCTTTGGATCTGATTTGCTAAAAATCATAATTTTGCCCTTTTTGTAAATTGAACATGTGTTAGTTTAAAAAATGTTTGAAAATTTTTGTAAATTGTCTATGAACAGGCTCTTTTTTATCATCTATTTTAAACATTGAAAAAGATTCTTATTTTCATTGGTGGTAATTTACAATTTTTTAGAAAATCAGTAGAGATTTAATAAACTGATACAAGATTATTTGCTTATTTTGAACTGGGAAAACCCCATTAATAAATATTAAATTAAATTATTTAAATATCAATAACAATGATTTTAAAAGTTAAATGATAAATACTGGTTTCAACTGATCAATTTAGAATCATTCAAAAGATAAATTAAATTTTATTTATTCCTCAAGGTATATAAAGAAAATATTTAAAAGAGATATATAACAATGGCTGAAATCTACGGAAACAAATACGGTTGCTTAAATGTTCGTTCATCATCCAACTGGAATGCCAATCATTCAGTATGTATATAAAGTGAGAATATTATATTGAAATCAAAAAATAATAATTAAGTACTTATAATAAACTGTAAATAGGTTGAATTTGGAACTCTTAACTATGAAAAAGGAAATGTAATTACTGGTAACCTCTCTTCATCTGCTTGGTGTGCTTTGACCAACGATGCTCCAAATCAATTTGTTACTCTTTCTTCAACTGAACCAGTTGAGTTCATCGGAGTTTGCACTCAAGGACGTGGTGATGCTGACCAATGGGTTACCTCTTACCAAGTGAAATACACCCTCGATGGTAGCAACTGGGTAAATGGACCATCTTTAAATGCCAACAACGACCGTCACACCATTGTCACCAACCGTTTCCAAACCCCAATTATCGCTCGTTCCATTGCTATCCATCCACTCACATACTTTGGTCACATCTCAATGAGATTCGATGCCATCTTCAAAACCATTGTTCGTGCACAAAACGGATCCGTTAACCACTCCAACAGCAATCTCTCCTCTGGTATGGGTCCAAGAGATGCCGAGTACAAGGTTGTATTCCCACGTGCTTTCCCAACTGGAGTTACACCAGTAGTTTCTACCTCTGTCCAACAAATCGATGCTAACAATCAGAAGAATCTCCGTATTAACATCCATGCAAAGGATATCACCAACACTGGATTCACAATGGTATTCTCAACATGGTTTGACACCATTTTATATGATTGTGTTGGAAGCTATGTTGCTTTAGTTCCACCAGAAATTTTCTAAACAAAAAAATTGTATCATATATTTAAAAAATAATCTTAAATAAATCAATTTTTTACTTTAAAAAAAATTTCCTTTTTTAGAATTTTTAAAAGATCTAATTTTAATAAAAAAAAAAAAAAGAAAAGAAATACAATTTCGTTCAATTTACTACTCAAGAAGTATATTTTAATACACAGTATTCTATACTATTTAGTTTATTTATTGATATCTTATAGAAACTTTGAAAAAAAAAATGTGGATTCCAATTATTATCCCTTTTGGTTTGACTGGTAAATCCAAGGTAGTAGATAACATTATCAGAGTCTGTCCGAATTGTCATAACCAAAGTGTACAACTGTTAAGAGTAATTAGAAAGTTTAAATGATATATTTTTTAAAAAATTACTAATATTTTTAATTGTTTTTTTTAATTACAGAGTTTGTATTTTTTATGATTATGACCTATTATAATATTTAGAATTTATAATACTTATTACTAACATATTTAATATATTTTAGATGATGAATGGGCTCAACTATTTTTTATTCCATTTTTTAAAGTAAAGAAAGGAACACCTTTCCTTCATTGCTCTATGTGTGGATGTACAGTACCTTATGTTGAATCCTACAATCCTCAGAATCAAGTAGAAGACTTAAATTTCGAACCGTCTGGAGAGGATCTCAAACCAAAAAAGAAACATCATCACTTTAGAAAAGAAAAGAAAGAAGAAGAATTACATTAAAAATTAAATAATAAAATAAATTTTTGTATATATTTAAAATCAAACTAAACTTTATTTCTGTACCAATTTCATTTCTTTGTTTTTGCTATTATTTTATTTTTTAGTTTTTTTTTTTTTTAATTATTTTTGTCATTATTAATTTATTAATTTTTGTTTATTCATGCGACACACTTAATGATGAACCAACAACAACAAACATCTATACAATCACAACCTCATTATAATGCTCAAAGATCTCCAAACATTGTAAATAGATCAAGTACAAGTAGGACAACCAATAGAAATAATAACAATGTAAATAATAATAGTAACAGTAATAATAATAATAATAATAGTACAGGCACTAGTAATAATGTAAATAACAATCAATCTATAACAACTACAACACCATATCATAATAGAGCAACCAGTGGTTTGTTTCCTCAATATGCAGATCAACCAGATATAGTCAGAGCGTCGCAAAAAGATGATTTCTATAAACGTTTATTTGAAGAACAAGTCTTTGAGATATTAACTAGAGTTGCAGGTATTATTACTATTACTACATTACAGATTAATATAAACCAGAATTCTTATCTAATTCAATTGAATAATAAAGGTCCAAGAGTAATGATGAATAAACAGAATGAATCTAAATTACTATCAAGTTTAACCTACTATATATTGACTACTTTGATTGGTTCACAAACACTTGGTGAGGAATACTGTAATCTAAGACAGATTAAAGATAATACATTTTCATTACCGACAATCGCTGTATGTAATTAAACTATAGCTATAGATTGACAATATTAACTAACTAACAAACAAACAAACAAACTAAAAGAATCGGTGTAGATTAATGTTCTTTCAATTATTAGCACCTTATATCATAAAGAAATATATACCTAAATTCTTTTTGCGATTCCCAAATCTCTATTATCTAAAGGAACTGTTCCCAAAGCTAGAGAGATTACATTTAGCATTGTTTTATTTCAATGGTGCATATTATGAGTTCTCAAAGCGATTGTCAAACATCAGATATATATTCAACAGAAAAGTCGATCAAAGAAGACCGAAATATCATATACTTGGACTTCTTATTATCATTCAACTTTTAGTTTCCTCTTTCATCTACCTAAGAGATAACTCTTTCTTTTTGTCGGGTGCATCTCATCAATCGGATATAAACATTGAAACAGTCAAGTAATTATCAAATACTATATCATATCATAAGACTTATTAGATTGTATTTACTAACATTCGATTATATCATTTTTATTATGATTGTTTAGCTCAACAAATAGTAATAGTGATGAAGATGAAGCAGCCAACGGTGGTAAATGTACATTATGTCTGGAAGTTAGAAAGAATTCGACATCAACTATTTGTGGACATCTATTCTGTTGGTATTGTTTATCAGAATGGTGTAACTCCAAAGCAGAGTGTCCGTTGTGCAGAAGACCAATCTCTTTACAATCACTAATGCCAATATATAATTATTAAATTATAAAAACAATACAAAGTTCTGAAAAAATATAAATGAAATTAATAATAATAATAATACTATTAATGTTTTTTTATAGTAATAATATAATACAATATAATAATTATTTTATTTGGGCTTATATGATTGATCATCATTATTTGTCAATTGTTTGTATATATGTCCACTTTTTTTTCTTTTTTTTTTAACTATCTTTCAATGTGTGATAAGATATCTTTACAAATGCCTTTGTATCGCCATGCGGAACCACCCATTCTCTTAAACTTGAGACCATTAACTGATAATCTTGGTAATCTACATACTTCAATGGTAAATCTAACACCTTCAGTTTCACATTCGATGAGATATGGTCCTTTCACTGTGTGTGGAATACAACAATAACCGACAACACCCAACACTTGATTCATCAACTCGGGCGCTGGTTTCATTGATGTCGTCTGAAGACCAAATACAAATCTTACGATTCTTGGTTCAACCGATGAATCTTCATGGTGATTGATTGGTTTCGACGATGATGTTATTGATTGTGTTGTTGTGGTTGTGGTTGTTGTTGTCAGTGTTGTACTGTTAGCTTCAGAGGCAGTATCTAAAGTTGGAATGCTTAGTGGGGTTTGAGATGATTTTACAGGTGGTGTGGAAGTTGGTGTGTTGGAATGTGATGATGAAGGTGACAATGAATCTTTTTCATCTGAACGTTTCAGTATATTCTTAAAGGATGACAACAAGCTTGATACAGAGGACTTGTGCTTCTCTTTCTTGGAGATTGGTTTGAGGTATCCAACGGTTGGGTGATACTGATCGGAATAGTCTTCGAAAATGACCCAGTCATCTTCTAGTTTCTTGGTTTCTTTGTGTTGTTGGTCAGCTACGCTGCTACTGTTACTCCTCAGTCTGCTGTGAATTTCGTGGTTTGGATTGGTTGGCGAAAGTGCATAGGCTGTCGCTCTTCTCTTGATAAGTTTGTTGTTGGGTGTGACGTTGTTGCTGTTGTTACCTCTCGGTGAAATTGGAAGTGTAGTGGAATTGGGTGAAGTTGAGGCAGAGTTGGAAGGTGAGTTTGAGGCAGAAGCGTTTGCTGACTTTGAAATGGGGCGACCAAGAGGTGGCTGAATCTTGACACCCGGCGAAACTATCGATGAGGTTTGTGGTGATGTCGAGATGGGCGATGGTGCTGGTGAATCTGAGGCTGGTGAATGAACAAATGTTGGATTGGTACCATTGGAGTGTTGGTGACTGTGATGATGATGATGATGACCGGATTGATTGGCATGTTGTTGTTGCTGGTGACGGTGGTGTTGATGTTGCGATTGATAAGAAGAGCTAGTACTACTACTGCTGTTGCTGCTGCTGGTAGTCGATGATTTAACAGGACTATCGACAGTGTGACTTCTTCGATGATGACGTTTATATTTAATGAGTGGACTCTTCTCGCCGGTCGGCGCGATAATCGATGGCTGATCAGAGTAGAATGCGTCAGAGTCGAGAGCCTGTGCGTTCTCACGACACTTTCTTCCTGCCAACAAAAAGTAGGTGGCAGCACAGTCGTTGTAACGATTCTGCTTGACGTTCGAGTAGACTTCGTCACGGTCGTAGCCAATCGCAACCAAGTCGTTGACAATCTCATCGTCGACGACGAATCCGTCTTGGTTGGGATTGGAGACCGACTGCAGATTGAGTGAGTCGACAACCGGTGCCAGCCAAGGATGATTGATAATCTCCTCGAGATTGGCACGCTTCTGTGGGTCGACTACCAACATTCTGCTGATCAGCGACTTGCAGTCCTGTGAGAGGTAGTCGGGCATGGTATAGTCGGCAGCCAGAATCTTTTGGAACAACTCAACATAGTTGTCACCGTCGAACGGCAAATAACCCGATACCAACACAAACAAAACAACACCCATACTCCAGATATCGACGGATGGACCGTTGTATTCCTTTCGCAGGATCAACTCTGGCGATGCGTAGGTAGGCGAACCACAGAATGTCTTTAGTGTGGTGCCCGGTGTAAATACATTGCTCAGACCAAAGTCGATGATCTTTATCTGACGATTGCTGTCCAGCAGTAGATTCTCTGGTTTCAAATCACGATGAACCGCTCGCTTGCTATGACAATAGTGGATCGCCGACACTATCTGTATGAAAAAGGTACGTGCCTGTTGCTCGGACAACACACCATGCGCAATCATGAAATCCATTACCTCGCCCTCACCTGCATACTCCATAATCAAATAGAGTGCTCTGTTCGTCTCGATGACTTCATACAACTTTATGATATTCGGATGATGTAGTAACTTCATGATTCTTACTTCTCGCTGTACCATCTTCAATGTATCTTGATCCAATTTGCTTTTATTTATAATCTTTATAGCAACCTACAAACACAAATGATTATCATTGAGTTAATATTAACCAATATTGTTTAAACATCATCATCATCATCAAGTTGTAGCTCAACTTACTTTTTCATTTGGTATCTTTCTATGATATCCTAGCTTAACTTTACCAAATTGACCTCTTCCAATTGTTTTAACGATGACATAGTTTCCAATGATTCCTTGTGGTTGAATCTGTTGACTCTGTGAGAGTTGTATGTGTCCAGACATGCTTGTGCTCAGGTTGCTAGAGTTACTGCTGATGCTACTACTTGACGCGATGACACCAGCTTCACCACCGCTGCCAAAGCCAATTTCGCCAGTGGCACTGCCGCTGCCACTCATTCTATTGCTATCAATAGTGCCGATGATATTGATACCAGCTCCACTATTTAAATGATGATGATAGTTTGACTCTACAACAGTTTCCATAATAAATTAATTATTTTTGAATTGTTTGTATATAAAAAGACCGACTGACTTATTGTGAATTTTGTTCTTTCTTCTTAAGAAGAGTAGAGAAGTGGGCAACAAAACAAAAACAAAAAAAAACAATATTATAAACAAACTTTATCAGAAAATATAAAGTTTAATTTATAATTGTTTACAACTTGAATGGTGTTGTGTTGATATTGTTTGTTTCTTTCTTTCTTGTTGTTGTTGTTGCTGTTGCTGCTGTTGTTGTTGTTGTTTGTAGGTAATCTTTCACAAGATTCTGTTGAGGTTCGTCAGACCAAAAAAAATCACCACAGGCAAGAAAATAAAAAAAGACAAAGTGTCAGAGATAGAGTGTGGCAGTAGAATATTGACAATTCACAAATTGACAGAAATAAAACTACAATCTATCTACCCACTTTTGTCTTGCTTTCAGTCTCCAGTGATAAAATTGAATTGAAATCCAATTTTAATTTTATGAAACAATTGTTTACTTTTTTAATTAGAGATCTCTATTTTTGTTTAATTCTGTTTTCTATTGGTTTATTTTTGTAATTTTTAAGTATTAGTTACAAAAAAATATTATTTTAATTATTTGTAAAACATATAATAATATATTTATAATTATTATATATAAAAAACAACAACACAATTACTGATTTTATTTTATTTTTCTATATCAATTTAATTTATTATATATAAATATATATTAAACTATAAGTTATAAATTATTGTATCGTTATAATAAAAAACTAAACTAAAAAAGGTGGTAAAAACACAAATTATTTAATAGATTAAAGATTTTTTTGTTTTTATAATTTTTTGTTTTTTTTTTTTTGAAAGTGTGTAAAAGGGAGGGAAGAGGCGTGGTGGTGAGGGGAGAATCGTGGTGGTCTTAGAGTTGTTTTAATAGAATTTGTTTGTTGTTGTTGTTGTTTTGTAACATTAAACAACAACGGTTACTTTGATTGGTTTTAGATGTGCTGTTTGTTTATTATTGAAGTAAAAATACTTCCACATAAGCCTAAGTAATCGATAGTGAGTGTCTACTATATAATTACTATAGTAGTGGACATTAGATTTTAAAATATATAAATTTGTGGACTGACTGACCTTATGGACTGTTCACTAAAAAGGAAAAGGTAAAGGTATTACAAGTCGACTAGACTCGGTCCAACTTTTACATAAAATTAATCTATACAACAAAAATCGAAACAACAACCACTCAAAACAAGACAAGACAAGATATATATATAAGATATTTACCAATATCGATTCGAATAACTTTTAGTAATATAAAATTAAATTAAATTAGATATAAATTACTATAAAAATATAAAATCACTTTTTTTTTTTTTTTTTGATTTGAAATTTAATTAAATAATTAAGTCGTTAAATTATTTATTATTGGATTTTAATTTAATTGTTTTTTTCTTTTGTTTTCGTTTTATTGTTGTAACAAAACAAACAAACAAACAAATTATAAATAAAAATAGAAAAACAATAACAATGTTTACAATATATATTGTTATTTTTAAAAGTACTCCACTCCTCTCAAAATGCTATTTATATTGCTATATATGTATGATATTTATTTACGAAGATTATTTGTATTTATCAGTGTTAAAGAGTGTGTGAGTGTGTGAGTGTCAGGCGTTGTCTTTATTAATTCCGAGTGTTTAAAAAAAAACAAGAAAAAAAAAATCAAACAAATAATATATATATTATAGATAGATGTATCAATTGTTTTTAAAACATTTGATATTTGTAAGATTGACCTACTACTTTTAACTCTTTTTTGCTATGACTGTTGTACTGACTGCTATTAATGTAACTACTATTTTGAAATCACTAATTTGATTTGTTGTGATATGATTTGATTTGCTAATGACTGATTGATTGATTGTCTAAATCTATTTCTTGAGTGTAATAAAATAAATAAATAAATAAATAAAATATATAAAAAGTGTAATATTGAACTTTGACTTACTTGCAAACAATAATAATAAATTAAAAAAAGTGTAGTTTGTTTAGTTATTTTAATTTTATTTTAATTTTATTAAATTTTTGTTTAGGATTAGGGCGTGGAATTTTCAAACATCAATAAAATTTGAAGATGTGAGATGGTTTAAGAAAACCAAGGTTTCGGTGTGTTTTGATATTTAGATAAAAACAAGATAGGAAGATAAAAAAAACCAAATTATGATGACTGACCATAATTTTCTTTTATATCTTTTTTTTTCAAGTGTCAACATCTGCTTTGCACCATAATACCTAACACAAAAAATAAACAATGTTGTTTGAAAAGTTGTGTGTGTTGTTGATGTTGTTTTGTTTTTTTGGTGTGGGTGTGTTGTTGATGTTTTTTTGTTTTTTATTTTTCAAAAACATTCATGCCTCTGGTCTTGAGAACCATCGTGCGAATATTCGTCTCCATGAGAAAAGAAAATTTGCTAAAAACTTGAGTTTGTTCATCTACAAAACAGAAAAATTCAACTAAAAAAACAATTCACTGGTCGAAAAAAACCAAATGAACACCTCAGCACGGAATGAAAGTTATTTTCAAAATTCCTTTAACAAATTTTTTTTGAAATAGAAATTTCTAAATTGGTTTTGTTTTTTAAATGTTTTATATTTTTAATTTGGACCATTGGTTTATATTTTCCAATTTAGATAGTACTAGTATTATAAAAGTAATTACCATCAAACTTTAATCTTTGTGGAATCAAGATAAACACAGCCATTGGATAGTTTTTATATTTTATTAATAAATAATATTAAATAAGATTACATTATTTTGTACATATCATATAGTATCTCAAAAACAGGAAGTAGTATCCCCAAATCTAGATTGAAAAACAACTATTTGTCTGGCGACCTTGTGATATCAATGAATTTTATTGTGTAAGGTGTTACCCAAGTTTTTGTTTTTTTCGATAATGGTGCGAATAATTCAAAACATCGTCGACCACATTACACCAATTTCAAGGTTGTTTAAAACAATATCAAGTTAATAATATCTAGAAATGTGTTTTGTTTTTTTCAATTAATTTAAATTGCATGATCTTTTCAATGATCTTACAAATGTATAAATAAATTTATTTCTTGTTTTTTGTTTGATTTGTTGTTATTGTTATTGTTGTTGTTGTTGTTGTTGTTGTTGTTGTTGATTACAATTGGTTTTGAGGGTGATGAAACAGTAGTAGTATCTTTTGGTGGAGTTGTCACTGTGTTTATAGGTGTTGTTGCGCTAGCGGTGGAGGTTGGTGAAGTTGTAGTTGTTGTTGGAACTGGATAGGTTGGTGGTTTAGAGTTGACAGAGGTGTTTGGTGATTGTGGTGATTGCTTTAGACTCTCTGTGAGCAAACTGGTTTGTTTTGGAATCGATGAAGGTATTGGCATCGACGAGGTCGGTGTTGAGTTTGGTGTTGGATTCGAAGGAATTGGCAGTTTGTTTGGTGTTGGAATTGGAATGGAAGTGGTTGCTCTGGTTGGTGTTGGGGTGGTGACAAAACTGGTGACAGTTGGAATAGGTGGAGTTGGCATTGGAATGCTAGTGGACATTGATGTCACAGCAGCGGCAGCAGCACTGCCAGTTGTAGAAGTGGAAGTAGTGGAAGTTGGAGTATGTGGTGGTGATACAGCCGATTTGGTTGTTTGTTGTTGTTGATGTTGCATTGGTAATAATGATGATGTTGTTGATTCAAAGTTATTACTATTGTTATTATCCTTTGGTAGAGGATTTGGAATATTGATAACTGGAACTGTTTCACGTGGTGATGTTGATGTTAGGATGCTGCTAATATTACTACTATTATCTTTGGAAGGTGAAGTTGCAATTCTTCCGGAAGAAAGGTTGCCAGTTGGTGACGATGGTCTTGAGGATATGCTTACAGCAGGGAATGCGCGATCCAATGCTAGTGAACGGGCGGTAGTGTAGAACTTACCGAGACTCTTCCAATCGAGAAGCTCCGATAGTTTCTCTGTTCTGTTTCTCAGTTCGATTCTCTGTCTACGATCGAGTTGACAGAACTTCCAGAGATATTGGGTCATTTGATCGACCGATTCCTGTGGTGACTTGAATCTTCTGTCGACGATATAGATACCCTTGGAGTCGGGATCGGCCAGACCTCTTCTCATAAAGTTGGCGAAACCAGTCAGGTTACTTGTTACCGATGGTACACCGAGGACGGTACACTCTGCCGGTGTGTATCCCCATGGCTCATAGTAAGAGGCAAACACACCCAGATGACAACCTCTAACAAACTCTGTGTAGTCCAACGGAATCAAAGGATTAGTAGAACTAAGGAATTCTGGATGATAAATAATCTTAACTCTATCCTCTGGTGCATTGAATAATTTAATTCTACGAAGATGATTTAAAATTGGATCGTTAACTAAATATATATATATATATATTTGGATATATTGTATTAGAAAAATGTTTTTGGAAATTGCTGAGTAAAGTTAACTTACAATCATCTATCATGTTATGTGTTACTATTGGTGGTAATGATGGACGTTGTTTTAAAGCGAATATTCTTCTCTTTAGCTTTACAAGATCTTCTTGTGTGAGTAGCTCTTCGGGTGAGATGACTTTACCTCGAGATGTCATGTCAAAGATTCTGTCACCCATGCTCTCAACGAGAGCGTTACAGGTTTTTCTCATGTCTTTCAGGTAGGACTGACCCTTGAGTGATTCAACGTTGAAATTGTTGGTTTTCGCTGGCATGATGATGAATGCCACTACGGTGAGAGTCGATCCCGATTGTTGGAGCAGTTTGTTTAGACCGGCCAGTGCATCCAAGTACATGTCGACACCTTTGTTATAATACTCATAGCGACCCGCTGTGAAAAAGTAGAGTGTATTGTCCAAGTCGAAATCGTAGTGTCCATAGAAGTGTCCTCTGACAAACTCTTGCAACACATTCTTGTACTTGGCGTGGAGATTCTGGAATTCGTGGAGCGCTGTGAACTTGTCGAGTGTCAGACCGTTCGGCAGGATAACATCGGCCTTTCGCTGGAGAATCGTTTCCGATTCGAAAGCGGTGATCTCAGAGACCGTCGTGAAGACGTGCGCTTCCGCAGCGGAGCGCTTCTCGATCCAGTGGCGATGGTAGATTCCACGTTTCGACGCCTCGAAATCCATGTTCAAGTATTGCATCTGGTTGTAGAGATCGACACCGCCAGCCGACAAGTAGCGACCGAGCAGAGTGGCATGCGTAGTAAAGATCGTTGCCACTGGAATCTTCCATTTCTTCAGGAGAATGAGACCGACCGACGCTTGCCACTCGTGGAAATGCGCGATATACTTGTCGTTTGGATTGACCTCGGCAAACTCCTTCAGGAACAACGCCACTTGATATCCAAAGATAATCGATTCATTCGTTTCATTGTCGTTGGGCTGTTCGAATCCCGACATCAAATCCCAACGCCACTCGCCAAGCTTGTGGAAACTACTTCGCAGTTCAATGAGAAACACCTTGGGATAGCTATCGATCAACCACTTTCCAAAGTGTACCTGTATACCGTATTTATTCATCATGTTATCGATTACCGGTGAGGTCAGAGGTCCAGGAACCAACGGTTCAAACTCTGTCGATGCAGTCTCTGGATTATATGGTCCGATGAGAGCATATCTAGATTTATATTCTTCAACAGTAATCTAACAACAACAACAACAACATAGCTATTATTAATTATTTATGAAAACAATGAGATCTATTATTTTACTTACTGGTGCTTTTGACTTTAAAACAGTATAGATACCACCTACCTTCTTGGCGACTTCCCAACCGACGTCAAATAGTGCAACATTGGAATCGGTCGAACCAGCTGGTTTATCGATGTTAGCAGAGCGAGACAGTGGTGAAGGTGAAGGTGATACCATTTGAGTATCACCACTACCCTTACTAAGTTTCAGCTGTGACATTACATTATCTAAATATGTACTATTAGGTGTGCCAAAGATCATCATCCTTTAGCTATATTATATTATTTATAAAAAAATAAAAGAATCTTAAACTATTATTAATAATCTAATCTTTTTTTATCAATTAAAATATAAATGAGTGAGTGGTGTGGGGGTGTTCGCGAATGGTGACAGAATTATTCGACTGCTGCTGTGAATGACAACGAAAAAAAAAAAACAAAAAAAAGTGTTCTAAATTAAAATTTTGGTGAACTACTATAAAAGTTATAAAAGATCTTTATTTATTTATATTTATAGTTTATTTTTTGTTAAAATGAAATGAATAGAATTAAAAAAGTAGAATAGAAGATAAGAAAAGATAAGAAAGTGATTGAATTCGGTTATTGCAACTAACTTTGATTTTTAATAATTATGGAGGTCATACAACAACAAACAAAAGAAAGATATTTAATCAAATAGATCGATCGTGCATAATTAATTGATAGAATGCGCTCAACCTTCTTCTTTTTTTCCAAAAGAGGTAATATATAACAACAAAAGCGACAACAACGACAACACCAATTTTCATTTCAAAATTTTTATTTATTAATATCTATTTATTTGATGAATACATACAGTGAAAGTTAATTTTTAATACAATATTTTTATTATTATTTATTATTATTGTTATTAATACTTGTTGTTGTTGTTGACAGGTGTGTTGTTATTTCTTTTGTTTTGTAATATTATCTCACATTTGATTGATGGGAATATCAATATGTATGTTTATGTCAATTATTTCGAAACAAAAAACTATCTGTTTATTGATAATTATGGTGGTCGTTGTTGTTTTTTATTGTGTTGTTATGTTGACCTTTAGATGATAACCAAAGGAATTGGTTGGATTATTAATAATAATAATAAAAAATTGAAATTATGACGTTTTTTTTGAGACACACACACACAAATCTAATAAATTGTGTGGTTGTGGTGGTATTTGGGATTCTGTGGTGGAGTGGTGTGTGGTTTGTTTTTTTTATTTTTTTTAATTAAAATATATTTTATTTTTTTTGTGGACATGCATTAAGCTTCAGATCATTGACCAATTACATCAAATAATTGTTTATTTATTATTGTTAAAAACAAGAATAGGTTTAATTTTTAAAATAAAAAAACAGGTTTTCAAAAGAATAATTCTATCATTCATAGCTAGGAGTTTGATAGATTGATTGATTGATTAATTTTTGTAAAAAAGAATCAAAAACCACAAACCAATGAATTCAATGGTTCAAATTAGTTTACTCTTTTACCATCGAACTTATTATACATTATAATAGAAAGTATTAAATAAATAATAAAATTTAGCTTTTGGCTATATTCTATTCACTTGTGTACTTCACAAATCTTTGGTTCAATATTTCCCACCTTAATCCTTGGTTTCCTCTTTAATTTGTTCCTTTTTAGTAATCCTTGTCCCATTTGAAACCACAAATAAGATTCTTTGGAGGAGTGAGGTTGATTTTACTTGATCAATTTGAGATCTTTTTTGTCTACAATTCTTCTCCATTCTTCTTCAGAAATACTAGAAATTTCAAACTTTTCCTTAGGTTCGATGGCGATGAGAAGTCTGTCTAACATTTCTTCTATTCTTTCGAGTGTGCTACTGTCTGTAATGATACTGTCTGTATATAATTATATGATAAAAATATTATCATCTTTTAATATTTCTTTGTATATTCTAAACAATTAACTATGAATGATAAAAACATGATCACCAATCACGATGTTTTTATTAAAATAATTCTTTGAAATTTTTTACAAATCTTATCTAAAATTAGAGAACCCCACCAAAATTGCTTTATCTATTCTTTTTTTTTAAAAGGTCACCCAAAAAAACTGATAAAATTAGATTAAATAAATTAATTTATTTATTAGATCAATCAAATAAGTTTAATAATGGATAATAGTATATTTAAATTAGTTTTCAATAATATTTTATTGAGAAATTTTATATTTCAACAAGTTAGATCAATACACGTAGATTGTTTGCGAGAAAAGAGTTACAAGTGGCATGAAGTAGAGTGTAAACCATATCTATTGGCTGGTTACAACTACTTTCAATTGTTAAAAGAATATTATAAAGGTGTAGCAGGAAAGAATAAGAAATGGTATAGATTCCTTGTTTCTTCGTCGATCGATACCGATTTGGTGATTGGCAAAACATTGAGAATCGCTGTTATACAAGACCGCTTGGAGATAGTAAAGTATTTCATGGAGCATTACAAGCTGTATGAAGAGGTGGGTCGTCTTATGGGCAATGCCGTTTGCTATGGAAAGATGGACATTCTTCTGTATTTAGATCAACTGCCAGCAAAGAATAAAGATTATGCGGTGTTAATAAGTAATACTCCACTGGGTGGAAATTTCCCAATGTTGGAATGGATCATTAAGAACAAGTTGGCTACAAGCAGTAGCAATGACAATGAAACTAGATATATTCTGTTGGAAACGATAAAGAATGCTGCTTTGGCTGGTCGTGTCGATATGCTGGAATTCTTGATGGCCAGAGCAAAGCTGACGACTCTCAGTGAAGCGGCTACTCCATATATCTTGGTATCGGCAATCAAGAGTGGTAGTATTGCAACGGTTGAATGGCTGTTGGCACATGGTATCGAGTATGAAGAAGGTGTCAACTATATAAATCTCGCTGCTCTACATGGTCATCTCAATATGGTACTCTATTTCCACGAGTGGAATCTCGGTTCGTTCTCACCAAAAACCATGGACTTTGCTATTAGCTCCGGAAGTTTGCAGCTCGTTCAATGGCTACATGAAAATCGGAAGGATGGATGTACACACTCTTCGATGGTTAATGCTGCATCCAAGAATCGATTGGATATGGTTAGGTGGCTGCACCTCAATCGATCGGATTCCTTTGACAATAGCATTCTCAATGATATCTTAAAGAATAAGCCACAAGTCTCTGTAGGTATCCTACAATATATGTTGGACAACAAGTTGTACACGGTGATCGATAACCACAATATTGCAATGAGCATATTTTCTAAATCGATCGGTGAAAGCGAACAGAAAGTAAACAATTTAAAATTCTTGCTCTACAACCGACATCGACTTTTTGACAAACCAATCGAATTGGCTAATCTATTAGAATTATCAATAGATTCAGCGGTATCGAAATACGTCATTCAAAGATATTACAATACCAATTAAGATCAATATTTATTCATTATTTATATATATGTTTATTTATTGTTTAAAATTTCTTAAAACACTCTGCAATGATAAACAATAAATTAAATGTCATATTACTAAAACTTGGATTATATCGATAAAGAATATTTATTTCTTCCTTAATTTCAAAATTCCTAATTAAGAACAGGAGGGAATTTACACTCACAATGAATACCCTTAGAAATTTCCTTTGGTTGCCAAACACAAAATCTATTACCAGCACACATATCAAAACTGTATGACAATCTTGCACAAATTCGACCTGAAAAACAAACAAAAATCTTTGTTAGATTTAATTAAAAATAAATTATTTAATTTTACTTACAAGTTGATTCTGCATCATATTCTTCAACTTCGGCAACCATTAAGATCATACCAAAAATTAAGGCAATAACTAAAATTACAAAAAAAGATACTTTCATTTCTATTAATTATGAATTTTTATTTTAAACTTGAAATTATTAATTTATTGTTGTCATTATTTATACCTTTGTTTCATGAAGACACTCTAATTAATTTTGTTTTGTATTCCAATTTTTTAATAAAATTTTTTTTTTTCATATTAAGAAAATATATCTTTAATTTCCAAATATTAACTTATTTAAGTAGAATTTGAACTTAACACTTTTTTACAAATCAAGTTATAATATTTTGATACCCTCACATTTTTAATTCTATCAAAGTGAGTTTATTTTTTTTCTACATAATATACCACTATTTGGAATTGAATTGGGTTTTTTTATATGATGGATAAACAATAAAAACAATTTTTTAAATGTATAAGTTGCCATATTCTCGAGAGCAGATAATGCTGTTCTCATTGAAGTTATGATTCCAACACAAATATAAATACTATAGTTTAGAGATAAGATAAATTGATAGAAGTTGACAACAAGAATATTAAAGTTCTTAATTTCAGAGATTTAACATGTTAATGAGTCGACAGTAACAACGATATTATAACATCATAGTTTTTTTTTTAGATATTGTCAATCCATACCATATGACGACTACTCCATTCTAGTCTATCACATTGACAATTCATTTAGAGAATAGACTAGACAATTGTTAACTTTGAAAATAAAATAAAGTTAATATATAAAGGTATCCAAACCTACTTTTGATTATTTCTAAAATCAAAAAATATCAAATTTTATGGTTTAGTAAGGTAAAAAAACACCAGTTGTGATTAATCAAATGAGAATGAAGACTTCTCTAACATCATACATTATAAATAAAGAATTTTTTTAAATAAATATATATTTTTATTATTATATATTACAAATTAATTTTAATAGTTATATAAGGTTGTTTGGTTTGTTGGTGTGTGTGTATATATATGTTGGTTTTGGTTTTTTGATCTAATATTTCTCTTAATTCGAATAGAATTGATAAACTGAAGAGATAGCAGTTAATTCGTTGGATGCGAATGAATTCTTTACTGGTTTCATAAGATTTCCTGTCATGATTACGAATGAATTATCTGAAATGGTCCAATTCGATATATTTTGGTAGGTCCAGAAATTCTTGGCATCCTTTGGCGAGGTGGCATCGAAAATAGATACACCCTTCTTGCCAATTGCAAGGATAGCCTTTGGTGGATTCTCCTTTTGGGTTACGTTGAACAATGTGCATCCAAAGAGTGCACTCTTACCCATTTGTTGGAGGAATAGTAGCTTCAAGTATTCCTGGGTGTGCGATACCAGCTCGAAAATATGAGTTTCAATATTGGATGACCAGAACTTGATATTCTGACCTTGGAAGAGAACGTCTGGAATCACTTGTTTCAATAGATCCTTGTTGGAGATTTGAAGTTTCGATTGATTTGGATAGGCGAGTTGGATGAGAATCGATGCGGCATATGAAATATCACGTTCGCTAATCCAATACATTCCACGCATCCATTCCTCACGGATCTGAAGGAATGTCAACTCAAAGGCGGTTTCATCGGTTGTCCAGAGATGTTCTTGATCCAAAATCTTGACAATATCATCCAAATAGTATTTACGACGAACTTGGAAGTAGAAATCGGCTGGATTGATACGTTTGTCGTTGTCGGCCAGCTGCTCCCACGAAGTCATCACATCGTAGATCAAATCGTTGTCACCGAGTGGACGACAAACACCAAACATATCGTTCATCTGGTAGAGTCCGAAATTCTTGGACATCGCTGAGGAGATACCGAATTGAGTGAGTGCTTCACCTGCCAACTCCTTGGCGGTGGAGTAACTCTCGAGTTTGACGGCAATGGTTGTTTGGCTGAGAGCGCGAATCTTACAAGTTGGAATTTCGTCCAAATTACGGAGTGATTGAATTTCAATGGTGGATGGACCGTGTTTACGTTGTAAGCCAACTGGATGAGCTTCGATTCTCTCTATAATCGATTGGATTGCTTGTGACAATGGGACGTTATTGCTTGATTGCACGGCGATGTGACGTGCCATCAGTTGTTCAACAAAGACAGAGAGCAGTGACTCGGTGGGTGGATATGAGATCGAGAGGAATTGTAGCAATTCGAATCCACGACGAACTGAATCTGGTTTTGGATTACGGTTGGTCTGACGGTAGACTTGACAGTAGATTTCATCGCGCAACTCTGGAGTTTGAATACCGGTCTCAATGATTTCTTGGGCAACCGATGAGTAGGTGGCAGACTTTGAAAGTGGATAGTCTCCCATGTAGATCATTACCAATTGGAAGAGATGACAAGCCTTCTTTGAGTGTTTGGAATCGGCCAACTCCAAGAGTGACTCCTTGATTGGATCTTTGGTAAAATAGAGAACAGCGTTTGGATCGGCTGGTGCTGACTTCTTCTTAATGGTACCGGATGGTGCCATTGAGTTACGCTTGAGTGTTCTAAACTTGGTTTGTGCCCAGTTACCAAGAGTTCCAGTCTCTGCTTCACTGGCTGGTCCAACAGACATACGTGAAGATGCTCTGAGATTGTCCATGTCGGTCGATACTCCACGAGTAGCTGGTTGCTCGGTTGAGAGACGAGCTGGTGGAGGTGGTGGTGGAGTTGAGAGCATTGGTGGTGGTGGCGATGGTGTTGAGAGCATTGGTGGTGGAGTTGACATGGTTGGTGGAGGTGGTGGAGCGCTGAGAACTGGTGATAAAGAGAGATTCGATGGTGGTGGTGGAGGTGGTGGTGTTGCGATGGACATTGGTGGTGTTGACACTGTTGGTGGTGTTGATAACATTGGTGGTGGTGGAGTTGACAACATTGGTGGTGGAGTTGGTAGAGATCTTCTGTTTTCATTGGAGGTTGTTGGAGCTGGTGGAGCTGGTGGTGGAGGTGGTAGTGATCTTCCAGAGGAGGTTGTAACTGGTGGTGGTGGTGGAGTCGAGGACATTGGAGGTGGTGGTGGTGGAGTTGGAAGTGATCTTGGTGGGAGTGATGGTGATGCCGATGATGGTGATGACGATGCCGATGTTGGAGGTGGAGTTGGAAGTGATCTTGGTGGCATCATTGGTGAGGAGACAGCTGGTGATGTAGGAGCGGAATCGGATGCTGGCGATGATGATGAAGCTGATGGTTGTTGATCGGTCAACAAAATCTCAACATGATCCACTGGGAATGAACCTTCTCTTCCATTGAGAGAACCAATGTACCATTTGTTATCTTGATCTTTCATTACGATAGTGATGATATCGTTTCTCTTGAAAGAGAGAAGAGTGTCGTCGTTGACATTGTAATCACGAAGAGCACGAGCAAACTTGGCACTGTTACGCAACAAGATGGCGTAGTCTTTGATGAGAGCGACAACACGTGCGGCATCAGAACATTGGAATTCAAAGTTGACACGTCCCTCGATGTTCATTGTGAGCGACTTGTTGTTTGGATTGACTTTGATGTTGTTGATACTGACTGCACTATAACGGATGGTTGCCGACGACTTGAGTGAAGTGGAATCAAAGATTTCGATATCGGTGATATTGAGTGCAAGAATGAATGACTTTGGATAGGAAACCATGTCGCAGTTGTGTTCGCATTTGAATAGTGAACGACTAGCCAATGGATGGTGGTATACCAAATCAATCAATTTCTTCTTGGCATCCTCTTGAGAGAGACCTTTGTTGGCACGATACTTGTTGATGAATTCCTCAAAGTGATGTTTCTCAACGTCGGGAGTGTAGTATTTACCACGTCCATTTCCTGGCAACCACGAAACAATGTCTTCAGTGATGTCACCGGAATCCATTTGTAGTCGCATGGCACCAATAGAGAGGAGGAACTCGTTGTTGTTGAAGAAATGTCCATTGAGAAGATCACTGTAGACCTGTTGAAGAATGAGATCCGACTCGACTTCAGTTGCATTGTTATCACCGACAGCCATGAACAATCTCTTCTTAAAGTAAATCTTAAAGTTGATATTGAGTTTGGCAGACATGGTTGCCTGGAGTGACTCGACACGCGATAAGATATCGGCGACTTTATCGTCGGCAGACAAATCACGTTCGATACCATTGACAGATTCCACCAGTGAGAAACCGTGGTTGGTTGGACGAAGATGTGCACGAATAGCCAGTTCGTTACTGGCTTCTGCGCAGCTTGTTGCAGAGTCGATGTAGTATCCCTTGAAACTACCGTCCATCATTGTGATACGCACAAAGATTGGACGAAGTTCACGCAGTGCTTCGAGCTCGGTGATCGATGGAACCATCTTTCTTGGCACGATGGTGTGGTTGAAACGTTGGAGAATGGTGTAACAAGCACTGGCAGTATCTTTGACGGATTTGGCTGCTGTCTCAGTGTTGGCTGTGTTCTTAATGTAGGAAACGGCATACTTGATAAACTTTCTAGTTGGAACGAAGGTAGCACAGACAAAGTGAATCAACTCCCAGACACGCAATCTCATTTCCAATGTTGGTGTATTAGTCGATTGCTTGATGAGTTGACAGTAGATTTCATCACGTATCGATTCAGTTGCCAATCCTTTAGCCAGAATATATTTAACTGGTGCAAAGTGGTGCTCTGATGAATCCGATTGTTTCTTTGAGGTCAAATAGCTTTGAATCTTGGCAAAGATTTCTACGGACACCTTGACAACTTCAGAGGATTCGTGTGCAAGCAGCGACGATTTGATGAATGACTTTTGGTAGGTGAACAAATCTTCCTTTTGTTTGTGTTTCTCTGCGTTGAAATGCTTGTTGGCAAAGTCGTAGAAAGAGTACAATGAAATCTCTTCGTCGGAAATCAATGGTTTCAAATTGGATTGTTTAGCAGTGGTATGAGCTGTGGCGGTTGCTGGAGTGGCAGCTGCCGAGTCGTTCGAACCGGATGCACCCGAAGCGCTGCTGGGTGGTGGAGGTGGTGGAGCACCAAGAGTTGGAACAAACAAGCCAGCCAATGAAGCGGGTGGTGGTGGAGGTGGTGGGAATTCTCCAAACATTGGTGGTGGAGGTGGTGGGAACTCACCAAACATGGGTGGTGGAGGTGGTGGCAATCCAAACATTGGTGGTGGAGGTGGTGGGAATTCATCTTCGTCGTTGGTATTCGATCGGTTTCCTCTTGCTGGGATGGGTGGTGGTGGTGGCAAATCGCCGTTGAGACTGCTCATTGGGATTGGAGCAGCATCGCCAGTGGTACCTGGAACTGGGACTGGACGAGACGATGGCTGTTTGGCGTTGGGAGTTGGTGGTGGCAGACGTTTGAGTACATTCTCAATGCCGGCTGGCAGTGAGAACTTAGAATCGTCTACATCCATCTTTGTGACGGTCTGAACTGTTTGTTTCAAACCGAGAAGCAAGTCGGTGAGTGAAATCTTCTCGAGTGCATCGGCTGACATCTCATACATCTTGGCATTGTAAGTGTATGGCAGAGTATCATCAGCACCGACACCACCTTCGAAGGAGAATTGATCCATCATTGAGAATACATTATCCAAATCCTCAATTTGTTGACTCTGTTGTTCTTGTAGCTTACTCTGGAGACTGGCAATCTCGTCGAGTTGTTTGAGTTCGGCCAATTGCTCTTTCTTCTCCTGTGCTTTCTTGGCTTGTTCTTCGTCTTTCTTGACTTTTTCTGCTTGTTCACGAGCGATCTTCTCTTCGGCGACACGCTTACGATCTGATTCAGCCTTTGCGGAATCCTCCTTGGCTTGACGTTCGCGCTCCTCTGCTTCCATACGTTGACGCTCGGCTGCGGTTTTCTCGGCGGCAGCAATCTCTGCCAAACGTTGAGCACGCTCACGTTTAGTCTTGAAATGTTCATGTGCCTTTTTACGCGCCAAGAATGCACGTACTCCACATTGCAACTCTCTGACATCCGAGAGAGTTTTGAGGTATTGACGACGTGCTTTGACCATTTTCCAGAAACTTTGAATCACTGTTGCTGCACGTCTGGTCTTTATCAACTCGCGACGAGCATTGGCAGAACGAATCGCTGTTTGGAGAACCAAAGAAACTGCACGAATTGCCTTGAATTTCTTTTTGAGACGGAACATTCTCCATGTGGCTTGAATCTTGGTGACATGTTTGACAAGATACAGCTTACGATGTTCCTCGAGCTTACGGTATTGGGGATCACGAATAAACACTTTGGTAAGACCCAATTGCCATTCGTCTGAGAGAATACCCTCAAAAGTCGATGGGTTGACACGCGATATCAAGTTGGCGCAAGTCGATTTGTGGTCGGCGGCACGCGCTGCAATGTCGAGCAATAGATAACGGTCACGGAATTCTTTGTGGGTATGACGAATAGGGAATCCAGTCTTACGAATACGAATGGTTTCCATCATACCGGCGTATCTGAGTTGTGCTTGAACGAGTTCATCGTCAAAAGTGAGTGGTTCCTTCAATGAATTTGGCTTGACACAACGCACGTAGTGAGGAGCTGTCGAGGACAATGTATTGACCAACGATTGAAGCTGCACTTTGAATTGGCTACCTGCTGTTGTCTTCTTTTTCATGGTGGCACCCTTGTCGTCGTCACCGTCGTTCGATTCCTTGGCAACAGCAAACAACTCGACAATGAATTTGTTCTTGCACTGCTGGAGCATCAGGAGGAGATCGTCCGACAAAGTATCTTTATTCTTGTCCAAGAATCCTTGGGTGTCGTAACTGACTTCACCAGCATAGTGTTTCACAACAAAAGTGGTCTTGGATCTCTTTGGTTTCTCGTAGTAAGCGTGCTTCTCGTGGTTGGCATGCAACTTTTCCAACAAAGTATTATCGGATGCTTGTGGGAAACGGCATTCTTCATCCAACAACGAAAGAATACCCAATGGTCTCTTTTCAATTAAATCCAAACATTCTTGATTATCATTATATGTAATCTTTGACCAATTAATCTTTTCCCTAAAAAAAAAAAATAATTATTAATATTTTCTAATTTGATAAAAAATATATATATATATATATGGTAATCAACTTACTTTTCATATTCTTCTTGCTCCAATTTAAATATATGTTGATTGAAATGTTGTTGTAATTTCTCATTGGCAAAATTGATACTAAAATTATTATATTAGGTGTATGTTTCTTAACTTGATTTTTCATTCATTGCAAACTTACCAAAATTGTTCAAAACTATTCTTTTTAAAGTTTTCGAAACCAAAGATATCCAATACACCAATGAAAGTACTGTTTGGTTGTGGCTTGTGAATTCTAGAGTTGATAAATGTAACCAACCAATTGAATACATTTCCATATAATGCTTTGGAGAATGAATCTCTTGTATCTTCTGCTTCATTCATTTTAAGTGGAATCACAAAGTTTTGTCCTTTAATCAAAACATGTCTAATAGTAAGACATGTTTCCAATTTAACTGGATCCAATTGTAATAGATTTGCAACAATCTTTAATACTATATTAATCAAATAAATAAGTAAATGTAAATAAATTTCATTCTTATGCTTATTAATAATTAGTAATACATACTATCTTGATTGACTACTCTTGAACCTTCAGCACCTGGTGTCTTTTCATATTTCTCGAATTGAAGATTACCAAGGTGGAGAATTGCAGCGAGAATTGCGAAAATGGTATCTTGTTTGTCCTCTGGTAGACCGAGTACCGACATGGCATATCTAACATGTTCAAAGTCCTCTGCATCGTTGATTCTATCGATTCTAATACATCCACTTTGATTCAAATAATGATATTCCTCTGGTTCACCAAGTGACAACTTTGTCTTTAAAGCATCGGAAGCACCTGCCAACAATTGATAAAATATATGATAGTTTCTCTCTGATTGTGCTTGACTCGAAATTCTTGATTTCTCCAATAAATCTAAAAACAATATCAATTAGTCTCTATACAAACTATTTATTTTTAAGCTATTAACTTACAATTTATAATTCTAGCACCACAAATATGACCACTGGTGTTAAATTGAATCTCAATGAATTTACCCTAAATTTAGAAACAAACAACAAAAATGATCACAAAAAAATATTAATCACATGGTTAGTTTTTGAGATTTTTTGATTAAATTTAAAATCGTGATGGATTTTTCGAAAATGATCAGATCAAATTTGTTTTGACAAAAAAAGAATGGATGGTTCTGATTTAGATGGATTAGTTTTTTTGTTCGTCGAAATTTGCTAAAGTTTTTTTTTTTTTTGAAAGATGATTGTGTGGGTTGTTATGTTTGTTACTTACAAAACGAGAAGAATTATTATTTCTAACGGTTTTGGCATTACCAAATGCCTCGAGAATAGGTGATGACTCTACAATCATCTGCTCCACTTGACTGTGTTTGTTGGTACGTGCTGCCAAGTACTGAATAATGAGCTTGGTCGACTCTGTCTTACCTGCACCCGACTCACCAGAGATGATAATCGATTGATTCTTGCGGTCTTCCAACATGTTGGAGTAGGCGGCGTCTGCAATGGCAAAGATGTGTGGTGGCAATGAACCTCGCTGCTTTGAGAAATAGGATTTCACGATCTCTGGTGTGTAGATCGGTAGAATCTCATAGGGATTCACTGCAACCAAAATCGAACCAGTGTATGTATAGATCTCTCTTCTTGCATAACGAATCTTTAGATTGGTCAACAATGATTCCTCTGTCAAGTTTGGCAAGGTAATCATATCCTCTACCTCTTCGAACCTTTCAACTCCATTTATGATATCCATTTTTATTTATTTGATGATGATGGTGGTTGTGATTTTGTTTTTGCTTTTTATTCTAAAATAATTCCAATTCTTGATATATAAATTAAAACTAAATACTGACTATTGTTACTGCTACTACTAAATAATGATACAAATAAATTATATATATTAAAGATTATATCCTAAAAGGATATTTTGACAAAAAAAAATAAAGAAAGAAATAAAACAATAAAAAATATAGTTGTTGACAACAATGACTCAACTCTTTAATTTAAAAAGAGAAGCTATATTGTTACAAAAAAAGAAAGAAATTATAGAAAGAAGAAGATAAGTGGATATACAAAATGGTTGGTTGGTTGGTTTGATTGATTGTTTGATTAATAGATAATAGGTATGAAGGAAAGTGGAAAGGAACAGAAAGGATCACCCAACTGCTGCGCTGCAATAATATTATTTTTAATATGATGATTTGATTAAATAAATTAATAAAAAAATAAAATAATTGTGTCATTCAACGATATGAATCTGATGATGGTTCAAAATGAATCTCAGATCAGAAATGGGTGCTAAATTGCGTTGAGTGGTCAAAATAATAGTAGTTTTTTCTTAATTTTGATTTTTTACTAAACACCAGTCGCCTAAATAATTTCGAGACACACCGTTTTTAAATTTTATGTTTTTTTCATTCTTTTTTGATTATTTCGAAATCTAGATCGGTTGAGCATCTTTGATCTCAATTTTTTGGCACTAAGCAAAATTTAGATTACCCCCAAAAAAACACAAAATAAAACAATTTTTTTTCATCTGCACAATCCAATAAACTCGATAATGTTTACCGTTATTTTTAACGGTTAATGTGCACACTAATATATTCAGAATCCCAATGAAAAAACAATATAATAATATAATAGAACAACAATAATAAATATTATTAAACATACCGAAAGAAATATATTAAATCGTGATATGTTGATTAATATCAAGATAAGATCAATATCAATCTACATCTTCCAATGAAATCATCTGAAAAAATGCAATAAAATAAAAAGAGTAGTAGTGGTAATATTAATTTAAAAAAAAAGATAAGATTGTTTATTATTATTTTATTTGTATATATTTTATATTTTTAAAAATGGTTATTTACAATGTTGGTGAAAAGTGAAATGTTGTGTTGATGTTGTTATGTTTTTTTTCTTTTTGTTTTTTGATTTGTCTAATCAAATACACTATCAATTAAGAAAACAGATGATAATAGAAGCATCTTGTCTTCGGCAGATAGAGAGGTGTGGAATTTCAAGTCATAGCCGGTAGCTCTGCTTGGTCTGTGGAGAGAACCGATCTTGGTACCGAACGAATCCTTGATATCAAACTTCCATCTCTGAGTGCTTGGGAAGAGAGAGAAGCACTTTCTTCCATTGGAGTTGAATGCATCAACATGTTCTTTGTTGCATTCGACATAACCGAATTGCGCTCTATTGGAATCTGTAAGTTTTAATAATCTACCTTGTGATTCTCCTTTGAATAACTATTAAGGTAGATATTATATATTAATTATTAAAACAATAATGTTAGAATATCTTATTCTTTTTTTTTAAATTACAAGTTAATTAATTTATAATATACTTACTAAATCACCATTAGTATTTCTCATGTTCAAATCGAATTGGTGGGATCCTTTTTCCTCTTTGAAACATTCAATGAGACGTTGTTCGTTGTTTCCATTGAGGATAAAGTAGGAGTTACGTGCACCACCTTGTTGAGCGAGGAAAGAGTCAACTCCGAGCAGGTTGTTGCTCCATGACGAGAAGGAGTTGGTTTGGAGCAGGTTGGATTGAGAGAGAGTTGGTTTCGAGTAGACTACTTGTTGGGTGCTCTTTTCTTGGATGCTTCCGGCTCTTCCGAATTGAACGGTTGTCGATGGCTCGATGACAGCTACAGACACTGGATGACGTTGGACATCAATCTTTGGAGCACGATGGTTGATGCTGACAGTTGGCTCGGTTGGTGTAATGGAGACATATGGCACTTCATTGGTAATCTTAACGACTGCTTCACCTTGAGACACGGTAACCTCTGGTTGAGCGGTGGTGAAACTGAGTTCTGGTTCGGCCTGTGAGAATTGTAGACCCGGTTTGTCTTCACAAAGGAATTTCATGGTTGGCTCTGGGTTGTTCCAGGTGATCGATGGCTGTGGTTCCTTAACTTGGATCGATGCCTTTGACGATGGAATAACCTCGACTTGAGCTGGTGCTTGAGATACATCGAGCTTGGGTGGTGGTTGGGTGAGGTGAACCTTTGGTTCTGGCTTGACGAAACGGATGATTGGATCCGATTGGAGCACTCGGATGTTTGGTTGGTAGCAGTCCATGAAGATTTCGGGTGGACCGTCCAACTCGAGGAATACCTTGATAGCTGGCATCTTCAGAGTAATTTGTGGAGCGTAGTGTTCGACTTCGATCTCTGGTGCCTTTTGCTCGACTTCGACACGCACCTCTCCAGAGTCAACAAATACGTCTGGGGCACATGGAGTCACTTGGACATTGACTGGCTCTTCAGTAACCGAAATAATATCAGAGGCACGACCAATGTTAATCGATGGTGCTTGACGTTCTACATTGATAGTACGTTGCTGTTCTTGAATCTCAAACTGCAACTGTGGTTGATTCAATGTAATGAAAGCTGGTTTCTCTTTGATATTAAGATCATAATGTTGACCACCACGAGTACTTTTTCTCTCTGGTGAGTAATTTTTCTCTACCATTTTTTATTTACTAAAAAAAATAATTATTAATTTTTAAAGTTAATATTAATATATATATATTATATTATTTAAAATATGTTTATTAATTAATTTTACCTTTATAAATTTTGTTTATATAATTTATAAATTATTATTATTATTTAATTTAATTTAGTTATTTGTTTTTAAAACACTTTAAGTTTTAATTATTTGGATTTTAAAATGTTTAATGGTCTTAAGAATTGGTATTTCGATTGGGAAAAAGAACCAAGTTAAAGATTTTCTTTATCAAAAAAAACAATTGTCGATTTAATGTACCTTACCAATTGGTATGTATCAATGGTGTTGTGTTGTGTGGTGTATCAAATCTAAATGATAAAGATTTAGTTCTTTGAGCATTAGATGAAGACAGACCTGTGTTGATTCCATTTCAACTTTGGTCACAAGTTCTTTTTTTTTTTTAAAAAAGTAACAAAGTACTTAACCAATCTGAATTGCCGATATCGAATAGAGATATACTATAATATGTTGTATTGGGTATTCTAATATTTTAGATTCATAAAAAATGAATTTTCATTCATTAATTTACAAAATTTTAATTTTACCAAAATAGGTAAAGTCCATATTTCGACAAAATATTTTGTTTTTTAGTTTTTTTTTTAATAATTAGATTTGTTTTTTTATTAGTTTTTCGATATTGACAAATATTATATTTTACCTTTTGCAGCTAAAGAGATCAAATCGGACTTTTTTCAAAATAATGACACTGTAATGAAAAGTTTCTACCCAATCATGTTTGTTTGTAGTTTATTAAACAAAAAAGTACCATTGATTTCGAATCTTTTAAAATATTTAAATTGTTTTTTTTTAACAGATCATATTGGATAGCTAAAGTGTTTGCCAAATAAAATAAGTAGGACCAGATAATAGCTCAATCTTGTATCAGCAATAACAAAAGGCCAAAACCATCCAAAACAAAAAGCAAAAGTCAACTTTTAAAACTTATTCAAATTGTTATAAACAAATATTAATAATTAATAATAAATATAACAACAGCAACAACAAAAAAAAATAATTAATTTGAAATCTTTAAAGATAAATAATAATTATAATATTTTAAAATCATGTCACAAACAACTTCATTAAAAAAGGAAGAATGGAATTCCGCCAATGGTTTAGTTCAACAAACAACCACAACTAAAAAAGTAGTTGTTGAAAATCCATCCAGTGTATCTTCTTATCGTTAGTATCCAACTTTTATTAAAAAAAAAAAATTGTATAAAAGAAATAATAATAAATTATTAATTCTTTTTTCTTTTTTTCTTTTCTTTTTTTTTAATTATAATTAATAATATTTTTTAGAATCCAATTTATCTGGATCAAATAATATTAGACATACAACAAACAACAGTGGTTTGAATCAATCGATGCAACAAGGAGGATGGGTCGAAGAGGGTGGAGTTTTCAAGTTGGAACAACCAAGACAACGTGTTTTCGTTGACAAACAACAAACCAATGTCCAAGTCACCGAAGGAAAGGATCTCATCAATATCACCGAGATGGCTCCAGAGATTATGATCAAGGAGAACGCTCCAAGAGTAGAGGTCATCCAAAAAACTGTTACTGCCGACGTCTCCATGCCACCAGCTCAAGTCGACATCAACCAACCAACTCCACGTATCTTCTTGGAACAACAAGCTCCAATTATCGACGTCAACCAAATCGCCCCAAGAGTCGAGTTTGTCCAACGTGAGCCAATTGTACATGTCAACCAACCAAAGGCACAAGTCGTAATCAACCAACAGAAGCCGGAAGTCAAGATCCAATCGGCTAAGCCATTGATCTCCGTTGCCATGTGTGAGGCACCAAACATCAAGATCCAACAACAGGAGCCAGTCATCAAGTTGTTCAAGAGTGAGCCAATCATCAGAATCTCTGAGCTCAAGGGTCAGCCAGAGGTCATCTTGAGAAAGGCAGAGAACTGCACACTCAACTGGAAGCCAATGCAAGCACCACTCCTCCACATCCAAAAGTCATCGATCAACTCGATGAGTGCCTCCAGCTTCCAACAATACAACCAACCATCGAACCTTCAATTCAGAAAGGATGAATTCACACAATCCAAACAAATCAGCACAGAATTGCCAGTCTCCTTTGAAAAGAATGCCTCATGGTTGCAACCAAAGACTGGAGAGTATTTCCACGAAGAGTCCGTCAAGAAATCACCAATGAATGCTCCACTCAGTGAAACCTCCTATGTCCCAGTCACTCAAATCTAAACAGATTGTTTTAAAAACTACAACCCAAAAAAAAAAACAACAACAAAAAAAAATAACCTAATTTTTTAAAAAAGATAAGATAAATAAAAATAAATTTGTATATATTTTAATAATTCCATTTTTTGTTTTTTCAATTTATTTAATATATATTATTTGTTTATCTAAAATATAATAATATAATTGTTTAAAAAAAAAAATAATAATTTTGTTTAATTGTTTTTAAATATGTAAATGAAGTCTTTCGAAATCATTAAATGATTCGATTTCTTCATGATTCTCTCTTGCTTGTTCGTGTTCGAATCTTTCTTTCATTTCCTCAGTTTCCTAAATAAAAAAAAAAAAGACAATGTTTTGTTAATAATTTTCTTTAATATATTATTACTTTGGATATTAAGACATTCGATATTACCTTGATACAAATAACATTGCAAGGAGCATGTTCTAAAATATATCTAGAGGTACTTCCAATGAAGATTCTCTTTACTGGTCCCATACCTCTTCTTCCAACCACCAAGTAGTCAATCTTTTTCTCCAATGCAGCTTTACATACTGCTTCACCAACATGATTACCATGACCAAGCAATGCTCTAAGATTTTGAATCTAAAAGATAAAAAAATTATTATTATTATTTTAACATTTTTTAATGACTTCAAACAAAACTTACACCAAGATGTTTAGCAATTTTAGCTTTCTCAATCAAGATTGATTTCGATTCCTTTTCTATTGCTTTTAATGATTCTAAAAGAATAGATAGATTTTTTTGGGTTAACTTTATCTATTTACAAATAATTGATCTTAATATGACTTTACCTGTCATTATTACAGCAGACATTGCAGAACTTGGGAATGTAATTGGATCCTCTGCAATGGTAATGAGGAACAATGTATCTTTTTCCTTATCAATCAACTGAGCAGCAATCTCTTTGATTGCCAACTCAGAGTTTGAACTCTTATCTACAGAAATCATATAGTTTACCATGATTTAAATTAATTGTTGATATATAGATAGATTGTTTTTATATTATTTAAAAGATATATTTGTTATTGCTTTTCAATTAAAATTAATACGCACACAATCAAAAACCATTCTCATTCTCACCATTTGTCATTATCATTAACATCACACATTAAAATAATTAAAAAAAACAATAAAATTTAAATAAATTTTTGACACATCCGACCATTTTAAGTAAAAAAGTGTGGTTCATATTTTTTATTCAAGTTCACCACCCACACAAACAGCTATGAGTAAGAAAAAAGACAACAAAAGATTACAAACATAAAAAAAAAACAAATATTTAAAATAACTGTATATTATTCTAAACATGAATGAATTAACTTGATAATATAAATCAATATTTAAAAAAACAAAATAAATAATTAAATAAAAAAAATGGGAGATTTAAAAAGATTTTGCAATAGGTGTTGTCCAATAAAAGATCTTTGAATTTTGTTTATTTTTCTATTTTTTCCCCAAACAGTTCTGATCGTGAATTTCAGATTTTTCACTATCTTATTCCAATCCACTTTTTATTATTGTAAACCCAACGCGCTACAACACATAGATTTATCTCAAATTTCGGGAGCAAGTCCTTAGAGGTAAAACAAACTATGAAATTCGATATCTTTTTAAATATTTTTTACAAAAAGTAAAAAAAAACATTATTGTTCATATTACAAACAAAAATTACAACACACACAATATATAATATATATTTATAAACAAAAACTACTCACATACACACACATAACAGATAATATATAGCATTGTCATTAATATATTATTATTATATTTGTAGAAATATCTTTGTTTTATATATTTTATTTTATTTTTTATTTATATAACTAAATATAGTAGTTAGTTTTATAATTTTATATTATAAACAAACAACAATAACAATAACAACAACAATGTCTATATCAGATAGAGCTATGGTAGAACTTAAACCACAGGCTGGTTCCAATCCAAAGTTGGATATGGCAATTATGACTGCTGTTCGTGATATGTATGACCAAGCGAGCAATCCAAACGGTTATATATTTTGTTCGATCGCCGAGAACAAGTTGTGTTACGATTTGTTGAAGCCAAAGTTGGAACACGACCCAAATCTCAGTCAGTTGCTTGCAAACTACTCGATGTTTGGCGGTATGGCTTGTTTCAAAAAGTCGATTACCACCATGCTCGAGAACTACGTGTTCAAGTGTGCCGCTGGCGAGGTGTCGCCGAACCACTTGCTGGTCGGTGCCGGTACGACCTGTCTGTTGGAAGCGTTGTTCTTTGGATTGTTTGAGCCAGAGGATTACGTGATGATTCCATCGCCAATGTATCAGGCGTTCGTCACCGACGCACGTGTAAGAGCACGCGTCAAAGTTCTGCCCGTCAGCATGACATCGATTGACAGCGCCAATGGCGACATCTCATTCCGTTTGAGTGTTGCCGAGTTTGAAAAGGTTTATGCCCATGCCGTGGCGACCGGTGCTAAAGTCAAGGGTGTCTTGTTGTGCAGTCCAAACAACCCGACCGGTACCATCTTTGGCCACGAAGAGCTGCTATCGATCGTTGACTTTTGTAAGGAGAAACAGATCCACTTGATCTCTGACGAGATCTATTCACTCTCGATGTTCTCTGACAAGCCATTCACCAGCATCTACCAGGTTTTGGCTGGAGCACTCGGTGATTCCGTTCATATTGTCTCTGGATTCTCCAAGGATTTCTGTGTCAATGGTTACCGTGCCGGTTACGTCTACACTCAAAACGCCAAGCTAATGCACTACCTCATGAAATCCTCTGTGTTCTTCTCATGCAGCAATCCAGTACAATCCACTTTGAAAAATATTTTAACAGACCAACCATACTTGAAGAATTATATCGAAACAAATCAATCAAGATTGAAACAAGTAAGTTATATATATAGCTTATTAGATATTATATAATATGTTAGTTTATATTTTATTAATTCTATTTTGTTTTGTTATTTATAGCATTATGAATTAACTACAAAGTTATTGGATGAAAATAATATACCATACTTGAAATCGGAATCTGGAATGTATTTGATGCTCGATTTAAGAAGAGTTATGAAGGATATTACATTTGAATCAGAGATTAAAGTGTGGGAAGAGATTTTCGATAATGCAAAGGTTTTGATCAATCCAGGTAAAACATGCATGTTCGACCAACCGGGTTTCTACAGATTCATTTTCACTCAACCTGAACCAGTCTTGAGATTAGCAATCGAAAGAATTGCCAAGGTTTACAATAATCTTTTAAATCAAAAGTAGAGAATAACAACTTATATATATTATTAATTATTATTTAACTATGTAGTATAAAAATATTAAAATAAATCAAGGATTATTAGTATAATTTCCTTATTTTAACCATTTTGATCAATAAACTACATTGTTTGAAATCTTAAAAATTTCTATATGATATCTTTTTTAAAATCTGAATCTGGTCATGTGTGAATTAACAAAAGATAATTATTTTCTCGATCAATTATTTGTTAGTTAATTAAAATTAATAATGGATAAAATATCTAGATATTTAATAATGTTTTTAATAATTCAGTATTGAGAAATTATATATTTCAACAGGTCAGATCAATACATGTCGATTATTTAAGAGAAAAGAGTTTAAAATGGAATGAAGTAGAATGTAAACCATATCTATTGGCTGGTTACAACTATTTTCAATTGTTAAAAGAATATTATAAAAATATAATAGAGAATAATAAAAAATGGTATCACAAGTTATAGATTACTCCTTGAAATCAGATAGAACAATCTATCATACATTGACAATAGCAGTTAGACATAATAGATCAGAGATACTAAAGTATTTCATGGATCAATACAAATTGTATGATTTCTAGAGAAAGATCATTGATGAATGAATCTGAATATTAATTGGAGGTTTGTGTTTTTAACCTCATTTATCGGTCTTTTTTGTTTGTTTTTTTTTTTGTTTTGTGAGTTTCTAACCATAGAGTCCAGTATCAAAATTGGCCACTGGTATTGGTGCAAAAGATGAGATACCCTTTGATTCCATTTCTTTGATGTGATCAATGATTTGCTTGAAGGTTGGTCTACGGTCTGGATTGGAATCCCAGCACATTGTGATCAACTCTTTCCATTTGGGGTTGGTTGTCAATGGGATGGGTGGTCTGTAAGATTCGTGGGCGGCGAGGTTAGCCATCTTCATTGGCTTCATGTCTTGTTGTGGCTCCTCGGATGTCAACAACTCCCAGAGAATCATGGCATACGAATAGACATCACTCTTTTCACTGTTGGATTCACCTTTGAAAACTTCGGGTGCCATGTATGGAATACATCCAACCGATGCAGTCATGGTGCCCTGCTCCATCTTTAGACGCGACAAACCGAAATCGGAAATCTTACATTTGAAATCGTTGACATTGTAGGTACGTCTTGTGTCAATGGTGTTATCGAGCAAAATGTTTCCCGACGACAAATCTCTGTGCAAAATGGGTGGATTCGAACCGTGAAGATAACACATTCCTTTGGCAATATCTTTGGCAATATTCAAACGAAGAAGTGGATTTTGTTCGAGGAATTGGAAATAATCTATCAAGAATTGTCTCAAACTACCACCTCCCATCCATTCAATAACTATACAATGGTGTTCTTCACTACCAGAAGTACATGCACCAAGGAATTGTACAACATTTGGATGTCTCAATTTACTATAATTAATTGATTTAAAAAATAATAAAGTTAGATTAAATTATTATTATTATTAATCTTCTTCTTCATCTTTTTCATCATACCTTAAAATTGAAACTTCATTTTGGAACATTTCAACTGAAGTTTTAGTTTTGAATTGACAACGATAGATAATCTTGATGGCAACATCTGTTTCTCTCCATGTTCCACGCTTCACTTCACCAAAGAAACCTTTACCCAAGGGTTCACCAAATTCCAACTCGTTGAAATCGATTTCATATTCTCTTCTTTCTGGTTGTGCCTGTTGATGTTGTGTTGGTGGAACATCGTCCATCGAGATATCATCGCCACTACCGTTGATACTGCTAGTGATGAGCAAATTCTTATTTTTCTTTGGCTCACCACCGCTGATTGTGCTGCCGCTCTTGTTGGAGTTGGGATCGAACTGGTCGAGTCCAGAGGCGTCGTCCTCTCCCCAGCGAACTTTCTTTAGCTTCATATGTTTATCTCTTATTATCATGGGAATTAAACCATTGACCAGTGCTTGTCTAGATACTTTATCTTTTGCATCTTTTTTACTTCTACCTTTGCATGTCTCCTTTAACTCGTTATTGAGATAGAGACCACATATGAATTCCGGTTGATGTTGTGGTCCACCTACGTGCTTGGTTACAAATTTGGTATCTAATTGGAAGTATACCCTGCACTTGGAGAGTAGCTCTTCAAAGTCAAACTTTGGATTGACTGAATTATTTAGGATTTGAATGTAAGATTCTGGCAATCCTGCATCCTCATCACTCAAATACTCGATGGCTTCCTTGATGTAGAACTCTTGTTTTATGAGATTGGGATAGATATTCGATTCGAAATCCTTTAGAATTGCGTAGAACTCTGATTTCTTGCTTCTGAGATGACCACGACACTGAGTGAAAGCGGTGACTGTTGCTGGCGAATCGATTCTAATGACAACGTTACATTTTGGAACATCTAAGCCCTCCTCTAGGACTGCAGTGGCCACGATTACATTGTATTGTCCACTTCGGAACTTCTCTACGTTGTCTTTCTGGCTTTTGGTGGACTGTCCACCTGACTTGGTTGATCCATGTCCAGATACTTTTCCTGGCTTCAAGAATTTGTATCTCTCTTCTTTTGCGCGTGTAGTGAGAACCTTAACCAGTTGCTCTGCAGATTGTCGAGTTTTTACAAACAATATAGCTTTGAATGCTGGATCTGTCTGATTCTTCTCCTCCAAAATATTCAGTGCAATATCCAGCTTGCATATGTTGGTAGTGTCATCATCGTCAAACTCTATGAGACCTTCTAACAACCTTTGTTTTTTCTCTTTTGGAATGTTGGTGGCTTCCAATCGATTGATAAGTATTTGTTTGCAGTCTTCTGTTGGATGGGATGCATCCTTTGGATCTTTACCGTATGTTACCAAGTCGTAGCATTTGTTGGCAATGCTCAACAATAGTTTTTCATTTTCATTGTTGGTGTTTTCCAACTTTACCAAAAGCTCTTGAATATCTTCGTACAGGTATTCTTTCCTTGTTGGTACCAAACTGGATGCAAAGTTTCTGGTAATGCAATTGATTGCTTTCATTAAAAATATTTCTTTAGGATGTTGTGGGAGCTCTTTTAGTTGTAATTCCGCAGTAATCCTGTGCTCTTCGATATCGGCTTGAGTCTCGGCATCCGGTGAGATGATACTGCAGCCAGAGATACACGACATCACCTTGAGGGAAATAAAAGTGTCTATCCAGCTGGATTTGCCGCCTGGTGATGCAGTTAGTCCCATGACTTTTGGTTTAACATCCTCCTTCATAGCTTTATAGTGGTTCTTAAGTAACATGGAAAAGGAATTATCTTTGACCATGTGATGAGCTTCATCAAATACAATGAGTGAATATTGTCCCATTACAACCTTGTTGAATTTCAGAAGATTGAGGAAAAAAGATGAAATGCTTACCAGAACATCGTGATGATCGTTCAGTTTGGCATCGATCGACATGTCGCCATGCACACCTATTACATTCAGTCCAGTTTGATCATGGATATAATTCTCCAGTTGGAGAACCAAAGGAATTCTCTCAACAAGAAAGAGAATACGCTTTTTCGGATTCATTTCCTTCATTTTGCTGATTACCATTGCTGCAATCTGTGTCTTTCCAAGACCGGTTGGAATGCAACAAATAATGTTATCCTCCATTGCTTTCTTGTAAAAATACTTTTGGTACTTCCTAGGTTGATGCAGAGTAGCTGGAATCTCTGCGTCTTTGAAATTTCTTTGGACTGGTGTAGTCACTGCCTCTGCCTTTTGATCGTTACTCAGCTTATTAAGCGTCTCATTCCGAAGATTAATGGCAACTGATCCCTTGGTATAAAGTTTAGCATCAACTGAAACGGTATCCATCCTCTTGAGATGTTCATTGTAAAATGTAAACTCTCCTCCAAACATTTTGTTCTCTGATTTGAGTGTGAGTGTGCAGTCAACGTTGTTACCCAACGACAAACTACCAAGCAATGCTTCCAAATCTTGTTGATTGAATTGCTCCTCGACCTTCTCATTGGCCTGCTCCTCATTGTCGTTCTCGGCTCCATCGGGTAACGCCTCACGATTCGCGGTCGGACCTCTGATTTTATCCTGAAATAAAACACCTAGAGCAGCTTCTTTCTCTGCCTCTTTCTTCTTTAATTTCGGTGAAGATTTAAAAGAGTTTCCATTGAATGTTACTGTACACTAAGCAAAATATATATATTAATGATCTATTTTATTTTATCTTTTCACTTTGTTTTTTTTTTTTTTAAAAAACAAACCAACAAACATACCACAAACGTTGAACCAACCTTTACAGTATTGTAAACTGGAAGAGTTTGACCTCTGGTGGCTAGCATCTCAGCTAAGATACTTTTTGGATGTTTAAATTCTGTCATTTTTCTATCTTTATATCACTCTAAAAAAGTGCAGTAAATATATAAATACTTATACAAGAATGAACAAAAAAAATATTTAAGTTGTTTGAAACTAATAATAAAAAAAAAAAAAATAACACAAAGCAAAATGAAAATAAAAAAAATCCAAGACACTTTTTTGATTGATCAAAAAAAAAATCCATTTTTGCAAACTACACAAAAAACTTACAAAATAACTTAAACAAATAAATAAAATATGATTATAAAGATAAAAATTTTGAGGTTTTTTTTGTTTGATTGTTTATTAGTTTATGACTGCAAAGAAAAGAGTTTTATTAATATATACTCTAATTGAACATTTAGTTTCTTCCGACCTTCTTTTCGATGGACTTCTTGATGAGGTTGATACGGGCTCTTCTTTGGTGAGGGTACGCTTGTCCTTCTTGGCGAACTTGGCATTCTTGTAGTTCTTCTTGTCGGCCTTCTTGGCAGATGGGTCCTTTCTGATGGCAACGTGAGCCTTGGTGCACATGGCTTCCAAATCTTTTGAGGCAACTTTGGCCTTGATGAATTGGGAGTAGTGTCTCTTGTATTCCTCTTCGTCTTCAGTTTGGAGGAGCTTCATATGTTCGGCGACGTGACCACCGAAGATGTACTTCTTCAAGACCTCAGCGTTCAACTTCTTGGTCTCGGCGTTGTAACCAACGAAACGAGTCTTCTTGTGTGGGATGTACATACCACCATCACAGGCACCCTTCAAGACGGCAAAGACCTTGTTACCAGTAGTGGTACGGGCCAAACCGACATCGATCATTACCCGCGCACTTGTAACACATATCTTCTAACTTTTGTTGATCAATATCAAACTTTCGTATAGATTTTGATCGTAAAGATATTGTAAGATCTCATAGGACGTTGGATATGAATAGACGATAATTTCATTGAGTATTCTGCAATTATCGAAAATCTCTTCCTATGAAAGTTGTACATAATAAGAGAAATGCTTTTTTTTAACTTTTTTAGGAAATTGATAGGAATTCATTAATTTTTTTTTTTTGAATTAATTATTACTCTCTTAATATTAGTTTTTGATAGAAATAAATGAATTAATTTTCAACTATAAAATGCATCGATGCATTTCAATCATTCTTTCATATACAATTGTTATTCAAATATATAAATTTATAAAGATAACACATTAAATTGTTTTTAATTTTTTCAACAAGTGTTTAAATCTTTTTTCGCTGCAAGAAAAAAAATGTTACCCCAATTGGAAGTTGAAAGGTGTAAATAAAATTTGTGTGAACATTATTGAAAAATTAAATTGATTAGTTTTTTGATTTTGATTTTTTTTTTTTGATTACCCTTTCCACCAAAAGTTAATAATGGATAATAAGATTTTTAATCATGTTTTTAATAATTCAGTATTGAGAGTTTATATATTTCAACAAGTTAGATCAATACATGTCGATTATTTAAGAGAAAAGAGTTTAAAATGGAATGAAGTAGAATGTAAACCATATCTATTGGCTGGTTACAACTATTTTCAATTGTTAAAAGAATATTATAAACAAAGAATAGAGAATAATAAAAAATGGTATCATAAATTTAAGTTTAAAGATTACTCTTTGAAATCAGACAGTACAATCAATCACACTTTGAGAATAGCTGTCAGACATGATAGATTAGAGATAATAAAGTATTTCATGGATCGATACAAATTGTATGATTTCATTGATAGATTGATGAATGAATCTGTTCTCAATGGAAAGTCAGAGATATTTCATTATTTAGATCAACTTTTAAGATCTATTGGCAAGATTCATTCGTACGGGTTCATGGTTCGTTCACCTCGAGGAAAAAACATGGAATTGTTACAATGGTTGACTGAAAAGATATCGATTCACAATAGTGAAGATAATACAATTACATACCCTAAGAAGATGATATCTAATGCAATAGGAAATGCAGCTCGGGTTGGTCGTATCGACATGATCGAGTATCTCATGTCAAAATGTGATTTCACCAACAATCCAGATTTTGCTCAACCTTTTATTCTAGAGAATTGCATAATGAGTGGTAGCATTGAAATGGTTGAATGGATTTTAGCACGTGGTGTCAATTACAAACCAACGATAAACTACATAGAGTTGTCAGCCAAATATGGACATCTTAACATGGTTCAGTATTTCGAGAGAAATAATATCGGTCACTTTACAGGTCGGACAGTTGCCAATGCAGTAAGATTAGATAATTTACAACTGGTTGAGTGGTTACATTACAATCATAGTGAATTATTCACATCTTCGACAATGGATCTATCAGCAAAGATAGGTCTATCACTTGTGAAATGGTTCCACTCGAATCGAACTGAAGGATGTACCATTGGATCGATGATAAACGCTTCATTCAACCACGATTTCGAAACAGTTAAATGGTTACGTGAGAACAGATCAGATTCATACAACAACAGAATACTCAATGAAATTATCATTCATCCATATCCATCGTCCTATGAGATATTAAAATATCTTTACGATCAAAATCTATATGAAAAGTTTAATGTTAATCAACGAAACATAGAAAATATTTTTTTTAGATCAGTGGGTGATATTCGTTGCGAAGATATTCTTAATTTTATGATCGATTATCAAAATCAATTATTCTCTGCATTCGATTTGAAAAAAGAATTTAGAAAAGTAATCAAATTTTATGGAATGCCTAATTATGTATATAAAAATATAAATTTATAAAAATAAACAATAAATTGTTTAACAAGTTGTTAATTCTTTTTTGTTAAATTGTAATAGAAAACTAATGTTTACCTTTATTCTTTTTTTAGATGTTTTAAATAATAATCACCTTTTTAAAAAATTAAAAAAATATTCATGATTAATGGGCAAAACAGGAAAGAGATCATTAAAGATGATTAGTTTTTTTTTTAAGATATCAGTATTTTATTAATAATGAATAAAAAGATATTTAATAATGTTTTTAATAATTCAGTATTGAGAGTTTATATATTTCAACAGGTCAGATCAATACATGTCGATTATTTAAGAGAAAAGAGTTTGAAATGGAATGAAGTAGAATGTAAACCATATCTATTGGCTGGTTACAACTATTTTCAATTGTTAAAAGAATATTATAAACAAATAGAAGAGAATAATAAAAAATGGTATCACAAGTTTATAGCTTACTCTTTGAAATCAGACAGAACAATCTATCATGCTTTGAGAGTAGCAGTGCAACATGATAGATTAGAGATAATAAAGTATTTTATGGATCAATTTAGATTGTATGATTGCATAGAAGGATTGATGGATGTATCTGTTATCAATGGAAAGTCAGAGATATTTCATTATTTAGATCAACTTGTAACTTCCATTGGCAAGATTCACTTGTACGAGTCGTACATGACCCGTTCACCTCGAGGTGAAAACATGGAGTTGTTACAATGGTTAACTGAAAAGATATCGAAACACAATATTGAAGATAATACAACGATATATCCTAAAAATATGATATCCAATGCAATAGAAAATGCAGCTATCGTTGGTCGTATCGACATGATCGAGTATCTCATGTCAAAATGTGATTTCACCACCATTCCAGAAAATATTCGACATTATATTCTAGAGAATGGTGTAGCGAGTGGTAGCATTGAAATGATTGAATGGATTTTAGCACATGGTGTCAATTATAAATCAAATATAAACTATATAGAGTTGTCAGCCAAATATGGACATCTTAATTTGGTTCAGTATTTCGAGATGAATAATATCGGTCACTTTACAAGCGAAACGGTTGTCAATGCAGTGGTATCAAATAATTTACAACTGGTTGAGTGGTTACATTACAATTATAGTCAATGTTTCACATCTTTGGCAATGGATCAATCGGCATGGATGGGTATATCATTTGTTAAATGGTTCCACTCGAATCGAACTGAAGGATGTACCATTGGATCGATGATAAACGCTTCATTCAGCCATGATTTAGAAACAGTTAAATGGTTACGAGAGAACAGGTCAGATTCATACAACAACACAATACTTAATGAAATTATCATCCGTTCATACCCATCGTCCTATGAGATCTTACAATATCTTTACGATCAAAATCTATATGAAAAGTTTAATATTAATCAACAAAAGTTAGAAGACATCTTTTTTAGTACTGTGGGTGCTGTTGGTTGCGAAGATATTCCTAATTTTATGATCGATTATCAAAATCAATTATTCTCTGCATTCGATTTGAAAAAAGAATTAAGAAAAGTAATCAAAAGATTTGGAATCCCTGATCATGTCTATAAAAATATAAATTTATAAAGATAACACATGAAATTGTTTAATATTTTAACAAATTGTTTAATTCTTTTTTTTTTTTATCATGATCATTATATTTTTACACTTTTGATTTTGATAAAAATTTTATTTTAAGATATCATTTATTTAAAAATGAATAAAAAGATATTTAATAATGTTTTTAATAATTCAGTATTGAGAGTTTATATATTTCAACAGGTCAGATCAATACATGTCGATTATTTAAGAGAAAAGAGTTTAAAATGGAAAGTAGTTGAATGTAAACCATATCTATTGACTGGTTACAACTATTTTCAATTGTTAAAAGAATATTATAAACAAATAGAAGAGAAGAATAAAAAATGGTATCACAAATTTAAATCTTACTCTTTGAAATCAGATAGAACAATCTATCATACATTAAGGATAGCAGTTCAACATGATAGATTAGAGATAATAAAGTATTTCATGAATAAATACAAATTATATGATTTCATAGAAAGATTGATAGTTCAATCTGTTATCAATGGAAAGTCAGAGATATTTCATTATTTAGATCAACTATTAAGATCTATTGGCAAGATTCATTCGTACTGTTATAGCATGATTCAATCGCCTCGAGGAAGAAACATGCAATTGTTACAATGGTTGACTGAAAAGATATCGAATCACAATATTGAAGAATACGGACTTATATATTGTGTATCGGAAGCATTAGTCAATGCAGCTATCGTTGGTCGTATCGATATGATCGAGTATCTCATGTCACAATGTGATTTCACCACCATTCCAGAAACGATTCAACCCTATATTCTAGAGAATGGCGTAATGAGCGGTAGCATTGAAATGATTGAATGGATTTTAGGTCATGGTGTCAAATATAAACCAATGATAAACTACATAGAGTTGTCAGCTAAATATGGACATCTTAACTTGGTTCAGTATTTCGAGATGAATAATATCGGTCACTTTACAAGTCGGACAATCGACAATGCAGTAAGATCAAATAATTTCCAATTAGTTGAATGGTTACATTACAATCAAAGTGAATCATTTCAATCGTCGGCAATGGATCTATCAGCAAGGATGGGTCTGACACTTTTGAAATGGTTTCACTCGAATCGAACTGAAGGATGTACTATTCGTTCGATGATAAACGCTTCATTCAGCCATGATTTAGAAACAGTTAAATGGTTACGAGAGAACAGGTCAGATTCATACAACAACAGAATACTCAATGAAATTATCCTCAATTCACATCCATCGTCCTATGAGATCTTACAATATCTTTACGATCAAAATCTATACGAAAAGTTTAATATTAATCTACTAAAGTTAGATGATATCTTTTCTAGGAGTGCGCATAATGATCGTCGCGAAGATATTCTTAATTTTATGATCGATTATCAAAATCAATTATTCCCTGCATTCGATTTGAAAAAAGAATTAAGAATTCTAATCAAACGACATGGATACTTTAGTTATGGTATAAAAATATAGATTTAATAAAGATAACACATTAAATTATTTCTAAATTTTTTAAAAAAGTGTTTAATTCTTTTTTTTATTACTTGATTAAAATTTTTATAAAGATTTTCATTGAGGCTTTTTCACTTTTTTTATTTTAACATTTTTACATATTAATTTTTGTCATTTTCACTTTTTTTGCAAAAAACTACATACTAATTTTTAAAAATAAAAAAAGTGAAATAACCTCATTGAAAATTGGCACAGAAAGTTGAGAAATTTGTGTGATCATTTTTCACATTTAAAAAATGAATTTTTTTAAGATACAAAATTCAAATTAATCATAATTAATAATGGATAATAAGATATTTAATAATGTTTTTAATAATATGTTATTGAGAAATTATATATTTCAACAAGTTAGATCAATACATGTAGATTATTTGAAAGAAAAGAGTTTTAAATGGAAAGAGGTGGCGTGTAAACCATATCTATTGGCTGGTTACAACTATTTTCAATTGTTAAAAGAATATTACAACGTTGTAGCAAATAGAAATATATCGTTAAATATTTCTTTTGTTTACTCACCTTTAGAGAAGGATAACTCACTTGGTTATGCTTTGAGAATAGCAGTACGAAAAAACAGATCGGAGATATTAAAGTACTTTATGGCTGAACACAAGTTGTACCTCTACTTGGACGAACTTATGATAAGTGCCGCGACCTCTGGAAATTTTGAAGCTCTTCAATACCTTGACTCAATTGCACCTCAACTGAAAAGTGATAATTTATATCGGTCTAGAATCATTGAATCGCCATTCGGAAAAAACATCGAAATGATGCATTGGTTGATCGAGAATAAGATGAATTTCGATCCAATTGTTAAACGAATGGTCTTTCAACTGACAATAAGAAATGCACTTGAAGCAGGTTTTGTTGGCATTTTAGATTATCTAATCGATAAATCAGAGTTGACAGAAATGCAGGGCGTAAGCGATGATATCATGATGAATGCAGTCAAGAGTGGTAGTATTGCAACTGTTGAATGGTTAATATCAAAAGGTTACCAGTGTAAGAATTCCAGTTATATTACATGTGCTGCAAAACACTGTCATTTGGAATTGGTTCAGTATCTCCACGGCAAAGGAGTCGTAGGTTCATGTACGAAAGAGGTAATGGAGTCTGCAATTGGTTCTGGTCAAGTAGAACTCATTCAATGGGTACATGAAAATAAAACGGAAGAGTGGAACAGAAACGCAATAAAGATTGCAATAGAAAAGAATCAACTGGATTCAGTACGGTGGCTTCACAAGAATAAACCGGATCTCATTGACAAGAACATTCTAAATCAACTTTTGGATGATGGTAAAAAAAAGGTTTCTGTCAACATATTACAGTATCTATTGGACAACAGATTGTATCTAGTGATTAACAACGATCGTGATACAGAGATGATCATGCTCAGTGCATTGTGTGAAGGTAACTATGATCTACGAGCAGATACATTGAAATTCCTATTGGGTAATCAACAGTTATTGTTTAACAAATCAATTGACGTCTTTACATTACTACCAATTGCTAAAAACCTTTCAACAAACTTGGGTTCAATCATTGAGAGTTATATTTAAAAATAAATTAAATAAAATAAATTGCAAAAAAATAAGTTAAAAGATAGTTATTGGGATTTTTTTTGTTTTTTATTATTTACGAAAAAAAAAGGTAAATTTCTTTGAACAATAATCGATTGATTGAATTAACAACTTGGATAATAAAATAGAAATAATCAAGAGTTTTTTTAATTTTTTTTTCATCACCAAAAGTTTTTTGTTGATTCTTTTTCAAATCATCATCAACACAAAACGATTCCAAAAATAGTTGTAAATTTATTTGAAAAAGTAAAAAAAAAAATACTAAATTCAGATATTTTTAAGTAAAAAAAATTTTTGTTTTGTGACAAAAAAGTATGTCTGATGGTTTTTTTTTTTTAATTTTTTTAACAATCAAACAATCAAAATGATGAAATATTTATCTATATATATTATTACATTTTTATTTGTTTTTAAATTAAGTTTTGCTGCTATTTTAATTTCAGATATTCAATTTACTCCAAATATTGTCTATGGAATCTCACCAACTCTACCACGGCTGAATATTGCTATTACGTCGACTGTTGGAGTTTCCAAGGGTTACATCCAAATGTGCGGAACGGAATTTGATTTTGGTCCAGATGCTGTTACCTCGGACTCGCTCAATTCCTATGTTAATCTTTGCATCTCCATTCCAACCACTGTAATGAAAGCTTGTAAAGACACTGGTCAAACTGCTGCCTCTAGTTTGGTCACAATGATCCGGCTTCAAAATGATTTGTTTGTATCGAGTACAATCGTTCCAAAGACATCGTTGGGATCCACTTTTGTTTATGATACAACAGCCCCTGTAATTTCCAATGTAACCGTTTCATCATCGACCGACACTATCTATGTAAAATTCAAAGCCAAAGATGCATCCAGTGATGTTGACTATTGTTATGTCAACTTAATGAATGGAAATGGTGCTTTCATATTTTATGCCGAATCGATGCCATCATCTGATCAATTTTATTCAGCCTCCAACAGTCCAAGTTACCCATCTACCACCTTTTATGTGACTTCAGTGACTTGTGCCGATATCTATTCTAACTTGGCAACCTATTCTTTAAGTCAAAAAGTTGTAATCAATTTACCTGGACCTACGGTTGGAACATTCAATGAATCATCGATTAGTTATAGTTTTTCACCAAATACTATCACTGGATCCAATGTCACCAAACAAAACACCATTAAATACACAGTCACCTATCAACAACCAACCAAACCATTCCTAACATTCACTGCTTTAATGGCAGGAAATCCATGTAATATCATATACACTTCTAAAACCACGTTCAATATTTATTGTATCATCGATCCATACACAATATCCGGTAGTTATTTCCCATCGATTAGTTATTCATTTGTTGGATTGAATGGTCAAATCGGTCTTTCTACCAATGGTACAGTTCAAATTACCAATGATTATGTTGCCAACTACCAAATCAACCAGTTGTCATTCAACGTCGCCAATTGGTTGGGTAAACCACCCGTTACCATTCAAATGAATATGACATTCATAGGTGGTGGTGTACCAATTTCAGAAGTTAAACTAAGTACTCTATTGACAATGAATCAAGAGAATTTAGTTGAAGGTACACTCTCTGCTGGTACGCTTAGTACATTGTTTGTTTTCGATCCGAGTCTTGGATATTCATTGAATACGACCAACTTTAATTTCAAATCACCATCAAACACTCAGGTTGTTTCAAAAAATGGAATCTTGACTGCTTCATCTGGAGTCTACCCAGTACCCATCTTTAAAAATGTCTATCCATTCACCAATGGTTTGGATTTAACAGATCCATTCCCACAACCATACTATGGTATCTATTCTACCTACCAAACCGATAGTACCTATATAACCACTCCAAGTATTGCAGATTTCATTGATTTTACACCATTCTCTATGAATTCAAAATCATTGGTTTCCGGTTTCATCAACAATGGACAATATCAAACAACTATTGATCCAAAAACAATTAATTCAATTTCATCATTATGGGGTGTAAATTATTTATCTGGAAGTTATAATCTTAATTTTAGAACAAGTAATGGTTGGACCAGTATATCAAATACAATGTATTCTTCATGTATTCAAATTCAAATTCCAAGTATGTAGAAAATAATTTATTTATTATATTTTTTTTTTTTATTAATTTTTAATTTATTTTTAGAAAGATATATACCAACAGTTTCATTATTTGATTATAATCCAAAGATTTTGGAATCATCAACTGCAATGCAAATTGTTATTTTCAGTTTTATTTTGGAAAAGAATTTGGATGTTGGTATTTTCGATCAAGTTTTTATTAAATTCTCAAAGGATAGCTATCAAAATCAAATCGCTACACCATGTGTTGTTTATACTGATGTTGGTAATTCTGCTTCCTATAGATGTAATAAATTGGTTCCTCCAGGTACAAATACCAATGACTATACTATATCGATTATAGTATCTTATATTAATGGATTCAGTCATACCATTCCAACATCCTATTTAATTGTCAATTCTTTCCCAGCTACCATTAGATTTATTGGTCAGAATCCAATGGATAACTTTATACAACCAACTATTAGTAAACTATCGATCGATTCACAAAAGAAAATATTATCATTCAAAATTGAAGCACAATCTTCATATTTAACTTTTGTTGGTATTACAATTCAAAATGGTTACATGTCAACAGCAAAACCATTTTCCTTGTATTCCTATAGTTCTTGGGAGAATCCATCACAAATAGTTCAATCAAATGTTAGTTTGGATATGGTCTGCAATCAACAATCTCTTAAATCACTGCAATCACCAGTTGTAACTTTGACTATCAAAGATTTCAATGGTCAAATCTATTCCTATTCCAATACACAAATTAAAGAACTATTCCCAACTTTCAATATCGATCCAATCGTTTGTACAGATGCATTCCCACCAAGAGTTGATACATTTACAATCATTAATAATAGTAATGAGAATGTAACTGCTTTTACATTTGAAATTAGAATAACAGATAATTTGGTTGGATTTAAAAATATGACTATTCAATTGTCATCAAATAGTGTACTGGTTGAAAAATATTTAGTAAATTCAACTCATAGGATATCTGGAGATGAAAATAATGGATTATATAGATTGTCGCTACAATTCCCATTACAATCACAAACAGTATTACAAATAACTATACCACATCTCTATGATAATCATGAAAATGATAGACCATACTTGGAACAAGATATGATATTATTGCAAGCATCGGAATTGTCACTACTCTCAGTTTCATTGATTACTCCACCGGAATTGGTTAGTTCATCATCACCCAATGTTATACTTGGTGGTGCATGGATTTTAATTGCCAATATCACTGGTGATGTTTATCGAGTTGTGGTTGATGTAACAGATTATAATGGTGTCATTCGAAAGGAAATGGTGTATAGCCAATCAAGTGGAATATTTTCATTATCATACTATCCAATTTATGTTGGAAAACATTATTATTCAATTATGGCAATTGGAAAAGATTTGATTACCTATACATTGACTGGTACCAATTCGAATCTACCATCGTTTACTGTAACTTCCAATGGATTTACCAATTCTCTACCAATATTTGCTCAGCTAAAGAGTGATATTTCCAATACCTATCTACCCAAGGCAACGATTACTATGTTTTATTTCTTCCCAACGGTTGGTCACAAGTTGAGATGTGCGTTAATTGATTCAAATAATCAGATTATCAATGGAAGTTATGTTGTTCCGACCACTACGATAAATAGCTATACTTGTACGGTTCCACTGGCTCATGTGTATGGTGGACTTCAAGCTTTCTATTGGTCTCTCTATTTCGAACACAGTGGTACTGGAAGATCGGTATTTTTGAACAAATTAGATTTACCAGTTTTGGGAATGATTTCAGTTCAAAGTTTTGATTTTAATAATCCAACAACTACAACTACAACAACCGGTTCATCTATAACAACACAATCATCTACAACATCAACAGCAACAGCAACAACTACACAATCATCTACAACGGGTGTACCAATTAATGATTCAAATTTATTGGTTTCGAGAGGATTTTCAAATTGTTTTTGTTGTTGTAATTTGTATTGTTTTATTAAATTAATTTAAGGTATTATTAAAAATTATTTTTTATTTTTAAATAAATTAATTTATTTGATATCAGATGTTATATTTTTATAGGTTAAAAAAATTACATTGATGATGTTTATATCCATTTCAGTCAGCAAAATTTTCAATTAGGTTAAAAAAAAATTCTATGATTTAATTAAATTAAAATAAATAAATATTTAGTACTTTAAGAATTTAATTTATCATTAAAATGAGTACAACCAATAATTTGATAATTGTGGTGTTGTCAATATATATAACAATATTGTGCCATCTCAAGAAACTAAATCAAACTCTGCAGTCGTTCTTTATCAACATTTGATGAAACAACTATCTTTAACCGAATATTTACGCCACAGTTTAAAGCAAGAATATAAACATAGTTCTTGGGATCAACTATCTCCTCAATTAATCACTTTTATCAACAAAACTCTATGCTTTATAGAAACTTGAGTTCACATAAGTATTGATGACACTATGATAGCATTTAAAGGAAGATATAATCATAGTACATTGTGCAATGTATCGAACTTATATATAATTTAGGAATATTAACATACTAAATATAAAGGACAATTCATTAGAGGTAAACCAAATTCAACTGGTTTAAAATGCTACATATTCTTCATTTCAATATGTTCAGAGGACCACATGGAGACTTATAGCAAAAATCTGAGAAGCAGGACAGATGTATCAAATCATCAGACATATATATTAATTTACTTGTTTTAGAAAGTAACAAATATATTGGAGAATAGATCCCTGAAAATGATAAGTATTTATAAAAAAATAGAGACATTTAACTTTTTAAAAAAAAATAAAAAAAAATAACAAAAATTTTGTGTAAAATTTCTGAAGGAATAAAACACTTTTTGCTTTTATAGATTAAAATTTATTTTCTTAAAAATCAATAAATAGGATTAATATATACCTAGTGGATGATTATTTGATTCAAATTGTTTCATAAAGATTCATAGGGTTTTTGGCATTAACCAGGTGTCATTTCATATCACCACTAATAACATTATTTAAGAGTTCTATTGAGTTTAGAATGAATGGCATCTAGTATATATATTTATCTCATGAATCCCCAAGATTTTTAAAAAACATTCAGGTCCTGACTGGTTTATTTGTATATCAAATCTAGTTTAGAATGCATTTTAAGTAAAAAATATTATGAGTTTTAGTATATTGATGACAAGTGAGATGTCTAGTACAGTTTTGGTATATACTATAAAATAAGTTAAACAAAATTATTTATTAGTCGATCTATATCATACTCTAAAATTTCTAAAAAATCTGGGAATCTAGAGCTTAAGATAGTTTGTCAAAGTATCCAGTTCCATATTATATTAAATCAAGTAAAGATTGAATTTGAATCTACCACTTTCAACTTAATGATAGAATATTAGTTGTTCTATATTCGGGAACTCCTTTAAAGAATAACCTTTATTTATACTATACTCTCCTTTTTTTATTTTCGTTTCATCTTAAAAATCAATATCTTTGCTTTTGTAAAATCAGTTAAAAACCTTTTTAGTTTTGAATATGAAGAAGAGTCTAAAAATTTTTGTATTATTTCTAAAAGTAATTCCTTTATTATTCTTCTAATAATGTTATTGATTTATGATTTAAAAAATGTATTGATATCTTTTTTTTTCAATGATTTAATTGTTTTTTAAAAAAAATTTAAATAAATAAATAATTATAATCTTTTAAATATACTCTTTTTATACAAATAGTATTTGTGTTCTGTGCTGAGTTTGTTTTTGTTTAGTTTTTCTTTAGTCTTGAAACTGTTAAAAATTAGAATTGTATTTAAACCAATAACTTCTGATGCCATTCAATAATCCAAATCAAGTATTCCAAAAATCTTTTATCTTTTTGTTAACATTTTACTTGGTATCATTCTTATATATGATATAATTAAATATTTCAAAATAAATTTAAAAGTACTATATTTTATTACTTCAGAAATATTCCACAAATTAATTTTATAATTTTTTTTATTTTTTTTAAATGATAAATGATTCAATTTTTTTAATTATTAATCATTTACAAAGATCTATCTTTGAATATATTTCTTACTTTCTATAACAATGTATATCTGTCTGATACTATTGATACCTCTGTCCTGTTTCTCAGATTTTTGCTGTACCTCAGAAATTGTCACATACCTTGCAAATAAATGTACTTGAAAGGATAATATTGTGTTCTATTGTATGGCTCTATGGGATTGTAAACTACAATCGATCAAAAGAATATTAAATATGTTATTTCATGCCCAATACTCCTAAAGTTCTAAAATATTTATGTGCATTTAAAAATATATATATATATATTAAAAATTGAAAAAAATCATATCTCTTTGCTCTGCTGCTTATAAGATATGGGTCTTTAATAGATTCCTGTTGTTAAGTAGAAGCAACTGATTTGGTTACTTCAAAACTTGGTCATCCATGCTTGATTGTGCCAAAAAATTTACTAATCCAACTTCTTCACCATCCTTCAAACTGTTCCATTCGTCTTGGATGGATTTTAGAAACAATCACTTCTCCAGAGTCACACCGGGCAATCCCATCCTTGCTGATGATGGTAGTCTCCTTACTCTGAAGGAAATCTATTCTGTCCTATAGGCCCTTAACCACAAGTACCCCCGAGTCCGCCATACTGAAGGTCAACTAACCATCCAGATTGGTCACTCTTTGGTTCTCCAATCTCAGTTCCTGTATATATCCAAGGTCAAAGCGCCTATGCTACGTAACAGCATATTCCGGCTGTACTCTCACACCTTCCCCATCAACCACAAGCGCACTGGTCATGTCTGTGAGTTCTGTGGTGACATCTTCACTGATCTCTGCAACCCACATGAGCATTTCTTCTGCAAATGCAGGAATGTAGTTTCACAGCAGTTCCTTTCCTTTACCAAACATTTATACCACAAGTACTGTAAGTATAGACTTTGCAATTGGAAGCACTCGTGCATCAAGTTCGACGGTCCTATTCGAACTACTGTCCACTTCACCCACCTTACTTCTGCTATCGTACATTCGTTATGGCAGGCGCTGTCCTTTGAAATGTTTGGTGATGGTACCCATTACAAGCTGGAAAATACCGTCAAAAGAGCAGTCACCGATTACACCAAATTAATCGATGCCAATTACCACAAGCTTAACTTCACAATCGCTAATTCTATCTCCCAAGGAATCACTGTCGATTGCTCTGCAATAACACGTAAATTTAAATCTGATTGGAATTTAAATCCTTCCAACTACGTGCCACCACTTTATACTGTTGTTCATCAACACGCAACTACTGTTAGATCTATTCTATCCTAATACTATTAATTAATAATAACTATAAACAAAAATTATAATTATAATAATAATAATAATATTTTATTGGCTATTTCTCACGGCCGTGTGTGAGAATGTATATATAATATAAAACACGAACTAGCAGGTTAATATCAACACCTGGAATTTGTTGACTGATCATGAGTCTTCAAAACTTTTTTTGAAAAAAAAAAAAACCTGTACACCTCTTCATTACTATAAACAATAATAATAATAATATTTTATTGGCTATTTCTAAGGGCCTGTGTGAGAATGTATATAGCGTATAGGATACTCAAACGAATCAAAGTCATTAGTATGTGGGTCAAAGTCATTTCTACCTATTTATAAATAAAAAAAAAAAAAAAAATTATTACCGCATACGGGGAAGAAGAAATTAAAGTTTCGAGACAACTGAGAATTGAACTCAGGACAGACGGATCCGAACCGTCTATGTTACCTCTACACTATTGTCTCGTTCGATGAAAAAATGAATCCTATATTAATACTTAATTTTTTTTAAAAATAATCCTAAATTTTTTCATCGAACGAGACAATAGTGTAGAGGGAATTTTTTCATTTTCAAATCTTTGTTCATTACCAACTATTATACCTTTCTATTTGTTATTCAGTTTTCACCTTTTTAAAAAAATGTGTTTTTTCTCTTAATTATTCAGCATTCAAAAAATCTGGAATTAACTTTACACTATTGTTAGTGAATGTTGCTCTTAAACTTAAAATGGAATAACAAATATTCTCTTTTTCAAATGCTCGATTTACAGTAAAAAGAACCATCTATATATATATTTTTTTCACATAACGAGGTAATATAGAATAAAAGTATTTTTTTTTATACCGATATTATTGATCCAGATAGATGGTGGTGTGCATCTACATCAATTACTCTTTAGGTTTGAAAAATATAACATTTAAATGACATTTATAAATTAAACTTATAAAAAATAAAAATTAGTCCTTATAAATTGTTGTCCGTCTAAGGACAAATAAGGTAGCCACCGAGGCAATATCAATACCTATCAATCAACATCAAATATAATCACCAGCCAACATATAAGAAATAGTCAATTGTAATTAATTAAATCTTAAATATTATTATTAATTGACTATCTCAAATTAAATAACTATTGTGTGAAAATGACCATTTTTTTTTTTTTTTGGTAATTTTTGAAATTAATGCGGTAAAAATCTCTACAAGTAGCACACATTGAAAATGCACGTTTCAAAGTGAAAACTTTTTTCACACACTGATTTGTGTGGTGCCCATGACAACTACGAAACAATCCTAGTGTATTTAATCTACATTGTTATTTGTAAATAAACGAGTTTTAATATTAAAAATAAGATTAACTCTTATTATATTATTGATATTTACCCTTGATATGTATTAAAGAAAGTATAACAACAAATTAAAGGTAATGAGGATGATGATAAATGTTACACATCTTGATATCATTTATAGATTTTAAAAATAATACTGTTTTATCTCTATTAATAGTATTAGTTTCTAGTTATTAAAAAATTTCAAGTCTTTTATTTATGAAAGTTCAAACAATTTTGTTTTTTTATATTGTTAAAAATCAAATAAAGCTTGTGAGAAAAAAGAAAAAAAATTGACATAGTGAACCACTACGGAAAACATCTTTTATATAAATGATAATCCACACCATGACTGCTGTATCTCAACCCTGGTTTATTCTTCTTTGGCACATACTCCAATTCACCATCAACTAACAACTCTGCTGGAAAGTAATCCGGATTGAAATCAATATTATCCATTACAGGATAAGGTTTCTTGTACCACACAATAGGAGGTTGTGGAGGTGGTTCAACAACTACCGGTTCCTTTGGTTTGTTTCTTTCTTCTCTCTCTGCCAAGATCTTTGAATTATCTCTTGGTTTACTATGATGTTGAACTGCAACTAGCCAAGGTAATCTAATAGCATCCAATGATTGTCTTTCCTGGTCAATTTGACCTCTATGAGCTTGCAAGTATTCATTAAAACCTATTGGCACAGTATTGGTGTTTCGAAGACCATTGGTGTAAAGAATGTACTGAAACTTTGTTTTACTCCAATTGGCATTTCCATTGACTGATTCATCATAGTAAACTGATCTACGCTGAGTATTGGCAGACTGAAAACAGAAGCAAATGAGAACAGTATTACTCATAGTATATCCAATGGTAACATCCAGCCTTTCAATAGACATTTGGTATTGGTTTCTATCATCTGGTGTGGTCAGAGGGTTACTCATCAGGTTATTGGAGTAGAAACAGCGACCCTTTTGGAAAAACCAGAGTTCTTTAAGAAATTCAATTGAAATGTTAAAAGTCAATTAAAGCTAGGTGAGAAAAACAAAAAAAACCAACATAGCGAACCACTTGCTGTTCACCCATTTTTTTTTTTTTATCACGAAAAACAGTTTGTGGCGACTGCAGAATACTATTTTTGCTATGTCTGGTCAGGTGTGGGGTTTTATTTGATTTTTAACAAATATCCATTTCCAATAGACCTTTGTTGCTTGTACGATTTCTACTATCATTGTGACCTTTAGCAGTTGAGAGCAGGATTTTCAAACCAGCCTAAATATCATTGGTCTCAAAATAATTACGCAACTGCTGGTTACTCAAATCCTCTTGCACCGAACCATGAGCCAATTCATCTACCAATCCAAAATACCATTTGCTTCTGGTGTTACATTCGTATGGAATCAGTCTTGAGTTTTCTAGAGTGTAATTGATGCCATCATTGATTCTGTCGACACTCGCCTGCCAATGTGACATGGCTACCAAACTTAATGGAACGTTTGTGATGGGGCAGCGTCTATGTTGCTTGTCTAAGAGAGTAAAATAGATATAGTCAAAATCTATCTCGCAATCACCTTCTTTTTCTTTGAATCTTTCCAATATGGCTCTGGATTCAGCAAGCTCGGTAATATGTTTAAAGTGGTAGGAAGGTTCAGTAGATCTTAATTTGCTAACTACTTTATTTCTATAATCAAAATATTAATAAAACAAACATTTTTTAAATTATAATTATTTATACATACGAACAAAATTTACATCTTGATTTATAATTATTATAAAAATTAGTGTAATGATATTCTTTATTACAAACTACACAAGTAACAATTTCATTCATTTTATTTTATTCTTCTATCAATAGATTCAATAATGAATATTTTATTCGATTCCATCTTTAAATATTTTTAATTGTAAACAAAAAAAACAAATGTCAATCATTTCAACCATCAAATATTTCCATTTGAAAAAAATATTTTTGCCATATCCAAATCTTTTTTTTTAAAGAATCATTATTTCAAAGTAAAAAAGGAAATAACAATCATATTTGTTTAAAAAAAACACTATTTTTATCCAAACTATTGAACAAATTCAAAAGTATTTTCAACCACAAAAAATAATAAAATAATAGATAAAGTTTGACAACCATCAAAAGGAAATTAAATAGTTTTTTAATTTATTTAAATATCAATATAGTTCTATTGAAATATTTAAACAATAATATTAAAGAATATTTGATATTTTGAGTTGAGTTGATTTTAAATTGATTTGAAAGAATTACATTCTATTACTTTTTAAATGAATATATTTGGTATGAAAAAAATTAGTATACTCCCAATACGTGATATACGTATATTTAAACTATATGTTGCTGCAAGTCGGTTCCTTATTTCGGACAATGATACGCATTCTCTTTGACACCCATTTTTTCATTACTCTTCTTGTTCTATCATGGTCGACCTATTTCGCTTATATCATGACCCAACTCATTAAATATATCGAGATATACTGAACAACGATGCTAGCGCTTACTAAACCGCTTTATTTAGTAATTTTTTTTTATTTAAATAAATCTTTAAAATCAACTATATAATATATATATATAAGGAATGTAAATAATTTGATAAAGATAAGAGTTTTATTTCAAAATATATTTTTATATTTATTATTGAATTATATTTGATATCTGATAATCAAACTCTACCTGTATCGTACCCTCCTGGCCACATTATACTTTGGACACTGTAGAATTCTAAGAGGCTGAATTACTCCGTCTGCCAAACCAAATCAATGGGAACATCATCCCTTACTCAAAAATGATGGCCATCTCCGCCGGCTTGAGGCTGAACTGCTCCAACAATAAATAAACACGAACTGTAGGGTAATATCAAGCTCTACACCTTGACTATCAGTTATGGTAGTACAAGGATAAATTTAGAAAAAAAAAAACAAATTTTACTTTCCATTATAATGTTTGTTTATGTTTTAAATTCCACAACGAAAAATCCACAAACTATATATACTTATTATTTTACAAAAATACAATTTTAAACTATAAAATAAAAAATACATATATATAATATAAGTAATTATTTTATACAACTATCTTTCTATATTACTTTAATTAAATAAATTTTAAAACTGGGATTTCTGTTTTCTTTTGACAAAACAAAATTTTTTTTTTTTTTAATCACTTTTTACCAAAAAAAACTTATTTGTCAATCATTTTTTAAAACTTCAACCAAAATCATTGTCAATCATGTTTGGACTTGTTTTTTCTGTGTATTTGGACACTATTTAAAGGTGAATCAAAATGAATTGATATATTAATTAACTCCAAAATGAATGATACAGTTACTTGTGTTGTTTGCAAAAAAGATTATCCTTACACTTATTTTTATAGCAATTATAAATCAAGTTGTAAATTTTGTTCGTATGTATAATAAATAATTAAATTAAAAAATATTATTTTTAGTTTTATTAATATTAAATATTATTGATTTAGAAATGCAGTGATTAGTAAACTTAGATCGACAGAACCCACTTATCATTTCAAACACATCACCCAACTTGCCCAATTAAGATCACAGGAAGAGAGGTTTGAAAAGAAAAGAGGTATCTTTGAGATTGACTATGATTACGTTTATTTTACTCTTCTGGATGCTCAAAAAAGACGATGTCCGATTACCAATGTACCACTAAGTCTTGTTTCCATGTCTCACTGGCAAGCCAGTGTCGATAGAGCTGATGATAAAATTTCTATCAAAGACCAAATTATGAATAAATTCAATACCTAGAATTATTAAATAACTTTGAAGAGAATTCATTCTGTGCACAATAATAAAATAAACCAACATATTGCCTATTGATAGCAACTAACTTTTTTTTTATTTATTTAATTCTATCAATAGAGTTGATAATGAATGCTTGTTCGAATGACAGATCATCCATATAATCACTTCTTATTTTCGAACCGAAATGACCATGATCCTCAACCTTTAAAAGTAATACATTCTCTTGTTGTTTTTGATTATTATTATTATTATTATTATTACTATTGTTGTTGCTGCCGTTACTTATTGATTCTCTTAATTTAGCAACCCACTTTAATGGTTGCCAATAAGGTACTCTTATATCTTGAAGTGAACAAGTAACCAACATCGACGGTAACGTCTTTAGCTTATCATCCCTATCACTATCACTCATCTTTGCTGCAGTTTGAATAGCCAATTCACTAGGAACTATTCTATAAGGATCATAAGATGATATATAATTGAAAACATCTGGGTCACTTGGATTTCCCCACTCACCAAACTCATGAGTAGTCAATGGCAACGATTCATCCAACATTGCCGATATCATATCGACAAACGGTACCTTTGCAACGATCGCACCGAAATACTGCGGATATGCCAACGCCATATTACCCATCAACACTCCACCAGCACTTGAACCGTGAGCCACCAGATATCGTGCACTTGTGAATCCGCTGGCAATCAAATACTCTAGGCAATCAACGAAATCATAGATGGAATTCTTCTTGTTCATCTTTTTGCCACTCTCATACCAATTGCGACCGAGTTCACCTCCACCTCTTACATGTGCAGTAGCAACGACCCAACCACGTTTCAACAATGCCAGATCCTCTTGATCATAACCAGTATCCATAACAGTACCATACGCACCATATCCTTTAATTAGAATTGGATTCCTAAAGCAATATTGCTGATTAATTATTGATCGTTTGTTGTAATCTTTATCTAATTAATACATTACATTCCATTTAATAATAAATCTTTACTATATACAAGTGACATTGGTATCTTTACTCCATTGGTTTTAGTAGATTCTACAAATACTTTTTCACAAATAAAATCATCCTTATTCAATGATAAAGGACCGGTAATCGTTGGTGAAGGATACTTTGTCATTGTATCATCATATAGATCGATATCAAATGATGTATTTGGTACCAATGGTGAGGATGCCAATACTCTTATATGTTTTTTATTTTTACCCTAGGATTATAAAGAAGTGTTAAGTAAAGTTTTGTTTTGTTATTATAACTATAATTTCCTTTTTACATACTTGATTAATACCTAATTGAATTGAAGATACCTCTGGGAATTGTATTGATTTCGAATGATTTGGATCGAATTGATTGGTAAGAGGATTCTTTGAGATCACTCTTATTCTAGGTGATGAATTATACAGTTCGCATAGTACAAGTTTATCTTGGAATACATCGACATCTCTAATACTTAGATTATCAATAGTCGGTAGTAATTCCTTGATATCATCGATCGATCCATTCTCAATTGTATCTGGTGCAATATAAATTGATAAATCTTTTTTATCGAAATTTGCAAATATTATAAATTGATCCTACAATCAATGAATATATGTTGTTAATAATAGATTATAATATGTTTGTTGATAACGCTGATCTCTATTACATACATTATTATGTTCAACATAATATTCTAAATTATCAGTTCTCTTCAAACAGATCTTTGGTTTACTATTCTTATCATATAAATCGATATAGAATACACATGTAGATGATTTACTATTTGAACAAAAGAATAGATATTTCTAAAAAGTAATTTATAAATTAGTTTGTTAACTATAAACATTAACAGTTAGTTATTCATTCAATAACTTACACCATCTTTTGATTTAACTACATCTAAAAAGTATTGATCATCCAACTCTTCATAGATTAATTCATCTGGTTGATTACTACCTATTTGTCTTTTATATATCTATATATATTTAATATGTGATTAGTAAAAATAAGATGATCATCATCATTATTATTATTATTATTATACTTACTCTATATGGTCTATTTAATTCATTTGGTATTGTATAATAGATATCATTGTTCAATGCCCATTCCGCACTGATTATATTCTCAATGTGATCGAGTGACTTTGAATTGAATTGTAAAGTAGAGGACGATTGTTCAACACGTCTAACGAAACAATGGTATTTCTCTTGTCCAACGTCAGCGACATACAAATAGGTAGAGTTATCCTCTGCAAACTTAAATGATACAATATCGTTGGTTGTCAATTTATAACCATTGTCCATACCATTTTTAAATAGAATTTGTTTAACTTGTCTATCATTACTACTACTACTACTATTGCTACTACACTGTCTACGATAATAAACACCTCTTTCATCGGTTAAATATTGAAATCCATCTATTTCCTCTTCGAAATCCTTATAACTCTCCGGTGCCTCTATGGTTGTCGATTCGTTCTCCTCACGAAGAATATCCGCTAGTTCAGAGATACTACGGTAGCGGTCTTGTTTCTGAGTGAGGTTGGGAGTGTCTCGATCAGTCAACTTGTGATTCCTGTATTGCTCTACATAATGATTCTCGCAATCAATAGATTGTTGTACATCTCCACAATCTAAATTACGGAAATACTCGTAGTTATCGATCCATTGATTTCCGTTCGTATCTCGATAGACATATTCTTGTTTTTTGTGTGTTGGTGGTTTATATCTTTCAGAGAATGACGATTGCTTAAACAATTTCGACGAAAAAGAAATAGATCTACTAATGTGATATTGTTGTTGTTGTAAACTATTAAACAATCTACTGCTACTAGTAGTAATCAATTTATAAATTAATGTTGATTGTTGTGGTGATATTAAACGACAATTATTACTACTCCTACTACTACTACTACTATTACTAAATTGGTATTGTTGTTTTTGTTCTTGTCGTTGTAATTGTTGTTTTAAACTATAGTTATTAATATTTGCATAACCACCATTGTTTAATCTAGATAGAGAACATGTTGAAGTTGAATAATTGTTACTGTTGTTGTTATTGTTATTTATATTAGTGTTAGTGTTAGTGTTAGTGCTTGTGTTGTTGTTGTTTGTTGATAGTAGTGTTCTATAATTTGTGGTTACTTTCAATGATAGTAATCTCTTCATTATATATACGTTGTGTGTTGTACTGTATATAATTTAAAAAACAATAAATCACAAATAAAGAAGTGAAAGTTTAGTTTTTGCAATGGTATCAGATAACCCCAAGCATTATAATTAAATCTATTATCAGACACACAGAGTAATCAAAACATACACTCAATGTTCATGCACATTCATTTTTAAAATTTTTATGTTTGATTTAAATGTCACAAATTTATATTTATTCTTTTACTCATTGGTCTTAATCTTTGATTGTATTACATATAAACACGCACACAAAGAACATATAATCAAAAAACACACACATACACACAAACACACAAAATAAAATTACCACCATATTGTAAAAACCATACTCCATTGAGATATTACCCTATTATTTGTGGTTATTTGTTGGTATGTTTTTTTTGTTTGTTAATACAACACCACACAAGAAATGGAATGGAAAAATGGTACCACACAAAGATTGATCAATTAAATATATATATTCTTTATATCACATTAACAATCATACATTCATCTCATCCATGAATCAATCCAAACTCCACTCCAAAATAATATAAATATAACAATATTTATTAATTTTATATATTTATTTATAAATTTTAATCAAATAACAAAGTTTATTCATTTTAATTCAAATATTTGAATATTGTATGTATATGTAAATAACAAGACATTATCATAACAATAATCTATCAAGTAAATAAATATAAATTAAACCATATATAATAATAACAATAGTGATATAAAATCAAATAAAATAAAATTTGTTATAATATTTATATTATTAACAGCTAAAAACAAAAAAATTACAAACATTAAATATTTTATTGGTAAAAAAGAGTGAAACTACAATTCTATTAAAAAATAATATTTTTCAAATATATCAACACCAACACCATTGATCAACAACAGTAATGTAAAAATAAAAACAATATAACATCTAATATTTCTATCTTTCAAATAAGTTGAAAAACAAATCAAGACAAACAGACAGGTATATACTTAATTTATACCAATCAATCAACCATATCCTTATTTATCCATTCTATCAAAAATCAATTTTACTTTGTCCTCTTTATTGTTTTTATTTTATTTATTTTCCATTTTATTTTATTGTTTTTTGATTAAAATAATCCTGGTTTAATTATTAAAAATACATAAATAAAACTATTATAAATTGATTATAACAACAATAATAAATACAAAACAAAAATAAATACAATATCATTAAACAATATAGTATGTAATAGTCGAATTTAAATAAGGAGAAATGTATCAATTTAAATAAAAAATTTTCTTTTCATCACATAATCCTAAATCTGTTGATTTTTATTGCTATCAATTCCATATTTTTCAATGTGACACAAATGATCAATATTCCATCCAAATTAACCCACTCTAATAAAGTGTTTATGATAAATCCAAAGTTACCAAATAAATAATTAGTAGTTAACTTTTCATTTTAATTTTAATTAAAATTAAAAAATATTACTAATCCGTCAACAACAATAACAATATTAATAAATCCCTCTCTTTTATACTAATACTAATTATCCAATCATTATCCTTATTATCATTATCATCATCATCATCATCATCCTTAATTCAATGCAAAACAATTTCAACACAACAATAAACATTATTCCAATATACCAATCAAAAACAAAATCATATTGTTATTAAATTTTACTATTCTCATAATTATCTTTTTTTGTTTAAACAAAAAATTAATTTATTTATTTTTATTATAGAAATAGATTTTTTAGATATCAATAATCAAAAACAAAACAAAAATAATATATAGATAAAAAATGCATCATATAAAAGTTGTGGTTGTAGGAGATGGTGCAATTGGAAAGACTTCCTTGTTGATTTCCTATGCATCAGGAGGATTTCCAAGAGACTATCAACCTACAGTATTCGATAATTTTAGTTCACATCATGTCTACCAAGGTAGAAATTTTAATTTAGGTTTATGGGATACAGGTAATATATATTAAATTTTTTAATAGATAATGTTTCTAATTTAACGCTTTTATTTAATTTAATAGCTGGTCAAGAAGATTTCGATAGATTAAGACCATTAGGATATAATAATACAGATGTTTTCTTGATTTGCTATTCGGTGGTGAATCCACCTTCCTATGCAAACGTATATGATAAATGGCTGGGTGAAATCACTCACTATACATGTCAGAATATCCCGATCGTGTTGGTCGGTACACAGACCGATCTAAGGACTGATCCAGAGGTGCTGGCATCGCTCCAGCTAAAACAACAGACACCAATGACCTACGACGAAGGTCTAATGATGAAAAAGAAAATAGGTGCTCGAGCCTTCACAGAATGTAGTGTCCAATCGAATAAAGGTGTGCGAGCCGTCTTCGAAGAGGCAATACGTGTTTATATAGATTCAGAATTTAAAAGACAAAAAAGAAAAGAAAAAAAAGAAAATTGTACATTGCTCTAACTTTTAAAAATTAAACAAACATTAAATAATAATAATAAGAATTTTAATTGGTACCAAAAAATGTTTAAATTATATATATTTACAAAGAAATGTATTTTACTTTATATATTTATGATTATGATTTTATATCTATAACTATCTATATTGGTTGACTTTCATCTGATAAACGATCGATTTCACTTTGTAAATTATCTACAGCATTTTTGGCATAAAGTCGTTTAAATTCATTGGTTTTATAAAGAGATTCACCCAATTCCTTGAATTTCTCTAATATTAAAGATCTACCAACTCTATATTGTTGCTCTGGAACATGTATATATTCTTTTCTTATATTTTTTGAATATTCCAAATATACTAATATTATTGATTTGGTAATTAATTAATAATAATTATTAACATTATATTATTGTTATTGTTATTTACCATTTGGTTCACGACCTAAAATTGAAATATCCATATCCAAGAAATAATCTTGATCGGTATTGGTTGTTGGTATCTTTGTATGATGTTTGGTTGCATCGATGTACTCGGATACTCTATCTACCGTTACACCGTCGAGATGTGACTCCTCGGCGAACGATTTGAACATTTCGATGCTCTTGTCTTCATTGTCGTGTTTGGTAGGATCGTATACGACGTCGTGGAACCAGATAGCCAACTGACAGATATTCGGTGTTTTCAATACCGGTGCATATCGATCGTGCAGCGTCAAGAGCTCATCGATATGATTGAAGTTATGATAGCATCTTACAGGAGTCGGAGTGTAGTAACTCTCTAGCGTGCTGAACCATCGGTTTGCCACACCATCGTTTATCCTTAAACTTTCAATAGTTAAACTTAACCACTTTGATTTCAAATGATTTAATCTTGACATACTTTTTTTTTTTTTTTTTTATTAATAAACAAACACTGATTCGTGTAATGAAATTTAAAGGATGATGATGTTGTTTCGACTATTTATATTAACTTCTTGCTTGATGATGTAATTTATTATAAATAACACTATACTTAATAATTTCTAAATTTTTTAATCTAAAATTTATAAAAATTAAACAAAAAATTAAAAAATATCCAATAAATTTGTGATGATCAAATTCCTGATTAAGAAATTGAATGTTTTTTTTTATTAATTCAAATTTCATTTCATTTATCAATTCCCAAGACAACATAATTATTCTTAATTAGTAACCATCAAAGAAATCTTCAATCTTTTGGGAAATTGGTTTTAGAGATGTTTGAATTCGTTGTATGATGTCATTGGGATTTTGATTATCATGATCTGTAGTTGTTGTATTATTAGAAGTGGTAGTAGCGGTAGTGGTAGTTGTCGATTCTGTTTCATCTTTAACAATAGTTTCATTATCATTTTCATTTTCATTGTCGGATTTTGGTGATGTTGCAGTGATTGTTGGTGATGGTTGTCTATCTTCTTCTTTTGTTGTTACATTTTCATTGCTGTTGTTATTGTTATTGTCACTACTATTGCTATTATTATTATTATTATTATTATTATTATTATTTAATGTTGGTGTATTACCAATCATTGAACTTGTTAAATAGTTAAAGTTGTTTGATATTTTCTTTTTAAGGTTTATAGTAGTGTCTGGTATTGAATGGAATATTTGACTGGTAGAACCAATGATTGATGTCGATAGTGTATTGAATGATGTTTTTAGTTGTTCTAATGTGTCATGATTGTTGTTGTTGTTGGTTGGTGACTCCAATGGACTTAGAGATGGTGACGATGCAGTGGATGGCGAAGATGAAGATTGTGAGGCTGTGGGCGATGACATCATCATTATGTTGGTCGAATTCTGTGAAGTATAGACCTGTGAAAGTTTCAATTTACATTCATAATCGATCGATAGTTTAAAAGGTAGGTTAACAAGCGGTATAAAACACTGACACAGTTGTTTCCATGCATCCTGTTGATGAATGAATGCCGTCTGCTCATAGTAGTTCGGAACGCTAGGATTCTGTCTTAAGATATGTATCCACTGATCCAACATCTGACAATTCAGACCGAGACAAATAAAAGTTCGGAATTTCTTGTTTGGATCTTTCCACTGTGCTGCGTACTCTACTGCCGACGACGAGGACGACGACTGTACTTCCTCTAACTGGTTAATCGATAACACTGACTGTGCCAATGCCTTGGCGGCAATCGATGAATGACTGGTCAACTTCCTGCTACTTTCGATAAAGTCCCAGATATGATTGGATCGCTTTATAAATGGTAATCTATTGTTGTTCACTATGAAACCGTGTGATAGAATGTTGGCAACTGCATTGGCAAGTCTTCCTCTCACCAAATTAGCAATCTTCTTGTGAACTGTATCGTCACCCATCGATATCTTTTCACTCAAAGTCGTATTATGTCCAAAGTAATCATCAATATCAAATACAGCTTTCTTCACCGCATTCAAATATTGATCTATCAATACTATATCCAATTGTTGTATTTGTTGTTGATGAACTTGTTGCTGCTGATGTTGTTGTACATTTGAAATACCACCAATTACACTTGAGAATAATTGACTTGTATTTACAGAGTTTGAACTATTGTTACTGTTATTCCTTTGATGTTGTTGTTGTTGTTGATGACGTTGTTGTTGTTGTTGTTGCTGTTGTTGCTGTTGCTGTTGCTGTTGCTGTTGTTGTTGTATATTATTGTTGTTATTTCCAATTGATGAAGATGATGATGATCTTGGTGAATTTATTAATGATTGATAATCTTTGTTGAATGGTGAGATGTTTTTGAGTGTCAGTGGAATCGGTGCTTTCAATAATTCCCACTTTTCATTGCGATAGGCAATGGTTATTTCTCCGGCCAAGTCATAGCAGTAGGCCGGTGAATTCTCGATGGCATGCTGACGATCCTTTAGCATTTCGGCATACAGCTGATTACCAACACTCACAGCGTTGTCATAGTCAGCTTTGATCTTCCTGATGATTTCATCGCGTGGCGGTGTAGCAGGTCCAATCACATTACTGCCATCGTCACTCAGTCGCCATTGCATAGATAGCGGTTTCCACTCCAACTTGAACTGGCCTGCCCACACACCTGCAAAAGAATAATCGCCACCCTTTGTCCGATCTACTACCACCTGCAATTGTCTTGGTTCTCTAATTATATAGAATCCATTTCCATCCATTTGTAATCCACCTATTTGATTATTATTATTAATACTGTTATTGCTATTGCTATTGTTATTGTTATGATTATGATTATGGTTAATTGGAATACGACTGAATGATATTCCAAATGTACTACTATTTTGATCATTGTTTGAATGATATTGATTGTTATTGTTATTGCTATTGTTATTGCTATTGTTAATGTTAATATTATCATTACTATTTTGTATGTAAATAGATGATGTTATTATTGGTGAAGACAATAGGTTGGATGCAGAGAGCAATGGTGAACTACCATCATTAAGAGGTGACCGTTTAAAACTTATCTTTTTTCTTGTATAACCAGGTGGATTATTACTATCTTCATTATTATCATTATTATCTATTTGTTCCTCATTATTATTGTTATTGTTATCATCGAATGACTTTACAGAGTTGGTCATCCTAGAATGACTGGTCGATGGTGACGACATTAAAGAGGAACTATTCGATGTTATCTCATCGACTGCTTTATCCTCTAAATCACTAACTTTTACTTCTTTTATAAGTAATGTAGATGAACTCATTACATTGCTATTATTATTATTATTATTATTACTATTTATACAATTATCTAACTCTTCTGCTAGTCTATTATTATTATTACTACTATTATTATTATTATTATTACTATTATTATTACTATTATTATTTACATTATTTATATTCATATTTGTAACATTTCTACCATTGATATCAATCTTTGGTATGGTGTACTCTTTAAGTAGCTCTAACCAGTGATTTCTATCATTGACTGTTTTAGATACTAGGAATATCATTGTGCCATCTTCCAACTCACATTGAACGGTGTGTCTCTTTTGAGAGGTTTGAAAGTGGTCACTTATATCGAAACTCTTTACATCTTTTAATAATATAAACTCCTCTGGTGATTCTATTTCTATATTTATATCTGTATCTACAGATATATAAGCATTAATTAAACTTAAACATAACAATTATTAAAATAAAACATACCACTATTATCATCATTGTTGTTGTTGTTTTTATTGTAAAAAGATAGAATACATTGTTCTTTATCTAATTTATAAATATATTTCTTTAAAGGTTTATCAATGTCATTCGATATCTTTATATATCCTTTTTCAACCATTGCTGTTGTTGTTGTTGTTGTTGTGTCATTATTAATACTATTGTTGTTGATATCAGTAGGTGATTTTAATGAATTTGAAGTTGACATTATTGATGTTGGAGATATCATAACTGTAATTACTTCAACAACTTGTTCGCTCTTCTATCTTATCTTATCTGCCTATCTATCTGTTTAAAATCGATCTAACCTAGGATATCTTCTAATTAAAATAAATATTAAACTTCTATAGATTAATTGGCTTGTCATTAACCAAACTAACTTGTAAATTTAAATTTTTGTTGTTGTTCAATTTTTTGCAATATTTTTTTTTAAAAAATGGTAAAATATTTTTAATTTCAATCAACAAACAAAACAATTCTTTATTTCAAATAATAAGATATGAAATTTTTATATCCCTATTTATGAACTTTTGATTAAATAGTTTGTTGAAGATTATATAAGATTAATATATCCTCTTAATTGTAATAATTTTGCCATTATTAATTCCTAACAGTTGCCAATTTCCACTTTTTGTTAATGGGTATAGGTATTTTAAATCATAGATTGGAAAGAGTGGTCTCTATAGACCTGTCGTACGGCGGTGGAATGTATTTTCCTAGTTTTTTTTTAAAGTTTTTCCAAAGTGTGATTCTTTGAGGATAGTTGCTATTTGCTTGAGTAGTATTCATTACTCGGGCCGCACTAGTAGATAACTGATTGGCTCCGATCTATTTACATACTTTATGATGGTAATATTTTTAATTTGTGACACTCACATTATCATTCAATATGTCTCCTGTTCGATCCCTTTTTTGTAGAGAATCTAGCTAACTATGGTAATTAGTACTAATATATGGTATCTAGATTCTCTACAAAAAGAGTTCACCAAACTCTACAGCTCCAACCACCGCCATAAAAGAACAGATTAGGACGTTTTTAAATAAACTAAAATTTTAATTTATATTAATCAAATACATATATTTGACTTTAACTTTTATTTACGTTAGTTAAGTAGTAGTAGTAGTAGTTCAGAAATGTTGTCTCATTCAAACAATAGAAATTAAGATATGATTAACATATTTCGAATTTGAAATATAAATGTATTTATTATCATAGTAAAAAACTACTACTATTACTGCTGTTGTGATGGATCTATATCTTCTACGTTTACACTCTCTTCAAAATATAATTGTAACTGTTAAACAATTATGATAATTTGATATTAGTTAGTTAGTTAGTTTTGTTCACTTTGTATTCATTTTACTATTATACATATATATATATGTTTAGCAAAGTGTACTTACGGTAAAAGTTAAATGAGTACGATCCCAATGAGTAAAGAATTTACCATCTGGACCTGTTGTTCTATCTATCTTTTTGTTTGGTATCTTAAAAGCGATGGTTTCATAGGGTTCCGCTGCAAACAATAGATATTGAAAGTCTTTATTCGATGGTTCTACACGCTGCTCAAACGACGACATAAAACGATGTCTAGGTTGCAACCCATGCTCTATCTCTGGGTAATCGATTTGAAAAAGTAAACTTAACTGACCTGTCTCTTGATCTCTCTGTTTGATAATCTTATAACCCGGTCTACCAATCTTTATTGTTTTCTTTGGTTGTATTCTAGCTTTTGGACTGTTAATGATTAAATATATATATATATATATATATATATATATAAACATACACGTTAATAACATAAAAACAAATGATAATGATGTTAGCTAGTTAGTTAGCTAGTTAGTTTGTTTGATAACTTACGCAAAAGTAGTTTTGTTTGGATTTTCACGTTGATCTCTTGCAGCACGTCTCGCAAGATTGGTTTGATGTTTCTTTCCTTGTGTGTGAGCCAAGTAGTTACCAATATTATTATGTACAGTTAAACATAGTTTACAATCGTAGGAACCAAGATGATTCGATATAATATAAGGGTCTTTCGATATATCTATAGTCTCTAAGGCAATCTGTTTCAATCTTTCTCTTCTATCTATATTATCATATTGTGAACTTTGTAGACCACCACCACCTGCTTTACCAAATTCCGACATCTCTTTCTTTTTATATCTTTATAATAATAATAATAATAATATGAATGATTGTCTTTTATATATATATATTATAATGAAAACTAAACTACTTATTAATTTTAATTAAAGATCAACAAAAATAGTAAGATCTTTGACTTTGCGAAAATTTTAAAAATTTTGAATTCAAAAAATGATTCTGAGATTAATTTTTCATACTCTGTAATAAATGTTTGATGAACATTTATCAATTCTGTATTGTTAAATTTAAATTCTGGATAATCTAAAGAATCAGAAATAATTTTTTTGATTAAATAACTTTTCCTTTTGTCATTTGAAATTTATATTATTAGAAAAAAATAATAATATCTAAAAAGTTTTCTAAAAAGGTTACTATATTGTTTTTCTAAAAATATAAAATATTTATAATTTATTTATTAATCCACTGATATAAAATTTTCATTGATTGATTTTGGTAAAATATTGGAAGATGATCTTGGAACAAAACTATTTTGTAAAACTAAGGCAATGCTAAGCCACAATGTACAGACTAAAAAGATGTTGGTGGTGGAGATCGAAGAGATGTTTGAGAGTACTACTACGACCATGAAATTCAATGGCACTCTAAAGTAGTTCATAATCGATGTTCTTGCTGATTCCGGAATGTATTTACTGCGGAGTGTTCCAATCGTCGGGAAATAGAGTCCACAACAGATCTCAAACACGAGGAAAGAGATGTAGATCAACAGTGACTGTGTAGGGAACAAATAGGGAATCGACATACAACCGATGGCGCATCCGAATATCCAGCAGGCGAGACGCTCCGTCGTCATCGATGCCTGCTTGCTTATCATATTGAAAATGGAGCTGCCAATCATGATGCACACCATAAAGGTGGCGAAAATCAAACCGAATGGCAACTCACCGACTTGACTACCGGACTCCTGTAGAGTCGGTGTCCACATGAAAACGAAAGTGTACATCGATGCCTCGAACAACGATTGAATGAAACCCAACTTTATGATGGAACGATCGTTCATCAGATATTGGAATGAACTACGGAAAGTATGCTCGAGTGACACACTGGAATTTCCATAGTTTTCATTCCAACTTGTGATAATCAAGACTGTACAAATCACAAGCAAGCCAAGTGCCCACATAAAAGGTGAAACAAATCCCCAACGATCCGCGGCGAACGACGACCAAAGTCCTGCAAAAATAGCTACAATTCCATTTAAAAATGTTGCAATATAAAATGTTGATGATAATAATGAATCTGGATATTCTCTCTAAAAAATAATTAAATAAATAGATAGATAATATGAATATTATTAATAAATATTTCAAAACTAAAATAATTATAATCATAAATTATAACATACTGCATTATGCTCAGCAACCATCCATGATTCAAAAACAGAAAATAATAGTGAAGTTGAAATACCACCCAAAACTCTACCGGCCAAAAGAATACCGAAATCATTGACCAACTTGGTTAGACAACTTGCAGAATATAAAACACCAAAAATAATAGACATTAATTTTCTTCCACTAAATAAAATGACATTCATAAAAATATTAGAATATGAAAGATACCCATCCTATTAAACTTACTATTTATCAGCTATTGGACCAACGATGATACCGAAACACATACTTGAAAGGAATCCACTTACAAACAAGAATGCAATATCTGACTTTTTAAATCCATATGATTCGTATAAAGCATATACATAAGGTCCTTGTAACCAATCGGCAGCTATTATAGAATATATATATAGATTGGAAAATGGAAATAAATGAATATTCAGAATTGTTAGATAAAATAGATTGATTTGTGAGAACTTGATTATATGACTTATGCATACATACCCATTGCCAACAAATAGATTGTCAAATATTTATATTGGAATGATTTGAATGATTGCATCGATTGAGTAGAGCTTGTCGATGACACCTTACTTGCCGATTCGTTATCATTCGAACTCTTAATAACATATTGTAATATAGCACATATTATACATAATAATATAAAAATAGATATATAATCCATTGTTGCTTTTGTGATATTGTTTCTACTTTTCTAACTACTTATCTCTATATTATATAAAAACTACTATTGAAATGAAAATGAAGTTAGATTTCTCTTCTCTTGATGATTGCAATGTCAAAAACAATTGTCCTCGTCATAAATATTAATAGATTTTTTAATTTTTTTTTTAAAAACAATTTTTGAAATCCTTTTTTTTAATTCATTTTTGAAACCACAGATCAACTTTGACCAGAGGGCTTTTGCTGAAAAAATAGATAAATAACCCCCATACCAAACTCTTCATATAAAAAGTGAGAACTACTACTACGTGGTAATCATCTTTCATAAATATATATTTTCGATTTTTATTATAATAAATCGAGGTTTACAAGAAAAAAATTTATAGAGAATTTTATTTAATTGATTGATACTTATTATTAAATTAAAAAATTCATATGATAAACCAAATTTGATTGGAAAACATACTAACTTTTATACAAAAAAAAATACAAAATAAAAATTTTAAATTGATTTATAACTAAATAATAAAATATCAAGGTCTTTTTATTCTTTTATTATTTTTATTCTTTTTATTCTTTTTATTTTAGTTTTATTTTTTATGGAGGGCATGCAAAGTGCGTGAGTCATTAATCTCTCGGTATCCGGCTCTATCACAGAAAATTGTCGTTTGGGGGGTATGTTTTTTTAGTTTTTTTTTGTTTTAATGTGATTTTAAAAAATTTGATGTGTGCTTAATGAACTAACTAACTTACTTTCAACCACATTCCAAATAGTTAAATTGAATGGAATTTGTTTATTATTTATTTATTTATTTTGTTTCTTTTTTTATTTTTTATATTCCTGTAAAAGCAATATATTTATATATATATAGGATTAGATAGATAATTTATAGTAATTAAAAATTAGATTAGTTGTAATTTAACACACAAGTACAAATACAGAAAAAGAAAAAAACAAAAAAAAAAAAAAAAAAAAGAGATGAGAGAATACTTAGAGAATATGTTGGACGATCATATCGCTGGTATAGCAAATATATTTGCAACTATAAGTGATCCGATCGATTCTAAACATTGGTTCATGTCACCGGAATATCATGCACTTGAATTTATAATTGTAAACTCTCTATACCTTTTACTTGTTTTCAGTAAGTATTCAATATATGATAATCTATAATGATTTTATAACCTGAGTTTTTCGATTACATATATACTAATTGATTTGATTTGATTGATTCGCTAAAATTTAATTATAGTCGGATATATAATTGTTTTAAGAAAGAATGTACCGGAACAACAGAAAGGTATTTCTAGACATCAATTCATTCCAAAGCTACTTGCGTTGGTTTTGATTGTCAATTTGATACTGAATGTCTACTACAAGCCAAACAAACCATTTGGTTCGAGAAACTACTTCTTTATGCTACAGCCATGTCATCTTGTAAGTGCTGTCTACGCCTATTGTCTGCTGACCAACGACCTCAAGAATGGATCACGTGTATTCAATGTATCTGTTTACTATGTATTTGTAACGTTTGTATTTAATAATACTTTTGATTCTTTTTATCTAGATCTAGAAATAAAAGTCTAACACTTCTTCTTTAATCAATGAATAACAACAGAATTTCAGCTTTGGCATTCCCAGATCTAACGGATCTAACACAACCAGGTGAAATTCCAAACTTTTTCGTTCAACACTACGCATTGTTGATTGCGCCGGTTGTTATTCATATGTACAAGTTCCCCACACGATTCCATATTGGCTATGCTCTGATGTCTACTGGTATCTGTGGATTGGCACACCACGTCGTCTTTGAAATCTGTAGTTTGATCAGTGGAATCAATATCAACTACATGCTTTTCCCACCACCACTCGGATTCGACTTGAACGAATTGCTACTCGACTTGACAGGTGGTCGTGTCACAGCGAACGTCTATCGTTGTATTATCGGTCCACTCCTGAATCTACTGTCATGGCCACTCGGTGCTATCGCCATTGCCACCGCAAACTTTATTGCATACTCACTTTACAACATAAGATTAGGTGAAAACATAAAACAAAAAGTAAATTAAATCATTCAATTGACCGATTGATTTTCTTAATTAATTATTTTGAAATAATCCATATATATTTATAAATAATTGGATGGAATTTAAAATAAATAAAACAAACAAAACTATAAATATATAATTACTATTAATTTAATACTATTATTTAATTGTAATAATCTTTAATTTTATTTTATTATTTTTTTGAAAAACAATAACAATAATAGTAACATTTCAAAATTGGATGGGATTAGTCCATATTAAAATGCAATAATTTAATTTAACTTTTCCAAAGACAAATTTAAACTTAATCAAAAAAAAATCATTTCAAAAAAACAATGATGGTTGTTGAACTTGCACAATTCAACCTAAAAATGGTTTAGTGCCCACCTGTCTGTTGCTAATTAAATTTGTTTTTTTTTTTTTTTCTTGTTCTCCCGATATGATACTTCAACTTTGAAATTTAATCATTTTTAATGATTTATAAAATTCCTTACAAAATTCAAGATATTTCAGATCAAGAAAACAACGAAAAAAATGTAAAACAACACTCTTTGTTTGGTTTTTTATCAAGTTTTTTTTGTTTTTTTGATGAAGGAAGATTACCACCAAAAAGTGATGGGGCTCATCAGTTCCCAAAAGTTTTTTTTGCTTTTTTTTTTTTTGCAAACAAACTTTTTCTTTTTTTCTAATTGGTGCGCTCTCACTCACTTTCTGATCGTATGAGAGGAAACACATTCTCTACCAGTGATTGAGTTTTATTTCTGTTCAAATCAAATTTAAAAGATATAGTTATATTTTATAATTTTATCTCTTTTTATTATATAATATAAAAAATGATGATCTCTAAATATATTGCCATGTTGGCACTTTTAGTTGCAGTTGTTTCTGCTCAAAATTATAGACCAGTTGTTTTAATGTATGTAAATCTAAATTATTAATACTATCAATTGTTAACTATCGTAGAATATAAAATAAAATTGTGGTTATTTGCATGTTTGTTATTAAACAGTTGTTGTTTAGTTAAACATTAAAATATATAACCACAAGAATAAAAATAAAATAAAACAACAATATGACATTCTAAAACCGTGTGTAACATGGTTTTTGAAGTCGTTGTTTTAAAAATAAAAAATCATAATTTTTGATTCCTACTTTCCTGAAAATAATCTTTAGATCTTCCTATATTAATAATCAATCAAATCAATGCAATTTAATTAATCGTGATATTATTTATTTCATTTATAGGCATGGTGTTTCATCTAGTGCAAAAGCAATGGCACCAGTAAAGGAATGGATTGAAGCCGCTTGTCCAGGTATTTACGTTGTCAACATGGAGATTGGAAATGGATTCATGTCATCGATTTTCATGACCGTCGAAGAGATGGTTGAGAGTTACGCTCAACAGGTTCAAGCCGATCCAAAGTTGGCCAACGGTTTCAACGCCGTCGGTTTCTCACAGGGTACTCTTGTGACCCGTGGTTACATCCAACGTCACAACAACCCACCAGTATTCAACTACATCAGTTGGAACGGTCCACAACGTGGTCAATTCGGTACACCATTCGTCAACATCAAGTGGGTCGACCACATCCTCGGAACCGTGCCATACGACAACTGGGCACAAGAGACTTTCTCACCGGCTCAATACTGGCGTGACCCATACAAGTTGGATCTCTACCTCGAGAAATCGTTGTTCTTGGCCGACCTCAACAACGAGCGTCCAGTCAAGAATCCAAAGTACAACCAAAACATCGAGAGTTTGAACGCCATGGTTCTCTCCTACTCTGAGAACGACAAGACCATCGTGCCAAAGGAGTCCGGTTGGTTCGCTTTCTACGCCAACAACACTCAGAGCACCGTTGTCCCATTGAGAGAGTCAGAGTTTTACCTCCAAGATTTCATTGGTATTCGTGCCCTCGATGAATCCAACAGACTTCATTTCTTCACCACCGATTGCAAGCACTCTGATCACCCAACTGCCAGCTGCAAGCCATATTTCGACCAATATACCCTCCCATGGTTGAACGCAACTCTCTAAACAATGTACTTATTTTTTTACCTATATTCCCGCCTAGAATATTTATCGACTCCTTTTTTTTTTTCAGCCGCCCGATGGCTACTTGATGTATTGTTCAGAGAATGATCAAACACTCATCCCAATTTAAATAAATATTAAAAAAAAAAAACAAACAAAAAACAGATTTAAAAAAAATAACAATGATAAATTCCTTTAAATTTTTTTAAATATTAAATTGTTGATATTTTTGGATCATAAAATATTAAGATTAAAATTATCTTGTTTATTAAACTTTATTCATGTCAGAATAATCAATATAATTTAGATTCAAAAAAGATAAACATTATAACATAATTATGTTTTATATTAATATCAAAGAATTATCAATTCTAACATTCTAAATGTTCTATGCTTTTTTATCAAAGGCACAATTATGTTGTTTTTTTTTATTATTATCAAATGTTATCGATTCTAACATTCTAACTGTTCTATGTTGTACGAGATTTTGGTTTCGTGATATTCTTTTTCTTCTAAAGTGAAAAAGGTGTAAATAGAAACATTTTCTAAAGAGTAAAAATAGTTCATCGAGTTTCTTACACTAAAAAAAAAAAAAAAATAGATAAGATTTAATATTCTAAAAAAGATCTGGTTTTCTAATATTCAATTGTGTGGTTTACAAAAAATAGTTTTAGAATGTTTTCTAAATTTTGTTTATTCTAAAAAGACCAATCAATTTAGAATTCCCATCGAAATCATAACACCTAATTATCATTTAAATACAATGTTACAAAGATAGTTATTAAATTACAACTATTTGACAGATCTGTGAAACTCACATAAATTTGGTAAAAATTTCAAAAATATTTCCTTTCGTGGAATGAATTATGAACCTATTTTGAACTTTTGGAACCTGCTCTTTTTCTTTAAATTGAATTTGAAGTTCTTCTATTTATTTTAGTAATATTCAACTATAGTTAGATAATTATTATTTATATTGTTTATTAGTAAAAGAGACAAACAAACAAAAAAATGACAGGATATACATTTTCAACATTATTGAATGAAGATGATAAACAAAGAATCAATGATATCTATAGTTTCTGGTTTGGCACTACCGATGAAGATCTACTGAGAGTTGCCAACTACAATTTGAATTTCAAACTTTGGTTCGTAACAAGCGAGGCCGGTGACCTCGACATTAAAAATAGGTTCCAAGCGACTCTAGAGGAAGCGGGTCAACCGGATTCACCGCTTCTCGCCCGTTGGCGTTCCGATCATCGTGGAAAGATGGCTCTCATTCTACTGTGTGACCAATTCTCTAGAAATATGTTTAGAGGCACCGGTCAGATGTTCCAATACGACCCTATTTCGTGTGGAATCGTATTGGATATGCTTAGTGAAAACTCGGACAAGTCATACTCCTTCCCGGAGAGAATGTTTTTCTATGTCGTACTGGAGCACTCGGAACAACTTGACATTGTCGAGAGATCGGTGGAGAAGACCAAAGAGTTGGCAGAGGACGCCAAAGAAGTATCACCGATCTACGGCGGTGTTGTTAAATATGCTCAGGATCACTACGCCATCGTAAAGCAGTTCAACCGTTATCCGCATCGCAATGCATTGCTTGGTCGAGAAAGCACAGCCGAGGAAACCGAATACCTATCAAACTCAACGAATGAATTCGAAAAATCAGTACAAAAGAAAGTTACAACAACGACAACAATAACAACATCATCAACAACAACAACAACAGAACCATCATCATAATAATAATAATAATCAACCACAAACTAAACTAATAGCAAACAACAAACCTCCCAGAATTTACCACAACAGTTCAGAAAACAAACATTTTGTTAACACCTTAATACACACCACATTTTATTCACATGGTAACAAAAACAAACAATGTAAAATAAAACAACACACCTACCACAAATCTTAAGTAAAAAAACACAACAATCAAATAATAAATAAATCAAACAGAAAAGAATGGGAAGAACAAGAAAAACACAAAGTTAATTAATTACAGTTCATATACAAAGTTTAAATCAATAATATATATATATTTAAATATAAAATAAAAATAAATTTCAAAAAATAAAATAAAAAAACATTATTGATAATGTGGGTTTAGTAAAAAAAAAAAAAAAAAAAAAAAGATATTAAACACTTTTAATATTTATTATTATTGTTGTTGTTATATTATTTATTATTATAGTTTATTTTTAGTTTTATTATCAAATATCATCAAATCACATTACATTATTAATAGCAAATCATTATTAAATCATTATTAAATAGTTTAAACAAATCACATTACATTATTAATAATCGAAAAAACACAGAGCGATCAAAAGGAATAAGATGTGTTGTAGATAGTAAAATAAAAATAGATAGATAGATAAGATAGTAGATAGATAGATTACGATACGATAAAATAATAATATACACATAGAAATGGGTATATTAACAAGAAAGAAAAGAGGAAAGAAAGACGATGTATATTTATCACCAACTCATAATATATTATCGGTGACACCACCATCACCAAACATAAATAATAGTAATAACAATAGTAATAGTATCAACATTAACAATAGCAATGGTATCGGAGGTAATGGTAATGGTAGTAATGGCAGTAGTAGTGCTGGTAGTAGTCATAGCATTGGAAATAGCGGTAGTCTGAGTAGTAGCAGTATCAGTAGTAATGGTAGTGGAAATGGAAATGGTAACAACACACTTGGAAATGTTCAATCGTCATCCAATCAAAATGGTGGAGTTACTGGTCAACAACAGCATGATATAACATATTATAAATATCCACAACAGAGTGTTGTTGGATCGAATAGTAATAGTAATAGTAATAGCAATAATACCGACAATAACAATCAAACCATTTATAAGAGTGTAAATATACGTTCTGATTCTCAAATGTTTCAACAACAACAACAACAACAACAACAACCAAATAAATTTGGTGGAATGGTAAAATCACCATCTGCATCAAGTATTGTACATAATCATAATAATCATAATAATCATAATCAACAACAACAACAACAACATAACTATCATAATCATAATCATAATAATAATAATGGTCATTATCATCACCATGGTGTTGGAAGTCTGTCGGCATCGGCATCGACTATCACGACAACGACAACAACAACAACGACAACCACTACATTTGAATCATCGTCGTCGTTGTACAATGATAGACTGGGTGTATCGTCACCCGATCACATTAAAGTAAAGAAGAATCTGGCAGTGTCGATACCATCGACCAAACGACTACTCGAGAGTGAAAGACCAAGAAAGATGTCCAATGCAGCCGAAGTAGAATTGTATTTCAAATTGAAACAGCGTGAGACTGACTTTGCTCATTCTCTAACATGTGCAGTCTCGCCATTTCAATATCTTGATGAAAAGGAACTTGGTGTAAGTATTGTGGTGACTGTCATACCGAACTAAAAACTAACTTCTATCTATCCATTCCATTATTATAGGATCATATGAATTTAGTTGATTTTAAAGTTGAACTAAGTTTTGATGGTTATACAAAGTGGTATAATGTAAGTAAAGTTAAACAAAAAAAAAGAGTTGTTAATTGATATTTAATTAACTAACTAATCAATCAATCAATCAAAAAATCAACAAATAAAAACACACTCATAGGAAATGAGTAAAAAAGTAAATCAAAAAATATTGATGGTACAGAATAAAGATAAGAGTGCAGAGATGGCACAGGAAGAAAAGAAAACTGGCTACCGAAACAATGCTATGGAGTCAAAGAAGAGCGGTTCTCTGTTTAAGACAAAGAAGAAGATAAAACCACCAAAGAACGAAGATGAGTTGATGCATTTGAATTTCCTTAAGCGTCATTTGCACGGCGAGAAGACACCGCCCAACAAGAATGTTGTGGTGGCACCCACCAACACTGGAAATCTCACTGGCAGTGAGCTGCATGTGACCACTCAACTGAACAACGTCACACTGTCCTCGAACAACTCTGGCAACAACACCACAAGCTTGGTCGCCACAACCGGAAGTAATCTCAACCTCATTAGAAACAGTAATAGCAGTGGGAATATTGCTAATCTCTTACTTAGTGGTAACAATGGTGTTGATACTAAGAACAACAATGATACCGATGGTAATGGTAATGGTAATAACATGATGATGTTGTTGAATTTGAATCAACATCAACAACAACAACAGCAAGATAGTCACAGTAATAGAAATAGTTTGAAGATAACTGATTTGAATCAACAGCATCAACAGATGCAACAACAACAGCAGTATCAACAGCAAATTCAGACATTACAACAGACAATACAGCAATTGGAGCAGCAACAAAGACAGTTACCTAGAAGACTGCCAAGTAGTAGTTCCATATCTAGTCAACAGCAACTGCAACAACTACAACAACAGCAACAACAACAGATACCATCTAATAACTCTTCAGGCTCTACACAACAACAACAACAACAACTTCAAAGTCTGCAGCATTTACTTCAACATCCACCAACACCACTTCAACAACAGCAACAACAACAACAACAATCGTCAGCTCCAAATTCCAATACTAGCGGTCTGAGCAAGCCACAACCACGTCGTCTGAACAGCTCGCAAAACATGCAAGACACTAGCATCAGTGAGCAGTTACAACCACCACAATCACAACACGACAATGAAACCAACAGCTTCGACACTAGCTACAGCAGTCTCTACGATGACCAAGACATAAACAATCCTTCAAATCACGATACCGGCAGTAATATCACAACTAACAGTGGAAATCTACGTAACAGAGATCAACTGTCATCGTCGCCAACCTCCATCAAAAAGATCGGTGTCAAAATCCTCTCATTCTTTGGTGGCGGCAAAAACAAAAACAAACAACAATCCAACAGCAACAACAACAACAATAGCAACCACAACAACAACAACGCCTCGAACATTGACAACGCTCTTTCACCACCGAACAGTCACTACATCCACAGAACACAGTCACAATCATCGCTATTGCATTCTCCGCGATTCATGCTCGATTTCAACCCACAGATCATCGGTGAGTATGGAAGCGCGTCAGTTGCAGGATCGCATTCACCTCCACCACTCAACCGTTCGCAATCACACATCTCACTACAGTCACGACCAACTCCACGTTCGCAATATGACACCAATAGTTCTTTCAATTTAACTCCACGTACATTCTTTACAGCTCAGCACAACAACAACAACAACTCCCAACCCAATCTTTCCACCTCACAACAGAATCTCAACAATCAACAACTAACCTCAACAAACTCAACACTTTCATCCAACAACAACAATAATGCAATCAACAACAACTCCAATAACAATACTTTGAATAACAACAACAACAATAATAATAATATTTCCACCATCAACATTTCCAATAACAATAATAATGTAAAAGATCCCACCATTAATGGTAATAATTCTAAAGATAATAACAATAATAATATTAAAGATAACAGTAGCATTTCAATCTCAAACAACGGCAGCAACAATAATAATAATAATAACAACAGTCTTAAAGAGAGTATCAATAAGAATCATCACACGACAAACAAAAATAATTTATCACAAAGTACTAATAGTAATCACAGCCAACATATTGTAAATACACCATTACATAATTTAATTAACCATTCGATGAACTCGTCGAATATCTCCAACGACAACTCCTATGACACTGGTGGCAACAACAGCCATGAATTCGACTTTGAAGAAGGGTCAACATCTGCCTCTGCTTCTTCATCACCAAGTTCCTCACCAAGTTCATCACCTCCATCATCACCAGAACCATCACCACCCCAAAGACTAAACTTTTTCAAAACCATACATATTTCACATACAAAAAAACCAAAGTAAACAAAAACAAAAGAATACAAACAAATCATACAAATCATTTTATAATACCTGTTGTAATAAAAATAATAGTAATTTAATTTATAGTCATTAAAATATTTATCATTCAATATTATTATTATTATTATTATTATTATATATTATCTTTTTTCTTAAATAATAGTTGGAAATAAAAAGATCTGTTTATAAATATTTAAATTCTGTTTATTTTCTTTTTAGGATCAGTTGGAGGTGGAGTAAATTTCTTTTTGTTGGGAGTGTCGCCAACTGGAATGATTGGCTGATTGTTGTTGAATACTGGCATACCAAGTAGTTTCGATATTCTTGGTGATTTGAATGCATAGATTTGTGCCAATGTGAAAATAGAGGATGGAATCCAATAGAAATATACAATCGAAGGAATGGTGTAACTGAATGGGATGATTAGCAATGCCATTATTCTTGCCACCCAACTTATAGCTTTTAAAAATAGATTTGGTGCATTTCCAAGTGTTAACTATTAATATTAAAATAAAATATTATAAATATTATAACTTTGGACCTATTTTTTGTTTAGTTGCAACTAACTTACTTCATTAACTAAAAGATAAGATGCACTGGAAATAATTGGTAATATAAAATAGGGATCCATAGCACTTAGATCGGTGAACCATAGCATACCGGCGGTTTTCATCGACGGGAATGTCGCTGCCATCTCACGCATTGCAATGATCGCAGAGATAAAGAATGGAAGATTCGCCAGTGGTAGAATATAGCTGAGTGCTGGATGACATTTCTTATCTTTCAGTAGCTTGGTGATCGCTACAGAGTTATCGTAGTTTGATGCACCGGTTGCACGATTTTCTTGTGATTTCTCTTTGAATTTGTCGAGTTGCGGTTTGATCTCCATGAGTCGCGTCACATTGATACGCTGCTTCACTGCGAATGGGAGCAGTGCACTACGAATCAACAGTGTGAATGCTGGCACGATGACCATCCACGACCAACCGGTTGCGCTATGTAAATGGTGAAGCAGGACTTCAATGAATGTTGGCAATCCTGTGATCTCCAACATTGATGGATCTTGTGTGATTGCTTCTGCTTGTGCTGCACCCAACTCTGAGAGTTTCACCTCATTGCTACCAGTAGTTGTCGTTGTTGCAACTGATGAGTTTTGTGATGACAGCATATGACTGTTCAAAATTGGTATTTCACCATTATATGGAGAGTTTAAATCGATATTACTATTCATTGCTGTTATCTTTTGATCTATATTTGAAATATTATTTGATGATGATGATGATGATGATGATGGTGTTGCGGATGAATAACTTCTATAGCTCAATGATTTATTCATTGTGTGAATCATCGTAATCATTCCTTCATTTTGAAATTGTTTTCCAATGTTTGATCGAGGTCCATTCAAATGTTTGATAACTGATAAACCACGATATGATCTATTTGAGAATAATGATTTAGATAACATTTTATCTTAACTATTCTATTTTAATAAGATATAATCTTATTTATCTGAATATATTACTGTCGACTGATCGATCAATCAATGAAAATTCAGAGTGAAAAACAAAAAAAAAAGAGTTTAAAAAAAAAATAAAATCAAGTGTGTTGATCATTCTTAATCGATAAATATATATCTAAATATAAATAAAAGATGGCAAAAGGGTAATTAAATAGAAAATGATATAATAATGTTGTGTTATATCTTAATTAACTTGTTTATTTATAATAGAGATAATTATATAAGTTCAAACGAAGATGAAGACGATAAAAAAACTGTGCACGACGATGATTTTGACGATGACGATGAGATTTCAAAGATTAGAGAGAGAAGAATACAAGAGATGAAAGAGAGATCGAAAGCATTGCATCAACTAAAGAATAGCAATGCTGAATACACAGAGGTACAGGAGAATGATTTTCTAAAGGTTGTAACCGGCACTGCAAATGTTGTATGTCACTTCTATCACAATGAATTTCAGAGATGTAAAATAGTTGATAAACATTTAGAGGTATGTAGAAATCATAATCATAACAGACATATATTATTTATATTAATCAAATCAATCAATTCAATTCATAACAAAACAAAACAATAGATCTTATCAAAAGTACATATTACAACAAAGTTTATAAAGATGAATGCAGAGAAAGCACCGTTTTTCGTTGGTAAACTCAATGTCAGAGTGTTGCCTACAATGGTATTCTTTCATAATGGTGTGGCAGTCGATAGAGTGGTTGGATTCGACGATCTCGGTGGTAAAGATGATTTCAAAACAGATGTTCTGGCGAAACGTATTGCACAATCAGGTGTATTAGAATTGAAAACCTCTTCAAACCTTACAATCATTTCAAAACATGAAAGGCTAGCAAGAGATGAACAAGATGATTAACAATTTTAAAATAAAAAATAAAAAAATAAATAAAAATAAAATAAAACAAAAACAATCAGATCTATTCTATTCTATTAAATCTAAAAAAAAAAACACAAAACAGGAAATTTCGAAAATGAAATGATCATAAATGAATTAATGGGTAGGTGATGTTGTTTTCATTTGTTTTGTTTTGTTTGAACATTGTTCAATCATTACTTCACTTGAATAAATTGTTTTTGTTTTTTTTTTTATTAATTCCGATATTGAGCAAAATCAATTAACTCTGTTTTTAGTTACCAGGTCGGATTCTTTGTTTATTCCCAATCCAGTTAAAAATATCAACAACTTTTTGTTTTTAACACCTTTTTTATTTTATTTATAAAAATCTCACAAAAGTTTGTGTTTTTCAAAGAATAGAAAATAGGAAATAAATATGATTTATTAATTATATCTTTTTTATCTAATTATTATGTCTAAAAATTTATAAAATAAATAAATACTTGAAATCATTAAAATTTAAAAATAATAAAAAAAGTTTAACAAAATTTAATAAAAATTTATTTTAAGTTAAAAAGTGTTCAAAGCTCGAAGAGTTTCGTTAAAATGTGAGTCATAGCCTTGATTGATCAAAAAATTATCGCTTTTATTTTTGTTTTGCTGGATGGATGGTCGTGGATCAACAACACAACAACAATCCAAAAATAAAAAAAAAACAAAAATCATCAAAAACTTGCATGTACATGAAAAGGGAACCAAAAAAAAGCAAAAAAAACAATTAATTGATCTGTCTGTTTGAGAAAAAAAAAAAAAAAAAAAAAAAAACAAAAATTTCAAACTAAATTTTTTGAAGTTATTTTTTTTTGAAACAAACCTGTTGTTTGTTTTTGTGTTTTTTTACTTACTTACTTTCTTTATTAATCGTACCTTTTTATTATTGTTATTTCATTTATATTATTTATATTATTTAAATAAAAACAGCAAAAAAGAAAACAACATTTGTTTTTTTTTGAATAAATGTTTGATTGAAAGTTTGCGATTTTATTTTTTGAAAATAATAGTAATAATATTTTATTTATTTATTATTAGTTTTTTTTTTTTTTAATGTATAGTTTAGTTTTTAGTTTTAAGATAAAAGATAACACAACAACACAAATAATAACAGTAGCAGTACAGCAGTACAACAATAACCACCTATAAAAACAACACGAATTCGTAAATTTTGATATATCAAATTACAAATATTAATAATAATAATAATAATATAAAATATAGATCGCATTTTAATAGAATAGATAGATCTGTTTTTTGTTAAAAAAGTTATTAGTATTCAAGTAATCTATTTATATTTTGAATTAGTTATTTATCAGAGCAGTTAATATTAGAATAGTCAAAGAATAATCAGCAAAGCAACAGTAACATTCATTTTTTTGAAAAAACACAAAAAAAAAAGCAAAACCAATTTTTTCAGTATTGAAAGATCATTAGGATAAAGATTAACTTTTAAAACTACAATCAAAAAGATGGCTGTTCGTAGTACACAATGTTCAACTGTAGTTTTAAGTTATCTATTCTTGATGTTTCTTGTTTTATTGAGTACATTCGATAACAGTATGTAAAAGAAAAGATGAAGTATTTAATTGATCAATATTACAAAATTACTTACTTGCTTAACTTTAACCTATGATAATAGTTATATTGATTCGTAGTGAATTGGTAGTTAGTGCTATCAACTCTCAGCAACACCAACAAACACAGCAGATTCAACAGATACAACAACACAGAAAGTATTACTATCACTTTCGGTATAATGAAACATCGAGATCGCCTTCACCTCAGATGACAGGTTTGTCAAAGAGGCGTGTCGATAGTGATGGTGATAGTGCTGGTAGTGTTGTTGTTGATTCTGACAATGTTGTTGAGCAACAGCAACAAGAGCAACAGCAACAACATAGTGACAGGCAACATAAACATGAAAAGTTGAGTGGTAGCAGCAGCAGTAGCAGTAGCAGTAGCAATAGTATTATCAGTAGTGGTATTATCAGTAACATTAACAGTAACAGTGGAAGTAACAAACCATTGGCTCTGAAACCTCTGATTCTATTACAACAGAATATTCAACAGCAACAGCAACAGCAACAGCAACAGCAACTACTTGAGAAACAACAACAACATCAACAAGACAGACACGTAGTTGTCGGCGAGAAGCAACAGCAGCAACAACAACACTCTCATTCTTCGATTAATAGTTTTGTACATAAAGATAGAGATAGAGAGAATATCGTTAGTAGTAGTGCTAGTAGAACATCTGCAGGTGGAATCATATCGTCTAGAATAGCACATCAACAATTGGTTAGACATAACAGCGATGATGAGAATGATGATGATGATGACGATAATAGTTATGATAACAAAGATGACGACGATAATAACAACATCATTAAGGAAGTTGTATCAGAGGAAGTCTATATCTATGAATACGATTTCGATATTGACAATGATCGCAGCAGCAACAACAACAACGACGACAACAGCAATAAAAACAACGACTATGACGAGGACGAAGAAGACGAAAACAGCTTTGGTCTAGAGGAAAGAGAGAATCTCATTAGACATCTCGAAGTGTCGTCGTCTACCATCGAGTTTGGCGTCGGTCACCTCTGTCTCTCACAGAATCAAACTATGGACATAACCAACAGCGATCCCGATCGATCCATTCAAATTCTGGCGATAAGAACTGATAGTCCACATTTTGATTGTGATTTCCTTTCTAGTTATGTAAGTAGTAACAACAACAACATCAATCAATCGATCGATCGATTGAAGCTTAGAAGTTACACAACTAACACACAGTAATTATTAGATTTTAAAACCAATGGAAACCATCACAGTACATATATTATATACACCGAAAGACGTTGGAGAACACGAAGCGTTTTTTCATTTACAAGTTAAAGGTGGTGGTCTTATTTTTGCAGCGACAGGTCGGGCCACCGTCAATTATTATCAATTGGAACCGATATATGACCAGGTTCCAGTGGACACTGTATATTCATATCCCCTCTACATCTACAACCCACACAATATCACTTTGAAGATCACTGATATCTATACCAATGGTGGATCATTCTATCTATCATTGCCAAACAGTAGTACTCAGCAACAACAACAACAACAACAACAACCACCACCACAACAACAACAACCAACTATGACAAACCAACAACAAACATCGACAACAACAACAAACATTCTCTCACTTTTAAAATCAAAACCATCAACACAATCTTCATCACCATCAAAATCATCAACACAATCATCAACCTCATCAATATCGACATCTTCAAATTCACAATCACCAACAACTACCATTTCTGCATCAAATAATGATTTAACCAGTATTTGGGTATGTAATCTATATCACACATATAATCTTGATATTCAATCGTTATTTGCGCGCGCTTAAACACGGCTTCGTTTTTCGTTCGTTTTTTTTGTCGCGATGTTTTTTTTTTTTTTGCAAAAACGAAAAATTTTTACAAGTTAATTTTAACATTTATTTTTATTTATTTGCAGGAAATTCAACCATATTCTAAATCACATGTAATCAACTTGTATTTTAGATCATCGTTTTCTGGACAATTTACCGGTATTATCAATATTGAGACGAATGTAGAGAATATTCAGGTGCCAACTGAGATCTTATCGGTTGGCGACGGAGTTCACGTTTCGCCATCGGAAATCGATTTCGGATACATCACAAGCAAAACTGATTTCAAATCGGTGACACTCTACTTCCTCAGTGCAAACCACGACCAAGACCTAAGTATAATGGAAATCCACCCGGAAGTTCCCGATCCAAATTTGAGATTTTTTCTACATTACGATGTTATTTCTCCTGGTAAAACTGTAAATATCAAACAAACCAATACAAACAAACAAACAACACATCCATACTCCAATCAACATCTTATTAACAATCATTATTATGAATCAATAAAATATTGATTCAATCATTGATCGATCATTTTTTTAGAAAGTGGATATAGCTCAATTCTTTTATACTTGTGATGTCGAAGGAAGCTACAGTGGAAAGATCATTCTGAAGGTGTTGGGATACAAGGATATCGAAGTTCCCTATAGGGCAGAGGTTTTGCTCGGCGATATGAGTTATCATCCTCGTGAGATTCTGTTCACGATCGATGCGGAGCATCCAAAGAAAACACTGGAGAATCACTTGGTGCTTAGAAACAACTTTCCGATTCCTCTCACTATCAATTCGATTCACATCCAAGACGAACACTTTGAGGTGAGGAATGCATCGATCGGTCAAGTAATTCAACCGAATTCCTATTGCGACCCGATACTGCTTCAGTTCAATTCACACAATGGCAAAGTAAAGTCAAAGCATGCGTCGCTCCTCGTCGATACCAACATCTCAACATTTGAAATCGATCTACATGCATTCGATGGACATCTCGTCTACTCTCCCAATCTCCTGGATCTAGATGTAGTTAAAGATTATTATGTTGAAGAGATTAAATCTGTATGTAGTTTGTTTTGTTTTGTTAAATCATTCATTTTGCTAATCATTATTATTATTATCGCTTCTATAGATTGATTTCGGTGTTATAGGTATAAATGAAACAAGGAAAAGACATTTCAAATTCAAGAATCCCAATCCCTATCCATTGATGATTCATTGTTTTACAGGTGATAGTACATCACCTAATAATAATGTGGTTCTAAAGATTCAGAATATCTATAATGAGCGAGGCCAGTTTGAAGTGGATGGCGTCGAATTGAATGTGGGGGAGCACAATCTGTTTAGTTTGTGTTGTCGTGGTCAAGAGAATCCGATTATCGTGCTGGACAGCGGGTACACTGCGACATTTACTCTTGAACTGACCAGTCCTATCAAAGGCACGGGCAAGGGTAGATTCGTGACTGCCACACACCTCGAGAATCTGGTGATTCCATTCCACTGGAAGGTGATGGATGGTTCGTTCTCGGTGAAACCGAGTCACGTCAGTTTCGAACCGATCATTCTCGGTGGCAACTCGACCCAGCGACTCTACGCCAACAACACCTATGGTATTCCCGTGCATATCACATCGATCGATTCATCGGATCCGCGCGTCACCTGTAACATGCTGGTGCATACGATTCCACCGCGTTCCTACACCCACATTGCAAACCTTGTATTCGAACCAAAGGAGATCGCTCTCGATGACGTCTCTGCAGTTTTCAAGGAGTTGCCAAACCATCAGCAAATCCTACAGTACACCACGTACGATGAGATCGACGAGTACTTTAAGCGTGATGCATTCTGGGCTGTCCGACAACAGCTTGTCGTTCCATCCAACATTATCATTCACACCAATCTCCTGAGTGACTACACCATTAAAACAAGTGGAGTAGTCATTCCACCAAGTTTGTTGTCTCCACAACTGACAACAACAACAAGTACACAGACCTCCTCTTCACCATTGGAATATACAAATCATACAACTATTGATTTTGGTTCAGTAACTATTAGTTCACAATCATCAAAGGATATCGAGATTTACAATCCTTTGGATATTCCAGTGGTGGCAGAGTTGCTTCCGGTGGAGACAGAGTCGCGAATCTATCAGTATCTCAAACAAATTGGATTTAAAACGACGACTTTCCAAGATTCAAGTCCTAACCATCAGCAATATCACCAACAGCAGCATGGTATTGGTCACGTGGCGAATGGATTCCTTCCGAATCCCTTTAAGCTAAGTCGTGAAGCGCTCACTCCCATCGTCATTCCGCCAAAGTCCACCGCTCAATTTGGACCGATCCGATTCCAACCAAACAATAACACTGATTTCTCATCGACATTGCTGCTGAGGAACAATTACACTGTTTTCCATTTGATTAGGCTCGCAGGTCGGGGAGCAGGCGGTCGTCTCGCTATCGTCGAAGACAACTACACCGAGTACAACTCGATACTTCTCGAGCTCAACAAAACACATCTCAGTCCATGCATCTTCAAGAAACACAACCAGGTCAATGTCAATTCAGAGATTCTCATTGACGCCAAGAATCCGGCTAAACACGCTCAACACTCGTCGATGTCATCGATGGTTGCCAACAACCGAATTGAAGTCAGTAAAACCTTTACACTGATGAACAAAGGCAATATGCCAATCGATATCAAAGATGTCTATCTCAGTGGCGATTTGAAATGCAGTGGATTCGGATTTAGTATTGCCAATTGCAAGGAGCTTCGTGGTGTCCTGAGTCCAGGCGAATCCATCCAGTTCAGTGTTAGTTACGAGCCTGACTTCTCGACCTCACTGATCAAGCGAGAGCTCACCTTCCGAACCAATCAAGATACATTCTATTTCACATTGATAGGTGCAATGCCACACGACTATCTTCCACTGTGCACACATCTCCAGCCATCTTTCTTCTATGAATATCCAGCCAAGACTGTATTCATCATCAGTATGGTCATTCTCTTCTTTGTTCTCATATTCCTTACCTTTAGAGAGTATAAACCGATTCGTGGTGTTAAATATTCATTCTTTTCCAACAGCGGCAATGCCAATACAAACAACAGCAATGTCAACAGCAGAAAAGATCATCACCATAACAATAACAGTCACTCACTTGGTAGTCATGCTGACTATCATATGTTGAACCAACACGACCATCACAACCACCACCATTATTTGGACAACCTACCCAAGTCTCCCGACAAGTCAAACGTCGAGTTTGCCAATAAAAACAACAGTGGAGCCAATAATACTAATAACAATAAGAAGAAGAAGAACAACAGTAGTAATAACAACAAATTGAGTTCCTCTCACGATCACAATCAACACAACGATAAGCCATCGAATGTACACATTGATAGTAGTAGCATTCACAATAAGAAATCGTTTAATAATGATCATAGCCAATCGGATATCCATGTTTCATCATCAAAGCAGCAATTGAAACAAACAACAACAACAACAGCAGCTAAACCAACAACCTCAACAACCACTTCATCGAATCCATCAACATCTTCATCATCCTCATCAACTATATCACCATCTCTCACAGCTTCACAACTCTCAACTATACCCATAACAATCAGTCAATCATCTTCAATGTCACAACAAAACCTAACATCGTCGACATCTTCATCTGCCTCTCAAGATGACGACGATACCACCATACATGAAGAGATTGACGGTAGTTCAATTGGATCGTCACTCTCATCCAGTCAAGAAATTGTTGCTCCTCTCAATCATATCAGCAACAGCAGTAGTGGTAACAGTACTCTTATTACAACTATTGTCGAAGAGGATACAATTGCTGCAGAGGTAACAAAGATCATCAACAGCAAGCAGTATCAACAACAGGATAGCAATGCAGTAACAAAGGCAACAACTTCTAATTTGTTTGAACAATCTCCAACAAAGAAGAAGCCTGCCACTAAGCATGAAGTTGTTAACAATGACAAACCAAAGATAGAGGTAGCTGCCACTTCAAAGCAACGACCAAAGACACAAAAACTTGATCTAACCAACCAACCACAACCTTCTTCACCATTGCTACCTACTCAACCAGCAGCATCAGCAACAACAACAATACCAACAACACCAACAACGCCAACAACACAAACTGATCATAAGAAGAAATCAACTCTAACACAATCGACACAGGCAATATCAACCATAACAAACACTTTAACAAACACTCCATCAATACCAACATCAACAGCAGCTGCACAACCATCTACAACAACTTCAACAACTTTGACAACTACATCAAAAGATTTCAAACAGAGAGAACCAAAACCAAGAAAACAATATGAAACAAAACCAAAACCACAAAAAGTTTATGTTCCAAAGGTTCCTCAACCACAACAACAGCAACAACAACAAACTCAACAAAACATGCTATCTCAACAACAACAACCTCTAACAACTTTACCAACTCAACCAATTCATAGTCTTGCAGCTTCTACAACACCAAGCTATTCACCGTTGCTTGGTAGTAGTGGTGATAACTTTAGCACATTGTTTTCACAACAACAACAACACCACCAATTCTCACACAACATCTACAACCCATTCTCCTTTGGAATGGGCAACGATTTACATCACCACAACTCTGCCAGCAGTTGGCTTTCACCAAACTCTCTCTCACCGTTCCAATCGCCAACCAACACACCATCGACCTCAACCAACACCTCAGCAGATTCAATTCCATTGCGAACCAGTACCGGTAGTAACAGTAGCGGTCAACAACAGATGAAGGATCACGGTGTCATTGGAAGTGGAAAGATGGCAAACAAGTCTTCCTATTCGAATTCCAATATCACACAGCAACTACCAACCACTCATTCACAACTAACCTATCGAGACTCATCGATCAACAGCATCGCCAGTGATCAATTGATGCTATCTGATTCCGATCCATTCTCCTGGATCAACAGGAGTCTATCTGGTGAATCGACATCAAGTCAGTATATGATGCAATCCACTCCAAATATGTTTGATCAGTTTGCCACTCCAAGTAATTTCCAATCATCAGTACCTTCAAATTTGACCTATCAACCAACATACGATCTGTTTAACAACTTTTACTTTAACCAACCACCACCACCTACTTCACCTACAACTCAACAACAAAATAACAACCAAAACAACAACAACAAGCAACAACAACAATAGACAGGTGTGTTAAACAAAACGAAATCCTTTAATAATTGATCTTAATTATTAATTGAACAAAATAAAAAAAAAAAAAAAAGAAAACAAACAAATATTTTTTGTTTTTGATTTAATTTATAAATAGTAAAAAAGTTTCTAGATTTAGATTAAGATTTATTATTAAATATTATTTGAATTCAACCATGTGAAAATTTTTGAAATTAGACCAGTTCTTTTTTTTGATTCTTTTTTTTTTCAGTTTTTTTTAACATCTTTTCTTTTATCTTCTCTTGTTAAGCCATACGTGGAATACAAACTTTAACTTTAACAAACAATAGAACCAAGAATCCAAGAATAAAATAGATAAATATATTGTGTGCATGGAACGATGATGCATACGGCCATTGAGTTTCAGATTGACGAAGTGCCATCGGAATGAATGACCAAATATGCCAACAGGTTGAGAATGCAAAACCGGCAACTACCATCATCAGCCACATATCATCTTGGAAACAATTGAAACGAAGAACAGTCAATACTAGAGCAAGTACATTCGCTCCAAACATAAATAGATTCGGAAGGAAAAGACGTGAGTTCTTAATGGTATCGGACTCCTTGTTGGAAGAACGGAAAGATTGTTCTGCCTTCTTACCACCGTGTTCCTCTTCCTTTACCGGTTCATTTACAAGTTTGGTTTGACGGAACACCTCAGTGACAATGGGTTTCTTGACGAAATCACGCTTCCAGTTCCACATTGCCAGTTTGTGACGACTGATACGACGTTGTTTCAACAAACTAACAATCGAAGCTGCACCGGTTTTCCATGAGGAAATATAGGTTCCGGCAAAAGCAAAGAAAGTTTGTTCTGCTCTCCAAAGATCGGTTGGTTCTACCCACAGCGATGGACCGACTTGTCCGGCTTCATATGGACGTTTAGCTCTCAACACCATGTACTGAATGATCTTTGGAACAATCATTACAGGAATCATACCGACTAGAATGAAAATAACTGGATCCGTTACGACAATAGGTACAGTCCAGAGACACATCATCAATGGTGAAAGTCCATAGAAGATGGCAGTTGGCGAAAGGAATGGATAGATACAAGAGTCGAGATTGTACATCATCTTACGATAACCCAGTTTCTTACTGATATAACCCCATGGTGTGAGTGAAAAGATTTCCACTGCTCCTTGTGCCCAACGTTTACGTTGTTCCAGTGTTTCTTTGATATCGACTGGAGCGGTACCAACTACCAGCACCTCATTGTGATACCAAGACTTGTAACCAGAGACCTGTAGCTTCATTCCAGTATACATATCCTCTGTTACAGAGTTGTACATAATTCCACCGATATCAAAGAGTGGTTGACGACGGAAAATAGCGTTGGTGCCTACGAATGGACATGCTCCATTTGCTGAACGACCTTCCATTACCGGACCGTAGAACTCCATATTACGATGACCGAGTGGATCGTCCACTGGATAGATATTACTGAAAAACTGTGGGGTCTGTACGAACGCACAGTCATGACCTTCGTCAGAGTAGAAATAGGGCATTACACGTTTCAAAAAGTCGGGATGTGGTTGCTGATCGGCATCCAGTAGACCAATGTATTCAAAGTCTGCCTTGGTTGATTCGTTGAACAGTCCATTGTTGATGTTACCGGCTTTGTTGTGTGGATGGGGTGGCTTACGACGACGTAGATAGGTGCATCTTGGTGAGAAGACCTCTCCGGTTGGATCGAAATCAATACGAACGTTTCCAAGTGAAATTTCATCCCAGGGTACTTCTTCACGACCCATCATCAATACTGCATAGTCTGCTTTTTGCAATACCTCCGGTGTGATGAATCTAAGGTGACATTTTTCGTTCATGTCCTTCACAAAGTTACTGACATATTTCTTCTTGAGAAGAATCATACGAATAAATGGACGATACATTGCATTACCGTGCCAGATTGATCTCAGTGACTCTATGGAGAATTTGGAAATCATTTCTCTTTCCTTTTTGTTGATGGTACGATACGGTGAGAAATTGGTATCACGTAGCTTTTGTATGTATGCTTTCTCCTCTTCCGTGGCCTCACCTTGATCCTCGGAACCAATGTCAAACCAAGCATTTAAAATAAAGTATTCAACAAACCACTGAACTTCAGCATCAATGATCTCTCTTGTCGATTTGTCAATACGCTCTTGAGTTTCCAAAAGAATTCCATGTGGATCCTCATTGAAATTGGCAGTTGGTGGACCAATCTTGTGGACATTATAGATGGTTCTAAAGATTAGTTGGAAAAGGAAATTCTTTTCCACACCTTGAAGATGTGCCCATCCACGACTCTCACGGAAATTGGCAGAGTCATCCAACAGACCGACCCAAAGATTCTCTGCTGGATAATCCATACTCAGGGCAGTCTTGAAGGTACGAGATACAATGGAGGGTGGTTCCTTGTAGGTGGTGACATACATCATTACAGTTGGGAACTTCTTTCTACGCTTCTTGAGAATCTCCTCAAGAGTCATAACCAAAATCATGGTGCATGGATTCGAGAAATTATTCAAATGTAGAACGGTAGCCAAGAAAGAGACAAACTCTACAATATAGAAAATAATAGAGAATAGAATGGTGTAGACATCGTGTGTATTGATTGTCCAACCGGCACGGAAACCGAAATAAAAGATATTCCAGACGATAAAGACCAACATGGTAGCTTGAAGAATTGAATGGGAGAAATATGGTTTCAACAGGAAGACTGTCTCTTTTTGTTGTTCACCAATGATCAGCTCCATAGTATTGAAACCGTCGTCCAACATGGAATTGGCAGTCACCTTTCGTTTCACCTGAAGTTCCGACTTCTTTTTGGTCAACATTTTCTCTTTAACTTTTACAATCTCTGCTTTTGAAACCTTGGGAGAGAATGTCTTTTTCTTGTCCTCCTCACCAAATGCATTGGGAACGATGTCTTCATCCATGATATTTCTAATGGGTTGTGGTGGTGTACTCGTTACCGATCCACTACGCTTTAGCTTTGGAGAGGCGGAGCCACCTGCTCCATCACGAGTGACACTTCCTGGCGAGCCTGGAGTTCCACCTCCATTGTCCCTCATATCGACCAGCTCCTCTGTGATTGGGAGACCCTCGGTATGGTTACTGTTATCTGGCTGAGAAAACTCGAGTTGAGTGTTTCTTTTTTTCAGAATGCCAGCAGAACTCTTTAGTTTTCTCTCGCTGTCCTTCCGCACGGCGCCACCTGCTTTCTTCTTTGCCAACTCTCTATCGATTGGCTTTTCCTTGTTATTCCATTTCCACTTGATATTATTGGAGGAACCTCCACGTGGATTTAGACTTCGACTGGAAAGCGAGCCTCCTGTCACTGGAAAATTACCGGAATCCAGTCTGGCAGGTTGGAAATCTCGTTGTAGTCTGGGATTTATGTTTGAATCATTATTATTAGATTGTGAAAGTGTCGGAGGTGTACTTGGAGCACCTGTACTATTATTCAATGGATTTATAAATAATTGTTGGTTTATAATATTATTCGTTGAATTTGTTGTTGTGGTGGTGGTTGTTGTATTTGAAGGCGATTTTTTATATGGACTTGTAGGTGTATTTAATGGAAAATCACCTCCTTCCATTTTTATTTTTATATTAACTAAATAATTTTTTTAAAATAAAGAATAATTTGGAAATATTAATAGATTTATTTTTATTTTATTTTACCAATTATTATTTACCTATTAGTTAAATATTTCTTTTTTTTTTGGATATTAGAAATTTCTAATTTTCTATTATTTTTTTTTTTTTTGGTATTCAAAATAAATGTATTTATTCTTATCCTTATCCTTATCCTTAATTAGGAAAAACAATCAAACTGAAACAATTAAAAATGAAGTATATAAATAGAAAAAAGGAAAGTAAGGGAAAGAAAAGGAATCATTTTTATTATAATTACTAAATTTTTTTTTTTTTTTTTTTTTTTTTGGTGTGGTTGGAATATGATGGATATGTTGATATGCTGATGTTGTGGTAATCATAGATCTATCTATGATTGATTTTATAATTGCAAATACGCATTTTTTGTAAAATGGAAATAATTAGCTAACTAACTAATATTAATATATCTTAATTTTTTATTCATCTTAAATTTTAGTGTTATACAAACAGAGTAGTATTTGATTGTATAGGTTGTTGTTGTTGTTGATGATGATGATGACAACCATGATGTTAAATTGATATCAGCAAATTCAATCAATAACAATCAACACGGAATTTATTGATCGTAAAACAATCGGATAATCAATAGATAGATAATAAATTATGTGTGAATGTGTCGAATACATCATATTAAATAATTATAAAATATTAAATGTTAGTATTGTTATATTATGAAATGATGTGTTTTGTTGTGTTGTGTAGTGTTTTGTGTTGTATGAAATGTAGAGAGAGAATACAAAACAAAAAAAACTTTGGAAGAGAGTGAGTTGAAAAAACAACCGATACCACTTCTTCTTCAAATATGATTATCTGATAAACCTTCATTTGAAAAGAAAGAAGGATATTTAATAACAACAAATCGACGACGTCGTTAAATAAAAATAAAATCAAACAATAAACTCATGATCATTGTTGAATAAGATATTAAACAAACAAACAAACTTAGTAGATATTACTAAAACAATGGATCAATTAACTAAAATAAGTTAATATAACTGGAAATAATACTCAAACATATTATAATATTGATATTGTACATATGTATTATTTACTAGTAAAGTTAAATATTAATATCATATAAAGGATTCGCACATTTTAAACAAATTGTACCTTTATTTGATTTTCTTTTTTGGTGTTTGTTTGTTTATTGTTAATTTGTGTTAAGGGAAAACAAATATAATGGATGTCAGTTTCAGTCATATGAAAATAAAAGACTTTACATATTATGTAGTTGATGAGCTGTTATGATATAACATTAATATTAATCGTTATCAAACTTTTTATTGTTGTTAGTAACAATGATACTGTTGTAATTTCAATCAAAACAATGCTGATTTACAATCGACATTGACAATTGATTAGTTTGTTTTTTTAAAATGTTGGAAAAGGAAAAGAAACATCAAACAAACTGACCAACCAATCACAAAAACAGCAATTAGATTGGAGTGTACTTGATTTAATTATGTTCATATTATTGAGATGATCATTTATTTATATTTTTATTAAGATACATTGTTGGTTGTTGTTGTTGTTAATGACAATCGTCGTTTTTATTAATATCAAACACACACATCAATTATTTTTAGTGTGAACATAATCAAGATTTTGTGTGATTGTTGTTTAGTGTGTGTTGTTGCAGGTTTAGGGTAAGATGGTAGCAGTTAAATATATAATTATTTAACAAAAATATATTATAAATCAAAAATCGAATTTGAATAGTTCTATTTTATAAACAAATTTATTATTACTACTACTATTAATATTTTATTCTAAATTTATCTTTGAAATATTTTTACAGATGAAAAATGAAAGAAAGAGATTAAGTTTCTATGTTCATTTATCATGGTCAAAAAAAACATTAAAGTTTAAAAGTACATTAAAATACAAATTTGTTTCGGAATGTGTATTTTAGAATAGAAAAATGATCTTTTTTATAAATATATTGACTAACATATCATAGAAAATAAACTCTGACAAAAGCTTTATTCTTTATGTAGAATTAACTCTTTTTTATCTCGCTTGATATATATAACTATTTAACTCTTCAAAATAAAAATGTGAAAATCAATCTCGATCTCGATAAAAAAACAGTTGTTTTTCAATGATTGGTCTCCAACCCCGCAAAAATTAAAAAAAAAATTGAAATTCAAATAAAATTTAAATTAACTTTGCATCAATCAATGCCCAGCAATAGCAGAATTATTATTTTTTTTGACCACCTAAACAACGAACTGATAATAAAAAAAATAAATAAATAGACAACAAAAACAACAACACACACTATAATTATTATCATAAATATTACTGTCCTTTCTGTCAAACACAAAAACAAATCCAACAACAATTTTTTATTACAACGTTGAGTGTTTGTTTGTTGTTTGTTTGTTTTGACATACTAGTATAGTATATTTTATTGTATTTTTTAAACCTACTCATTTATTATATATTTTATTTTTATTTGTATTAATTTTAATTCATTTAATTTAATTTATCATTTGTATTTTACAAAAACAAAACAAAAATAAAATCAAATAGTAGTAGTAAATCCAATCGATAAATTATTAGTAAATCAGTAAATCAGTAAATCTTTAAAGAGTTTTGTTGTTTACAAAGTATTAATACAATGTCAACAACATTATCGAAAAGTGGTGAGAGTATGTTGAAATCAAGTAATTCATTGTTGTCATCGGAAGGTTTCGCAGTGGATAGCGACGATGAAGTTGGAAATATTACCGGTAGTCAGCAGAGTCCCGATAAGAAGTTATCGTTTGCACAAGACATGTGGGAAGGTTTCGATTTACTGTGTAAACGAACTGAATACGGTATAGAGCAATGCAAAGAGTTACTAGATTTCTTCAAGAAGAGAGCTGCTCTCGAAGAGAGATATGCAAAAAGTGTAGTGGATCATTTTTCGAAATTTAAATTAAAAGATGAAACTGAGTAAGTATCAATAATATCAATGAGATATCTAAGTTTTTTACTTACTTTTTAACTTCACAATTTAAATTGTCTATCTATATATATAGTTCATTTCAAAGAGGATTCCTTTGTATTTCAGTATTAAGTGAATCTGAATCAAACATTCATAAATCATTTGCACAGAATTTGATTAATAATCTTTGTCATCCATTCACTGCACTTGTTAAAGAGATGGAACAAAAGAGAAAGAATGTAATGTTATCGTCATCAACAAAAAAACAATATAATTATAACTGAATACTAATGTTACCAAATTATTGATTAATCGTTAATTTTATATTAGTTGGTAAATGAAGGATTGAAACTTAGAAACGATTATAAAGATTCATTGGAAGCAGTTAGAAAGGCACACCAGAAATATGAGAAATTCTGTAAGGAAACAGAGTCTGCCAAGATCGAATTGATTTCAATGCTCGAGAAGGAGACTGAAGTAGATGGTCCCTCGATTAAAGTGCAGACCTTGGAGAAGAAGGTTGCCAAGTGTGAGGCAACCGCTATCGTTGCCGAAGAGGAGTATAAGAATCAAATCAAAGAGACCAACGAGTTCATCTATGGTTACTATCAAACAAAGATGATGGATAGTTTGAATGTAAGTAAAGAAACAAACAAGCAATCAAACAAACAAACTAAACAAATGCGCTAATCTTAATCTATCTATTGCATATATTATTTATTAATTAGGAATTTGAACAATTTGAATCAATGAGAATGCAATTTATAAAGAGTAATATAAAGAATTATATGGGATTGATGCTTGAGACTCCGAGTGCATTGGAGGTCGAACTGAACAATGGATGTAAACAAACTGATTGGATCGATCCAGAGTTGGATATTCAGACATTTATAAAGAATCATACGACGCCAAGAAAGTTGATTCCACCATTCCAATTCGAACCCTATGTCGAAGGCAAATTGATTTCTCTCAACAGCAGCTCCAGTGGTATACAACAACAGGCATCGTCTCCACCCACCGCCAAAGTATCTTCATTCAAAGACAACATTCTTGGATTCTTTAATAAAACCAATATACTAACATTAAAGAGAGATGAAGTAAGTAATAACAAAAATATTAAACTATCTTTCTTTCTTTTTGTTAGTACTAATAAATTGATATTTTCGATGTTTTAGAATCCACTTCATAGCTCTCAATCAATTCCATTGCATCCGATTTTCGGTACTGATTTGGAAGAGTTGATGGATCAACAAAAGAAAGATTTCCCACAGATTGATATACCATTGATTCTTATCAACTTTATACAGACTCTGTTGAAACTGAATGCATTGGAGACTGAAGGAATCTTTAGAATGTCACCACCACACACCCAACTTCAACAGGAGAAACAAAAGTTGGACGAAGGTGGTGGATTGGATCATATTCAAGATGTTCATTTAGTAGCTTCACTTTTGAAACATTGGTTAAGAGATCTTCCAAATCCAATTATTTCATCTGCTATTTAGTATGTATATTTCATATTATTATAGATTAAAGTTTAAATCTAATTATTTATTATTATTATTATTAATTATTTAGTGATGAAATTATTGAAACACCTCTAAACGCTTGGAATATAATTGAGACAGGTATACCATTGTTACATCAAAGAGTTTTAAGATATTTGATAGACTTTTTCGTCGAGTTGAACGAACCGGAATTCGCTGCACAAACCAAGATGGATTGTCATAGTCTTGCTGTTGTAATGGCACCAGTTCTCATCAGATCAAACATCAACGATCCACAGGTAGCACTTGAAAACTCAAAGAGGGAGGTTAAAGTTGTGGAATGTATGATTGTCGATTCACTCAATAAAAAGAAGGAACAAGAGTTGATTCAACAAGAGAAAGTTAGAAGTAGAAGTTCAACACCAATCAACTTCCCATTCCAACCAATAGCTAATAACAATAACAATGATAGTGAAAACAATAATAATAATAGTAACAGTAACAGTAGTAATAACAATAGTAGTACTAGTAACCTTAATAACAGTAAACAAGATGAATCCAATAATATTCCATCGAGAAATACCAGTACTTTATCATTTGGAAACAGTGATACATTTTCAGTTTCGAAATCAGACTCTGATCCAGTGCTTGTAGAATCCGAAGAGTTCCATGACCATGACCACGACGAATTTAGAGAGTTCATTCAAGTATCCAATGATTCCAACCAATCATTAAGCAGCGATGATTCATGAATATTAGTTTAGAATGTAAATTGGTTAGATTTTATTTTATTTTCTTTATGTATATTTTCAGTTGTGCAAATTATAATCAAACTTTTTTTTTCTTTACATTCTATTTTATTTTATCAAAAAAAAAAAACAAAAAGAATAATAGTTATATATATTTATATTCTTTTTATATGTTGTGTTTTATTTAAAAAAAATTGTAAATCTCCAAAATAATAAATTGTAGTTAAGTTATTTTTTTATCTGTTTGCCAAAATAATATTGTAATCATTTGGTTTTGTTGTTGTTGTGAATTTTATATCCTCACTTATTGGTTCGCCATTAGCACAGTGCAATTTAAAGTTCAATACAATATTGGCACAGGCAGTACAGAGTTCATCCAATGCCAAGTTCATTCCAACACAGTTACGTGGTCCAGTTGAGAATGGAAGATAATAATCTGTATGGTTATAATTGATAAATCTAGTTGGAAAAAAAAAAAACAAAAATCAATCATTTATTTAGTTTGTTTTTCATTAAATGATATCATAAATTATTGGGTGTGCTATAAGATTTTTGAGAAAAAAAAATGACATTTATTATCTATAAAATTAATAATTGAACTTACATTTGTTTATTTTTTATTTATGTAAAATTAAATAGATAATAAAAAACCCTATTACTATAAACAATTTTACTAAAGAATGTCAAGAACAAAAGAGATAATTACAGTACAATCAGATAAAGAGTTAAAGGATAATATTGAAAATAGAGAGCAATGTAAAAGTGTAAGGAATTTAGTAACAAAAATCAAATGAAATTATTTATAAATAATTAATTTTTATTTTTTTATATATAGTTATCACTTTCATTCGATGAATTGGAAGAAATCGAACAGTATTTGCGTATACCGTTGAAGGATAGACAACACAAAATCAAGTTGGATATATTGATTAGGGAATATGAAATAGTACTCAATACTGCATCTCCAGAAATCAGTGCAATTTTACCCGGTAGTTTTCTGGGTGGACAATTGAAATTGTCTCGTCAATCAACTAGAGGGAGAAGAATAAGATCCGGTGCTTTCGATAATGTCAAATATTTGGTATATCATAAAAACAATATCGATAATCTTCTTATGAATCTTCATATGTTGTTGCCGAACCATCCTCATTGTAATCAAACCATAATGAAAGAGTTCCTTACTAGTCACGAAATCCTGTTGTCTAGTGGGAATTCAGAGACAATCGATAGTTTCAGATGTGATGAGTGTGAAAAGTGTCTTAAACCTCCAAAGGAAGAACAAAATCTCTCCTCGACAGCTAGAATCAAACATTTCAGCAAGAATCAAAAAGTATTTCGCCGACCAGATCAATTTCAATGTTTACAGAATCAAGTTACTGAAGTGCACAACATGGTAAAGGATCTTTCGCCAAACATCATTTCAGAAGGATATCCAGTAAAACCAGAAGAAGAAGAAAAAGAAGAAGAAGTAGAAGAACCAATCTCACGACATGACCATATTTCTACTTTGAATATCATGACTGAAATCAATGTGACCGATAGAGACATCAACAGAATCAGTTCTGGCAAAAGTTTAAAAGGAAATTCTATGAATGGTTTGATAGTGAAATTTCTTCAACACCAGTTCAATTCAGAATGGAGTCACCCATTACTGACAGTGTTTGATAGCTTTTCATTCAGAAGACCTGTTTATTCAACCATGAGAAACTCTCTGTTTAGTATGATACCATACAATGTAGATAACGATAACTGGTTGTTCTACTTTATTAAACAAGTAAGAAACTCAATTACCAAAATCATTGGATATGAAATATTCTGTTATGACTCATTAGGTGGAAAACCTCGACTGCCAGAGTTTATAAATTCATATTTCAACAATAATCAGTTATTCTATTTATCAATTCTCAATCAAATGGATAGTGTCAACAATGGAATATTTGTTTTAATTCAGATGGAGTATGTTATCAACAACTACAGTCGTTTGGATGAGCATACAGATATTAAAATGTTCTTTAATGAATTGAAACCATCAACCTATGACTTTGATGAATACAGAAACAGACTTGCAATGATTTTAAGAAAAGTAAAAGATAATCAACAATTTTCAAAAGGTGGGGAACTCAACTTAGGTGGTAATAATAGCAATAAATATTTCGATTGTTATACTAATATCGACATTTATGGTCACTCTAATATAGATATAGAGATAACAACTACAACATCTACAACTAGAAGAACTTCAATTAGACCGAGACCATCACCGTACATTTGTGAAAGAGAAGAAGCAAACATTAAGAAAAAGAGTAAAGTTAAAGTAGTTGAAAAACGCAAAACCGAACAGTTTGATGAAGAGGAAGAAGAGGAATCAGTAAGAAATCAAACCAAAAGAAAGAGAAACAAAAATTGGCCACTTGAAAGTGTTTGACGATTGAATAAATGAATTAGAACCGGATATTTAAAAATGTTGAAAAAAAGAACATTTATTTTATTTCTATATTATTTTCTAAAATAATATTTTTTATATTAAATATCATACTAAAACTAATTTTTTATCTGTTTTCAAAAATAATATTAAAATCTTTGGGCTTTGTAGTTGCTGTGAATACTAAATCCTCGCTTATAGGTTTTCCATTTGACGAGAATAGTTTAAAGTTCAATACAATATTGGCACAAGCAGTATAGAGCTCATCCAATGCCAAATTCATTCCAACACAGTTTCGTGGTCCAATTGAAAATGGAAGGTTATATTCCACATGGTTATCATTGATAAATCTGGTTGGATCGAATACCTCTGGATTCTTCCAATATTCAACATTGTGTCCCATAGAGTAGGTATTAAAAATAATCTTTGTACCCTTTGGAATATAATAATCTTGAAGTACAATCGATTCTCTGCTTTCTCTTGGTAAAGATAGAGGAACTACAGGATACATTCTCATAACTTCTTTAATAATTGCAACCATATATGGAGTATTTATTCTATCCGATAACAACACTTGATCTCTATCAACACCGATTGCATTTTTAATTTCTTTGATTGCTCTATCTTGAACTTCTGGATTATTTACTAATGCAACCATAAACCAAAGAATCGTTGATGAACTTGTATCTGAACCTACCAACAAGAAGTCAACAGCCAACAACGCCACTCTGTCGACACTTTCACCTTCACTCAACATCATGGTATCCATCAAATCTCTTGGTGAATCTGGATCCAATGATGTCAAATGTTCATAACAATACTTTTTGCATAAATCCACAAACTTGATGTGATCAGTATTAATGTATTTCATATAGAAACGGATAAAGGGTTTGAAAAGTGGTAATGATTCCAGTCCAAAAATAAATTTGGAATCATTAAATATTCTATATATCCAAGGAATCATATTCTTCATATCTGGATCAACTTCATCCAAATCATCATATTGAATTTTCTTTGACATTACAATTGTTAAAATAATATTTAGAGAAAATGTAAAAATTATAGTTTTTGGATTTAACTAAACAAACAATTTTGTTAGTTTAAATTTTAAAGGTTTTAATATTTATCTTACCTTTAAATTTCTATTGGAATATTTCTTTAATACTTGTATTAAACTTTGAGTCTCTTTTTCAATGAGAGATATATGTGTTTTTAATCTTGTTTTTGTGAATGAGTTGGATACTAATTTTCTACAATGATACCATTCTTCATCTCTGGATGTCACTATATCATTGATTGGTTGTGAGGTGTTCTCCCATGATATTGATTTCGGTCTATTCATAAAATTCTCATGATTATTAATAAGCATGTCTCTGGTCATCACTGGATCACTAACGACTATTGTGTATACAGACCCAAGCCAAAGTCTATAAACCTTTCCATATTTCTTTTCCAAGTTCATCAAATCTCGAAAAGGTAAACTTCCTGCTAAATCTAGAATATTACCAATTATAGGAAGAGACCATATTCCAGGTGGATCAATTTTAGAAAATGGTTTATTTTTAGAAATCTAAAGTTTCAATAATTAGAAAATGTTATGATAGGAAAAAAGTTTTTATACTTAAAAATAACATACAAAAGAATATATAATTAGAAATAGAAAGAAATATCCAAATATTGATATCCACATTTTTTTATAGTTAGTTAGACAGAGTATTGAAAAATACAAAAAGAAAAATGTTTTAAAAAGGAAGTTTAAAGTTTATTTACTTTAATAAATAAATAAAATTACATTAATGTATTGTATTGAAACCTTTTTTTTCATTGATTGGTTAAATTAAAATTATTAGTAATAGTTAAAGTGGTGGTGTGTTTATCTAGTATTTTCAATAATTAATCATATTAAAATTTGTTAAAGAAAAAATGTAATTACAGATTTTATAATTAAAAATAATTAATAGCAGTATTTATATTTAGATATTTTAGTAACATCAGAAAAAAAAAATCAATTTCAACAATTTAGGATCGATTTTCATTAAAATAATAATCTATTATTTATTCTTTACATATTCAAATATAACACCATGAATCCAGTAGGTTTATTAGTTCTCTTTACTCCTTCGCTATCAGAGATATTTTCTTATTTACACCTATAGATTATTTCTTTCGATAGATAGTGTATGTGTAATTTCATTTACTGCTTCTCCCAAAAATTTGCTTTTGAGGCAGTAAAGGCATTTTGCAAAAATAATGCGAGAATACAAAAAAACATAGATATTTCATATAATGTAAAGTTATTTGTTCAATTATTATCGATAGATTCTAAAATTTCTTTCTTAAAAATCATATGGGAATTGTGTTTACTTTTCTTTTATTATCTTTCTATATGAATCTACATCATATACACAATAAATGTTTTAAACCTTTGTACGATCTTCTCATAAAGACAAACATATAATTGTCTAGCTAATCCAAGCTCATATTCAACAATATACTTTCCAGCCTGATGAATATATCTAAATAAGTATTTATATTAGCGACCTAAAGAATAAATGTTGATAATTCATTCCAAACTCTTTTTATTACTAATAACATACAAAGTAGATATCATACACTTGCTATTATAACAATGGCTTCAATGAATATAGAATAGATTTTTCAATTATTTTAAGAATGACAAGGGTACATCACAATTACAAAAGCTGAGGATCTATTTGATGAGGATAGTAAATCATTCTGTCGTTAATCTAATATAGATATAGAGAAAACCACAACAACAACAGGAGAACACAAACTAGACAGAGACCATCACCGTTGTAGAAGGAGAAGAATAACAATTAAGAAAAAGAGCAAAGAGAAAGTAGTTTACTAACGCAAATCAGAAGAGGGAGGTGAGGAGGAAGAAGAAAAATAAATATTGATTACATGAAAGGTTTTGACAATTAAGATTAAATTAAATACTATAGAATATTTAAACTGGATATTAAAAAATTTATTTGAAAAATTAAACAAATACAAAATCAGTGTTTTTTTTTTTTAACATTATCAAATTCAGTGAAAAAAAGTCCAAATTACAAATGATTTAAACAAAAGTAATTAAAGATTGACTTTCCCAAATTAAATTTAATTTAAATGATGATTGTTTTATATTTAATTATTAAATTTAACAGGCTTGTAAATTGGTCATAAAAAAAACATCAATAATCCTCCGATTTATTTATAAGAGAATACTTTCACTCTTTTAAAAATATTCTTATCAGTTATTTAAATAAACAAAGAAAGAAACAAATATAAAAAGCATTCGTAATTGATACTGTAAGTCTTTTTAAACTCTTTGAAAAATAAAGTACTATCAATAATTCTTATCTCAAAATATTAATTTATAAAATAAATAGGGTTCTGGTATGTGTAAGGCAGGTTTCTCAGGAGATGAAGCCCCACAGCCTATTTTTCAATCGATCGTAGGATCTTTCCAGTCGCCATCTCACTTTCTTCAAGAGGATAATTTTGATGGAAAGTGGATGTACATTCGAAGAAAGTTAAACTGTTGGTTACATCAAGGAGAAACTCGCATATATTGCCCTTGACTATTTAAAAGAAAAGAAAAAGGTGCATCAAAATCAAACCTCGAGAAAGAATATGAATTTCCAGATGGCTAAATCATTGAACTTAAAAACGGACTCTTCCGTTGCCCATAGGCACTCCTCAAACCAAATTTATTCGGTAAGCAATTTCCTAGTATCCATCAAACTACCTTCAACTCGATCATGAAATGTGACGTCGATAACATCGTGCTCTCTGGAGGCTCTACTATGCTCCCAGGTTTTGAAGAACGTATGCTAAAGGAAAAGGCTTTGCTTTCTCCTGATTATAAAATCAAGGTCGTGGCTTCACCAGAAGCTAAATACTCTGCCTGGATTGGAGGTTCAATTTTTTTCCTCTCTCCACTTTCCAAGAATACAGTACCACCAAAGAAGAATACAATGAAAAGGTTCATCCATTATTCAGTAAATGAAATATTTAAAAATCCTTTTCTACTGGTTAAAATATTAAATAAATAAAAAAGTTTAAACTTTGAACGTCAATTATATCAATAGTTTGACAAAACACTTTATTTGGTACTTTCTATCTAAAGAAAAGATTTTCTACTTTATTAAAAAAGTAAGAAACCAAATTTCCAAAATGTATCATTCGATATCTAAGACAATGACCACTACAAAAAGAAGAACTTGAACCCCATCCAATCTTACAATTAGGAAGTGTGAGAAATATTTTAAATCCAAGAGAAGAAGAAGGGGGGGAATTAGTTAATCAAGATAAAGTGAGTAATTGATATTGATGAATAATTAAAATAGTTGTAAAAAAGAAAATATATTTTATCTCTATCTTTTTCTAAAATAATATTATTTTTATATTTAAAAGCATAATAAAAGATAATATTTATCTGTTTTCAAAAATAATATTAAAATCTTTGGGTCTTGTTGTTGTATTGAATAATAAATCCTCACTTAGAGATCTACCATTTGACGAGAGTAGTTTAAAGTTCAATACAATATTGGCACAAGCAGTATAGAGCTCATCCAATGCCAAATTCATTCCAACACAGTTTCGTGGTCCAGTTGAAAATGGAAGGTTATATTCCACATGGTTATCATTGATAAATCTGGTTGGATCGAATACCTCTGGATTCTTCCAATATTCAACATTGTGTCCCATAGAGTAGGTATTGAAAAAAATCTTTGTACCCTTTGGAATATAATAATCTTGAAGTACAATCGATTCTCTGCTTTCTCTTGGTAAAGAAAGAGGAGCTACAGGATACATTCTCATAACTTCTTTAATAATTGCAACCATATATGGAGTATTTATTCTATCCGATAACAACACTTGATCTCTATCAACACCGATTGCATTTTTAATTTCTTTGATTGCTCTATCTTGAACTTCTGGATTATTTACTAGTGCAACCATAAACCAAAGAATCGTTGATGAACTTGTATCTGAACCTACCAACAAGAAGTCAACAGCCAACAACGCCACTCTGTCGACACTTTCACCTTCACTCAACATCATGGTATCCATCAAATCTCTTGGTGAATCTGGATCCAATGATGTCAAATGTTCATAATAATACTTTTTGCATAGATCTACAAACTTTGCATGGTCAGTATTAATGTATTTCAAATAGAAAAGGATAAAGGGATTTAAAATTGGAAATGATTCTAATCCAATAATAAATTTGGAAACTTCAAATATTCTATCTATCCAATGAATCATATTCTTCATATCTGGATCAACTTCATCCAAATCATCATATTGAATTTTCTTTGACATTACAATTGTTAAAATAATATTTAGAGAAAATTTATGAATAATAGTTTTTGGATTTAACTTAAAATTAATAAATAATATTGTTAGTTTAAAAGCTAAATTATTCTAATTGATAATTAAGAAATAACTAACCATCAAATTGCTATTGGAATATTTCTTTAATACTTGTATTAAACTTTGAGTCTCTTTTTCAATGAGAGATATATGTGTTTTTAATCTTGTTTTTGTGAATGCGTTGGACACTAATTTTCTACAATGATACCAATCTTCATCTTTTGATGCCAATAATTCATTGTTTGATTTTGACATTGTCTCCCATGATATTGATTTCGGTCTATTCATAAAATTCTCATGATTATTAATAAGCATGTCTCTGGTCATCACTGGATCACTAACGACTATTGTGTATACAGACCCAAGCCAAAGTCTATAAACCTTTCCATATTTCTTTTCCAAGTTCATCAAATCTCGAAAAGGTAAACTTCCTGCTAAATCTAGAATATTACCAATTATAGGAAGAGACCATTTTCCAGGTGGATCGATTTTAGAGAATGATTTATTTTTAGAAATCTAAAGTTTCAATAATTAGAAAATGTTATCTTTAAACTTAAAAATAACATACAAAAGAATATATAATTAGAAATAGAAAGAAATATCCAAATATTGATATCCACATTTTTTTAAATAGTATTGAGGAATACAAAAAGAAAAAATCTTTTAAAAAGGAGTTAGATAAATAAAATGTTTGAACATTTTTTTACCTTTTATAAGTAAAATAAATTATATAACTATAATTTAAGCAAAATTCTCATTGCTTCCAAGTATTGTAATGAAACCATTTGTTTTTTATAGTTTTATACCAATTAGGTTAGTTTTTAAGTATCAGTGATAGGTGATATTAAAATAATTAGTAGTCATGAAGAGTGGTGGTGTGTTTATCTCGTATTTTCAATTTCAATAGATTCTAAATTGTGTCTATCTAAATAATATTATTCCCTATTGGTCAAATAAATTAATATTAAGTTAATTGAAAAATAATATTTTTTTATTTTTTCAAAAATTCATTTTTTTTTTTTTTGTTTTTGTTTTTTTCGATGCCCACAAAAACAATCGATTCTAATCTAATTTAGGCTTAACACGGTTTTGAACTATTTTGAAATGCTATTTATTCATGGAAGAGCAGGATGAATCGATCAAGTCTTAACCAAACTGTTTCAGGATGTGATCACAAACCATCGATCTTTGTTAACATCATTCTATTTCTTTTTGTTTTGTTAAATTATATTTTCTGTTTTATTATTTTGTCACAGTTTTGTTTTGTTTTTTTTTTTAAAAAATTAAATCAAGGATAAAAATTGAGGACTCGCAATATCTGTTCATGATTTTTTTTTTTTTTTTTTGTATTTTTTTTTTCGTTGCAAAAATTTTTAACCAAAATGAGATTTTCATCCACAAATCTTTCATTATTATAAAGTTATATGTGTCTGTCTGTACACCTTTCAATATAGTATTTATAAATAAGCAATAATAATTTTATGTTTAATGCTTTTGATTCCCCATTCTAAATCACCAAATGTCAATTTTATAAATATAATAATAAATTTCTTGATTTTTCAGAATCATTAGTAATTAAAAAGAGAGATAACAGACAATATCATAGACAATAGAATAGATAGTTAGACTTATTTTATTTCAATTTAGTTAGTGGTTAATTTTTAATTTGTTTTTGTTTTTTTATTTTTGTTTTTTTTTTTCGTTTAGAAAAGAAGTCACTCTGAGAGTGTAAACAATAAATAAATAAACACGACAAACTATCAATCAGACACCACTACCACCACCACCAAAAACAACAAATCACTTATAACAATATCGCCACACATCACACATACACACACTGCAACAACAACCACAAAACTAAAAACACACTCATATATTACTCTGTTAGTTAGTTAGATAGAATTATTTATTTAAAGAATCACTTCTATAATCTCCTACTTAAAATTAAACTAACTAGGCTTCACTCCTCAAAACAACATTTATAATCATAATAATAATAATAATAATAATAACAATACCCCAAATTTGCAACAGCAGCAACAAGTGAAACCCAACATTCCATTTAATTAATAATTAATTATTTTTGATAATATTACCATTTTCAAACACATAAGACACAACTTTCATAATAGAAGTAGTAGCAGTAGTTGGGTGGGAGTAGGGATAATAATAATACTTATAGCAAAACACAATCAAATAAAATAACAACAACATAACCAACAATAACTAACAACACAATTGAAACAAACAAACAAATCACTCAATTTTAATTTAACAATCCAAACTAAAAAACTACCGATTCTTATCAAAGTTGCAACTTATTTTCAAATCCAACAAAAAAGTCATAGAATATTAAATATCATAGTAATAATCAACCAGAATAAGAATAAGAACAAGAATATCATTATCCATTAATTATTTAATTAAATCAGAAGAACAGCAACAATCCAAATTCCAACAACCAACAACCCAAAAAAAAACAAAAAAAAACAATCCACTAAAAATAAATAATCACAAAAAGTTTGGTGGTTTGTTCGAAGCGCGCCCAACAAAATCAGCGATACTCCTCCCGATTGCCAAAATTTCATATTTTTGGAAGGAACAGTCACACTGATCAAACACACAAACACAACACACATAAATTAAATAGTAATTCGACGATCTAAACATTGATTTCTAAGTTAAAACAGTTTAAACAATATATAGTAGTATAATAGTATAGTATTTATTTATATAGTAGTAATAATAATATAAAAAAAAAATTTTAAAAGATGATGATGTTTGAATTACCAGATGTCAGGAAACCAGAGACAGGTATAAGGCGATACCTTTCGAAGCTGGATCTGCGGTTTCCTCGTATACAAGAAGAGAAGCATTTTCAATCATATTACTTTCATCACATCTATAGAGGTCAGATTCGAGCGGCACTCGTATTCCTGACGGCGGTTTTGACACTGGCGTTGATAGTGGACTACGCGCGGCCACTCGATATAGGCTCACTGCCTACCTATCTGCCGTTCCGTTACTTTTTCGGTGATTTTGTAGAATGACGACGACGACGACAGCAGCAAACACACCTCAGAGTCACTATCCTCATCGGAGCTGACACCGGACTATCTCGACAAAACACAACATCAACTCGATACTGCTTCGCGCAATGCATTCATAATACGATTGGTCACAGTAGCACTTTTAATATGCACTTTCATTTTCACATTTACACAACACTTTAAGAAACTTTGGAAGCTTTATGCCTCGATTATTACTTTTATAGGTAAATATTAAATAAGACTATGTTAAAATTAATCCAAACTAACTTAAATTATTGAAAAATAATAATAATTATTATTATTATTATAGCAACTTGTACTACATTAATATTTGTATACGATTTTAGAACGATTCCAGAAAGAATGATTTTATTATATGTAGTTATTACAATTGCTTCGGGCTTAACATTTTTACCAGCGGCAATCACATCACTGGCGCTCTCTGTATTTTACTTTCTCTATTTTATATTATATGATAAGATTTACTATATATCGATTTGTCTTATTTCAACATTTATATTTGTTTCCATGTTCTTTTTAGTATCAATTTCACAATATCGGTAAGTTAAAATAGCGAAAATAATATTAAAAATTAAAGAAAATAAACTAAATCAGTTTGACTAACCAACTCATGAAAATAAATTGTAAATATTTATAGTGAACAATTAATAAGAGATAAATTTAGAACGTTGGAGAATTTAAAATTACAAACTATTAGATCTGGAAAGGTTATTAATCAGATGCTTCCAACGGTTGTTGTTCAGAGACTGAGGCTGGAGTCATCGAAGGAGCAGACTCTCGATTCGATTGTAGCTAGCGATAAAGCAAAAAGCAAGTTATCAGCGATGCCATCGGCATCATCGGAAGGACAAGTTGAAATATCGATCGCTTCTGACGATACCAATCAATCATCATCAAACTCAACAGCAACAACAGCAACAATAAATACATCAAACAACAACAACAATAATCCAACTCTACAAATGACCCCAGTTCAAGAAAGGAGACAAATAGATCCACAATCACCTTCATCGTTGGTTCCAGGTCAGTACAGTGGAAAGCTAATTGTAGATTCATACGATCCAGTCACTGTTTTGTTTTGTGAGATTGTCAACTTCACTTCACTGCTAGAGAAGATGCCAGCTGCCCAAGTTGTGACGTTGTTGAACGAGGTCTACAATTCATTCGATCGTCTCACCGACGTCTATGGCGTCACCAAGGTTGAACACATTGGAAACGTTTATATGGTGGTCGGAGGATGTCCAGAGTTGTGTCCGGATCACGCACAACGCGTTGCCCACATGTCACTCGGAATGCTCCAAGTGATTCGTCGATACGGCATCGTCCAGGTCAAGATTGGAATGCACACTGGCCCTGTAGTTGGAGGAATCATCGGTAAGAAGAAGCTGAGTTGGCATCTCTTTGGTGACACTATCAATACCTCCAGTAGAATGGCATCGCATTCCAGCATCGATAGAATCCAGGTGAGTCAGCCGGTGCAGCAGTTGCTCCGACGCAAATTCCTCTTTGAGGATCGCGGTAAGATTCAGGTCAAAGGCAAGGGAATGATGCGTACTTTTTATCTCATCAAAACGAAATCGCTAGATAAGCGATACACCTCCATTTTCACCAGTTCACATCGAGATAAACCATATATCCCACCCATCGATATTTCCGAGGTCGTCTTGGAGACGTCGCCGCAGATGGCCACAAGCATTCCCCAGACACCGACCTCACTCAGTTCAGTTCTCAACAGCAACGCACTGAACAACAATAATTTCAACGATCCACCCATTTCCACACGTGTTAGAAAAGGCAGTATTTTTGCATCGGTCGTTCCACCCAAAGTATTGTCATTCCTGCAGTCGGACGCCGGAAGCAGCAGCAACTTGGATCATGGTTCAGGACACAGTAAAAAGCTGGAAAAAGGAAGTAGCACTTCCAATATCTCTGCGCTGGTAAACGGACCGAATACTTTGACAGCCGGTGGATTGACAAGTGTTAGCGTCGCCAACGCTGGCACCGGCAGCAACAATATGGGCGGTGTCGTTGTCAATCCCAACGACAGTATCAGTAAGAAAAAGAGTCATGTTACTTTTGTTCAGCAGCAGATACATCCGATTGAACGACGTGGAAGTCGTGCACCGTCGATCGACGAATCTGGCGATGCTCCTGATTTGAACGCCACGGAAATCGAAATGACCAATCTGGATCTTGGCAAAGGTGTAAAAGGTTCCAACATTATCAATTCCAACTCCACAACGTTGTCGCTGATAGAGAATGATCTCAAGAAGAACTACACACTCAACTATCTCCGAATGAAATTCATCTCGCGTGACGATCTCGTTGAGCAAGAGTTCTGTAAAGACTATTCGAAATTGGTGTACAAACGAATTCTACTCTCAATGATCTTTGCCACCATTATCATGGCTATGGGTTCACTTGCCGACTACTTCTTCCTCAAGGAATGGCATAATAGTCAATACGATTTAGTTACAGGTGTAAGATTTGGAGTTGCCATATTCGGTTTAATCTATATTTATATTGCATCTAAATCCGCCAGGTAAATAATATTATAATTTTAGTTTAACCGCACACTCACTAAACGGTTTGACTAACTAACTATTTCATTCAAAATTTCCAACAGGTTAAGATTAAGATATTTACAAATCATTGGAAGTGTCTATTTTGTAGCTATGGCGATTGCTATTATTGTGTTGGTTAGTATTAGTCCGATGGATTCGTTGCCGTTGGATGCTTTTGTAGTTTCATCGTTTATGATGCTTTTCACAGTGTGCTATAATTTCTCTGGCATTAGATTCATGTATGCCAATGTCGTGGCATTGGTTTGCATTTTTATTTTCAACCTAAGTCTGGCGTGGAAGTCCACCAACAAGGAGATAATGTTAAGTCACAATTTCTATTTGATAACGGTGCTGCTTCTGAATTTGTCGTCGGCCTACACCGAGGAGCTGTTCATGCGTCAGAATTGGGTGCATGGCAAACTGCTGGACAAAGACCGTCGCGAGACCGAGCAGCTGGTCAGCGAAATTCTCCCGATGTACGTAGTGCTCCAAATGAAATCCGGTCGACAGTTGATTGCCGACGAATTCGACCAGGTGACTATCTTCCTCTCGGACATCGTTGGATTCACTGAGATGGCGGCGCGACTCACTCCCAGCGAACTGGTGGAGACGCTCAATACCATCTATTCGACGTTCGACGAGATCGCACAGAAACACGGTGTGCTGAAAGTGGCGACGATTGGTGATGCCTATCTCTGTGTCTGTGGATGTCCAGAGAAGCGCGATGACCACGCCGAGCGCGTCGCCAGCATGGCCATTGAGATGCTCGAGGCAATCAAGAGCATTCGCACCGTCGATAACATTCCCATCAAGATGAGAATCGGTTTGCATACCGGACCGGTAGTGGCTGGCGTCGTCGGAATCAAGATGATCCACTACCAGCTGTGGGGTGAGAGCGTGCAGATCGCGCAGCAAATGGAGAGTTCTGGCAAGGCTGATATGATACATGTCAGTCAGGAGACATACGCGCTACTCGCTCACAAGTATGTGTTTGAGGAGCGTGGTGAATCCGTTGTTCGCAAACGCAAGATGAAGACCTACTTCTTGGAGAGATTGAGAACCGATGCCGATCCTGCACCGGTCCTACCGGAACCAAACAGACTCTCTGTCAATCGAATCAACTTTGGTGCATCGATGACACTTCCAAGTGAAAAAACACCATTGGACACCAGTTTAACAAGCTCAATTGAAGATGGTGATAGTAATTTAAATCTCAACAACAGTGGTACTCTCATAAATAGCAATACCATCGAAGAGGAAGATGATGATAGTGAAGATGAAGAAGTAGATGAAGAAGATGATAGTGAAGAAGAATACAATAACAATAACAACAATAATTTACATGCAATTAATGAAGAGGATGACGAATATGAAGATAAACCAATAGACGTTCCACAAACCAATGATGTCTTTAATATAAAATCAGAATAGTATAGAACAATGATAATAACAATGATAATATAATCTATAATCTATAATGATAATCTCAAACAAAAAAAAAAAAAAAAAAAGACAACCAAACAAACTAATAAAACAAACAAAACAAAACAAAACAACCAACCAATATTGTTGTTGTTGTAATATTAATAACATAATTAAAAAAAAAACAATATTTTATTAATTATATAAGAGTTCATCTTTTATCTTTTATCTATGTTTCATTGAGATTTAATTTACAAAGCAAAGATTTTTTTTTATTTTTATTTTTTTTTTGTTCTTATTTGCAAGCTGGGATATCCCACCTTTTATTTTTTTAATTTACAAAAAATCATCATTTTATTCCAACATTGGGAATTGGTAATTATTAATTATCATCTTAATTATGATACCAGCACTGTTAATGTATACCTTGAAAAATAAACATAAAAATAACAACACACAAACACAAAATTTTCGTTGTTACAATGAATTTTTTTCATTTTTCAAATACATAATTGGATAAAAAAATTAGTCATTCTTGATTTTTTTTAAACATTCAACTCTACTTTAACTTTCTTTAAAACTTTTAAAATTGTAAATTAATTATTCTTATTTATTCTTTTTCATTTAAATCTTTTTATTTGTATTTTGTTTTTGATTACAACTTATTTTAAAACAAACAAAAAAAAGAGTATTTTTAAAAAAACAATTCAATATTTAATCTTTTTTTTTTATTTATTCATTTTTCGTCTTTATAGTTCCGAACCAACATTCGTCATCATATTCATTGCAAAATAAGTTTAACAACAAAAAACTTGAATTATTTATTAACCACCCAATTTAATTATATTTTCGATTTTATATTTTTTTTTGAAAAAAAAAAATCATAGGGCAAGTTGTGAGTCAATATTTGATTTGACCAAAATCAGAATGATCTGACAATACCACCAACCACTTCGCATCCCATTATTTTTATTTTTTTCAAAATTAATTTTTTATTTTATTTAAATTCTTTCTCCGTTATGCTCTATACCAACCACACACGCTTCAACATTTAATCTAACACAAATTGCCTACAATAGTAATAGAAACGCAATATTAACTTAAAGTAAAATCTACACAAACACACACACAACTACATTCCTCCTACGATTTCAGATTCGATTCATAATTCCAAGACAAGACCGTGGTGCTGAGTTGATGAGTCAGTTATAATCAACTGAAATCAAGCATCATAATATTACCTTGTTGTTTGTTTTTTGTTTTTTTGGTTTTTTGTTACTTTAGGCATTATAATTACCATAACACCCCATTAAACTTTAAAACAAAAAAAAAAAAAAAAAAAAAAACGAAAGAAACCAAACTATGATCAACACACACTTAACACACACACCAACAAAAACCATAAAATTAAAAAGCCTATTAATAATTCCTTGGAATGTTGTTTTATTAATATTTTTAATATTTTATTTTAATTTATTCTTACAGACGAAGAAAAAGTATCAGAAAATCATCATACAACAACACTGCCTGTGCTGCACCAACTATCAACTCTACTCTACTTAAGCAACAGCATCATTTCAGAACATGTCAAAACCAATCTTTACTTCACCTACAATCATTCGTCGTGATATCAATAACGATATTGTATCTCCATCATCACCAACAAATAAACAAATGTCACTGTTAACCTCTGCAATGAACTCGCCAGATAACGCTGCCACTCTTTCATTCCCAAAGGAAAAGATCAAGGTATTGCTCCTTGAGAACATTCATAGTGTTGCAATTCAAAATTTTAAAGATCAAGGTTTCAATGTATGTATAGATCTAAATGTTACAAATATTTATTTATTATTTATTAACCTTTTGGTTTTTATTTATTTTCATTTCAATTTCAAGGTTGAATCATTAAGTTCTGCATTATCAGAGGATCAACTCATTGAAAAGATTAAAGATGTACATGTTTTGGGTCTGAGAAGTAAGACTAAAGTAACAGCAAAGGTATTGGCCGAAGCCAAACGTCTGATGGCAATTGGATGTTTTTGTATTGGTACAGATCAAGTTGATTTGCCATTTGCTGAATCAAGAGGTGTATGTATACTTTGATTTGATTGTTTACTTTTATAATTTCAATCCATAACTAACTGATTACAATTATTTTTGTTTTTTTTTTTTTCAGGTTCCAGTTTTTAATTCACCATTCTGTAATTCAAGAAGTGTTGGTATGTAGTAAACTAAATATAATATTAATAATGATAACAACCTATTTCACTATTTTTCTTTTCCAAATAATATAAAACAAAAAAAGAATGTATTATAATTATATATATATTATCCTTTATCTATCCATCTTTTCTCTATTTTATTAATCAATATTTTCTTTTCTTTAAAAAAAAAAAAAAACAAAAACAACAAACATAAAAAAAAATAATATGGAACATGTTTTATAATTACCATCTATTCCCTATCAAATCATATCATATCTTTATCTTTAAACTTTAATAATTTAAATCAAAAAAAAAAAAAAAACAATGTATATTAATATAAAGAAAAAAAATCAGCTGAATTGATGATTGCAGAAATTATTGTATTATCTAGAAAGATCGGTGATAGAAGCAGAGAGATGCATAATAAGGTTTGGCGAAAGGAATCAAAGAATTGTCATGAGATCAGAGGTAAAGTTCTTGGTATCATTGGATATGGTCACATCGGTTCACAACTCTCCGTTCTGGCAGAGGCTATGGGTATGAATGTAGTCTACTACGACACCGCCCGTAAGTTGCCTCTCGGTAACTCCAAGGCATGTCCAGACATGAAGTCACTCTTGGAGATGTCCAACTATGTCACTCTCCACGTTCCAGATACCGAGCAGACCCGTAACATGATTGGAAAAGACGAGCTCGCCATGATGCGTTCCGACGCCTACCTGCTGAATGCTTCGCGTGGAAAGGTTGTCGATATTGCCGCGCTTGCCGACGCACTCAAGGGAGGACGTTTGGCCGGTGCCGCCGTCGATGTCTACCCATCGGAACCGGAAGCAAATTGCAACGATTGGGAGAACGTTCTTCAAGGTTGTCCAAACACCATCCTCACTCCACACATCGGTGGATCCACCGAGGAAGCACAAGAAGCCATCGGAAGCGAAGTCTCAGAGTTGATCACCTGTTTCATCAACACCGGTGGTTCCGAAGGATCCGTCAACTTCCCAGAGATCTCTATCCCAGTCTCTGAGGAAACTCACCGTATTCTCAATATCCATCATAACAAGCCGGGTGTTTTGCGTGATATCAATCTTATCCTTTCAGAGTTCAACGTTTCCAGTCAGATTCTCTCCACTCGTAAGCAAATCGGTTATATCATTGCCGATGTCGATAAAGAAGCATCCAAAGAAATCAAGAGAAAGATCTCTGCCTTGCCACACTCCATCAAGACCAGAGTACTTTATTAAGATATTATGTTAAAAAGCCTACCAAATATTTGTTAAATTATTTTTGTTTATATACTTTTGTTTGTTTTTATTTAATATTTATATTGTATTATCAAAAAACAATCATTTTTTCACCGCGGTGATTGGATTTCAAATCCAACAATCAACCAACCAAAACCAATCCCTTATTTAATAATATTTATTTTTATTAATAAAGTAATTTATAAAGATAATCTTTAACTTTAAATTATCTTTAAACTTCAAAAAAAAAAAAAAAAAACCAAACAGGTTAAACAATAATTCTTTTTATTATTTATGAATTGATCTACCTTGTCACACTGTTAGAATTGTTGTATATATGAAGAGGATAAATACTTTTAAATTAGAGAGATGTAGATCTTTTATGAAGTAAACTATGCATTAAATAGTATATGATTTATGAGATCCAGAGTTACAATCAAGTATTAGAGTTCATTCATAAACTACTTCATAAAAAATTCAATTAAATGAAATATAAAAGACTGAATTGAATTTAGTAATTAAAAAATATTATTTATTTATTTAATAATCAAAATAGTAGGAACAATTGGTTTAGACTGTTTATTGTCCTGGGTTGTTGACTTGGCAGTTGAAGACACATCTATGTAAGGCATTCAAACAGGCATAGAAATTATTGGATGGATTCTTAACATAAGCCTCATAACAGTTGTTGTAGTTCAAATGGCAATTTCCTTGACATGAAGCAGCAGATACAGCAGAGACAAGGACAAAGGCAAAGAAAGCAAAGATAATAAATTTGTTCATTTTTAAGTTTTGTTTAGTTTTCTAGTATTGATTTAAATTTGAGTTGATACCTTACAATTCAATTTCGAGGCAATATTTATACTAAAATCAAGTAGGAGATAATAACATATTCCAAAAATAAAAATAAAATATGAATAATTATTACTTGATATTGCTTAGTCAATTTTAATTGGATATCTATTTTAAATATCAAAACAAACCCAATCTTTTGATTCTTGGTATTCAGGGTTTGTATAAATTTCTACAACAATGAAAATACTTCCTAAAACAATAATAGATATCAATATTCAATAATAATAATGATAAAAAATTATTAATAGTATCAAAAGTAGTACTTTTAATAATTTTAATAACAAATTTTTAGTAAAATAGATTCGTTCTTGAAGATCTATCTAAATACTAAGTTTTATTAAAATTTTTTTTGACAATTAAGATTCTTTGTGTAACTTAAAAAAATATGTGTAACACACAGGTTTACATTTATTTTTTAGCCAAAAATTATGAAACCAAAGATTTGAAATTATTATAACTAGAAAATTATATATTTAATTTTAATATTATTTTATTTATTTATTTATTGTGGTTGAATTTAAATTAATAAAATTAGTTATTATTTGACAGTTTTAATCACTGAAGTTCTGTGTTTATTAAAAATTAAGAATTAAATCCTTTAAGTAAAATTTTGTTATTCTAAAGTTTTAAAATTATCAAGAATTATAGTTATTAAAAAAAAAGTTTTTGATTCTTACTTTTATATTTGAATCATTCAATGAAAATCAAGAAATTGTATAAATATGAGTGATAGATCTATTTTTGTTTAATTCTCAGTTAATTCTTTATGAGGTAGAGCGGAGTAATAATAGTAATTAATTAAGAGAAAATAAAAATAAAATTATTAGTAGAAATTTTTCTTTCAAGCCAATATAAAATTTACCATTTATAGTTTCATTTCATAGGGATTCGAATAGCCTTGTGAAGGGCGTATACATTTACTATTATTTCTTGTTTTCTAAAGCTATAAGTTTTTATTCAAAGAGGTGGATAGATAAAGCTTAAAAATAAAAATATTTATATCGATCGAGTCTCTAGAAACAAAATAGATTGTATTATAAAGAAATCTAATCCATAGATCTAATTTAAAATTGTTAATCCATGAGCATTATTCCAAATTATTGATACTAATACAAACCTAAGTACAATTTCTTGATTTTAATTGAATATTTTTATTATCTATTTCTGTTATTTTGTGTTTTTTTTTTAAATTAATGTTTGATTTTAAGATTCCCAGTTCATCATTATTTTGTTGATATTCTAAATAATAATTGCTATTATTGTATACAAAGTTAGTATTTCTTGCTAATCTTAATAATCTATTTTCGATCTTCTCTAAATTTATTTATTTCATCCTTAATTTTGAAGTGCAGATCAATAGTTAGGTGGTGATGGATGTTTAAAGTCTTAAGAATTGTCTTCATTTTCCGCTATCAAAAACAAATCAAACCTTTCGTTTATATTTTTGAGTGAGTAATTGTTCTCGTTTTTTTCAATGTTTTTCTTTTTTTTTTGAGCGGTTTATTTTTTTATCACCAGTTTTTTTGATTATTACCTATAAGAAATACAATTATAACATTACAGTTCTAATATATTTTTAGATAAGATATATATTTATATTTTCAAAAAGTAAATAATAATAATATTTTATTTTTTTTTTTGAAAAAAAATTAAATAAGGGTGAATTAATTAGATAGACAGAGATAGGAAGGAGATAAGCATAGAATAGATTAGATTATAACAGATTTTTTTCGTACAGTATAATAACAATAATAAAGATGCCTATCTCTTTGGTAGATTCAACAGTGAGTACCATTGCCAATGGTCTCGTTGGAACGGTTCAGAAGGTCTTAAAGAGAGGTGCTGCCAATACGATGTCTGTCAATCTCAACAATGGAACCAATAAGTTCAAGAGACTGTCGAAACCAACTCTACCTGTCAAACAAAAGATTCAATCAATTAAACAGCAGTTAGCCAATGGTAATAGTAGTAGTAGTAGTAGTAAACAAACAACGACAAACGATAAAGACGGTGAAGATAACAACGTCGATCATAAGGATACCGTGATCGATCACGACCAAGACACTCCACCAAAGAAGAGCGAGAATCTGAAACGGTTCGAATCCGATATGGAATCCAGTGGAAAAGTATTGTTGCATCGTGTCATCAAATTCAGAGAATCAGCTAAACCTCTAGAGGATCCAAATACTTTACTCAAAAGAAAGTATAAACCTATCAACAAGTTGGTTACTACAACAACAACTACAACATCTACAACTCTTATAAAGAAACAACAACAACAACAACAGAAAGAAGAGATTTTAGATGATAATATATTACATCCACCAAAGAAGATACTGTTTCCAGCGGATCGTATCGATGCTATGATGCTGTGGAAGACCATTCGTAAGGTTGGCTCCGGTCTGAACAACATCGGTAATACCTGTTTCATGAATGCCGTGCTCCAGTGTCTTACGTATTGTCCGCCACTCGCCAACTTCATGCAGACACAGGAACACTCGAAGAACTGCAGAGCCGACGGATTCTGCATGTTCTGCTCGTTGGAGCGTCACATCAATCTCGCACTGCAATCCAACGGCAAATCGATCACACCCAAGGAGATCGCCGGAAATCTGCGAAAGTTTGCGCCCGGCTTCCGACTTGGCCGCCAGGAGGACTCGCACGAATTCATCCGATTCGTTGTGGAGGCACTCCAGAAGGTCTGTTTGGCAAAACACCCGAAAGGCTCGTTGAATCCACGCGAATCAATGACCACGGTGATCGGAAGTATTTTCGGTGGCTACCTACAGAGTCAGGTGAAGTGCTCGGTTTGCTCGTACGAGTCAAACACATTCGATCCGTTCATGGATCTCAGTGTCGACATTAACCAAGCGGACTCGCTAAGCAAAGCGCTCCAGCGATTCGTCAAGGCGGAGCAACTCGACGGTTCCAACAAATACAAATGTTGCAAGTGCAAGAAGCTTGTCAAAGCGTCGAAGCGCATGACCATCCACGTCGCGCCACCCGTCCTCACCGTGCAACTGAAGCGATTCAGCTTCCTCGGTTTCCACGGTGGAAAGATTAGCAAACCCGTACAATTCGATCCCGTATTGAATTTGACACCCTACATGACTACTTCCACTGTAAGTTGTTTATTTTATAACATTTGACTCCATGATTCCAATCTTGGAACAAAACGAAAGAAAGAAAAATGTTGTGGAAAAGTGAAAGAAAAAAATAATCTAATTTTTAAAATATAATTGGTATAATTTTTAATATCTATCTATTCAGAATGATGTTGTATATGATCTATATGGTGTGTTGGTACATGCTGGATCATCTACTAATTCCGGACATTATTATTGCTATACAAAGTCATCGAGTGGCGTTTGGCATGGATTGAACGACGAGTCTGTCAGTCAGGTAAGCCAGTCGACTGTGTTGTCACAGCGTGCATATATATTATTCTACTCGAAGCGAGTGACACCAAACAACACTCCGGCGTCGTCAGCCGAGAGTTCACCTGTTGTCCAGCCGGTTGTTGCATCGCCAAATGTCCAAATCGAATCATTGGCATTGACATCCAACAGCAAGAAGAGAAAGATATTAGATAGCGATGAACAACAACAGCAACAACAAACTACTCAGAGTCAATCAACTATCACAGAAAAGAAGAAAAAGATTGATAATGAATCGAATCAAACAACCACCACCACCACATCATCATCTTCATTAATGGTTAGACAATGGGATGATAAATCTATTGACGAAACAAAACAGAAAATCATTGAAGAACAAAACAATATTGCATCCAAAACTGGACAACAATTAAAACAAGCATCCAGAGATAAAGATAGTCAATTTGATTTCAAGAGTAAGGATATATATATTAATTAGTTAGTTTATACAGATTAATAATATATATTAATATCTTTTTGTTTTCATTTAATTAGTTGCTAAATGGGATAATGTAGATGATGAAACTTTGAAAGCACAAAAGGAATTGATGAAGGATGAATCATTGAAGGAATTGGTTCACAAGAAGGATGAATGGGATGAAGAGTTTGATAAAGGAAGAACCAGAAAGCTAAAGAAGAAGAAGAATATCAACTTTGCTGAGAATCAATTCAATAGTTTGTCGAGCATTTTACAAAAGAAGAAGGAAGATCAACTTAAATACGGTGATCAGACTCAAACACAACAATCAAACGGTAGAAAGTTTGGTCGTACTACTACTAATACTAAAAATAATAACATTAGAACAACAAACAACAACCGAGGTAATAATAACAAACCAAATAATTTTAAAAGAAAACAACAACAACCTGCTGGAAAAGGAAAATTCAACAGAAAATAAAAAAAAATAATTTATATTAGATTAATTTATTTTATTTGTGTTGCGTGTGAAAACCAAAGCAAACAAAAGCAATCTAAATTTCATTTATAATAACCACACATTTAGGTCATACTGATGAATAACATCACCCACACACAGTTCAAAAAAATCAATCAAACAAAAACCATAACACCCTGATCAGGTGGTGCAATTAATTTATTGATTGGATGTGTGTTCATATAAATGATATTAAATCTTTAGAATTTTAAAAAGATATTAAACTTATTTTATTATAATGATGGATGGTGAAATTAACAATGTTAGCAATACAATTGCAATAACAATATAAATATAATTTTGCTTTGTTATTATTATCTTTTGTTATCTATTTATCTTGTTTGATATATAAATATAAAATTATAATTATTTGTATAAATTGGTTTGGAAAGTAGAAAAATAAACAAAATGCAATCAAATATTATTCTTGATTCACATGTTCATTTGTGGAAGATTGAAAGAGGTGACTATGGTTGGCTAAAAGAAGACAATAAGGAGTTGTATCGTGACTTTAATCTCCAAGACTATCAAGAGGTTGCTGGAAAATATGGCGTCGGTGGATGTGTGCTTGTGCAGGCGGCTCCCACTGAGGAAGAGACAGACTATTTGCTTTCATTGGCCAACGAGTCACAGGGCTATGTGAGAGGAGTGGTCGGTTGGATCGATATGTTGGCACCGGACGCACCCGCCAAACTCAAAGAGAAATACGAAAAGAACATTGTCAATAAGAAACCGATGTTAGTTGCAATCCGTCCGATGCTTCAGGACTTGGACAACGAGGAGTGGCTGCTACTCAAAGAGCTCGGACCAACCATCAACATGATGTGTACAAAGAACATTGTTTTCGAGGCGTTGGTGCGTCCGAACCACTTGAAACATCTGCGTAAATTCCTGATTCGCTATCCCAAGATCAAGGTGGTTATTGACCACGCCGCCAAACCGCTGATCAACGGCGACAAAGCTGCTTTCGACCAGTGGAAATCGGATATCGAGAACATCGCCAAGAACTATCAGAATGTGATGGTGAAACTCTCGGGATTCTACAATGAGGTGGTTGTCGAGGCGGAGAAGGTAGGCGATATCACAGAGTACAACTCCAAGGTGGCGCCATACATAATGCATCTCGTTCGATGTTTCACACCGAATCGATTGATATGGGCATCGGACTGGCCAGTTCACAGCAACTACGAAGCATGGTTTAAATTCTGTCGTGATTGCTTCTCTACACTCAGTAAAGGTCAACAGAACGATATTTACTTTGCAAACGCTGCACGTATCTATAATCTATAGATAATTACAAATCGAATCTCAATCTATCAAACATTTGTAATTTATTAATTAATTAATTCCGGCATATTCTTATTTATATCTTCATTCCTTAAGTCATTCCTATATTTTTTAAAATAAATATCTTATATATCTTTTTTTTTTTTAATGATTTCTCATATAGATAACTAACTCAATAGTTTTTTGATTGTGTGTAATTGTCTATCTATGTCGCAACATTTTTGTTTATGTTATGTATGTTTTTAATGTCAGGTTAACTTAACTTAACTAAAATATTGTTTATGTTTTTTATGTTATATACACCATTTTGTTATTTATTGATTATTATTATTATTATATTTCTATCTATTATTACAATTTATAATGATTCCATCAAAGCTGACATATCTTTAAATTGTTGTGCAAAATCCTATAACAAAGTAATGCGTTGAATGTTAATGTTAGTATTGATGTGGTGTCGTTGACATGCATGATAGAATGCAAAAAGTTATTATTATCATACTTGAAATTCAGGTAATGTTAATTCGAATGATTGTGAAATAGTTTGATTGTTTGTGTCAAGAACCTTTAGGAATACAGAGATGAATGGTGTATTTAACTCTTCGCATTTATTAGATGATACTGAAACACCTAACTTCCATTGAAAATCTATAAGTCTACCAATATTAAATATCTGCTGATATATATATTTAACAACAAAAGTCAGTAAGTTATTATTATTTATTAATCATATATGATATTGATATTTAGAAAGTAAACACATACTTTATCCATAATGATGTACGATATCTACAAATAAATTAAAGAAAAGCTTGCTCTCCCAAAAGAATATTTTGATTTTTTTTGCAGAGGAAGTTCTTTTGAGTTTTCTGTGATTCTTGCTGACTTTTGCTGGTGTTGCGAATGGATTTTGATTATAAAATGAAACACCCATTTTTTTCTAATTTACTTCAAGTTATTGCTTATTAATATGATATGATATGATTGTGATATTATTTAAAAATTATTTATATTATTATTATTTGACACTTCCTCGTGTGGTTGTGTATGTATGTGTCTTTATATAATCTTATTATTTCGATAGATTCCAATAATCCTCTACTGTCCTGTCTAAACACAGATCCATAGTTTTCAATTTAGCAGATAACAAAGTTATTAAATAAAAAAAAAAAAGGAGAATAGAATAGAAATTTGGTTAGTAAAAAATTATTAACAAATCAAAATACTTCCTTGATCATTTAAAAATTAGTATTTTGTCAGATCACTATAAAAAAACAAAACAATCAACTATTGTACTATCTACTACTAGCTTTGTATTTATTTCGATTGTTTTTTTGAATCATGGAAAAGGATAGATATAAGGAAAGAGATAGAGATAGAGATAGAGAGAAGGAAAGGGAAAGGGAAAAGGATAGAGATAGAGCAAGGAGAGATAGAAGTCGAAGTAGAAGCAGAGATAGAAAAGAAAGAGATAGCGAAAGAGATAGAGATAGGGATAGGGATAGGGATAGAAGAAGAAAGAGTAGTAAAAGTAGAAGTAGGAGTAGAAGTAGAAGTCGTGACAGAAGAGATAGGAAAAGAGATAGGAGTAATAGCAGAGGTAGAGTAAAAGAAAGAGGTAATGATAGAGATAGAGATAGGGATAGGGAAAAAGATGAATCAAGAGATAATAAAGATAGAAAAATAGATAGGAGTAGAAGTAATAGCAGAGATAGAGTAGTTGGAAAAGATAGCGAAAGAGATAGAGGAGATAAAGAAAGAGGAAAAGATAGAGGAAATGGAAAAGATAGAGATAGAGATAGGGAAAGGAAAAGAGATAGAAGTAGAAGTCAAAGTAGTAGTAGTAGTGAAAGTAGAAGTAGAAGTAGAAGTACAAGCAGAAATAGGTATAAAGGTAAAAAACAAAAAAGAAATTACAAAATTTTATATACTTTATATAAACTGTTGTTGTTGAATGATAATAGAGGAGGGGGGAGAGAGGGAGAGAGTAGAGAAAGAGATTGATTGATTGATTGATAGGAAAAGAGGAAGAAGAAGAGGAAGAGGAAAGAGGTGGTAGAAGATATAAAGATTTAAATTATTGTTACTATTATTAATATTATTATTACTGTTATTGTTACTATTATTGTTGTATTATTATTATTATTATTACTATTCTGTATATGTCCTATAAATTAACTATATTATTATTACAATGATATACTATACTTATATTTATTTGAATATCATATATATACAAATAAACAAATTAAGGTAGTGACTAATGCTAATGCATTTTTATATATTTATATATCTATTTTGTATCTACTATGATTTATAAAGACAAAACCAAATCCTTTATTTTCTTTAATATCTTTTCAACATTATTATTATTATTTCAGCCAATGAGTTTAGTTGTGCTGACTCTATTGGTTTTGTTATTGAATCTGTTTGGAGTTATCATTGACATGAATATAAGTTTGCTGTTTATATTATTATTTATTATTATTATTATTGAACACATCGATTGAGATTAATCATAAAATAAACATTAACAATAATAATAATATTCCTAAACCATTTAATATAAAATATATTATATATATTCAACATTCGATATATCATAACAATATTGTCGATTCATCTTTAAATAGCTTCTAAAGAAAGAGAAAGAAAGGTTAAGACTTATCTTTTCACATCAAATCAAATCAAACTCTTTACCAATTCAATACAAAATATAAATAAACTTTCACAATTCCATTCCAATACAATTCAATTCATTGTTGAATTGGTTGGTTGTTAGTAGTAGTATATCAATATAACTACAATTTGATTTGTATTGAACAGTTTAAAAATGTAATACAAACAAGAATCATAATGTAGTTACAATTGAAATTTGTATAGTATCTATCTGTATTGTATTGTATGGTATTCACTTTTAATTGTAGTAAACAGTTTATGAATAGTTTCAATCGATTGCATGATAGCGTCATCATCGATTGGTGTTGAAAGCATAGTTGTTAGCGACTAACCAACCCATTTTCATCAATGACATCATCATCTAATTACTACAACAGATAAAGAGAGAAAGAAACATAGAAAAGAAAAGGATAAAGATACAAAGAAAAAGAGATCAAACAGAAAGAAATCAAATGAAAAATCAAAGACAGATGGACCCATTCAATTATCAAAAGTAAATATTACCAAATTCATACAAAACAACATTGTTCTATCTATCTATCTATCTATCTATCTTTTAAATCAATAATAATAATAGCACACAACCCAAATAAATCAATAACAATCTAAAAATTATAATTACAAACAAAAACATCACACACTTCTCTACTAAAAATAATTTACTAATATTCTTTATTTTTCCATCTACAAAAAAAAAAACAAACAAACAAAACAAATGATACAAATGTACAAATTATTATATATCTTGGTAACAAAATAATCATTATTATAACAATTGTTAATTGTTATTAATAATGGGGATTTAATATTTATTTTTATTATTATTACTTATTCAATAATAATTGATTATTAATCAATTTGTATAATAATAATCTATGTCTAAATAACTTATGAACTATGAATTGTAAATATTATTATTATTATTATAGTATATGAAAGATAGTAGTGATAGTGATAATGACGGTAGTGGTAGCGACAATAACAGCAGCGATAGTGAGAGCGATGGTGCACCCAGAAGTGTCATCTCCGGTAGAAAGATTAAAATGAAAATTAAAAAGTCAAAAGCGGACAAAAAGAATGACAGTAACAGACAGGATCTCTTAAAATGGTTGAATGCCTCCTATCAATGAGGTTAAATGATATCATAATCGATGTTTCAATTGAATTTGTTAAACTAGTTTAGTTTGTTTGGAATACCAATAATATCCAAAAATTAATCAATAAAGTTTATAAAAAAAATGATCATGGTGCTACCAGGTTAATTTCTTTCCTTTTCAATTAATTAAATTAATTTTAATTGGTCTAAGATTGATTAGAATTAGAATTTAAGATTTTTTTTTAAAGTTCCCTATTTTTTATTTAATTTTTTTTTTTTTTTTTTTAAATGAAAATGTGGGTGGTAATGAATTCATTTTTAAATTAAAAGCATTTGATATCTGAATGTATTATCATTAATTAACATATATTTGACTTTTTCACCACTATATTATACTTATATAAAATAACAACAATTTGTTTAGAATTATCTTAATAGTAATATACCTCTATATATCATATCATCATTATTGAAAATATTATTATTTAAACAAATAACACCACACTTTCGCTAAGCAAACTTATTGTTTGTATGTTCGTTTGACTTTTTATTGTAATAGCATTGCCTTGCCAATAACAAATCTTTTATCTTGTTTATTTTTATTAAAAAAAGAGAGGGAACTACTATTATCTTATTTGCATTAACATTTACATCTAAATCTCACTATTATTATTATTTTTCATTCTTTCTTTGTTTTTCTGCTGTGTTACTATTTCTTCTTCTTCACCTTCCCACTCATTAAAAAAAACAACAACAAAAACACATCGAGATTATTTACTATAGCATAACACATTACAACATAATAATTACCACCACCATTAGTACTACAGCTACTATTACTTACTCTGTTCATTGAATCTGTAATCATACATAGACCAACTATTATTATTACAATAACCAAAAATAACAAATATCATTAAATATTTTTGTAATTAATAAATCATTTTTTATCCTATTTTTCTATTTCCTTGTTTTACTTATTTAGAAAAAAAAAATAAATAATAATAATCAAATTTAATATATAAAATTAGTTGGTAAATAAATAATCTTAATGTTAGATATTTATAAATCTAAAATAATAAAACAGTTTAATTTTAAAAATATATACAATAAAATATCATCTTTTAATTATAAGTAATTACTTTTATCATTTTTTAAAAAAACAAACAAAAAATGATAGCCAATGTTAATCACAGTTTATTAAAACTGGTCACATTTGAATCACTAACCAGTGGAATTAAGAGTATTGGTGCATTGGTTGACAATGACCGTGAAGTCGTCGACTTTTGTTGTGATAATAAAGTCATACCAAATGATATGAAATCATTCATTGAGGGTGGACAAAAAACAATGTCATATGCACTTGATGTAAGAATTTAAATCTAAATAATCAATCAATCCAAAAGATTTTATTAATTATTATCTTTTTTTTATTCGTTAACAAAACAATCAAAGATTATTTCATCTGGAAGAAATAGAATTAATATTTCAAATATTAAATTAAAAGCACCAATCAGTAATCCCGAAAAAGTAATTGGAATCGGTTTGAATTATAAAGAGCATGCTATCGAAACCAACATGCCATTCCCAAAGGAACCGGTTGTCTTTACCAAGTTTGCCAGTTCGATTGTTGGTCCCGACGAGAATATCATTAAGCCAAAGTCAACGGATGAGGTTGACTACGAGGTGGAGTTGGTCGTTGTCATTGGAAGGGAATGCAGATTCGTTTCTGAGGCCAATGCACTCGACTATGTCATCGGTTACACCGTCGGAAACGATGTGTCCGCTCGTGACTGGCAGATGCGCAAACCATCGGGACAGTGGTCACTCGGTAAGTCATTCGATACGTTCGCACCGATTGGCCCTTCGATAGTGGTCAACCCACAGCTGGCAAACCTCTGCAACGACAGCTCGATGCGACTCGATCCAAACAATCTCGACATCAAGTGCAAACTCAACGGTAAGGTAATGCAGAATTGCAATACACGAGAATTCATTTTCAACGTGCAACAAGTGGTTTCCTATCTCAGCCAGGTGTTCACACTGAAACCCGGTGACATCATCTTCACAGGCACTCCATCGGGAGTCGGATTCACAAGAAAACCACCCGTATTCTTGAACGACGGTAACATTGTCGATTGTGAAATCGAAAATTTAGGAACTCTTACAAATTTCGTTAAATCTGAATAATAAAAAAAAACAAATTCTAATTAATTAACATGTAATTCTAGCGCTTTATTTATATTTATATATATTAATAATAATAGTAATATTCTTTATATTTTAAATTCCAGATTGATCTAATTTATCTAAAATCTTTTGAAGGAAAGGATTTCCTCCCAACTGTGAAATTTGAGTGATGATTCTCTCTCGGGTGATATCCATTTGTTCTTTTGTATATTTGAGAGCACCCGATTTCTTTATATATTCCAATGCGTGTTGTTTTACTTCTATATTCTCTGTCTTTTGTTTCAAAATCAAGAGTAATCTATGATCCGATGGATTCGAGTGAATTGCTTTGATAATAGGGAATGAAAACTTTCCTTCTGTTATATCTTCACAAAAACTTTTATTAACTTGATACTAAGAATTAAAATGATTATTACTATTATTAGTTTAAAAGTTATATCTATAAATGAATACTTAGAATGCACAGATACATACATCAGCTGATACCAAATTGATATAATCATCTCTTATCTGATAATATAATCCTAAATCTTCTACCAACTTTGAGTAATCTGTTTTATTCTCACTAAAAGTCTGTAGTAAACGTAAACCTAATCTAAAAAGACCACCAGTTTCTATTAGAGATAAGTTATTAATGTTAATATTTGAATGAATGTTGGAATACTATTTGATTTGATAGATTATAACAAACATACTCTCACCAACCATTTCTTTATATTCGTCTTCTGTCGGACAAGAGTTGGTGTCACGCCATAGGATATCGTAACCTTGACCTCTGTGCAATCTGATCATCTCCTCGATAAAGATTGTAGTAGCAGCAGGCTTTCCTAGTTTATTACATTCATCCATCGCTAAGAAATACACTGTATTGGCACAGTTAATAGTTTGAGCATAGCCATAGATGTCATGTGCAACTGGCATACCTCTTCTAAGTTTAGAATTATCTTCGATATCATCGATTCTACAAAGAATAGTTATAAAAATAACAACTGCTGTAAGTAAGCAATTTAAAAATGATCATTCTTTCATTTATATAACTTACAATAAACTAGACATATGAAGTGCTTGAACGATATCAGCAACCTTTTTAACGTATTCACTGTCTACCTTTAACCAATGATTGAATGCTTCGATCAAGATGGTTCTGATACCCTTACCTGGTGTCTCTGAAATATATTTGTAAGGCTCTAACAAAGCAACATCTTTCTCTGACAATGGATATGAAAACTTTTTGTACATATTATTTATTTTATTATTATTATCTATTGAAATATATATATTTAATAGTTATTATATACAAAATTATAAATTGAAATGTATGATTTAACAAATGTATGATACAAAATTATTTAACCAAAGAAAATATAAATCTTTAGAATGTGAAAGTTAACTTTTATTAATAAAATGATCGGATTGTGATCCTATTCTCTAAAATAATGAGATAGAAAGAAATATAAAAAATAAATGATGAATGAGAAACTGAATCGCAAGAAAATATAAAAGTGTATTGTCATTGTCAACAAAACTGATCAGACCATTCAGTTTAAAAAATTCAGCCCCAAAATTTCATTGAATTTTTTTGGCTCACAGCTTCTCTTTTGTCATAATTCATTTATTTTTCTGCATTGAATTAAATTAACTAAACTTTAAAAAATGTTAGAGGAATTAACTTCAAGATACAATATTTGAATGGTACCATCTTTTTCTTTAAGTGTAATATTCATGAAAAGATTAAACTCTGATAATTCTTGACCCACTTTAGAAAAGTTTAATGGATCATTCAGGAAACATTTGTGCTCTTTATAATGATGTATTCTCTTTTGAAAAGGAACTAACAAATTTCAAATATCAAACTTATATCTTTTTCTATTATTACTTAAAATATTTAATATACACTATACACTGATGAAAAATAATAAAAAAAATTAGGTCGACTGACCTTGATTCGCAAATGAACCAAATAAATTAATTTATTATTAATTAAAGAAATGAAAGAAGCAAAGAGTTTAAGGAATAGAGAAAGACAAATAATTAGTTATTAGATATTTGCTTCATCTACCTCAGCCCGGCTTAATAAGATATAGAGGTGCCAAAAAAGGTGATTCAAGTCAATGTTAACTGCGACAGATCACCTTTTGTTTGATAGTGTATCTACCAACTTTTTGGAACAAATTTCGATTAGAATATCTTGGTCCTTCATTTGGTGATCACTATTGGCTACGCCTGTTAGCAGACCAGGCCGCTGTTTCCGTGGAAAACAGGTCTCATTTATATGGAGCAAAAGCGCAAAACTGCAAAGTTCTAATTCATGCTGAATTTCTCACATGGATGAAATACTCACCATACGGATATCTTTTATACTTACATAACCGTTGTATATGGATAAAACTCGTTGCTCAACATATATAATACATAAATAACTATACATAACTCAGCAACTTTAAACTTTAAGGTAGTTTTTGTAAATGTTATATAAACACTAGTGTTGATCATAAATACACGTGATATTTCAATATTTAATATAAATATGGACCTCATGTGCGTGTATAGGTGATGATAACTCTCGATTATTGAAGTAAACATATATAAATATGTTATAGACTTCTGATTTATGTGTGTTTCTTATTATATATCACCTTTTGGTTCCAATTTAATAATAAAATATTGTTTATCTTAATGTAATCTACAAATACATATATTCTTTATTTGAAATAAATAAAATTGTAATAAGTAAAATTGCGCTAAAGTCTCGAGTGGGTACCAATTAAAAAAAGTCGCTAGTGGTTTTTTAATTTTTAACAAATCTTAAAGGAATAGAGATAATAAATACTATATAAAAGGAAATGATTAATTTTTTTTATTCTTTTAACTTAATATGATTGGAGGGTTTTTTTTTTTAATATTTTTATTTTATTTAATATAGGTTATAGGCAGGTGCTACTTCGATATGTCTACAAAAAAATTTCACAAATTTATTTTATTAATTTAAATTAAAAAAATTTTATAATTAGAAATTTATTGTTATAAAAACATTGTAAAAAAATAATAATTAATTACTACAAAAAAAAACAATAAAAAAGAATAAAATGTTGTCATTACAAAAATTAATTAATAAAGTTCCAAAGAGTTGGAGTTTACCAATTTTCCCATCTTTAGATTGACTATTTCACTAGGATCATATGGATTCATTGGTACACCCGTAATTTTTGGACTTTCAAAATTTGTCAGAAGTATATGGCCAACTGTAGATCAAGAGGGAATCGTATTGGGAACTCAATTCTTTGTTTTCTCTGTCATTTTCTATGACATTATAGATACCAACGAACTAGAATTAGGAATTAAAGTTATCAGTAGAGTAATCAATATTTTTAAATTTGGAAAACTCCAAGAGGATGCCACACCACTCGAAAACATTGCTTTTGATTTCTTTCAGAATTTGAAAATTAGAGTTGGAGAACAACATCCATTAATGAATCTATTCACAAACGCTTTCATTGATTATTTTGACAACCTAATCCCTTGGCAAAATATGAAGGTATTTAAATTTTATTTTATAGTTTCAATTATCAAAATATTAATCTGTAAAATTTGTTTCGGTTTTTATTTTAGAAATTTAATGGTGATATGAGTATGAATTTATATATTACAATATGAGAAGACATAATTATGGAACATTCCCAACTTGTTTTTTAGGTGTAATATTCTTAATGAAAAGATTAAACTGTGATATAGTTCTTGATCCTCTTTGGAGAAGTTTAATGGAACAAGCAGGACACCTCGGTTCTCTATACAATGATGTGTTCTCCTATGAAAAAGAACTCAGAGAAAAAGATGTAAGAATGAATAGTTTCTATTTTATGAAAACTCAAAACAATTGGTCTGATCAAGAATGTCTTGATTTCAAGGAAAAAGAAATTGATAATTGTTTTGATCAATTGTTTATTTATGAAAAACTAATAATTCTAAAATTCATTCCAACTCTTCCAAAAAGAAGAAGATCAGGAAGAATTATATGATCTTGTTAATCAATTTCATACAATTGTAGCCTCTATAGTTAATATGTATATACAGAGGACAAATTATAAATCTCCAAATTCCATCTTTGCTGAACTTAGAAGCTAAAAAATATATAGGTGAATAATAAAGAATCCAGAAATAAGGAATTCAGAGAATCTTTTTTTAAAAACTTAAATATATTAATTCAAATTTTAATTATAAAAAAGAGGATTGTGTTTATCGTTGTTAATTCGTTACAAGTCTAGCAACAATCAACTTTACTATAAACTATATCAATAACAATATTAAATTATTTAAATTTTATAATTATCTATAATTTATTATTTATTTTTTAACTTCTGGTTTCTTTAACATTGAATCTGGAAGTCCTAAACCACAGTAAAAGACAGAGTAATTAATTGTCTTACCATCCAAAGGTGGAATTTCGAGTACCCATTGAATTTTTCTCTTGTGTGTTGGATGTGGTTGAGATTTTGGCTCAGAGTATGAAATTTCAAAGTATTCCCAACGGTAGAGGTTCTCCTCGATGATCACTCTAACTGGTTCCTCACGACCATTCATTACCTTGATTTCAAATGTCTCTACTAAATAGAGATTGTCAAGGTCAAAGTTGAATCCAGTTTGTGTACGTGTAGAGGAGACCTTTCCGAGTGGTTGCATTGGAATGCTGATGATATCCGATGGATTGTAGTGTTGCATATCGAAAACGTTGAGAATGTCTGAACCGAATTGATCTTTGTGTTTACGTTGAAGTTTCATCTCACCACCCGGAATCGAATATGGATGATTCCAAGTAAAGATAATCGATGAATCGACAATTCCAGTTTTGGCGTCGGTTCCGTGGTCCTTGTTGACTGAGGCGTATTTAGTGTATTTGGGTGTGTCGAATCTGATTGTATCTATACTCTTTACTGGAAGTTTCTTGGAGAGGAAACAAATCTGTTTGGATTCCAAATTCTTCAAGTTGGTCTTGTGGTCGATGGTGTAGCTGTAGGTACGCTTCTCTGGCTCGACTGGCTTGGTAGCGCCACCACCCAACAAACCTGAGATTGGCAACTTTCCAAGCTTGAAACCACCAACGCTTGGTAATGGAACTGGTAAGCTGGAAGCTGGCTCCTCTTTCTTTTCTTCTTTCTTCTTGTCCTCTGGCTCACGAATTAAAATTACATTGGAATTCAAATAGTCCTTTCCAGACTTGTTCTTGATGGTGAACCATCCTCTGAGTTCGAGTTCCTTTTCACGTGGATCGAGTACACCGACGTAGTTGGCATGCCACTTGAATAGATCCTTGGCATTGTATGACAAACGGATGAGTTGTTGTTTCTCTGCCGATTTTACCATCCATTCCAAAGAGGATTCTCTAAAGATTGGCTCCAATTCGGTCTTTAGTAAGTTGAATGAGATAACTTCACCACTCGATAGGAAATGTACAGTGTTGGTTTCTTTGTTTTGGAGAGCATAGGTCTTTTCTTTCGGATTATAGATAACGACACCCTTCATCTTGATTGGCTCATCGAAATGATCGTCACGTGGGATGCTCACTTCGATTTCTTTACCAATGAGTTTGTCCAACATTCTCTCTGGTGTCTTGGCATCGTTGTGATAGGTTTGTTCAAGAACAAAAGACTCTGGATCGGTAATCGATTGATAATGGACAGTTCTTTCATCGAGTGATTTTGGAAGATCGTGAATCCACACCATTCCATTGTCGTCCAAGTTGATGGTACGTGTCTCCTCAATGAAAACCTGACCTGAACTATGAATATTAAGACGAATATCTCCTTCGGCAGCTGGTTTCTCCAAAACTTCCCAACTGGATGGAGCGTCGAAACGTGAGGATTTGCATTGCGAGGGTTCTTGAGTGTGTTGGAGGTATGGACGAATGGCATTTGGATCGATCTTGACTGGAACGACTGGTGGAATAATCAATTTCTTGGCAGCGTCCATACATCTTTGTTTGTCGACCAACGATTGTGCAACTAGATAGTAGACACGTGCACTTGTTTTCATTGAAATCTTAAAGGCATACTGTTTTCCTTCCATATCCTCACAACCGAGAGCACCACGCAACTCGATGATCTTGATTGGCGAAACATCAGTGTTACTCTTGAAGTAAGCCATTCTTCCCTCTTCGTAGATTCTAAAGTAACGCTTCTTCCAAACTTTACTACCAAAGAAACCTTCCTCACCTTTCTTCTGAAGGAATCCTTCGAATATAACCTTCGATTGGAGAGGTGGACCCGAGTAGGAGATCATCGATGGCGTCGATTCACTGTCAGAGTCAGAGTCATCGTCATTCTTCTTTCCGATCGATATCTTTGATTTGGTTTGTGGAGGTGGAGGTGATGAAGTTGTCGGTGTAGTGTTGGAACTCGAAGAATTCGATGTATTCGAAGTATTTATCGGTCCACCTGCAGCTACCTCTCTACTCTTTACAAATGCTCTTTTTGCATGTCCTCTCTTGACACCAACTGCTACCAATTCATCCTCTGTCAATTCTGAAATTAAATCTGGATCATCATATCCTAAAATTGATTATAATAATAATAATAATTAATATTAATAATTGTTAATTTATAATAATATAAATTACATACCATTTTCAGTTAATAAATCTTTATAGGATTCTAATCCAATAATTTTTAAATATTGTTCTAAAGTACTCATAATTTTTTATACAAACAAATAAAATAAATAAATAAACAAATAATTTAACAAATAAATAAAATGGCTTTGTTTTGGAAATAATAAAGTTAAAAATAAATTATTTTCGAAACCAAATATATATATTATATAATTATAAAAAAAGAATATTTCCCGATTTTCTATAGTAAACAAAACCAACTTAAAAAAAAAGGAAGAAATAAATAAAAAGATTTCTAGATATTAATTTATGATTAGTCTAAATTGGAACTCTTGCAAAAAAAAAATCATTTATAGAATATTTTAAGAAGAAAGTTATGAAAAATTAAGCTAAACCATGAAAAAAAAAATATCTGGTGTCGCAATTTTTATGGTAAGAAAAAAATGAAAAGGTGCAAATTTTGATGATTTTGATTAAACTTTTTGCATAAATCACTCCCTATTCTATTCACCAAAATATAAACATAAAGTTTATTTTCAATTTCTTTAGCATCACGCTATACACCTTATATGGACTATTAAAAATAAACCACATCCCATCTTTTTTTTTTTTGATTCTAGTATTGCTTTTACAAACAAACAAAAAAACAACAACAGTTATTTTTAATTCGTTCATTTAAAGAACTTACTTTCAATTTTATATTGTAGACGTTTTAGAAAACCATTGCTTTTGGAATTTGGGTTGGCTGATGACAAAGATGCTGATGTGTTGTGATCGTTTTGTTGTGTTGGTTTTTGTGATAGATAGTAATCGATTATCGATATGTATTTCGATGATCCAAGTACCAATTGTTCGATGGCATCATCGTTAAGATTGATTCCAAGATGACGGTTTGCATACAACAGCTTGAACGTCTCCAACATTCCGAATTTTACTGATTCATGAAGTGCATTATATGTGAACTTAGATTGGTGATTCTCAATCGTGTATTTAATCACAAGGTAATCGGAGTAGCGTCTCACTTGGTTGTTTGAAAAGGTCGACGCAGAAACAGCACCGCCAGCAATTGCTTTTCGTTCAACGATTTTATATTGTTCAAAGAGATACCGCACGATATCCAAGTGTCCTTTTTTCGCTGCTTCCTCAATCGATCCATTTATGAAATATAGATGTTCGTTTGGCGAGATTGGCAGATGTCTACTTTCCATCTGTTGATGTATATTCTCCAGGAGGTAAGTCACCAGGTCAAGACGGCCGTGTAGCGCAGCAATGTTGAGTGCACCGAATTTATTGCAATCGGTACAATTCTCTGCGAGGAATTTCACTACTTTGACATGTCCATTGGCAGTGGCAGTTCCAAGTGTCGACCTCAAACAACCTTCGGTCCGGCAGCTATGAAGAAATTCAACAATCGCCAAGTGTCCATTGGTTGCAGCGGCATCAAGAGCACGAGTTGTACAACCTTCAGTTCTATGATTGTGTAGATATTTAACAATTTCTAAATGGCCGTTTGCCGCACTCAAATCCATTGATTTAACGGTGCAACCTTGCATTTGAATCGATGTGAAATACTCTAAGATCTCTAGATATCCATGTGCGCATGCAGTGTCGATTGCGCCATTCGGTCGGAATCCAAGTGAGTGAAGACTCTTGATCAGCTCCAAATCGCCTGTTACCGTAACCATTTCCAAATCGTAGTCGTTTATCGATTTGAACATCTGATTCTGCAGAATATAGTGGATGATTTCACTGTGACCATTTAGACAAGCGTTACGAAAAGCAACACTACTGTATCCCTCGGTTCTATTGCGATGTAGGAATTTGAATATTTCAGTGTGACCACCGGCAGCCACTTGATTCATTGCTCGAATCGAACATGGTTCCGTCCTATTTTTATGGAGATATTTAACGATATCAATATGGCCGTTCGATGCCGCCCAATCCAGTGCTTTCTCAGTGGATCCTTCCGTTCTATTTTCATGTAGAAACTGGACGATCTCTAGGTACCCTTTCGATGCAGCCATATCCAAAGCAAGCTTACTGCAACCTTCAGTTCGATTTTGATGGAGCCAACGAACGACGTGCAAGTGCCCATTACTCGCGGCAACATCCATTGCTTCCTCAGTGCAATCATCGAACCTATAGCGATGAAGAAACTCCAATATATCGAGCCGATTATACTTTGCGGCCATGTTGATCGAAAGAGATGTGAATCCAAGCGATAGATCGTTGTCATGCAAGTATTTAACGATGTGAAAGTGTCCTTGTGCTATAGCGTTTTGCGTTGTCAGTATGATGACACTGTCATAGAGGATATCACGATGACACTCGTTTACCAATTGAATAAACTCAAGCTTTCCGATTGCACCTGCAACCACGAGTGATCTTGCAAACTCTTCGATTGGTCTACGATAAAGTACACGATCACTCAATACTCTAGCCAATACCGTTTTAAACTCTTCAAAGTATCCGTAGCGAATCAGCTGACACGGTCGTTCAATCAACTCCAACCAACTGTAAATCTCCACGGAATCTTTAGCTACTCTCAGAGTATCACCTATCCATTTTATTTGGTCAAATAACTTATTTTTTAAAATAGAATTTCTAAATATTTTAAAGAATAAATTATTATTTTGATTTTGATTCTGATTCTGATTATTATTATTATTATTATTACTATTATTACTATTATTACTCTGTTGAAGTTGATCACAATTCATAATTTAAACAACTATTTTTTTTGTTTTTGAAAATAAAGATTAAGAAATAAAAATAATGTTATTTTACAAATAATGATCATAGTTTTTTTTTAAACAATCAAAATTAGAAATAAAAGGGGGTATGAAAAGGTTCAATTTATCCAAAAAAATGGGAAAAACACCGATCGACGAAATGGTCTAAAAAGAAAACTAATAATATTACACACTTATAAGGTCCTAACGATTATATTCATTTTAAAGTTAATGTTGGCCAATAGATATAAATTTTATTGAAAAATGGCTAAAGGGTGTGAATATATTTTATTTTAAGAAACCATTCGAATTAAAGAGAAAGAATGATGGTTAGTTAGTTTAAATAGACATTTTTATTTATATGTTATATAAGAAAATAAAGAAATATACTAAAGATTGTAAGAATTCTATGTCAATGTTCAATGAAAAAAGTATCAAACAACATGATGAAAAAAGGTATATAAAACATTAACAAGATGATCAATCTGGTACCAAATGCCAATAAACCAACTATAAAAATCAACATTCTCTCATAGATCGTTAGTGGAGGGAGTTCTTTGTGATCAAATCAACTACCAACAGTTTAAAGATCAAGTAGAACTTTCCATTACAAATCAAACATATTATTAGTTGTTGAAAAGGATTCGTTTAATCAATTATTGATTGGTTTGAGTTTAAATGGGATTTTTTTTTATTTGGTAAAAAAAAAAAAAAAAGCAAAACTAAAAGGTTTGCATTGTTTTTGTTTTTGTTTGTTCTCCTGAGTTTAGTTTATTGGTTGTATTGCTCCCAATTCTCAACTGGCTCATTTAATAATATGGTTTCCTCTGAAATGTAATCATTGTTATTGTCATTGTAGTTGTTACTGTTGAAGTTGTTGAAGTTATTATTGTTGGAGTTATTGGTGGTTGTTGTTGTAGTGGTAGTAGTTGTGGTAGTAGATGTTGATTTCTTTGATGAATTGTTAAGGTTGTTGTTATTGTTATTGTTATTGTTGTTTGGTGGTGAATCTAAATAAGAGAATCTGTTGACTGCAAAGAAATCACCTTGGAAAGCGGGTGGTTCGTATTTCTTGGCGGCGGCAGCAGCGGCCGACGTAACCTCGATCAACTTGGCATCGTCACTGTAGGGAATCACAGAGAACATGGTTGTCTTGATGTCGGCGGCATTGTCATAGTTGTGTTGGTCACCAAAGATCACCAGGAGATTGGCATCGTCGATCCAGAGCAGACTATACTTGCCCTCGAACTCCTTGAGGAACTGAGTGATGTGCTCGGAACGAATCGTTGGATTCAAGTTGTTAAAGTAGAGAGTACGCGACTCAAACTCCTCGGCGACGACACTGTTCAACGAGATCGAAGCATAGCTCTGGCTGCTCTTGGAGACCGATGTCAAATTGCTGAAATTCAACGACTCTGTCAAGAGTGGCGATGGCACTGCAGTCAACTTTTGAATCTTGTACAACTCAATCAAATTGAATCCACGTTTCTCTCTCACTCTAATGTGATAGTACTTTGCCATTTGTATAATTAAATTCGAATGAACCAAATTTGTGAATGATACAGTCAATTTCCTGGAAACAGTTTTAAAAATGAATAACAAAGTTAACAAAGATAATTAAATATAATCAGAGTAATAATAGACTACTTACAATATACTTGAATTGATAAAATCATCAAAGATTGATTCAATCTTTTTAACACACTTTGGCGATGCTCTGCAAAAGAGATTCAAAGTTTCAATTTGATTGAGTGATGGCTGTTCAGTTTCTTCATTTTCAACATAGTCACTCTTGAGTGACAAGAAGATCTTGTCTCTCTTTTCTCTTTCACATTGTTCATCACATTCCAACTCTCTAACATTACCCTCTGATCCAACTGGAACACATATTGTTTCAACACTTCTTCTTTCACATGGACAATAGATTTTAGTCTGAAAAAGAAAAAAAAGTAGGAAAGTGGAAATATTATTAATATTACGAGTTACTTTAAAATGAAAAGTTAGTTAGTTTACCTTTTGTTTACAGATTTGTGGTGGACATGGATCACCTGGATGACATGATGCTTGACATGTATGCTCGCAAGTGGCGAGTGGAGCGTTACATGGATAGCCACAGGAGATTCCTTTCATGATATCATCGAGTGTGCTTTCAGAGGTGATTGCTGGTGATACATTGGTTGGGGTGGCAGGCTTCAAGCATGGTCCGTGGTGACAGGTTCTTGGACACTTGTGAGTGAGACATGGCAGATTCTTTCCACAGACTTTTCCACAGGAAACTTCGATGGTTGCACACTTGATGTTCTTTCTCACTTCGTGACCGCTGCCACACATCTTCTCGACGAGCACAGGACACGGAGGACATGGACCCTGGTGGCAGGTGTGTTGAGCGATGATCTCATTGGTGTGTCCACACTCTCTGGGAACGATGCATGGGTGTGGACAAGCCGGAAGTCTGGTTCCACACGGGATGGGTGGCAACAGAATGGTCTTGCCACAACGACATGTCATATCGTCATAGTTGTTGAGTGGGCATGGATAGCATTTGCCTTGGTGACACAGCGATTCACAACGATGCACTCCACATTTCAATGCACGTCCACAAACGATCTTGCAGACATGGTTGCCAGTGGCATCGTTGGTGGCTGTGGCCGGACAGCACTTGACACCGCACTCGTGTTTCTTGCAGTTTCTCAGAACACGACACACATTTCCACAGGTGAAAGCGCTCGAGTTCATAGAGAGATTGGCATGAACCACGCCACATTGACGATTCTCAATGGATTTGCCACAACGACAGCTCGATTTGACTTTGACCTTGCACGGAGGACACGCGCCAGCATGACACTTCTCTTGGCAGTGGTGCTGTCCACAAGCCAACAGACGAGAGCACACCTTTCCACAAGTAGGAATTGGCTCAAGACAAGATTGTCTTGCAGGGATGGGCAAGTCAGCAAGAACTGACTGTGCACAGCAACAGCGGTTGACTTTGGCGGGAACAAGCTCACACGGATTGCACGGACCAGTGTGGCAAGTTCGCTGGCATCGGTGATTTCCACAGTCCAAAAGTCGTTCACACTTGGTGGCGCACGAATACATTCGGATGTCGTCTTCGTCGCCAGTCTGACTCCAAGTGTCGGCAACACCCGATCCGCACTCTCTCGGCTCGATGCTCTTGCCGCAGTAGCACTTTTGCGTCTCTTTCACTTGGCATGGCTGACAGGCACCGGCATGGCAACGATCCTCACAGGCATGATTGCCACAGGACAACTGCTTCTGACAGGTATTCTGACAGGTTCTTCCCTTGTCGACTTCACCACACAACAGCCGGTAAGAGGTGGCGCCGCAGTAGCACTGCTTGATGTCGCCGAGCGCGGCGCAGTTCAAACAGGGACCGGGATGACAGAGGATGTTGCAGGTGTGCGGACAATTCGACTTGGCACGCAGCTTGCCACAGATCTCACCGCAGCTGTGTGGCAGGAAGTAAGGATTGTACTGGGGATCCTTCACCTTGCCGCAGAAGCAGGTGTTGGGTGGTTCGCCAGTAGCTTCAATCACGTGACGACAGCCCGGACACTTCCACTTGCCGTCGGCGGTGGTCGACTTGCTCTTCCACTCCTTGATGCACTTCAAATGAAACATAGTGAAACACGACGTACAATTCCAAACGGCCACCGATTTTTTGACGGTCTCATAACACACCATACAATCGTAACTATGACTCTGAATCTTGTTAATGATTTGTATGGAGAGTGGAGTGTAATCTACAGTTTTCGATTCATCTTTATCATCGAATATATATTTTGGTTTAGTATTATTATTATTATTGTTGTTATTGTTTGGTTTATCATTATTCTCATTGTTATTATTATTTCTTCTATTATTATTATTATTATTGTTATTTCTCTTATCTTCAATCTTTTCTCTTGCTTTTACAAATTTATCTTTCATACTATTATTATTCTGTTGTTCATTTTCATTATTGGTTGTTGTTGTTGGTTTGTTTGAATTAGAATCAGATGTTTGTTTTCTTTTATCTTTTGGTTTGTTATCGCGTGGTTGTCTATTATTATTTTCTTTACTAACACTATTATTATCTTTGTTATTATTATTATTATTATTATTATTATTATTATTATTATCTTTATTATTATTTCTTCTATTATTATCTCTTGGTTCTCTAGGTTCTCTAGGTTCTCTTGGTTGTCTTTGTGGCTTTTGTTGTTGTTGTTGCTGAGATTGTTGTAAAGATGATGGTGATTGTTGTTGTTTTGGCATATATGGTGGAGAATTTGGATTCAATTTACTCATAAGTTGCTCTTGTTGCCATGTCATACCGCCGAATCCATGTGAAGATGTCGATTGTTGTGATGTTGATGGTGATGAAGTTGATTGTTGTTGAGTATTATCGTTTATATTTAAGTTTTTCGATTCACTTGGAATATTTTGGAATACAAAGACCTCGTTTGTAGTTGGATCGTACTCGGTGTGTTGTTGATCACCACCAGAATGATGATTATCTGATAATGGAGTGGCGACACCTCTATGACCTCTATAATTATTATTTCTACGTCTGTTATTATTACTATTGTTGTTGTAACTATTTGTTGTAGTTGTTGTTGTAGTAGTAGTAGAAGTAGGCGAAGAAGCTGTAGAGGGTGAAGAAGTTGAAGCTATAGAAGCTGTAGTTGTAGAAGTTGGCAAAGCAGCAACTACACTAGTCATGTTGTTGTTGTTGTTTGTTTTGTTTCTGTTATTATTACCTTTTCTATCTATTGTTATTGTTATTCTCTTTTTAGTAGAGGCAGTAGATGATTGAGGTAAGTTTGATGTTGAATTTGAGTTGTTGCTAACTGTTGATGTATTATTATTATTATTAGTACTATCAGTAGTTATAGTTGTTGATGTTGCTGAAGTATTAGTATTACTATTACTATTACTGTTACTGTTGCTGTTGCTATTCAGTGGAGGAATGGTTGTTGAAGGTTGAAATGATTCCATCTTTCAAAAATCAACCTATGTTGTTTTTATAATGCGATTCTCAAAGATTTCTCTGCTATTTGGCTTTTAAAAATGTTTGTTAAATAAACGTGATTGTTATAATATTAATGTTTTTTAATTATTCTTCACAAATTCCTAATAATATGATTTTGTGTTTTTTTGTTTTTTTTTTTTTTTGAATAAACAATCAACTTATTAAAATTAATAAAAGAAAAAGAAATTCGAAAAAAAAAAAAAAAAACATAATTTTTTCAATATTTAATTAAATTACATGTCGTCAGTTGATTTTCTTTAAAGAAAAAAATGAGATTTTAATACCAAAAATAATTGTGGCATTGTAAAATCAATTGGTCGAGAGAAAGTCACCTCAACTTTACTTTTTGAAAAATAAAATAAAATAAAATATATTTTTTTATTTCTTTTTTGTTTTATTTTCTTTCATCATAAAAATATTTTTTACTCCAGATAGTTTTGGATACTTTGTTTAGTGGTATCTAAAACTATAATTGTTTATAGAATCCATGAAAAATAACAGTTATTAATTAAAGTGAAATTAATCCTATTAATAGCTAAAATAGTTTTATTGTTTTTCTTCTTAGAATCATATACTGACAATGTTAGTGGCGAATACAATAGATGTACGAATTTTTATTTTGGATTTTAATATACAATTCAATTCGTGGATTCTATTTTATTTAATTGGAATATATTCATTGCCATCATATATTTTTAAATTGTGGTTGACAACTAAAGAATGACATAATTATATATAGATATAATGTGTATACGTGTTTGTTCTATTTTTGCAATCAATTTAATGCCATTGTAAGATAAATGGTAAACAATGACATTGCCTATTTTTAGAATTTGTTATTTTTCATTGACATTCGATAAATTGATATTTTAAAAATGTTGGCTTTATACTCATAATAAAATTTTATCATTCGTTATAGAAATGAAGATATCATTGCTCCACAATCCATATTGATTTTATCCAAAACAATAAAAAACATTCGCTTGTCTATTGATTTACCTAAAATAGAAAACAATCAATTAATAATATTATATATATATATTGAAATTTCTAATTTGTGTAAAAATTCCATTAAGTATGGACATTAAATATATATAGACAAGACTAACATAGTATATGTTAATAGTGGTGGTTATTATAGAGTAATTAAATAATGTGTGTTTGTGTGTGTCTGTAGATGTGCTCATTTGTTTGATCGATCTCACTAAAGATGATCATCCATTTCACTCATTTACTCTTACGTGGGTTATAACAAACAAACCAACACAAAAGATGAGATGAACTTGAATTGTTGAAGGGGAATTTGTCATATTAACCAATAAACACAACACACACTACTACGCAGAAGTAACGAATGATCAATTTTCTTTTTGGGTTGAGTTGGAGATACTGATTACTGTTTCCAATTTTGTGTGTGACTATTGTAATTGGCAATAAATAAGCATAATTAATTTTTTATTCAAAAATAATATCAAATCATGTTACCCACAATCAAAAAAAACAAAATAGTGTTTATTTTTTTTTTGGTGTGTGTTATTTATTTGTGTTCCAACAATGAGATATATATTGTTTTAATTTTGGTTACAAACACTCTTTTTTTTTTTTTTGTGGTATTTGTTGAGTGGATTGATTAATTGGATTTTCCAAAATAATAAAAATAAAATAAAAGAATTGAAAACACATAAAAAGATAAAATATGTGGCTGCTATTATCACATATGTGTTAATTTAGGTGTTGATTTAATCTGCTTTGTCCAAATGTTAAAGAAACACCCACAAAAAAGAATCCCCCATTTTCTTACATTTATTTCCTTTTCTTTTTTTTTTGTTTGATTGTTGTTGAGCTTAACAACAATAATGATGTTTTTTTTTCTTTGTTTGTTGGTAGTAGTAGCGTAGCTGATAATATAATTGCATGGCATTTCATTTCATCTATGGTTTTTTTTTGTCAATAAGAAAAGCAACAATAGTGCAAAGCAAATAAGCAAATAATAATTAATCAATCAATCAATCAAATATAAATTCAAATCAACTACTAAACAAACCCAATTAAAATTCACATCTAGATAACAACTTTTTTTCCTAATGTTTTTAATTTAAAAGTTTAATTTAGTGTACATATTTATTTTTTTTCAATTAATCAATCAATCATTTTATCCCACCTACTTTTTATTATTTATTTATCCTTTTTTAATATTAAGCTTTAAAAATAATTATTTATTCCTTTAACTTTTTATTCTGTGTTGTCTTGTTTGAAATTTAAATTAAATTGTTTTTTTTTTTTAATTAATTAGATTTTTATTTTATTTTATTAAAAAGTCATCAAACTATCTATTTTGCGCAATCATAGACAAGACAACATATCTAACAAAAACAACAACAAAAAAACAGTATTTGACAAAAAAGGTCTCAAAACTTTTTTTTTCAAAATTTTATGATTGAAAGCTCATCTTGGTAGGGATCTCAGATCGCGAGAAACAATTTTAAAAAATTAATTATCAAAAAAAAAAAATCCGATTTAGTTTTGATGATTTTAATGTGCATTCATTCTCAAAGTACCCAATATTCATCTTATCACATCGAGTTAAAAATTTGAAACAAATCTATCTACCTTTTTGTTATATTTGTCTATATCATTAATTTATTAAATCAAAATCAAATCTATTTAGTAAAAAGTACAAACAATCAATCAAACAAATCTCAACTACAACAATTATAGCCAATTCAAAGTTATAACTTAATATAACTAGTTTTTTTTCAATATTCTTCTATCACTTTTTTATTATTAGTTTGGTTTATTATTAAATTGATACACTTTTCAAATTTCATTTTTCAAAATATATTATTTTTTTTTTATTGTCTGTCTATTCATATTGTTTTAAAAAAAATTGTTATTTTTTAATAGTTTTTTAATAATTAATTATCTGTAATAACTTAATAATAAATGGCTGATTTACAATGGGATATTCCTTTACCACCTCCACCCGTTTGGAACAATTCGGATGCACCTCCAATACCAACTGTTTGGAATTCAATATCCAGTGAATTGATTCCATTGACTCCACCTCTCACTCATGATATGTTATCGGATGGCGAAGATGAAGAAGAAGCTGCGATAGTGATTCAAAAAGTATGGCGTGGATTTCTAGGAAGAAGATACGCAAAGTCAAGATCCAAATCAATCATTATCATTCAGAAATATTACAGAGGATACAGAGCAAGAAAACTATATAAGATTCTTTTGGAACAAACCAGATGGATGAGAGATATTCCACCACCTTCAGCACCAAAACCACAAATTGTAAATTATCATTTAAATTTGATATCAATTTATTTTTTAATAATAATAATTTCTTATTTTCTTTTTGATTATTAATTAGATTACAAGAGCAAAAGGTATTGGAGGTAGAAAGAGACCAACAAGAGGAGTAAAAGTTCAAACAAAAGAAGTAATTGAAACAACTCCAATTTCCAATGATGAAAATGGTGAGAATGGCGAGAATGGTGAGAATGGTGATCAGACAGCAACTCCTCAACAACCAAAACTGGTTAATAATGGAATGGGAATGATGATTCCAAAGTTTGATCCATCAGCTATCGCATTGAAATCCAGAGGTCCTGGAATGTTGACAAAGGATCGTCCAGTCAGTGTTTCAAATCCAGAGATGTTGTTCAGGCTCAAGAAAACAACACAGACCAACAGCTCTACAGATGAAGCGGCAGCATCCGCTCCTTCTAACACCGCGGAAATCAATTTCCTCAGTGGACTGAGAAAAGTTGCTGCTGCACCCAAAGAACAAACCAACAATGTATCAAATCAACAACCACCACTATCGTTCTCACCAATGCATTTGAGAAAGACAAACAACCAAATCTCTCATTCCACCGGAGATCTACCTAAGCGAATGAGTTTAGATTTTTCAAGTTTACCACTTCCACCTCCACCTTCGCCAGGACAGTTTCCACCACCTCCAGCTGCTGCTGCTGCTATCTCTTCATTCCCTCCACTTCCACCTTTTACACCAACACAACTTCCACCACCGCCCTCGCCAGGTCAACTTCCACCACTTCCAAACAATGCTCCATTAAGCAAACCATCGATTCCGCCAAGACTACCAAACAACAGAAACTCATTGGATTTACCTCCACCTCCAACAACTTTTACTCAATCGAAACCACCACCATCCATTCCAAATAGAAATAGTGTCAAATTAGATTTTCCACCACCACAACAACAACAGAATCCAACTTTTATACAGAGTCAAATACCAAAGAAACAAACAAGCAATGGATTTACAACAGGTTCACATCGTGCTTCACTACAGCAAGCTCTCAGTCCAGATGTTCTGAATCTTCCACCTCCACCTACAAATGTTTCACCTTTGAAACCTCAACAATTGAAACCAGGTTGGAAGGAATACACTACAACCGAGGGAAAGAAATACTATCATCACCAACTCACCAATATCACCACATGGAATCCAGATGATGCAATGACTCCATTCCCATTACCAACTTATACCAGCGCACCTTTATTACCAATACCACAGAATCAACCACAACAAACACAAGCACCAATATCAGTATCATTATCAGTATCTTCAGCAGCAATACCACCACCCATTCCAACACCTATCAATGAACAATGGTTTGAACACATCACAGCCGACGGAAAGAGATACTATCATGAGAAGATTTCAAACATTACAACTTGGTCCAAACCAGCAAATGTTAGCATTCAAACAATTGATGAAAAACAACAAAACAACCAACAGCATCATCAACAACAACAACAACAACAACACTCACCAGGCAAATCATCAACACAATCAAATCATCACTCCAAAGACAGCCATGTACAATCAATGTCAAAAGATGAAAAGAAACAAGTTGGTGGAATTCTTGGAAAATTCCTAAAGAAGAGACCATCGAAACAAGAATTGGAAGCAAAGAATATTTTACAATCAGAGAAAGCATCATCCAAAAGAAAATAATAATATTCCCAGATTTTTTAATTAATTAATAATAATAATACATGTATAGTAAACAATAATAATGATTAATAATAATTTAAATATCTATTTATATATTTATATAGCTAATTGTAATAAAAATTTTAACATGACTTTTGTTGATTAGTAGCAATATAATAAAGAGAGAGAATCGAATCGATTAGATTAGATTCTGACTTTGATTAATCTTGGTTTGATACTTGAGATTGCAGGTTGCATCTTTCTGTAGTATTCAAAGATTTGTTTGCAATCTCTTTGGAATTCCTTGGGTATTGTGCTAGTTGGAGAATCCGATATGTATGGCACGAGATGCTTGATTAAGTCGTCACAAAAGACATCTTTGGTATCGCAACACACCTGAAGTCGCTTGAAGGCAACCAAGAACATCGAGATCACAGTGTAGTTGGCCTTGTGCTCGGGATTGAGATTCGAGAAATATTGACCGAATCGAATACGAATGTTTGTGTGTTTCAGAATCTTGTTGGATTGTTCAATCGTACCGTTGCAGATCATGCTGAGTAAACAATAGGTGGATTCATGTCTAACCGATGCATCGTTGTGATTCATCAGTTTCTCGAGAAGCGTGACACTATCGTCGAGAGCGAGAATCTTTTGAATTTGATACGGTGACTTGGCAATGATTTGCTCCAGTGCCCAGAGTGACTGGTTGGAAACTTCCGGACAAACAAAATCTTGTGTTCGCTGCAAGACGTTTAGGAGCGGTGCAACAATGTTGCGATAGAAGGTGTGGTGCGAATTCTCTTGTTCGTCTATGTGCAAGAGGTTTCCAGCTAACATGACAGCGGGCTTCAAACCAACCACTTCACTCTGTGAGAGACGATCGAGTAGATTGATAAGAGCAATGCTATGGTTGATAGTGATGACTTCCTCGGAAACCGTGATACCACTTACAACTGGCATTTTCTTGTCACTCAAGAACCACTGATTGATAAGCTTTGAGTTGCTGTCTTCCGTCACGTAGAAAGCAATCCAGAGGGCATGTTCAACAATCTCGAGATCTTCGTGTTGGTAGAGTGCCGCCAGCGTCGGAATCAACGGTACAATGAAATCTCTGTTGGGTTTGGGATGACCTCTCGACAGGTTGTGAATCAACCAGAGAATATTACTGAGTAGCTCTGTCGGTAGATCAAGATCCGATAGCAGCTGCATCAACGACGGCACGACATGCGAGTGAATGACGACATCTCTATTCTCTGCGGATTTCACGGCGTAGTTATTCAACGACCATACACATCCATGAATTAGATCGTATTCATTTGGATATCTAAAGATAGTACAAACCAAACTTCTAATTATATTTTCATTTTTCAACAACTTTATTGACTCTTCATGTGCAGATCCATCGAAACAATTTGCAAAAATAAATGATGCTTCTGTCTATAATAAATAATAAATAGTTAATAATATGAAATTTTGTGAATAAAATAATAATGGTACCTTTAAAATAATATTTTCAGATTCTTTAAATAATGAATGAATTCTAGAGTATAAACTTGGATGAATTGTTATTTCTGGCTCTAAAATAATATTTATTTGGATTTTGAATTAATAAAATAATAATTTTTAAATTAATTATAATTAATTTAATTCTTACCATTTGATATGAAATCTCTAAAGAATTTCATTCCAATGATTTGATCATCCAAATCATTTCCGTTGATCTTTTCTCTCATCGACAGATACTCTGCATTCTTTTTGTTTTTTAACATTGAATTTGATACTCCAAACATTCTTTATTTTTTTTTAAAAATAATAATAAGAAATAATAAATTGAATTTTATTAATTAAACATTTATTAGTTAGATTTTTTTCTTTATTTTAAATTACATTAATGTAAAATATTAATGGTAAATCTTTATCAATTTTAAAAGTAGATTCGGAAAACAAAAAAAAAACATTCAAAAAGATGTGGGGGTATTGTAAATTCTCTTTTAAGTAAATAAATAGATAATTCGAATTTTACCACATTTGGAAAAAAATTAAAAAACAAAACAAATTTACATCTCATTGTTGTACTATTATTATTAACAATAATAATAATTTAGTTATAACTTTTGGGTTTATTGTTTATTTTTTTATTACAATTTTTGAATTTATCTATTTTATTTTAATACTAAGTGTTTTATATTGTTATATGTTATTATCGATAATAATATAATATAAAAAGATAGGTAGGAAAAGAAAAAAAAAATAATTATATGTTGTTTGTTGTTTTGTTGTTGTTTTAATATTTTTTTAATATATTAATTTGTGCAAGTTACTTGATAAGGTGATAAAAGTTCGCATTGTGAATAAAGAGCGTTAGTACGACAACCGTTGTGAGGGTTGCAATTGATCTCATATGGATGGTTCTGTGCGTTGCAATAGAAGGTTGAGACTGAACCGTCTGGGTTGATGACGGCTGTGTTGTTGGTGGCGAACCAGTAGGACGACACCGACGAACACAGTGCAAACATCGATTGGTAGAGAACTGAGTTGGGTGGGATCTTGACTGGCCAGTCTTGCTTGTACACCAAGTAGGAGCTGTTGCTAGCGAGGTTGTACTGGCACTCGGTGCTACCGCTGGTGAGATCAAAGGTCGATGTGTAGATTTCGTCGTTGCAATACTCGTAGAGATTCGATGTCAAGTTGAAGCTGCTGGTGCCAAACAGTGGCATCACGAAAAATGTACCGGTGATGTTGGTTGAGCATTGCAATGGCATCGTACCGAATCCGACACCTACAGGACTGCCACTGCACTGGTGTGCCTGATGAAATGGAATAAAGTTGTATAGATCCAGCAGTGGATTGTCACCGAGTTCGTGTACCAATGTATCTATATCTATATTGAGATCCAACTCTTCGCCACGCTGCTCCAGATGATTCATATATTTCATTAGATCAAAAGATCCATAGCAACTACAAATGAATCCAATGAATATCAACAAAAGTGTTGATCTATATAATAATTTCGATGTACTAGTTGATAACATATTTTCTTTCTCTGACTACTACTTTTGTTTTTTTTCTTTCTCACTAAACTTAACTAAACTAAACTTAACTAAACTAAACTTAACAAAACTAAACTATACAAATAATAATGATAATAATAAATAAAATAAATAAATAATTGATTGATTTGATTCGATTCGAAATGAGGAAATGATAAAATAAATAGATAGAAATAGAAAAAGAAGGCGGTGATGTGTGTTGTGTTTAAATTAACTGTGTAAAACAAAAAAAAAAATTGGGAAGCAAGGAAATCGGGATCACACACAAAAAAAATAAGGTAGAAATTTCTAAAAAATATTAAAAATTCAAAAATTTATAAACTTTTTTTTCGACAATATCTTTTAGAAAATTGGTATTAAAAAAATAAATATCTACTGGTTGATTTTTCCCAATATCAGTATTTGTAAAATTCAATAAACAGTTAATTTTGATATTTCAATTATTTATTTTTTTTAAAGATATTATTTCCCATCATTGTTTTTATTTTGAGGTCAAACAACAACGATTTGGTAGATTTCTCTTTTTTTTTGTTTTGCTAATCTTATGACAAATATTTACAAGATACTGTTTATTTTTTTGTAATCACACTTATTGTTCTCCATATGAAACATCAATGTGAAATAATCTCGATCTTTAACTGTTTATGAGTAAAATTTTTTTAATTCAAAGCAAAACGAAATCTACTTTTTTTTATTCAGAGATAGATAAAGTTATCAATAATTGGCAATATTACAATATTTTCATTTTCTTTTGTGATAATAATAGATATATTATTGATTTTTTTCATTTTCCTCGTTCGTTTTTGATTTGTTATTTAGAAAAAATGTAATTTTATAAATAAATAAAAAAAAATTTGACAATTTTTTTTTATTTTTTTTTTATTTTTTCAATTTTTCTCAAAATCGTGCCTTTCGTTTGATTAATCTTTGTTTTGTTTTTTCGGTGTCTTACAAAGAAATAATATTATTATTTTAATATATTAATTTAGTTAGTATTATAGAGAAAATAAAAAGAGAGTTATAATATTATAATAGAACAAAATCAACAACAATGAGATTAGAGAAGTGCTTTTTCTGTGGAGGTACTGTGTACCCTGGTCATGGTATCATGTTTGTTAGAAATGATGCTAAAGTATGTCATTAATATCGATCGATATCGATGAATAGCTATCATACTTTATCAGTTACTAATAATTTAATAATATTCTATTGTAAATAAATTAGGTTTTCCGTTTCTGTAGATCAAAATGTCACAAGAACTTCAAGTTGAAGCGTAATCCACGTAAGACTAGATGGACTAAAGCATTCAGAAAGCTTAATGGAAAGGAAATGGTCGTTGTAAGTATTACATATATTTTAAAAAAAAAGAACAATTTTATTAATACATATTATTATTATTATAAACAAAAAAATAAAAGGATAAAACTTTTGAATTTGAAAAGAAACGTAATAGACCAGTTAAATATGATAGAGATTTGGTTATGAATACTATTAAGGCTATGAAGGTAGTACAGAGAATCAAATCAGCAAGAGAGGAAAGATTTTATAAATTGAGAATGAAGGGTGTCAAGAGAACCGAAAAGATGGCAATGCTCAAGGAGATCGACGAACACGTCGATTCAATCAGATTGCCAAGCGCACTCGAGAAGATGCAAAGCAGACTCAAGGCAAACAAAGCCAAACTCGAAGCAATGCAAGCCACTCGTTCTTAAATTAATTAAATTAAATCAATATCTATATATATATTTAAATCAACAATCAACAATCAATCATTTTCATTTCAAAACAAAAAAAAAGTAACCGATCATCAACAAATATCCACTTTTCCAACCAATCCAACCACCTATTCAACATAATTGTATAGTTTTTCATTCTCTTTCCTCCAACAAAATAACATTTGACTCTCTCTCTCAATTCAAAAGTAACTCAATTATTTCACAGTAGTCCAAGTCCAGTCCATACATACCACCGTCAATATGGAGTTATCTTCCAACATTTAGCTCCATTCATTTTCCTTTAAAGCTCTCCCCTAAAGTTTAAAAACAAATCCAAAAAACGCATTCAATGTTTTAAATCTATTATTATTATTATTTTAATAATAAAAATAAATAAATAAATAATACTTTTTTAAACAAAACAAATTAAATTGATTTTAGCGCTTTAGGGTTTTATAATTTACAAAAAGTAGTTACAAGTATTGCACATTTTTTATTACGATTAACTATTTGTTATGAGTAATGGCTTTTCATCTTTATAAGAGTAAATCACATAGAACGGTATCAACTTCCATTTGGATACTTGATTCTTTAGTTGAAGAAGTTTGTCTTTGTGTACTCGAGTGAACTTTGAAGTTGCTTCGCCACTATCCATAAATTCCTTGACAATTGATATTGATAGATCTATGGCAACTACTTTAATAGATGTTCCTTTTGATTGATAGAATCCTTTAAACATTTTACTAAACAAATAGATAAATTAATATTATGATAACTTTACTTATTTAATTAATTAAAGCTTTTTTCTACCACATACTTTACACAATCTTTTACAGATCCTTCTATTTTCTTTAATTTTCCTTTGTTTTCTTCACCGGCTTGAATTGTGACTTGAATGTTCAACAGGTCAGACTGTGTATCCATAGCGATCATTTGTGTTTCGAGAGGTGCCGACGGTTCCATCAATCGATATTTCTTTGCTTTCAGGATAAAGTCTACGAGATCCTTTCTAGAGATGACCGATTCCGATCTGGTTTCAATGTGTCTGATCTTGACCATACCGGTAGAGTAAGATCGCTCTTTCAGTACGATCACCCATGTAATTCCATTCTCTTTGCAATAGCTGAAGATATCCTCGACATTGGAGTATTCATTCGGTGAGTAGTCAGCTTTGATGTTCATTGCCCACAGTTGAGTGGAGACCTGAAGTTTCTCTGTCAACATTGGCGCGCCCAGCGAACAAACGAATACCTCGAGGTCAGAGTTGGTCTTGGCGCCTTTCGTCTTGATTTGTCGCTGATCGTATTGCATCAGAGAGTTGACCATCTTTTCGATTGCAATGGTTACACCGACACCGCAGATCTGTTGGTGTGTAGCCTGCGGTAGGAAGCTGTTGATCAGCCGGTCGTATCTTCCACCGGCCATAATAATCTCGGTCTTTGAAGTGTAGTGGCCATATTGGTCGGGATAGTTGCTTCGTTCGTTGACCACCTGGAATACGATTCCCGAGTAGTAGTGGTAGTTGTGCACCAAACTCAGATCCAAATAGAATTTTGGAATGATATTGATCGCTTGGAGGTTACGCGCCAGATTCTTCAGGTCGGTCAGTCCAACCAGTGAATCCTTTCGCTTGGCCAGCAGTTTCTCCAGCTGAGCAATACAGGTCATGAGCTCACCTTTCTGCTTGAGATATACTGACAAACTGTGAATACACTGATTGGTCAGCCCAATCTCTTTGAGTGAGGTGACAACCTGTGGCCAAGAGTTCTTCCAGTGGAGTGTGGCGATGGACATGTAGACTTTGCCATGATCTTTCTTGTCGACTCCACAAACCTCCAATACACCATCGAGCACACTGTAATGGTTGATCTTTATAATGTAGTTACTTCCTAGTTCCTTTGAGAATTCCTCCATGATATCGACTGTGGTTCTGAGGATTTCCGCGTCACTAACGTAGCTTGTTTTGGGTGGACCTACAATGTCGAAATCACACTCATACAGTTCTTTGGGACTGTAACCAGAGGATGACTGACGAAATACTTTGGCAATTGAATAACGTTTGGTGTGTGTTATCCCATGGAGAGCGACATGCCGTGCCCATGGTATGGTCAGGTCAAATGGCATATATACAACGTTGCCACCTTCATCGAGGAACTTGGCAACCAGATCTTTGTTGGGCAGTGTCGAATCGATCGGAAAGAGAATGGGTGTGTCAATTCTAATGGCGCCGTGATTCCTAAAGATATTGCAAAGTCGAGTCACAGTCTTTTCACGCGCCAACAAATGAGTGTTGGAGAGTGTTGCATTTGAAGTATAGAGATAACGCGATACAATATGTTCGTCCGTCGACATTCCAAAGAGCTTCTCCATGAGATAGTTAAACAGTGAGAGCGTTGGGTTGGCGATGGTTTTGATTGCTTCCTTGAGGATGTCGTCTTCGATTCTCGAGGGAATCAAGTCTGATTCAAGTAGTTCCTTTGTGGTGGGACGGTCGTTTGGATCCTTGGCAATCAGGCTACGAATCAGTTGTGCATGGTCGGGTTTCAATGCCTCGAAACCCGGTGGGAATTTAATGTCGTTTCTCAAGTCTCGCAGGATATTAGATCGCTCCATCTGAGTCTGGAAGGGATGACACATCTCAAAGAGAATGATACCGAGCGAGTAGATATCGACTTTGACACCGTAGTGACGAATTGTCTTTTGGAGAATCTCTGGACAACAATAGAATGGAGTTCCAACTCCACCCGTCATACTTTGTTCATTCTCTTCAATATCAAACATTGTACTATTATCTGTTACTTGTGATTGTTGTTGTTGTTGTTGTTGTTGTGGAGTTAGGAATCCACTTTTTTGTGATCCTGAAGTTGCCAAACCGAAATCACCAATCTTTACATTGTCTTCGTCGTCAATGAAAATGTTGGCTGGCTTCAAATCACGATGAATGATTCCTTGTGAATGAATATGGTTGAGACCTTCAACCATCTGTCTAAAGAGTCGCCATATCTCCTCCTCTGATAACCCGCCAATCGAATCGATAAGAGTTCTCAGAGTTTTCTTTGAACAATAGTCCATTTGAATATAGAGTGTATGAGTATCTTTCTTCTTTGCTGCAGGTGTTGGAATCGTCTTTTGTATATGATTGGACAATACCCTTGATCTAGGATTAAAGTTGAAATTAGTGGAAACATCTTCGTCGTCGTCATCATCGTCATCGTCGTCATCCTCATGAATATTGTTTGAGTATGATCCGTCGTCGTCCGTTGCAGCATAGGATAGCCCAATGTCCTGGTCTGTAAAAGTGTTGGAGAGAAGCGACCTTGAGTTGATCGATTGTGTCAACCAATCTTCCGAGGCATCAGTCTCGAGGTCACCACTCAAATCCTCCATTTCGTCGTGATCATCCGAGTGGCTGTCGGTCCGCTCTATCCAAGCTTGGTAGTATCGCACCACATATTGGTGATGCAGTCTTGAAAGTGTAGTGACTTCACGTAGCAGTTTGTTGGTGAGTGGTTCCGCCTGGTTGTCAGAGGAGACACCTTCGGTCTTGATCTTCTTCACTGCATAGTAACGACCGTCCAGTTTATTCTTTGATTTCACAACGATACCGAATCCACCTTTTCCAATCATTTCAATCTCCTCAAAGTCCATACGATATCGAGAGAATCTAAATTCATAGGGATTGGGTGACATTGGCTTTTGCTTGGCAGGGGTGGCGCCTGGTGATCCCATCAAGATATTGGTTGGACCATTTTGAGGATTGTTGGCACCAGTTGCAATTGGTGGTGTTTGGCTGGTACTGCTTGCCAACATCGAAGGTGAAGAAGGTGGTGTATTATCGCTATATGCACAGCTGTTATTCAAATCAGTGGTACTCTCATTGGTGGAAGTCGAAATAGTCAAAGGATTGGAAGTGGATGAAGTTGAATTTGCCAAGATATTTTGATGATTTATCAATTTGTTTGCTGTAATCACAGCAGAGGAAGTGGTGGTTGTTGTATTGCTAGTGGTTGTGGTGGTGATGGGTGTTGATGTTGGCGGTGAAGTTATTGTATTGTTTGTAATATTTGAAATGTTACTGGTGATTGGATTGATAATGTTGGCTGCAATCGATGAAGTTGTATTTCTAAGTGGTTGATTATGATTGTTGTTATTCGGGTGTTGATTGTTATTGGAATTCTCTTTCGGTTTCATTGTGGGTGTCGATGAAGAAAGAGAGTGATGCGAAGATATGAATGGATGCTTGAGGAGTAGCCCTGCTTCCAGTTTGACTTTGTCGTTGGCATCGCTATTGAAAATGATGTAGAGAAATTCTTTGGCGAGTGCCGATGTGTTCTCAGGCAGTGCAATTCCCTCGTACAGCTTGAGAAATTCGTTTTGTGAAGAGTTACTTCCACCGCTGCTATTGAGTGATTGGCTAGAGAATGAACGTTTGAATCCACCACTACCTGTATTGTTGTTACTGCCACTGCTTCCTCCAATGCTGCTGCTTCCAATGCTGCTGCTGCTGCTGTTACCGATTGTGCTATTTCCACTGCTTGTCAGCTGACTCCTGGAAATGGTGCGACCAGTCAACATCTCCAGTACAACGATACCCAGATTGAGAAAGTCCTCACGTCTGAGCAGATACTTGGTGGAGGCATTCGAAGAGAGCAGCATCTTTTGATTCTGATTCCAAAAGTTGAGGTGATTCTTATTGTTGGATCGGTCGACGTGGTCGAATATCTTTGTGGAATTGCCACCATAGTTTGTGAAAAGAACATGTCCTGTGGCGTCGTCAACGAAAATATTCTTGGATTGCACATCACGATGTGGAATGTGCTGTGAGTGCAAGTAGAGTAGTGAGAGCAACAGTTGATATGTATACTTCCTTACGACAGACTCTTCGATGCGACCGACCTTTTCTATCATCGCCTTGAGAGTGTCAGTACCGACATGCTCCTGAAATATATAGAGCGTGTTATTCTCAATGGCAGCACCGAGATACCTGACCAACTGTGGATTAGAAAGATGCATCATACATTCCACTTCCTTCTGAATCGCATAAGCACGTTTTATCGATTGATTGTTTGTGTTTTGTGAGGTGGTAGTTGATGTAGCGTTATTTTGATTCTGGATGCTGCCAATCGAGTTACTACTACTATTGCCACTTCCACTTCCACTGCTACTTCCACTATTATTATTATTACTATTGCTATTTGAATCATTATAGCTGTTACTGTTGCTGTTGCTGTTATCATCTAATGGTATCTGTCGACAGATCATCTTTGTGTTGGTGTCCAAGTTTATACATTCGTAGGTGGCATCGACGTCACTACGACCTAGACAGCTTCCAAGCTTCCAGTGTATCTTTGGTATGTCAGAGTTGGTTGATGGCTGATCATCATGTCGCCCACTAACTAAATGTGAAGCAGTGTTCATATGACTCTCTTCGAATATACTCATATTATTCTCGAGACCGATATTACTCGATTGTCCAATATCAAATCCATATCCAAACATTGACTTGTTGTTATTATTATTATTGTCAAGCATGAAATCACCATTTCTTATCATATTTAAAAAGGAAGGTACACCAAACTGTTGATTATGGTGATGACTATGATGATTACTATGATGATGATTATGATGATTTACATGACCATTTTCAAAATCGTTATCATTATCATCATCTTGATTATTATTATTATTATTATTATTATTATTATCATCGATATCACTATTGTTATCTCTATCATTATCATAATCATCATCTTCATCATTGTTTACTCCATCATCTATATCGTCTTGATAGTTGCTATTGTTATATATCTCACTGCTGCTGTTCAATCTATGTTCCTTTAGACGTTGAATCATCTCTTCGTGTAGACTAACTGTTTCCTTGTTGTATTGCAACAAGAACTCCTGTATGGCTTGACACAACTCGAATATGACCACCTCGCCAATGATCATCTTCTTCTCCAATAATATATAGAGTTCCTCTATCTGATCATCTGATAATCCTCTTACTTTCTCCAACTCAATATTCGGTAGAGTATCAGGATAGTTTGGTGTATAAGTTACACATAATTTAACTAATCATACAACAACAACAACAACAACAACAATAGTTAGTTTATCAATATAAGCCATTCATAACATAACAATTCATACCTGAACAATAGTTTTGATATTGATTGGTTGGATGTGGAATAACTGTTATTTTGAATCTCTGACAAACACCATCTGGAGGTAACATTACAAAGTCATCCTTTTAAATTAAATTACAAATTGTTAAACATTGATCTTCACTATCATCATGATGATCATGATCATCATCATATTGATTTGTACATACTCTATAGATGGATTGTAAACACAACATTTCACCATTTTGTGCTTCTTCATTCTTTGGATTCAATGTCATTAATATAGTCTTTGACATCTCTTTTTTCTTAATGCTCTATATAAATATAAAAATTTATATAGATTTTGATCTTTCTTTCTTTCTCTCTATCTTTTTTACTGTTTTTTATTTTTGTTTCTTTTAATATTATTATCTAAAGTTATATATATATAAATATATTTATTTATAAAAATATATTATTTCCCTATCTTTTTTCTTTCTATCAAATTATATGATGAAACCAAACAATAGACTAGATGAAATAATATATTTTTATAATGATGTCAAGTTTTAAACCAATTAATAATGATATCATAAATACAAACTTTTAATTTTAAATAAATATTATTATAGAGATAGACTATATATAAGTAAAGTTAACTAACTTATTCTTCTTCTTTTGATTATCAAAAAAGGTAAAAGTTGAATGGTTGTTTGTTTTTTTTTTCAATTTCAAAAAAACAACACTTTATTTTATTTTTTTGTTTTTTTGCTTTTTTGCAAAGAATCGCAATTAAAATTAAATCTTTCAAAAAACAACAAAATAAAATCGAGATAACACTAAAATAAAAGTGAACATCAATCAATCATTCATGAAGATGATGTATGATTATTGATGATTGATTAATGTGATTATTGATTATTGTTATGCTTTGGTTTTGTAATATTTTTATTTTGATTTTAATCGATTAATTCAATTGATAAAATACCTTGTGGTTGATGAAGGTATGGAAGTTCACCGTAGGTGTTGTTACGAATGTAGACACCGAGTTTACTGGTGAGGATAGTTTGAATTTCATCAATGTACTGTGGGTAGGAGTGAATGCATCCGTGTGATGGTGGCATTGGGAGCGATGGATTCCAACCGGCCCACTCACCGGTGTGCAGCAAGATGCCGTCACGAATGTTGCTGATCACGATGAAAGCATTGCCAGCGAGACCTTCTACGGCACGATTGATTGGATACGGTCCGAAACTTACGGGGTCTGGCTCCGGTGAGTTCAAATCGAATGTCATCAAGCCGGTCGGTGTCGAACCGGATCCACAGAGCTGGTTCATTGGCAACCCGGTGGAGTTGTCGTTCTGACCGAGTGTCTTCACTGTGAAATTCAAGAGAACATTCATGTTGGCGTCGAACAACGTTGCAGTTGTCTCAATCGAACGATCTCTATGAACTGGTACATAAACCTTATAGAGGAATCCAGGTGGAATCTGTCCATTATCCTTGTATCCATCTTCTAAATTATTTGCCAACAATGCGTTTGCTGATGTTACATCGAAAATACCTGATTCTTCCCTGTAGTAGAATTATTATTATTATTATTTTTAGAAATATTTCCATGTAAATATTATATTAGATATTATCACAATTTCCATTAAATATTTTTAACAACTACTGAGTTAAGTACTTACAATTGATAAATTGATTGGAATTTAATGAGTGCAGCTTGTGTGATTGCGTCGAATGCAGATGTTAATGGGATGTTTGGTACTGTTCTCACTAGTAGATTCTGTAGGATATAAACATCATCACCAGTCATTGGTGGTGTTTGAATAGATAGTTCTCTAGAAAATGGACATGGAAACTAAAATAAATAAAAATTGTTTTAGGATTCACAAATAAACACAAACACACACACACAACACACATAACAAAATAATTAATATCTAAAATTGTTTTGATATAGGTAGGTTTTCTATTATTAGAAAAATCTAATAGATCTTTAACACATACATCTTGAGCATTCGTTGTTGTTGCAACAAATGCAATTATCACTAAATTTAAAAATACAAGCTTTAATCTGTTCATTATTTATTATTATTTCATATAATTAATAATATTACAAGATAAATAATAAATAAATTAATGGATGGTGTTTCAAGATTAAAAAAAAAGAATGCATAAATCTTTAAAGAAAATATCCAACATTGGGAGAGCAAAAAAAGTTTTTCGAAAATTTTAAAAAAATCTATTTTTTTATTGTTCCTGGTTGTTATTTGCACATTCACAAATTGTTTCGTCAAGTTTTGAACCTCAACTGATTGTTATTATAATTTCAAGATAGATAGATAATAATCAGATTAAATGTAGAATACATTTTCATTTTTTATTTTATTTTGATATCTATCTTTATTTATTTTTTACTTTATTTTGATCCAAATAATTTTAGCAAAATACAAAAGTCTTTTTCTTTCAATTTGAAAAGTAATATTATTCATTAAAATCTAAGTTCAAACATTTAATTAATGTAAGAAATGTTAAAACAATTAAGGTATGAATTTCTATTAATTGTATTTCAATTGAAAACAACAAAGATTGGAAATAAAGATATTTTATTCAATTTGTCTTCTGTTGACAGAAATATCTCTCTATTATTAATTTTATATCCATAATATTATGATAATTAAAAAAACTATTATTTATTTTTATTATGAATGATGATGTGTATTTATTGTATAAAATGATAAAACACACACAATGTCAAAAGTGACAAAACAATATAAATCGTTAAAAATTAAGTGGTGGTGCTTGTTCATTTGAAATTTATTATTTTGTTTTTTTTTTATTGTATTTGCATTCTACATTCTTATTATATATTTATTTATTAATATTTTTAGAAGTGACTGTTCTCTTGTTGACTAAGAAAAAGCAAAATTAAGATAAACAAAAAGCAAAAATGTATGCAAGTACATTAAAGTTTGTTTTATATTTCATGCTGATAGTTGTTGGTTTGGCAATCTATCAGGCCAACCTGCAAAAGTCGGGATCGAAACATACATTCCAACCGTTGTTCAAGACGCTACATACTAGCGGTGCAGCTATCAATCGTACGCTGGTGATGGCACATCGTGGATCGCGATACCTGATGCCAGAGAACACGATTTTGGCATTCAAGACTGCGCTCGACATTGGCACCGATGTCTTGGAGACCGATGTTCGTGCGACCAAAGACGGACATCTCGTGGTGTTCCACGACAAGCAGATCGTCAGAACCACCGGACTACCGGGTGAAGTCGAAACACTGACATTGGCGCAACTACAGGAGATCGATGCCGCCGCGATGTTCTCGCCGGACAACGGAACGACACGTCCGTTCCGCAACAAGGGAATACGCGTGCCACTGGCGCGCGAGATGTTTGACGCGCTACCTCCCGCCACACCACTGAACATCGAAATCAAAGAGGACGACAGAAATGTCTCGCAACTACTGTGGAGTGAGATTGAACGAGCTTTTGACAACGGTCGTCCACACCGCTCCATCGTAGTGAGCAGTCGTTTCTGCGCGCCAACCAGTCACATCCGTGAGCTTGCTGCGCAATACGCCAGTAAGCATCAACTCACCGAGCTACCAATTACCACTTCCGCCTGCGAGAAAGACGTCGTTCGTTTCTTGCTACTCGCTCAATTCTTCTTGGCAAAGATATGGTACAGTTGGTTCCCTATCAACAACTACGAGGTCTTCCAGATTCCGACTGCGAGTGGACCGATGGCGCTAGACACTCCGCGTGTCATCGATGCCGCGCACTACTTTGGTAAGCACGTTCACTACTGGGTGATCAACTCGCCCGGCGAAATCGATAGAATCGCATCGCTTGGCATCGAAGGAATCATCACCGATCGTCCAGATAACGCAGTTCGTGTACTCCAACAACGTGGAATCAAACCACGTTCTTGGGTCATTCCCAAACCGTTGCCAGGCAACCACACAGGTACTTATTTCATTCCGATGGACGACCACGAAGAACTACACACTTGCGTCTCACCTCTCTGTATCATACTACAACACATCCATCTCATTGTCATATCACTAGTACTCACTTTTATCCTATTCAAAGTATTACAATCCAATACAAAGAAGAAAACAACAAGAGTTGTAAAAGTTAAAAGAAATTAAAAACTAAAAAAAAAAACTAAACAAAGAAAAAAGTTATTTAAAAACAAAACAAAACAAAACAAAACAAAACAAAACAAAACAAAACAAAACAAAAGAAAGGATAATATATTGTTTTTGTTATTATATATAAGTTATTACTAACTTTACTTTACTTTATATTGACAATTATATATTATTGTTGTTTGTTTTATGGTAATTGTTGTTTGAATACAGTTGATCTATAATATTTTAATTCTTCAATGCTATCTTCAATGTCGGCAAGAGTACGGTGAAGATTACGTTTCTTTAGACCATTGGCAACACTAGGATACCAACGTCTGACTAGTTCTTTGATGGTGGAGACATCGACGATTCTGTAGTGTAGCATATCGGCAAACAACGGCATTTCCTTAAGTAAGAATCTCTTGTCTTGATGTACCGAGTTACCTGCCAGAGGACACTGACCTTTATCTACATGTTTTCTCAGAAATTCAACCATCTGTTTCTCTGCATCTTGAATCGATAGCTTAGATTGTCTACATTTCTCTGTTAAACCAGACTTGATAAACATCAATTGATTTTATGTTAGTTTTTTTTACTTTTTATCTGAAGATATCTTTAAAGATAATGAGATGAGTACATACTTGACCATGATGCTCTGTACACCATTGATCCATTGAGTTGAGATCTTTGTCATCGATATGTACAATTAGTTCTGGACCGACTTCGACTACGTTTAATTCACTATCGGTGATGATGCAAGCCATCTCCATGATGTGATCTTTGGTGATATCCAATCCCGTCATCTCTAAATCCACCCAAATCAATCTATTGGCTCTATCATTTGTTGTTGAAGACATCTTATTGTTGTTATCGTTATAATTGCTATTAGTATCACTATATGATAATGATGATGATGTATAAAAATTTTTATAAATAATTGATTTTTGTTGTTGTTGTCGTTTGAGAAATTGTGAAGATCTACTGTTGAACTTATTATTACTATTTTCGAAAATTGATTGTTTTGGCAACGATGATAAACAATTAATATTTATGGTTGAAAATGAACACTGATGATTATGATTATTATAAGATGATATAAATCTACTAGTAGTTGTAGTGGTGTTAATGAATGTTTTTGAACAATAATAATTCATTATTCGAAATTATTATTTAATTATAAATCTAAATTTAGTAAAAATATGATGAATAAAATTGATTTATACCTTTTTCGCTAATTTTATATATTTTGTTGCTGCAGATGAGTTAATCTTCGAAGTGAATTTGTCAAGAAAGTCACTATATAAAAGAAATAGAGTATCAAACCTAATGTAGAGTTTAATAGATAGAGCGTAGCAAAGATTGGAAGTATAATTAAATAAATGATCACTAGAGGCAACACTCTTTCAGTCCTTCAGATAATATTGTAAGGTCATCACAATATATAAAATAATACAATAACTTAAAATTAAATTTTATTTATTATTACTTTTGAGATTTATTATTATTATGAACAAACAAAAATAAAGGCTTTATAAAGGGGCGTCTAAAAATAACAATAATTCATGATTAATTTTAAGTTCTTTTTTTTTTTGTTTTTGAAGGGGTGTGTAATTTTCTGAAAGAAAAGTGATAATCATGTGAAGTTCTTAGGTGATCTTTATGCTAAATACTGGAAGAGTGTATTGGTTTATGAAAAATGAATATTTATTTTAAAAAATAATTAAAAATTTTGAATTAAGGATAACCATTTCGTAATGTTTACAAAGGGATCAAAACAAGCAAGGAGGCGAATCCATTTGCATCGCATTGCTGATTTCCACAACGAACACGACCTCGGATATCGTAGTTGTAGGTGCAACCTGGTTGCAAGACTTCTTGGGTGATCGAGACACCATTGACGTAGTGGTTGTGATTAAGACTGGTACCAGTTGGCTAGAAATGAAATTTATATTAATTTTAATAGTCATAATTATAGAATCCATAAAAACCTACCCATGGGTAATCATTGTATCCGGCGAGTGTCATAACATTTCCGTTGAGAGCAGAGGTGACATCACAACTGGTAAGAACAGATGGTGAGAGTGAATGGAAGCTGACGAAAGCAATGAGTTTGGTTGGACGAGTCACTGTAAGAGTGGCTTGAGAACCTGGAATTGCAGTAAATTGAGTATTGGTAATCTTTTGGAAATGATTAGGAACTTTGACAGTTTGAGTGGTTATTTTGGAGGATTCCAAATTGGTGACTTGTTGAGTGAGCTTATTGATTTGTTCTTGTAATTGTTTGATAGCCCAAGCGCAGTTACCTCCACAGCTATGATTACCACATCCGCAATTTCCGCAAATCATTTTTAATACTTGTTTTGTTTATTTGTTTAATTGAAATAATTAATTATTTGATTTTGTTTGTTTTTAATGATAATAATGTGAAATATGTTTGGTTTATATAGTTTTCAGTCCCTATGAAATTGTTCTTAAAATATTTCTTATATTTGTTTAATTAAATTATTTTGTAAATTGTCAATTCCTTTTACCAATTTACAAATTTGTTTTACTTCTTTGCTCAGGTTCAATCTCATCCAAAAGATTAGTCATAACAAAAAGAAATAGAGTCAATTACGGAAGAACTTATAAGTTCCTTGCTGGAAATCTAGATTCGCTTGGCCCAAGTTAATCAATTTAAATGAGATATTGGAGAATGTAAACAAAGACTAAATTTGCTCAAGAGTCAAAATAAATAGAATTATTTGACACAGTTAAATTAATGTGACCTTTACAGGTACAATGAATTCAAGTTTTGGGTATCTTCTTTGAGTAAAGACTGTTTTCCTCTAATTTAAGTCTATCTCCAAGATATGATTAATGGTTACCAACCCAATGGTCAGTCAATCAAAAAATCCAAAACTGATTATTGGGCAAAAAATTTTCCAACTCTTGTACAAAAAAATTAAAACAACACACTTGTCAACAAATATGTTTTTTTTTTTTCTCCCAACAGCAAAATGAAACACACAAACTGATCAGATTTTTTTGGACACCTTCAAAACACAAGTTGTTATTTTGTGAAAAAGGTACCACAAATTGTCTTAAAATATTTTTTTGTGTTCAACTGAACACTGTTTTAATAAATAATGATTTTTTATAAACTTTAAACAGATATTTAATTTTTTATCTATTTCTTTTATTTATTTAGAATGGAAAAAACCAAAAGGAGATCTACAAAGAAAGGTACAATCAGTCAAAACATATTTGTAATTCGTGCTTTCAATGCCATCAATCAATGTAGAACAACAGCCATTATAGATTCCGATCATAAAACAGTATTGTTAAATAGCCCAGGTTAGGGTGCCTATGATGAGAATGTTTTTATTTTATATTTAAATAATTCATATTAATAGAGGATATCTGAAAACAGTGTTATCATGTCTTAAAAATTATAATTAGTTTCAATTTAAACTATTAGTTTTTACAAGTATTTAATTATTATGTATTTATTTTATAATTTAATTTAAAATATTAACTTTTCTTTAAAAATCTGTATCGACTCTCTTCTTGATGTAATTGGAAATGTTGGTGTTGGTTTGGAATTCTTTGTGGAATTGTAAAAGTGCTGGCAAATCGGTGAAATGGGTGTTTTGAGTGTTCCAAACAAGATAGTCAATGACATTAAAGATTGAGAAATCGGCGAGTGTTAAAGCATCACCAACGAAATGATTGGATGATTGTTTGTTGTTAGTCAATACATGGTTGAATCTCTTCAAGATGGTTGGTACTGTGACTTTTTGGTATTTCTCTTTCTTGGTATCGGTATCTTGTGACCAATAGCCAGTGAGAAGTTCATTGGCAGCGTGAACAAGCTCCAAAACGATAGCTTGATCTCTGATACTGTTTCCTTGAAGCTTGTACTTCAATGAAAGGTAGTGGTTGATGGCAACACTCTGTGCAACACTGAATTGATCGTCTTCGACGTACCATGGTAACTGACCATATGGTGTCTTTGCCTTTAGATCGGCAGGTACAGTACTTTCTTGAATTCTAACATCTTTGAACTCTTGACCGAAATAATTAAGAATTAATCTTGGAGTTTCACCTAAACCTCTGCCGTCAAACTACAATTATAATTAATAATCAAAAACAGATTTTAATAATATCGATCAAGTTAGATAAAACTTACATAATAAAGAGTTGGAACTGACATTTATTTGCTATTTAATAATTATAAAAAAAATTTAAATTATATAAAATCTTTTTTTTATTGATCTGATATCTGAATGATTTAATTAGATTTGTTTGTTTGTTTGTTTGTTGAATGAATGAATGTCATTTAGGTTTGTACATTGATTATTTATAGTCATCTTTTAGTTTAAGAGAATTAATTGTTCTCTGTTGAATAAAACCACAGAGAACAGAGAATATGTTTCTTTTTTTAATTTTTGCAATGACCATGTGACTTTAGATATCAATATTCGCGAAGTGGTAAAAAAAACAAATCAACATTCACCACATATTCTTTTTTAGAAAAAGAATGAAATTTAAACTTGTGGTTACAAAACACTCACTTCTCTGATCAGACTTACATGTACTTAAAAATATCTTCAGGTTATTGTTATTTATAATATTACAGATTTTATTTATATATTAATATTGTTAGGTTATGGATGGTGAGTGTTACTCTTATTATTATTATTATCTAATTTGATATCATTATTGGCTATTATTATGTTGTTATTGTTTGATCATTATGAATATTATTATTATTGTTTTGAAGTTGGAACTAAATCTTCAATTTCATCGATATTTTCGTATGTTTTAACATCAGCCATTCTTGTTTTGAGTTGTTCGACTAGTTTGGATGTGCCTGGTTTGAGTGCTAGTTGTGATACTATCAGACTGTTGCTGTTGACGTTTCTGGCTTTGAATTTGTTGGTGACTTGCTGTTTCAATTGTGGAACGTGGATACGTTGACGTTGATCAACGAGGTCGGACATGAATGTGTTTCTAGCGTTGCTCAGCTTGATGTCACGGAGCGATGGCAATCCGATCCCCAGCCGACGACTTGTATGGGTTGTAACCTGGCATGTTACGCATGTTGTTCACCTTGTACATCGGGTAGTTTGGCGATGGTTCCAAGTCGTTCTCGACAACGCTACGTGCGTTTATCAGTAGATTCTTGTAGCCGTCGGTCTCGGAGAGGATGAGGTCGTCCTCCTCTTTGGTGGCGAGCAAACTGTAAAAGTCGGAGCGGGCGTTACGCGACAACATGGCGACACGACGTGGCACCGTCTCAGCCTTGGAAATCTCAATAAAAGTTTGGTCAACGATGTAATCCAACAGATGTTTACAATAGATTCTGATACGCTCGCGGTGTCGCTCCTGTAGTTTCTGCCAAACCGAATCCATAATATCATTGACAACGGAACGCACCATTGGAGTATCCTGCTCCACATTCTTTCCGACTGGGAATGTCTTTTTCTGCAACTTCATCTTACATGTCTTGAACTTGATACCCAAACCAATACTCGAAAGAATATCATCGCCACCCAAAACCTGTCCTTCCGGTCCAATCAAATCGTAATAATGATATTTTGGTACTTTCAACTTATCACATAATCCTTTCATAATCTAGAAACAAACAAATTGTTAGTTGTTTTTTGAAATATACAAATGATTTGTTTAACATACTCTTTTTAATGGTTGATAGGCATCAACTTTGATTGCTTTCTTTTGCATTCCTTTGAATTCAGGTGAATCTGGCATGAGGAATTCCACTACAAAATTACCGGTACTGTCGGGTTGGTCGAGGGAAATGAGACGTAGTTGCCAGGTGGTGAAGAGCGATCCCAATCCGTAGGCACGCAACGACAGATTATCATAGAGAGTACGTCCTTTGAGTGTTCGAATGACAAATTTCGATGGTTTCAACGATTCATTGTTTACCTTTTCGCAAATCAAACAGATGATTTTGTAGACGGTGGTGTTGATATCCAGTTTGTATGATTTTCTATAGACACCTTTGAAGTCTTCGATTCCAGGCAGTAGGAACTCCACCACTGCTTTGGTGTCCGATGGCACCAATATCGATTTGAATTGGCGGACTATCTCCAGGAGATCAACAGTTCCCTCCCAGACGTCGAGCTCTGAGAATCCACGAGCTGCCAACTCCTCAAAGACAGGACGCGCCTCTGGAAGTTTTCCATAGCTCGATTGGCTGCCGCCGCTCTGCTCGAGCATGGCAAACTTTCGCGGAGTGAGATGCGCCATTGCTTTGTTGGTGAGCTTGGCAATGGCGCGTCCACGCTCCAGCACACGTGTCAGTAGATCCATGATTTTCGGGCGTGGCACGAGGAAGTATGAGAATTTTCCGTTGAGTGTGTCCTGCAGGTAGAACAGCCCGGGATTGACAGCGTCGATTGCAAACTCCTTGAGACGATCGTGTGGTAGAATCGTTGTCATCTCCATCGAGTGCACGTCAAACACAATAATGTTACGCGCCGATACAAATATGTAGACCGGCTGGAATGTTATGTTGTTGAGTATCTCCTTCTTGGCTTTGCCTTTGGGACGAATGGTCGAGGCGATTCCCTGGTTGCTGTTGTTGGCGGCAATGAGATTACCGTGAATCTGCAGCACTAAAAAGTGATCCCAACCTTCCTCCTTTTTGAAGTGTTTCGATTTCGAGAGACGGTGACGGATCAGATCGGTCATGCTAAAATCACGACGTCGCATGTGAACGAGTGGCGACACTTTGTTGGCGACGGCATGTTGGTTGGCGTCGGCAAGCGATGGATGTATAGGAGAAGGGGAACGCTCAGTGCTCTGTTGCTCCTTCTTGATCAATTGTTGCGCCGAGTTGGAAGGTGAGTTTGCAATACGTTTTTCATTGGTTCCCTGTTGGAGTTGTGCAGTGATACTGAGTAGCTGTGGTGAGGAAGTCGATGGTGAAGCACTGATTTTAATCGGTCTAAAGACAGGCGATGGTGAACTACCAATAGTATCTGAAACCATCAATCCATTTTCATTATTATTATTATTGCTATTTGAATTTCCATTTGTTGAGGTCAAAGAAGATGAAGCACCATTATTACTTGTTGTTGCATTTATATTGTTGTTATTATTGTTATTTGTATTATTTTCATCTACATAATCTTCTGTATTTGTTTCAGTTCCTAAATGTGGAATATCTAAATCTGGGAATACTCTTGCATAATTTAATATCAGCTTGGTGACACATTCGTTGGAGTATTTCGACTCGTACATGATGGTTGGCGAATCCGCTTTGGAACGGAAAAGATTCGGACCGAAAACCACACCCATATTGAATGCATTCATCTTGTTGATTTTGGCGTGTCTAGCAAACACCACCAACATTCTCAATATTCTCTTTATGATCCTCAAATACTCCACTGACGATACCTTTGTTAATAAATTTGATATATCTGCTGGTTCAACCTGATGATCTAAAAACAATAACAAACAACAACAATTAATTAATTAGTGTCAAAAAAGAATCATGAATGATTTTGATATCAAAGATTGATTGATTACTTACTTTTTGTCATTAGATTTGTAACGAATGATGACCATTGTTCGAATGGAATGAGTGGATCTGTTTGTTCACGAATATACAATTTCAATGCACCCGATACGTTGTGCTCGTTTGTGATCGATTGGAAATCAATGTTGTCGCTTACGAATGTTGCCCAGAACAAACGAATCTGATTGGCAGAACCAGATACACGGAATATACCTTCCTGTGTCAATGCATTCCTCTCCAAGTGATTACAGAGTGTATCGATGACGCTATAACGCAGAGCAATAGGTCTATACTCTGACTTTAATACTCTATTTTGAATCAAATCTTCTTTTGCAGGTCTTCTACTCAAGAATTTATTCAATATTGTTATAATTGTACCTTTCGATGGAATGTTTCTACAATATATCAATATTAATATTAAATATCTTGTTAAAACTAAAAAAATGAGAGGAGGGTGGGTGTGAAGAGGAAATGGGTGAAAAATAAAAATATAGTGTGTGATCACAATCATAATTATGTGTGTGCGTGTGTGTTTGGTTAATGAAAATCTATCACCATACTAAAGATTTATAAATAAAGAGAGAGATATATAGATATATAGATATAAATAATATTATAATAGATTGATTAAATATTTTCTAAGAAAATATTATTAATATTAAACATACCCATCGTTTAAGAAATCATCATTCTGATGTGGAGATCTTGGTGTACCATTGTGAGTGGGTCTTGGTGATAGCGATGCCGATGGCAATGCTGAAATCATTGATTCCAATGATTGATTCTGATGTTGATGATGATGATGATTATTATTACCAGTTTCCATCTTTCTTTCTTTCTTTCTTTCTTTCTCTCTTTCTTTATAATTGTAAAGTTAATTATAAAAATATTATATACACTTGTGAAATCCTAATAAACAAACTGATTTACTTATTATTCTGCTCTGTTCTGTTTAGTTTATTATTATTCTTCAAATTCTATTCTATGATACAACAACAAATAAAATATAAATATAAAAAAAAAATTTCAAAGATTCTTTCTTTACTTTTTTTTTTTCTTTTGTATATATTACAACATTTATAGTTAGTTGTTGTTTTAGTTCTACTCAATTAAAACTTCTTTTACTACTAACTAACTAACTAACTATCTAACTATCTATCTATCTAATTATATCTCTTATTATTTGATAAATAAAAATAAACAATCAAAAGATATCTTAATTATTTGTTAAGGTGTATTTTCGATAACGGGTGATAGTATAAGAGCTTGATAAAAATAAATTTTATTAAAAAACAAAAAATCAAAAAACAAAAAAACTTGATTTTTTTTTTTTCAAAAGCTGAACAGATTTTTTTTTGATTGATGACAGCTTTCAAAGAATTTTTTTGAAATTAGATATTTTAAAATTTACAACTTTGTTATTTTTGCAGACGATTTTAAAAAATTAAAAAGAAATCAGAGTCGTTGGTGATAAGAATAGTGATCGCTATCAAAAAAGTTTAGGCCCAATGAAAACTGGAATTTCAATTGAATTCCTTTAGTATTAGAGTAGACTTAAACCAAAGAACTATTAATTCAAAAATTCATCTATTACTTTAAATGGGTCATGGATCTGGTAGAAATCGTCCAATAATCTAATGGAAATGACTTTTGTTATGGATATTCCTGAATTGAGATCTTCTTTGTAGGGATCCATTGAATTTAAGAGTCTCTTTACTTTTAAACTTTTATATTTATTAAATTCATTTGTAATGGCTATAATTGTCAACAAATCTGCCACTTGGTGTTGTGAATCTCAAATAAGTTCTATTCATTTTTTTAAATGGTGATTTCAATACCCATTATTAAAACAAGTTTGCAAATTACAATTTATTTTTAACAAAATTTAACCATTGGAAAATTTTTTTATTCCATAACAACTTGAATTCATTTTAAATTGTTTAAGCACTTTTTAACAAATAACTTTACAAACATAAAATTAATATTAAAATGAATAATTTTGTTAAAAAAGTAGGTGATCTCACTTTTACAACCAACGGACATTCTAAAACAATTGGTTCAATATCGTCGGTATTTGATGAAGGCCCAAATATTGTAACAATCAAACCTTTTATCCTAGATGTAAGTTTTATTCGAATATATATATTATTTTATTTTTTAAAAAGACTTTCAATATTAACGATTTTTTTATCAAATTAGAATATTAATGACATGGATTTAGCGCTCAGAAACGCTCATTTTAATACCTCAAAAGATACAAATACCATAAAAGTATATTTTTGACCAATCAAGTTAGAATCATAGTTTTAATAATAATTTGTATTCAAAATCAAACAAAATTAATAAAAAAATGGTTATTTACTATGAATCATTTGAACTTAACTAGTATTTTTTGATAGTAGATTGATGAAAGCTAGCGTTATTACATATTCATACACTAAATAGCAAAAGTATGAGTCAGAACCTTTAAATCCCTATCTGTAAATGCCAGTAATTAGTGTATTGTACTAAAATTGTTAAAACAATTTCCAAAAAAAGAATACTATATTTCGAAGTCCAAAATAAGTTTCCAATATATACCCATTCTTAATGGTCTTAAAAAAAAAAAAAAACAATATTACACTGTGATTGATGATACATACACCACAGCAGCTATTAAATCTAAAAAAAAAGTAAACAACAACAAAATACTTTTTACAAGATAACTAAAATGAAATATATTTTTATTTAACTAATAATTTACCTGTATTTTTGATTTAAAATTTAGTGTTAATCATCGATTTGCAGACATACATGGTCAAACAAAAGTATTTGAGATATTTACCATCCAGATCCAATCATTTTTCCAGCTACACTATCGGCGAAATCAGAGTAGGGTGGGTACTTTAATGGGATATCTAACCACTGGAGTTTTTTTAATGAAATGAAAAGATATGAATTACTATAAAATGATCTTATTATATATATTTCACTTTTTCACATCACTCTTTGGTGAGCTAATCGACGTAGAAGTAGTAGTAGTAGTCGTACTGGTATCCTTCTTATATATATGATCAATCAATATTCGATAGGTTAGCCAACACGGCAATATAATTACAATTCATTGTCATTTGTTTTAGTGTCGCTGCGACCAAAGGTGGTGTGTGTGTGTGCGGAGGGATGAGAGTTGTATTGTTTTAATCGATTGTTTTGTTTTAACTTACCTTGTTTGTAGTTCCTTTAACCAATGCTCTACGATGAGTGAAGGTGTCGAATGTCAATTTACCGTGGTATGCACCGATACCGGAATCACCGCTACCACCGAATGGAAGGTGTGGATTGGTAAAGTGCAACAAGACGTCGTTGAACATGACCGATCCGGATTGGGTCGACTCGAGGACACGGTCTTGGATGGCTTGGTCACGCGAGAACAAGTAGAGAGTCAATGGGTTGGCACGACCCTGGATGAATTCGATGGCTTCGTCGATGTTCTCATAGGTGATAATTGGTAACACTGGACCAAAGATCTCTTCGGTCATCAATGGTGACTCTAAATCTGGTTCAACAATAAAAGTCGGTGAAATGTAGTTGGTTTCAATATCGGCGTCACCTCCAATGACAACCTTTCCATTGTTGAACAACTTAGACAGTCTCTCGGTGTGTTGCTTCGAGATGACACGGGCATATGAAGTGCTTGCCTTGATATCCTCACCAAAGAACTCCTTCATAACGGCCTTGCATTCCTCCAACAACTCATCCAAAACCGACTTGTGTACCAACAAATAATCCAAACCAATACATGTTTGACCAGCATTCCAACATTTACCCCTGTGTAAATGATAAAAAATACACAGTAAGTTAGAAACAACCTATCTTTTGTTTTTAATTTTATAAACTACTACTACTACTACTTACCAAACAATCTTTTTGGCAGCCAACTTCATGTTGATGTTCTTGTCAACGATACATGGATTCTTACCACCGAGTTCCAAGGTGACTGGAGTGAGGAATTTGGCAGCAGCTTGGTAGACGATACGTCCGACGTTGACGGAACCAGTGAAGAAGATGTGATCCCACTTGAATTCGAGAAGATCTGTAATGTATTGTGCACCACCTTCGTAGTCGAACGAGAAACAGTCGGTATCCATATATTTATTCAAGAGACGGAACATCAGCTCACCGGTGGATGCGCTGTGACGCGAGAGCTTCAGGAGTGCGCAGTTACCTCCGGCGATGGCACCGATCAGTGGAACCAACGCCAAGTTCACTGGATAGTTCCATGGCGAGATGATGAGTGCGACACCGAGTGGATCCTTGATGATGTGCGAAGTCGATGGCTTAAAGTGGATGGGACTGTAGACCTTCTCTGGCTTTGACCACGACTCGAGATTGCTGATGGCATCGTCGACCTCGGCCAAGATGATGGCGATCTCCGACTGATGAATCTCAAAGTCTGGCTTACCGAGATCCTTCTTTACGGCCTTGGTAATCTCATCCTTGTTCTCAGTGACCAACTTCTTGACTGCCTTCAACTGTGAGTAACGCCAATCGATCTTTCTAGTCTTGTTTGTAAGAAATACTTTTCTTAAAGTTTGATTAATTCTTTGAATATTTGGATTAACCATTTTTATTATTTATTTATTTATTAATTAAATTAATTAATTAACACACAAATATCTATATAACTATATATACAAAGTATTTCCAAAAAAATAACAAAAAGTAATATTATAAAAAGTAATGTATTGATAAAAAAAAGAAGAACAATACTAAACACAACTTTATTAAATTAATTGATAATTATAAGTAAAGTTTGTTGTTTGGTGTGTATGTGTGTTTTTTAATATATTAGTGTTGCCAGTTTAATTTTAATGCAATTATGAACAAAAAAAATAGTGTGTGTGAGGTGTGGGAATTTAAAAATGATTTTTATTTAAATTAAAAAAATAAAATTTCCCACACACAGTGATTTTTCATTAAATTCGGATTCATTTAATAACATACCATGTCGCCATTATACCCTCTCTTAGTATTAATTTCGAAACAAACAAAAACAAAAAAATATCTTTTTTTTTTGTTTAGAAACATAAAATTTTAGATAACGATTTGACAAAGAAGCAATAATGATGAACATTCAAACCATTCATGTCTAATTTAGGAAAATATATATTTATAACTGTATTTTTTAATGAAATTAAGTAATTGGAATTGATTGATCATCATTCCATATTTGATGACTCATTTATAAAAAAAAAAAACAAAACAAAACAAGATTTTATTAATATATCTAATTTATTATTAGTTTGATTTGTGTGTTTAAATCGCACAAATAACTTAAGTTTAGTTTGTTTTGTTAGTTTGTTTATTTGTTTTGTTAACAAAGATTATTTGGATAAAATAATGATCGATTTTTAAATTCAATGTAATCATCATCTTTTTCAATGATTTTCAATGATTCCGTTGATTGTTCATTTGGAATAGGTATTGAGTGAGGGTATAGTTGTGTTGTGAATAGCTTTCTTGTGGTGGTGTCTACGAAATGTTGTTGGAAAAAGTCGACTACCTCTGATTGTTGCAGTCTACCAAGTTCCTCTACCAGTTTCTTGTTGATTTCGAAATCGTTGTAGTTGTTGGCGTTCGACCATTGCGAGCTCGACAATCCATAGATGTTCTGTGGTTTCACCAGTAGCTTGTTCTGGCAGCTGCTCACCAGCGATGCGAATTTATCGCTGTCAAGCGCGCGTAGTGAATCTAGCTGTTTAACGATGTACTGTTTGACACGCTCCAGAATGTACTCACAGTGCTGCTTGTTCGATTGTACGACCATACGGAATTGAATGACATTGCTAGTCAACTCCAGTGTTATGTAGACGACGTAGCCAAGTTGTTGTTCACTTCGCAGTTGACTGAAGAACGATTGGTGTAGCGTTGGTTGCAGTAGCGTTGCAATGGCTACATTCTTCAAGTTGTTTTTGCTGTTGCTGTCATCACCGCTGTTAATCGTTCCACACTGAACAGAGGTAACCGATACAGAGTTTACTTGTTCAGGATCGGGTGATAGCATTCTACGCTTGTATTCAACACCACTCTCCAAACATACTTTCTTACTCTTTGGAATGTCACCTCTGAAACACTGATATCGCAATGGCAATACACTCTGGAATTCCTCAACAAACTTTATCGATTCACTCGCTGTTACATTACCACTAACAAGCATCTTAAAGTTAATCGATCTAAAATATTGTTTAATATATTGAATAAAACTATCTTTTGTTATTTCTATTTTGTAACAATTGTTTTGTTTGTTAGTTATTATCATATCTATTTAATAATAAGTTTATATATATAGTTACTTGTTAATTCATTAATCTTATCGGTTACACTAAATGAAGTTGTTGAATTGAATAGGTTTGATTCGCGTACACCGACTTGATATGCACTTTGGAAGTTTGAGTTTACAAAGCTTAGACGTGTCTTCTCTTTGACGGTGTCGAACGATTTCTGGTCAATGTCGAATTCGTTAATGAATTTGAACACTCGATGTACGGTATCAAAGAGCTTGTCGTTGTAACCGAAGAAGTGCATATGATTGCTGGTCAGTTGCAGTGTCACTTTCATGCTGGTGCCAGCCAGTCTCAGATAGTAGAGTATCTGCTCGTTGAGCACCTCTTTCAATGCGCGTTTGAATACGGCGAGATGCACCAACGTCAAGCAGCTACCGAACATCGGTGATTCCAAGTTGATGTAGATCGATGCTTTCGGTGTGTGATAGTGGTGGTCGGCAGCATGATACAATCTAACGCCGTTGGCATTGTAGATCATCTGTGGAACATCTACACTGCCATCGTCGACGCGCTGCTCCGACTTAATAGTGAAATCCTTTGGCATGAAACGATTCGGTTCGATCAAGTGGAGATCATCATTCTTTGGCAGCGATCTCCACTGCGCAATCTTGTCAGCACCAATCAATTCCTTTGTATAGTTGATACCATAGTATTTCTCAACGCTTTCAGTCTTTCCTTCGAAACTCTTTGACGACACCATCATAACCATCGATTCTGGTTTCAACTGTTTCATAATACCCGTAATATGATCCGGTTTATATTCCTCACAATAGAAACCATACTTTAACACATCTTCTGGATTATTTGGTACTTTCTATTGAATTATTAGATTAGTTAAATTAGTTTGTTAGATAGTTTAATCATTAAGTTATTGTTACATACAGATAGTGTATTAGAGATAGCAGTTGAATAACTCTTTGGATCGACTTTTGATAGATTATCCCATGATATTTTCTGTTTGATTTTAATCTCTTCGTGAATGTATGATGGTAGATCAGATGTGATTAAATCAAGGTATTGATAAACGAGTGATACAATTTCATCGATATTATTCATTCCAGACTCTGTTAGTTCCATCTTTATAGAAACAATCTCGATACTCTCATTATAGTTACTAACACTGCTTGACAATGAAAATACAAATCCCTTACGATGCAATACAGAGTAAAGAGATCCCTTACTTTCATGACCAATTATATGACTTATAATACCAATATTATTAGTTTTATAATCTATAAGCAAAGATAAGTTAATTACATATATATATTGTCGACAGTAGATAGTTGGTGACTTACTGTTATAATGTGAATAGGTTGAATCTGATAATGGCCAATATAAAGATAGTTTGTTTGTATTCTTGACTGGTACCATTGTTATTTTTATGGGTTGGTTGTTCAGTGAGAGTGTTGGGAAGGCCGGTCTTGAGATCGATAGATTTCTGATGGCTGAGAAATATTGTCTTGCCCATGACTCGAGTGTTTCGATTGGATCACGACCAACCATTGCCAAATACATGATATTCGATGAATAGTATTTATTATAGAATTCCAACATCTTTTCTCTCAATCCGTCTTCAACTTTCAGCGTATCAAGATTTCCAGTTGCAAATCTACCGAATGGATGTCCTTCATATTGTAAAAGATGCATAAAATAACTTCTTCTATCATCATTCTGTAGATTATTATTATGTTCTAAAGTAATTGTGTTATTAATTGTTAATTATATTTTATATTATTATCTATTGTTAATTATCCACATATCGTACCAGAATTTACAGCATTAATTTCTCTGGTTGTTCCACTCTCTGTGAATAGAGGACATACGAAAAAAGATGAAAATCTATCGATTGCTTGTTGAAAATTGGCTTGATTCACTGAGAAATAATAGGTTGTTAATGAATCTATTTAAAATGATAGATATAGGTAGATAGAAAAGAGTGATGGTGGTTAATAATTATGTATTTGTTATGCTAAATTATAGAGTAATAGTTTACTTGATGTTGAACCATTATAAGAACCTCCATTCGATAGTACATAGTTGATGAATTCACTCTCGACTGGGTATTTCTCTGTGCCCATGAATAGCATATGTTCTAGGAAGTGTGCCAAACCGAGATATTCATCAGGATTAGAGAGCGAACCTACTCCAACTGATAGGCATGCAGATGCTTGGTCGACATTTGGATCAGATACTAATACCACTGACAATTCATTATCGAGTTTCAAGTATTTATGTTGTCGACTATCGTTAGGTGATTGTAATATTATCATTGTTTTTTTTTGATGATATAATTAAAGTTAGTATATGTGATTAATCAAATTACCCCAACCCTGGGTGATGATCATCAAAAAAAAAAAAAAAAAGAATAACATTTTTTTTACAAATGTAACTTTCGCAACTAGTTGTATTCCTGTTTATCACTTTTTTATAGTTATTTTTATTATGACATGATTTATATTATACGAGATTGATAAGATGATTTGAAATTTATTATATCTAACAAACTGGTAACAAAAAAATAGCAATAGTTATATTATAACAAAAACACATTTAAAAGAAATTACACTTAAGCATATTCAATATCAAAACACACATCTATTATTATCTAGTTTGTCTATTTAATACATATAAATCATGTCATAATAAATAATATAAAAAACTCTGGTCTTATTAAATAGTTGGTAATTCTAGCGCAGATTACAATGGAGAAAGACAAGTCTTCAACCTTGTACAAGTAGACAAAGGTCAAAAACTAACGTTTACATTATGGAATTTTCAATTAACCAACGAATCTTTTATTTATGAAATGGTCAATGTTACAAGTATCCATTACTACAGGTTGTTCCAACAGGTTTTCCTGACTCTGATAGTAGGTTCCACTGACCTTGGACAATTCCCTGTTAGCGTTTATCAGGTGGAACTTGGATCATTCAATCAAAGTCTACTTGTAGATCCAAAGACATGCTCATTGGTTTCCAATACAATCACAAGCACCGATCCAAATAACCAACTCTATGCCCTTGAGATTCTTTTCAACAATGTAAACACTTTTGAAGAAACCATGTTTACACTGCCACCTGCTTGTACCTCCCTTCATCTTAAAACACTATCTCTCTCAAGTCTTCCAGATAAATACAAAATTCCATTAATTTAATTAGTAGAGATTTAATCATTGAAATAAATTGATAAAAAATATTCCTTTAATTTAATTTAACTTTTCCAATCGATAGTAAATCTTTATTTTTGAAAAAGTTTGCTGGCACAATAACCTCTGTCAGGATTGATTCCCATTTGTTGTCTGTGATTGAGTATAAATAGTTTCTGCCTTTTCCTTCTAGTAGGTAGATGTAGCTATCTTTATCATCTGCCTGATGGTAGACCAAATTATTGTTGTCGTAAAGGGTAATATGATCTAATTTTTTGATTTCAAGAGTTTCAATGTTGATTCGTTGAAATCCTAAATTCGAGAGAATAAATATGTAGCCTTTGCCATCTGTGCATGCTGCTGTATTGTTGTATTTCAAAGGAAGAGGTAATTCATTTATTTCTTTTGTGTTTATATCCAATTTAATAATCTTTTTCATATGTGGAACTAAACTATAGATACAGTTTTTGAAGTGGAACAGCAAATGATGCGGGAGAACAGGATACTTGCAAAAGTTTGAATATACTTCAAATTTTAGTTGATTGATGTTGAATCTGTAGATACTAGGACTAGACCAAGGGGCAATATATATATGATCTTGACCATCATAACAAACCGATCTAATACCAAAATCAATATCATTCATTTTGATTTCAGTCAATGTTTGGTCGACGATTGAGTATTTTGCATAATCGGTAGAGCCAAATCTATAGATATAGTTGCCAACAGTAACAACAGAGTAGAAATAAAACATTTTTTTGTCACTATCAATATTCTGTTGTTCGAAATGAATGTTGTTTCGATTTGTGATATTAATCATCGATAGTTTGCTGTCGGTGTCCGTTGAGAAAATATATGTTTGTTTGGGTGGGTGAGTTGTTGAATGAAGTTGACTTTTGACTACCATTTTGAAAGTCGATTGAAGTTGATTTTTAATCAGTTCAAGTTGCTTATCATCGACAACCAGCTGATATTGTTTTGATTGGATGTGTTGAATATCATTTAAATTCAATGTTTTATTGTGTTCAACAAAAAGATTCAATAAAGAATATTCATCTATCTTGGTTTTGTTGTTGTTCCGATCGTTGAAACAGAACAGTGTATCAATATTGCTTTGAATGAATTCATTGTGATTTGAACATTTTGCTATCGAAGTTATGATTGTTGACGTTTGGTATCTGTCGGTTGTATCTGGTGAGATAGAGGAAGATGATGGTGATTGATTTGACTGAGAATTCGAATGATCACTGTCAAAGATAGCTTTATAATGTTGACTGATCGTATTCAAAGATTTCATGACATTGGTTTGACTTTCGATGTGTCTCACCAATTGTTCATTGATGTTGATGATCGGTCTCTTTATTTTGTGCTCTTCAACAACAAGGAATTCATGTATCTCTTTGAATCTATTCGATATTTCATCTTCTGTTTGTTGATTTTGTTGATACTCATTGACCATTGATTTCAAAGAATCAAATGTGGATTCCATTGCTGACTGAATATCAAGTAATGATGATATCTTATTGTGAATACTATTATAATTATTATTATTATTATTATTGTTATCTATCTCCATGGTGGTAATCTTTTCCCTGATAATCTCACTTATATTATCGATATGATCGAATGAATGACCTGTGTGCTGTGGTGTGCATGTTGAGCACATTAATACATTGCAATCAAAGCAAATAAGTTTGTGTTTTCTGTTGTGAGTCGAACAATTATTCATATTAACTAAATTGACTAAAAATGCATAAACAAAAACATAAATATATTATTTGTAATGAAATTTATACAAAAAAATAAGAAGCAATAGAACTAAAGTTTAAAATTAAATTAATAAAATCTATTCTACTTTTTTTAACAATTGTTTTTGATAGTTACTTTTGTTAATTTTTTTTTTTTTTTTTTTTTTTTGATATCAAGTTTTAAATAACAAAAGTAGATATCCAAAAAAAAAAAAAAACAATTAGCCCATTTAAAAAATATTGTTTTCATAACCATGATTTTATTTATATGATTTACCAAATGATGATGGTTATGTTAGCTATCGCCGACATTTTCTTTTCATTTATAATATTAACAATTTATTTTTTAAACTTATATTTAAAATGTTTTCTAGAATGTTTTGTTGTAGTTATTAAAATATCACAATATTATATATCTGATTTCTTAAAATCATATCTATTTATTCTTGATACTGTAAGTTGATTGAAGTAAGAGTTAAATTGGAAGATGATTCTAAAGAATTCATAGATCTACTACAGAAGTTAGTCGACTGTTAAATTAATGGGAACGTTGGAGTTGTTTGTAAACACAGTGGTTGTATCTCATCTAGACAACAAATTCTTGGAACTCGAATCTTTAAAATCTTAATTATTATCAGTGTACGATTAACAAACGAAATAGCTGCGGCTGGCCTCTTACAAAAAATGTTGCACCAACTATGAACTAACTCTTTGGTTGATAAAAAAACATGACAGATTTCAATTTCTTCTAAAAATTGGTAGACTAATACAACCAGATAGACAGAAACAAGCTTTTTATCTTATTATTATTAATTGTCAAAGATGTATAAATTATTAAGATGGATCAAAAAAAAATAAAATAAAATAAAATAAATTAATAATAAATTCAAGGAAAATGGTAAATTTATAATATCTTATCTTATCTTTTTATCATTGATAAGATTATATATGACAGACAGACAGACGAAAACAAATAATAATAATTATTATCGAATCATTCACCACTCCCTCCTTTTTTCAAAATCATTTAATTAATTTTTGATATTTTCAAAACAAAAAATATATAATCAATTACAGAATATATGTATACATACAAGCATTTATATATATCATTTTTTTATTATCAATTATAAAAGAAGAAGAAGAAGGAGAACATTGGCTAGTTTAAATATTTAGTTTTGATTATTTGTTTGTTTGTTTGTTTGTTTGTTTGTGTATTCAAGAAAGAATAGAGTAATAGAGATGATATATGATACAGATCCTTTGGGTTCGGTTGAGTCAGATCCTGAAAAGGATAAACATAAAGATAAACATAAATATAAAGATAAAGATAAAGATAGGAATAGTAATAGTTATAATATAGATAAACAAGGCAATGATGTTGATGATGACGACGATTTGTTTGAGAGTAGTCAACCTAGTGCACTCAGTCAGCTGACTGCAACTGTAAACAACAAATCAACATCTCAGAAGAAGACGACAACGACGAACAGTAGTACATCCACTAAAGCAGCAGTAGATAGAGATATTGAAACAGATATTGAAATGAAGTTATCACATCTCAACAACAATAATAATAATGATTCTTTTACAAATGATAATAATAATAATAATAGTAATAGTAATATAGAACCAAAAGCAAATATAACAAAGAAACCAGATTATTTTAATGCTGGTGGATTCGTCAATAGTAGTAGCAATAAAACTTCATACTTCAGTTATGGTGGTGTTGGCAATGATACGGATAGAGATACAACCGTTGTACAGAAACCAAATAAGAACTATGCAGGTGGAGCGACTATCACTTCAAAATTTGGAAATACCGCTACTAGTATTAGTAATAATAATAGTAATAATAATAGTAGTAGTAAAAGTGGTAGTCTCTCTCAGTCAACTGTTAAATACTATGATGTATTGAAAACAATGACAAACAACAAGGAAAAAGGATATCCTTATAATGACAATAAAAATAATAATAATAATAATAGCAATGATAATAGTAATAGTAATGATAAACCAAAAGGTGTAATAAGTAAACAATCACCTAGACAACAACCAAAAGATATAGGCAAACAACAAGTACCTGAAACAATAGATTTAGATGATTTTAAAACACCAATGACCAAAACAACATCAACAACAACAACAACAACAAATCGAAATCAACAAATTAAATCAATAACTTCGACATCGACAACATCGGCAGCAACAGCTAAATCAAATAACAACAACAATAGAAGTAATAGCAATAGTAGTAATAGTAATAGTAATAGTAATAGTGATAAGATGGAAGTAAATTATATGAATATTGACGGAATAAATGCAAAACCAGTCAGTGTGGAATTACGTATGGCAACACAGACCGGTAAGTCGTTGCTAGCAAAAACGCCACAGTTTGTCTTTCATCACATGGATTTAGGAGGAACCATTGAGAAAAAAGTCGTCATGGAAGAAATCTGCAACATATACATTCAAACACAACAACAAGAGATACTTATTTGTGGAAATTGTATCACATATCCTAATAAAGATAATACAAACAGTAAGTAGAAGATGAATCATCATCATTCATGATATATAATAACAACAATAATAATAATAATAACATTGCTTGTTTTATAGGTTTAACAAAAAGGAATATCATAATCAAATTTAAAGACTATCCAAGAGATATCGGTCGGTTCCATACGCTTCTAACGAAATATAGGATTAACGATAAATTAAAGTCATCCAAGGACTTTGAGACTTTAAACAAGGGAAAGTCGTTGGAACAACATCACTATCATACTGGTGCCAATGGTTTGAAGAAACCGGTTGTTTCACCCAGTAGATTGAATTATCCTACAACGGGATCATCATCATCATCATCATCATCGTCAACATCATCATCATCAAGTACAAATATATCAGATTTCTTTCAGTCGTCTTCATCAGCTGCAACATCGTCATCATTGAAGAAACCATCGAATGCTTCAAGTAGCAGTAAACTAGCAAAGTATGCCGATGACTATGAGGATGATAATTCACCGCCACTTCCACCGGTCTCACCGATCAAAGAGAAACTACAGGTGCATGAAGATGACATTATGATACTGTATCCACCCTCGGATTCTCACGAAGAGACCAAACCAGTTGGACAAGTTAAAATCATTAGAAACGATCTAACCAGATTGAACGATGGAGAGTTCTTAAACGATAGTATAATTGAATTTTATGCCAAGTAAGTAGTTCTCTTAACAATCATTAACTAAATAACAAACAAACAATCAATCAATCATTAACCAACAAATTTAAACACTATAATAGATATATAAATGATAATTTCACAGACAAAGCTTATTCTTTTTTCTTTTTCAATTCATTTTTCTATAAGAAACTCTCATCGAAGAGCGATCCAAAGGATGCCTACAAGGAAGTCATTAAATGGACCAAAGAAGATATCTTTGAAAAGGATTTTATATTTATACCAATCAATCAATAGTAATGTATCAATCAAACCTTTATTTTTTATGTTTAAACGTGTTTATTGATTATTAACTTTTTATAATCAAGTGCACATTGGAGTTTAATGATAGTTTGCTATCCCGGTCAATTGGATGATTCAAGCGTTACAAAGAGACCATGTATGCTCTATTTAGATTCACTTAATAAGAAACCAAGAGAGATAGATAATAGGTATGGTATTGTAATGATAATAATAGTAATAATAATAATCAAAAAATTTAATTTTATTGTTGTTGTTGTTGTTGTTATTATGTTAGTTCTAATATCATATTTAAAAGGATACGTAAATATCTAACAGAGGAGTGGAATGAGAAGCGTTGTGGTAAGGACAACACCAAGTACCAACCGAGAACGTTTACCGCCGAGAATTTCAAGGCATTCTGTCCACATGTACCTATACAAAACAACTTTAGTGATTGCGGTGTATTCCTATTGCACTACATGGAGTTGTTTTGTAAAACACCGGAAACAAACTTTTTTAATCCTGTATGTAAGATGTTATTAATATATTATGTTTATAAATGATGATATTATTATTATTAGTTTATTGTTTATTAATAATTATAATTATTATTATTATTGTTGTTGTTATAGCTGGAAAAACCTAATTGGTTTAGAATTGCAGATATACATAAGAAGAGAAGACAGATAAGATCACTTATATTCAAACTTAGATGTCAACAATACAAAGGTTCTTTAACAGAGGATGAAGAGAAACAACGTAATGTTATTATGATCAGACGATTCGAAACTACTTCCACTCCGCTAGATTCCAGTAGTTTGGAGATTGTTTCTGGTATTCACTTTGACAACAAAGACGATGACGACGACCACAGATTTGTTAAAGAACCAAAACCAATTCCACCCAAATCAAAACAAAAAGAGAAAGAGGAGAAAGATGACAGTGATAAAGAGAAAGAGAAAGAGAAGGAAGATGATAGTGAAAAGGAGAAGAAAAGGAGAAGGAAAAGAAAAAGAAAGATAAAGATGGTGATGATAATATGGAGGAAAAGAAACAAGATTCAGACGAGGAAAAAGATGAAGAAGAAGAAGAAGTTAAGGATAATAAGAAGACAACAGAGATTAAAGACAAGAAGAAGTCGAGTGATAAAGAGGAAGAGGAAGATTCAAAGGATTCAAGTATCAACAACAACAACAATCAGGAAGGTGACTCTGAATCCGAAACATCATTCAATATCATTACACCAAAGACAAACAAGATCGTTTCAGTTAACAAGAGGATGAGAGAAGAAGAGGATGAAGCAGAAGAGGAAAAAGAGAAAGAGGAATCATCTGACGAAGAGATTGAGACTTCTCAACCTTCACCTCCACTCACTGCCAAGCTATCAAGAGTAATGACAAAGATGGCACCTGCAAAAGCACCATCCAAACTCCCTGCTTCCAACAAAATCAACAAAGAAGACAAAGACAAAGAGATGAAGGAGAGAGAAAGTAGTGAAAGTAGTGATAAAAGTAGCAGCGAAAGTGAGAGTGAAGAAGAAGAGGAAGAGGAAAAAGAGAAGAAAAAGAAGCAAACAAAGAAGAAGACAACGAAAACAACAACAACAAAAAAGAAGAAACCAGCAACAAAAACAACAAAGAAGAAATCAGCAGCTGCAACCAAATCAACAAAGAAACAAACTACTAAAGGCAAGAAGAAAGAAGAGACTGAGAGCGATGATAGTGAAAGTGGTAAGAGTGAAAGCGAAAGCGATACTGCCAATAAGAGCGTGAGTGAGAGTAACAGTGAAAGTGACAAAGAAGAAGAAGAAGAGAAATCTTTGAAAAAACAAAAGAAATCAATAGCAACCATTGATAAACCAACATCATCTAAAGTAACGACAGCATCATCAACAACAACAACAACTAAATTAAGTAATAACAATAATAACAATAGGAATACGAAATCGACACCATCAGCAACATCGACATCAACATCAGCTGTTGCAACAACAACAACAACAACCAAAACCAATGAGAAAACAACAGGAAAGAGAAAAGTGGAGAAGACCGAGGAGGATGATGCATATGATGTAGATTCCTCTCCACCCACTCCAGCTCTTCATCAAATCATTCACACTGTAAAAAAGAAAAACAAAACTTCACCACCAACAACATCAGCATCAACAACAACCAAACTGGTAGGAGGTGTCAATTTAGATGATTTATCAGATGTTTCTTTTTCATAATGAAATATAATAATAAACATTATGTATGAGATATATAACATTACATTATACACACAATTATACTCATATACGTATAACTTTAACTCTAACTCTAACTGCTGCTCACTAATAATAAAAATGAATTTGTTTGATTGGTTTACTTTGTTGTTTTTTTGTTAAAAAAAAAACGGTACGATCTGGAACAAAACTTACAAACCAATATATTTTCACGTGCCTCTTCATTTATCATTCATCCACTCTATCTAAAATGAACACTCAGTGTCTGTTTGATTAGATTTATGTGTGTGAAAAATGTGAGATAAAACGTGTGTGTTTTGGATAACATTTTATCAATTGTATATTTTTTTATTTGATTCTTCTGAATAAATAAAAATGATTGATAAAATTCAGATCTGTATAGATTAAAAATCAAAGTATTTTATAAATATCAGTGTAGTTATAATTCTAATCTTTGTATTTAGATTATATTTCTTGATTTAATTTCATGGATTATTATCTTTTTATCTACTAGATAATTAATCTATATTATAGTAAATATTCTTATTAATTTCAGAGTAAACTTAGATTTCAAACAAATCCATTTTACAAATGGGTAATGATACCATTTTTAAATGTTTTATCAAGGTGTATCCATAAATAATGATTTCAAAAAGAATCTATTCCATATCAAAAAAAAAACAAACAAATACAAGTTTAATAAATAAATTTTATTCTAAACATCTAAACTAAATTTCTAAAAATGTTAATCAGTAAGTTATTTTAACAAAAAAAAAACTATATAATATATAAATACTAATATAAATTACTATTATATATGATTTTTTAAAATATTAAATCATTTTTAAAAATATAAATAGACGCTATCTCATCATTGTTCAGTGCCTCCTCATCAAAGATGACAAATTCAGTCTCAAGTGGAAAGGGTTCATTTGGATCACAATCAGCCAACCAAATAACAATATTATCTGCCAACGAAGCATCTTTTAAAATTACCAATAGTAACAATTTCGCCACAATGGATTTTATCACATATGGTAGTGATTCTACCAGTGAATCATAATAAATAAATTTCAATTTAAGTAATAGTCATAAATTATAATCTTTTTAATCTTTTTTTTTAATTTAATTTCATTTTTTACTATTTTTTATACTTCTATCTATCTGGTAAAAGATGTGGTGGTTGGTTTTGTGTTTCTCAGTATCTATTTGATTGGTAAGATTCAGATCTGTATAGATTAAAATCAATATGTTTTATAAAATACCAGTATCGTTATAATTCGAATCCATATTTTTTATATTTCCTCTAATTAATTTCTTGGAATACTATCTTTTTATCTACTAGATAAATCTATGTTATAGTAAATATTCTCTTAAATTTCTGAGTAAATATGAATTTTAAACAAACCATTTTAATAATGGATAATGATATCATATTTAAGAACTTTATATCCAAATTAGAAAATAAACTATAAAAAATCATTTGGAAATTAATCTATTCCATATCAAATACAAAAAAAAAAATATATTTTTTATTCTAAAATAATATCTAAACTTCTAAAAATGTTAATCAGTATGTAGTTAAAATAAATAAAAATAAATACTAACAAAACTTAAAATTGTTTTTAAAATAAATAGACGCTATCTCATCATTGTTCAGTGCCTCCTCATCAAAGATGACAAGTTCAGTTTCAGGTGGAAAGGGTTCATTTGGATCACAATCAGCCAACCAAATAACACTATTATCTGCTTCTGTAGGTGCTTTGGCTACCGCATTTTCTACAATTCAATTGATGTCACCGCCAATGTTTCAATATAAAAATAGTTCCAATATTAATTAGTGTTTAAAAATATTATTTGTATCATTACTTAGTTGTTTAACTGAACAAAAAAAATAAAAGTGAAACATCCTTTAATTTTAATTTTTTTTTTTAAAAAATATATCTTTGGTCTAAGAAACAAATAAATTTCTTTTCTTTTTTTTATTAATATTTTTGAATATGCCAATCTTTACAAACCATCTAACTCATTAACAAAATTATAAAAGCTTCAAAAAAAACTATATTAATCTAGACATCTTTTCAAAAACCTTCGTGTATTCCTATTTGGAAGTCAATAAAATCAAAAAACAAAACAATCTCTATTAATAATCAATCAAAAAACCAACTTTGTCTTAATCTTTTTTCTTTTTTATTTCACTTCATTGTTTCTTTAATAACTGCTCTATCTAGAAGTGGTTAGTTGTGGGGTGTTCTCAGTGAATATATAATAAGATTTATGTGAAAATATGAAATAAAACATCTGTGTGTTTGGGAAATTATTATTATTTTATTTTATTTTTCGGATTTAGTATATTTGGGAAAAATATAAATTTATTTGTATGTTTATTAAGTAAAGGGGGTAGAAATATTTATCTTCAATCAATAAAAATATTCTACAACATATAGATAAAATGGTTCCATTTTACTATTGTTATTTCAAATTGATATCATATTGAACATTTTATCAATTCTATATGTTTTTATATTTGATTCTATATAATAAATGAAAATGATTGATAAGATTGAGATCTATATAGATTAAAATCAATGTATTTTATAAATATCAGTGTAGATATAATTCGAATATTTGTATTTAGAATATTTTCTTGATTTAATTTCATGGATTATTATATTTTTATCTACTAGATAAATTAAATCTGTGTTATAGTAAATATTCTCTTTAATTTCAGAGTAAACTTAGATTTCAAACTAAAGCCATTTTACAAATGGGTAATGATACCATTTTTAAATGTTTTATCAAGGTATATCCATACAAAAATAAACTATAAATAATGATTTCAAAAAGAATCTATTCCATATCAAAAAAAAAACAAACAAATACAAGTTTAATAAATAAATTTTATTCTAAACATCTAAACTAAATTTCTAAAAATGTTAATCAGTAAGTTATTTTAACAAAAAAAAAACTATATAATATATAAATACTAATATAAATTACTATTATATATGATTTTTTAAAATATTAAATCATTTTTAAAAATATAAATAGACGCTATCTCATCATTGTTCAGTGCCTCCTCATCAAAGATGACAAATTCAGTCTCAAGTGGAAAGGGTTCATTTGGATCACAATCAGCCAACCAAATATCGCTTGCAATTACCTCTGCTACCAATGCCAATATCTCTACAAGTGAAGGCATCCAAGTTACACACAACACCAACATTGGATTCTAAGAAAAGAGTTTAAATCGACTTTGCAAAATTAAAACTGTAGCAACCACAAACAAAAATAAAAGTATAACATCTTTGATTTTTGTCTTTTTTGATTTAAATCAAAACTATTTTCTTTTTTTTTTTTTTTTTTTTTGCAATTTTGAACAAAGTTTGTTTTTTTTTGCCAGATATATCTTTGGTAAAGAAACAAATAAATTACGACTTTTGCAAAAAACCATTCAATTTTACTTTTTTTACAAAGCAAAGAAATTTGTGCTGAAATGTGATTTTTTTTTTGATTTTTTGAGCAAATCTTTTATAAATATTGATAGTCTTAAAAAAATTTTTTATTCTTAAGAGTTGCTGAATTACAGCCCAACAATCAAAAGTAAGTAAGAACAAAAAAGAAAAAAAACAAAAAAAAAAACAAAACACAAAAAAAGCAAGCACTATCATAAATAAATATCATATCACCTTGTTATAATATTCATAAAACCATATATCTATCTAAGAGATCTCTGCTTTTCTATCTGTTATATATATATATTTCATTGAGAATGAGTCCGCAAATTAGCAACAATACAACAATAACAAACCAGAAACAGAAACTCAAACATTCAATTTACTATACAATACACCCACACCTTTTTCATTCATTCATTCTCAACTTATCAAAAAAATAAAAAATAAAAAAAAAATTATAATAACAATCAAACACCATTTATCGCTGCTGTTTCTTTTTTTTTTTCAAAAACCTGTGTACACCTATTTGGATTTGGTAGTGAATAAATCTATCTATCAACACAATCACAATCAAACAATCAATCAATCAATAAATCTCAATTTTTATAATAGATATATTAATAATAGTCATCAATCAAAAAACCAACAGTTTTAATCTTTTTCTTATTACATTTCATTGTTTTATTACTTTATTTATAATATATCTATCTATTTATAAATCTCAAAAAAAAAAAAAAAAAGAAAAGAAAAAGAAAAGAAACATAACTATCTTTATTTATTTATTCTACTCTTCGAATTCATGAATCACAATAACAGTAGTAATAATATATTTAATGAATCATCACTAAATTATTCACCTTCTAGTTCACAATTCAATACCTCAGCGATATTAGAAGCGCTATCGAATAGCACAAACGACAACACTATTGGTGCAGGTGGAGGTTCTGGTAGTACTAAAAGATACAGCATCGACAATAATAATAGTAATAACAACAACAACAACAACAGTAATAACAACAGTAACAACAGTAATAATAATAGTGTAAATTCACCAACATTTGTTGGTATAAAACCAAAAGGAACATCATCATCTTCTTCTTGTTCTTCGAATCATTCTTCACTTAATTTAACTCAACAACAACAGCAAACTCAACAAACTCAAAATTCTCAAAACTCTCAAGCAACACAACAACAGAATAGTAGTAATAATAGCAATAATACAGGAGGTGGTAGTGTATTGAGTATAATTACCAATAGTATTGTTAGTGGAATTTCAGGTGTAACCGGTGGATCCAGAGGAGGTTCGAAAAATCAAAAGTATCAACCTCAATCGCTCGATATCAGCATGGACACCAGTATAAACTCGCGTGACGATGATATTGAACCACTGCTAGACAGTCACAACAGTCACAATGCATCCACACTGTTCGCACCACACAGCACAGAGATGGACGACGATTACGATCCAAGCTCACCACTGAATCCAAAGGATTTCAAGAGAATATTTCACCAGAATCTTGCACGACATTCACCTAAACGATGTATGTTAGTTATGTTTTTATTATTAATAATAATAATAAGAGAGCTTATTTATTCACTCAATCCATCCAAACCATCTTATCTATAGTTGTTCATCATTTCCCACTTTGGTTAGAAGAGAAATTTAGAAGTTTCGACGATCCAATCATTGCACTCTGCCAAAAAAATACAAGCAAACCCTTTTATTATTTTAGTTTATTCATTACCTGTATGTAATAAATATCACATCATTGGATGGATATCTTAAGATAGAAATAGAGTAGTAATGGATGAATGTTTAACTAACCAACAATAAATAACTATTATGACTATTATATAGCAATTGTAGCAATAGAAATAGCAATAGCATTACCATTTGTACTTTTCATTCTTGGACAAGATGCTCTTGCCACAGAATTTACATATTTAGCTTTATTATTAGCTTTACTCTCACAAGTTCCAAAACGATTCCTTTGGAGATTCAGACCATATATGGTTCAAAGAGCCAAAACAGTATGTTGTTAACCATAAAATAATTATAATTATAAAAATGACAATCGACCATTTATATATTAATATTATTTATAACTATTAGTGCAAAAAAGATCAAACATCATCATTTCCATCTAGAGCAGTGACATGTTCAGTGGTGTATAGCTATGCGATTGTATGGGCGGTGTTATACTATCATCCAGGTCCTCTGTTTCAATGGTGGATGCCATTTTTATTTTTAACGATGATTCTTTTGTCTTCGTTTGCGCGTATCAACCTCGGTGTTCACTATCCATCGGATTGCGTTGGTGGTGTCATCCAAGGCACGTTGGTTTGTCTTATTGGAACCGGTCTGAGAAGTCTCGATATTCTTGGTTGCAAATCGTGTTGGGACGGCGGTTGCTATGCCACAAGCTCAACTTGTTCCATCTCGTTTGGAACACTCGACCGATTGAACTTTATCATGCTTTCCATTCTTTTATTACTATGTATATTCGTCCCAGTCATAACCGTAATGAAACCAGTCGATTTTTGGTCAAAATGTGATCGTGTCTATGGGTATGTCAATATTAACATTAGTTAACATATCAATTTGTTTGTTTTAATATTAATATATTATAATTATTATTTAGTATGTTATTCCCATCAATGGTTTTCCAATTATTATTTTTGTGTCCAAGATCCTATTCATTGGCAGGTAGTTTACCAGTTCCACCGAGACCACATTGGTATTCATTTGTATTTGGTATTTCATTATCATTACTGGCAACTGTATGATATATTATTTAAATATAAATATAAATAGATTAAAAAACAAAATAACTAATAATTAGCTTCGATCAAAACTCATTAGGTATTTGCATCAAAAGCTAAACTAAAACATCCTTTAATTACATTTTGGGTAATATTTTTAGTTTTAAGTATATCATTATTTGCCTGGAGAGTTTCGATGATGGGTTAAATATATAGTATAACGATTTAAATAACAACAACAACATAACAGTAACAGTAACAACACAACAACAACAACAACAACACAACAATAGTACGATTTTTTTATTCCAGAAACAACAAAACTATACATTAACATAGAACTCTGGAACCAACTTTTTGTATTACATTCGAAGTTTTTTTTTTCCACCAAAAAAAAAAACGAACCATCTCATTTATCAAATAATGGAATCCCTTAATTATTATTTAAACAACCTTGTTGTAATACCTTTCATTTTGAAATATATATATCCACTTAAATATCAAACTTATCGATTAAAGTTTTTCCAACACAAAAACCTCCCTCCCTTAATAAATTAATCAATCCATTATCTTCCTCCATCTATTTAATTTAAAATTAAACTGTTTTTATTAGAATTTGATGAACAACAAACAGTGGTTGTGTCTAAAATAAAATTAACCCAATCAAATTTATAATACTTGTTTTGTTTACTCTATAGTCATTATGATTCAAACAAATTTTGTTATCTTTATTTGTATTATTTGATTGATGAAAGGGATTCGATTACAACAGTTTCCAAAGAGTTGAGAAGAGAATTTTTTCAAGATTGAGAGTTACAACTCCAAATTGTATTCTTTGGTCGGAATCTTGTGTTTTATCAAAACATCACAAATAAAAGTAAGCTATTTTATAAAAACACCAATAAATTATGTTCACAATAAGATAACTTAGATCTAATTATAACCCCTAAAAAAATCTAAAAACTTGAACTTTTTCAAATAAAAAAACTATAGATGTTCTTTGGGTTTCTGTTTTTATTTCATTGGTTTATACACTATAGCTAGATATTTATAAATTTATTAGGAAATTGTAAATAAAACATGTTTTGTTCGTGTTGTTTTGATTAATATATATATAGCGTGAAGTTTAAACTATTTTAGTTTGTTTATATTATTTATAGAAAGAATGTATTTTTACAAAAATCTTAAATTATTTGTTTGTTTATCGTTATTATTATTATTTGTTTTAGCAGAGTTTGGTGGTGTTGAGGCTGCAGTAACACCTACTGTTGTTCCAGGCGAAGACTGGTCTATACCTAGCTATGTAACACCTGCACCAAACAGTGGTTTCTTTTCGGAGCAGGCAACACCTTCGTTGCAGGTCAATGTACCGGTCTTTGATATCTCATGGCGAATGGTCGAACCTCAGCAAGGTGTCTTCAAATACGACATATCCGGTGTCGTCAAAGGAATGTCATTCGACACATTCACCCAACAAAACACAACATTAAAGGATAAACCATTTTGGTTTAGACTTTGGAATTCTGGTGAAACCGTAAGTATTAAATAGTACTACTTGAGTAATAATATTATTTTAAATAGTATATAATCAATTCCAATTCATCTTCAGGTACTAACTTTTCTTTTTCTTTTCAATTCTAAATATAAAGTGGGCACCTGATTGGATTAAATCCTATTGTAATGTAGGAGTAATCGGTAAAGACTATGATAATGATTATCATTTGCCAATCTGGAATTCATGTGTTTGGAGTGAAATTAAAAAAGTTTATCGTCAGGTATAATATCTAAATAAGTTATTCTCTTTTTTTCAAGTATAGAATACTAATTTGTTTATTTTAAAAAGTTATTTTTGGTAAATGGAATGAGATCAGATCCAAGATTAAAGTTTGTAAGTATAAATTAATATTTTAATATCACTAGTAAAGAAATAACTAACTTATAATAATTAATAAACAAAAGGTTTATATTCCAGGTGCTTTCAATTGGTGTGAATTTGATTTCGATATTATTGGAAACTATTCTAAAGTTACTGGGTATCAATATAAAGTACGTAATTAAATACTATTAGTTGGTTTATTAGAGTGTTTCTAATTGAATTATTTAGGATTTCAATATATGGTTTCAATCGGCAATGCAAGATTTAGTTAATATCTTCAATGGTGAGAATAATGATCCCTCCGATGACTATGCTTATAAATTGGTTTACACTGGTGAAGATTTCCCATTCGATGTCGATTTCTGGCCAAATGATCGTAATTTCTTGGCAAGAGATGCAGTCTCCAAGGGAATGGGAATTCGTACAGGTATCACTGAACTTTCAAATTTCCATCTCTCAGAGATTCCCGCCTATGGCTATACTATTGATGCCAACGGTTATTTAGTAGAGAATTCTAGTTGGCCACTAATAAACAATCCAAATCGAGTTGTTGCCACTGAGAATGAGTGTTATAACGCGTGTGGCTACACCGTCAGCAGTGCGAACCTTTTTTATTCGATCAAGATGTCCAACTTAAAAGCGATCCAGATGGGAGTTAATTGGCTTTATGTTGTCGCAAAAGATAGCTATCTCAAACAGTTTTGGCCACATTGGAATTGGGTTTTAAACTCCATTGGTAGAAGTCAATCTACTGCTTTCGAGGCTTGGGCAGCACTCAGAAATGCACAAGATACCTTTTGGGTAGACAGCGATTATCCACTCGATTGGATTGGAAAACCATACGTAAAGAACTACGAGCGTTATTTAACACAGCGTGATGTGGCTGGTGGTGCCATTACAGTGCCAGGATCGACTACCTACTCCAAAATTCTCGATCCATCCAATGGAATTGCCAACGAAGGTAGAAAGACACAGCTTTCCAATGGTAACAATAGTATGGTGTTTTATATCGATAATAAATTCATTGATCCTAGCTCATCCACTCCAATACCTGTTGAGATCAAAGTGACATACCTAGATAACAAGCCAACCACTTGGGTATTGTCATACATCGACAATACCAATACTCTGGCAACAACCAATGCAGTGACACAACTAGGAACATCAAACAACTTGACAACAGCAACATTTGTTATCAATAATGCACTATTCAAAGACAATGTTGCACCGGGTAACAGTGACTTCAAAATAGTTGTAACAGGTCAAAACGATGTTGAGATTTGGTTTGTCAGAGTAATTAAGACTCTGCAACAACCTTCAGTAACCACTTCAACAACTTCAACAACCTCTGCAACAACAACTACAACTGCCCCGACAACCACAACAGCAACAACTACAACTACCCCGACAACCACAACAGGAACAACTACTACCACAGGAACCTCTACTACAGGAGTAAATGATGCGTCATCCAACAAACATAATTTAATCTTCATGTTTATCATGATATTTATTATTTTTGTAATTTATTAAGAATAAAAGTTGTTATTTTTATAATGGGATACCAATATAAACAATTGATATACTTCAATAACAACAAGTGTTTTCTCTTCAAAGATGTCTTTTTCAAGAAGATCTACAAATTTTTCCTTTATTTTAGAGGATTTAGAAACAACCTGAATAAGAACCTTCAAAGTTGTAAATTTTAAATGGAAAGAATTTTGAAAATAAATTGGGTATAAAAATTGATCATCATCAATATAGGTCTATTTTGTATGTTTTTAAATAGTATAATAGAAAACATTTGTAGAATTCAGAATAAAAAGAATAAAGTTATGAAGATTTTGTTAAAAATATAAACAAATAAATAATAAAAAAATTAAAAAATAAAGAAAACATGGAAATCATTCGCTTCAAATGACATTAAACGAAAATAAAAAGTTAAAACTATCTTCTTATAACTTTATTTGTTTAAAAAGAAATAACTGTGCTTTTAACTTTTTGTTTGAAGCTAAAAAAACATATAAAAAAATGTTTCTGACTTAAATTGACCACCTCTGTTTGCAATTGTTGTGTTTTTTTTTTTTTTTTTTTAATTAATCAGTTTTTTTTTTTTTATTTTAATTAATATATATATATATAGATATCTATTTATTTTTGATCATTTTGATTTTATTTATATTGTTTTTGATTAGGAAATTAACTTTTGTTTAACAAAGAGTGAAGAATAGAAGAGAAGAGATCTCTTCAGCAAGGCAATAGCATATAAAAACGATGTTTGAATATCTAAAGAAAATGGGACAGGGTCTGTCTGCATTTCAGCAATTCCCATATCAGATAGGCACTCCGATAACGTCGTATCAGGGCAAGTCGATTTGGACTCTCTCGAACGGCACCAAGAAAGATGATGGTTCGGCAGTGTCGATCTTCACATTCGACGTAAAGAAGAACCCAACCAAACTAGAGGTAGCAAAGAACGGATTCAAACGAGCGAAAACCATTCGACACCCGAACTTCCTCACCTATCTCGACGGTCTAGAAACCGATACAAACATTTACATCGTAACGGAACCGGTAACACCTCTCGATGAATCAATAGAAGACATCAGAAAGTATGAGAATGCAATATCATGGGGTGTTTATCAAATAACTGTATGTATTGATTAATATTAACTAACAATCAATCAATATATAAACATATATATATATATGTATAACATTGTCTAACCATCATCTTTACTATTTAAAGAAAGCATTATCATTTATTAATAATGATGTTAATCTTACACATGGAAATGTAAATACAACGACAGTGTTTGTGACAAAGAGTGGCGATTGGAAATTGGGTGGATTAGAGTTGATTTGTGATGTTCGTGATATGAATCCGTTCTTGAAACAACATGGTGATCAGGTTCCAGTGAAATACAAACCACCTGAAGTAACCAAAGGTCAATGGTCACAAGTCAATACAGCTCCATCCTACGCAATCGATTCATGGATGTTAGGTAATGAATATATATATATAGTCTTTGTTTATTGTAATTATCTACTACAATGCAATTTCTAACAATTATTGTTTAGGTTGTTTAATTTATGAATGTTATAATGGACCAATGAGTAAATCAGAGGATGTAAGAGATCTCTCACAGATACCAAAACCAGTACATCAATCCTATCAGAAATGTTTTGCCAACAAGATTGAGAATCGTTTGAATCCAACGAAATTCCTTGAGTGTCCATACTTTCAGAATATATTCGTAGAGACATGTGTATTCCTTGAGAATATTACATTAAAAGATAACTTTGAAAAGGAAACATTCTTTAAGTATGTTATATAACTATTCTCTTTTTAAAAAAAAGATAGATTGTTTGTTTGTTTGCCTGTTACTAACAAAACAAAACAAACTAAAGAAAATTAGATCAACATATCGATAAACTACCAATGAATATATGTAAATTCAAGATATTACCACATTTGATTACGGCATTCGATTTCGGACCGGTCAACCCAAAGATATTGGGAACGCTCTTGAAGATCAGTGCGAATCTATCGACCGATGAGTATGTCACTCGTGTGGTACCGAGTGTCGTAAAGTGGTTCCAATCGGACGATCGTGTGCTCCGTGTGAACCTTCTGGAGAACTTGGAACATTACATTCAGCATCTCTCGGCACCGGTCATCAACGACCAGATCTTCCCGAACGTTGTCAACGGATTCAACGATAAGCCGGCGCTCAAAGAGATCACCATTAAATCGATGTTGCTATTCGCACCGAAACTCTCTGAGAAAACGATGATCCAGCTGCTGAAATACTTTGCGGCGCTGCAAAACGATCCGGAGCCAGGCATCAGAACGAACACCACCATTTGTTTGGGTCGCATTGCCGAGTACATTGCCGACTCCACCCGAAAGAGAGTGTTGATCCCGGCGTTCTCCACCGCAATGAAGGATCCGTTCGTACCCTCTCAGAATGCCGGTCTCAATGCATTCATGTTCACCCAACAGTATTTCAACGCCGAGGAGATAGCGACACGAATCATACCAGAGATCTCGAAATCACTGATCAAACCCGACAAATCCATTAGAACAACTGCACACCAGGCAATCAATCTATTCCTAAAGAAAGTTGAAACAATGATGGCGAATGTTGTAAGTATTATTTTACACACAAACAACATTTATATATATATAACAATCTGATTTGATTAACCAAACTTCAACTTTTATAGCCCGATGAGAGTTCTCAAGGTAATGGTGGACAACAGGCAAATCAGCAAGCAGCATCACAAGAAGGAATGTTGGGATGGGCAATGGGAATTACAAAGAAATATATTGCAACGGACTCACCTGTTTCTGGTTCGATACAAAGCAATCAACAACAGCAACAACAACATCAATCACAATTTAAACAACAACAAAATAATTCATACTCATCATCATCAAACACTTCTTCGAATGTTAATCAATCTTCTTCTTCCTCTATTTCCTCTTCTTCAAATGTCAACAAACCATATCAAAATAAGAGTAGTAGTAGTGGTGGATATAGTAGCAGTAATAACAGCAGTCATAGTAGTAACACTATGAAATCACAACAGAAACCAACACAGAGATCAGATGGTTGGGATGATAATGACGATTTAGATTTCGGTAGTAACAATAACAATAATGATGATGAAAATGATTACGACGAAGATGAACATGAAGATGTTAAATATAAATCACCAACTACTACTTCCTATTCTAGTAAACCAACGACACCATCATACTCTCACTCCTCCTCGACTTCCACCTCATCAAATGTAAAACCAACAACTACTTCATCTAACACATCACATTCATCATCCTCATCATCATCATCATCAAACGAACAACAAAAGAGTAAAGGAATGCAACTATCATCGAAACAACAAACCAAAGTAGCAACCAACAAACTCTCGAAATTCTCATTTGACGAAGATGAAGATAATTCAAATTCCAATTCGAATTGGGGTGATCATGTGACATCTCCACCAACAACATCTACATCATCGTCAACAAATAACAAATCATCGTCAGTTTCAACATCGTCAGGCTGGGGTGATGGTTGGGATGATACAGACCCAGTTGTTACACCAACAACTCCAACAACTCCAACAAAATCATCATCATCATCATCCAACACATCAATTAAATCACTAAAGAAAACAACTACGGCAACATCGAAAACAACAACAACCTCTAAAAGTAACGCTGGCTTTGAAGAGTGGAATGAATGGTAAATCAAAAATCACAATCAAAATATATAATTATTTTCTAAAAATATAGATACACTTGAAGAAATATTAAACTTTCCTATTATAATAAATTTGTAAAGAAATATGATATGAATAAGTCAAAATTTTTAGCATTCGCTCGGTAACGAACTTTAAAATTCTTTACTAAAAATTCAAAATATTTAAATTTATTTTTTATTCAATTTATTTTGAATTTTTTCAGCAAAAAAAACGAAGAACACAACGAATAAAAACCGGTCGACCAACACACTATTTTCATTCAACAAATTTTGGAAACATTAACTCTTTATAAATATTTTTGATATGTAGCGTTCTCGTCTCGTGCCTTGGAAACCAGCTTTGGTGATTAAACTCTTTTAATGTAAGTGTTATAACTATATTTATTATTATTATTATTGTTTTATATTATTATCTGATGAAATACACGCCCCAGTCGTAATAATTGGTTGACGAAACAAACGGTGCCTTAGCCGGTACTATCTGACCTTTTTAATATAAAACAATATAATATTTATATATTTATATTTTTTGCAAATGAAAGTAATCAAAACTAACTTTATTACTTAAGTGTAAGTTTTTTTTTTTTCTATCTCAAATAGGGACGAGAAACGAATCAATCTAAAAGAGTATCTGAGTATAATAAACAATCTGCTGATGATATATACAGACCTGTACCGATGCCTAATAATGAGGAATTCTACTAAGAAGTTCTGATCTTTTTGTTTATTATATCTTATACTTTTTTTATATGATATGATAAATCTCTCTATCTTTTCTCTAAATCAAACCAATTTACTAACAATATTATCAATCATTTAATTAGGATTTGAAATTTTCTTGAACAAATAAAAAATGAATAAAAAATATATAATCTTTTTAAACAAAAAACTCAAAAAAGTCTTATTCTTATAATTATTTTATTTTATTTTTTCTTGAGTTATAATACTGAATATGTAATTAATGTTTCTATAGATACATTTTATGATTACTTTTACTTTTTTTTTTATCTATCTAAAATAAATAAAAAATTCTATAGAAAATTCTATTTGGAAAGCAAATATGAAATTTGAAAAAAAAAAAAAAAAAACTTGATCAAAAAATATCAAATTATGCAAATGATTAATAATCAAGTTTATTTTTCATTTCATTTTGTTATTTATTTATTTATTTATTTATATTTACTTATCTAAACAAAAATGCAAGATATTTCATTGGACGACTCAATATGTATATTTGAAAAAGATAACAGTGGTGAAGTTTTACAAACATGGTATGTATGGGTGATTGCTTGAAATAATGAATGATGATATTCTATATATATAGTAGCTAAATAACGAATTACAATATATTCATTTATAACTACTACTACTACCTACTATTTAGGACATATCCATCAGTTGATGAATCATTAAGACAGGTCGCATTGAACAGAACAGGTTTGACAAGTAACAGAGTCAATCCATTCACATTCAGCAAATTCAAAAATACATGGATCTATATCTATACTGTTTCATTATTAAATCATAAGGATAAAGATGCATCATATACACCACCAGAGCCACTAAAACATGTAGTTGCATTCTCTATCTGTATATTTAGAAATGTATGATCTTTAGTTGATTCAAATGTTAAGGTTGTGATTATTGAAAAACAATAAACTAATTAATATATATATATGTATATAATTATATTTTTATTTTTAGAATTTCAACCCAGAGAAATATGCATCACTTTCACAGATCATGTCAAATATCTATTTGAAGTTGGGAGATCCTTCAAAGTTGTTGGAATGTCAGCTGAGAGCGTGGAACAAAGGACAATTCGATGTAGGTGCATTGGGAAAGTTTGTAGATGCCGAGTTTGATGTTAGAAGATCATATCTAGCCACCAGCATCAAAGATATCATCAAGTTGTTCCAAGAGGATATAATCTTGGTTTGGAATGCAATGTTGATAAAGAAGCGTGTCGTCGTCTACTCGGATAAAGTGTCGTCACTACTCAAAGTGATCAGAGCGCTGCCACTGTTTGTCTTTCATCGTCAGAACTGGTCGTTGCTTCGTCCATTCGTAACGATCGACGAACTTGAAATCAAAGATCTCACTGCCACCGGTGTCTATTGTGCCGGTTTCATTGATTCCTCTATAAAGTCACGTGAGGATTTATATGATATTCTTATTGATGGTATGTTATGTTTTACTTTTATGTATTAATAATAATAATCGGATTTACATATTAATATTTATTTACTTTTCCTTCTTACTCAGTAAATTCCAAAGAGGTAACAGTTGCATCACATGCTAAGGATCAATTTGTTCTTGGATCGTTCCACAAGGACATTTTGAAGACATTGATAGAGTCTGCAGATAATGAGGAGATCAACGATCAAACATTGATCAAGTTACTTACACAAAAGATAAAGGATCTCTTGGGTAAATTGGAATCACTCAAGGTTGAAGTCGATGGAAAGTCGATCGTCACGCTCGAATCATTGCAAGAACGTAAATTACCAGCCGGTATGGATAAGTTCTTATTCAACGTTGCCACCGCCGAAGGAATCAATGAAAGATAAACAATATTGTTGAACCTCAACTTTTAAATAATCAATATCCATTAATTGCCGAATCCATTTTAAATTAAAATAAATAAATGTATAACTAAGAAATAATAGAACGATAACGACAATGGTTGGAAAAATAAAATTTATTTTAAAAATGATGAGTAAAAGTAAACCAAAAATTGTCTTTGTATTGAATTAATAGTTTTCGTTTTCAAAATTTTTTTTTATTAACTCAGATAGATAAAATAGAGCGATGAGTTATTTAATTCCTAGTGGTTTTGTTGGTAGAACAACAAAATCAGATGTAAGATTGTATTGTGATAATGTAACATTGGACTCAAGTGTTTTCGTTATCAAAACAACAGCTGCATCATCATCGTCATTCTCATTGATATCAATAATGCATTTGGATTTGCATTCAGGTGAATTGGTAACGGATTTATTGATGAATGAAATAAAGTATCATCGTCAACAACTTGAACAGCAGCAGCAACAACAACAACAACAACAGGATATCAAGACAACAGTTTGGAGATGTCATAATATTCCACTGACAACGGAACCAAAGTATAAGCAAGCCGAGGCGAATGCAGAGATCGATCAGATCTGGCAAGAAGTGCTGGAGTTACCGTCGACAATGAACGTAGAGTGCCGCGCTATCAATGTTCATGAAACAGCATCGATGACACTGCTCGAAGCAGAACCACAACTCTTCAAGGTCAACGAGTTGATAACAACTCCTATCGATTCATCTCTATTAAGAGCAATTTCATTAATCAATGAAATTGTTTCACTTGATAGCATTATAAATAATAATACAGAACCAACAACATCATCAACAATAACAGAGTCATCATCATCAACAGAATCATCAACAACATCATCATCGACAGAAGAAAAAACATTGAAAGGAAGTGTTATCTTTAATGATAACGAATGGAATCAAAGTGTAATTGAACAACTTTTAAAGCTTGACGACAAAGCATTGCCTCTGGTGGAAGTAGATCCATATCTTTTTCAAAAGTATATAGATAAACTAAATTTACCTTTAAATGATCAAACCGCCGTTGTAAATCAACTATTCGGTAAGTAAATCAATGAATTATTATTATTATATTCATCTTAAAGTTTATTAATTAATCAATCAATCATTATAATATTATATTCTGTATAGATGCAATCAATAGATATAGAGCATCAAAAGGATTAGATGTAATGAAACAACAGAAAGTAGGACCAAACGATAGTTGTCTATGTAAATCGGGTCAGAAGTTTAAGAAATGTCATGGTGGAGGTACTGGTTCAACTTCTAAATTCTTTTTATTATACCCGTCGACTTTGACTGCAACAACAACATCATCATCATCATCAACTAATAATAAATCTAACAACAACAATAATAAAAAGAAAAAGAGATAAAATAAATTAATATATATTTATAAAGTAAAATTAGCTAATTAATTATCTCTCTCTCTCTCAGATTTATAAATTGGAATTCCTAAACGTTTAAAACCAATATACATGTGATTCTTTTCTTTCAAAAGTTATTTTTTTTTTTAAAAATCATCAATATATATAACAAACAATAATAATAAAATAATACATTGCAATGATAATAAAGTCATAATATATCCAGAAAATTAATTTATGTGTGATCGATAAATAAATATTTTTAAAACAACATTAGTTTGAAAGTTGAAAGTTGAAGTAGTAGTAATTAGTTTGAAGACATCTCACTATTTTGTTATTTTTTTTTGATATATATATATTTATAATGTCACTAAATAGTAGTCCAACCAACTTTGAACATACTTCACCTCTAAGTTCCTCTACATCATCTTCTTCAAATATAACATTAGGTAAATAACAATATGTTTAGTCAATTTCGATGTTTGATTACCAGTTTCTAATATTTAATATATATATATATTTGAAAAAGCATCTTTAGAAACTACACCAAATAGCGATATATCAGAGTCACCTTCCAATAGGTTGAATGTTGGTGGTGGTGCTGCTGGTGGTGGTATCGATTTGACTACCAGTGGCAATTCAATAGGAGGCTTTAATGCTGGGAATGTTGTTGGTAATAATAATATTAATAATGTAGGTGGTGGCTCTGCTACTGCTGGCGTTAACAACAACAGCAACAAGACAACATTGTCTTCATCATTGTCGTCAACTCCAACTATAACCTCTAGTAATAGCAAAGACAAAGACAAAGACAAAGATAAAGAAAGAGACAAGAGAGATAGTAGAGATAACAGTAGAGAAAATAGTAGAGGTCGTGATCGTGATCGTGATCGTGATAGAAGCAGTCAGAGTAGTAGCAGTAGAGCTGAAAGAGATCGTGATCGTGACAGAGACAGGGACAGAGACAGAGATCGTGATCGTGATCGTGATCGTGACAGAGACAGGGATAGAGATCGCGATCGCGATCGTGATCGTGACAGAGACCGTAATAGAGATCGTGATAGAAACAGAAGTGATAGTAGAGACAGGAGAAGAAGTTCAGATCAAACTGCTACAACAAGGTCAACTACTACATCCACTGGTGGTGGTGGTAGTAGAGATAAAGATAGAAAAGCTAGTAGTAGCGGAGGTGGAAGTGGAGGTGGTAGTAGTAGCAGTAGAAGTAATAGAAATGAGAGGGATAGAGACAGAGATAGAGATAGTGGAAGTAGAAAAGATAAAGATAAAGAAAAGGATAAAGAAAAGGAAAAAGATAAAGATAAAGATAAAGACAAAGAAAAAGATAAAGATAAAGAAAAAGAAAAAGAAAAAGATAAACTAACAAGTAGTGCCCCAAATATTCAAACTATAGCAACACCTACAACAACTGCTGCTGCTGCCATTGCAGCTGGCAATACTACTGCAACTGGAGGATCTGGATCATCTTCATTAAAGAATAGTAAAGAGATACCAAAAGATGGAACTACAAGTAATAGTAGTAGTCGGTCTTCTTCATTGAACAACAGTAGTAATGATATCAAGAAATCGACAACAAGTGGCGGTGGAAGTGGCGGTGGAAGCACTAGAAACAGTAGAGAAAGAGATAGAGATGTCGATAGAGATAGAGATCGCGATAGATACAGAGAGAGAGATCGCGATAGAGACAGAGATCGTGATAGAGATCGCGATAGAGACAGAGATCGTGATAGTAGAGACAGTCGAGACAGTAGAGACAGCAGAGATAGCAGAGACAGTCGATACAGGGATCGCGATAGAGACAGAGATCGCGATAGAGATAGAGATAGAGACAGTAGAGACAGTAGAGATAGCAGAGATAGTAGATATAGAGATCGCGATAGTCGAAGAGATAGAAGCAGGTCACGTGACAAGGACAAAGATAAAACAAGTGGTAGTGGAAGTAAATCTTCATCTACTTCTACCTCTTCTTCCAATTTAAAAGATAGTCCAGAGTATAACAGCTCTTCGATGAAAACAGGCGGAGCATTAACATCATCATCATCGTCTGGCAAGCTATCTTCATCAACCTCGTCAGCAAAGATACTATCTCCTTCTCATGATGGTAGTAGTACTAGCATGAGAAGTCCCAATCTTGGAAAGTCTTCGAGCGGAACCAATGTCTCACTGGCAACATCCTCATCATCATCCAGATATAGTGGTGGAGGTGGCGCTGGTGGCAGTAGTGGTGGCAGCGGAAGTGGAAACAACAGTGGAAAGAGTGGAAATGGTAGTGGTGGAAATAAAAAATCTACTTCCAATAGCAGTGGAAAGAATACCTCTAAAGACAGTTCAAAAAGTGGTGGTGCTGGTAGTGGAAGTGGAAATAAGGGTAAAGGTAGTAACATCAATCAAGGTATTGGTAGAAAGAAAAAGAGAAGTGACGACGATAGTGGCGACGAAAGTGACTACGAGAGTACATCCTCTTCATATGACACCAGTGACGATGACGACGATAGTGACTATAGCTACACTGACAGCAGCAGTAGCAGTGGAAGTGGCAGCGAAACAGAGGATACAAGCAGTGGAAGTGGCAGTGAGACAGAAGACACAAGCAGTGGAAGTGGAAGTGGTAGCGAATCAGAGAGTGAAAGCGAAAGTGAGGATGAGAAAGCGACAACTAAAAGAGGAGCGGCTGCAACAGCAAAAAGTAGCTCTAAAGCATCGAAACAACAACAAGCTAAACCAAAAGCACCTATTACAAAGAAGGATCAAGATAAACAAGCTAAAGCAACAACGACATCGACAACCACCACTCAGCCAACTGCATTGACAAAGCAGCCATCAACTGTTGGAGCGGCAACGAGTAGCAATGCAGCGGTGGTAGCGTCGGCAACGGCAACAGCTCCAGCATTGAATGTACAGAACAACAACAACTCAAATGAACTTGTTAGCGCAACAACCTCTACCTTCTCGGCATCGACATCGAATACAACATCACCCAATTTACAACTACCGGGCATTGCAATACCTACTACCATGGAAGAAGTAGTAGTGGTTAAAAGAGCAATGTCACCAAGCAATAATAATAATTCCAATACTTTAACAGCAACAACAGAAGTAGGAGTACCATCAGTAACAACAACAATAGAATCAGTTAGTACACCAACAATTAAGCAAGAAGATCAAGAAAAGAATAATGTTGATACGCCATCAGAACCGAATAGCAATGAAACTGAAATGGATACCGATGAGCAAGAATTGGGTGATCAATCAATCGATCTATCCGATGCGGAGTCAAGGAAGACCTTTGAGGATGAAATAACCTATGAAATATATTCTGACCTACTAGAAGAAGTACTCCTAGATATTTACTTTGAAACACATAGAGATTATCATACTGGTAAACTTTGTTTAAATTGCGATATAAATGATAATGGTATGTGTATTACATTATATATATATATATATATATTATCTTTTTGTTATTCAATTTTAATTAAAAATTATATCTCTCTTTCTCTCTCTTTAACAATATATATATAGAATATATAAGAAAAGGATTAGATGTATATGGACAAGTTACTAAAAATCAAAGTGATATGTTTGAATGTTTAAAATGTGAATCGATGGTGAACTCATCGAGATATGCACCACATCTTGAAAAATGTATGGGAATGGGAAGAACTACAAGACTAACTAGAAAAACCAATAATGATCATCTCTTACAGTTACAAAACAACGATAAGAACTCAATGTCTGAGGAGTCTGACGATGACTATGAACCACGTGGAAAAGGTTCCAAGAGAAAATCTAGACCAAGTAGGTTATTTGTCAAACCTTTTGTACTCCATTATACTTACATACTCACTTTACTTTCTTTTTATTTAAAATAGAACAAGCACATTCTTTAGACACAATTAAATCACAATCACCTGAAAAGATTCATAGTATTTTAGATAAAGTAAGTAGTTATTACTATTATTGTAATTAATTAATGCTCTATCCTTAAAAACGTTTTTAATAATAACATTTTGAATTGTAATTAATAATAACTATAGATGTGTGGTGTAGTTTCAAATAGTACAGGTAAGATGTGTACTAAAACATTGAGATGTCCACAACATAGTGATGAACAGAGAGAACAGATTAGACAGAAACTAATGGGAAAGAATACCGGTAAGGTGAAAAAGATAAACTCACCTCTTAGCAACAACAGCAACAATCACCAAAACAACAATGAATATTTAGACTTATCACTAGGTGAATTTGTTGATGTTGAAGGAGATGAAATTCAAGAAAGACAACAAAAAAGAAATAAAGTTTAAAAACTTTTTATTTTTATTATTATCATAATCACTTCAATTGTTATGCATAATTTAATATTATATATTCAAGTAATAATTATTCGGAAAGGTAAACTTAAAGATTGGACAAGTTTAGATCTCTACTTCTAATTATCGACCCAAAGTAGGAAAAATATTGTAAAATCTGAATTCAAAGGAATAAAATATATTTAAATGAAACCGCATTATAAATATATATTTGATTTGGAAAGATATGATAATCATATATGTTCATACCTAAAATATCTATTTGTTATTTGTTACATTGTTGTTCAATTACTTTTTTGTCTTTTTTTTCTAACATCAACTTTCCAATAAAGAAAGTAATGAATTACATAATCTTTAAAGAATAAATCAATTTTTTTGTTTTTAAATAATAAATCAACACACACATATTTATAACCTAAGATTCCAAATATGTTTTTATGTATATTATTTGTGTGATTGACACCCAATATATGAAAAATGAAATTCACACACATATTTTTTGTTTTTTAAAAGTAAATTTAATTTGGTTAATTCACACTTTGTTTCTTTTTATTTTTTTTCAAACAACACCATTCTTTATCAACATGTTCAAGGTGGTGGATGGACATCTTATCTTTAAGATAATTTTAATATGAAAAAAAAAAAAAACAAACAAAACAAACTGATATATATATTACTAAAAAAGAGCATTTGAAAGTAAATGAAAGGTATACTGACGACAACACAACACACTGTTCCCCCTACACAGTGAACAAAAAAAAAACCTATAAACAATTCAATGTAACAAAAAAGTATAAATAGATAATCCAATTGATTCATTCTAAATTCAAATCATATTTAATATATTTAATTAAATCAAATATATATTTACATATTTAAATTAATCTTTTTTTTTGTTTCTTATTATATACATATTTTATGTTAAAATCAAATATTGTAAATTATTATTATTGTCAGTATATAAATTATTATTATTATTTTAAAGAATGAAAATTTTTAAACAATTGTTTTGTGCTTTGTTGGTGGTGGGTGCCGTTGCTGCCCGAGCCAAGAGTTGCTCCCAGAGCTACGAGTGTGGAACTCAGCCATTCGCTCATTGCTACAATATGACTGCCAAGCATATGCTTCCGGGATTCGGTTTGGACAATGGACAACACACCATTAATTTCATCAACAATCTGGGTGCCGTCGATAACAGACCGGACGGTGCTTCTTTCTTTGGTCGTGTCTCTATGGACGGTGGTGAATTCGAGGTGATCGAAGAGATCGAATCCGATGCCAACGTTCAGAATGGACAGCGTGTCGTTCAAATGTACAACTATCTCGAGAGCAAGCATATCCCATACGTCGTCAACAGCAAGGCTACCGCTGGCAACGCCGGAATCGGTCCATACGCCAACCATGTTTTCACCCAAGTCTGGTCGGTCCTCTCTGTCTACCTGGGAATGGCATTCGACGAGAAGAACAACATTATGTACAGCTGCGATCTCGATATCAGAAAATACAACAAGATTCCAATGACCTTTGAGGATCGTCGTGATAACACTACCATGTACACCGGACAGACCTGCAGTGGAATGTCATACTACAACGGCAAGCTCTACTTCTCTGCCAATAGTGCCGCCGGAACCAGCTTCTACCAAGCCGACACCACCTGTGTAAACTGCGACAAGTCCAAGTTGTCTGCTATCTTCAACGAATCGAGCTACATCCACGGTATGACCTCAAGCGATACCGATATCTTCTATACTAGCTCGACCGGCATCTACCAAGTCAGTCTCGCCAACCCATCCACCAAGAAGCAATTGTCGTCCGACACCAAAGCCGGTACCATTAAATACAGTGAAGGTTTCGTCTACTACCAGAACGACAATCAAATCATCAGTATCGAAGTTGCCACCGGTAAGACCAAAGTTCTCTACGACACCGCAACAGTTGCCCGTCAAAATCAATGCTATTGTGCTACTGGATTCAGTGGTGATCAATGTGAAACCTGCAGCGGTAGAATTCAATGGAATAACGGTATCCCCAAGTGCTATCGTGAGAACCAACCACTCTTCTGTGTCCAAGACTACGAATGTGGAAACGTTCCATTCACTCTCTGTAACTACGGAACCTGTTCCTGTAGAAACAACTTCTATGGTGCTAAATGTGATCAATGCGATTATCACATTATCTGGGAAAATGGAATACCAGTATGTGAAAAGAATCCAACTGCCTAAAGATAATATTAATAATTATTTATCCAATTATTTTTAATCAATAATAATAATTCATCCATCCATCAATTAATCAATCAACTTTTTCATCCATCCATCAATCATATTAAAATTATTTCCAATTTAATCATCCATCAAACAACAACAATAATATGATAAATTAACTTAAATCGATTCATTTCGACAATAAAATAAATATTACCTTTTTTTTTTGTTATTAATAACATATATATATGTGTATATTTGGTTTTATTATTATTATTACTATTATTTACTGTGAAGAAGAAGAAGATGGTCTATTTAACCAATCTAAAGTAGGATTATTTAAATAGTCTTCGAAATCGTTGAATTGTGTAAGTTTTCCATCTTTGACATGTGCTTGAATCATTGATTTCGGATAAGATGGTGATTGTTTGTCTCCAGTGAGTCTCAATTGTTTAATGCTACTCTTTACCCATTGATTTTCATTGTTTCTACCGATTGGAATGAGACCGAGTGGATTATCCTCATTTATCTCTGTGACACCCAAAAAACACATTGAATTCAATTCATTATACAGTTTATCTGCCACTCTCTTTGCAATTGGCTCCAAATCCTTTTCAAATGTATTCTCATTGGCATAATAATATCCAATCATTTCTATTTGATTTATCTTACAATATGCTTCTATCTATATATATATTGATTAATTCATACATAACAATATTATTAATTAACATATTATATTATCAAAAACGACAATAATGATAATGATAAAATGATTCATAACCTACCTGTATTAATGCAACTTCAAACATTGGTAACAGTGTCATTGAGTGTGACAGTGGAATGACATCGGTGATATTCAATACTGACTTTTCGACATATCCCAATAATATTCCGTTCACTGCATTCGTACAATACTTGAATGAATGTGAATGTATCTTTAAAAATGATTGCAATGATATGGTGATCTCTGACATGATTAGATCTTGATTGATCGATTGACTGTAATGATTAATATTATTTATAATAAATAAGCGTGTGAAATTAATTAAAACTTATAATTAAAATTAAAAAATATGATCAAAAAAAAACTTTTTTTTAATTTTAATTTCAAATTATTTTTTAAAATTGTTGTGATCATTTTTATTTTTTGATAAAGGTTGGTTGACTGTGTGGTGAACTTCATTCCAATCATAATAAATAATAAAAAAATAACACAAAAACTAAAATTGAAATTAATTTAAAACACACATTTTATTTTACTTTTTTTTTTATATTTTTTTTAATCTATTATTTGTTTGTACATATTTATTACTTTCCTATTTTGATATTATATAATATCACTTTTGTTTGTTTTTTTTATAAACCACTTCATTATTCAATAATACTATATAGATAATCGATATATATATAAAAAAAATGGAAGCTCCAGAATGGTTATCAAATGCCGTTGATTTAGGTGTATGTTCAACTAATCTAATATCTATTAAATTATGAAAGCTAACTAAAAGCATACTCATTAAAACTTTATTAAAACTAACTTTTTTTATTATTATTTAGACATCAATTATGGCAGTTGCTTACAACGGTGGTGTTGTTATGGGTGCAGACTCAAGAACTACTACAGGATCATATGTTGCCAATCGTGTAACCAACAAGATTACACCGATCCACGAAAAGATTTATTGTTGTAGATCAGGTTCCGCTGCCGATACTCAAGCAATCTCTGACTATGTTAGATACTATCTTGAAATGCATAAGTATGTAACAAACAATGATATTAATATTATTTATTAAATGAATGATATTAATATATATATATATATATATTTGATGACTCATCAATATTGTTATATAGCTCTGAACTTGGAGACGATCCAGATGTAAAAACAGCAGCATCACTATTTCAACTACTTTGCTATAACAACAAGAATAACTTGTTGGCCGGTATCATTGTAGCCGGTTGGGATAAGCACAATGGTGGAAGCGTTTACAATATTTCACTGGGTGGATCGATGGTCCAACAGCCATTTGCCATCGGTGGTTCCGGTTCAACCTACATCTATGGTTACTGCGATTCTAAATTTAAACCAGATATGACAAAAGATGAATGTGTAGAATTTGTAAAGAACTGTATGTCATCATTAACTATTATCATTATCAAACATATTCATTCATAATTTTTAAATCAAATTTACTAATCATCAATCTTTATCATTTAATCATTCATTTTAGCGTTGGCACTTGCTATGTTTAGAGATGGATCATCAGGTGGTGTTATTAGACTTTGTGTCATCGATAGTAATGGTGTAGAAAGAAGAATGATTCCAGCTAATGAACTTCCAAGATTCTGGGAGGGCTAATTTAGTTTATTTTATTTTTTTAAGAGAGAGAGTTTGTTTATTTACTTATTAAAAACACAACAAAAACCAACCAACCCAATCCACATCCAACTTGTAATTTACAATCACAGTAATCGATTGCAAACCAACCCAACCTATATTAATCAATCAATAACAAAACAAGCAAAAAAGAAAACAAAAAAAAAAGAGTAAACTTAACAAATAAAAATAATAAAAATAAACCTTTTTAAAAATCAATATTTTATTTATTTTATTAGATGTGATATTCATTTTAGTTGAGTCAAATCAAATAATAATAAAACATATCATCAAATAATAATGTTAAGTTCAATCAAATTAATTGGTTCAGTAACGTTAAAAAAAAAATTAAAAAAAACAAAAACAAAAAACAAAAAAAAAAAAGGTGGTTGTGTGTTGATTGAAAAAAATCAAAAAAAAATAAAAATAAAAAAAATAAAAAATCAAAATTAGTCTTGATACAAACAATAATTAAGAATAATCTTTTATATATTATATTATATTTAAAAGTATTGTATTATTATAAAAAAATCATAAAACACCAAAACAAAAAAAAAAAAAAACAAAAAAAGTAACATTTCAACATATCTTCATTTTCTTGTGTGTTTTCATATTTTAAATTAGAAAGTTAAAATAAGAAGTGAAGGAGTAAAGAAGAAGTAAAGACCAACTTTTGTTGTTGTAAATGCGAATCAAAGTAGATAGATAGATAGATTGAAAGATAAAAATAGAATATATTAATCTAGAAATAATAATAATAGTTGGTTGTTGTATTTAGGACCTATCTTTATATTGAAGATAGATATAGAGATAGATTGTGATTATTGTTGGCTTAGAGTAAAAATAACATATCGATCGAACCTAGGGATAGATCGATCCATCAAAGATAATAATCGAATCATACATCTCTTCTACATATATATATATAGAAAATAACAAAAATTAATCACAGAAGAACTCATCTTTGAAATCGACCAGAATTCGATCGAAACCTATATAGGTTTTAATATTGTTTTACACATCACATTGTTTGAACAAACAAACAAACAAAGTGCCAGTCCCATCTTCTTTTGGACTTCACACACTTAAGTAGTTTTTTTATTTTATTTTATATCTTATAACTACTATTATTCAAAAAAAAAAAAAGAAATATTCAGTTTTTGCGAATGTACATCCACACACAGATATAACAAACAGGGCATCATAATCTAGATTTATTAAAACATGATGACAATCTATTAAACAATAAGCACTCAATTAAACAATAATAGCAATAGTAATCATCCAAAAGTCAATCAATCAATCAATTAATTAATTAATTAGTAATTCATTCTTATACCATCAAAATCTTCTTTTGGAATAATCACTTAAACAAGCAAATTTTAACTTGTAATATTTTTGTGTCATTTTTTTTTTTATCTCAAAAATTTTTTTTTTTTTTTTTTTTTTGAATGTTTTTTTTTTTTTTTTTTGATTTTTTTCACTTTTTTTTTTTTTTTGCAATCCCGCTTTCATCAAATTTTTTAGTGGAGTGTTAGAGAGATATACCACTGATAACAAAAAAAAAAAACACAGCCAAAACAATATTTATTTTCATCAACATCATCAGTTATTTTTTTGAATTAAAGTCATACATTTGGAAATCGACCAACTTTGAAATCAACGCCATACTTTTTTTTATTTTTATTTTTATTGCTGGCATTTTCTGTACTACTAAATATATAAGCTTTAGATTATACTTATTTTTTAAAGTCAAATCATCAACTTGTAACATTATCAACGACAACAACAACAACAGCAAATTCATTAGGCGTATTTTATATATTCACATTGTTAGGTACCTACATAACATAATTACAAGACTTTACATCTAAAAATAAGATAGCAAATCATGACCAACAAACAAAGACAAGATAGAACAAGATGAATATCAGACATTTGATTGTGCCACTCAAATTTGAGCAATAAACAGGTTATGATATAATATAAATCGTTAAGAATTGGATATTGGATTGGATATAAGAGTTACTATTTAAGTTTGTTTTAGTTTGTTTGTTATTTTTATTTTGTTTTGTTTTATTCATTCAATTGAATGATATTCATTCACCAATAATAAAAATTTAATTTAGTTGACTAAAATGAAATTAATACTGACCAGTTACCTACCTACCTATTTATTCAAATATATAGATATTATAACCAAGAACGCTCACACTTTTCACCTCATACAGGATAATTAATATATAAACAGATAGCCCACAATGAGTTTTTGGCGAAGTTTTGGTTTTCACCCAATATCACACATAGAGACCATCCTCGACCGTAATCAATACACTCTTGAGGAGTTGTTGGACGAAGATGAATTCCTACAAGAATGTAAATTACAAAATCAAAGATTAATTGATTAGTAAGTTATTAGTTATTATTATTATTATCTACGCTTTGTATTTTATTATATATTAATATATATTAATTAAATAAATAATAATAGTCTTGTCAAACCTGAACAACTTGGATTGTTGTTCGAGTATGTCACTAAAGAGGCACCGGAAGAAGCCGATAGAAAGCGCAAAGAGTCATACCCCTATTTGGCTTCAGAGATTCTCTGTATGGATATCCCTGCTTTGATCGATGCCGTCTATAAAGATGAAAACAAATATCTTTCACAGTTGTATGAGATTTTGGACCAACCAAACTTTAACCTTTCGCTCTCCTCCTATATCAGTAAAGTTGCCATCAACTTTTTAGGTAGAAAGACCATTGAGGTAATTATTATTATTAACTAACCATTTAATCAAGTACCTATTATATTTATATTTACATTATCTTTTTTCTTTTTTATTACTATTTGTTTTTTTCATTTCTTCTTAATTAATCAAATAATAGACTATGTCTTATATTAAGAAGCAAGAAAACATTATTGATAAATTCATTCAACACCTCGACAAATCACCAGTCGTTGAGATCCTACTCAAGATCATCAGCATAGAAGAATTCCAAGGTGGCGCCGGTACTTTGGAGTGGTTGGATAAATCCGATTTAATTGGTGGAATCGTTGCCAAATTCGATCCATCTTTGGATTCAGAGGTAATTAGATAAACTATACTATTAGTATATTGTGATCACATTAAAAACTAACAACTCTTTTTTTTTTTAATTCAATAGTTCCACGAGAATGCATCATTCATTCTATCTGAGATTGTAGAGTTGAACAACTCCTATACAGAATCACCATTGATTGTCAAGTTGGAGGGTGAAGAAATGATTAAGAAACTTTACAATTTTATTTTAAATGATGTATGTACCAATTAGTAGTATTATAATGATGAATGATAAAGTTCTTCAATTAAACTAATAATAATTGTTAATATTTTTCTTTTTTTATTTTTATTTTATAGGTACCATTGGGAACCAGTTTCCTCCATGGTCTGACGGTTATAATTAAGTTATTGAGAAGACATAAAGAGAACAATACCAACGATAATACAGCCACACCACTCGAAGAATTGGGTTCATTGTTCAGAGAGTCACTCATCCATATCCAAGACTTGAATGAGATGCTAAAGAAGACCACCGAAGACAGTTTTACCACCACTACCGGTCCACTCTCACCACCACTCGGTTTCTACAGATTAAAAATTATCGAGTTCTTTGCCGACTTGATCAACTCTCGTTATTTATGTATTGATAAAAAGTTTATGGAACTTGCTATTCTTACTTCATGTTTGGTATGTTTATTATTTACAATCATCATTAACTTTAATATCTATAATAATAGCTGACCAAATCACCTTCTTTTTTTCATTTCTTTTTTTTTTTTTTTTTTTTTTAACAGGATTTGTTCTTCCAATACCCTTGGAACAATTTGCTCCACAGCCAAGTTAGCCAAATTTGCCAAATCGTTTTGGGAAGTGAGAATGAAGAGTTGAAGCTTTCAGTAAGTATCATTGATATAATATGCCATATAGACAGTTTTGTTATCATTTATTAACTTATCATCATCATTATCATTGTTTAGTTATTAAAAGACTCCAAGCTTGTCGAAAGAATTATTCAAGGAGACGAAGATAATACCAATGAAACTAAAAAAGAAAAGGGTATCAGATATGGTTATATGGGATTTTTGAATCACATTGCTCGTGTTATTAATGAATCAAGAGAGAATCCAACTGTTAAGGAATGTACCGATGGTATGTATCTACTACTACTTTTACTTTTAAATATATATATGTTTGTCTAATCTTTTATTTGTTTGAAAATAATAGAAAATCCAAGATGGGCATCATTTGTAAAGAATTCATTGCAGCCAGTCCTAAATTTGGAGAGTGAGCCATTGGGTGATTTCAAATTGAGTTTGATGATGCAACCAGAGGTCGAGGACGACGACGATGATCAGATTTACGATAATGACAACGATAGTTTTGCCTATAACCAAGGATTCATGGACAACAACTACCACCAACAAAATCACATCTCCTATGAGGACGACGACGAAGACGAGTACGATCATCAATATAAGAACGATCAAGACTACGCAGATGACGACGCTGAATTTAATGAGAACCACAGTGAACACTTCAACCAACAAAATAACATCAACACCAACACTAACACTACAGAAGAGAATCAACAACAACAACATGAAGAAGAAGTAGAAGAAGAAGAAGAAGTAGAAGAAGAAGTACAACAACAAACACCAACACCATCACCATCAACAACAGAGAGCACAGCAGCAACTGACAACCAATCACCACCCGCTTCCTCTGATCTATAATATATTTATTTATTAATATAGGTTCCCTCCTCCTCCTCATCATCTCCTTTCTCTCACCAGCCCTACTACCTTTAACTTAACATTACCTCACACTCACCTTTACCTTTACCTTCTTTCTCATAACATTTTCTCTCTCCGTATAATAATAAACCTCCAACAACAAACAACAACAACAAACAAATAATAATAAAAAATAAATAACTATAAATAGTACTAAATTTCAAATGATCTCGTCCAGTCTCACTCTTTCTGCTCATTCAACAATCAGCGATCAAGATCAGTCATTTATCAAAAAAAAGAAAAAAAAAAAAAAGATCGAACAACTAATACAACTGTATAACTAAATAACTATACAAAAAAAGATTATTTTATTATTATTTATTATTCTTATTCTTTAAAAACATTATATATATAAAAAAATAGAAAATTTTAAAATTTTAAAAAATGATATGTATTCATTATATATTTTATCTTTGTCCTTTGCATATATCTATTATTATTATTATTTTCATACATGTTTTAAGATAACCAATCTATTTATTTTGTAGTTAATGAAGTTCAGAATTTGAGAATTTTTTATTTTGTCTGGTTCATTTTTTTTTTTTTCTTGTTTTTTTTTTCGCACTGTTTGTGACTATGATCATACAAAAATTTTGATGATTTTTTTTTAATAATTTTTTAATTATTTTTTTATTTTTTTTCAAACAAATCACTCAAAGCGTGCATCATTTTTTTTTAAATTGAGTTCCTTCTCAGCTCTCACCCAACAACACTACAATATTTTTCATTTTATTTTTTAATTTTTTTTTTTTTTTGAAATCAGATTTATAAATTTTATTTATTTCTTACATTTTAGTTGTTGTAGCATCGATCTATATAGGAATAATAAGAAATGAATCGTTCTATCATCTCATCAACCCAATTATTTGTTAGGTAAATGTCAATTTTCGATTACACAGCCGAAAAAATAAAAAAATATAGCATACAGATCAATGATCGATCAATAGTCCGATTGATCATCATCAACTCAATAATAATCACTATAATGCCATGATCATTCATTGTCGTTGTTATCTTAAATAATAATAATAATAATAATAATAATAATAATAATAATAATAATAATAATAATAATAGTAGTATCATAGCAATAGTCCAGTCATAGTTATAATAGTCAAATAATAGTAAAAGTAATAGAACAGTGGTGATAATGATGATAATCAAGTAAAAGATACAAAATCGATTTTATGAAATAGTACAATATAAAGATACAGATTTATTTTTGGATTGGTTTCAACAGTTGCAACAAAAAATTGTTATTTTACAGATCGGTCAACAGTATTTTCAGTAATAGTTTTATAGATCATCTAAAAAAGAAATTTCATTTCAAATTAGATAGATTATATTAAAATATAATGCTGATTATCTGCCTTACTAAAGTAAATCAACCAAAGTTACAATCCAACAGTCATATCATATCATATCAACAAAACACATATGATCTTTATTATATAATGCGAAAAGACAAAAATTACAATGACAATGATATGAATAGTGATAATCAAATTTATAAATATAAATCTATCTTCTTAAAGATATAGAAAAAATAGATACTAACAAATACCTTTTTTTTTATTATAGAGTTGCCAACTCTCAACAACAACGTAACATGGCTACCTTGAAGGAGTGTATGTTTATTTAGATTACTTTAAGTTTAAAAACAAAACTATTTGTTTACTAATTCTTATTTTTATATTCATATCAAAATCAATCAACTACCAAATAATAATAATAATAATAATAATAATAATAATAATATGGAATTGTTTCAAATCAAATAGTGAAGGTTCGTTTGGGTACAGTAAAGACTATCTCCAAGTTGACCAAGACATTGCACATGGTAGCTTCATCAAGACTTCGTTCTGCAGAGAAGAAAGCTGAGGATTTGTTTGGATACAACGAAGGACCATCGAAATTATTTACAGAGATCACCTCCACCGAGGGTATGGATCCACAAAACACCGGTGAGGAACGTTCCAACAAGCAATTGATCATCGGTGTCACCACCGACACTGGTATGTGTGGTCCAGTCAACCATCAAGTTATGCGTACCACCAAAGCATTGTTGAGCAAGGATACCAACAACGAATTCCTCGTCTCTGTCACTGGTATGAAGGGTGTCTCACCAATCACCTCGACCTACCCAGCCAAGATGTTCTCGTCGGCCCGTGACTTTGGAAAGTCCGACTACTCTTTCCCAGAGACCTTGGCCTTCTTGGACAAGATCATCCGTGCCGTTCCAAACTTTGACGGTGCCTACTTGGTTTTCAACCGTTTCAAGAACGCCATGTCCTACGCCGTCATGAGCCAATTCGTCCCAGGTTTCAACTTGTTGGAGCACAACCGTGACAAATTCTACCAATACCAAACCACTGAGGACCGTGCCGCCACCATGAAGGATCTCTCTGAGTTCTCGTTGGCTTCCAACCTCTGGATTGCTCTCTACCAAAATCGTGCCTCTGAGACTGCCGCCCGTATGATTTCCATGGACAATGCTTCAAAGAACGGTGAGCAAATCTCCCAAGCCCTCTCACTCCAATACAATCGTGTCCGTCAAGCCATGATTACCAGTGAGCTCATTGAAATTACTTCTGGTGCCGCTGCTATCGAAGATTCCAACTAAGCAAAGAAGTGGTAAACATTGAATGACTCCACTCACTTTTTACTTTTTTATTTCTTTATAGTAATTTATATAATATTAATAATAACAATAATACACAATCAATCACAACTCATTCATTTTCAAACCGACGAAAAGCTTAAAAAAAAAAAATATAGATAACTTTAAAAAACTACTACAGTGATCTCAATAAAATAATTACTGTTGAATGTTGTATACAAACAAAAAAAAATTAAAGATTAGAATATTTAATTATTTATTATTTGTTCAGCAATGTTTTATTCAAAATTTCTGTTTGAGCCAAATTTACTGACACAAAGTTGATCAAATATCTGATAGATTGAAAAAAATTCGTTGAATTCTCAAAGTTTTTGGTTTTTTTTTTTTTTTTTTTTGATTTGGGTGCTCATCGATTAATTTTAATCAGAGCCACCAACTTTTAAAGCTATTTAATTAATCTAATTTTTGCAAAAATAAATCATTTTTTTAACATATAAATAGATATTTTGTATTTGTATTAATAGTAGAATAAATAATGTACGATTTTCAATGTTGGGTTTGCTTTGAGCTCTATATCGAACCAATAACTTTGGTTTGTGGTCACTCATTCTGTAAACAATGTATTTTAAAAGCATCACAAAGTGATTTGAATTGTCCATTCTGTAGACAAGAGTATTCTTTGCCACTTCCAGCAATCAACATCCCACTTCACCACAAGATTCTTAAGTTAAAGGGTATCGAAGTACCAGAGGAATCACCTGACACCAATAACAACCAGAACAACAACAACAATCAGAACAATAACAATCAAAATAACAATAACAACAACAATAATGTTAATAACGATCAAAATAACAATACTGAACATCAGTATAATGTACCAATAATTAAATCAAAACAAATACCAGTTGATCAAATTGTAAGTATCAAAATCATAAAAGTCTTTTTTTTTTGATATTTTTAATTAATTTATATTTTTTTTTACAGATCTTTAGCCTTCCAATGATTGTTTATATTCAAATATTCCAAAATTTTGAAGCCAAAGAAATTTGTAATCTATCATTGGTCTGCAAGGATTTCCTCAGAATATCCAACGACTCTTGGTTATGGAAACACAAATTATATCAAATGTAAATGACAAAAATTCTATTACATAACTTTTAGTTCCGTATGTGTCGCTAACAATTCTTTTTTCTTTTTAAATATTAAATTATAGGATTCCATTCTGTAGTCCAGAGGAATATAGTAATAATTATAAACTATGCTATAAATCATATGGGGTTGCCTATAAAGCAATGGGAAAGGGTGTTCCAGGTAGTTTCAAGATGACACCATTCAGAGGTCACACTGGAAAGATCAATTGCTTCACTCATATCAATAATACTATGGCTACAGGTAGTCAGGATTCCACTTGTAAAGTCTGGAATATGAAGGATGGAAAGGAGTGGTACAGTTTAGTTGGTCATTCCGGTGCTATTACATCACTCCAGATGAGTCCAACCCACGTTGCCACTGGTTCTGCCGACTCTACAGTCAAGCTATGGGACTTGGATAGCGGATCAACCACCTCAACTCTCTCACATCAAAACTCGACTGAGCGTGTCGCCTCGTTGTGCTTCAACTCCAATAACTATGACCAAGTTGTCACTGCCATTGGAAGTCGTGTCTCTCTCTGGGACATCCACCTAGGAAAGACATTGGAGTCGATCAACGTCACTGGACAACCATACAAAGTATCGTTCGATAACCAAGGAAGATTGATTACCAACACCTCCGATCACTTTAGTGTCTGGGATATGAGAAAGCTTGCCAAGCCATTATATCAAGTAACTCCAGCCACTTTGTATCATGCCACCAACGATTACTACGTAACTGTCGATCAAGCCAGAAGATTGACTCGTTACAGTACTGCAACTGGAGCGGTTCTCGAGAGCAATGTTCTTCCAGCTTATGGAAATGTCACTTGTCTGGTTGCAACAAGCAGTGAAGTCATTTTGGGTATTGGAAACAATGTATACAGCTATTTCAATGGACAGATAAAGACAACCTACGCCAACCACACCGCAGAGGTACAGTGTGTCTATGTTGACGACAAGAAAGTCTTCTCTGGTTCCAAGGACAACACCATCAAGGTTTGGGATAAGCAAAATGGTACCAGACTTTATTCACTTCTCGGTGGTTCCAATGTTGTCAGGGAGGGTGAAGAGCCACCCACTGGTTGCATGGACCTTCGTACTGATCAAAGCAGAGTAATTGGATCATTCAACAATCTCATTAGAATCTACAACTTTAAGATCAAATAAACCAAAAAAAAATAAAAGGGAAGAATAAAAACAATGTTGTAATTATTATTATTTACAAATATATACATTCAAAGTGTTGTCTACACTTTTAGATTTATTTGAAGTTTGTTTATGTTTAACAGCACATTTTTTGTTGTTGTATTTTTGGGTGGAATGGTATTTTGTTTTGACTTGATCTTTGAAACTATTTGATTGATTGTCATTGTGGGAATTGATGTAATATTGAATAGCTCCTTGTCAAACTGTTGATCGAAAAACGATTTCACTTGAATTGTCATTAGAGAATCGACACCAAAATCCATTAGTTGCGTATCAGCAGACAGTTTGCTTGGTGATATGGAGAGAAGCGATGCCAATGTACTTGTCACGATATCTTCGGTATCTCTTGATTGGTCCACTTTGGTTTTGGTACCAGTTTCACCTTCGATCAGATGTTCAATCTTTGGTCGGATTTGAGGATGATAGTCATATATTTTCGAGGTGGCGATGTCTCCAACGATAACATTGGAGTAGGTATATTGTGAAAGTATAGCTTCGAGACCACCCAAGAATTTGGAAACAGGAAGCGATTCCATACCACGAGAAAGGAAGAATTCAATGATTCCTACCGAGTCTGAAACTCTACCTTCTCCCAGTAACGGACCAAAACGAATGGATTTCGAGCATAGTTCAAGTTGTTCATTTCTAAAGTTGCATAGCGAGTCTACCACCAGATTGGAGGAGTTGTATGATGGCTGGGCAGTCGATCCATTGAATGATGAAATAGATGAGAACACAACAAACTGTTTAACTGGAATGTTGTGAGCGATGGTAGTTTCGTGAAGATTGACGGCACCCAATACCTTTGGGTCGTGAATTTTCTTGATGTTTTCGAATGTCAAGTCAGTTAGCGTTTGGTCTTCAAAGATAGCAGCTAAATGGAAAACCGTTTCGATTGGTGGGTATTTTTCTATTATTGTTGACATGGTAGACTCCAATTCTTCTTTGTTGGATACATCGGTTTGATAAAAGTGAATCTTTGGTGAGGTGGAGAGATTTATCAACTTTTCCAGACGGTATTTGAGTGTTGATTTAGAGAGTACAATGATATCCTTGGCACTTGAGTGTTTGGTTAAGAATTTGATTAATTCCAGCGAGATTCCCTTTTGACCTGTGACCAGAATACTATTGGATAGATTCACCTTGAAGTTGAACTTTGGTGTAGGGCTTGCTGATCTATATTCAATCAACGGCTTCAGAATATCTCTCGAAAGATCAGAGCAATCTACTACAAACTTTCCAATGTGAGTTCTATTTTTCATAGATTCAACAGCTTGTTTGACATTGAGGGCAGAGAACGATTGAATTGGTGGTAGCTCCAACTGATTCGAGTGAATTGCTTCAACAATTTTCCTGAGCATTCCATTGGTGTATTTTGTTCGGTTGTCGCAAATCGATTGGAAATTTACTGCATGATAACCATGATCACCATTAAAACTTCCATAGTCAATAATTTCCTTATTGTATACATGTGTTAAAGAAAGATCTGCAATTCTACCATATGGTCTTAATGCCTTGAAGTTTGAAGTCATGAAATCGACAGATAGTGTATTGAGTAGCACATCCACACCATCACATTTCTCTTTGATTAGCTGTGCAAATTCGGTGGTTGTAGAGAGGAAAACATCGATTAGAATATCAGAGTAGTTGGATTTTAGGTATTCTATTTTCTCTATTGACCCGGCAGTTGCGTAGACTCTCTTACAATTTAACCATCTCAGTATGTTGAGTGCAGCAATTCCAACACCTCCAGTTGCCGAGTGGATCAATACCGTGTCGTTGTCTGGATCGAATTGACATATATTCATCAAAGAATGATAGACTGTACCATAGGTAATAGGAAGTGAAGCTGCCTCGGCAAATGAAATGGACGATGGTTTATGAATAAAACGATCTTTGGATTCGATTATATGTGATGTCATTGAATGAGAACAGAAACCAAATACTTCTTCACCAACTTTGAATTCAGACACTGAGCTGCCAACTCTTGTTACTATACCAGAGAGTTCCAAACCAATGGGAGGATGCATAACATCTCCTGTTGTTATCATTTCCTGTGGTAGTGCACGTCGATAAAACATGAGATCTTTGAAGTTCAGACCGACTGCTTGAACGTGTACTTCGATGTCGTTTGGTGCAAGTTGAGCATCTCTCTCAAACAACTTGAATTCAAGGTTTATATTGACATTGCAACCAAGTAGTGAAGGATCGGTTTCATATGCCAACGATGTTGCTAGCAACTCCTTGTTGATCTTGAACGCTCTTTCCACCATAATATTGCCAGAACAATCGATATAATATTCATTATCACCAAGTGTTTCGAAATTATTTGAGAGTTGAATGATTGTATTTAGAGTCTCTACACCCAGCGAAGAAGCGGAAATGTCAATATGAGTTATTTTTAGATCCTGATAATCGTTGAGTGCTGTTCTAACAATTCCAACCAAAGAGTTTGAGAAGAAATTTGATGATTTACAATCTCTTGTGATTACACTGATGTTTGGTTGTTGATTTGCTGGTTGTTGAGTGAACAACTTTAAAAGAGTTGACAGTTGAAAGATAGTTTCTTGATATGTTTGATATGTTTGTTGTTCACCTGCTGGTAAGAATATAATATTGCTTGACTTTAAAAGTTGACAGGTTGATTGTTCAATTTCATTACATTTGACAGTAGTAAATGAATTGTTTTCCAATACTTGCTGATATTCTTGCACTTTGTTACCAACTATTAAAGTTGTAGTAGTTGTATTTGGTGTTGATAAATATGAATAGATATCCAATTCTTTGATAGCTGTTCTCTGTGATAATACGATATAAGATAGACCTGATTCACAAGATAATTGATAACCATTCGAATCATTGGGACCAATGACACGAGTGTTTTTGAATCCAATATCCTTTGAGAGAATATTCATCCATTCCATTGGTCTGAGTGAATAGTGATCACGAATATCATCGTTGAAACTCCATATCTGAGAGAATCCACCAAATGATATATCAATGAGTGGTACCTTGTAGTTTGGTTCTATAAAGAGTAGCCATCCATGTGGTGCCATTATTTTCTGGATGTTATTGAGAGTCTGCTTGATGTTTGGAACAACATGGATAACAAATGACATAAGTATCATATCGTATGAACCTGGAAGATATCGTTGTTTCAGACAATCTTGTTCGAGATCTAATGTCTTGAATTTAATATGAAGATTATTCTTTGATTGGAATGAAACATTGGAATAGTACTCCTTCATTGGTGTAACAAAGAATGGCGATACATCAGTGAATGTGTAGTAGATTTGAACGTAATTCTGATTGGCGAGAACACGATCCAATTCAGAAATTAGGACGTGTGTAAGTGATCCTGTTCCACCACCAATCTCCAACAGTTTGATTGTCTTTCTTTGTTTTTTGGGCGATAAGGCTTTCTATTGAGCTGACAACGATGTGAGTGGTTTGCTTGAAGTAGTATTTCAAGAGTGCTGATTTCGTGTAGAGCGAATTAAGCAATCCATTCTCAAACAGACAATCGGTAGCTCTTTCACGTCCCATCAGAACATTGGCAACTACATCTGCAGCAGTCTTCATCACTTCCAACTCCCTATTGACCAGCGTTGGATACTTCAAGTGCAATTGATCCAAGTATTCGCTGGAGATGGAGTAGGTAGTGAGAGAATCGCGATACTCTCTCAACATTTCAATGCATCTTTTGAACAGTAGGCCATTGGATCTACTTTGTTGAATGTTGAAGCTGACTATTGATTGTTCAATAGATTGATTGAGAGCATCATGAAGATTGAATCCAGGGATTAAGTTCATCATTGAATGACATAGGAATCTGATTGCCTCTGGTGTTGTAGAGAGGATGGCTTGGCAGTCAAACGATTCTCTAGGAAGTGGAGCAAGTTGAACAGAGGAAATCTCTGGAAATGATGATTCTTTAGGAGTCAAGAATGTTTCATAGAGTTCATTGGATGGATATTTAATTGTCTTACGTTTCAATCTATCTTGGGTAGAGATGGTGTATTTTCCAATTTCCAATAGTACTTGTCCGTTTGGAAGAGCCAATGAGCAACGACCAGAGTAGTTGAATGCATCAGTGTGAGTTAGAGTCGATGCCAATAACATTTCCGTTGGTGGAGATTGTTCAATTTGTTCCAACAGTTGATAGTTGATAGTCATATCTTCAATTGATTTGAAAATAAATTGTCTTCTTTCTTCCAAGAGACCAATAAGTCCATGTGCACAATTATCTAGTATTATTGCATTAATAATGTTTTTTGGATAGTTGTTGTTGTAGTTGTTATTGATTGAAATTGTTGCTAATGTTGATTTGTCACCCACTAACATTGATTTAATACACTTGAAGGCAGGTCCATAGTTTAAACCAACTCTTGCGGCCCTCTCATAGAGCTCATCGGAGGTCATTTTAGTGAGATCACATTTCTCTGAGAGTTGAATTAAATCGATAGACTTCGGAGATCTTGGGGTTGAAAGAGAGACTCTGGCTTGTGCAGATTTGTTCCATTGCAGACTGTCGTCATGGCATTCACCATTTTTGTTGAAGAATTGAATTTGGTAGTCGTTGGCATACAGTTTATCTATGGTTGTTTGCATTCTTTGGAATTGGAGGTTATTATGTTGAGAGGATCTGTTATCACCGTTGAGAAACACTGGATTCAAGAATTGCAAATTGCAGATATTTATATCCATTTTGTTGGTTCTGAGTGCTTCGATGATACAATCAATATAACCAGCACCTGGAAACAATGGTTTATCCTTGACGCAATGATCTTGGAGATAACGGAATGGCGCTCTCTTGATATCGATATCGGAATGATAGCTTTGTTGACCGTTATAAACACTCGGTGTACCAAGTAATGTTGTGGAAGGACCATTCAATCTCTTGAATTTAGAGAGTGAAGTTTCATACCAAAACATTTCACTATCCCATTGGTATCTTGGAAGAATAGATGTACGATCCTTCCATTGTGTATCCAATATTTGTTGACGGGTGAATTGGCATTGGAAATTAACTGTTACACCAAGACAATGAAGTGAAGCAATCGATGCCAGGAAATAGATGGATTCATCTTTGTTTCTAACTAAAGGATTGACGACTTTGGCAGTTGGAATGTTTTGAGTGATTAGATTTGAAAGTGTTGGATGTGGTGCAATTTCAAGGAATATATAGTCATTGGCGAGTGATGATTCATTTCCAATATCTCTAACCAGTGTTTCTAGTGTTTGTCTAAACAACACTGGTTTCCTAATGTTCTCGAAGATATATTCAGAGTTGATCGAAGATTGCTTTTCACTTGTTAAAGTTGAATACCATGGGATGGTTATCTTTGAGTTACCATCTATATCGATATCGGAGAGTGATTGATGGAGTTTGTCTTTGATAGTATCTTGACTGTGTGAGTGGAATGAACATGGTGATCTAAGGAATGTATTAAAAGTACCATTGGATTTCAATAGCGATGACAGCTCATCCAAGAGTATTTCATTTCCAGTGAGAACAATCGAGTTTGGTGAGTTGTAGCAAGCAATCTCAAGAGTAGGAAATCGATTTAGATATTGTGATTGGTAATCATTTTCATTCATACCAACAACTAACATTCTTCCACTACCAATTGTTTCATTCTGATAGATCGATCTATAATATACAATTTTCACAGCATCTTCCAAAGACACTAATCCTGAAATATAGCATGCAGTTATATCACCAAAACTTTAGTTTTAATAAGTATTAATATTAATTTTTTTTAACAATAAACTAATTAATAATAGCTACATACCTATGTCCTAATACAATTGAAGGATTAATACCCCATTTCTTATAGAGTTCAACTAGTGATACTTGAAAGATAAAGAGTGATGGTTGTGCTAATATTGGATGGTGGATATCGTTCGATTCACTTGGAATATCATTGAGTCTACCAATGATACTATATCCAGTGTATTTGGAAAATAGAGAGTCTATGCGATCTACGTTGGATTTATAGTGTTGGTCTGAATGGTAGAGTTGCATACCCATCTGATTCCATTGTGGACCTTGACCACACATAACATATATCACTTTCTTTCCAGAGCTAGATCTCTGCTCGTTACTCATTGCAGCCATAGGTGGAAGTTGTGATTGTACAGTTGATTTCTGTTCGATGAAATCATTCCAATCACTGGCAATGAACACCTTTCTATGTGAATGATATGACTTTGATAGACATTGATTCATTACAAATTCATTGAATGGCAATTTGTTCTGATATTCATTCTCCTTATCCATTAAACAACCAATGTAGTTATCTAATGATAATAATGAATTTCCGCTTATTGGAATTAAATAGTTTACATTTCTATTTATTTAGGTAGTTAGTTAGTAAAAGTATATTAAATTAAATAATTAAATAGTTTACTTACAGAATATTGTTTTGTTGCTGTTGTTGTTGATTAGTAGCTTTCTTTTTATATTCTTGAAGAATCATATGACAGTTTGTACCACCGATTCCAAATGAATTGACACCCATTAGGATTGTTTGATCAGTTGGAAGATCTTCTGTGGTCGTGACAACTTTGATGTTCCATTCACCGAATGGAATCTTTGTGTTGAGAGTTGTGAGGTTGATGTTTGGAACTAGTTTCCTGTGTTTGAGCATTAGCGCAACTTTGATGAGTGAAGCAATTCCAGCTGCACTCTCCAAGTGTCCAATGTTTGATTTGATAGAGCCAATCTTGAGGGGATTCAAAGAGCTGTGATTCTGGCTGAAGACACTGGAGAGAGCCGACACCTCAATGGGATCACCTACAACCGTTCCAGTGGCATGCGCTTCAACATAGTAGATCTGTGAAGCAGCTATATCAGCACGAGCCAGTGCCAACTTTATATTATCGGCTTGAGAAGCAGCGGAAGGGGTTGACATTGTATGTTTATTGTAATGACCATCACTGTTTGAACTTCTAGACTTGATAACGGCGTAGATACGGTTACCAAGACGTTCGGCATCCGATAATCTCTTGAGAATCACCGCAGCACCACCTTCAGATCTGACAAATCCTTTGCCATCGGCATCAAACGATCGACAATAGTCATTGATAACACCGAGACAGCTGTAACCAGCCGATGTATCAGGGTCGAACAGCGCATTGATTCCACCGCAAACAACCATATCGGAACTACCGCTAAGTAGTGATTGACAAGCTTGGTCGGCAGCAAACAACGACGAGGAACAAGCACTGTCCAGACCTACGGAAGGACCACGAAAATCGTAGCAAAAAGAAACACGATTCGCTATCATTCCATAGCTATAGATATCGTTTAGTAGTGTTGGACGGCTATCGATTGTCGATTGACGTTCGGTCATCACTCGAAAATCGATATTGGAGACACCGACAAACACTCCAGTTTTAGTGCCACGAACTTGAGCCAATGGTATCTGGGCATCTTCCAATGCTTCGTAGGTAAGAGTCAGCATCATTCGCTCTTGTGGATCGATAGCAGCACAGTCCTTTGGAGAGATTCCAAAGAAGAGAGGATCGAACTTCTTCCACTCGTCCAACGGCAACATTCCGGCATTCTTTGTCCCAATGACACCATTCTCATAGAAGCTGTGTGACCACCGATCGGAAGGCACCTTAACAATACCATCGAAAGAATTGGACAGTTTTTCCCACAATTGATTGGCAGAGAAACATTCTCCTGGTAATCTTAAACCAATACCAACAATTGCAATATCTTCATCCCAATGATAATCCATTATATAAATATATATGTTAAAACATAAGTTAGTTTATTTAAAATTATTTACAAATAGTTATAAATATATATATGATGTGAAGCTATTTTGAATGAAAATAGAACATATTTATAAAAGATGATTATTTTTTGAAATACTAAACAAAAAGTGGAGCATGTTTAAATAATATTTATATATTAATGTATTCAGAATTATGTACTTTTATAATATGTTTTTAAAATCAGGTAACTTTGGTTGGTTAAACCATCAAATGTTGGAAAATGATAACATTAAAAATGAAAATGATGATTGGTAATAATGAATCTATAAAATGAGTTGATTATGAGATGAGTCGATACCGGTTGATATCAAAGTATAAAAGTTAAACCAATTTCATTAAAATCAAATCTCATTGGTCAAATAAACTTTAGTAGTATGAGTACATGCCCAAATATAACAAAAAGTATTATATAGGCTGCATCACAAAAGGTACACAATTTTGTTTCAAAAGAGTAACAACAGCAAAAACCAATTGTACAAGTTCGTTGGAACTAACTTGTAAAATGTTAGGAATTAGTTTTTGTTGTTTTCGACCACCTACAGACAGTATTGGGATGTCGGAGAATGCTCGAATCATCTGTGTCGACTGTAAATGTCAATTTTGTTGTGTGGAGCACGAAGTTAAATTGAAAAATAAATTAAACACAAAACAATGAAAGGAAGGAAGGTAGGTAAGTTCTTTGATTGTATTTACTTTAAACGGAAATGGAAATGTATGATTTGAACATTTATTTACCTTATTAGTCAAAAGATGTTCAAAATCAATGAAATAAAATTAAAAAAACATACACTTTTATACTTTTTGGCTAACCAATCATTCCATTCTATAGCATTTTGGATGGGTATTATTATTATTCAAGTCCTGTCTATTGATAACATATGTTGTTGTTTTGTTGTGTTTAAATTTATCTGTCTATAGAGATATCAGTTATGGTTTGACTTATTTGTAGTCATGCCAATTACGAACCAAACACGTTTCTATTTATACTTTTTTTTTTTAATTTTTTTTGAGAAAACAGATTTTTCACTTTTTTTTATCAATGAATTAATAAGCTTAATTTTTTTTTTTCTAACATCCAGACATGAAATAAATTGGTACTGATTTATAGTATGTTTGACTGTATCTGTTTGTTTATTTATTGGCTTAGTTTGAGTTGATAAAATTCTTCAATTCAATCTCTTATGCGATTCGGAAAGAAATCAAGATATTCTTGAAAAAAAAAAAGAAAAATTACTGTGCTTTGATTGTATTTTATCATATAGATTCATTTTTTAAAATTTAAGGATATAAAATAACTGGCTCTCCTTCCTGGGATTACCCTTTCATTCTGATGAAGAAAAAAATAAAATATATTTTTCTAAAAAAAATGATTACCTATAAAAGATAGGGCATCAGATGTTTGAGTACCTTATTCGCAATAAGAACTAGAAATAAAGTAAAATTATAGGATAATAAATTTCAGATACAATTTTCAAAAAATTCTTTACAAAAATACAAACAAATAGAAATCTCTATTTAAAATTCTATAGAACTTTAGAAGATAATATCATGAAAATAGCTTCAGTGGAATTCATTGTTGGCATTAAAATCTTGAACTCTGATGTCTTACTTGACAAGCAAAGAGAGGTAAATGCATTTTTGGTCAAATAATTTAATGATTTAATCTAATAAAATATTAATCAACAACCATATGCACTTCTTTCTTTCTTTAACAAAGAGGTTAGCTCCATGCTTGCAATTAATGAAAAAGAATCTGTTTAATTGAGAAGGAGATATCCAACTCACTCCAAGAATGATATCATGCTTTTGTTTTGAAAGTTTAACTTTAAACTTATTATTAGCAACACTAATTATCTTATCTAAAAGTGATAGATTAAAAAAAAAAATTACTAAAAATCAAAATCAAAGTGTGTTAATTTTCTGGAAGTTCGTTTGCATACAATAGTGTTTAAATGTATTGAATTCAATTTTTGACGAAAACCGTCAAAGTCAACAAGCCAAAAAATATTAATTTAACAATATATAATGAATAGTATTTTATATTCAACAGTGTTTAACAATAGATATATAAATAATTTAATATTTCGATATGTTAGAGAGTTTGGTAGAGGCCAAACAACTTACAAGTGGAATCAATTAATTAGACTTCCACATGTATTAGCAGGTAATCGATACTATGATCACCTAAAAGAGTATTTGACAATCAACTATAGAAACAGCTTCAATGAGACAGAAACTATCATCAGCTATTCTATTCAGCACTGCAGTGTAGAGATGCTAGAGTTTTTAATCTATCGATTCAAAATACACATGGAAAAAGAAAAGAGAACTAGATCGGATTACAACAATCTTTTCATTGAAAACTACATGTGTATCAATAGTGTTTTGCGTGGTGCTGCACAATATGGTAGATTCGACATGGTCCGACATCTACTAGCTACATTCAAGAGACCGCCAACCGGCTGGGATTATCATAGTGCTATGATCAAATCTGCGCTCTCAGATAATTTGGAGCAGTTGAAATTCTTTGTTGAGAAATGTCGTGGATTGGAACTGAATCTAGTTAATCTTCAAAGTGCCAATATTCCTTTTAAGACTTTGGAAGCTGCTGCGTTCACCGGTAGTCTGCAAGCCATAGAATATCTTATGGCGAATCGCACCGAAGATCTAGAGAAAAGTCAAATCTGCCGATATGCTACCAGAGGTGGACATATCCATGTCATCGAATACATGATCAAAAAGCACAGAACGAAATATGAAGAAGAGATATTGAAAACCGATTGGGATAATCTAATTGGAACGTGTACTATCTTCGATTGTGCTGTGAAATTCAATCGTTATGATATATTGAAACTGCTACATAGCAACGGAATGAAAGAGTGTTCTACTTCGGTGTTTGTCTTGGCTGCGTCATGTGGCAATGTGGCAATGTTAAGATGGCTTCAGGAAAACACCACCTGTACTTGTGGATCACAGGCAACTGCATATGCTTCTGCCAATGGTCACTTGGAAGCAGTGCTCTTTTTGGTTGGAAACCAAGTTAGTCAAGACTATGACAGTGCACTTCAAGAAGCCATAAAATACGGACATTTGGAAACAGCGCAATGGATCAGCGAGAATACAACACATCCTATTCAACAACATTCTCTAGAAACAGCAGTCTCCAACGGATACTTGGATATTGTTAAATGGATTAATAAAAGTCAAGGTAATGAATCAAGTTTATTCGAAAATGCTATAGATTGGGCTGCTAAACATGGACGATTAGAAATCATCAAATGGTTACATGAGAACAGAAGTGATGGCTGTCTACCAGAGGCAATGGATTGTGCTGCTGCCTATGGCTTAGAGATAACACAATGGTTCCACTTCAATAGAAAAGAAGGCTGTACCAGCTTGGCTATGGATCGAGCAGCTAATACAGGTCAGTTTGACGTTGTTATATTTTTACATGAGAATAGAAGTGAAGGATGTTCAAAAATGGCATTTGAAGATGCTGCATGTAATAATCACTTTGAAATTGTAGAGTGGTTGGTCGATAATAGAACAGAGGGAATCGATTCTCCAACATTACTTGAATGGTCAGCATTTCATGGTAATCTAGATTTGGTAAAGAAAATAATGGAGTGTACACAACACAGGGTAAAGTGTTCCGACACAGCAATCAAATATGCAATCAAATCTGGAAGATTGGATCTCATTCAATATATGATCGATCCAAAAGTTTGCAATGTAAACTTAACAAAGTATGTATATGAACATCTATTCCGATACAACTATCACCAAGCTCTCAGTTGGATTCTAGATTTCATGGTTTATTCCTCGGAATCATTGAATCTAGTCTCTCAACTTCAAAATGATGATCGATTCACTGAAAAATACCCATACTCATTGGAATGTAAAGAAGTACTTGATCAATTCATAAGTAAAACAACCCAAGAATAATATAATAAATATGTATATTTAACGAATTTATACTTAAGTTGTCTTTTGTCGTAATAAGTTGATTGTTTTGAAAACTAAAACAGTTGAAAAAAATATATAACTAATAACTAACTTTAAAGAGTTCTAATATTTAAAAATCTTGAAAGAAAGAAGCCTAGAAACATTCAAAGATAGAGGAGGAATTTCAAAAGAGAATCAAATTAGATAATATAGTAGAAATGCGAACTTCAAACATTGATTAACGAAATAATAATAGTAATTGAACTGGAGATAATTAAAATGTCTATTAGAAAAGTTTTTCAGAAATAAAGGAAAATTTGGTATTTCATTTACTCGATCAATAGATTTATATTGGAAACACCAAAAAATACAAGTACGACTATAATATACGAATTTATTGGATTAATCTCTTTGGTTTATTCTATCTTTAATCTTTAAAAAAGTTTGATTGTCAATTGAATGTTTTATCCATTGAAGAATTGCAGTTGAATCTATTGATCTTTGGTCACAATTAATATCCACTGAGAATGGTCGATATGTCGATCCATTGTAAAACAAAACCAATATATTCGAACAATCAACACCGAATGAGTGTTGTTTTCCATAATGACTAAGATAATAAACTTGAACCTCTCCTTGAAGTTGTGTTGCCAATGATTCAATAAAAGCAAAACAATGGTTATCTTCTATGAGAATCAAACATGGCATTTCATTACAAAGCTCCCTATCAATATTATCAATACTCTGGATATAGTCTGGTGGTTCTGTTGCATAGATTTTCACAAATTTTGATAGTTTGCTACTATTATTATTGTTATTTATATTGATATCACCATATCGTGAATTGAAATCAACAGGTGATTTACCATTGATGAAACCAACAACATTTGGTGAACCATTGGCCAAACTACTAAATTTACTAACCAATTCTTCATTATTAAATACATAGAAAATGTATGTATGTAAATATCCATATTTCGAGTATTTGTCACTGCTCATCAATTTATATAGTTCCGAATCGTACCCACTCGGTCCAACAAATGCAACAACAAAATTATTAATATCTTTAAGATATCTAAATAATTGTTGTTCATTTCTCATAATTGGATCTAATGTACTATATATTTATAATTAATTCAATAATAATACTATTGAAAACTATTCTTCTAAATAGACTTGACTTACTGATAGATATAATAATATAGTGCAGCTTTAGATCTATTAATACATCTTGATAGTTGATATGTCTGATTGCTATGTGTATATATGGTTGGAGTACCAGTGACATTGAAATGCTCGCAAAGTTGTTTGTTTTTTTCGCAATCTACACGACCGATTGCAATGTTCATATCATCATTTAATTCGGACACAATCTCTACCAAACTAGTTCGTTGCAATTTCTTGCTATGTCCATCCCAATGATAATAAAATAACAACAATGTTACCTTATGGTCTGACATGAATGAATCGATTGTATCATTTTCTATATCATACATTCTCCTATATAATTTGGATGTACTATTCAAACATTGATTTATCCATTGCTCAAATGATTCAATATCAATTTTAATAGCTGAACTATCATTACTACTTTTATTACTATTACTACTATAATTATAATTATATCTAATATTTTGTTTATCTATAAATAAAGCATTTGGATATTTACTATTTTGTTGACTAACAATGGTTGATACTTGTCCACTGTAATTTAATGCAATTGGTAATAGTTGTTGCTTAAATGATTCATATTGATTATCTTCACAAAATATGAATATTATTGGAAATGCATTGTTATTATAATTACTATCATTGGGTCTATATCTATTCAATGTTACCAAATCATGTCCTAAATCGGTATAATCGTTTATCATTGGTTTAATACTGAATGATCTAATAAATGATTCTAAATCATTATAATTATTTACTTGATATTGTTTAAAAATATGATGATTATACTCTATATCACTATTTACTACTAATATATAAGAATCATCATCTTTAAAGTTATCGATATTTAAATAATGTAATAACTTATTATCACTATTACTACTATCAATATTTCCAATGTTATTGCTATTATCTGTAAATATAACAGTAAACTTGGTTGATGCAATCGACTTTGTTATATTATCAAACCATTGATAATGATGATTATCCTTATTGCTAAATACACCAATGATTGAATACTTGACATTATTTATTAATCTATTATACTCATCAATTGTATTTAAAACTGTAATCCTTGGAGACAACTCACTTTAGAATTTAAATAAATAAATTTAGTTAGTTTATTTAACGAATGAAAGAATTTTGATGTAGTTGTTGTCGTTGTTATTGGTATACATTACAAATGAATTCTCTCCATTAAATATTCAATATTGATTTCACGGAATATATCTCTCACAAAGTGTGTTGTTGGTATCTCCCCTTTTTTTAGATTTGGATTGTATTCCATTAAAAGTCGATGATGGCTGTCAGTTGTATGCTCAGCGGGATCGTATCGAACAAACATCGACACATAACTGTAATAATGCATGGCTTTACATGGATATTCATAACCTATACATTTTAATCTGGTGAATGCTACTCTATCTGATAAATTCTGTCCGGCTAGCAGCTGATTCAATTTTTCGAAATCAACATTGGATTCGTTTGTACGGACTGCTCGACTATCCTGTACTATTACAATCTGATAGTTGCTGAGTGCCTCACTAAAGTTATTTAATGTAATATTAAAAGTGATTGGATCTTCAAATGAGAATTGATCATTATTATTATTAATATTATTAATATTATTTTTGTTGTTGTTGTTGCTGTTGATAATGGAATGATCTACTATCTCCTCTAGTCGAATATCACGTTGTAATTGTTGTTTCCTATAAACATTGTAGATGCTCAAGAAATATCCAATCACCAAAATAAAAACAAATTGTCTTAAGCTCATTTATATTTATATATATTTTTTTATAACTATAAAATATTAACAATATATAAGCTTAATTTATTTTTCTTAGGAAAGGTAGATTCATTGTGTGTAAAACAATCATGTGAATCATCGTTTTGGTAAAAACAATTTTGAACATAAAAAAAGTGTGAGGATTGGGAAAATAATAAACATTTATCTCACAGTTTATTATATTTTTAATTTAATTTATTTTATTTATATTATCGCCTAAAAAAGATTATTATTTCAAATTAACTTCCTATATTATTTTAATCAAAAATATCATATGTTAATGAAATGCTATTGAATAATGAAATAAAGTGATTGTGTATGAAAGAAAAAAGTGATGATTTTATAAGTGTTTGGTTTTTGACAACTTTTATTATTTTATTATTATTAACTATTTATATACATTTAATTATTATTAACCACCTATATTATTATGATAATAAGTGATCAAGTTAGTTAAAACAGGAATTCGAATTCGTAATAATTATAATGAACAAACAATATATACAATACCAACATTCATCCTATAGTTATATTGTTTTTTTGGGTATTATTGTTTTTTTTTTAAATGGTGTTGGTTGTTGAAAGAGAAAAGAATAGAAATATAATAAAAAAACAATAACAAAAATATAATATATAAAATATATTTATAATTAATTAAATAAAAAATAAAGTTATTATTGTATTGTTGAGATGAGATTCGTTTAGTTATTATTATTATTATTATTTAAATGATATGTGCTAAAGAAAGTTGATTAAAATCACCCACCATCATCATCAGACATGCAAGAATACAAAGAAAGTCCAGCTTCACTTAAAAATCTTCTACAATTATTAATAAATAATAAGTAATCATCGATAATAGTTAGTTATTTAATGAATAAATGCTCTTAGATAAATATAGATATGACATTTGACAACCATCTTTTTTTTTGTCATTTTTAAGTCTATCTATCGATTGAAAATGAACCTACAAATTTATTTTCATATTATTATTGGTTGATGGGATGGTTGTTAGTGATTTCGGTGAGGATGATGAGAATGATGCTAATGGTGTTGAGGTTTTACTACTGTTTGTGTTGAATTTCAAAAAAGATGCTGATGAAGCTGATGTTGTTAAGCTTGGTGTTGCCACTGTTGATCTTCTGATCAAAGGTTGACTGAATCTTATAAATGATCTCTGCATTTCCTTCTTTGTATAGTTATATAATTTAGAATTCCAATCTATCTAAAATCTAAATTTTTAAATAAATATATAAAATATACAAAAATAACGAAACAACAATCAGATTTTCTTTGATCAAACTATCAAGCCATTCATTGTATGCACGTAAGTATTTTTTCACTCACACAATCGAATTCGGGCAATTTTTTTTTTTCAGCTGATCAGAAAAAATTGAAAAAAAAAAATATAAAAATTAATTATTTTTTTGGAAATAATAAAAAAACGAACGAAAATGTAAATTAATAATAATTATTTTGTTTTTTGTTTTTTATTAAATATTAATTAAATAGTATATAGTATGGTTGTTTTTACAAATAATGAAGTTGTAGTTGTTGCAACGAAAGAAGACAACTCGATCTTGTTGTACGACTTGAGAAACGGAACGTTACAATCGACCTATCACAATGGCTGTGCAGAGTTGAATGGAATGTGTTTGGTTGGCAGTGAGTACTTTGTTGCTGCTCAGGCCAACAAAGCAATGGTACACTTTTACTCGTGGCGAAAAGATCAACCACTTCACAAGACACCGATTCAAGAGCGTTCCGGACCGATCGCAGCTTCGTCCGACGCCAACTACGTAGCGATGGGATCACACGGTGGTTCCGTCTATATCTGGGAGGCTTCAACCGGTGCACTCCTCCGTGTATTCGAAGCACACTACAGTAAGATCACTGCTGTGACATTCACCAAAGACGATTCATTCCTTCTTACCGGTGGTGACGATGGTGTCATCAATTGTTGGTCATTAGAAAGGTAAATGCTAACCAACCATTATTATTGCCGGCAAATTATATATATTAATAATATTTGTTATAATTATTTTAGTATTTTAGATAGAGAACAAACTGTTTTAAGAGTAAAACAATCATTTTCAGATCATGCTCTTGGTATCACTGCTATACATTGTGGATATGGTGGATTCAATTCTAGATTCTACTCGGTTTCACTCGATAGAACCTGTAGAGTATGGGATCTGGTACAAGGAAAATCGATTGCTTCAATCGTTTACCCGACTTACTTGACAACTGTGACTGTAGATGCTGCAGAGACTTCTGTTTATGTCGGTGGAGGTGATGGTATTATCTATCAAACCGATCTTGTTAATTTGAATCAAAGTGTATCGCCACTTGAAAGCGGTGGTAACGGTAACAACCAACAATCGTTTGTATCACAAACATCAAGCGAGATGTCATCGCAAATGAAAAAGATATTCATTGGACATACCAAGCCGTTGACTACTTTGGCGTTGTCTATGGATGGTTCGCTACTTGTGAGTGGTGCCACCGATGGATCCGTCAACATCTGGGATACTTACAGTCGTCAGATCGTTAGATCACTCACCAATATCAAAGGATCGATCTCCTCTATCATCGTTACGATGAAACCGATCGATCTGCTCAATATCAACATGTCTGGTGACAACCGTAAGAACTACGACCCACTACATCCATTCGAGAAGTTCATCAGTCCGGTCGACGCCAAACAACCACTGCAAGCCAAGTTGAAAAGCATCCAACAACCAAACAGCTACTCCACTCAACAACTTCAACAATCATACAACCCATTCCAATCTCATTTGAATCTATCATTAAATCAACAATCGTCGTCATCATCATCATCATCATCAAAAGTTGTTAATAATAATGTAAATAGTAATAATAATAGTAGTAATAATAGCAATGAAGAGATAAGCAAGTTGAAATCAGAGATTGAAGAATTGAAAAAAGTTAATAAGAATCTTTTAGATAGAATCGTTACACAGACTGTAAAGGAAGGTGATGTAATGCCATCGGTATCCACTGTAAAGCAACAGTTGAACAAGATGAAGGAAGTCACTGAGAAAGCAAACAAGAACATGACAAAGGCAACCGCTAAAGCCGCTGCTAAAGTATCGAAAGTAATTGCACCGATTGTTGATACACCAACAAAAGTTAAAGCAGCACCAGCAACCAGTGTTACTACCACCACCACAGAACAACCAACTTCAACAAACAACAACAAATCTAAAAAGAGAAATCAACAAAAGAAAGAACAACCACAACAAACTTCTACTACGACTACTTCAACCACAACTACAACTGCTACCAATCCAAAGCCAGCTGCTTCTAAGCTAAAGGAATCAAAGAATAATACAGCAACTACAACAACAACAACACAAACAACTCCAAAAGTACCAAAAAAGAGCAATCCAATTAAAGATACAGTTATTTCAAGCAATACAACATCAACACCTGTTGTAGCCAACAATAGTAGTACTACTAATAACAAAGGTTATACAAAGACAACCAAGCTAAAATCATTAAGATAAGAAAACAAAAACAAAAGAACAGATAAAATAAAGAAAATCTATTAAACATTATTAATTAAATCAAAAAAATCAATCAATATAATAATATATATATTTTATTATAACATATCTAACCATAATGATTTAAAATCAGATCTTTGTTTAATAAACGCAATAAGATCTGCTTTAGGCATACGGGAGAGTGCACCACCTTCAATGACAGACTTGAAGTTCTCTGCATTGACGAAATGCAATTTCGAAATATCATAGAGCATATCGAATGACTCTTCTACCTTGTGACTCTTGAATATCTTTGATGCATCCTTATAGGATTTCAAATCACTAAGTAACTTTAATGCACCTGGACCTTGTCCAATCTTAAACTTCTTAAAATGATTTATAAATGCACTAATAAATGAATAAACAATTAGTATTATTATGATACAATCTATTATATATATATTTATATGTATTTCTTATAAACTTACAATTGTATCTTTAAACCTAATTCCTCAGTAAAGATTGTTAAATTCTTGCCTTGTAGACAACTCTTACAGAGATCATAGAGTATATGTATCAGTTTGATGATTGCTGTACATGTTGGTGTGACAGAGTTGTCATAGTCTTCACTAAGATAGTCGTTACGCTTCTGGTCTAGCAGCGACTTATCGATGAGACCTACCATTGTGGTAAGTGAAGACTCCAATGCCTTGCAGATCTTTATCTCCATCGATGATATATTATAGTGAAGTTGTTCGGAGCATTGTGATTGAATATTGGTTTGATTTATCAACGGTGATACATACAATTGATATTGTGTTTGAATCTGTCCTACCACTTGATTAACATTCAAAATAATCATAAACAAACTATTGAGTGTCGATAGACATCTTGAATCGGTCGCTGGATATAATCGAGATGCACTATCCAACTTATTCTCAATATAATCTGTACACAATCCTCTTAACATCAAGAAGAATATAGCCTTTATATTCTCACCTCTGCAAATAAACAAACAAATCAAGTTAATAAAAAAAAAACTATAAAACTATAAAACTATAAAACTAAACTAATAACTTACAAATTTAATTCTGGTGATAAAGGTAAACATCTTACAAGTGCATATTCAGTTTGTTGAATCAAAGTTTGTGTAAACTCTTGATTTAAACCTTCTTCATTCTAAATTATATGTTTTAGTTAGAATATTATAATAAACTAAATGATATAAATGCTAACTTACCATTTCACTGTCCTCCATTACTAAACCCTGTAAAATATCCTCTAATGATCGTAACTCTCTATTTATATAACCATCTTGGTATGGGAAGAAAATAGAGCTGAGCAAACCATTAAAGTCAATACCATGGATACCAAACGATGCCAATGGTTCAACTAATTTCTTCTTTGTCTTTAAATATGCGATATGCAATGTCTGTAAGAATGATAAGTTTGTTTTCTCTAATAATAATACACTATCAATAAATGATTTAACCTAAAATAACATAACAACTATAATTAGTACTACTTTAATTCTTTTTACTGTGTCATGATAACTTTACAAACTAAACTTACTCGTTGTTCAAAGATTCTCGTAATTAACATCGCCATTGCAGATGTTTGATTGATGAATACAGCTTGTATTACATTTTGTTCGTGTGTAACATCCTTTAGGATCTGTGAGAAGAACTGTTTGAAACGTGGATCTTTAACGATTACATTCTTACGAATGACACGCTTGGTTGTTTGATGTGCCATATTCTCATCGGCACGCAACGATGCTACGTCAAAGAACATCTTTAACTTTTGTACATAGGTGGCACGACATCTAGCTCCACCGTTAAAGTCATACAACGTGGTTGCACATTGTTTCATCTTCTCATAATCACCTCTATCCTGTGCTCTCTCAAACTGACTAATCAAATCATTCTCCAAAGTATTAGTAAGTGATTCCGCTTCACTTTTACCCTATATAAAATACATAAATTAAGTTAGTATAAATGATTATATAATGTTATTATTATTATCAACATTACTTACTTTATTCAATATTGTTATCTCTTTGATATCTTCACTAACACTACTTAGCTTCTTTACTAGTTGAGCAAGTTCATGAATACGTTCAGAGTTTGTAAAGATATCAGATCTCTGTGATGAATTGTTCTCGTTGTTCAACTCCAATAGATAGTTAATCAATGATAGTGCACTCTGTGCTTTGTTCTTCTGTTGTGTAACACTATCTAATTCATCACCAAAATGTACTGCTTGTGCACCAATTGTATTGACACCTCTTTCCAACTCTCTAAAATATTGAAATGCTTCCTATAGGTTTAATAATATTAATAAAATATAATAATAATGATGATATTGATAATAATAATAGTTACTTGATATGATTTATGTAAGGAATGTAACTTTTGTTTATATTCCTCAGCGTATTGATTACATTCATCGACGAGATCGTTCAATCTCGAGTCGATATTCGACTCTAGTTGTGACAGCTTGATTTGTGTCTCTAGGAAGAGTGTGTTGAATGGCACTGGATCGAAACGCATTCCATCCGATCCCATCTGATCGTTAACCAACTTCCTAGTGAGATCCTCTACAAATTGTGTAGCGGTGAAGTCTACACCCTTAAACATATCGCTGGTGAGCTGTTTCTGTTGTATCTTTTGTTGTGGCATCATATAGTTAGGCTTAGAGGTACTCGTTGGGAAACTATTGGTTGCCAAACCAACATTTGATGATGCTGCTGCAGATTTTAAAGGTGGTGATACATTGCTAGTTGATGCCGATGATGATGATGATGATGGTGGCATATTCGATGATGTCACTTTACTATTAGCATCTGGCTTGATTGATTCTGCCTGTACCAATGGTGTTTTCGAAGAGATAGCCGAACGCTCTTCTGCACCCTTGGGAATTGGCAAGATTTGTTGCACAACATTGGGTTGTGTTGCCGGTAGTTTCGATGTGATATCTGCTGTTGTGGTGGTGGTGGGTATTTGTTTCGTCTGTTGTGGTGTGAGTAACGGTGATTTTGCATTGTTGTTGATAGGTGAACTCTCTTGTGCACTCATGGGAATCGGTGCGATATGATGGCTGATTGGAGGTGATGTCGGTGGCGAGAGAGTTGCCGGCGACAACGAGGGTGGAGTCGGATCCTTCACAAGTGGTTGTGGTTTATGTGAAGGTGCCGAAGTCTGTTGCAATCTAGACTGAATATTTCTTGCCCAATTACTCATTCTTCTTCTTTTTTATCTTTTTTTTTTTAACTATTAAACAACTATTTATTCCAAGATTGGCAATCATAAAGCTAGGGTAATATTAATTAGATTTGGTTTGATTTGATTTAATTTTAAAATCAAACCTTGATTGATACGTGTAAATTAAAATGATAGATTAAAAAAAAAATTTTGAATTCAAAAAAATCAAAATCAAAATGTGTTAATTTTCTGGAAGTTCGTTTGCCAAAATAGAATTTAAATCGAAATAAATGAATTCAATTTTTCAGTGGTGTGGGTGGTTGGGAGGTCTGGTGACTCGCTCACACACCGACTCCTGACTCTCCTCTCTGCGTTGCAGTATGCACTTTGACGAAAGCCAAGTCTGCTCATAGGTATTCAGTAAGGTTCAGTCCACATCGATCTCAAAATGGTATGAATACTATCTTTATCTATTTACTACATTATATCCTATCTATCTACTATCGTTCTTTCTCTCTATCTACTCCACTCACTCCTAACAGAGAAATAGTTAAAAGAAAAGTGTCTAACATAATCAATCTTCCTACAATGTTATAGCCTTCAAACAAGACTTTAAGAATCAAGAAAGTGCTTGGAAAAAAGCAAAAGCAAAACAGACCAGTTCCACAATGGATCAGATTGAGAACCGGTAACACCATCAGGTAAGAGATGCTATGTTTGTTTTTAGTTTATAAGAGAAAGTTGTTAATCATTTATTTCATAATAGATACAATAACAAGCGTAGACACTGGAGACGTACCAAGCTCGGAATCTAAACGACCAGTTGTTCATATCTTTTTGTGTGTGTGGATATGGGATTTCTACCAGTGACACTATCGACGAGCCATCTAGTAGTTATTCAATAAAATGAACTTGCATATAGAAATCATTAAAATCTCTTTATTATATTATTATTTAGTTTAGAATTACAAACTTAGAGAAGATAGGAGAGAAGAGATGAGAATACAACAGAATTGAGAATTTTCATTTACAAAATACTCAAAAAAAAAAATAGTGTATTGTGTCTTTATCTACCTTCATTTATCATTCTTTTTTATATCAATATGTTGAGCAGCATACTCTTTTATGAGAAGAGAGAGAATGTGTATATTAACTAGTTTAATTTATTTTTACTAATCTCTTGTAATTGTGCAAGTTTGTAGTTGATTACTTTGATACAATTGTATCATTTCTTTCGTTACATTAATTATATGCTTATATCTATCACCTCCCTATTTGATTGAAATAAGAATTGTTATTATTATTTTAGGTAAAAAGAGAATGGATAGTTAGATAATTACCAATAAAATACCACCAAACCAACGAGTTACAACTATCAGTATTCTGTCACACTCATTCTTTATCAATGTAAATAGCATTTTATCACCGGCACCAGCCTCTCCATCATCATTATAATATTCATTCTAAAGAGAAAAACAAAATATTAATCACCTGTCACTTATATTGATTATGTTATGATACTTACAATTTGACCATCATTCATCTTTATTCTATATGCATACATATTATGAGTTGCATCTGCAATCTTCTTGTTGGTATAAAGTTTATCAAGTACCAACTCGACATCTTCACTCGAGTAGACAATAGCAAGATGTGCTTGAAATCTACTTTTCTTATCGGTAACTGCTTGTCCTGTATATATAGTTGGTGTTTTTCTTCTTGGTTGTTGTTGTTGTTTATCTTCTGTTGTTATTGTTGTCTTTTGTAGTTGATCTTGTTGTTTATTTTGATGATAAATATTTCTTTTCCTAGATGCATGTTGACTCTCTATATATTGATTGAGTGTCGGTATTGCATCGGTTTGCAACCATTGTATAGCTTGAAAGATGACCGGTTCATTGGGTGACCACAACTCGCGCAGCTTCTGATTCAACAGCTCACAGTGTTCAGCGAGGAAGCTTGCGCTCTTCACGTTGAAAAGAGGTGGTTCGTCACTAGGATAGCTAGTTCCTTGATACGAGAATGTAAAGTGTATCAATGAGTCGAGGTCGTCCGACGATGACGATGTCGACAATGAGTCAGTAGCTTCGCCACCAGTCTGCTCGTCGCTATCCGGTCGAATCAACAGAGTATACCATTTTGAAGAATCGTCACATTTCAAAGATGTATACATAGATGATATAACAATGATTTCATTATCTTGTTGTTCTTTATTATCATTGCTCATAACTTTGATTATTATTGATGGTGAATCTTAATTAAGATAATCATGCAAACACCTAATTTCACCATAAATCAATCATATGATTTGTTTTTTTTTTTTTAGTTTTTTTTCCAATACATTTAATTTGGTAACTGTTTTAATTAAAATAGTAACCGATTGGAATTCATTTAAATCCTAGATTTATTATTTATATAACTAGTATACTCTTTAAATTATTTATTTTCTAGTTTAGAATATACATTTAGGAGAGAGCATTGTATAACCAGCCATTCCATCATCATTATAAAGAGAGACAAAGAAAAACAAGATATGTCTCATCACTTACTCCATATTCAATATTATGATATAAAAAAATAAAAAAATACAAATCTAAATATAAAGTTAAACAGTTGATTGACAAAAAATTATCTTTGATTGACATTTGTCAATCTTTATACTTTTGTTTCTATGGGGAGCAGAAACTATAAAACCATGATCAGAATTCTAGTATTAGTTATCAATTTAAATTCAATCTATTAAGTTTTATAATTTATTGAAACAATTATATTTTAGAATGTCTAGTTTTTTTAAACCTCTTTTAAATATCGAGAATAATTTTCATAACAAAATGGTAAAAAAAGAATTCAAAGGAGAAGTTAAACAACTTATAAAGCATATAGATCCTTTGTACTTTAAAAGTGATAGGATTGTTTTTTATTCCAGTTTTAACTGTCAAAACAATCATTTTGGTTTGTATTATTAATTTTTCTCAACATTTTTATTGTTTTTTCTAACATTTTGTTTTTTATTAATAGCCATTTTCAAAAAGTTAAGAGATGGTTTTATTTCTCATCAATATGAAAACAATGACCAAAATTAGCGTAGTACCTAACTTATTGGTAAATGAAATGAAAAGAATATATATAAAAAGAATATATATTCTTCAGAAAAACCAAAAAAAAAAAAAAAACTTTGGAGAATTCTACCTCTAAAGAATTAATTAAAAAAAAATAATTTGTTTATTGGATTTCTAAGTTCAAGATTCAAAATCAATGATTAATATTAAATAAAATACCAAATTATTTAATATTTTATTTAATTTTAATTTAATTTGTTTTTCTCAAAAAAAAACAAAGGATAAAAATTGCAATTTTTTGCAAAATAAAGTTATTTCTATAACTGCATGATTTTCATAGTTATATAAATTGTTAAATCTATACTTTTAATTAAAATAGTAATCGATTTATTTTATATAATTATCTAAGTGAATCTGCAGATTTGGTGATCGTTGTTTGTAAATTAAACAAAAATAACCTTTTAATGAAGTCAAATCAATCAAATGATTCTCTAAAGGTAAGAAACAAAACAAAAGATAATAATGAGATTCTATTTTATAATATAACAAAGATAACAAATAATACTTGTATTGTAGATGATATAATATCATAGTTACTTTTTAAAAAGAAAGAGAGAGAAAGAGAAAGAAAGAAAGAAAATTAAACAACATTATTATAACTTTTTTTACAATATTTAAAAAATAAAGATTAAAACAAAAACAAACAAACAAACATAGATTATGTTTAACTTTTTTTATTATTTACATTTACTTTTATTTATTTATCATTGAGATACATACTATATTATAGTTCGTGTTTTTATTAATTTCTTATAATCTATATATATAATAATGTAGAGAAAAAGACAATCAAGTTCTCAATCTAAATCTTATGATAAATGGCAAGATTTTGAAGAGGATCTTGAAGAGTCAGAGTTGTTGGATGGCGGTGTTCGTAAGGCAGCCACTTCGTTGACGTTGCAAGATGAGTCTACCAACAAAGGACAGCTTCACGACTACTCAAAGATCTGCCAACTAAAGACTGACAATAAGACACGGCCAATCTGGGTGTGTCCAGACGGCCACATCTTCCTCGAGACGTTCTCACCGATCTACAAACAAGCGTCTGACTTTCTCGTTGCTATAGCGGAGCCTGTATGTCGTCCACAGCTGATCCACGAGTATCAACTGACACCCTATTCGCTGTATGCTGCGGTGTCTGTCGGTCTGGAGACGAATGACATCATTAGCGTGCTGGTTCGTCTCTCAAAGATGACCATTCCCAAAGAGATTATCAAGTTTGTCAAGCAGTGTACGAGTAGCTACGGAAAGGTCAAGTTGGTACTCCAGAAGAACAAGTACTTTGTCGAGTCGGCGTATCCCGAGGTGTTGGAGTTTCTTCTCAAGGATTCCGCTATTCGGTCGGCGCGTGTAAAGTCGACCAACACTCCGGCGATTCAAGACGACGCGCAGCGTGTCATCGACGACAAGACCGGTTTCATTGTTACCACCGGTGGCAATCTGCCATCGCAAATCTCTGGTGGCATACAGCCGAACCAAGGTCTGGATAGGAATCTGACTTCGTTGCTCGAGGCAGACGATGAAGATACGGTCGACAACTCTGACCAGCAATTCCACTCGTTCGAGATCGATCCTGAACAAGTGGAGGCTGTCAAGAAACGCTGTATCCAGCTTGACTACCCGATGCTCGAGGAATACGACTTTAGAAATGATACAATCAATCCAAACTTGGCGATCGATTTGAAGCCGACAACAATGATAAGACCGTACCAAGAGAAATCGCTGTCAAAGATGTTTGGTAATGGACGTGCACGTTCCGGTATCATTGTGTTGCCGTGTGGTGCCGGTAAGTCGCTGTCTGGTATCACCGCAGCCTGCACCGTCAAGAAGAGTATATTGGTGCTGTGCACATCGGCAGTGTCTGTTGAGCAGTGGAAATATCAGTTCAAGCTCTGGTCAAACATCGAGGAGAAGATGATCTCCAAGTTCACATCCGACAGCAAGGAGAAGATGTACACTCTGGCCGGTGTCACCATTACCACCTACACTATGATTGCATTCGGTGGAAAGAGATCGGCTGAATCGCTAAAGATTATGAACGACCTCACCAAGAGAGAATGGGGACTGGTGTTGTTGGACGAGGTGCATGTCGTGCCGGCAGCGATGTTCCGTAGAGTGCTGACGGTGACGCGTGCGCATTGCAAACTCGGACTGACCGCCACACTTCTCAGAGAGGACGAGAAGATTCAGGATCTAAACTTTTTGATCGGACCTAAACTCTACGAAGCGAATTGGCTGGATCTTCAGAAATCCGGTTTCCTTGCCAACGTCAGTTGTTCTGAGGTTTGGTGTCCGATGACCGCAGAGTTTTACCACGAGTATCTCACCAACGAATCACAAGGAAAGAAGAAGCTACTCTACACAATGAATCCCAACAAGTTTAGAGTGTGTGAATATCTCATAAACTACCATGAGCAGCGTGGAGACAAGATTATCGTATTCTCTGACAATGTGTATGCTCTGAAGATGTACGCAACGCAGCTAAAGAGATTCTACATCTATGGTGCCACCTCTGGTCAGGAGAGAATGAGTATCTTATCAAAGTTCCAACACGATCCATCGGTGAGAACTATATTCATTTCAAAGGTCGGAGATACTTCGATCGATATTCCAGAGGCAACCGTTATTATCCAGGTCTCCTCTCACTATGGTAGCAGAAGACAAGAGACACAACGTCTCGGTCGTATTCTACGTCCAAAGCCAAAATCCGACGGTCTGTACAATGCGTTCTTCTACTCACTCGTCTCGAAGGATACACAAGAGATGTACTACTCTACAAAGAGACAGCAGTTCTTGATCGATCAAGGTTACAGCTTCAAAGTGATCTCAGAGTTTCCGGGACTGGACGAGGAGCAACTTCAATTCTCAACAAAGGAATCACAACTCAAGCTACTCCAAGAGGTTCTGAGAGAAGGTGACGACAGTGGTAAAATTGAAATGCTCGATGAAGATTTCGACGATATTACAGTATCAAAGAAGAAACAAAAGCCAAACACAACCATCACCAGAACCACTGGAAATATCCGAGCTCTTTCTGGTGGCGCTGGTGATACCACCTACATGGAATATAAAACACCAAAGATATTCAACAGTAAAAGACCTGCTGGTAAAAAATAAGATAGATAACAACTTAAAAAAAAATCATATACCCTCTATTCACACAATCTATCGATCTAGCTATCTTTACTTCATAACTTTTTTGTAATATATTATTTAAAATTAAAAAAAAAGATAAAAAAAAAAAAAAAGAAAAAAAAGAATAAAAAAGATAAAGATAAAAAGATAAAAACAGATAACACAACTTTTATATTATTAATCTGTATACATTCATTCATTTAAACAACTAAAATATAACTAACTTAACTATTAATATTTATAAATTAAGACCTTATAAAATTAAAAATTTAATAAAAAAAAGATTTCTCATTAATATGAGAAGAACTTAAAATATAATACTGAATTAATATAGTTTATTTACAATAGAAATGATAATCATTTCTCTATAACTCCATTGCTATTTTTGAGCAATCGACACCAGATGATTTACAACTTTCGAGTAGCTTTCTTTTTAAACTGTCTTGCTTAGTATCACCACGTATAAATATTAAATAATGTAAAATAACGAATATAATAAATATCACCATATATCTAATTGCTAAAATAGAGTATTTATTCAACCACTTGTCGTTAGTTAATCAGTATTACTCGATATGATTCAACTAAATCTTACCCATATATTTAAAATTATAATTACTAATCTCTTGATCATTTAATTTTGATTCATCTTTACTATGATTATCGATTACTTTTTCTACAGATTGCTTTTGTTGCTGCTTCTGCTGTTGTTGTTCATTCTTTACATTATCTATATTTGTGTTTATATGTCTTCTTTGTATGGTATTGTTACTATTGCTTACCCCACTACTTTCGTCTTTATCATTATTAACACTATCCATCTTATCTGACGTCAAGGAGTTATCAAAAATGATTCGTTTTTGTAAAAATTTTCACTATTTTCCAAACACTGACTATTTAAATTACTTCTTTTAATAAGATTACTTTTATGATTGATTGATGGATCAAATTGAGACCATTTAATTTCTTGTTCTTTTTGGTTATAATCCAAATAAAGTTATAATTTATAATTCAAAATTTTTAGTGATTTTTTGTTTATTTCTTTTTAATTAAATTCTTATCAATGTTGCTTATTTATTAATTTGGTAATAAATTAAAAAGGTAGTAATAAATAAAACTAAATATTTATCGATTAATCATTCATTACTTTATTGTTAAATAAAAAGTAAAAAAAATCTTTAGATTTTTATTTAAAAATGTGTTAATTAAAATTTTTTTAATAAAAATTAATAATGATCGCGTGTCTGAACAAGAACATCTGACTCATTTTTGTTAAAAGCTTCAATTTAAATCAATTTGTAAAATAGATCAATTAACACACTGTTGTTGTATAAAAATAGATAAAGATTATGTCTGCAGGTGCATTATTTAGAAAAGCAGTAGCCAACGCCAAACCATTGCAAATCGTTGGTGCAGTCAATGCTTACTCTGCCATCTTGGCCGATAAAAGTGGATATCAAGCTATCTATCTTTCGGGTGGTGCATGTGCTGCCGCCAGCTACGGACTTCCAGATCTTGGTATCACTACAATCAACGATGTCGTCGAAGATATCCGTAGAATAACAAGGTAAATCAATCTATCAATCCCCAAATATATTAAAAATAAGAACAAAGAATTTGTTAATTAATAAATATTTGTTGTTGTCGTTGCAATAGAGTTACAAAAGTTCCTTTATTGGTTGATGCAGATACTGGATTTGGAAGTTCTTTCAATATCGCCAGAACCATTGAGGAGTTTGAGCGTGCCGGTGCTGCCGGTTGCCATATCGAGGATCAGGTCGGTGCCAAACGTTGTGGTCATCGTCCAGGCAAGAAGATCGTCAGTACCGATGAGATGGTCGATCGTATCAAGTCGGCAGTTGCCGCCAGAAAGGATCCAAACTTTGTCATCATGGCGAGAACCGACGCTCTCGCCAATGAGGGTATCGAAAAGGCAATCGAGCGTTCCAAGGCCTATATTGCAGCGGGTGCCGACATGCTATTCCCAGAGGCACTAACAGAGTTGGAGCAATACAAACAATTTAGAGCTGCATTACCAAATGTTCCAAGTATGTTTTGTTATTTATTTTAATATTATCTCAATATTATTTTTTCTAATTTACTCTTTTTCTTTTATTTCTCTTTGTATAGTCTTGGCAAATATTACAGAGTTTGGTAAAACACCATATTTTACGACTGAAGAACTTTCGAATGCCGGTGCATCAATGGTTCTCTATCCATTGTCAGCATTCAGAGCACAGGCAGCAGCCACTCTCCAAGTGTACGATGCCATCAAGAAGGATGGAACTCAACAAAATGTAGTGAAACTCATGCAAACCCGTGAGGATCTCTACAAATACTTGGATTATCACAAGTTTGAAAATCAATTGGATGTTTTATTTGGTGAAGGTAAAGAACAATAAAATAAATTTATTAAACAAAATAAATATATCATCTATCCAATCATTCATTAGAAATAAATAAGAGTATTAATCAATAATATTGATTTTTGTTTTGTTTTGTTTTTGTTTATTATATTTTAATACATTCACACTTTTGTTTTGTTTTTTTTTTTGGTATGTATGTTTATCTATCTATCTATTTATCTATCTATCTTCTCTAATAATGATTATCTATCTATCTATCTATTAGCTAACAAAAATGTATCGGTTCTATTTGATCTGTTTCCATCTTTTTTTTTTGCTAAATATCTATATTTATAATCTGTCTATCATCTTTCTAGAAGTTTATAGGTAGATACCGGATGCCAAAAGAACAAAGAATCCACCCATACCCAATGTACATGATGCAACTAAAGCGTGAAGAACTTCTTGAACAATGTTTCTCTTTGATTTACCTGAACCTGCTGAAATTTCATATCTAAACAAACAAACGATCATCAACAATAATATTATTTTGTCAGTCAACTGCTGCTAAAACGATAGTATGTATTATGTATTAATCTAACCTACACAATGAATGAAGCAAGGAATGCAAATCCAACAACCAAAAACAAGAAGGCAAAGAATGGATATAATGATGGGTCAACTGGACTGCTGTATGGATATAATGCCTAGATAAAGGTATGGAGAATATTAATATTAGAGCTAAAAGACACCATACTACATTATTATTCTATTAAACAATGTTACCATTTTTATATATTAATTAATATTAAATTATTTAGTATTAATAAATTTTTGATGATCAAAAAGGTCACACAAAATTTTGCTGAGGCTCAATTTTTTTTTTTTAATTTTAATTTTTCACAAACCACGAAGTTCAAAGTCAAGGTCAAAGTTTAGATTTATATCATAACAATGAAATTTATTTATTTTTAAGTTCAAAACAAAAAATAATTTCATATTTATTTAAATAGTTTTAAAAAAAATAATCTATTTTTTGTTTTTGTTTATTTATTTGATTCTATTTTTATCCAAACAAGGAAATAAAAATAAAAAAAAGTTTAAACTAGAATTCGTATTTTTTTCAAAAATAAATAAAAAAATCTTTTCGAAATAACTTAACTCCCCTCAGTTGACACCCAGATTTCTTTTTTCAGATTCATTTTTTGAATTGTTTTTCCAATGTTTTTGCATGCCTCTGGTTAAACACATGATGCATCGTTGATTGACATCACCAACTGTTACCGGAAATATCAAATTATTAAGTAGAAAAAAGAATTTTTTTTTTTTTTTATTAATTATCTTGATAATTTTGATTTTTTTTTTTAAATTGAACGTTCAACAACAGAACAGTTTATTCTTTCATTCGATGACATCACTTCTATTGTAATATATTATATCAACACTTTTTATTTTTATTTCATTTTTGCATTATTTTCATTTTTATTCTAGAGTCAACACATCAGATCACTTAAACTTTGTTTGTTATTTGATTGGTTGGTTTTGACTTGTGTGTGGTGTTTTTGATCAAAGTTTTGTTTTTTCTCACAGCAGCAATAATAATAGTAAACGGCAAATTTTAAATCTACACCATCGTTTTAATGAAATAATTAGTTATTTATTAAATCATTCTTTTCATTTTCTATATAAATATAATATAATATTAGTTTTGTTTACTTTTTATAATATATTTCTTTAGTTTTATTTGTTTTTAAGTAATTTAAAATAAAACCAATAGAAATCATAGTGTATTTTTAATTAAATATTTATAAAAGTAATTAGATTAGTTTATTTAAACAAACAATGTCCAATAATCATTGGTTGAGAACTAGTGGCATAGGTTAGTAACTAAACAAACTATAATAAAAACAATTAGTTAAATAATGAGGATGAAACAGATGTAATATATTAACATTTTAAAACTATACAAACAAACAAACAGATGTAGATGCAATCACAAAACAAGATAATAGAAAGCAGATGATTGGTAAAGTCAATAAGATCATCAAAGAGTGTCTACAGAATCACTTTTCCACTGGAAAAGCATTGAATGAATCATGTCCATTTCTAAATCCACTTTGTTTTCAAATAGAGTTATTTTTAACACATAAATTAAAGTGTATGTATCTATATAGATATCGGTGAATAAAACAAACTCACACAATCATTCCTAACTCACACTCTTTCTTATTCTTTAAACTTAGTGAAATATGGTGGTTTTGCAACGATTTGGGATATTTTACAGCTATTGAAAGGTTTGCGTGTTGATAGCTTGACGACGACCACTAGTGGTGCACCACTGGTGTGGCGAGAGCAGTTTGAGTATATCGATTCACTGTCGGAGGTGACAACAGACACTGGCAAAGCAAGAGCATTTCTTCGGCGATGTCTCAACGAATCGATTCTCAATGCAGCGATCGAGTCGATCACCACCAACCACGATATTCTACGTAACCACTACGATGAAGACTCGATTCTTCGATTCAAAGATGATTCCGATGTATACCGATCGATATTGGTACCGCTGGAGACAATACCATTTCAAATCGATTATAACGACAGTGCACTCGATCATCAAGATATTGATGACGATCATCATCATCATGTGTCAAATAGCAACATCAATAGTGGTATCAATAATCTTACTGCTAGTAATGATAATATAAATGGTACTACTTCTACTTCTTCTCCTCCTGTTGTTGTTGGAAATGGTGTTGTAACACCATTGGCAAAACCAGCATTGAGGAAGAAAAAGATGGTAAAGTCACTCACTAGAGTTATCAATATCAATGGTGAGGGTCAGTCTGAGGTCGTCGAGAGTCAGATGCTCAAAGACACCTTTGACGACAAGGGTGTAACCACTACCACTACCATCGTAGACGAGAAAACGGGTAAAACGAAAATCATTAAAAAGATAAAAGTAACAAAGAAAGTATTAAAAGTAAATAGTAATAATAATAGTAGTAATAATTTAAATAACATTAATAATAATAATAATAATAATAATAATAGCAATAATAATAGTAACGCTAATTTAACATCAACATCAACAGCAACAACAACACAAACAGTAATACCAGTTTCAACAACAACATTAATAGATCCAAATGTTAATGATTATATTAATAATGAGAGTAATAGTAACTATTCAAGTGGTGAGAGTGATAATAGTGGATTTAGAAGTAGTGGCGAGAAAGAGAAGGAAAAGACACCAGAGATTGTACAGATGATTAAAGAGATATCGATATCTGATATCAAATCAAAGTTTTCTTCATTCTTTTCAACTAGCTCACCAAAGTCTACACTTACAAATATACCAACAACAAAAACAACAACACTCACAAGCTCTACAGAGTCAACACCATCTATTTCTTCATCGATTTCAACATCTTCAGAACAGCAAACAACCAATGAACCAACAACAACTACAAACAATATTGATACAGCTTTAACTTCAATACCAGAGTCTACATTAACACCTACATCAACATTGGAAGAAGTAAAAGAAATAGAAGTAGTAGATATTAATAATAATAATGAAATAAAAGAGGATAGTCCTATAATAGTGGAGAGTAGCAATAATGATATAGAAAATTTGGAAGTAGTTGAGCAAAACCAACATCAAGAGCAACAAGAACAACAAGAAGAGAAAGAGGAATTAGTAGTTCAAACAAATATAGTTGAACAAGATGGTGCCTCTATTATTAGTGTAGAAGATAAAGCAGAGGAAGAGTCAAAGTCATTGTTAAAATCAGTTGATTCATTTGGTTCGTTGAATGATGTGCTTGCTCGATTAGATGTAGTTAGTCCAGCTCTAAGTTCTCAGGTGGACGTAGTTACACCAACTCTAAGTCAATTGGATAATGATATTGCTGAATATATGGATGTCGTTGATGAGAAAGAGAAAGAGAAAGAAGAAGAGGAAGAAGAAGAACACTTTAGATCAGATTCATCAGATTGTATTGAAGAAGAAGAACACGAACAACAACAACAACAACAAGAACAAGAGGATGAAGAAGAAGGAATAATAGTAGAGGAGAAAGAAGAGTCAATTGTAAATATTAAGGAAGAAGTTTTAGATACTATAATAGATGAGATCGAAAAAGAAGAAGAAGTAGTAGAAGAAGAAGAAGTAGAGGAAAAAGAAGAGGAAGTTGTAGAGGAAATTAAAGAAAATCAACCATCAATTACTGTTAGTGTTGAAGTAGAAAATCGCTCTATGACTTTGGAGGAAGAGGTTGCTGCTTATGAAAGACATAGAGCAATGTTGGATAAACAGCTATCATCTAATTCCAATAGTAATAATAACAGTAATAATAGCAGTAATAATAACAGTAATAATAATAGTAATAGTGTTAGTGGTAGATCATCGCTTTCATCTTCACCATCGACTAAATCGAATATAGTCTCAGAGGAAGAGCAATCTTTGATTCTTGATCAAGTCGCTAAAATAGAGGAAATGATAGGTGGACGTTCTAATATCCGTAAGGAGAATGGTAGCAATAATAATAGTTTCTCTGTTACTGTATCTTCTAACAATCCACACATTATCTCAACACCAGCACCGGCTGTCATGTCAACACCACCACAATCACCATTCGCACAGAAACATCATTCATTCTCACCATACTTTGTACCTGCTTCAACACCTGATAATCATCTTCATCATCATATCAACAATCATAATAACAAAGTTAGTAATACAAGCTATTCAGATGTAGATGAATTAACAGATGATGGTGTTGATAATCAATTGGATTTCGATCAACTTGATTTAGAGAACAACAGTAACAACAATAGTAATAATAATAATAATGAATATCTAAATAATCTAAGTAGTGATTCATCATCTCCAAGTCATTCAAGATCGAATTCAATTACCGCATCGTTTAGAGAAGATTATATTCCCGAGAAAAAGAAGTTGACACCGAGTGCGCTGTCTGCATCGGGTGGATTGTCTAATACACTGCCATCGGAAGGCGCCATTACCAAGAGTAGCAGCAATCCTTTCATCAACTACGATGCCGGTGTCGAAGAGAAACCGATCGATCCAAAGGATTTCAAGTGGACACCTCTGAGAAGACGTCTCTACTTTGAAATACATACACAATACACTATTCGCGAGCAGAACAATCAGTGCGCTGGCTGCTCGCGTAGCATCTCTGGACTGTTCACATCGTCTCGCTACTGCGAGTACAGCGGTAAATACTATTGTTCCGGCTGCCACACCAAGCAGATCTGGTTCATCCCGTCACGTATTCTCTCGAATTGGGATTTCAAGCAGTATCAAGTGTCGAACTTCCACTACGTTTTTCTCAATGAGATTTCGCGTGAGCCGCTCTTTGACATTGCCACCATCAACCCTAAACTCTACAAGAACAACGTGATGCTACGCATGCGTAACCTCCGTCGTCAGATGTTCTTCCTCAAAGACTTTTTAAAGTCGTGCACAGCAACCGGTCCAGAGGATTACAAGATGATCGGCAATCAAAATGACCACCTTGCTAACGACGTCGATTTCTACTCGCTCGCCGATCTCGTACATTACAAACGACTATATGAATCTCTTAGAATTATTGTTGCCAAATGGTTGAATCATGTTGAAGTAAGTTGTAGAAAACTGTATAACAATCGATAATCGAAATTAGTTACTTACTTTTTTTTTTATCTTCTTATTAGACATGTCCATTGTGTACAAGTAAAGGATCATTCTGTGAATTTTGTGATGCCAAAGAACCTATCTTCCCATACAATATATCAAAGGTAGTTCAATGCTCATCATGCCACAGCTCTCACCATAAAGAATGTTATGTCAAACACAAATGTCCGAAATGTCTGCGAATTGCTAAACGAAAAATAACAGTGCTACCTTGAATTTCACAAGAGAACATAATCAACAACAAAATAATAATCAACGTTAATCTCCACTCCCCACAATAATATTATCTTTTTAAATTATTATATATATGTAATGGTTTAATTAACCAATCAGTTTAATACAATCTTATTACATTTCTTTTCTTTTTATTTAAAAACAAAAAAGAAAATAAACAATAACCTTTTTTTTTTTTAAAAATTAAAACAGTTGATCACATTATATTTCCTAGCTAGGAAATAAATTATTAACTTAACTGGCTGATGATAAAAGATTAACCAAGTTTTAAAATGAATAAAACACTATTTTATTTCTCTGCGTTAACATATATGTAAATCTCATGTGAAATTTCAAACAAGGTATGGTGTAAGCTATTTCTTTAAAGAAACAGAAAGTCTTTCCTCAGAGTTAAAAAGTGATCTTTCAAGTGCAAAGAATTTCGGTGTAATTAAAGATACTACATGATATTTTTAGATATTTTTTCGAAAAAATCTTATTGAAATTGTTAATATCAAACCTGGAGTTGGTATTCAGGTAAGATTATTTGTTATCTGTAAAATTACCGAAAGTAAAAAAAAAAAATAAAAAATACGAATTTTTTTATACTATTTGTACGATCATCTTTCGAAAGATGGTGCTCTGCTCAATTGATTTCATTATTGAAAAATTCATGTTTTCTCTAACCATTAAATTCCTTTTTTGGAACCAGAAACTAAATGTTATTTGATTTCGATGGTCAAAGGGGTGGCATTCACCTTTTTGGTAGTTATTTTCAGGTTCAATTGAAAAAGAATTGGTAATATTGTTGATGAAAATTGTCTACAATCTTGGCTGTGTAAGAAGAAAAGTTTTATTACTTTTTATTTTCGTTTTTTATTCAAACTATAATAATAATTTTTTTTTTTGAGCATTTCTATTTAAATTCAAGTTTTGAATACTATCAATCATTTTACTTTTTAACTTGATATATATATTTAAAAAAATGAATTTCAATATTATCTTATGTATTTTACTTTTAGCTTTGGTTTCCAATACCTTTGCTGACAATACTGCCCTTAGTATTTGGAATCAAGATGCTTCCTCAATTTCTGTTGGTATCACTGATTTCGATACTAGATCCAACACTCCTCGCCGTACTCTCTATGGATTCAGTAACGTTATGACGGCTGGAAATCAATATTCTACCTACAACTATAATACTGGTATAATGTATTTTGTTGCAACTTCATTTGTAATTATAAAACCATTATTTATTATAAATATTTTTGATATAAAATTTAACTATTTATATATATTTTTTATTTATTAAAAGGACCCATCATTAAGTGGATATATGTTTTTGAAATCCTTCAGTACAAATACATGGACTTTTGGAACCTATACCTCAAATATGACCACTGATACCGATTTATTATCTGTTGTCAGTGCCCAAACTAATGCTGATGATGATTTGTTCCTTATTTTCGGTTCGCCAGCCGCAGAAAATGGAATGACCATTACCAAATTCAACGCCCTAACCTCAACTTACACAATTGTCGATAACATTGCCGGTTACAATTTCTCATCATCTGCCTTTGATATCTCCAATAACATTTTACTTATTATCATGACCGATTCCAATGGAAATATGATTGTCAATACCTACGATCCACTCGGTAATAAGATCTCATCAAAGCCATACACCATCTCCAATATGAACAGCAGTTACAAATCAACCAATCGTCCATACAACTTGCAATATCTTCCACAATTGAAAGGTCTCTATGTCAACATGAACATCTATCAATTCTCATGGAACCAAAGTCCACAAATGTTCTCAGTCAACGAACAAGCTCAAGTCTTTAGACTCGCTCCATTGATTTCAAATTCTATTACAGTCAAGAGTCTTTATGGTATGACTGCAATTGGAGATTACATCTACCAATCCGGTCAACTAAGTACCACAGGTAGTGGTAACTATGCAATCCAAATGGATGTTGTCCGCAACGTCTATATTACATCAATCAACTTACAAACTCTCCCATTAAACTTCTGGATGATGAAGTAAATAAATAAACACTTTATCTAAATTACTACATTAAATATATTCTTGTGAAATTCCAAAGAACCAGATACATCGGTGTAAGTCTTCTAGATTTTTTTTTACATATTGTTCGATATCAATAGTATAGTGATTATCTATCATTATTTTATTTAAATAATGAAGTGTCTTCTTTTACTTTTTTTGTAAAGATAAAATGATAGATAACTAGAGGAGTGTATTGATATAGAATTTATCAAAAAAATAGAATTTCAATGAGGCTTTTTCACTTTTTGTATTTTAATATTTTTACATATTAATTTTTGTCTTTTTCACTTTTTTTTCAAAAAACTACATACTAATTTTTTAAATTAAAAAAAGTGAAATAACCTCATTGAAATTTTTTTTATTTAAAAAAAACAACATCTTAACAATTGACGAGATCAAATATAGTCTCAGAGGAATAGCAATCTGCTAGCAATCAATGACTTATCACAACACCACCATCACCATTCGCACATAAACATCATTCTTTCTCACCATACTCCGTACCTGCTTCAGCACCTGATAATCATCATCTTCATATCGATATTAATAACAAAGTTAGTAATTTCAGACATATAGATCTTATTACATTTCATTTCCTTTATTTAAAAATAAAAAAAAAAGAAATAAACAATGGCTTTTTTAAAAGTTTGTTAAGTTGTGTTGTGATACACGATTAAACAACAAGCTGTTTATAAACACTACATTAGCAATCGCTCGAAATCAATCAAAGAACTTATAGTTTTTTGATATCTCTGATATTTCAACTTTAAATAGAAGTGGAAGTTGGTCAATAGGTTAAAAAGTGCTCTTTGAAATTCAAAGAAGTAATTACAAGATATTAATAAATATCTTGGGATTTTGGTCTTCAAAGCGTTAATATCAAACCTGGTGTTGGTATCAAGATTATTTTTTACTATTGTACCAAAACTTATTTTTATCAGATATGTGTTTACAAGAACAGGAATCAGTTGATAAGTAAGTAGAATATGAATATCCTAAATATGTCGTTGAGTAAAGTCGCCATTTTAGTTTTTTAAGAAAACAACTTTGAACTGTTATGAAAATGCAGATATTTTCGACTTGTTTTTACGATCTTCTTTTTAAAAAGATGTTGAAAAACTATTGTGATGTCATAAATTTGCTTTATACTTTAATTTCGTGCATTTGCCTGAAACAAGTCCATTTTTGTATTTCTCAAACTGGTGTCAATAGACTTTTTTTTTTAAATGAGGGTAGCATTTCAATAGTCAATCAATCATCTATTGTTAAAAACAAATATTTTTTGATCTAAATGGTCCACCATCTTGGTGATCTTTTTTTCAAAGTTTTAAAAAATATTTTATTTATTTTTTTATTTTCAGAATAATTTTAAATAATTATATTTTTTTTTTTTTTTCGTTTGGTATCATCAATATAAATTCAAGGTTTTAAATTCACTTTGAACTTTGTAAGATCATTATACTTTTATAACTAGATATATATATATATATAAAATGAATTTCTATCCTATCTTATGTATTTTACTTGTAGCTTTGGTTTCCAATACCATTGCTGATAACACTGCCATTGGTATTTGGAATCAAGATGCTTCCACTGTTGCTGTTGGTATCACTGATTTCGATCAAAAAACAAACAGTCCACAAGCAACCCTTGTTGGATTCCAAAACGTTTTGTCTGCTGGAAATCAATACTCTACCTACAACTATAAGACTGGTATGATGAATTTTGTTGTTTCTTCAATTGTAATTATCAAACAATAATTTAAAAAATAATATTTATTTATTAACAATTAAATTATAAATGAATTAAACTAACTACTCTTATTTAGGATGCTGCTGATAATGGAATTATGTTTTTGAAATCCTTCAGTACAAATACATGGACTTTTGGAACCTATACCTCAAATATTACCTCTAATATCGAATTATATTCGGTTGTCAGTGCCCAAACCAATGCTGATGATGATTTGTTCCTTATTTTCGGTGCACCAGGAGCAAATGGAATGACCGTTACCAAATTCAATGCAGATACCTCTACTTACACCATTGTCGATAGCATTGCCAGTTACAATTTTTCATCGTCTGCCTTTGATATCTCCAATAACATTTTACTTATTATCATGACCGATTCCAATGGAAATATGATTGTCAATACCTACGATCCACTCGGTAATAAGATCTCGTCAAAGCCATACACCATCTCCAATATGAACAGCAGTTACAAATCAACCAATCGTCCATACAACTTGCAATATATGCCACAATTGGGAGGTCTCTATGTCAACTTGAACATCTATCAATTCTCATGGAACCAAAGTCCACAAATGTTCTCAGTCAACGAACAAGCTCAAGTCTTTAGACTCGCTCCATTGATTTCGAATTCTCTTAACGTACAGAATCTTTATGGTATGACTGCAATTGGAAAGTACATCTACCAATTCAGTCAACTTAGTGCCCCTGGCAGTGGTTTCTATGCTATTAAAATGGATACTGTTATCAACGTCTATATTACATCAATCAACTTCCCAACTCTCCCAGTAAATGTCTGGATGATGAGTTAAAATTAATAAACACTTTAATAATATTTTTTTTTTATATTTATCTAAATTAACTAATCTGCTGCATGGCAAAACTTATTGACGATATGATCTCTTTTCAAATCTTTGAGACAGTGTGATCTCGCCTTGCGAAAATCATTATTGTTTATTTTTAATTATTCTCATTTATTTCATTCACTCGTTCATTTATTTATTCATTTACTCATTCGTTCTTTCATTTAATTAAATGCATGCTTATCATTATCATTCTTATCATAGATAAATAAATTTTAAATGAATCGATGAGCTTATATCACAGATCATTCATATGATTATTTGTATTCACAATATCAATGAATTTATTTTAAAATTTTTTTCTTTTTAATTAGAATTTAGAGGTGTAGGATATGCGATGATGTTGGCACTGCCTAAAATCCAGCGATGGGTTGCCCCATTGTCATTCCGGCTCGGAGAAAATCATTCGCAAGGCGAGATCACACAGTCTCAAAGATTTGAAAAGAGATCATATCGTCAATAAGTTTTGCCATGTCAACTTGAAATTACTTTATTAATATTAAAGCTTCATTGTTGGTGATGTTGATTGTTTAGGTCAACATTCATGGTCAATGTTTTTAAAATCATCGTGATGCCTGTTATTTCATTTTTGTGTCCCTCGCCTCAGATTATGGTTAATTTTTCGTTTTTTTTTAAAAAAGATCTATTCATAATAAGAGAAATGCTACCCACCACACCCACACTCACACTTTTTTTTTTTGAATTTAAAAACATTTAATTTGGATTATTATTTGGGGCAAGCTTGTGAAAATCAAAAAACTAATATTAACATTGCATTTTAAGCATCAATTTATATATTGAGCCTCTGTTAATATTAGTTTTTGATAGAAATAAATTAAATAATTTTGATAATTTTCATCTATAAAATGTATCGATTTCAATCATTCTTTCATTATACAATTGTTATTCAAATATAGAATTTAGATAAATAGATATCAGTTGAAATGGTTGTAAAAAAAAATTTTTTATCTGACACCACCACTATTTTTGCTAACATAAAAAAATAGAATACAGGAAAAAGAGTTATCAAATCTTCACCAAAGTGTTTATGTCTATGTGATAAGCCTACCGCTGCTAGGATACCTCGTCATACACGCACCAAAACCAGAGCTACTCCTAAATCCAAAGCTGCAAAGATACTCTGTGTACCAACTAAGGATAGAAGCAACAGAAACAAGGGATCTACACGGGCGTGTTCCTCTAGAAGATCTCAAACTGAAGCACCAGATGCCGCACCAACTGTCTATGCAGTATCTTCACCAGATGCCGTACCAACTGTCCCTGCAGTGTCTTCACCAGATGCCACA